CTGCATAAGGATCATGCACACATCAGCACCGCAACCATCCAGACGTCAACTACACGCCGATGGAGCGCAGTCGCTGCCACAAACAGCATCTCGGCTCTAGTCATTTTGAAGAAAGAAAAAAAAAAAAATTTTTTTTTCTCTTCCCCTTGCCCCGGTATGTGTATACAATGTAATCGCGACCAGTATGAAACTGCAAGTGATGGCATGAAAGAAGAATAAATCTAACAGATTGGCGTGTAAAGCCATCTACGGAATCGGCCCGTCGCGGTTTCGTGGTCTCGGACGAGAAACTCACGGCAGCAGTCTCGTCGTCTTGTGTGGCACCCGCATTTGGCAGGTTGGAATCGTGCACCGATAATCAATCTTATGCCGACCGTATGACTACATACAGGCTGAGCCGATGCGGTGCTCGTAGGGTCTAGATGCAAGCTGCGAGATAGAGTATGGCCGAGAGACATAGACAGGCTGTCCCGTCTGCGGATGGCGAGCAACCCATGGCGAGAAGCCATCCTATCCTCAACCAAAGCGGCAAATCCCGCACCAGGTGCATATCACCACACCCAAAAACGCGATGAGAGCCCAACGACTATTAACTGGATACGTGATACCCCGTGCATTACCAAGCCCCGTCTATTGCCTGCCGCCATGCACACACGCACATACGTGAGCGAGTATACGTGAGAGTATACATAGTCCAGTTAGAGGGTTTTTGTGACATTTAGCTACGCCACGGGCCGATCCTCTGGTCGTGAGCCCAGGACAAAGTCGAGGACCCTCATAAGAGGAATCGGTCAGCGCGAACGTGGTGGACGAGAACAACTCACCCCACAGCATCCGCCACGGACCCGTCCCGCCAGCTCCATTATCCCGCAACTAGTCGGTATATACCTGCATACACGTATGTACGTGTTGTCTGTGTGCGCATATGTACCTACCTCGTCGAATCCCCATAGAAGAGAACAATTCTATGGGGATAGGTCCAGCCGTGAGGCGTGCGTGTAAGTCTGTTCGCAGGTATTGGCATCGAAGGAGAGCCGGGTTTCAAATTCGCGGTGTAAGCCCACACTCACCAAGTGAACCAGCCATCCACACCAGATCTCGAATGCGTAGGTACCTACCTATGCACATACATACATCCTCTCACACACATACCCACGGTGCACACTCCGTGGCATGTAACATACTATACACGTACGCGAGGTCTGATGTCGTAATGAAGAAGTGACAACCGCTCCAGGACGTCCGCGGTGCCGATCGATATCTCAGAGGACCGCCTCCCGACGATCCCAGCCTCGTTCTAGAAACTTTCCGGAATAGAGAAGGGGAGGCGACAGAAGCCTCCACGGACGAGCGATTTCAGGCACGTAACGCCCCTTTTCCGCAGTTGTGTGTCTCCGTACAGCTATCTCCTTGTGGGCCGTCCTCTTCTTGACGACGCACACATGCATTATTTCTATGTATGTAGGTATACAGCAGCCGACCCGATATACGAAACCCAACTGCCTGCCACCTCTACCCCCAGAAGCTGCTCGGTAGGTATAACATACAAAGCATGTGTATGCATGCGTCTATACGAGAGGTGCTCGGGTACTCTCACAGCCCCCCCCCCCCCCCTCCCAGTGTCTATCCTATCTAAGATCGGGTTACACGCTCGGGCAATAATGTACATCCATACATCACATAGTCCATCCCCTCTCCTCTTCCTTGCCTCGGGGTGGCGGCCGATGGGACGGGGGTCCCACCCGCTGGCCCCGGAGGGCGTCGAACCCCTTGCCGCGGGAGGCCTAACACAGGCATCGGCACCTCAGCTATGTATCATCGCCGACCTATATTGTAGGAGCGTGCGCATATGTGAACGAGAGGGCGTCAAAGCGGCGCCCGTCGCCAGGCCCAACTTGTGAGCCGTGGAGCGTGTGCGCACACACAGACAGGAAGAAACATTGGGTAGACGAACACCCAGATTAGCCACGCGCATGTGCCTCCGTGCCTTACGCGAGACTCAGGCCAGCAAGTAGGCGTGCGAAGCAGCCGTTACCGCTGCTACAGACCCTCTGAGGACGGGCGCATGTATTGTGCTCAGAGGTCAGGCCAGCCTGGTGTAAGCCGGCGAGGTTGCATCAGGAGGATCGAAAGCGAGGGAGAGAAAATCGACCGATCGAACCGACCAAGAGCCCAGAAGCCCGACAACGCCCCGCCGGGGCTCCTACGTGCTGCGCCGCGGCGCGGCACGGAGCGGCGGGGGGCGCGGCGATACGGTCCCAACAGCAGCAACCGTAGTAGGGGCAGCAACACATCGCAGCAGTAGTAGCCACGATAGGGCAGTCCTCCCGCACGGTAGCAGCGTGTGATACCATGCGTTCCCCTCCGCTTCACGACCGCCGCAGCATTCCCATCTGTCTCTCCACCCAACCGCCCAACCTACCTGCACACACACACACACACACAGCCGATCCCCAAGACAACGCCATATACCGGCCGGCTAAGGACCGGGTGCTCCAACCCACCATCCATGTTCCTTCCTTTCCTCCCTCCTCCCTCCTCATCCTTGCTCCTCCTCTCCCTACCTGCGCTCCCCTCTCCGTCGCCCAACCCGCACATGCGCTTCTGCCTGCCCTCGACTCCCCATCCTAAACCGCAATCGTAAGAGAGGGGGCAGGGGAGGGCGCACTAGGGCCCTGTGCCAGTTTCTACCTCCTGGGAACCGACAGGAAAGAAAACCTAGGACCAGCGCGAAGGAATCGCTCCCTCGTCGCCTCCTCATCGCTGCCCTCCCTTCCCGTGTCTACATACTACAACACCTGCCTCATAAACACCCGACGTCAATTCGCAACCTCTTCTCCCCCCCCCCCCCCCCCCCCCGTCCCCGTAGCCCAGTACCAGGGCCGCCAAGGCACCTCAGGCATGTGTACCCAAGGGAGAGAGATAGGTATTACGTCCAGACGCACATGCAGAGCAGGGCCGGACAGCTTCTCCTATACCTACCTACCTACCTACCTACCTACCGGGGGGGGGGGGGGGGGGGGAGACGAAGGAAGGCCAGGCAGAACCAAAGCCACGGCTCCGGGTTAGGCCCCCCCCTCCCCCCCGGGCGACCCCATCGCACCCATGGGCGCGCATGCGTAGCGCACTTACCACAACCACACTTTACGGGTTGGCGGCTGTAGGGGACGGGCCTGAGAGCGCGCGCTGCGGTATGGTGCGGGGCGGCAGACGCGGAGGGGGGCCGAGACAGGGAGGGCCCGGCGAGGTGCGGTGCGGTAGGGCGGCCGCCGATCGGGCGCGAGGACCAGAGCTCGCGTCGGGTCGGGCTGGAGCGCAGGGCGGCGGTACCGGCGGAGCCGGGGGGGAGTGTCGGTGGTGGGCAGGTAGGGAGGTAGGTAGGTAGGTATGTGTATACGTTAAGTTAGGTAGACACGCGCACCTATCTGGTGTGTGTGTGTGTGCGTGTGTGGATCGGATCGCATGTCTCTCGTGTCCTCGCCGTCTCAGGCGCATACCTCATACATACATACGCATATGTGCACTGTCTCGCCGGACTGCCAAGACTATAGCCGAATTGTTGCGTGCGCTCGTATATGTGTGCGTGTGTAAGTGCGGTATGGGTGTGTGTGTATGTGTGTGTGAAAAGTCGCCCCCCTTTTCGCCGCCCCTCACCTCTTCGCCCCCCTTTCTCGCCCCGTATAAGCCCATCGGCATTTTACATCCATACGCGCACATATGCACACGCCCAGCCATGCCCCCCCCCCCCCCAATCCACCAGCTCGGCCGGCCCGTCCGTCGGTCAACCAATCGGTCCTTCGGTCAGTCACCGCGCTATCTATCTATCTACCTAGGTAGGCAGGCAGGCAGGCAGCTGGCTAGCTAGCCAGGAATGTTTACGCGGTTCCCTAACCTGGGCGCATGTATACGCGGTTTTCGCCCTCGAGCTATGTCCGCGTGTAGGCGGGTAGGCAGGTAGGTATATCAAGTTTACTACTGTGGCTGCTGCTGCTATTGTTGTTATTGTTATTGTTATTGTTATTGTTGACCTTGACCTTGACCGCTTTTTGGGGCCTCTCGCCTCCTGCTTGCCGCCCCTCTCCTCCTCCGCCCATGTCATACCCGCCATCCCTAGGAGAGGAGAAAGGGGAGGGGGGGGCAAGACCCGCGGTGCCCAATTTTATTTACTTCTTCTCCTCTGCTTCCCGACTTTCTTCGCCTTCTTCTATCCCGTCCGCCCGCATCTGTGGTACGGACGGGTCTGGTAATATTCCCGTGCGGTATCTCACCGTTCTAGAAGACCCACCGAAGGGGTAAGCAAGGGGGATAATTTGCACGCAAATACGTGGATCGGTCGGGAGGCTCTAGAGTGTACGTATGACGGCGGGAGACGGGGAGAGCGCGCGAGTGGATACGTGCCCCAAGCCAAGAGAGAGCACACGCCTCTTTTTTTTTTTTGTTTCCTTCTCCCTCTCTCCTCGCCCGAAGCTGAAGAAAAAAAAGAGAACGTTCTAGAAGTATGGCGATGCGCCGCCAATGCGCGAATCGCTTCTAGTAAACCCCCCCTCCGCCCCCGAAAAAAAATAGGTGGTTTTGACGTACGTGCGCATGCGCCTATGTTCGAGCGGCGACGTAGCGCAAACGCCGGGCTGGCTAGCATCGCCGACGAACGCCGGGGAGGAGTAGGCTTAGCTTCTCCTATACGCTACTGTCCTTCCCTCGCGTCGGCCGAGAGCTATCCCGTCTTCGTAGTCGAGCAATAGTGTAGATATATCGGCCCGGATCACTCAGCTCAAAAAGTAAAAAGACAAGAAGAGAGAAAAAAGAATGGGGGATAGTCGGCGAGCGGTCGGCGACCCGTCTCCAAGCTGAGTCTAGATAGCCCACACATCCCTGGGTGTGGCTTGTTACCTCGCCAACCTTTCCGCCGGCGTGTGCACCGGGAGCATGTGTTACTATCGAACCAGAAAGACGTGATTTTCGCAGTCAAGAGTGTCGGGCCAAGGGTTGTCGACTTACATATCGGGCCTGGGTGCGCGTACGCGGGCCCTATCCCGTCGTTAAGAAACACAGAGGAACTATCGCGTTCAGCAGCAATATGTAGGTAGAGAGTTAGCAATCGCGATTCTATGGCAATTCAGCGCATGCTTCCCTGCCGCGCTTGTGTGATAATGTATATATATTTCTGCACTCCTCACGACTGCTGCGTGTCGTGTTCGTGTTCCCGGCTCGTAGGCGAAGAGAGAGCGTATTCGCGTACGTACAGGCTTATTTCGCTTCGCACCCGGTCTGTCCTGGACCTGACGTGACCTAAGCTGACCTGTCACAATCCTCTCCCTTCCTCCCTCCCGCCCCACTGTCTTCTTCCTCTCCCCATCAGGCCTTGAGACCGGGGCTGAGACCAAGGTCAGGCTCGGATGCCAAACCCCCCGAGACGCTCCCCTCGGCTAGTTCTCCGCCTTCCCATTACGGCAGTTCGCCGGCCGTCTCCTCGAGCGCCTTGTTGAGCAGCTCGGTGGCGATCGGGTCCTGCGGGTGGATGGCGAGGGCCTGGTGCAGGACCTCGATGGCGCGGTCGAGCCGCGCGGCGCCGCCCTGCTCCATGTAGACGAGGCCCTTGGCCGCGAACACGGCCGGGTCCTTGCCGCCGAGCCGGAGCACCTCGTCGAACTGGTCGAGCGCGTCGTCGAACCGCCGCGCGCGCCGGTACGCGTGCGCGAGGTTCGTCCGCGCCGGCAGCCACGCCAGCGGGTCCGAGTCGATGTCGTCCGCCACCTCGAGCGCCCGCGCGAACAGCGTCGCCGCGTCCTGCGGCCGGTCCTGGTGGTAGTACACGACGCCCATCTCGTTGAGCAGCAGCGGGTCCGTCTTGCACAGCCCGTACGCCGTCTTCAGGAACTCGTCCGCCAGCGTCATGTTGTTGAGTGCGTGGTTCTGCATCCCCAGGAACACCTGCGGCAGGTGCGTGCCCATGAACAGCCGCGCCGCCGTCGAGTACGCCGAGATGGCCTGGTCGTGCTCCCCCTCGGCCGCGAACGTGTGCGCGAACCCGATCCACGCCGGCCCAAAGTGCGGGTCCATCATGCTCGCCTTGCTGAAGTACCGCCGCGCCTCGGCGATCTTGTCGATCGCAAAGTAGTAGATGCCCACGGCGAGCCACGTGCACGGCTCCTCGGGGTGCGTGTCGGCCAGGTCGTGGGCAATCAGGAAGAGCACGTTCTTCATCTGCAGCTCGAAGAGGCAGGCGAGGTGCAGGGGGTAGATGGCGAAGTTGTACTTGTCTTCCCGGAGTACGGAGTCGGTGATGGCCAGCGCATCCTTATACCTGCACTGCGTGTATAGTAGGTCCGCCCGAGCGAGCAGCAGGTCCGGATTCGAGGCGAGGTTGTAGTGGGTGGAGAGGGTCTCGCACGCGGTCGTGAAGGACGCCGGGTTCCGGTACTTGGAAAGCCGAGTAGTGTAGAGCATCTTGGTGAACTCGGCGGCCTCCTGCGAGGACGAGGGGTCGCCGGAGACGGTGATGGAATCGAACTCGAGCGAATCGAGAAACTGCCATTCCTCGTCGGGTGACATGAGCGAATTCTTCATCAGCTGCTGGAAGGCTTCGAAGCACTGGACGTCGATGCGCACGGCATCCTTGTAGCACTCCTTGGCACGGTCGAAGGCATTCTGCTTCGCGTAGCAGATGCCCCTGAGGAAGCACATGGCGGCCTCGAAGCGCCTGTTAGCCGCCTCCTCCGCGGACGGCTCCTCTTCCCGGTTGTGGGCCTTGGAGGCGCCTCTCCCGTGGTGCGCGCCGGCGCGGCCGCTCGAGTGCTGGGCCTTGCGCTTGTGCTGCGGGTTCGAGATCAGGTGGGTGGGATTCCGCTCGCCCAGTACAGCGAGGGCCTCTTCGAAGCGGGACTGCTTGATGAAGCAGTGACCGGCCAGGTACCGACAAGACGGGTTCCGGGCGATGAGGTCCTGCTTGGACAAGAAAGCCTGGGCCCTGGTATAGTTGCCAGTAGCGAAGTGGACCTGGGCCAACCAGAAAGCATCGTTGTCGTCGTCTGGCGGGACGAGGTTAGCGCGAGGCGGCACGGCATAAAAACATAGCAACGCGGATGGCGGTCGGCAGCCGACTCACTCGTCAAGGCCAAGAGCTTGTCCCCGACGAATATGGCGGACTCGTACTGGGCCTTATTCAAGGCGTCTTGCCTCCACTCGCGCAGAAAGCTCTCCATGCTTGGACGGGCGGACGGCCGGGCTCATGGGGGTGAGGCGGACGCTGGCGAGATCGGGTTGAGCCGCCGGTGTGGCACGCGCTGCCACGAGATAGGCGAGGACGCGTCCCAGCTGGCGCGGTGGTAAAATCAATGCAGAAAACGGCAAGACATAGGATGTCTCTAAGCCAAGGCGATCTATGTTTGACGGCTTGTTCCTTGGGCTGGGCTCGCATTCGAGACGGCTAGTAGCTCTGGATGTAGGTATGTTTCCAAGGGAATATCGGAATTACCAGCCAGACTTAGGTACCTAGGGTACCTGTAACTATTGTATTAGAGGTGGATAGAGGTAGTAGTGGTGGATACCTAGGTAAGTACCTATATACCTAGGTACCCAGGTTACCTCGATTCGGTAGGTGCATACCCTTATACGGGTAGGTAGGTAGGTTGTCGTCCTTTCCCATGATTGGCTAGTAGGTATGTAGGTAGGTAGTATGTGTTGACGTCACATGAATATGCAACTATCAACAATAACTAATTCCTTATTTTACCCACGGTATCTGTCTCGGATGCGGCCGGAGTCCATACGAATACGAGGAAGTACCGGGCTACCATTACATCGGATAAGCCGTGCGTATATTAAGTGGGAGCAGACAAAGAACGAAGTATCTCGCCCTAGGTATTGGCTTGGTCCTCGAGAGAAAGCAAGAGACAGTCCCATTGCCTGAATAACATCCAAAACTATTTGCACAAGGCGCCATTCTGATGTGGTGGTAAGCGATACCGGTGCTGTCCTGTGGGCGGATATGGAGGGCTTCATACTCTCAGCCAATATTATAAAGACCGTCGTCAGTACACATACCTCCGCCGGTATACGGCCAGCAACGTCGGGCAGGGCGGCTTTCAGCCGGCGCCTAGTAGGTATCAACACATGCCATGTTCCGGACTGCTGGACGCCGGTTTCCACCGGCGCACGCGGTGAGTTTTTTTTTTTTTTGAAAATCCCCCCCCCCCCCCCGCGGCGAAGACTCCACTTCCTCTCTCTAAGCTCGTGTGCTGTCTAAGACGCCGAGGCTCCCTTGTGCCGATGGTTTATAATTGCGGGTAGTAGCTTGTCAGGAAGACGAAGAGCGAGGCTGTAACTCTTTAGGATTCCCCAGGCACATAATCAGTTCCTGATGGCGGTGTTTTGGGGACCAGCTGTGTCTCCATTCCAGTATCTGCGTAGAGTCAGGGATGGCGAAGTATCTACCACGACAAATACTAACGAAAGATACCAATGAGACCGTTCGGGTCCAATCCGGGAAATGACCCGTCCGCAATTCGCGCCGCATGGCGACAAGCGGATTCCTATGCGAACGGTGATACTACGTGGATTGTTTGAGGGAAGATCAGCCTCGCAATCTGCGGAAAAAGAACCAAGCATAGCGAGGTCATCACGGAACCCTGGGTCAATGCGAGTGTTCGATCCTGCGAAACACAAATAAGCCGGGAAGACGTCGTCGTTGGCTCGATGCTTAGGAGGAAGCGGTAGCACTAGCCGTAACCCCGCCACATACAAGCCGCAGGCAGCAAAACGTGCTGGCTAATTTCTTGTTGTTGCCGGTAATCAACCCTGGCGGCGTCACGTTGTTCGTTCGTATGGTTCGTGCCAGTCCTGCCAAGACGGTAGGGCTATGCTGGCTGGCGTGACGGCAGGACAATGCAGGCAGCGAATCGAAGCACGGTGCCTGCCGTCTTTGCCGGTACCGTCCTAGGCTCTGGTCAAAGGAGGATCAGATCCCTGGAACAGCGAGTAGACCGCTCGATGATTGAGACCAAAAGGATAAGAATCGCTTACGGAGGCCTAGCCTGGCAAAATTTAGCCTTCGCTGATGCTGAGTTATAATATGAACCGAAAGAAACCCGACTCTAGATCGATCGAGCTAACGCAGCCATAGCCGGTCGTCTCCTTGAGTCTGCAACGATGCCCAACATTTATAGGCTAGCAGGCGTGTCTGCAGTAGCGTTGGCGGTGATAAGTAGGTCGTGAGCCGTATAGGATGGAATACATCAGGTATTTGGGAACGAGGGGGCAGGAGGCTGACGCATAGAATTCCACTAGTTCTCTTCTTCACCAACACGGTCGACGTCAAGTACCAATGGAACCGTTTCGCTCAGAGCCGAACCGGGACCTCGCCCAGCGGTTCGGTAGCCGGCGGTATGCCCCTGCGCATCATGTTCATGGGGGCGTCGGTTACGCGGGGTGAGGTCTCGACCGGCGACAGAGGGTATAGGAAATACATCCGCGACAACCTCACGGCGCTGGGCAACCCGGTTAACTGTGTAGGCTTCAACCGCTTCGGTGACTTCGCCGACAACGACGTCGAGGGCTACGGCGCAAACCGAATCCGACAGCTCCGGGCACACGCCGCGCAGGCCGTGCCGTACCTGCAGCCGAACCTGGTCCTGATCCAAGTCGGCACCAGCGACTGCTTTCAGAAGGACGACCCGATCAACATCCTGGCGCGGATGCGCGACCTGGTCGAGTACCTGCTGGAGGCGTCCCCGCGAGCGACGGTCATCATGTCGACCGTCCTGACGACGCCCAATCTCGAGTTCGAGCCCTGCATGCGGAGCGCGAACGCGCAGATCCGGCAGGCGGCGACGGATCTGATGCGCGAGAAGAAGCCGGTCGCGCTGGCGGAGATGCACTTCGACCAAGGCCTCCCGCGCCGGCCGCGACCGGAGGACATCGGAAACGACCGAATCCACCCTACCGACGAGGGCTACTTCATGATGGGAGACATCTTCCTGGAAAAGATCCGCGAGGTAGAACAGAAAGGCTTCCTCCAGTACCCGGCGGATAACGGCATCGCCGACGACGGCGAGGCGAGCCGGGAGGTCGAAGACCAGTTGAAGGAGAAGGCAAAGAAAGAACACCCCCTGAAGGCATAGCGTCATCGGGGCCACGCGCGGGTAGGGAGGAGGGCTACGGAGGCGAAATCAGTCGAGACACCTGGGAGGTCTAAGGATGCGAGGTCATGTGTCCTCGACCCCGCGGCCAACCTACGGCAGGAAAGTGCCTGCTGGCGCCATACGGTGCTGGGGCCCCGGGCGACGACATACTGCGTATGGAGACGACCCCTGGCGACGGTCCCATGGCGTGCGGGAGGGTCGCGTGTCGACGTCTATCTGCCTACCACGTTCGCAGCAATGCACCGTGGGGACGAGCGATCTGCCGAGCGGGGTCCCGTACTCCTGGCGGGCCGGGTCTAGATCGAAGAAGAGCCTTCGACAGACGTAGGTACAGGGGCCAGACAGGCGGGATGTGGAGAGGCGAGAAGGAAGAGGAAGCAGAAGAACCACATAGTCGGAGGCGAAAGAAGACTGGTTCGCGGTAGCCGAACCGGCTAATGCTTCGTAATGTAAGTCCACCGATCACATAGGTACTGTGGGCAGCCTAGTGTTAGGAGGCGGGGAGCATGGAGCATGGAGCATGTACGGAGTTGTATGGAGTGGTATGGAGGATGGATGTGTACGGAGCGCGTGTGGTATGGAGAGGCTAGAGGACGTAGGTAGTCGGAATCGGGATAAGGACGCGGAAATCGATGCATCTACCCGCCACAGCTATGCGCTAAGGAGAGTATCCGGGGGGCGGTTCCAGAGAATCCCAAGCCGGCGGCAAGTTGACGCAGACTACGGCTGTACGCAGCCGGCGCCCGCTGCGGTTACGTGTAAGTACATGCTATAGGCTATTAGGCACGTATGAGTACATACTTACCTCAGTTATCGATAACTCGCGCGCCCCGGCCAATGAATAATGTAGCTGCCCGTCTCTGCAAATAGTCGGGGTGCACCGCTCCGATGTAGCCGTCGCCCACGTGAAGGGCAGCAGTTCGACCATCCCGCCCCACGCCGGATTCTCATCTACCTTAAACGTGCTCGACACTGAATCGTTCACCCTCTCCCCCCTCCTCCTCAGCACGGGTATCTACCCGCCTGTGCAGGGCTTGCACGTCAATCTGCGTGCGACAGGGGCCCTGGCAGATCCGATGTACCTAGCTAACGAACCATCATCATCTGAGGCAGAGGAAAACGGATCTATTTCCGTCCCCAACCCCTGCGACAGGCCGTCCCGTGGAGACGGCAGCCTACTCATATAGCCTACCGCCTCCCCCTCGTATCTCTTCGAACCGCCGACGCCGACGCGGCCCGAGAGAGCGCCCGCGTGGTCTCGCGGCGAACTAGCTTGTATCTACCCAGGCATGTTATACGCCTGTAGTGTGCGCGTGTTTGTGTATATGCCTACATCTGCGTACCTATGTTTGCGGCCGCTCGGTCAACGAGAGGCAGGTCGAGGGTTCGGCTCGTCTACCTGATACGTCACCGCCCCGGCGCACGTCGACGTGACCTCTTCAGCTGCGTAGACCGCGCAACTCCACAGGACCTGACATACCGTACCTACCTACGGGACGCAGACCTCAGCGTCCTCGGCGCAGACGACAGGGACGACTCGCAGCTGCGCGCCTGCGTAGGCAGCGGGGTTCGCCTTTGTCACGGCCGTCCCTCCGCGCTCGGTACCGCATCTCCTACCGATCCAGTCGCTCTCCTTAGTCTAGGGTCCCGAGCAAAGGTCCCCGACCTCTTCCGAACCCCTTAGCCGCCCCCCCCCCCCCCCCCCTCACGCTGGCCAAGAGCCCGCGAGGCCGGCAAGTCGAGGGTCTAGTCCGCATCTGGACGTTCCCGGCCGCTTCCGAGACGGCAGCAGTGCCCGGTCCCAGCCTGCCGCTGTGGCGAGCCGCCAGCAGGGTCGAGACCTTCGCTCGGGCGGGGGAAGCGCGCGCGCCACGTCTTGTCCGGCCCATGCGGGCGACCCCTTTCGCCGCCGGCGAGGGCGGCCCAACAAAGCCCTGCCCGCGGCGCCGGGCCCTTGCTTAGCCGCTTCCGTCGCGTGAGTCGCCGGTACGGCGCCCGGCTTGGTTTAGCCCCGGGTTAGTTGCTGGCTGGCTAGCTAGCGTCGACCTCCCGGCGCCCCCTATCCGCCGTTCATGCTTTGAGGGCCTTTGATGGGGATCGGGACAGGGCACACCCATGTGGGGTGGGGCCGGTCGATCGGGCTTATAGACAAAAATTTTTTTATTCCACATGGGATCCTTTGGCTTGCCCTTCTCCGTGGGTCACTGCCGCGTGTGCGTATCCGCCACTGCTGCTGCTGCTACCTTCCCTTTGTTAGCTATCCGAAACTCACTCGACCGAGTCCTCGGTCCAGGCGGTCTTTGTTACAAACTGGAGTTGGAGTACGGGACCCTTCCGTTGCTAGTGAGTGCTTTGTAGACAAGCTAGTTAGAGCGAAACGTCGGAACCACGAGCCCTACCCACTAGCTAGATCGCCAAGTAGGTAGTACGAGCAAGCGGCAAGGAGGCAAGGATAACAATGAATCCCACACGCTGGACGTAGTGCCACGAGTCAGTGAGATGTTTCATACCCTTCAACCCGCGGGTAACTAGCCCTAGGAGTAGGCCGGGGTATAGACAAAGTAATATGCAGGCCCTCAAACCTATATATATCTCCTCGAACAGCCTCGTTCATGGATGGGGTTTCGTTGGTAGCATCGGCATCCGTGTCTCTCTCCTTTAAGACACTCCTTCAGACTATCTTTTTACAACTTCTGTAACAGAGAGCTATACTCTCTCTCTTTTTCCATACCCGTACATTCGCTCTGTCTTCCGTACAGGCGTACACTCTCTTACACAACTCTATTCTCTCCCTCCGATCTTGTCTGTTGCAGACACATACTCTCTCTTTGGCAGACGCACAGCCCGTCTGTTCACACTCTCTATACATACTCGCTCTCAACGCCTCGAACTTCGGTTGACTCTTCAGCAAGTCGGACAGTGACATTCTTTACTACTGCTACTTCTACTACAACTTCTATCACTACATTCTCTCTTTAACCCTGAGGAAATCAGCCACCATGCTCTTCAGCAGCACCTTCACGCTCCTTGCTTCGGCCGCGGCCTCCGTGTCTGCCGCGGCGCTGCCTGCCGCCGCCGCCGGCGCTCGCCACGCCAAGCGCGGCGGCTCCATCTCGGTGACGCCGCACGACAAGTACTCGTCGTCGATCGGGGTGCTGGGCTGCAAGATCGACGTGAACCGGGTGGCGTACTGGCCGCTGGCGCCGGACTGCGACAACCTCTGCGCCAAGGTCAGCGCCAACGGGCGCAGCGTGCACCTGCTGCGCGTCGACCAGTCCGGCGGCGCGTACGACATCTCGTACGACGCGTGGAACTACCTCGCCACCGGGCAGTCCGCGCGCGACGCCCCGACCCAGGGCGGCGGCATCGACGCCGTCTGGGAGGACGTGCCCGTGGCCGACTGCGTCGCCGCCGGCCTCCTCGCCAACGAGCCCGGCGCCCGCCTCGCCTTCTCCGCCGCCAACAGCATGAACTTCATCGCCTCCTGCCCCGCCGACTCCTGGGTCGCCCAGCACAGCGCCCTCTACAACATCCTCAACCCCATCTGCACCTGGGGCCTCGACGAGACCTGCGTCCTGCCGTCCCCCGACCAGGGCAACCAGCCCGTCTGCCCCCACCAGCTCGGGCTCCAGGAGCCCCTGACCAGCCAGCCCGTCCACAACATCGTCTACGGAACTGGCGCCTCCTCTCTCGCCCAGTAGAGGACTGGCAATCCTTCAGGATTTTCCTCTACCGGGATCAGATCAAGTCGGACTGGAATTCTGACTGACCAACCAAAAAAAAAAGAGAGCACAGAAAAAAAAAAAGAGGCTCTGGCATTGTATTGATGCTTGAAGCACTTTCGCTTGACTGGGTGATCCCCAGTATAGACCAGCACAACTAGCTAGCTCGACTACCATTCGTTGTATATTCTTGCTCAGCCTCCTACATAGCCAAATCAACACTCTTCCTTCGTTCAATGAACTGGGCCTAATACGTGACCAATGATGATGTGTCGTACCTATGTGTGTACCAGCCTACTTGGCTCGGTATGTGTAGACTGGGGGATGTAAGTGATATTAGCAATGAATTTAGCTGTATCGGTAGCGAATGTGGCCGAGGGGAGTTGAGAAGTTGACATACTGTTAAAACTCCTCTCGTCGCCACATGTGTCCCCCTCCTCTCTCCCATCTCAGCCACTTAGTAATCCATATCTACTAGACTGAATATCGTGCCAAACCTCCTCTACTTCGAAGGAGGATCACACGTCTGTATTACATACACATTCGTATTCTCTGCACCCAGCCGACGTACAACTGCCCAGCAGTTCCCCCCCGGTCGCCTTATTCCCCTCTCACAATGCTGTACGTTGAATCCAGATAAAAAACACCTATGCGATGCTAGTAGTGGCCGACGGGAGAAGGACGTGCAGGTGCGTAGCGACCCATCATCCCTCATGCCGGATCGAATGAGTTTCGCCTGCAATTCCCTTCGGTCCGTACAAACAAACCCGGTCGAGGGTGGGTCAGAAAACGTATCCGACCTCGAAATAGACGGCCGGGGGTGCGATTAATTCCCGTTGCTTCTTCTCTGCCGGGTTTCGGCTGTAATCCTTGTAAGCAACTTCACCATCTAAACTCGTACACGAACCCGGCACATCATCTTACAACCCTCTTTTGGTTTCTCTCTCCTAACCTTTGCGAACTAGGCGTTAGGCCACCGCAAGCGTAGACCGTCCACCCAGCGGCCGTACAGGACGTCGGAAAGCTGTTTGCAATGCTCCATGCCGGGTGACGCCTCGCGCCCTGGGTACTTGGCTTGCATTGTGACCTTCTCGGAGTCTCTCTCCCGGTAGACCGTCTTCTCGGGGCTGCCCGCGCCATTGAACGCCACGCTCTCCTGGCGTCGCCTGTGACCTTTGGGATGTGGACTGTTGGTGGCGAGAACGAGTTTCGACGGGGCTTGGTTCTGCTTGGCCGGCGGGCTCTTAACGACTACCGTGCCTTGTGGCGTTACACCATCGGACCCCTTCACGGAGCCGGTATAACCCGTAGCAGTGGGCAAGAAAGCGTCCGATAACTTTGTATCTTGAGTGATGGTGGCATTGAGATTGCGCACGAGGTGATAGGCGCCTTCGGGGTCCACGGAGTCGAGCAGAGCGAGGGCGTCGGACAATTTGGCCAGCGCCTCCCGCTTCGCCATATTCGACGTCTGGGCGTGTAGTTCTGCCAACGTGGGTTCCACTGCCTTGAAGTAAAGGCGACGCCCGAGAACGGCTTCCTTGCTGGTCGCCTCCACCGCACCCGGGGGCTTATTCTCGTCCGAGGCGATATCGATGAAATTGGCAGACGTGACCTGACTAGAAGCGGAACCGTCGGATGGCACTCGTCTAAATAGGCGCTGCGACGAACCGCAGTTGCCAAACGACATGTCTGGCTGGAGCGGCCGCCTCAACGCGGGGGCCGGAGGCCCGCGTACGGATCCGGCAGGGGATGTTTGCGCGAAGGATGATTGTCTTCGCGTGGTAGCTTTGCGCATAGTGGTGGGGGTGGGTGATAAGGGTTGCAGTGGCGCGTCCTTCAGGTCCAACCTCCGCAATGCTTCTTCGGTGGAGAAAATTGATGATGGTTTCCGGGATTTGACCGTCGTCTTCTTGTGGACAACGGATTTGACGGTGTCGAAGACCCATTCATCGTACTCATCCTTCGGCGATAGGTCCTGCAGCGTCTCCTGATAGAACGACCTGCCCTTTTTCTTGCTCTTCGTAGCATCGTACGTGCGTCGCCGTTCGACCAGCTCCTGCAATGCCTCCACCTTGCCCGACGATCTGATGAACCGATGCTTTAGCAAGTCCCTCGCCGACGGCCTTCGGTCCGGGTCCTTCATAAGGCACTGGGTGACGAAATCCTTGAAGTCTTTGGAGAAGATGCCTTCTAGCTTCGGAGGAGGGCTCTTCGGGATATGGAATAGAGCCTTCATGGGGTGGAGGCTGGCGTGTGGCGGCTCGCCGTTGGCCATCTCGAGGGCGGTGATTCCCAAGGACCATATATCGGCCTTGAAGTCGTATCCGGCTTGTTGTATCACCTCTGGCGCCATCCAGAAGGGGGTCCCGACGAAGGTGTTTCGTTGCGATTTGATATTCGTAAGCTGAGCTGCCACGCCAAAGTCAGCCAGCTTGACCCTACCTAACTCCGAGAGGAGGACATTGGCGGCCTTGATATCTCTGTGTATCTTGCCCTCGGCGTGTAGGTATTCGAGGCCGCGGAGCAGCTCGCGACATATAATAGCGATATGCGCTTCGTTGAAGGTACAGGGCTCGGGTTTGAGCTGTGGGGAGCGACTAGTTAGATTGCGAGACCCGGGCGCGGCTTAGACCTGGATGGGATACGTTACCAGATCGAGACACGAACCCCCTCCGAGATATTCCATTACAATCCATAGTTTCGTGCCACGTAGGAAGCTGGCCTTGTATTGCGTTACGTAGGAGCTCGCGCATGTGCTGAGGACGGAGATCTCGGCTTGGATATCTTGGATGTCGTCGTCGGTCGACTCGAGATCGATCTGGACAGGCGAGCCGGGTCAGTGGGGGCCCTCGGGACGTTTGGTCGCCGGGTTCGTTGGCGGCTCGGGTTCCTCACATGCTTGATGGCGACGACCTCGCCGGTCGCCTTCTCAATGGCCTTGTACACAACTCCAAAGCTGCCCCCTGAGGAAAGATCATGGAGTTAGTCATCGTCGCTCGCCCCCCAAACGGCGCAATGGGGCATAAGGGGTTGCGAAACACGTACGACCAAGCTCCTCGAGGACTTGATAGTGGTCCGCGATGGCCTCAGACCCCATGCCGGCGGCAAGGCGACGCCCTCTCGCGCCGAACCCAGCAGTGAGGGAGGTGGAGACTGGGAAGTGGAGGCTGGGAGGCGGCCGGAGGCTGGGCGGACGGCAAGGCCCGGTCCGGAGTAGTTATGGTTGCGAGTAAATGCCCAAATGAGCGTACGTATGTAGGTATGTATGCGTATGTGTATGCACCACGGGATGGCAGAGAGGCGGAGGAGGGAGAGGGGGGTGGAGGAGAGAGACCAAGAAGAGGAGGAGGAGGCGGCGGAGGAAGAAGAGGAAGACGGCAACAATATGTTCTGGGCTGTCTGGGCAGACGAGTCGGTGTCGGAACCAAGTACCTTTGTACCTATGGCGTAGGGCAATGCGACAGCCAGTCAGGTCAGGGTCGGACGGCAGCAGGTGGGACGAAAGACAGCGGAAGGTGGGAGTTGTGAATAGACAGACACAAGGTAGGAGCGACTACGGCATGGCAGATAAGGTTCGGTTGTCGGGGAGGAAGCTTAAAGGAAGCTATGGCCAACAACAGATTTCCCTTCTGGGCAGGTACCTCTGGTACGTCCCGGACTTAGCCAGAGGTACTTGACGTTACATGGCAGATGCTACCCGGTACCTCTTACCTAGGCGGTATCTGGCCTAGCCAGCCAGCCAGCCCAGCCATCGTTGCTGTTGTTGTTGTTATTGCTGTCGCTTGCCGTTGCCATGTTCGATCGATCGGATATTTTAGTATCGAGCGATATAGCCCGAGACGAGGGATGCAGAGGAGGAGGAGGAGGAGGGGGAGGGAAGAGGCTTATTAGGGCAGGTTGCTGGTTCGCGAGAGACGCTGCATGGGACTACGTAGCACTCACGGCGTAAACACTATAGCAGTGCGGCCTTCTGTGGTAACTTCTACGCCGGCGATTCTCTCTCTAGAGCGCTGCCCTGGCTACCTCCTACCTACCTACCGATTCAATCCATCGCGGAGGGATGCATCTTGCATATGTATGTATGTACGTACATACACATATGTAGAGCATACCTACTTGTGTACCTACATATAAACACACATACACATACATGCATACCTACGTACATACGTACATACATTGGATACATGCGCACATTAGTGTTATCCGTCCCTCTTGTATGTGGGTGCTTGCGTACCCGTAGTAAATACTACACCGCCCGCGATTCTGGCGATATGCGACATCCCGACTCTCGGAAGCGGGCGGCGTAAACGGAGTTGGGATCGGGCTATCGTCTGGCTGCATATATGGTGGATGTAAACAAGCGGGCTGCACTGCGTAAGGGACAGACTAATAGGTACCTTACCACCTCTTGTCGGCATAACCTGTGTATACCTAACCTAATGTACGTAGGTATGTACTGCACCGCACCGCATTGCATTAGCAGCCCGCCCGCCTGCTGACGGCGTGGGACGGACCTGGCTGTCAGCCATCATCAGTCCGCACTAGTAAGTAGCACCTATAAGGGCTGAACCCGGCCGACACGCCCCTCCTATAGGCTGCGTCGCTCCAATGCTAGCCGACCTGGGTTGCTCACATCTCTATAATACGGAGGCGAGAAACAGGTAGGGGGGAGGGGGGGAATGTAGACAGGCATTCTGAAAATAGAGTAGAGGAGGTAGGTAGGTAGGTAGGTAAGCAGCCAAACCTGGGGAGAGCGTACGGGTAACGTCCCGATGTACATTTGGGTAGTATGCATACCTACCTACCTCTACCTACCTACCTAGGTACCTATCCTTCGCACTGGAGCCGCTGTCGAAACGAAACGCGACGCGACGCCGCCCGGTACCCAGCAACGCCGCCGTTTGGGCAGATACAACATGCCTCTCGTGATTCTCTTCCGCATCTTTCAAACTTATACCTACCTCCGTGTACGTACAGGGATAGATAGATACCTATGTATGTACTCTACATACCTGTATACCCACGCTCCAGAGCCCAGCCGCACCCATACACGACGCGCCCTTGGGTGACCTACCCAGGTGCCCGAGTAGCCGACCTGGACATCGACCGTCCGTGGGCGAGCTCAGCGACCTCGAACATGCCAGCTCCCTAGGCATGTGCACGCCTCGCAGCGGAAGCAGGGAGAGAGAAACCTGAGGCACATATGCCCCATTCCTAGGGGCTACGACCTCTATTAAGTACCTATCTAAGCCTCCCGGGTCCTCCCTGTCAATCTGCTAATTTTGCGGGTCCGAAGCTTAGCCGTCGCCGGGCAACCAGGAAACCCGCCTACGCCGCCGCTCACCCCTCTGTTTTCCTGCGATGGTCCATGACCCGTGCCAAGCGGGCGCATCCGAACCACGCCCTCTGACCCTGTCCGCGCTACCCAACCCACCTCTATGTATCATCCCCCCCCCCCCCCAAATGTCGCCCAAGCTCCTAATATCGCACCGCAGTTATTGACAGCTTCCATGCCTCCCAATCTCCAATCACGCTCAATCGATTCGACCTGATGTGCTGGCGGCCCTCTACTGCTTTCCCTGCAACCAGCACGTACAGCACCCTATTCCCGCTCCTCCGCCCCCCCAATTGCTTGCTTGCCCGCTGAAGCAGCAGCAGGTCATAACAATCACAATAAGTTCCTTCGGCTTGTTGACTGATTGCCTCTCGTCTTGTTGATCCATCCCTCTGCATACCCGCCGAACGCCGCGAAGCCTATACACCGCCTCAGATGGTCGTCGATTCCTTCCGCGGCGTATTTACCCCATTGCCTTGCAGCAACGGCCTAACCGTACGCGATCTCGGGATCTCAGAGAAGCAGAGTCGACAAATTCTCTGCCATCACTAACCGACTTCCCGCCCGACGTTGCGCGCAATCCAACCTGGCGAATACACGGCCGCTGCTGCCAACCGACAAACACCAGCTACGAGCGTCATGGGGTCAGCGCCGCCGCTGCCTACGCGCTTCCCGTGCTGGTGCAGAGCGGTCTATTCCTGGGGAGGAGAAGTATGTGATCGAATCTCGCCAATTCTCCACGGTACCTGCTCTCTTCTCGACTCGTTTTTTTGCTAACGTTGGTGCCAGTCGCAGCACGATCTCGGATTCGTCGAGGGGGAGTTGATAGAATGCCTGAACGCTGGAGACGGATCGTGGTGGACAGGCAGGTTGCGCCGCAACAAGACCGTCGGCGTCTTCCCGTCCAATTTTGTCGAGGTGCTGCCTGAGGATTTCCGGCCTGTTACGCGATCGGCGAGTCCGTTACCCACGAGCAATACCCCGAGTCCTAGTGGTGTCCCCCAGAAATCCAAGTCGCGAAATTTCCGCAAGCCGTTCGAGGCCTACGCGAAAGCGCCCCATTACACAACAGCAAAGCAGCCCGAAGTTATAAGGCAGCCGTCCAGCACACCGCTAAGGCAGAACTCGAGCAACTCGTTTCGAAACGCGGCGCCACCGGGCACGGTCCGCCGCCCTTCGCCGTCCGAGGTCCGAGCACGTGAATCGAGGGTCCCGTCGCCCGCGCCGCCCGCGCACTCGTTTATCCCGAAAGCCGCCTCTCCCGCACCTCCGCCACATACGTACGGTTCTAGGACCCCGTCACCGGCTCCGCCGCAGGTGTATGCCCACCGGCGCACCCCTTCTCCCGCCCCGCCACCTCCGACGCACAACTTCGGCTCAAGAACGCCGTCGCCGGCGGGCTCGTTCAGTTTCAAACCGTACCGGCCCGGGGCAGAGCACGAGTCGCCACCCCCTCCAGCACCCCCACCGCACCGGCATGCCCTCAACCGGGGCAACTCAAATGCGTCATATGATAGTCGGTTACACCAGGGGGGATATCACACGCCGAGGGAACCCTCGCCGATTCCGCAGTCCCCCATCGGCGAAGGCTTTACTCCATCGCCCCTGAGGGAGGCGATGGACGGCGTAATCGAGCAGCTGGACGCGTTAGGCATGCCGCCACGCGGGACCGAATCCCCCGAGCCGCGTTTGGACCCTTGGTCACCAGAGTCCTTCGATTTGGTGCATCGCCGATCGAGGAGGAGAGCGCAATCGAAATCGAGACCTCAGACGTCTATAGGCGTTCCATTCCAGGATTCGGGGTATGAATCCCTTGGCGCCGGTTCGTCGCAGAATAGTACCCGTCAGGAGCAGCCACTGCCGCACCTGGATAATTATGTGGAAAGAATGGAGAGCCAGTTTCGAAGGATGCACCAGCAGAGCTCTAGCGCAGGCATGATCGATACCCGAGAGCCGACTCCGCCGCCGCCGCTGCCACCACTTAAGAACCCTCGATATGGTAGGCCGAAGTCTTCGCTCGCGGATCGTAAGCCGATCCGCGAACAGAAATCGTCCTACGAGGTCGGAATTTTAGATAGGACCAGTACAACCAAGACAACTTCGACAAATGCCTCTTCCGGAAACCAAAGCACTGCGACTGACAGCACCCAATCAACCCACCGGAGCCTGATGAGTGGTATCTCTGCGGGGGGTATCAGTGCTACGAGCGCTGGTAGCCTAGCCAGGAAGAACCAACGAGCGCGAAGCGCAATAGGCTTCCGGGACGGTGACGAGGATTGGGACCCCAGCCGGCCGACTACACCCTTCACCGGAGTATCATACCATCCCAGCCACTCCACATCAGCTATGCGACCTCCGTCGCAGGCCGGACTTCACGAGGAGGGAATCGCTGCCATCGGAGGTCTCGTACAGCCTGCGATTGTGAAACCGAAAAAGCAGAATTTTATAAAGAGAATCCTGGAAGCCACCAAGACGGGAGTAGCCAGCGGTCGGAGCAGCATCGCGGCCGGGTCAGGCTCGGGGCAGTCCTCTCCCACTAAACGTTCGGGACCTAACGGGGTCACGGCGATCGCGGGTGGGGTTAGCACCCCAAACCTGATGCGCGACGCGGCCCGTGACATGGGACTCTCCAACGGCGTGGATTGGGTCCAGGTGCGGAGGGATGTAAATCGATCCAACACCCTAAGCAAGAATGAGCGGAATGAGCGGCGAGACCGTTGTCTGATGCTAGATCACCCAGCCATAGACCCCGTCGACGAGCTCTTCCAAAGTATCGAGGGCGACGAGGGCGCGGACGGACTACCGGTCCACGAGCCAATCAACTACCAAACCATCAACCTGAGCCTGGTGGACAAAAACTCGCGCTTCATTGCTGGTCTCCCGCCGATGACCACAGCCGTTACTCTCGCCACGACGTACGTGTGCAGGCCGTACAAGAGCGACGTGCAGCGCCTCCGAGCCATCTTCACCTGGGTCGCAGAGAAGATCAATTGGGAGGAGGACTTTGAGGGCGAAGTCGATACCCGGCGAGTGATCCAGACGAAGCGGGCCTCGTCAGAAGAATGCGCCGCCCTAGTACACGAGATGTGTGCTGCGATCGGGATACACTCCGAGGTTATCTGCGGCTACCTCAAGACACCGGGCGAGGTCACCGAGACGGGTATCATGCCGCGGTCAAACCACTGGTGGAACGCCGTTGTTATTGACAACGAGTGGCGCATGATGGATTGTTGCCTCGCGAGCCCGTCGAATCCTCGCCGGGGGTTATACTCGAGCGCCGGAAACTCGAACGCCGAGTTCTGGTGGTTTCTCACCCGGCCGACCGAGCTCTGCTGGACGCACATCCCCGAACACCACGGACAGCAGCACATCTGCCCGCCGGTGGCGCACGAGACGCTCCTCAACTTGCCGGGCGCATGCCCGCCGTACTTCAAGCAGGCGATCGCCATGGTCGATTATAACACGTCACTGACGCGGATTGAAGACCTCGAGATGGTGCACATCAAGTTCAACGTGCCCGCAGACATCGAGGTGGCGGCCGAAGTTGAGGTGCGCGGGTTCACGCGGGACGCTGACGGCGACTTCTTCGAGAACGGCGAGGTGGTGCGGAAGCGCGCGCTGGCGCAAGCGGACTGGTTCGGCGGCACGAAGCGGTATACGGTCAAGGCCCTGCTACCGGGCGACGAAGGGACTGGCGTGCTCAAGGTGTACGCAGGCAAGCGTGGGCTCATGCACAGCGTCAAAGACATTCCCCATCCGCTCGCGTTCGCAATCCCCATCATCCATACCGGTGACAATCCGCCGTACGAGTTTGTTACGCGCCACCCGACACCGCATGCCCAGCGGCACGACATCTACGTCGTGCAGCCTCAATGCCAACGCCTCGCACTCAACAACACCTTCGTGTTCGCCATCCGGCAACACCCGTCGTCCAGCCCTCAAGCGGCCGGCGCCAATCCCGGCGCTGCCAGTCCGGTACCGTCCCTAGCGCGGCCGAGCAGCGCGCTCAGCATGACAAGCAGCAGCGCAGCAGGCTCGATCCCGAGTTCGGCAACGGGCAGTATCGCGGGTAAGAAGCCAGCCAAACTAGCGATTCAGACGCCGGGAGGAAAGATCCTGCGGCTCATGCGCAAGGAGGACCGCGGCGGCAGTAGCAGGGGCATCGGCGTGGGCGGACGCAGCGCGGCGTCGAGCGGCGATGGCGAGGACGATGTCAGCGACGGCGGCACATGGGAGACCATCATAAAATGTTCCGAGCGCGGGGTCTGGCGAGGCCTGGTGCTCGCGGACCGAACGGCGCGATGGTGCGTATTCGCAGAATGGGTCTGCATCTGACCCTAGTCGTCCGCCTCTTCCGCCGACGAAGACGCCCCTCTCTTACCCCCCCCTCGATAGCCTGTTCCACGTCGATTATTGAGATGCCCTTGGGAGCACTATGCTCTTGATGTGGATAGGCGAATTGAGTAAGGGTAGGTGCTCAACCACCCTCACTGCTTTTCCTGCGAGAAGAGGATAGTCTACTCCTAGCAGAGGTCTAGCCACCATCACCAAAAGGGGGAAAGGGTAACGACGGCGGTGGGTCGTCAGAGTCCCAGATATCCATCCCCTCCCACTACGTCACTTTGCTGCATCCAACTCGGCGTCTCCCCCCCTCTGTTTTTGCCTCCTTTCCCGCAAGAAGAGTGTGTCTCGCGAGGCGATGCATATTCTTTGCCTTCGCATGTGACGTTTCGAACAGGGACGAACAGAACGGTCAAATGATTCATCACCATCAACTCCATTCCTGATAGGTGTGGATTTTTTCCCCTCCTCTTTTTGCCTTTTTGTTTTTCTTCGATCATGGCCCGGATAGGAGGACGGAACGGATAGGAAAGGAATGGTTTCGCGGCTCGTCCATACTCGCACTTAAGGCGTTTTTTTCCATTGATTTGTTCGCCGTTTAGCCCGGCGGAAACGAACGGTATCGGTGCCCATCAAGATTTAGCAGATGTGAGGCGAAAGAGAAGAATATGAATGGATGGATGGACGTGTATGTGTATGTACGTGTAGTATGTCGTTGCATGTTGGAGAGGAGCTACCAAACCGACTACGCCCCTCTAACCTGACCTAGCCAGGGAGGCATTTGCTAGGCGGGTAGCAGGCCGATACATACCCCAGGTAGTCTAGGCAGGATATTCATGTCCGGGCATCGTACATACCGAGTTTGGCAGATTCAATGAAAAATTGTAATTTCTACCTGTCGCAGGCCGCGAAGATTGAGCGATTATGAAGTGTCAGAGTGCAAAGAGGGGAGGAGAGCGTGGTACGACTTTCGCTTTATCTATCACTGCTTACTGCTGGCGGATTGTGTGACGCTGATATGGGTAAGCGCCGAGAACAAGTCCAAGCTTCGTAGACGTCGCTTAGCATCACGGAATGCTGAACTGCCAGGAGCAGGAGTGGCGGGATGGATGTTGTAAAGAGATGAGTTTTCTTGAGACGCAGCGGCCGTCGCGATGATCTAACAACGCCCATGCCCGCTTGTCCCCCTCTCTGTACGCACGTCGCACCCTCTCCTCTCCTTCCTCCCCATATCTTCCGTCCTCTTACCTGCCACGAGTACCTTGAACGCAACTCCGTTAGGTGCATATCGTCGCAGACCTGAATTTCGCCAGGTGCGTACGACGATAATCTTCGCTCGCACCACCGACCGGGAGGGCGTGCCAGCTTTATTAGCGTTCTCTGCTGAACGAATCCCCAAGACATCCGCGCTGTCGATGGCGCCGCCACCTACATACAACAACCCACACCGACGTGGGGAAGCCCCCTCCCGCAGAGCCGAAGGGGCTTATATGCTATTCGCGTGTCGGGCGGTCGGATCAGTCTAGACCCTGGATAACATATCATTAAAGGAGTCGGGCGCAGAGGGCTTTCCAGGCCCCAGCCGAAATTTGACCGGATGGCCAGGACGAGGATGCCAGCACATAGCCACGAAAGCAATCACCTGCCGATTTCTTAGTCCCGGCGTCCTCGGTGCTATCAACCAAGGCCGTTCGTATAGGAGATACGGATTGTGCACCTGATATGAATACCTTGCCTACCTGTACGGAACGGAGTACGGTATGAACTACCTCCTACCTAAACTAACGGTATGGACCTACGCGGGCCGAATCGGACCTTCTTTCGCAATAAGCGGATAGCGAGGAAGCTTTATTGGACGGCCAGTTTCGTGGCTGGAGGCTGGGGCGAGGAGTGAGGAGTGAGGATTTTTATCGCCTGTCATAACGTCGAAGGAAGGAGAAGAACGTGACGGAGGTGCTAAATAAAAAGAAGGCGAAAAAAGGCTAGGCCGGGTCACGCCTACAGACAGGATCTGTATCAAGGGGGGAAGAAGCTGGTCGGAGCGCGAGGAGAACGAGCTGATCCAACCCCGGTCTCCCGTGCAGCAGGTTTCCGCTGCCTCGGTACGGTACAAATGCGCCGACGCCTGAGAGATATAGGCCATGCGCGAATCGTCAATTGTTCGTACAGGGAGCTTGGTCGCTTGTCTGGGGCACGTAGCAGATCCCTAGGCTCATGAAGAGAAGAGGCCTGGGGTAGATAACGGAAGATAAAGATACGAAACAAGAATGATTTCTTTTTCTTCTTTTTTGATACCAAAAATATGACGAGAGTGAGAGACTGGGAGAGAGAAAAATGGATGATCTCCAGCCAAGATGCCAACCAGCCAATTGCCGTGAGAGCCGCAATTCTGGTCAGGAACAAGGGAGGCCAAGCTCGGGCTGGAGCCAACGACAAAACGGCCGACGCTATCACCGCACTCCACAATGAAGCCGAACGCACCGAGTGAAGACCATATGCGGCTCTCCTACGTAGCTTGGTTCTCACGTTTCCTCTATCGTACATACCTACATACACATACATGCACGCCATGTATCCCGCGCCAACGGTCGCCCGAAGCGCTTTTGGGGTGGGTTGCACTCCTGCCCCTTCCGCTACAGAGTTCCTTATTTTCTGGAACGATGAAAAGGCGAGGAGGATATACTCATATACCCAGAGGGCCTGTAGGGAGTGGGGTGCATGATATGAGTAGACATCATGGCTCGGCCTTGGCGTATCGGCGACGATGGGGACGGAAGGGAAAAGGGCGGAGATGATGGCAGCACCTTTCCATGATTTCCGCCTCGGAGTTGACACCGGGCATTTACTGCATACTGCATGTGCCCCGTCCCTTGGAGCTAGAACCGGCCTAGCCAGTGGGCTCGCTCTGCCTGTCAAGGACGGCGGTTTTACGTCGGGGATTTAGATGGATATCCATCCGCCGCATGTGGTAGAGACGCAAATGGGCCGAATAGTTCACAGGTGATGAGGAATTGGCCCGAGGAATACGAAGGGGTATGCAGGTAGGTAAAAGTATGTAGACGGGCAGGTAGACCAGGGCGACGAACTGGTCCGCCGAGCTGGCCGCATAATGTATAGATCCTCGAGGGCAGGAATATCCTAGGGTGCAGGCAAGTCCCCCGCAACGTGCCCAATTAAAACCATCCGAAAGAAGGGACCAGCGATCTCGAGACAGATAGATAGAAAGACAGATTTGTGAATGGGGGAAGAGAGAGATAGCACCGCGATGCACCTACGTGTCGAGACGTCCCGTACAAGACGTGGGAAAGCGACGCGACCGACCTGGACCAACACGGGGCGCGAATGACGGGATAGCTTCTCAGGGTCCCTTCCATGCATGACGCGGACAGCATCCGGTGACAAGTGCAACGCGCTAGACTCCGAAGGTCTCTCCAGGCGCGCGGTGGCCAGTTGCGCGCGGATGGCCATCTCGAGGAGGAGCTGGAGTCCGGGGGGAGGGGGCCGGGGACATCTGGGCCCACGTCTATATTACCACGTAGGTAGTAGGCTGCTTTTGCGGGTTAGCCGCGTGGGTGCATGAGCTGCCCACGGGTAATACAGGGGTGCCCGTGGGGACGCGTCCGGCGGGGCGATGTGGGCGCGGTGGATACGCACAGCGTTTTCCCGTCGTTCCCTATTACTAGTGTCTCTGCGCGGGCTCGCCAGCAAGCCGGAGAGGACGAAGGGATGACAAAGATCGTCCGAGCAGCTGCGGTCCCTCTCGGGCTGCCTCGCCCGCCATGTCGGAGTCGGTCTAGCTGATCGAACTGCTTACATCGTATGAACATGCGTCCCTACAGGTACCTACCCAGGTGCATAACGTCAGGAGACAGGCACCGGAGGGATGCGAAACCTGCAAAACGATACAGCCCCGCGCCTCTCTCCCCATTGCCGAATCGCGTCTGTATTCCGTGCTTCGAGGCGGCCGGCCTCGGCTTACCTCGATACGTGACGTGACGTGGTACGTGTACCTACAGCTCCATTATACAGGTACGCCGGCCCTGCCATTTGCTTTACCTAATGGATGCGTCTGCCATGGCGAGGGCGAGGACGGCGAGGGCGGAGAGGACGGAGCGCAAGGCAGATGTAGGTAGGTGGCCCGTAGGCATCGAGCCAGTCGCTCTACCTACCTACCTCTACTTAAGGAGGGGTGCTCCTCCTCGCCCTCCTGGGGAATCACGCACTTGCCTGGTCCACCTACCTTGTTCCCCGGGATACCAGGGCTAATATATAATACAATATAATTTTTATTTTATCTATATATTATCCGTCTTGTGCGTTTGGGGTCGCGCCTACTCTGTCTCCTCATCCTCAAGGTCGAAGGGTATATATCTCTATTTCGACCTCCTCCCTCCTACCCTTTCGCTCTTCCTCTTCCTCTTCCTCTTCCACACCTCGTCTATCATTCACCTCATCTATTCGCCTCGTCACTCGCACTATCGATATTGGTGATACGTCCCGTCTCCAACCTCTCCCTCCTCGCCGTGGCACCTACATACATACTCTCTCGTCCTCGATTTGAATAATTCTCGCTCGAGATGCCTGGCGGCGTCACGATTCGCGGCTCGGCCGACCCGTCTAGGGTCGAAGCCCCCGTCTCCGTCAAGGCCTACCTTATGTGTGCTTTTGCCTCCTTTGGTGGCATATTCTTCGGATACGACAGCGGTTACATCAACGGTGTTATGGGAATGAAATATTTCATTCATCAGATCGAGGGTCCCGACGCCGCCGTTATCACACCTGAAAACAAGTCTCTCATCACCTCTATTCTATCTGCTGGTACCTTCTTCGGTAAGCGCGCTCGCCTTCTCATCTGCCTCCCTCGGGGATTCGGCCTGGAGTAGTGCTGACCTTTACCGTAGGAGCACTCATAGCCGGTGATCTTGCCGACTGGATCGGGCGACGGACCACCGTCATCGGCGGCTGCGGTGTCTTCATCGTCGGTGTCGTTCTCCAGACGGCCTCGGCCGGTCTGGGCCTTCTCGTTGCCGGACGCCTCGTCGCCGGGTTTGGCGTCGGCGCTGTGTCCGCTATCCTGATCTTATACATGTCCGAGATCGCGCCTCGCAAGGTCCGCGGTGCCCTGGTCTCTGGATACCAATTCTGTGTAACCATTGGTCTTCTCTTGGCTTCGGCTGTCGACTACGGCACCGAGAACCGCACGGATAGCGGCTCATACCGTATCCCTATTGCCCTCCAGATGCTCTGGGCGCTCATCCTTGCCGTTGGCCTGTTTCTGCTCCCCGAGTCACCCCGTTTTTTCGTCAAGAAGGGAAAAGTCGACGAGGCCGCCGAGGTGCTGGGTCGTCTACGTGGCCAACCTACTGAGTCTGACTACATCAAGGGCGAGCTAGCTGAGATTATTGCGAATCACGAATATGAGCTGTCCGTCGCGCCTCAAGGCGGCTATTGGAGCACGTGGTTTAATTGCTTCCGGGGCTCTCTGTTCAACGGCAGCAGCAACGTCCGCCGAACCATCCTTGGTACCTCGCTCCAGATGATGCAGCAGTGGACCGGCGTCAACTTCGTCTTTTATTTTGGTACCACCTTCTTTAAGCAGCTTGGTACTATCCAGAACCCGTTCCTGATATCGCTCGTTACCACTCTGGTAAACGTTTGCTCGACACCAATCTCGTTCTGGACTATCGAGAGAGTCGGACGTCGCCCCTTACTCATCTGGGGAGCCTTGGGAATGGTAATCTGCCAGTTCATCGTCGCCGTTACAGGCACTGTCACCAGCGCCGACGGCGCCGTGAAGGCTATGATTGCCTTCATCTGCATCTACATTTTCTTCTTTGCCAGCACCTGGGGCCCGTAAGTTTGTCCTTGAACGCCTAACAGCCTGACTTGATCTACTAACACCTCCTGTAGCGGAGCCTGGGTTGTTATTGGCGAGATCTACCCTCTACCGATGCGCGCGCGCGGCGTCGCCCTCTCGACGGCTAGCAACTGGTTGTGGAACTGCATAATCGCCGTTATCACGCCCTACATGGTGGACGAGGATAAGGGAAACCTCGGAGCTAAAGTTTTCTATATTTGGGGTGCCCTCTGCACTTGCTGTTTCGTTTACGCATACTTCTTGGTTCCCGAGACCAAGGGCTTGACACTGGAGCAGGTTGACCGTATGCTTGAGGAGACCACCCCACGGACTTCAGCTAAATGGGTGCCGCACTCGACATATGCTGCCGACATTGGCATGACCGACAAGGCCGCTGGCGCTTACGTCGAGAGCGCCTCGAAGGAAGAAGTTTGAGTCTATTATACCACATTATATCTCAAGAAGCAGAGGAGGAGAGTTTAGTCATAAAGAGGCCGCATACTTGCATGATTACTGGTGTTGGGGGTTGCTTTAGCGCGGCGATGCTTGAAATATCGGCATGAGTCCACGCAATGTTAACGTGAATGAAACTAAAAATTAATTATACCTATATTGTACAGCAACGGTGACTGTTAAATGCTCTTTCAGCTAGAGTCAGAGGAGAGGAGGACTCTAGCTAGAGAAGCGTTACCTAATTTTACGTAGTGACTCCCTTTGACGCAAGCCCCCCTAGAAGAGCTAGGCGGGTGGTGAGATGGGCTTGCGTCAGGAGATAGAGGGGCCTCGGGAACCTAGTCACCTCGTGAGAGAGAATTTAACACAGAGGCTAGCTCGGTGTTGTTCTGCGGTCTGATAACTATTACGTCGACTGTCGCCTTCTTCGCTGCCTGCCCCCCTCCCTCCCCCCGCGTAGGAGAACGCTCGACGACCTCCGGGTTCCGACTCACGGTCGCATAGTTCGACATATCGACTCGCCCCTTACGTGCCACAGCTTCCGCCCTCCTCCCTCTTCCGTCCCACCGATCTCGTTGGTGACTGGCGAACCCCCCGTCTCCCCGTATGTGCCCGTAGGGCCCGGAACGTCGACGCCGACTAGTTGGCCGCGCGGTCTCGTCAGGCCAGGGCGGCGCGTGTGCTGGCTCTCTGGCGAGTAACACCGTCTGCGGGAGAGGCTACTCCTGGCGTTCCCGCTCGCGAGGTACACGTGTCGGTGCCGGGCCGCGACCTGCCGAGATTGCCACGTAAGCTGCCCAAGCTTCGAAGTTCGGGGGCCTCCGAGCGTATCGTCGCTCCGTCCCCCCATCGGCCCCTCCGAGAGCCGCCCTACGCCAGGTGGGCGGTGGGTATAGGGGGCGGGAGACGTTCTGGGCGAGCGCAGCTCAGCTGGACGCCGGCACTGAGGGCACCCCGGGCTGAGGCCGAGACGGCTCCTTGCCGTTACGACAACCGAAGGGGCGCGCGTCCGCCATGCCTCGTTCGCGCCAGTCACATCCCGCTGAGTTGGGAAGGCCAAAACGGAGCCTCTTGCTCTACGCCGGCGCAAGGTCCAGGCGATTGCAGCTTCTTCTCCCGCCTACGCGTATAAGGGCTCCTCGTCCTCGTCCTCGCCACTCCACGGGAGCCACCCCCCCTACCTACGCGCCTGTCAGTCAGGTCCAGCTCTAAGGCTTGGTAAGGAGATGGCCGCCTCCCCGTGCCGCGGCGGACAACATCTGCCGAGGGCACCGAACCGGTGCAGCTGCAAAAGCCGCGCGACGACGCCGGGGTCCCGTGGCAGTGGACGCACACAACCCCCCCTGGCGGTCCGCGTAGCAGCGTACCTCCATACGTACAGGCTCACGACGAGAGCCTGGCGAGACTTAGTCCCGACGCACGGCGCACGCAGGCGCACCAACAGGACGAACAGCCGCATAGGTCTCGCTTCGCTTGTGCCTGGCGAGCGACCTGTCGCATCCCGCAGGCCCGCGGGCAGGTAGGAAAGAGAGGGGGGGAGGGGAGGGGAGGGGAGGGGAGAAAGGAAAACGGGCTACCTGGTCCCGCGGAAGGCGAGACGGGCTTCTCGAGGCTCGTTGCTTCCGAGAGGCACCAGCGGGTGCGATGCTGTGGGATCTGGCGGCCAATGGAGGCGTCCGGCGCTCGACCTTCGAGGACTGTAGGGAATTAAGGATCGAGCACACAGAGAGACGAAGTGTCCTCCCTTGCTCACTCCCTCCCTGCCTCCCCTCCCCTCCCCTCCCCTCTAGCAACGCCCATGTCGCCAGGCCTGCTCACCCCAGTAACTGAACTTGGGCAAGTCGTTTTCTCCCCCCCTTGGGGAGGGAAAGGGAATCCACCCGCGCTTATTAGCCGGCGGTGCTATGTAGGGAGCTTCAGGCCGTTTGGCGAGAACCCTGTCCGGTATTTCCCAAAACGGTCGATGCCTGCGGGACGGCTACCCTCGGTAGCGAATAGAGCAGCTTGACATGTTTATCCATCAAGAATAACAGAATCGCAGACCGATGACCATCCGGCATAGGTACCTAGGAGATACCAGGAACCCACTGTACGGGGGTTTTCTCTATCGCTTTTTGTTCATCTGTCGATTTGGCTCGTGAACCGTCACACACTTGACAGCCCTTTTAGAAGGGTCTGTTTGTCTTTGCGGACCAGACGTTCACCACCCGTTGCCACCCAGCGCAAGCAAAATCGTCAGCCGTTGCTGACTGCCGCCTCATATCTCCGCGCTAGAGGGCTAAATGCTAAGCATTCGGGCGTCCGGACTTTGGGAGGAGGCCGCTGATACGGTTGATCGCCATCTAGGGTCGCGGAGGGCCCTCGTTCGAATTCCGAGACTGGGATAAGCGCAAGGATAGGGCAGAATACATACACCCGGTCGATAAGACAGATCGCGATGCTTAGCATGTTAAACCTAGCTCGCTCAGGTTCCGGGGTGGCGCATTGCCGGAAGCAGAAAGGTAAATAAAGCAAAGCCAGACCGTGGTAACGGCGGAGAGATGTAACTGAGGTGGTAGTCCTAATTGGAGTCCTGATATTGTCCTCGACGCCCACGTGCTGCAGCATCATGCAACGATGCACCTCTGGCCCATGCAAATAGACTGAAAGGACGAGTTGCCCGGTCGTAGAGGGGCCATTCTCGCACGATCGGGACACGATGTAAGCCGACGGGGGAGGGGATCAGGGAGACTTCCGCAGGTCTTAACTACCTAGGCAGGTCTCTGAGCACGGGACGGTATACATGTTGCCAAGCAGCCTGCTCACCTGAACTTCCATACTTGGGGTGGATATCGATCCGTAATGACGCCCCGAGAACCATCTCATTGGGCAACGGATATGTTTCCAACAAGGTTTGTGCAAGGCGGATTTGACCCGGGGTTGACAATAGCAGTCTGGCTGCAGCCGCAACTTGAGGATGTTGAGTTTACCTTGGCAACTCCTCAGGCTTGACTTGTGCATTTGTTCCACGGCAGGTTTTATGAGTTGTAACATCTGATCTAGGGTGAGGCCCCACGGAGAGCTCATTGCTAGGTAACCTGGCGAAGAAACATGGCCCCTAGGCCAGCCGCGGATAACAAGAAGGCGTCCATATGAGACGGATTACATGACACTGGATGCCGCTCCAAGAGAGAAACATCAATCGTCGACGCGTGGACGGGGAAGCAATACGGACGGCACGTGCTATTCGAAATCGGGTATCTGTTGCCAGCCCAGTAGGCTTTCCGGGGCGTTTAGCCGCGACGGCGTGTCTGGGTGATGGCAATGCCGAAGGTTATGTTGTGAGAGAGAGGGCACGCATTACACCCACCAGTCGCCAGCTTATCCGGCCCCATGGAGACCACCCCACGCGAGACCACCCACCCAATGCAGGCAGCAAGCATTGGCGACTTGCTGCATCCTAAGCTGGGAGGTCGGCTCTGCTGTCTTCCCTTGCTGTCGGCGTGTCATCACATCAAGCGAGCATAGGCTGCGCCATGTACCTACGCCATAGGATGAAATACCAACAAGGAGTGAGACGGCTAGCACGGAGAGAGCCAATTACGTTACGGCAACCGGGCCACAGAGCAAGATGAGACGGCTTAGGCATCTTGGGGCCTCCTTTTCGTTATTGGGCGTCGAGTTCGTAAGCTGGAAAGCCTTGGTGAGGTTTGCGCCATTACCACCGAACCCGCCAGAGCCGTGAGAATATATCCCACATGGTCTGCGAATTCGGGGAAAGATGCCGCTGCATTTCTGTAAGGATAATCCATACGTGCCGGGAAGACAAGAAGGAAAAAAAATGCCGATCACTCAGAATCTACATCTTGCTTGTAGTGTAACAATCATGTCCGACGTGTGGTCTATCCAATCGGTAGGCTCCATGAGGCTTTTTTTCTTCTCCTGCACTCGCCAGTTCGACAGTTCAACCTAGTGAAAACGGCCAGAGGGGGCTCTGGGATATGCCTTGGAGGCCGGTGTTGGTATATGTGCCCTACGTACCCGAAGCTTCACGGCATCGACACCAGGCCAGAGGCTTGAACAACTCCCTGGCCGGGACCGAAGTCCCCAGTGGCTGGTGTCAGACGTCGCAGAGCAGAGGAAAGGTTCGGGGTGGTAGATTGTCAGACAGCCACCACCGCCTCCTGTCTTTCTAGCCATCGAGGTATACACGTCGGGAAGGCGGTGGTTGCCCAGGCTGCTCGGCGTGGGCGGATGGCGGCGAGACACCAACGCCAACGAGTTGTCACCTGGGGGGAGGTCGGGAGCCACGGGCAGCGGTCTCGTCGTTCTTGCCTGGGTGTTCCCGGCCAGTGGTAAAACAGGTCGACTTAGCTGGGGGAGAGAGAAGGTCGGTTCCCGTCCTCTGCCTCGCCTCCCACGCCTTGACCTCGGGGCCCCGGTCATTACATGCTGGAACTCCGGGACGGCTTCCTGCATGGCGCTATACATAATTTTCGAGACCCAGTGCTGTAGATGATCTCAGAACTGTATAGATACCGCTCAAGAATAGGCTAAGGTGAAAATGAGGTGGCTTTTTTTGTGCAACGAGGAACCCTGATCGTGACGGTGGAGCAATGGTAGGCATCAAGAGATGCGAGTACCGTCTGCGAAGGGGGAGATTGCGTACTTTTCGTCGTTTAGATGACACAGAGGGCAATATTTCTATCATTAGGGGGATGGATGATCCGCCAGGGGTAAGAGGCTGACAGACAGATAGACAGACGGACGGACAGGCAGGCAGGTAAGTAGGGACGGCCGCGGATGGTTGGCGGAGAGGAGGCCAACCCGAGATATTGAAGGGGGGGGACGGAGGGAGGAGGGAAGAGAAGCCCTAGCTAAGTACCTACCCGGGTAGCTTACTAACACACAGCACCTATTACCTAACGTACCTAGGCAATAACAGAGGTCCGTGATCGTGATGCGCGCATACCTACCTAACGTACGTTAGATGTGCACAGATGGACTGTCGGTAAGGGAGGGAGGGATTGATAACACCGTCTTTTTGAATATGAAATGAGGCTAGGTACGTAACCTCCCACGATGTGTTAAGCAATAATCTCTCTCTCTCTCTCTCTCTCTCTCTCTCTCTCTCTCTCTCTCTCTCTCCCTCTCTCTCTGCCTCTTCCTCTTTATGCCTCTCCCTCTCTAATAAGTGCATCTCATGTATGTAGCCGGTCCAATTAGGTACCTAAGGTAGGTAATACATGTAATCCGCTATATAAGGCAGATGTGTATGTATGTATGTGCAGGCCGGCCAGTCTTGTTGCATCTCGGCCAACTCCCCCGGCGAGAGACACGTAGAGAAACCTCCCAAGTCTGCTAGAGTCAAGTAAGACAAGAAGAGGTAAGCAACGCGGGTTCCTGTGCACGTTAGGCGCTACTTTTCATTCTAGGGGTATTTTTTATTTATTTAATTGCGAGGGACGAGAGAGACTTGGGGAGGTCGACCATGCTAACGGCCTTGGATTAGGTACCTAGCTTCTATCCCCTTCAGCGAAGTATCGTTGCATTTCAGCTCAGCCCTACCACTGTGACTTGCTAACGGCATACCTTGGCTAGTGGTATTGGTATTTCGCGGTTTAAATTGCAGGATATTACCTAGATTAACGAGAGGAATGAATCGGGGTTGCCAACCCAGGGTCTGCTGGCAGGTACGCGCCAGGCCACAGACAGGAGATAGGTAGAGAGGTAGGTATGTAGGCACGGTGTGTGCGTATGTAAGTTGGGGTGTTGCATGCAACCAAGCCGCGTATAGACCGCGTCTACACGGCCAGACAGGCCATACAGGAAGGATATGCAGCAGGCCACGGATGTGCGGACCAACGCCTTGCGTATCATTGCATACGACGGTCCTGGTAGCCAGAGCCGTACCAGACACCTGCCTAGCCTACCTGACTCTAACTGCCTTACCAGCCGGTAGTTCGTGGTCAGCTAGCCAGGCGTTCTCGCGCAAGTCACCACGCAGCCCGAATCCGGCCTCCGACACCGTGGCCCGCGACGAGGAGCAGGGCCATAAAAATAAAAGAACGCCTCCGTCTGGTGAGAGACCCTTAGCCGACGGATGTTACGCGGCTGAGCTCCGATCTCTCACAGATCTGATAGCGTGTAGGCACCAGCGTAACGGAGAGATTCAACGTTACGTAGTCTCACCTCTTCCTACACGCCCTTCTCGAGAAGCTGGCCGGACCCTCTCGTGGCCGTAATATTATTAGCGACGCGTAGTTTCAGGCTCGAATCGCCCCCCGGGTGCTGTGCCGTCAGCCCAAGAACAAGAGCCCCCCCCCCCCCCTTCTCAAGAGAAAAAAAAAACGTCCAATTCAGCGGAATCACGTCTTGCGACAGTAAACGCCACCTTGTTAATACGGCGCGATCGCGTGACGCGGGCGAAGTCTGGGGAGGAGGAGGAGGGGTGGGGAGCCTCATGAGGCTAACACCGACGAGATCCGTCCGTCGTGGGCTCCGCGAGATAGATTGCCCAATTCTCAGGTTGCCCACTGCCGGAATCCTTGCGTCATATCTCTCGAGACGTTAGGCCCTCACCCTGGGGCACGGCGCGCGGCAGTGAGGGCGTCTTGCGGATTGCGGAGAAGTTCGTCTGCTACGTTGTATCGGTGTAGGTATGTATAGGCATCGCTTTAACGACGGAATCGGGGACGGCAGGTGGACGAAGCAACCCGCATCGGGCGTTGAAACCGTCGATGCCTCAGCGCGTATATAAGTAGCCCGACAATCTGCCTATTTTTATCTTGCGGCAAATGTTGCCTACCTATTGCAGGCAAACGCGGGGGAAGAGGATCTGCGGCGATGCCCTTTCGGGCAAGCAACTTACAAGCAACGGCCCCCGGCGCGTCGCATCATGGCCCACGGGTAAGCTGGGAGCTATGCTTATGCAAGCGCTGGCACGGCTGCGGTCTGCTCTGCTTTGCTCAGCACAAATATACCTAGGTAGGTACGCGATCTCAGCCAGCCGGGGACACCATTGCGGCGGACAGGCCTCAGGGATTCTTTGCTGGTGGGATGTTTCGTTTCTCTTCAAACCGACGGGAATCTGGCGATCGAGATGCTAATTATACAGCTCAGGCCAGGCCACCAGCCAGATTTCGTAATCGGCGCCACCGCTCGCATGATAATGGGGTCTCTCTTACGTGGGGGCGGTTGGAAAAAAGAGAGGGAAAAAAAAGGGCAAGGGGGCCGCGGTGTCCACCTACAATAGGCATCTTGCCATTCGTCGACACGGCCGTCACCCCGCTGATACCCAATACCGACACATCGCGGGAAAGCTATTAGGTTATGTGCATCGGGTGGTTGGTGTAAGTGGTGCAGAGAGAGGCATGTGTGGGTGGGTATGCGAATGCGACCCAAGTTCGCCGACGCCGAATCCGCTCAGGCATGAACTGGATGGACGGATGGATGGACGTCTCCCTCTCAGCAAGCTCGGGACGGTTTGCGCAGGTAGAGAGATAAAAACAGAAGCGGGCGAGGTGACGAGGAAAGGCTCTAGCGGTACCCCGTTGCCAGAGAACCTGAAGCACCGTCCATCGTCCGTCGGCCCCCCCTTCGTGGCTGAGGCTGTCTCTGATTAGGGAGGATGGACGGAAGCGAGCGAGCGAAGGCGCCCAAGACTCGACCGAGTTCATGGGCGGCGCGGGCGTCACAGCTACACAGCATGTGACTTTACGTGCTCAGCAGAACGGATGCGGATGCGCGCTTACGCCGGGGCCAAGCTCAGGTACCTACGATACCTACCTACCTAAAGACGTGCGCGCACGCCCAGCCTGGACATCTTCTCTCCTCCCCCCCCCCCGGTAATGCGCGCCTTGGTGGTGATCGATGGCTTTGCATTCGGGATAGGCTGGAGATAGGTAAGGTAAGATACCCAATGGGTAGACGGACTGGACTGCAGCATAACCTTATGCAGAAAGACGATTGATACCCGAGAGTCAACAATTTCCGATCCCTCGGCTACCTGCTTACCTACGCCGAGCGCACCTCGTCCTCGTGGGGGCCGTTTTCTCTCTGGCTTTTGTTTCTTCTTCTTCTTCTTCCTCTCCTGCTTCTTCGTTGATTTGCATAGGCATGGGACGTGATATTCGGCATCTCGCCGCGCGTCGGCCCCCCCTGTCGTGGGAGAGGCGACTGGCTGCGAGGTATCATGCGCCGCCGAGTCGCGTTCTGGTGAGAGAGGGAGAGGTGTAGGCGGCATATCCTTTTTTAGCCTCCCCTTCGCGCGGTGTGGCACTATCCAACCTGTTATCCAACCTGTTGCATTGTCGAGGTAGGTAAATGTTTGCGATGCCCACTGCCCTTCACTGCCCTACAGCTCTGCGCCCTCCACCCACCACTACCACACATTACCTACCACATAACCACGGTGCAAATGCTCATGTACCTAGGCGCCCACCATCGATCCAGGACGCAGCATAGGCCGAATACCGTGCGATACTTTGCGAGGAGAAGCCCGCGCCCACCCTCACATCTTCGCGGGGGCTGCGGCGAAGCGTCTCAGATATCGACGTCCTGCGCAGAGAGCAGGCAGTATAGTATGATGTATATTGAGAGCAAATTTGGCCAGCTGGTGCTCCGCGCGAGTTTGGCCCGTAGAGAGCTGGAAGCGGAAGTTCCCGAATCCCCGTAGGGGAAGACGGCGATGCAGCGGATTCCCAAGCCAAACAAGCTGGGCCCATCGCCGCGATCCATCCCGTCGGAACTCGACTAGACTAGGCTCTAACTGCTAGTCAGGAACGCGTTGGTTCTGGGCCGCTGTCTCAGAGTTTCTTTGTGCAATGCGCGTGATCAAACGTTTCAGTTGCTTTTTTAACAGAGCGAGCCTCTCGACTGACTGACGTCGAAGAAGCGTGCAGGGGGAGAAGAAATAAACAGGCAGAAAGATACACAGCGGGAAGAGGACGGGCTATCCCTGTCACAGCCACGTTCCCCTCACTTGCGCTCCCACGCCCTCCCTCTTCAACTCATCAGGAGGCACATATGCATATACCGAACTAACATGCCTACTCACACATCAGGTCGGTCGTGACCTAGGTTAGGTACCTAGGTAGGTACGTAGTAGGAGGTAGGTGGGCATGGTTGGTGCCTTTCGGGCGGTACCTAATGTATCTAACACGCCTACATGCCACCTTGGGTAGGAGGGAGCACGGAGCCCGTACAGCGGACGGGCGACGACAAAGTACCTAACCTACCTAACCTATACCTACGCGCAACCCACCATAGAGGAGGTAGAGGAGGTAGGCAGTTAGTATCACCGTAGACTGCAGCACCCGCAGCGGCAGGTTCTGGGGGTGGGCATCGCATTTCCGGTCCCAGAGGGCGGGAGGGGTAGCATCGTCGACCGCAACGGGCGACCAACCCAACCTCAGGGTGGTATTCGCCCAAGCTGCGCTGTATGTAGATCGACGTTGAGGTCGTCGAATTGTTGCCCATGCTCAGCCACCCCGTCCCCGTGCTGCAAGACATCGCGTACATAGGTCTGTGCCAGAAAACGCCCCCAAAAAAAATGCAGAGGACGCCCGAGCCGGTGCCAGCGCCAATCATCGCAGGTGGTCACAGATGCCAATATTACCATGTCGGCGCATCGCTACGCGGTATGGGGTGGTTCACATGTACTTTGTACCTCCGGAGAGGCGACCCGACGCGCCGGTATGCAGGTACATCTACCAGCTGCGAGACGATCCTGGCAAAGTGCGAAATGTGATCTCCATCCGCGCCATCAACACGCCCGCTGTCTCTCGCGCCCGCTCTCACCCCTCAACCACCGCCAACCTGCTCGAACTCGGCCTCGCAAACACCACACCACGCCCCCGCCCCACGGCTAATCTGCCTGCCTCCCTACGCATATCTCTCTCTGTCTATGCCGGCATCTTATGCGCACCCGTGCCGCGAGCTCGCCTTCTCTTCTCGCATCGTCAGGAGGCGCGTGAGCACCACCACGGTCGTACCCATTCACCGCCCCGTCGACTAAGTAAGCGAGTAGCAGCCACCTGACGGCCTCACCTCCCCCTCCCCTCTCCACCCGTCGAGGCCGAATGAGGCACGCTGCCTACCAGGAGACCGAGGCTAGGACCTCCCCTCCCCTCTCTCCCCCCCCCCCCTCCGGTCCAGCCACAGTGAACCTCTTCGGCACCGATCCCCTTCCTGTCCTATGTGTCACCCTTGCCGCGCCCGCAGCGCCGGGTCTTGGATTTTCCCTCGGGTTTCTCGCCAGAGGTCTGCCCATAGACGTGACGGGTTACGCAGTACCGTCAGGCGTCTATCGCCACCAGCTCTTCGTAGCCCGTTAGCATGAGACAGTCTGGTTCCATGAGGACGGTCTCGCAGAGGAGTGAAAGGGCTCTCGTGCGGCTCCACCGCCGCCACTTCCTCAGTCACTCAGGATCCGTCTTGCTCGAATTCGATCCACGTCCCGATCCCCAAATTTGCGCTCATCATCAGAGAAATCCGTCTTGGCGTTAGCGCTGGCCGCGTCTTTGATGGATCTCTTTCGTCGGCGTCGAGCAATATCTGACGGTCTGGTCGCAGAGATGCAAATCTGATCGTGCCGTCCTCACGTCCCTGGCGGGGAGGGGGGGGAGAAGGTCAGGGGCCCTGGTCGTCGCCCAGCCAGCCCCCCCTGATGAAACCACGGGCTGATATCCTTGTCGCAGAGCCCTCCCACGCCAGAAGCGTGCTCCGTTCTGTTCCCACCGTACCTCCCTACCGTACACCAGACAGACAGACAGGCTGGCCAGCAAACATTCTAGTGTCTAGGTGAGAAAGGTATTCTAGATTCCGGGCACCGTCCAACGTTTCCAAGCTCCCCGACGGGGGATCTCTTTCCAAACCCTTCCTTACATAACCCCTGTCGATTCCCATTCTAATGTCGAAATCGCTCTCTCCGGGACCGTCTCCACCCGTCATATTCCCCATTTTGCAACTCTTCTCTCTCCCTGTGTGTGTCTCTCTCGCTCTCGCTCGCTCTCGCTCTCCTGCGGCGGCTCCTCATTGGGAGCTCGCCCTCTCTCGAGAGACCGTGTTGTTGCTACCTCACACTACCTGGCCTTACCTGACCTTCACGCACCGTTGCACCAGGCCCCACACGATTTCTTGTAGGTAACACATTATCAGCCTACGGCTCATTCGGCGCAGATTCCCACAACCCCCCATCGGCGCTCGGATGGGCCCTTCGAGGTTCGACCAGCCAACGCGCCTCCCGTTGTCTTGTTTGTCTTTCGCGGCGGCCCCCGCGGATCTTGCTCGAGCTGTTGTGTGCCTGTAGTCTTGTGTACCTTTCCTCTCTGCCCGTCCCGTCTGCCCGCTTGCTGCCCGCCCTCTCTTGCTCCCTGTGCGTCTAGTTCGCTCAACCCCAAGTCGGTAGTGGTGAATAGCAACCGTTCGTCGAGACCAGCCTGTCTGGAGATCACCTCGGTATCGGCATACGCCCGTTCCCGATAACCTCGATTTCTCGAACGTCTAGGGTTCTATTAATGGAAGCTTCAGGTTGAGTGTATAGTATATCGTGTTCTATTTTTTATCGCGGGGAATGTTTGGCACAATTCCCCCTCTATCGATGCTAGCCCGCGATGCTAAGAAACCTCGAAACGCGAACATTAACGGGTTGCTCTATTATGTACATGCCTGCTCTGTCTGTATGAGGTACATGCATTGTACTGGTCGTCGGCAAGGAAGATCTTATAGGATCTCCCCTTGACTCCCTGTCGCCACCGCCAGGGTCAGGCATCACAAATCGATACCCCTTGCTCGCGGCCTGGCCCACATTATTTGCAGGCTTACTTCGCTACCGATTCGGATGTGATCCTCCCAGTGCCCTCTGGAAGTATCTACGTACACAGGCACACACGCGCTCTCTCTCTTTCCCTCATTCTCTCTCTCTCTCTCGCCGTCTTCCTCTCTCTCTGGTCTTGGGCTCCCTGGCCCCAAGTTCCCTTGAGGCCATCCCCCGCAGACGTCGAGAGCCACACCCTCCTAGAAGCGTCGATCTTCCTATTGGCGTAAACCTCCACTAGTCTCAACAACGGTCATGCGTTCACTCGCGAAGTCTACGCTGAGCTAATGTGATAAAAAGCCAATTACGAGCTCCCAGACGTCCCAGCCGAGATGTTCTGTCGTCTTCCCTATCTTGTCTCTTCTCCGAGAGAGAAGGGGGGGGGGAGCGTGTGGGAGTGAGTGAAGGGGGCGAGTGGGTGAGAGGAGAGAGAGACGGAGCTCTCTGTCTACCACTTCTACTACCAATGTTACCACTGCTACGGTGCCGAACCTGAGCTCTACCTACATTTTCACCATGGGGTAAATTTCAAGAACTTGAGGCAGCCGTGGCGGTGTCTACGGGTTTGAAGAAGAAATAGAAGAGGCTTCGCTGCCCTAAAATCTCCCCTCGTTTCATTTTATATGGGCCACAAAATCCGTCGAGCTAGGAGAGCTTCGAAGCTGGTTTTCTAAATCGGATTCCAACCCATGCCCTACCTACTACGTAGTAACAGTCTAGCGGCTGTCTTCCCGCAGTAACTGCTCTTTGTGTTGACGTTTCCGGTTGGGGCCTTCGACGGCAAGGGTCCGTCTGTTGGCCCTTGGGCAGGCCACCATAACACGGCATTAGCCATTCAGCCGAGAAACCCAATGGTCACGGCCCACTCGATATAGACGTTGCTACATCTACTATCATCCATGACAGGCAGGGTGTGTGGCTCAGCAGCTACTTACCATGCTGGGGGATTTTCCTATCACCACACCCGGCCCGTCAAGCGTGCGGGTTTCTGTCTCGTCGTCGAAGCCTTAAAACGTACATCCGGTCCTTTCCCAATATCTCTACCGTATCTGGCCAGGTACCGTCCCAGGCTGACCCAATCCTCGCGCGAGCACCCTTCTTCTCTCGCCCGTGCAGGCCCTTGTGCTCTCCTCGGACCCCCCTGGACATTTCTCCGTAAGGATGAGAAGTACCATTCGGTATTAATCCCACCTCTGCCATCCTGAGGAGCAGGGGTTTCTTCGAAGGTGCCTCGTTGCGACCACGAACGACCTCCAAAGCCCAATACATACATAACGCAAGGCCTGCCAGTGTCTAGACGTTTTGAGGCGGCCGACCCCACCAGAGCATCATTCGAGGATCCTCGATTTATATACACAGACTCGTCCCAGATTTTAGGGAAAGGGTTTTTTTTTTAAAAGATAACTCTTTTCTCCCTTCTCAGCATACACGTGGTGGCGTCATCTCTATATCCTACAACCTCCCTTGCCGTACAGCTCAGTTGGCAACCACCAGACTCGACAACAGGTTTGTATACCACTACAGCTTCCTGTTGCCTCATGCTCTTTTACGACGACTCGATATATACCCCGAAGTACTGGTTACTGAAAAGCGACGACTGCCCTGTGGGCTTCGAGAACGGACATCAACATATCTCTACGACCAACCTTGAAGGATACGGGTCAACAGTTAAACATACCAGAACATAACGCCGACAGTCATCTCGTAGCTATATGGAAAGCATGCTCGATTGCTCCCGGCACTAAATCCAAGCACTTGGAAACTACCGATTACTACTATTACGTTAGGCTGCGCCGATACCGAAGTCTTGAGCTGTATTCTCTCGTCTACTCCTGGGAGCTGGAAACGCTGCTGACCCAAGGGTCGGAGAAAATCTTGTTTTTTTTTCGCTGTCATCGGTGATACTTCGTTCAATCTTGCCCGCGAAAAGACGCTCTTTGGGGCTGGTCTTGAACAACCGGCTTACTTCGGCAAGCATCCTCTAGACCTTCCTGAATCATACCATCCCCCCCCCCCGACATCCAACCCTACAACATTTCCAATGCTCGTTACCAGGCATCTCAATACGGAGCAAAACCACTGGTCCAGTAAATTTGAGACCGCGTTCCCCAAGCCCACAAGCCCACGCATGTCGAGCTACGACGGTCATCTGTCGACACAGCCCGACTGGCAGGGGCAATACTCGTTTCTGCCGCCAGGGGAGAACAGTATCTTCGCGCAGTCCTTCCAGCAAGTTTCGGGATCCAACAGCAGCAATGAAGTAGCCTCCCAGAGGCGCTCCTCGAGTGCGCACAACAGAACTCTAGAGAGCGCAAACCAGACAACACAGAGCAGTCTGAGCCCGCCTATGGGTCACCATCGGGCGTTGGATCCCCTGGGTCTACGACAGCCAAAGGCCGAATCTCCTGGGCAGGAGCCGTCCGATGTACAGGGCCCGAGTTACGCTGTCAAGGCAGAGACTGCCCACGTGGAGTCACTCGCTTCTACTGATATCCAAGGGCATCCGCTTGGGACAAGTACGGCAGGGTCAGGGCCTTCGTCAGGGCAGGGGCAAGAGACGACCTCAAGCACGGCCGGAAACGAAGAGACCGGCGTAGGAAAAGATGAAGAGGACGAGGTACTAGAAGACGACGAAATGGGGGAGGCAGAGGGAGAGACGTCCGCACAACCGCAGACCGCAGCTGAGCGTACCGCAGCTCGGAGGAAAATGAAACGTTTTAGGTAGGAGACGACGACCCGATTCCAGGGGGAGCCATATTAACAGTAGGCAGGCTTACCCACCAGCAAACGCGATTCTTGATGAGCGAGTTTGCGAAGCAACCCCATCCCGATGCTGCGCATCGAGAGCGGCTCTCTAGAGAGATCCCGGGCTTGAGTCCTAGACAGGTTCAGGTCTGGTTTCAAAACAGGTAATACCTCCCGAAGTTATCTCGTTTTGGGACGATATCTAAACGCTTCGTAGGAGAGCCAAGATCAAGAGGCTTACAGCCGATGACCGAGATCGCATGATCAAGATGCGCGCCGTGCCAGATGACTTTGACAATGTCCAGGCATTGCATTCCCCATACGGCGCGGTCCACGGAGTGGGAGCCCCCATTACTCCTCCTGTCGACTTCGGCACTTCTTCGTACACGGATCATATCATGCGACCATTGATGGTAGACACCATGCGGAGAGGGGATAGCGACGATCATATATCCTCCAGCAGCCTGAGTCCCGCGTTCGGGGGCATTAGCTTCACACCCTCGGGCACGATGGGCAGCTCCGATCTTCTCTCTCCGCTGTCATCGCCGCCCTCAAACGACCGGGGGTATTACTCGAGCCACTTGACTGGCCCCCTCGGGGGTCCTCATAGGACCTCGAACCCGTTTGCGAGGCAAAGCAGCCTCGATTCTGGGGTCCAGATGCATTCGCAAAATAGACAGCATATCCGCCCCTTGCAACCCCTTCAACTCCGGGAGACGATAGCACGGTCGCGGCCAGAAAGCTTGCAATCACCTTTGCGCTCGAGCATGTCGTGGAAAGGGGATTCTATAGATTACACTACATATCCCGGCGCAGGCGGCAGCCCTGCCATGGGTGCAGGGCACCGATCTATGTACCAGCCGGAGCAGATGGGAAGCAATTCTGGTAGTTCGCTAGGCTACGATTCCGGCTCTTATACCTGTAAGGCGTTCCTCTTTCCCCTCTCTCCTCCTCTCCTCTAAGTTAGTTACTCATTTTTTTTTTACAGCTTCAGGTGTCCAGTCCTCTCCACCCAACATCAACTATTCGAGTTTGCAGCAGCCTTCGCAAAATCGATCACGCCTTCGGGCAGCTTCTGCAAATCTCCCACTCGGCCTCGACCTACGACACCAATACCGACCAATGTCTTCTAGCCATAGCCTCCAGTCTCCCAGCCATTCTTCCACTCCCCGAAGCACTGCCACGGCCCCTTACGGACCGTCATCTTCGTACACTACTAGTTTTCCGACCACCCCGCTAACGGCACCCATCGATTTCCCGCTTTCCAGGGCATCGGGGATCAACAGAAGTTCGGTTCAAGAGTATCCGATTCCCCAGATGAGCGCGCCCATCGCGGCTCCCCAGGACTTCACCCAAGCATTACACAGCAACATGGGCGGTTCGAACACTCGGACGCCTATGAGGGACAGTTTTAGCAGCAGCCCCTTGGGCATGAACCAGGGACAGGGGTCTAGCGAAAGGAGCGACGACTACTCGCAAGAGGGGCTGGGTGCGTCCGGCTCGAACATGAAGCGTAAGCGGAGCTCGTTCGGCCTCTCGCAGGGCGGCCACAACCCCGCGTCCGGTCAAACATCTCAGCCTTACGGACACGCGGCTTAAGAAGATGATTTCGAGCGTGTACTGGTGGCCAAGGGCTCATTAGTCACTAAGAAAATTCCCACGGTGACGAAGTCGAAGAGGCTATGCGATTTTCCCCATTCAACCCTAGGCCCCCTCTTGGAAAAAAAAAACAATACCCAAGTTTTGCTTCTTCTTCCTCTTCTCCTCCCCCTTCTTCTTCTGCCTTTCCTGGTTATTTTTAGAGTACCATGTGCTACTGTATATATTTTATTCCATTCCACCCCATTCTACCCCATTCTACCCCATTTTAGTTTTACTTTTTATTCTTCTCTGTTTACTTGTTACATTGCATTTGTCGGTGTGGATGTGTGTGTGACCAGGCTTTGGGAGTGTCGAGCGTTTTGATATTGCGGCGATTTGGCGGGTACAGACTGTTTTATTTTGTTTTATTTTACGACTTCAGAAAAGAACATATACATACATACTGGGAGGAGGGCATGGCAGACACGACGACGGAACTGAAGGAAAAGGAGGGATCAAGAGATGGCATATTCTGACGTATTTTCTATCGCTTCGCCAGCGACCCCCGTTTACCTCTCGACTACATGTATATAGAAGAAACCACCTAGTCAAACTGAGGCAGATTATCACCTGTAATTCGAGCTTCGAGCCCCATCATTATCACGAATCTGCACAGTAAAACGAGCTCGTGAAGTTCTCCGAAATTCGTGCGGCGGCTGCTCCCGTCGCCCCCTCTGCCTCTCTGTCTCTGGACCTCTCTCGGGGTATGCCCAGACGATAGCACAGCCAGTCGGATTACTACATGCTTTACCTACGCAAATACCTCACGGGCCTCTTATTTGAGGATTGGTGCCGATCTGCATTCCAAATCGAAGTCTAGTCTCTGCGAGACCCCATGGGTCCGTATGTTGAGGCTCACGAGTAGTAAGGCACGAGCTCACTGCTGATGCGCATCGTTGACTAAGACGGCTCAACGAGAAGGGCAGGATACACTTACCGAAGCAAAGCGTCCCGCCGGCTTACTACTACTGCTACAGTATACCAACCGTGAGCCGGCGTGTCTTTTCTCTGCCTTACCGGACCAGGTCGTAGCAGCGAGAAGAGGCCTCTGCCCCTAAAATCGGAATGTAACGCCGATAGATGGTAAATCTCATTTGGGAGAGATCTCGTTCCACTCAGAATTTCCCGAACACGTTTTAGCAATTAACAAAGACGGCCCTCCCTGCTCGAGCGACGCTCGATGCGACATTGTAGACGCGCGAAGACCCAATGCCATCCTCCTCTCTGCCCCTTTTGCCAGCATCCTCCCCTCGCGCGCCCTCTCCGGGTCGGCGGGTTCTGTTCACCCAAGAACAGGCAGCACCTCGTCGGCACGGGGGGTGGGCAAGGGGCGGGAGTTGAGCAAGGGAGGAGAGGAGGGCGGGGGGAGGGCAAGGGGGCAAAGAAAGGGTATACATGCGTGCGCGTGCGTGCGTGCGTGCGTGCGTATGTAGGTATGTGTATGTGCGATGATGGGGAACTCCTTCATTCAGTCCAGTCAGCTAGAAACTCAGGCCTCTGGGGTCTCTCTACCGCCTAATCTCCCCCCGGGTTGAACAGCCAGGGCGGGCGGTAAAGGGGAACAGAAGGATCCAGTTACATAAACAAACAAACAAGACAGGGAAAAGGCGGTTCGTAGCAACTCGGCCGCTGAGAGAAGTCCAAATCGGGTCGAGATCGGAAAATCTTGACCTCTATCGTGTTTCCTTGCCTCTAGAGCGCGTGCTAAGTCTAGGGGCATCTATCTCGTCGAGAGAGAAGGAAAAAACAAACCCGATTTCGAAAAGAAGTACATACAGGTATATAGGTATGGATATGGATGGGTACGGGTACGGGTATCAGTATGGGTATAGAGCATAGGCATGTACAATACACACATGGCATGCAAGTTACTGTAGCGAAACGCGCGGTACCGATTCGAAAAGCCACCAACTCCCGTTGCATGGGTGCACCTTGGATCCTCCCCCCTCCCTCTCCCCTTTTGAGGGGGGGGAGAGGGAGAGGGAGGGGGGAGCCCAATAGAGGTTGAAGGAGACTTCAGAGCTGACAACTGCATGATGGGTTGCACGAGGACGCAGCCTGCATACTAAAGGGATGGGTTTTTTTTTATGACGGCTGCTGCGTCCGGTGCGACCCTCCCACCGCCTACGGGTACACGAGAGAGGTAGAGAGACACACACGGAGAGAGAAGGGGGGGGGGGGGGGGGGGAGGAAGAGAGACTCTCAGTGGAACTCTGTCGGGAACTGGATCTTGGTGTGTGGAAGAACAGCATAAGGACGGACTACCATATGCTGTGCCAGATACCACGACATGGCGACTGGTTCAGATCTCGGGGCAGCGGGAGGAACTCACTCGCTCTCGGGGGGTGCTCTCATTCATTCATTCATCCATCCATTCATCCCCCGTCTACCCCCCTCTCTCCGTTTTCTTTTCGTTCTTCTGTCTCTCCTTCTAACCCAGTGTAAGGGCCGGGGAGGAAGACGGGGAAAAAGGGGGCGTATACTTCCGTCAAGCCTGGGGGCATCTCTTCATGTCATTCCGACCTTTTTTCTCCAGCTACTGGCTGCGTATATACCGTGGTGCGCCGCAGATGCCGCCGGGCCTTGCCGGCAAAGCTGTGCGTGCTGTCGAAGCTTAGCCTGGGGGTCAGAGACGGTTCCAGCCCAGGGGTTCCCGGTTATGACGACGGTGCCCAAGAGGCCAAGAGAGGGAGAGGACAGGATAGCGACAGCTGCGCTGCTACGCTTCTCTTTTCTTTTTTTTTCTTGGCTCGACGGTAGGTACCTCGAAAGCTCCTCAGCTCCTTCGGAACTAGGCGCCGGCCACTACAGCGTCACCTTGGTAGCGTTGCGTAGCATAATGTGATGTAGCGTGCGTCCCAGGCGTTCTTGTCAACATCAGAGACTGTCGATTATGGATCGACTTTTTTTTTCTTTTGGGCCTCATACTACCTACCTACACACGACAACTATGTGTGGTGCACCAGCGGCAGCAGCTGTAGCACGACTCTCTGTCTCTGCCGTTCAGGCACCTGTCGGAGCTCTCGGCCTCGCCTCGCTCTCGTTCGACGCGTGCCAGACCTAAGCTACGTTTTCGCTCCTCTCTCGTCTTCTCTCTGTGTCGCGGACCCCATCCACACACGGGCTAGCCAGCTACCAACCTGCAGACGCATACCACAGCGACGGCCGAATCTGACAGTCAGATTTAGTCAACGTGTCTCTGCGTCTTGGAGGTCTTAGCTCTGCTGTGCTCCTCTTAAAACGCTCCTCTGCTCGTGTTGCTTCTCCCTCTCCTTCTTCTTCCACCACCACTACCACCACCACCATCACAACCATCTACTACCTACCATCTACTGCCATCTACCCCGAGTAGTGCTCCTAATAGGTAGTACCGATTATGCTGTGCGAAGAAGGGAAGAGACGAAACCCCCCTGCCCCCCCATCTCAAGTCTTCAGCCACAGGCGCAGGCGCGTCGTGTCGATCAGTTCTGAACGGTGATAAAGTGCGGCGCGGGCTGCAGGCCTTCACGGTTGATCTGATCGAACAGATAATATGCTGATGTCTGCCATTCCAGTTCGCGGGTCCAATTGAGACAACGGTTTGGTTCGTGTTATGCACTTGGCCGTAGCAGCCGAAGCCAGGCTATAAGATGTGCACATATGATCCCCCCACTCACTCACTCTCTCCCCATTCTCTTCTCTGATCATATTATCCCCGTGCCTAGCTTCCACATCCCCCTCCAACCCCTTCCTCTTCCTCTCGTGTATCTCGACATGCATCTATCAAGATTCGCTCTGATCCCGGCGAGGCCCGCCCCCCTTTCTTGGAAGGCCCCGTCAACGGTGAAGCGTACTGGATGGTATAGGTAGGGTGGTAAGTAAGAGTAGATAAGCAAGGAGGGAAGACGGCAAGCAAACAGGCAACTAGATAGACAGGCAGACAGAGACAGACAGGTAACGAGGGGATACCTACCTCGTGGACCTAGACCTCAACACCACCGCGTTCTATATATTATGTAGGTAACAGAACCAACATCCTGGGAGCTTTCCATCGCTTCCCCATTGGAGCCTATGCGAGGACGTGGCTGCATCCTCCTCTACCACAAATCTGCACACATGCACAGTGACGGATGTGCAGCAGGGCAACCCAAGAAGTCGATCACCAGCGAGGTCGCGAAGCTCTATCGGGTTCTAGATCCCAGATCCTGCCTTTCGCGCGCGCAGGGCCACCGACTGAATTACCGTTTCCATACTGGCCTGACTCAGCCATCGAGTCGCGGACCGATCCTCCTCATTTTGCCTGTCAGCCGACTGGCTGCTCTCCCGAGCGCACCCCTGACTCTTTGGATCCGCCTCTCCCCGTTAGAGCCGCCCTCTGCCAATCGTCGTATATCAAAGGGAGGGGAAAGGGGGGGAAGCGGGGGGGGGAGGAATGGAGGAGGAGGAGGAGGAAGGCCTAAGCTCTTCGTTTTCTTTCTTTTTTACTCGATCCAGAATACGACGGAACTGGAGCTTCGTGAACCACGGTGCCCTGTCCGGCGATTTGACTCTCGGTGCCGCGGGCTGTCCGGCCAGGGGTGGGCATGCTGCCTAGATTTGCTGGGATGGCAGATCGTCCGCCATTTAGGCAAAAGGTATGGGATGACAGCAGATGGGGCCGCCTGGGGGAGGAGGGAACCGAGCGAGGAACCAGACGAGACAGCTGGACCTCTCACGAGCTCTAAATCGCAGGTACGTTACCTAACACGAGGGAGGGGGCTAGCAGAAATGCTCCGGCAGCAGCTGTCCGGGGGAAGAGAACGGGATATCGTAGCTTACTTCGTCCTGTCGCTAGACGACGTAGGGACGAGGGACGCCTCACGGTGGCGTATAGAGGTAGCCAGCCAACTGGGTGTCACGATGCGAACCCCTGGAACCTCCCGGAGCGGCACCTATTGCTGAGAGAGGGAGAGGTTGGGGCCCCGGAAGGACGGTCTCCAGAAACCGGTTCCTGAAGTTCAGGTACAGGTTCGGCACTTTTCGTCAGCGCACGGAGTTGGGAACCAGGAGCTCACTGCTCTCGCTCTCGCTCTTCTAAATATCATGCAGAGACATCTTCTGCATGTCGACCACACCCACCCGTCTCCCTACAGGGCGGGGAAAATATTGTCAGGCAGCTTGCCGAACCGTCGAGTTCTTCTTCGCACGCCCCCCTCCTTCCCTTCCACCCTCCTCTTTTGTCTCCCCCCTTCTCCCCCCCCTGACCGCATAGCTACTCGATCCCTGTACCTAACCTAACCTCCCTAACTACCGCCCGTACTATTACGATGCTCCTATCGCCCAAAGCGGCGCTTCTAGCAGATCGAAATGCTACTAGTCACAAAGAAAACACTGTCTATCGCTGAAACGAGTGGCGGCGCCACGGGCTGCCATGCGAGCAGCGTCCCGCCCCGAAGGTCAGGCCACCTCGGCCGCAGGCCCGGCCGCGGGCTTGACTATTCCATCGGCTAGGGGCCGAAGTTATCGTGGCCACACAGACACTTCGAGGGGGCCCAGCCTCCGAGTCGTCCCCTGGCCTGCGCCTGGCGCGTGTTGCGGCCGCGCGCCCTCGACGACCTGTCCGTTCGCCTTCTCCGTCATCCTAAGCCCAGCATGTCTCTCTCCTCCCCCCCTTTTTTTTCGAATACGCCGAGGAACGAGCAGCGAGGTATCCAGTAGGTAAGTGAGGAGGCCATATTGTGTCGCGCCACCTGTATCCTGTATGTAGGTGCAGGATGCTCTGCAGGTGGAATGACGATAACCGTGCATCTGTGCCGCGCTTTGGGGTTTTCCTCGTGTATGTCCGGTTCTTCCACGTATTATTGCCTTGGTACCCGACTCGGCTGTATTGTGTTGGGCTGGTCCGTCCTGTCTGTCTGACCTTTATAGCCGCTCATGCCCCGTCCTTGCACTGTGGCCAGGCCGCCTTTTTTTTTCTTTTTTTTTTCTTTTCACCACTACGCGATGATGCCATACGACGCGTCCATTTCGCCGACATGGCCGCCCAGTCTTCAAGTCAGTCCCGGAAAGAAGGCCTTATACGGCTACGGCATATGGAGTTTCTAGCGAGAATCCTCGCCCCCTCGATGTCTGCTACGGCCTCAGAGGCGAAGGGTAAGTCGGAGATGTATTTCGCCATAGATTCTTGGCCCTAGGGGAAAGGGGAGGGGAGGGGAGGGGAGGGGAGGGGGGGGAGGTATGTCGTAGGAATCAATATCAGTTACGGGGACTCGTTACTAGGTACACTCGGGTATCTCGTAGCCGCGCATTCCGTATGTCTTCCTATGGTTGTTTATCGGGGGTGTGGCCGCCATTGAGGATATCAAGCGACCCAGAGACAAAGTCCCAGACCTATCCGTTCATCCAGAAAGCGAGTCAACCTACTGATGTCTTGGAATCCGGGGCCGGCTGGAAACCTGCAGCGCGGGGGTTCGGAAGATCGTCTATCTTCCTATCTATCTATCAGCATGAACACTCGGGGGGGCTAGGGCCATCTGATGTTGAAGGTGCTTTTCCAAGACGCAGGCCTCCGCTAAAGGATTCTCTCTGGCGTGGGGATAGGTAACAAGTAGGATAGACATGCACGCCCACTGCCACCTACTTCCCGATGGCTTGCAAACCCCAGGCCATCGAAAGAGGCCGACGGGGGTCGAAGAACAAGGGGTCGAGCAAGAGTTGCCAGTCACGGGCAAGTAAGCGGCCAGAAATTCGGTGCTTCTACGAAACAGAGTGAGTCAGGTAGGGAGGAGAAACCTTTTGCCCAGAGACCCGACGTCGACGCACCTTCTCGTTCCGCCGGGGCTACGACGCTCCTCCTCGCCAGCTCCACGTTCCCCCTCGTGCTCCCTCCGCTAGCCGCCCCAGATACACCGGCTCATATCGAGATCGAGGGGAAGCAAGCACGGCAGTCATTATTCCTCCTCTCCGCCGCTCTTAGGCGCACACTACCTTGTAGGTAGACTCGACGAAGAAGGACGACGGACTCAAAACGGTAGGACGGGCCTCGATAGTTTGCCCACCGTCAAGTAAAACAGAAAGAAAGGGTCGGAAAGGTGTGACGAAAGGGAAGCGTTTATCCGTCGTAGCGACCATCATACCTACCAATTCGGTCGTGGACGGAAAGGGGCGAATGCGGCGAGAATGCAGTTGCTGTCTCGGCTGCTTCCAACAACTTTCCCTTCTACAACAACAGCCAAGAGGGCGGCCGATGAGAGGGAGAGACTATGTAGTCGGCATCAGCCTATGCGTGAAATCTAACACGCGAGAGAATTTGCTCGTCCCTGACGCTGCTGCTGTAGCCTCGACCAGGTATGAGCTATATAGATCTTGATCTCGATAGATATGCGAGTAATTCACGGCCACGTTGGTAGAGATTGTGAAAACGTGCGAGCTCGGTTTGATAGGTGTTCCCCTTAATGAAGCCAAATTACGAGTTCATATGAGGAGAAGGGCCTCGACCATACAAGCTTCTTGTCCTCACTTCGCGGGTAAACCAGTACCAGTAGTGACCAGTGCCCCTTTTAAAGTAGAGACATGGCTAACATGTACGAAAAAGAAAAGAAAAGTTGAACCCATAGAGAAGCGGTCGAATCGGCTAGGCTTCAACAGCCCGTACAGAAGCAATATGAAGTAGGAATTCAGAAACCGATGGGCCAAGCCATTCTCATAAATTATCTCATGGCCATCGCGGTTAATCTAACTTGAATTCGTTGCCATAACGAGAAAGTATCCAGTACGCTCAAACAGCCTCTCCCCTGTTGCATGCGAAATTTCCCCTAAACTGGAACATCGCGAGACGATCTAGTGGTTGACAACGACGAAAAGGCCCAAGTCACAGTATTGACTCCTCCGCATTTTCCTTGGTATACCTAAGAGCATATATCCACTACTTCCATCGTCGTTACTGTCGATTTCCCTCCTTCCGTAGCATAACCCCGAAGGCGAAGACCGGTCAGGCCTCGTCCCTCTCGTCGACCCCTTGAATGCTGCGCGATGGGGGAAGACGTGAGCTCAGTGGGTAGATTCCTCACCAGTGAGGCGATCGACGCGTCAATCCCACCGAAAGGACCTCCGCGGTGATCAATAGCGTGGCTCCTCGCTTCCGGGGAACACGGCTAACCACCCTCTAGGTGCTCTCGCAGAAACCTTCGGGCTAACAGTGGCGAATACCCTTTCTCGAATCGAACACAACGAGGGGCTCTTGATTAGGCGGCTCGAAGTAGGTATCTTGGGGGGATCCCGCCGCAGCGAGAAACGAACACTACCACGAGTCGACACAGAACTCCCAGAGTCAGGCAATTCGAATCGTCGAGCCGACCTCAAACAGGCAAACCTAATGACGCCACAGGGGAAGAAGCTGAGGAGATGAACAAGCGCGTAAAGAGCATTTTATGATAGGGCCTCGAGTATGTTGACAACGAACGAGAAGTGCCCCAGAGGGAGATGCCCCCAGGTAGATGCGTCGTAGACACAGCCCTACCCAAAAACACACGTTTCCATGATTCCTTAGCCCCTCGCCTCGGCCTGCTCTTTGCTTGTGTCAGCTGTTAGTACGCCGATCCTATTTCGGGGGCAGTAGGCACTGGTGAGGTTCTTCTACTTCGCTTCGACGAGTATCGTGACGAGCCAGCGGCCGTGAAATAAATGGCCGTGCTCGCAACGATTACCTACCTCTGCTTCTCGCCGTCCACCGCAATAACAGCCACCTACCTCATGCTTTCTCGCCCTATCATCTCTCTGCGCGCATAGTTCGTCATGAAGCTCGTGGCCCGATTCGTATCTGCGGCTCTCCATCTTTATACAAGAATACTTGCGATCTCCCTTGGCCGCTTTCAATATCCCCGGCCAAATCTATAGACGTATATATGTTATTTCCCGCCCAACATCCTGCGCGTAAACGCGGGCTACAGAAGCCCCGGGAGCCCGCCGCTGACATTGATACCAAACTAGAAGTCTACGCGTTTTTTTCACGCCCGCTACCTTCTATCTGTCCTCTAGCCCAACACTCCGGCTCGCCTGCCCCCTCCTACTTATGCCCAGCCGACCCATCTCGATCGCCTCGCCGGCCTCGACGTCGGCGCTCGGCCGGCCGCGGCCCTCCTCGGCCAGAACCTCTTCGCTCTTCCTCTTCTTCCCGTCACCGTCGCCGCCCCCAGCGCCGCTACCTCCGGCGACGGGTGCCGCGGCGCTCGCAGTCTCGGTCGCGGCAGCGAGCTCGGCGGCGGCGCCGAAGATGCCGCTGGTGCCGCCGACGCTCTCCATGGTGAAGGGGCTGGCGGCGGGGGCGTCGAGGGCGGCGAGCTCGGCGGGCGTGAAGAGGCGGGGCAGCAGCAGCGCGCGCGCGGGGACGAGCGCGAGGATGGCGACGGGGAAGCCGACGGCGGCGACGGTCTGGGTGATGGCGAAGGTGGCGGCGAAGGCGGCGAGCTCGACGGCCACGAAGCCCCAGACGGCGGCGCGGCGCGGCAGGCGCTTGAGCGGGTGGGCGCCGGGGGTCAGCGCCGCGTCGCGCGCGAGGAACGCGAGCTTGGCCGTGATGCCGTTGCCGGCGACCGCCTGGTAGCCTATGATGAAGAAGAGGCCCGCCAGCACCGCCTGCGGGATGAGGTGCAGCACGCCGAGCAGCGGGCCCGTCATCGTGCCCAGCGTCAGCAGCCCCTGCGCCAGGTTCGACGCGCGCTGCTCGACCACGTGCGTCCGCCGCACCACGTAGTGGCCCTTGGCCGCCGCCGCCGCCCCGTCCTCCTCCGTGTCCGGCTCCACCCGCGTCACGCACAGCGACTCGGTGTGGAAGGGCGCCTGCGGGATCAGCCCGTTCGGGAACGGCAGGCCCAGCACCCCGGCCGCGCCCGTCGTCAGCCCCAGCAGGAAGATGTCCCAGTGGAAGCCGGCCGGCTTGCGCAGCGGGAACTCGGTCCCCTGCGCGATGAGCGACGATACTGCGTAGCGGGGCGCGCGTCAGCCGTCACGCGTCCTTCGCTCATCAGGGGGGGGGGGGGGCTCGGAGCGGGCACGCTTACCGTTGTGGTCGAAGTAGAACAGGATGGTGAGCAGGACGGCGAAGGGGAGGGCGAGGAAGACGTCGCGGACGGGGATGTCCCAGAAGCGGACGAGCCAGGGGCGGGCGGCGGTGGGCGCGAAGGCGGAGCCGGTGGGCAGGGGCTCGAGGGCGACGGCGCGCATGCGGCCGAAGCGTACGAAGCCGGTGAAGAAGACGACGGCGAGCGGGGTGCCGTAGTCCTGGAGGAAGACCCGCACGGGGTGGCGGAAGAGGGGGCCGGCGCCGAGCTCGCCGCACGCGTACGCCGCCATGAAGACGAGCAGCGCCACCGCGATCGACAGGTAGAAGGCACCGTCGCCGTCGCCGTCGCCGCCCTCGCCGCCGGCCGACGTGAGCCGCTCCAGCACCTGCACCCCCTTCTGCAGGTAGATGAAGGCGACGTAGAAGCCGAAGATGTCGCACGGGAACCGCGTCACGTACCGCAGCCAGTTGCACGCGTTCGTCGCGGCCAGGATCCAGTGGAACACCAGCGACCACAGCCCGATCCAGCACATGAAGGCGAGGTAGTCGATGCCCGTGGGCGCCATGATATCGTACACGGTGCTAAGGGGGGAGGGGGGGGATCGCCAAGTTAGTCCCGACCTAAACCGTCCCCCTTGCCCTCGCTCGAGGAGATTACTCGATGCGATTGCGCAGATATCGCAAGGCGACCAGATAGGTTGGCAAGCGAGTATATCTGCATGAGAGAGAGAGGGGGGGTGAGACATACTAGTTGAACACAGTGATAGGGCCCGTGACGCCGACGATGACCAGCGGCTGGCACGCGAGGAGGGCGAAGACGACGGCGCCGAGGACCGAAGAGAGGAGCACCTCGTTGACGCCGTACTGCATGTTGGTCTTGGTGAACATGTCGAGGGAGAAGGCGAGCGCCGGCAGCATGCTGCAGAGGAGAGAGACGGCGGTCTCGTTAGCATCTCTCGTTCCCCGTCCCCTGGAACGGGTCATAGGAGTGAGTTTATGACCGTGGCGGGCGTTGCCACCGTTGAGCCAGGCCAGTCGTTGCCGACATCTAGGGCCGCCCAGAAGAAAAGGACCAAAGACAATTAAGGAAAGACGCAACGAATAGAAGACGGGCTGGACGCATACTTGGCAAAGTACATGTACACCGTCGACGGCACGACGCGGTAGTCCCAGGCGTCGAGCCAGTCGCTCGCGTAAAACGGCGCGCGCCGGCGCACGTCGTTGACCATACCGCGGAAGAGGTGGATCCGCCACCAGCTATCTCCGGCGTCGGCGTGTCGGCCTGGGGCGCTCTCCTCCAGTCGTCGATGCTGCTGCTGCTGCTGCTGCTGCTGCTGGCGGTGGTGGTGGGGGTGGCGATGGGCAGCGCGACGCGACGACGACGCCAGCGAGCTCACCCACCGCCGCATCCGGCCGCCGCCCTCCTCGGCGCTCGGCCGCAGCCCTGCCGCCGGGTCCGCGTGCATCGCTGCCGTCGGCAGCGCCAGGGAGTCGGCCGTCCGCGACATGCTGGCCGCGTGCGCCTGGCGCAGTCTCCTCGGGTGGGGTCCGTGGGTAATGCTCCCTCGGTATTAGTGGCGGGACGATCTGGTCAATAGCTTAAGCATTCGTTTACAGAACCAGACAAGCAAGAACCCGCCTATAGACCAGGGCCCATCGGAGTCCCGGGAACGGGAAGTAAAAGGGGGGAGAGGGATGGAGGTGTACCGCCAGGCGGGTGTAGAGATGAAGCAGAGAAGAGAAGACAAATCCTTCCTACATAACCTGTAAAATTTATTTGGGCCAGTTAGAAGGGAGCTCAACAGCGTACAGACAGAGAGATCAATGAATAGAAGTATTTGCACATAACGGACCCTGAGTAGAGGCCGGTCTCGAGGCGATGCCTGATAGACCAGACCGGCGGTGTAAGTGGTCCCAAAAAAAAAAAAGGCGAGCTTTCCACTTGCCTTGGCTAGGGCATCCTCATAGGAGCTGGAATACGCAGTTCTACTGATTATCCCTGTAAATAGTCCCCCACCAGAACTCGACATATAAGTAACTAGAGAATATGGAGAGAGACGACGAGACCTTAGTATGGCAATAAAAACTCGTCTGTTAGGAGAGGGGCGCAAAGACACACGCTTCATGGTATTCGCCTCATTCATCGTAAAACTTCTCTCTTTTTTTGGACATCCCACCCCCGCCAGTCCGATGCCATGCCATAATGAGACTTCTATCTAAGTATTACACAATAGATATAGGCCGCGCCACGTAATGCGCTTTTCCTTCCCAGCCGTAGCGGTAGAAATATACACAGGATGAGTTGAGAGCCTCGGGCGGTCATCAGATATCGTGATGAAATGGCCCTCGATGGCCCCGAGTTGCATATAGACATCGCGATCAAAGCAGAGCTACCTCGCCTCCTTGTCGTCGACTGGCCTGAATGCCGGGCTGGGAGACTCAGGGGTATCTGGAAGCTCCGGCGGCGATGGTGGCGGTGATGGTGGCGGCGTTGGCGGCGAGGGAGCCCTGTGAGCCTTACCCCCGCCACCAAAATACTTGCTGAAGTCGTCTCTGTCGTCAAACGGCCGTGGGCCTAATAAGCGAACCATATCGTCCCGGACGAGCACTTCCTTCCTCAACAACTCCTCCGCAATCAGTCCCACCTCTTTCTTCTTCTCGAGCAGGAGGTCCTTGCACTTCTTGTAGGCCTGCTCTACGATCCGTCTCACCTCGGCGTCGATGATCTGGCCCGTCGACTCCGAGAAGGGCTTGTGTACCCTGTTCTCGTCGTTGCGGAAATGCAGCGGCCCAACTTTTTCCGACATGCCCCATTGCGTTACCATTTGCGTAGCCATGCGGGTGACCTTGTCGAAATCATCACTAGCCCCCGTCGTGACCGTTGGAAAGTGGATTTCCTCCGAGATCCGGCCGCCTAACGTCATCGCCATCCGATCCATTAGTTGCTCGTAGGTCATTAGGTACGCATCTCCTGGTAAGTATTGCGCGTACCCGAGGCCCTTTCCTCGCGGTATGATCGAAACCTTGAGGAGAGGGTCGGCATATCTAAAGAACCAACCGCAGATGGCGTGCCCGGCTTCGTGATAGGCCACCGTCTTCTTCTCCGTCGGATTCAGGACAAGGGATTTGCGCTCGAGACCGCCAATGACCCTTTCGACGGCCTGCTCGAAATGCTGTAAGGTGACAGACATCGCATTGCCCCTCGCGGCTATAATTCACCTGTTAGTAAATGGCGCAGAAACTATAGTAATTATGGACGGTTGTTGAGGAAGGGGGGGGGGATACCGATGAGAGCGGCTTCGTTTACGCAGTTCGCAATGTCCGCACCGGCAAAGCCTGGCGTGAGGGACGCGAGCCGGCCACTTAGAAATTCCATCTCTTCGTTGGTTATGATTTTTTTGAGGTATACTTTGAAGATTTCCTGCCGCCCTTTCATCGTTGGCGCGTCGATATTAATATGTCGATCGAATCGGCCAGGCCGCATTAGTGCCTTGTCGAGAATGTCCGGTCGGTTAGTTCCGGCGAGGACGACGATCTGATCGGTGGTGTTGAATCCATCCATCTCCGTGAGGATCTGATTAAGGGTGGCTTCTCGTTCGTCGTTGCCTCCGAACCTCTGCCCCTCGGAACGAGACCTACCGATGGCATCGATTTCGTCGATGAATATTATACAGGGCGTATGCTTGCGCGCTGTGGCGAAGAGGTCTCTCACTCGAGAGGCGCCAACGCCGACGAACATCTCAACGAATTCGGAGCCGCTGACGCTGAAGAAGGGTACCCCCGATTCGCCTGCGGTCGCTTTGGCAAGGAGCGTCTTGCCCGTACCCGGGGGTCCGGCGAGAATGGCGCCGCGAGGAATCTTAGCACCGAGTCTCTGGAACCTATCTGGCTTCTTGAGGAAGCTGACAAACTCCATAATCTCCTGCTTCGCTTCGTCCATACCAGCGACATCGGAAAACTTGACCTTGATAGCCGTCTCGTGGCTGAACCGCTTGGCCTTGCTCTTACCGAATCCAAATATGCCGCTGGATCCGCCAGCGCCACCAGGGCCACGCCGTCCAGCCCAGACGAGCAACCCGACGAGCAATAGCGTAGGTCCAAACGCCATGAGGAGGTTCACAAAAGGGCTCTCGCCGGTGTAACTCACCGGTATCCTCTCGCTACTGGGGATTCCGAGCTCGCTCTGGGCCTCGTCCAGGCGCCTCTCGAAAGCTTCGACAGAAGCGATAGAGAAATAGTAGCTGAATCCGGGGCGCATCGCGACCGAGTCGGGATACATAGATCGGACCGCATCGCGGTTGAGTTCGACACGGACCGTGTGGCCTTGAACGATCATCTTCTCGACGAGACCCTTGTCTAGGAAATTCCGCCTTAGCTCTTGCCATGTTATTTCCCGACCGCTCTCTTCGAATATGGAATTGTATAGCCAATAAGCGATAGCGGAGCCCACGATAGTTGTCAGCCAGTCATTACTCCTCATCGGGGTATTCTCAGGAGGTGGGGGGGGTTTCTTGGAGCCGAAGCCACCGAAATCCTTGTCGCCTTGCTGGGATCGTTGCTGATAATCTCTCTGCTGTCCCTGCCTCTGGCCCTTTTCCTTTTCCTTCTCCTTCTCCTTCTCCTGTGCATTTTCTTGTTCCTGGCCCTGTTCCCGCTTTCGCTCCCGTCCCCGCGGCCTCTCCCCCCCTTCCCTCTGTTCCGGCGAAGGGGGTTTGGCGTAGGCACTAGAGTTTTTGAAGTCGATCTGCCCCGAAGCCTCAAGTTCGGCTATTCTCTTGGATAGGGCGTTGACAGACTTTAAAAGCCTGGCAGCATCCGCCACGCCAAATTCCTTTTCGCGCTTGATTATGTGTAGAAAATCCTCGGGGACCCCGGTCTTTCTTAGCTTGTCAACCACGTTTAGCGGACCAGAGCCGATACCGGCAAAGCTCGCCACGGAATTGGAAGATATCATGTCCCTAAGCTTTGCGAGATCCTCCTCTTCGATATAAACCCAGCCTTCGGGCAGCGGCAGCCTGCCGTCCTTCTCTGCCCCGGAAGCCGTGCTAGCTGCCTCACCCTCGGTCGGACCCGGCGATTCCGAGCTCTTCATCTCGGGCCTCGCTTTGCGACTTTTGGATCGGGGCGACCCATTCTTGCCGACTCCATCGCTAGCACCGGAGCGCTCGGACTTCTTGTCGTCAGAATAGTATCGAGGCCATTGGCCCGGCCAAGCCGACCGCGACGTGCGCAGGAGAGACGGGGACGATCGTATGGTCAACCGAGCAGGGGCGCCGAGCGACAGACGAGCAACGCGCGCGAGACCGGCAGAGCGTCGCAGTAAGCTCGTCATGTCGGACAAATTCGAGAGGCCTCAAGGGGGGTCGTTCGGGGGACCGGAGAGGCAGGGGAAAGAGGAAATCTCGGTAGGAAATCGCGTTTTATCTCATGGGGAAACTTGGGCGCAGGCCGCCAGTGTCTAGCGCCCGCGGGATTGGCCGGTGCTTGGGCGTGGCAGAGGCAGCGCTGTCGAGGCGTGCAGATTGGAATCGTCGAGAATTTGCCTGGCGCTGACAAAAGAAGTCGACCCCCGTGGTGGTGCCGATGATGGTGGTGGTGGTGGTGCAGGTGGCTCCAGTGGTGCCGATGAAGGATCATGCGAAAGCCCCGCGACAGGTCTAACCGCAATCGGCTTAGCAGCAAGGACGTCATGCAACTAGGCCGTTTGAGGCTATTTAGGTACCCGGCTTATTACGTATGTGTGGCTGTGTAGCCACGTGATATATCCGGGGATACCGGACTTTATGCGCAGGTAGCTGGGTACATAGTACTACGCATACGTAGATTCCTCCTTTTATGCAATACGCCGTAATAACCTGCCAATCGGTGATGGCCCCCTTCCAGGTAGGTAACACAGTCAACTCCACCAGCCCTAAGTCAGGAATCATTCTCGCAGCAGTACCCTTCAACAGCCCACCATCGTTCTTCTTTTCTTCCTTTCTCCACCTCTCAAATATAAATAAATACTCCCAATAACACATCAACTCCGGATCCGCACTGGGTTGGGTGTACCTATATGAGAATACAGCGAGCCGTTCAACGTCCTACCATCAGGCGACCACAGTCACGTTACCGGACGGGTGTTTTTGGTTCTGACGCTTGTCGGGATCAGGATGCGGCCACAACCGGGATTCCTCATCCTCGCTGCGGCTGTCCTGGCACCTGCTCGTGTCTGAGAACGAGGACATGTTGTACGATTCGTCGGGTCCCATGTTACGACGCTTGAGATTATATCGCTCCGCGTTATCTCGCTCGATCGTGTGGGCCGCCCTGTCCGGTCCCGACGATCCGCTGTCAGTGTGCTTGGCGTGGGCGCCGAGGAGGACAGGCAGGTATCGGCTGAAGAATGGCCGAACCACCGGCACCGAGGCGCACACGATACCAGCGTTAACCTCGATGAAGCAGAGTATCACTACAGTAGCGACAGTCAGCTAACGTCGCTGTGCGAACGGCCGAATAGACACGTTTCCCGTCATACCGCGTCGGTATAACAATCTCGTCCCCTCCCGGGTATATGCCCATAGCATATGCCCACGGTGTATATCGGAAAACGAGACACCAGCAACAGCAGTGACGCCTTGTATGTACTCACTATCGGGCACCGCATCCCAGTCGTAGTCTTCGCTAGCTTCTAGGACCGGTATGTAAGTCACTCGCTGAAGCGCGACAGCGCATACGCTAGTCAGGCGGTTAGTAGGTGCATACACCAGAGCTACCTTCACCTTCAGCGGTCTCGCGTAAACATACAGAATACCCGTCGCAAATAGGAGGATCACCGAGAACTTCTCTCGCTTAGGGAGCTGCATTCGTATCACTAACGGAATCGGCAATATGAGGATGACAACATCCATAGCGATGTCTATCGTGCGTCAGCGTCATCCGCAGAGATCTGAGGCGCCGCCGGTCACGCACTAAGAATGGGTTAGCCTATACGTAAGGGATCCGAAAATGAATAGGATGGAGATGCGGAGCGGCAGCCATCATCGACGCACCTTAAGCTGCTAAGAGCTATGTAGGCAGGATACGAGTCGTAACACTCGGCATCCAAGCTCTCATCGACGATGCCTTGGAGCGGCCTGCAGGCTAGCGACTCGACCAACGCGGCCGCTATCGAGTAGCTAGCAATGATCCCGAGGCACGTATAACAAGTCCACCGGAACCATGTGTGCGGCGCAAGCCTCAGATACAAGACGAGCATCGACATCTTAGCAAAGCTGACGCTCAAGATGAACGATAGGTAAGCTAGCAGGCCATACTGAAAGCGACGATTAGCGTCGTGTGCGGAAGGAAATATACGTCCAGGCAGCTAGATGGAGGAGCATTACTAGGCGTTCGCCGATATGGTACGTGTCTTGCAGAATGTCCCAGACGTGGTATGTGAGGCCGTGGTCGATGTCTAGTTATCCAATACGCGAGTCAGAAATGGCTGTAAGCTACGTCCGTCGCAATCGAGACCGAAATCTTCTACCTTTCTTCACGAAGACTAGCATCGCGACTGAGACTACGAATGAGGTAATGACCAGCCCTTTATTTCGAGTCAGTTCGCCATTTCCAGAACACTAGGCACTTTGCGTTACGCCTCGCTCACAGTCGTCTGGTCCGAGCCTCTTGCTGAGGACGCGGATCCTGGTGTAGAGACGGAGGCTCAGGGCGAGGCCGGCGATAATCGTCATGGAAATGCCGGCCGCCATCAGGTCGCCTCGGCGGGTCGGCGGGTCGACGGGCGTGCGGACCTGCCCCGGGGGCGGTTCCGCATAGTAGATGGGACCCTCGCTCATGGCTGGAGCCTCGATGTCGTCACTCGGGGAGCCGACACGAGAACTGGAGGAGGTATGTCGATCACGGCCGAAGGAAGAGGAACGATGGATGGCTCCAACGTGGGTGCGGGCGGGCACCGGTGTTGGAATCGAGACGATGGTGAACCCCCGGGCAATTTAGGAATGGCAGGTCGACATGACGATATTAAATCGTGATTCTACAGCCCCCAGGCTCGGGTTATCGCGCGGGGAATGGGACAATCTCATTTCACTGGCATGCAACCGCCTAGCTAGCACAGAAAAGTCGGCTGTCTGGGTGAGCCAGCCACTCACATGAGAGATTGCTTTCCGAGTTGTTAGTTACCTACGCACAGCCTGACCCATGTACCTATCTATATCCGGATATTGCTGCTGTCTGCTCGTGCGGGCTTACACGACAAGCTGCCGATCGTCCCCATGCTGAAAGCAATCCTTGCTGCGTATGTATGCACAATACGCACATACGACGAGGTAAGTAGCCCGCCGAGAATCTTGCTCGCCCTATTGGTAGACGCGGACATCAAGGCTGACCTGTCGGTCCATCGACGCATCTGCCCAATATCCTGGGCCACGCTGGTTAGGTGTATGTAGGTTTGCGGGCGCATCGTGTAGCATTCGACCTTCCAGCGGGGAACCTCGTCACAATCCAAAAGCAGACATCGCTCCCACTAACGTCGGTAGCCAACTGGTCTGGCAAACCAACAGTTCCGTGGTACGCCATCCGAGGGTCCAGACGCTGTGTCCTGGTCGCTCTGCCAAGCCTAGGAAAAAAGGGAGCACAGGATCATGAGGGCGTGCGGTGCGCGCCTCAAAGCCGATGATCGTCTCCCTCTCCTCCCCCCTCTCTTCCCCGTCAGCACCCCTCACCGCTCAGCACAGCCTCGAGGCCTTACCTGGGGAGCAAGACGAGGTATATAGCCCAGTTGAACGCCTTACATACCTACACATATACATGGCTACATACATGCCTGCGCGGGTAGGTCAGCTATTCATCCCTTCGAGCTTCCCCAAGTGGCAAATATACTTACCGAGGAGATAGCGCGGAAAGCTCCTCTACGACATAAGCAGGGTGCATGCATACCGGTGTCGGTTTGATTAACGTGACGGAGAGCAAGCAGGAGAAATCCAGCCTCCGCACTCTTTCTTCTCCAACCAACACCCACGCCAACGTCCTAACGGAATGGACGGTAATACAAAAAGGACAGTTGGACATCGAAGTGTCGCCGCCACCGACATACCCCGGTTCAGGCCGTGGTGCCTCACGGTGCACCAACGTACTCAGTAGAGATAGACCAAGGCTTGTAGGTGTGTAAATTGATCGACGAGTCTCCCCCTAGAGCTGTGTCGCCGGCCACGCGTTCTATACAAAGACAGCCCACCTCGCCCTGGGGTGGCTTACGGCCAAGACACTCTGGCTTCGGTTCCGCGCGCGGTGTCCGAAAAAGAAAACCTGTACGAGCTCCTCTTGTGTGTGCGTGCCTCTCGCCTTACAAATACGAGGACGGCCCGGTAGGACGGTAGCACAGTAGTAGGCATAAATCCCAGGCTACAATGGGTTGCATTTTTGACGCATGCCGCCTCTCCCAACTTGGCTGGGTCGACGGCCTATCACCCCACGATGTCGAGCCCCCAGGCATGTAAGCCTCGCTAATACATCGAGGCGGGGAGCGAACTCCGGTCAAGCCTCGTCCCCCCCTCCCCTCGCTCCCCCCAAAAATGTCAAGGGGCAAGGAAAGGAGGAAAAGAAGAGACGGGGTGCGGTCTTCGTAAATAGACCAGTAGAGATATTTCTGTATAACTGGCGAGCGCGAGGGCGTACGCCCCCGGGGCCGATAGGACAATGCTCTGAATACACTAGCTACCGCCCTGTTCCTCCTCGCTCCTCGTGCTTACCCCCACGTTCGTTGCCATTGTAGCGCAAGCCAAATTCCGCCTCCGCACTCCTCCCAACCATCCCCTAAGCAAAGCAACCGGGGGGGGGGTTGCGCGAGCCGACGGCCTATTTCGTCCGCCGCCGCGCGCCACTCACGGCTTCTCGAAGCACATGACGGCGTACCGGAAGGACCCGTTAGCGTAGCCGCGCCGCATCGCGCGGAAGGCCTGCAGGAACGCGAGCCCGTCGCGGCCCTGCGATATGGCGAAGGCCCACAGCGCGGGCGACGACACGAGCGACCACGAGATGTCCCTGGGGCGCGTTTTTTTCCGTCTTAGCGACGAGGCAAGGGACGAGAGGGGGGGGGTGAAAGAGAGTGGGAGGGGGAAGGGAGGGGATTGGGAAACGCAAAGTAGGAAAAAAAGGGGCTCGCTCACCACGTCCTAGCGACGTCCTTGCTGATATCGACGGGGGCGCCGCGCAGGCGGAAGCCGGCTTGCTCGGCGAGGCCGACGTACTCGTCGATGGTGTAGAGGCGAGGGACGAGCATGCCGTCCTCGATCGGGCGCAGGTCCGCGGCCTCGCGGGCGGGGTCGAGGCCGGGGGCCTTGAACCAGTCGGCGATGACGAGGAGGCCGGCGTCAGCACCGGCACCTCCGCCGCGCAGCAGCGCGAACGCGGCCGCGAAGAAGCCCTCCTTCGCCGGCAGGTGCGACAGCGCCTCGGTGATCCACACGCAGTCGAAGGGGGCCGGGGCCCCGGGCCCCGGGTCGAAGTGCGCGCGCATGGTCTCGGCGTCGAGCTCGAGGAAGCGGGCGCCGCCGCCGCCGGGGTACGCGAGGAAGCCGTCGGCGGTCGCGGCGGCGGCGGCGGCGTCGCCAGCGCCTCCCGCCGCCAGGCCCGCGACCTCGGCCGCCGTCGCCTGCCGCGCCATGGCCACCTGCCGCCCGCTGATGGTGATGCCGGTGACGCGGCAGCCGCGCTCGCGCGCCAGGAAGCGCGAGGTGCCGCCCAGCCCGCACCCGACGTCGAGCACGCGGGTGCCGGGCCGCGGGAACGGCGTCGCGCCGGTCTCGGCCTCGGCCCCAGCGCCCCCGTTGCTGATCTCCAGCAGGAAGTCGATCAGGTTCGCCTGCGCCTGCTCCTTCGTCTCGTCCGCCGACCGGAACAGCCCGTGGTGGATGTGCTGGCCCCTGCCGGCGCGCGTGAGCTGACGTGCGTGGCGGTGGGGAGAGAGAGGGGGGGGGGGGGCGCGGGAGAAGAAAAAAAGGGAGAAGGGGAGGAAGACGACCCTACCATAGCGAGTAGTAGTAGTCGGACGCGATCTCGTAGTGCTTCTTGATGCGCTCCTTGAGCGAGTCGAAAGACCCATGGGCCTCGACGCTCGGGATCTCGTACTGGTCGCCGGGGTGCGGCAGACCGGCGGCGGCGGCGGCAGTGGCGTTCTGGGCCATGGCTGGGGTATGCAGCGAAGCGACGGCGGCGATTGTCGGTTGCGAGAGGCAGTACGGGCGTGTCAAGATATAGCCTAGACGGGGTTCCGGAGTTCCGGAGGGCTGGAGGAGAGACAAAAGACAGGATTTGTTTTGTTCGTGGAAACACACGCAGGCAAGATTCAGAGTGCACACCGCCGCACCGTGAGGGGAGGAGGGGTGTGGTCGGCCCCAAGCAGCTAACGGAGCCCGGCCACGACATTCTTTCTCGCTTTGGGCGTTGCCGAATGCCCTGCAACGCTAAGCTCTGCCTCTCTCTATAGTCGCATATATCTATCTATCTGTACATGTGTATATGTGTATAGGTATATACACCTGGTATATGTATATATATATAGGTATATCCTTGGACGAGGTTTCATGGCGTCCGTTATTATGTATTTTGCCGAATCTCGCGCGAGGCACCGCTTGGGATATCACAAAACACCAAAATGCCATGCTGGCACGCACCCCGTAGTAACGCTCTCTCGAGTCTGCACATGTGAACGAGAAATACTTGCTTTGCACACTGTATTATACGCCCGTCCCCAGTCAAGATAAGGGGTATGGGCAGGTGGTTATAAACGTAACACACCCCCTAGATTGGCCCCGACGAGCTGTCTGTCTCATCTACACACCCAGGTATCGCCTACACGAAGTGGTGAGGTACACCATATGCATGCCTCGTCGCATATTACATAGATAGGTATATGTACGGATATATAACTATGCCTACATACAGGTAGATGTATACAAGTCCAAGGCAAGAACACGGAGCCGAAGAGGGACATACCGAGAGCGCGAATATAACAGAGGGAAGAGGAAGAGGAAGAAGAAAAAACACAACTCCTCATTAGCTAGAAGGTATGTATGGTAACCGGGGAGCAAGCACGTAAAAGATCCCCAATCCAGTCCAGCCCCTGGAGATCAATGTAAAGAGTCGGCCGTTGCAGTAACGTAGATGCGCGTATCTTCGTCCGAAGAAGCAAAAGCAGTGAGAAATAACCGGAAAGGAATAACCAAAGAGTAGAGAGAAGTGAGGGGGAAAAAAAAATACGCTGCTCCCCTGATTTTGTCCACTCGCCGGCGCACAACACACAATCTCTTTCTCTCTCTCTCTTCGCCGACCCACATGCTCTGCAAAGTCCTATCGCGCCAGAGACCCCAAAATTAAGAAGAAAAGCCCATCGACCCGAAACGCTCGTGCCCGGGGTTCTGGCTGTCGGTTCCGTGGCCAAACGTATGTATCCCGCGCTCTTTTTTTCCCCCATCCCTCTTCTCGCATATTTTTATCTCCCACTCCCGCCCGTGCTGCGTCCTTCCGCTGTCCGGTTTCCTGTAGATAGGAGACCAGTTCCCAAGAGAAATGCCAAAAAAAAAACATCTAGATCCGCGAGAAACCCGGCCTTAGAATGCGTAGTAGCAGCAGCTAGTGTCCTTCCTCTTTCTTAACGCGTAACGTGCTAGCAGCTTAATTCCCCGCGTCCTGCATCGTGCACCCGTTCTCGAAGCTTGGATATGCGCCCCCCGTGAACTCGGCCCAGTCCCAGTCGAGGCCGCCGGGGACCTGCCAGAGCTCCTGCGGGAGCAGCGGCTGGTAATCGGGGGCACCTCCCACGCCGCCACCGCCGTTGCCGTTCGCGCCTCCCACGATCCCGTTCATGCCGCCGAGCGGCGCCATCGGCTGCCCGAAGCCCGTGAGTTCCGAGAAGTTGCCAAAGTCCATCGCGTTGGGATCCCATTCCGGCTGGTTGCTGCCGGACGAGGCCGACGGCCACGCCCCGGCCCCGTCGCGCGGCGCGGACCCGTTCGTCGTGCTCGCCGTGTTCATCGGGCTGAAGCCACCGTTCGCTGCGTTTTCCCGCCGGTTCTGCTCGCCGTTGAACTTAGGTGACAGCTGGGAGACGGGCGGTGTCGGCGCGTTGCTTGCGTACCCGGGAGTTGGCGTCACGGCGGCCGACGACGGCCGCGGCGTTAGATTCGCCTGGTACGACGGCGACGACGCGACGCCCGAGATGCTTCCTGCCCGGTGCGGTTGCTGCTGCGGCTCGTGACTCTTGCGCTTGCGCCGCGAGGTGTCGCGCTCGGCCTTGTCGATGACGATCTTGGCGATGCGCTCGAATTCCGAGCAGATGCCCAGCATGCGGTGCACCCCACCCGTCTCGGCCTCCTGTCCCAGCGTCGACAGAAATGTGACCACGAGGTTCATCAGCTTCGTGTCCGACTTCGCGCGCATATCCAGAGGGTTCTGCAGGATGTTGCCGAACAGCGTGACTAGCGCCGACACGGGGAAGTAGAGGATGAGCCTGCAAGAGTGAGCGTGTTAGCTAGCCTTCATAGTTAGAAGAAGAACCAGCCATAGCGGCTCCGGCGCGAACCACTTACCATACACAGGAGAAGTCGCCCTGCGGGACGTACTTGAGCAGCTGTATACTCGCTCTCGCTGCTGAGGCGCACAGGGCCGCCGACGAGAACACCCGAGGGTTGAGCGGCCTCGCGTTGAGGCCCTGGATGGCGAAGTTAGAGAGGCGGCTTGTCCAGTAGCCGTGGTGGATGGACATGCGGTGGATGGTGGTGAGGGCGTTGTAATAGGAGAAATGCAGCATGACGACGTGGAGTATCAGGGGCGTGTGGGAGGCTTTTATCTCGTGCTCCGGGCGGAAGTCGATCGGGATGTTATCCTTCCACGCCTCGAGCTGCTTATCAAGTTCGCCGATAGTGTGCAGCAGCTCGCCGTCCGACAGCTTTGTCGCCTTCGTCGAATACAGCTTCTTGTAAACCTGGCTCTCGATCACCGTGAGTTCGCACATCGCTCGGAACAGATTCATCTTCCCTTTCCCATCCGCGAGGGGGATGTTGCCGATGTTGTCGGCCGGGTCGGCGTCCGGAAGCTCGACGTTCATGTCGTCGTCGTCCTGCGCCGGGGGTCGTCCGGACCGCAGGCATAAATCCTTGTCCATCATGTACGCGATCCAGAAGACTCGTTTCCTCTGCTCGATCTCGACCGGGTTCAGGTTGAATCCGCTCCCACGCTTGTGCAGGCCGATGCTGTGCGATAATCGGATAGCCGCGGCGATGAGCAGGAACGAGGGCTGGGGATTGGGCGTCCCCTGCATGAAGGAAGCCATCCCGAGCAAGGCTTGCACGCTAAGCAGGTCGGTATTACGCATCGTTAGCTCCGAGAAGACACCCATCGCGTTCTTCATAAACGCCCACGACTTCTCGTCCTCCTCTTGCGGCACGAGATTGCTCATGACCCGAAGGCGATGCGCGATGGCCAAGGCGACGTTCAAGCTGGCCCACCAGCCGGAGCCTTGGTAAGGGTCGTTGGAGTATTGCCTCTCCACGAGGTGCATGAAAGTGGGTTGGTGGAACAGCGGGAACATGCAGTTGAAGTTATCGAAATAGTCCTTCAGCAGAGACAGGGCTTCTGGCTTAGGCGGCAGCTGCTGGTAAACGGGGCGGTGGAAGAGGTCGCCGAAGATCTCGGGCTTCCAGTGATTCCACTTATGATCGTCGATGGACACCTCCGAGATCATCTGCGGAAATGACGTGTCCCCCGTCTTCTCATTTACCCATTCTATACCTTTAGGTGAGAATATAGAGAACCCCGACGATGATCCTAATGTGTGTGCTGCTAGTTAGCGGATCACGCACGCGACAGGAGCGGATGGCTGCGTCCACTTTACCTATGTATCTCGTCTCTCCGGATTGGTTCGTCACCAACGAGCACATCATCTCCGACAGGGCCTCGACCTCTTCCTCGTCCCTCTGCCTCTCCGGTTGCGGCGAGGCATCCTTCCGGGGCTCCCTGCTACTCCTCTCCGGTTCAGGCGACGTCAGTGCGCTGCGGGGGGTCGACGATGCGCCATCGTGGCCAGAGGTCGCTGTTGCGGGCGACGTGGGGTTCGAGGTGGCTGCTTGCGACGTTTGTCTCGATTGTTGACGCTTCTCTGCGAGGCGCTTTTCTAGGGTCGCTAGATCCGTCGACTCGTCGTCGTCACCGAGCAGTCCTGGTCCCCAAACGGTCAGTCTGAGGGGGGTAGATAAAGGCGTAGAAGGAGTAGAGGGGGGGAAGCCCCGCTCCACGCCCGCAAGCCATCGCCTGCTCACACGTACCGGATAACCTCAGCAAGCTCTCCATGCGCCCCAAGCGGTTCTCCAAGCCCTCGATATACTTTGCACTGCCAATTCTCCGTCAGCGATATCCCAATGCTTCGTCGTGGCGGCAGTGGCACGCGTACCCCTTTGGGGGACTCCTCTTCTTCTCAACCTGTGTGAAGACGCAGTCGGTCTTGTAGTTGATGCAGTGGGTGCAGGCCGGGAGTTTTCCGTCGCACTTTATCTTCTTCTTCCTACACATATCGCAAGCCTTCACCATGCGGGTCAGCGCTCATCTGCTACGAGAGAGAGAGGCAGAGGCGGCAGAAGTAGGGGCGTGCACTCACCCGCGCGATCCTCCTCCTCTTCGCCTCGTTCACGTCGTCGAGCAGCGCGGCCGGGTCAAACGCCATCTGGGCAGCCAGGTCCGGCGGTAGCACGGGGAGCCCATCGTGCCCATAGGCTCCGAAGATCTGAGGGGGTTGGTTCATCAGCTGGGGCGGCATTCCCGGCATCTGGAAGCCGCCCGGATCGACCCTGATGTGATCCATCAGGTAGGTATATCTCTTTTCCCTCTTTCCGCCCGGCCCTGTCTCTGTCTAACTATCGGTCGGTCCGCGTCGTGCTTAATTTCTACGATGTATCTAGGATCGTCGCCCTCGGCGGTCGGTTCCAGTCGGTTCCGGTCGGTAGTTCGTAACGTTATACGCTGATCGTCTACTGTGCTAGCTAGATGCGATACCAGACAACTCGACGCGGCAGCATCCCAGTGCTATTCTCGAGGGACGGTCCAGGTAAGCGGTCGTCTTGCAAGAGGGAGGTATATGGGTATTTGGGTTCGGGGTAGGTAAACCCCAGGCAGGCAATGTGTGTATAGAGTATGGTTGTGGTTGTGGTTATGGATGTGGTTGAGGTGGTTGTGGTTGTGGTTGTGGTTGTGGTTATGGGTACGGGTACGGGTAGGTATGGAGAGCGCAGAGTGCAGCGCGCGAGCTAGAGGGCCTGACGGGGAGAAAGGTACTTGGGGCGGCTAGTAGCAAGTGGCCCGGACAGGTAAGAAGAGAGCGAGAAGCATCATGGTCCCCACCCCTGGACCAGACCCGGTCTCAGTCTCGACGGCGGACTATGAACTGCATCCCCTTTATGAACCAGGCCAAGATTACCAATCGAGGTAGCAGCTAGAGAGGCGAGGGTGACGGAGGTAACCTACGATTCGTCGGGCAGCCCCCCTCCCAAGACTCGTCCAAGAGCTCTTCAGGGGGGCTTAGCGGTTTAATGCCCAAGCACGCACGCACCCTACAGAGGTACCTACATATGCGCCGTCCTTGGAATTCGGTACATGCCCCCGAGGTAGCCCGGGGTGCCTGATCACGCCGCCCACATACCCGTATGTACCTGGCGGCAGCACCTGGCAGGCGGCGCAATACAGGTACCTCCCTACCCGATGCCATGTACCTACCTAGGCAGGTCTGGAGAAGGCATCCATGTCGTCGACGACAACTCGGCCGCCTGGCCACGCCGACCGACGGGGTGACAAATTTCCCGCCGGCTATTTTTAAAAAGCAGAGCGCGTGTAGGTCGGCCCCAGCGCCGCCTATAGGTAGGTATTTTAAGGTGCGCGGAACGGCAAAGCAGCCAACAGGCTGGAGAGCTGCAGGCTCGCAGACAGAATCGGCGAACATGTCATCGTGCTTCGCTGCGCACGAAAGAGGCAGCAAGAAGAGAAAAAAAGGGGAAAAGCAAGCAGAAACGCACGCCACGTTTGAGGCGACTAATGTGCATACCAAGCAGAACCGACGGCGTCGCCCAGGGATTTGCGAAGACGCCTCCTTAGTTCTGACATCGGACAAGTGCTTCAGCGATCTCCCTTCCCCCCTCCCCTGATACCACCGGCGAATCAGGGGTGCCGAAGCCCGCCATACTACCCAACACCACGGGTCTACGGGTCATAGCAGCAGCAGTAGGAGGGAAGGCCAACATGCGATCAATACATCATCATCATCATCATGTACATGCGTGTACGCACGGTTAACAACCTCAGGCGGTTACCTCGTTGGTGCCGGGGGAGGAGGAGGAGGAGGGGAGGCATTCCCCTTGACCGAGTCCCAGTAGGGCGTAGGGCGTTTGAATGTCGTCTGTCTACCCCGACCAACCCGGGAGTTTAGATAGACTATTGGTTTGGATAGCACCTCACATATAGACGGGAGGAGGTGCCTAGCACATCACATACCTACCTACCTAGGTACCTAAGATAAGGTAGGTAACCTGCCTGGCTACGTAGTGGGCCAGGGTTATGTTAGACAGTTTGGTTTTGCTCGTCTACCGCAGTCGTGTTCGTATCTATATAACACATAACACCCTCGCGATTGACAACTCCTCAACTCGGTGGATGAGATCGTAGGGCCGATCACTCTCGCCACCCTCTCCCCCCTCCCCTCCGCGACTCCGACTCCCGTTGTCGGTAAATCATAGAGAGACGTCTCTCTCATCCCAAGGAAAATACAACCTGACAGGAAAAAAAAAAAAAAAAAAAAGAGACTACTCAGGCGCTCAGACCCCCCATAGCATCGAAACTAAGATCGCTGTCTAGCGTGATAAGTAGATGCGCCCTCGGAGAGTCGGATGAACAACTCTACAAACCCCGTTCGAGGCCTAGAGGAAGAGAAAAAAGGCAACCAGAAGCTCCCTAATCCTCTCAGTCTAGCCCCTCCTACTCCTTTCGGCAGAAGAACAGGGGGCGTCAGTCCGCAAGTTGGTCCCGGCGGCTCGTCCGTATCTCCTCTTGTAAACTCGTATGTTTTGTATGTAGGTATGTTTGCCTGCAGAGCCGTACCGAGCAAGTCAGGTAGGTATACATAGACACGAGGACTCATATCGAGAGGAATCCATCCCGCTGCGTCACTAGGCCGCGCTATGTACCCGAATTACGTATCATACCTACGAAAACCCCAAGCCATACCCACGATCACGACAGGTCTACCCAGGGAGATCTGATGTATTTACGTATGTTTTATTCTTATTATTCTGCAGTGAAAACCGAGCCCGAATTCCCTCCTCGGACCCATCACCAGTTTGCTACCCTGGCTGTTTCTGTACGCAGGCGTGGGATCCAACCCATCCAATAAGCCGCCCGCCAGCCCAAGACCGCCTCGCTTCACCGCCCGCCCGTGGCATAGGAGAGAGGGCCGGTCGGCCGGCACACAGAACTGACAGGCAGGACAGACATCATGTCATGATAGATCACCCAGCAGCGTGCCTATTTGCCGCTGCTACGTAGAGCCGTGGGCGGCTTGCAACGGGCCTGCATATGCACATGTATATGCATGTCCGTACACACAGACCTGCCACCCATCCATCCTCCGGCGCGCCGGTGGGTGCGGCCATGTTGCGCCTGATAAGCTCGAATCCCTTCCCCCCATCCTGTCCACGCTTTCTACGTGTAATCCTTTCCATCACGTTACACCGTAGCACGTAGGTATATGTACATGCCTAAATATAAGGTGTTGGGTAGGTAGGCAAGGGAGATTGCGTGCGATCCCGCCCCGTGCCCGTCCCACAATGATATGGTGGCCCCCTCGGAGCGTTGGCTTTCGTTTCATCCGCTCACCGTGGTTGGTGAGAGGGATGGGGGAGGGGGGGGGGGGGCAACGGGGTTTCCCAGGTAGGCCTTGTCTGGTCTGGTCTTGTCCGTGGATCGGGGTTCGACGCTCGTCTACGGGGGGGAACGAGCGGGCGATGTGACGAAAACGACGGGGGGAACAAATCTTTACATGCCGCACATAGCCATCTCGTCTCCTAGCAAGAGGCCGAGATCCGTCCGGGGTAAAGTCGCAATTGGTGGCAGGTGGTCGGTAGAGAACAAGAAGGGGGGCAGAAAACGACAAATCAGGAAAAAAAAAACTAAGCTTAATCTCTCGCCCGCTTGGATATTGTCCGTCGGGTCCCTGGCCACATGTCGCAAAGAGAGCCAAGCCCAGCCAGCCGTGGGACGGGCGATGGGAGGCCTTCGCCTGTGTTTCATAACCGTCTCAACCGCGCAACCTGACGGGCCCTTCCCGTGTCCCGATCAGGCAGAGGGAAAGTCGTAGGCTTGGGCGACTGGGGTTCGGATATAAGTGCCGTGCGAATAGCGCAGCGCACGGAATCGAGATACGCATGGAGCCAGACTTTTCGTCTCTACTACTACTACACAAGCGGCGTCTCCTCCGTCGTGGCACACAAAACCCTCTCGACTTCGATTCACGGAAACGGCATTTACAGACAACCCGAGAACCCTTAGGTGGAGCCGGGGGGGTGGCAGTGGAGACGCTTGGTAACAATCATGCTTGATTAGGAGCCAGGCCGGACGAGATCGCAAAACGAAGCTCGTCCCGGCACCATCCGTGCTCTCGCTATGTCTCTCACTCATGTGCGTGTGAGTTTTTGTATCGTTCCCTGCCTAGCCCGAGAGGGCTCGGATGACCTGACTATTTACAAGAAATTGGGGGGTTTTTCTTTATCGCACATCTGACGCTAAAAAGTGGTAAGAGACCGAGAGGTGGAGGGAGAGAGAGAACGTTAGTGTATCTGAGAGTGATGACGAGATAAGAGAGGATGAAAGCAAGCGAAAAGCCGACCAAGCTTTTTCCCCGTTCCATCCCGTGATTTACATCCTCCTCCTTCACCGAACCCCCCTTTACCCACGACACCATGTAGGAAATTTTGGGCGGTTCAAAAAAAAAAGCCGCAATCAGACGCCAGCCTGATGCGAGAAGAAGCGTGTCGACATCGGCTTAGACAAAATAGTAGGTATCATCACAAAAAAGGCGGGCCAAGAAGAGAAAAACTGTACACGAGGCGTAATGGTGGCGACATCCAAAAAGAGCACATCGAACGCTGGGGTATCGATCAGGGGTGTCATAACTCCTCGGTGAACCGAGAAACCGAGCCTCGCGAGAGGCTCGACCCGTCGTGGGACGGGTGGGACCGCCCGAGGGGGTCCCTCGGCGGTTCGAGAGGCGATAGCGTGTCGGAGCCGGGGGACAGGGGGGTAAAGGGGCCCTGCTCCTGGACGGGGGTGCGGGCCGGGCCCGGGTTGAAGACGGCGATGCCGCTCTCGGGCCGCATCGGCGTGCCGAGGGCGAGCCGCGTCGGCCCCGGCACCGCCAGGCCCGGGAAGGCCAGCGAGTCGCGGTACTCGATCGACTGATCGCTCATCATCGTCGCCCGCGGGTCCGAGTACCCGTCGCCCCCGAACTGCAGCACCGACGGCAGCCGCTTGCCCGACAACTTTGCGAACCCCCGCTCGCCCCCGTCCGACGACTCCGTATTCCTCGACGACCGCCGCAGCCCCCCCAAGCTCGCGAGCGCAGCCGGCACCGCGAAACCTGCGGATGGCCGCCGCTCCGTCATGGGCGCGTCGGCTGTTCCTCCTCCGCCGCTATTACCTCCTCCACTTCCTCCTCCTTCTCCCCCTCCATTACCATCTCCGGCAGGTCCAACCAACATGCCGGACGGGCCGCGCTCGCCGGCGGACCCTTGCATGAGTTTCAGGGTGTTCTGGCGCTTCTTCCACTTGAGCAAGTAGAGCGCGAGAACGAGTAGAAACGCGAGGGCGGCGACGCCACCGAGCACGCTGCCGGCGACGGTGGCGGCCTCGGCGCTGCTAAGGGAGCCCGAGCCGCCATCGTCGGACGGGGCAGGCGGCGCCTCGTCGCCGTCGCCGCCGAAGCCGCCGCCGAAGCCAGACCCAGTCGCAGTCGGAGTACGCGAGGAGGAGGAGGAGGAGGATGTGGTCGACGACGCTACGCGCGAGCTCGTCGTGCGGGTCGCGCCCGAGGAGCTGGATAAGAGGACGCTGCTGACATTCTCTGCCGAGAATGCGGGGGCGGACGACGAGGTGCTGTTCGAGGGCGCGATAGAGACTAGGTGGAGGGTTAGTCAGGACTCGAAGGACGCGTGCGGCATGCGATAACTACGGGCAGAGAACGCATGCTGCAGAGAGATACGTGGGCAGGTAAGTGCGGACGAAAGGGGATCGGCATGGGGTTGGAGCGACGGCGGAAACAAGTTGGGGAGTAGATATCGCATGAGCGTATCTACGCATGCATGCACAGATTCAGCGAAGAAAAATAGAACGGACCTTGGGTTGTGTTAGACACGCCAGTTAACGGGGGGAAGGCGGGAGCGCCAGACAAAGGAGTGGACGTCAAAGGCGAGTAAGATAATGTCGGAAACGAGGTAGGCATCGAGGACTCCGACGGTGCTACGGTCGGGTCTATCGACGAGAAAGGAGGTGTCGATGATAGGCCGCCCTCATCGTCGCTGATGATCGGTGCGGAGGGAGTCGGGGGGCGAGTTAGAGCGGATACGCGTCCTGTACTCGGTTCGACAATCGCATCTGGGACGGGGGTGCTGGTGCTGGCGGTAATGCTACTACTACTGCTGCTGCTACTGGAGGTGATACTGCTGCTGCCGCTGCTGATGACGATATTATCGTTACCGGGGATGGCAGGGGGTGCAGGGAGAACAAGGACAGGACTGGGACTAGGACTGGGACTCGCGCTGGAACTAGAACTAGAGCTAGAGCTAGAACTAGGACTGGGACTAGAACTAGAATTGGGACCGGAACCGGAACTCGAAGTGGCAGTAGTACTAGTACTGGTACTAGTAGTAGTGGTAGTGGTGGTGGTGGTGGTGGACGACGACGACGAAGAAGAAGAAGGTGGCGGCGGTGATGGTGATGAGGAGGAGGAAGTGGTGGTAGTCGACTGGGTGGGCGTAACGGTCTGCAAGGTGATGACGGAACCGGTAGAATCGACCACCTGGATGACGGAGACGGTCTCAACGATTGTGACGGGGTCCGGATCAGCCCGCCTGTGGCCCCTTCTGGTGCCGTAGGGATCGGTAGAACGAGCGTGGTGGTGGTGATGGTGGTGGTTGTGTGCGTGCGGTTGACGACGGTCGTGGTGGCTGCTGTCTCTGCCGGAGTTGTGCTGAAAATGAGTGTGATGGGGGTGTTGATGTACGTCTCGGGCCTGAGGGAGTGAAGACCCCGAGACTGGGGTTGTCATCGCGCGTGGCGGTGAAAATGGTCAAATACGAGCTTTTTCCCCCAGGGCGTGCGTGTAAGCGTCTGTACTAGAATGCTAGACTCGTTTTCTTTCCCTTCTTTTTTGGGATCGCCTTCGGATTCGTTGATGGGGTCGGAAGGGGGCGCGGTTCGTTGCCTGCACTGGCTCTGGTCCGTTCCTCTCCTCTCTCTCCCGCTTTTCCTCTGTGAATCCCAACCCTAATCTCTTACTGGGCAGGCCGGCGGGCGAGTGGGAATAAACCCGAAAATAATAAATAAAGGAGCGAATAGGTTGAATAGGTTTAGTGAGGGTGCAGATCGGTCGGAGATCCCATCGTTATTATCGCGTTAAATTGGTGTCCCCCCCTTATTCCGCTCACTTCTGACTCCGGGGGCTCTCCCGCGTCTGCGTCTTCTGCTTCTCTTCCTTCACCGGGTCCTCATGGCATGGGCGCGGTAGCGGCTGGAACCAAATCATCGGCGCCACGCCTGTCGACGGGATGGGGCGAGAAGAGAGGGCGAGGAGAAGAAGAAGAAGAAGAAAAAGAGGGAAGGGAGGGAAAGAGGGAAACAAAGAAAGACAGATCCGGGATGCCCAGGAATAGATAGAGAGAGAGAGAGGGGACGGCTCCGTGTATTTGACACGGCTACGACGTCTGTTTGCCAGCAAGAATTTAAAATGAGAGACCTCGGAGCAGTGGACACACCCCTTGAGCATCCTCAGCATCGTTAGCTTCATCGAATCTGGGCGTGTTTATGGCGTGAACGGGCACTCGATTGCAGGCCTGTCTCTCTTTGCTAATGGGCCGCCTTCGATGTTGCTGCTCATTTCGCTTGAGTCCCTCGGACCAGGGGCCGTAGGCATAGAACCAATAAACGCGCAACTCTTGCGGCAAGGGTCCTCGGCAAGGCCACCGGCCATTGGCCCGCGAGACGGGGGTTTTGTTTCTTCACAAACAATCCCGCCGCTCTCTTCTCTCTCATGTGTGCGCACACATCTCGCATTCGAGTTACGAGGCCAGGTAGATACATATATGCATACATACACACGCACGCGGGAGGCATCAATGCTACTCTACTCTACGATGCCTTGTGTGCTCGTAGGCACCTTATCATTACACCCTTTCATCTCAACTCTCTACGAGTACCTGCCTACTACTCCTCTTCATACATGTCACCAGGGAATTCGGTAATGCATGTAGGAGTTATGTGGGAGGTAGTAAGTTAAATGTAGTATTATACCCTACTTCCCTAGCTATCATAACGTAGCACTGCTACAACCTGACCTGCGTTAGGAGTGCCACCCTCAGTCCTATCTTTATCCCTCTCCCTCGTGCTTCTGTCAGTTGGCCCCCTATTCCCACTCCCGTGCACATCCTCGGGGCCCTCTTTCCCACGCCCAAAGCTGCGTCTCGTTTTCGTTTCTCGCCGTCCTGGCCGTCAATTCATGGCAGCGCCCCCATATCTAGGTATGTATTCATATATGTATACGTATATGTATATTCTTTCTCGTCGTGCGGCAGCTCATTTTACCTGAAGCGAGCCATCGCGGGCACCAAGCAGTAGTAGCAGCACTACCTCGTAGTAAGCTCTGTGGTAGCGTCGACATCCCTCTCTCTCGTCTGTAGACAGACAGGGATGCCAAGGTTGTCCGAGAATGAATTAACGTCCCCCCCTACCTCCCCTAGAAACAAAAAAAAAACAGGTTACATGAAGTAAATAGACCTAGACAACGTCCTAAAAGCCGCACCACACACCTAAGCAGGTGGGTAGCCTACATGCCTGGGAGTTAGGTAGGTAGATAGATACCTACCTTAGGTACCTAAGATAGTCGTACTCAGCCATGTACCAACATCCATCCATCTTGATTCTCTCGCCATCAGACTAATGTAGGAACACGAAGGGATGAAGCTGGTTTCTGCAGTCCCCAGGCGTAGGCAGACTCCAGGCCCAGAGAAAGTAAGGTGCAGGACCAGTGGTATGATTTGATCCGTCCGCGTGTAGCCGCCATTTTATACGATAGCCTATGAGCGGTTGGCGATATGTGGAAGAGCTCGTATTCCGCCATCACCAGAGCTGCTCGGTTCTGCAGCCAGGCATGCGGCACTCTGTAAAGCCACGCGATTGGGATTGATTGCTCGCCCGCGGGCACTCGGGAGGCCGATAAAGGGACAATTTCTGATCGGCATCGTGTTATATCACCCGCTGTTTCACCTCTCGCACTACCACAGGTGCCTAACTCGTCTACCACGGCCTCTATCATCATAATCGTCGTCGTCGTCATCAGTTGTGGCTCTCAACGCGTTTCTTCGCTCTGCCATTGCACCCTCGCTGTTGTCGATCTCCATACTGGAGGACTGCTAATAAAAAGCCCAGGGTCCCGGGCCCGGGGGAGGACCACATGTGGGCCGTTTCAATTCCTCTACCTACCTCCTCTTATATGTGCATACAAGCATTATCGATTCATCATGTATGCACATGCTGCGGTAAAGCACAGTGCTAAAGCGCTCAGATATTCCCGACCTCATCGCCCGCGCGCATTGCGTCATGTCGGTCGGTACGAGAAAGCGTCGTCTCCGTCACTCGCATGTCCGTAAACATGAGGCTATACTCGAAACCAAACTTACTTGCAAAATTTTACAAGTCAAGCAATGAATGTACACAGCGCGCTCGGCAGAGGCGAAGACGGACCACGCCCTTGCCGTCCACGGCTCGGTCCAACTTGACAGAGGAAGCTAAAAAGAAGAGCGCGATGCCCTCGTCAGCCGCGAGATCTAGCCCAGGCTAGGGAGCATCCATGCCAGTAATTTGCTAGCACGCGTTGCAACGATGCTAGCTCCGGCGCATTATGCTATTTCTTACTTCGGCCCGCAACGTGACAATTCGTCGCCATCGTGCCCCCCCTTCCTCTGGAGCTATTCTCCATGCGGGCATCCAGGAACATGCCTCCAGTTGCGGCACGTACGTACACACATGCACAGAGCCTACTCATACATACTCATACACATCCCACGTATGTGACCTGTTCAAGTTGCACATGTGTTTAGGATATTTATGACGAGCTTCATACATAGACATATATACACAACCTCCGGGCTGCATCTCGAATTTCATGATGGTGAGTGGCGCGTGGTACAGCAAGCCGGTGGGATCGAGGCTATATTTGGCATCTACACAGGCTTTCACCTCGCACACGCTGGGCGCACACGTACCGATACGCAATAGACACAGACCTATACACGTGCGCCTACGTGCGCGTATCGGTGTGTAAACCCAGGGGTAAGGTATTTGCGCACCAGTATGTGCCAAAACAATGGCTATACGGGATAGCGCATGTATGGGTGGGGAGGGGGTATCATGAAAAGACGCTTCGACGCCATGCTTAGTGTCGTCCCTCAATATATACACATGCATGTTTTCTCGACGAGGATATCCCAGAGCAACGCCAAACCCTAACGCCATCCCTCTTATCCGCGCGCGTGCGCCGGTCGGTGTCTTAGGCAAACGAGACTCTCTTCTTCTTTGGCTTCGCGGCCTTCGTCCCTGTGGATGCCACATCTTTGATTCCGGCGCCGTCCTCGTCCCCGCCCCCATCGTTACCAGACGACTTAGTCCGCTTCCGTTTCCTCCTCAGCGAATCCTTGGTGGTGTCGAGCTTCGCCTTCCTCTCCTGTTCCTTCTTCTCCGCCTCTGCTCGCCTCGCCTCGCGGATCTCCTCCATTTGCCGGGCCTTGGCCATCTTGGACTCGATCTCGCCCTCCTTGTCGGCCTGCACAAGGGCCAAGATCGTGCTCATGCTCTCCTGTTCGCGCGCGACGCGGTGCGCAATTAGCCCCCGTAGCTGGCCAACGCGGCCGTCAATCCAGGCCCCCCAAGGAACCATACCTTGTCATCGACGAAAACCTTGCCCTTCTTCTTCCCTCTCGGTTTGGCGACGCCTATGGGTGTCACCATGTTCAATTCCGGGATGCCGAGCTCCTTCTCCGTGTAGACCTTCTTCTTTTTCTTCTTCATCAGGTCGACGAGGTTCTTCCCCCTCACCTGCTTCGTAATCGGCGTAGCTTTGCGCTTCGTTTTCGAGACGCCATTCTGAGGACCGCCTTTTGACGACTTGCTCGAGCTGACCCCCGATTTATTCGCTGCGTGCTTATTCTTTACCGTCCTCGTTCTCGATGGCGCCATCTTCTTGTGAGTAACTTGTTTTGAGATTGGATTGTGACGGGAGTGAGCAACACGACAGCACGGCAAGCTTGTACCAAAGCCCCGAGTTAGAAATCTTTTTTTTAGAGGGACAGACGTTGTTATCGATAAGCTGGGAGCTGGTACATAGCGTCCATCCTACGAGGGGAGTACATAGGCGGGTATGCGCACCCAGCGGCTATCAAGTCTTATAGTGGCTTGACCCCTTATATTGTAGTGGCTTTCTGCCCTGCAGGCGCCATATCTCTCTCTGGCTTAGCGCCTTATGGCCACTCCAGAGTAGAAAACGTGGGGCCAACCAGAGGTTGACCTCAATCGAGGAATTCACTCTGCTATGATTGGCCAATGTCCTCGATCGGCCTTTACCTGAACCGATAGTCAGACGTCGATACCTGCGAAAAAAACACAAAAGGGTAGAAGGGCGACTAGACTAACCTCTCCCCCATCTCACCTCTTCCAGCGATTCGAGATTCACACCGGTTGCTCGAAGCGTACTACGCAAAACGTCCCAAACTACTACAATGGGCAGCGGTCCCACCGCCCAAAGGTGGGCGGCGCTCTCGCGCGACACCAACGAGACCAAGATCCAGCTCGCCGTGAACCTCGATGGCGGAGACTTCCCTCCAGATACAGACGCCCGCCTGCTTGCCTCTCTTGCCGCCGCCAACGGCCACGCCAGCCAGTCTAGCAAGTCCCAGGTCATCAGCGTCAACACCGGAATCGGCTTCCTCGACCACATGCTCCACGCCCTGGCCAAGCACGCCGGCTGGAGTCTCGCGCTCGCGTGTAGCGGTGACCTCCACAGTACGTCTCCGTCCCCCCCCCTCCCTCGCACCTAGAACCCGCTCCTACGGGGGTGAGGGAGCGGGAGGGTGAAAGAGGAATCAGATAATGTCGCTCACACCTCCATAAGACGGACCCGCTGACGAAGGGTGAAAAAGTCGACGACCACCACACCGCCGAAGACTGCTGTCTCGCGCTGGGGTATGCTTTCGCGCGGGCACTGGGCAGCGCCACGGGGCTGGCGCGGTTCGGTTCGGCGTACGCGCCGCTGGACGAGGCGCTGTCGCGGGCGGTGGTGGACCTGTCGAACCGGCCGTACAGCGTCGTCGAGCTGGGGCTGCGGCGCGAGAAGATTGGCGACCTGAGCTGCGAGATGCTGCCCCATTGCCTGCAGAGCTTCGCGCAGGCTGCCCGCGTCACCCTCCACGTCGACTGCCTGCGCGGCGAGAACGACCACCACCGCGCCGAGAGCGCCTTCAAGGCCCTCGCCGTCGCCATCCGCCAGGCCACCTCCCGCATCCCCGGTCGCGAGGGCGAGGTCCCGAGTACCAAGGGCACGCTAAGCGTGTAGGCCTCGCAGGGCGGGGAGTGGACAGGCCAGGAGCCAGTGACAGATAGAAGAAGAAAACACGAAAGGCAGAAGAAGAAGAAGACCAAAGTACTCAGCATCTCCGTTACATCGTGAATCCAACGGGAGTTAACGTAGTCAGCCTCTCTTCTAGATGGATTGCTAGGTCTTAGCCCCGTCTTTCCCACCATGCTGCAAGCCATCGAGTCGAACTTGATGCTTCAACGGACCCGGCTTCATATGGCCCCGACGGCTTCGAATATATTGTCTACACACATTGCCGTACACGCATCTTATGATATATATCTGATCCAGGTAATTCAAGTAGGAAGCCGCACGACCTCTTTGTAGACTAGTTTGTGTTCCGCGCCGGATAAGTCTCGCGTGGTAAGTGAACTACATCGTGTCGAAAACATAGTTACCTCCCTATTCATTGATCCTGGCTAATTTTATCGAATAGGTCAACGGCAATACGGGAAGTAGATACAATCTCTACGCACGTGTACGCCACAGCAAGTGAGTCACAAGTGCCTAATATCATTATCATTAAAGGTTTGGATTGAAGCTTTGTTCGGCGACAATCTCGTCCAATCCTGAGTCATTATCTAGCAATAGCATATTTCCCCGCGCGAAGAGTAACGAGCGATAGTAATCTACCCGTGTTGACTCTAGGTAGACCCATAACAAGCCGATCCATCACAACCGAGCGCCTCGGCCGCTAGTAACGGAACCCAGCCGGCTGGCTGTGCGTCACGGCAGTACCGGTCTCGGGGTACGCAACCTGGCCGTCGTGTTGGTATTTATTGTAAGTCGCCGGCTCGTGACCAACGGCCGTAGTCTCGGTGTTGTAACTCTGACGCAAGTGGTCTGGATGAGTATGTTCGGGCAGACCATCCGCGTTCGTCGTTTCAACTGTCTTCCGGCGACGAAAGCGGCCGAAGAGACCCTTGCGTCTGGCATAACCGGACGTGTAGTCGTTGGCCGGGCTGGGGCCAAACCGCTGTTCCTTACGGCGGTGGCGGACGAGCACGACTTCGAGAATCGCCGAGAGGATGAAAAATAGGCTAGGTTTCCGGTTTGTTAGCTGAAATTTCAAAACAGAGGGGTGAACACGAAGTCTTCATATTATCATCCGACCCTAAGAGTGCCCTTACATTGCAACAATCGAGACGGCGAGGCAGGCAGTCTCCATCTGGCAGACCTGTCTAAAGGTTGGATGCTGGTCGTTGATTAGGTCGGCAGCTTGGCCGGTGCCGAAGACGGTATCAACCTCGCCGCGACATCTACTAGCCCCTCCGCGGTTGGCGACGGCGACGTAGATGAAGGACCCGACGAAGCAGACATCGAGCACGATGGCGATAAAGGAGGTAAAGGGGTGGCCGGCCAGACAGCACAGGAGCAGAAGACCGAGGATGGTATAGATGACCCCGATGCCCGAAATGCCCTCGACGGCACGTGCCCACGTCGGTATCGACAGACCGCGATTGCTCAACACGGCGAGGAAGTATGAAAAGATGGCGAGGACGAGGGCGGCGCAGCAGAACTGCACGCCGCGAATGAACCACTGGAGTAGCTTGAGGGCAAAACCCGATTTCGCGCCCATGTTGGAGGTTGCTGGCAGCTACGTTGCCGGTGCGAGGGTGTTTGTAAGTATGCTGTGACGGATGGTCGGATGCGGTGGAATACTACGAGAGTACTAGCTCTACGTAATAGTACCAGATCTAGACACAATCGAAACCACTGGCGACAGTGGGAGGTGTCTAAGAAGCAACGACGATGAAGATACGACAAGACTGCTTAGGTTGACGAAGGGCAACACGAGCTCCAAACAGAACTAGGGTTGCGGTAGCGAGGGGGGAAGCAGAGGATATGATATATGCAACGACGTAGTCCAACGACGTAGACGAGCAGAACGCAAGTTCTTGTGTAGGGTGTGGCGATTAACCAAGGATGCCTGATGTCGACAACCTATCTAGCACATTTGTATGCAAGCGAGAGGGTATGCAGGGAAGAAGGGACAGGAGGGAGGGGAGGGAACTCTCCGCTTATCTACACCTATCTGCGTATAAGAAGCGGGACGAAGAAGAAGAAGAGCATAGGTGGGTACCTAAGAGCATAGGTACCTAGGTAGCTGCCCGGGCTCGCCCCTAAGAGATGGGTCCCCTCACCCCGTTAGATCTGCCCGACTACCGACCTTAGCTACTGTCCGCAACCGACCAGCAGCTGCGGCCAGACAGGGGGAGAACTGTCAATGGCGACGATGACGAATGCGGCCAGCAGGCAGGCGTGTAAGGTGTGTACATACGCATTGTGCGTGCAGGCCCAGCGAGACACAAGTACCGGGTCGATCTGCCTCCGTCCTTCGCCTGGCCACCATCACGCAACGGGTGCCGGCAGGTAGCGAGAGCAGGCCGCAGCAACCCGCGCCACGGCGACGAGAGGGCGCTTGATTCGACGCAAGCCACTGCCCCGCTGGTGCCGATCTGCCGACGGTGACGTCGACGCTGACCAGGGCTCAAGGCTGTGCCGGGGATGGGGCCCGGTGATTGGACCGTAGGGAGTTCCGAGCCACCATCTGGCGTCATGGGCCTGTGGCGCTAACCCTCGCTCGCCGGTCTACCAGCCACACGACGATCCACTCTTGCATCGGCGCGATCCCCATCCATTTGGGTCGTCGTCATCATCCGCTCTATCCGTTTCCCGCCAGCAGTAGCCATTCCCGACCTGGGCCGGCGAGGTGTTGTCACCGTCAGCGTCGCAGTGTTGGTATCGAGCAGCGAGGGGAAAAAAAAGGATGACTGCATACGTTGTCCATCCACCAATATCGTAAAATAACACACACACACACACACACACACACATATATATATATACACGTAGGTATTTCAATGAAGTTAGCTAGCTACCCCTCCGGACATACGACGTAACCCCCAACCGAAGCTGTTCCTCAGCACCCCAAAATTACTAGTAAAGCGTGTGAGGGGCGTTTGACGCTCCGAAGCACGGTCAGTCGATATCTGTAGACCCCCAAGAGACAAGCCGACGTACGTAATGCTGACCCATCCCAAATCGGTAGGGTACAGCAAGAATACGATTCGGGTTATAAGATGCTTTCGTGAGTCTATGGTTAATTTCTTTATTCTGCTGTCTGATGTGACTACTGCGGACAAAGGGCATGCCTCCTGTAACACGCCATGCGTAGGCGATTACCGGGCCACAATTTCTTTTTGAGTAGCTAGCTCGGTCGTTTCCTAGCGGGTTGGTAACCCACCGTCTCACGCCATGACCGGCGACCGAGGAGGTCAAGCTAATCCGTCTTGTGAGTACAGTACACCCGGTCCTCCCCTTGTGACACCGGTAAGGAGTTCCGTAGAGATCTGCCCACGGAGCGTTTCGAGGTCCGAGAATTCCCAAGCATTGCTCTGCCCCAAGCCAACCTGCGATGGAGACCTTCCGCAAGCTTCTCTGCCTGCTAGTGGCCGGGTGAGCCAAGCCCCAGAGTCTTTTTCTTCTCTTTCTTCCCCGGTGAGAGGACAGTGAATGGCGCGAAGAAATGCCGGCTCGTGCTCGCCACGGTGCACGCTCATCTCTGGGACTTGCTCTTCGCCCTGGCGGCTTTCTGCTTGTCCACGAAATCCCTTATGATCGTGTGGAGGTCTTGGTTGCGCCTGGCGAGCAGCAGGACGTCGTCGGTTGTGATGGTGGATCGCCCCGCGTGGCGACTGAAGCTCTCCAGGTCCAACGCGACATTCTCTGGGAGAAGGGGGTGTCAATTCAAGCTACAAGCAGAGCGACGGCGAAACGGAAAACAGCGATGCCTGCCTGGCAGTACCTACCGATCTGGGCCCAAACCATCTCGGTCAAGGCCCCGATGAACTGAGGGGTGACGTTTCGGTTTCGCTTCAGCGTCTCCTCATCGACCATCTTCCCCACGGCGAACCATAACGCGGACTTGAGTCGCTGGTACTCCGCCCTGCCATGTTAGCGGATGCGGAGCCCGGTTGTGTTTACTGCCTACGGTCGGCTAGGACGGGTTGGTAGCCTTACCTCTCGGACGTCCTCGTCGGTCTCATCCGCCATGGCTGGTTCTGGGATGGCAAAGGCGCGAATATACCTAGATAAACCCCCTAAGCAGAGGGAGATGCTTTAGTTCTGTATATATGCAGATGGTTTATAGATGAGAGGGATGGATCCATGGACGGGACGCGCCTCGGTACCTACCCATGTACCTACCTACCTGTTATCCCCTGTCCCGGCACATCAGGTACCTAAGTACCTATCGGTGCGCCAAGCGCGTCGGGGGTCGTTTTTTAAAGATTGACGCCCAGTTCCAGGCTTTTGTTTCGGAGGGTAGGCGCGACGGGTGCAAAGCAAGCTTTTATTTCCGTGTGTCCACCTGATTTTATTATCTCGTCCACCTCGGCAGCGCCGCGAGCCCTTCGAACGCCCCAACATCCCGTGTCTCGCCCATGAGTTCGAGGCTCGCCCGGCTCCGCGACTACACGAGGTATACGTTTTGTGTATGTTATTGGCGGATGAGCTGATGAGGGTAAATACTACCGCCCTGCACTACCGCAGCAAAGACCTAGCTACGAAGACTCCCCGTGGTAGCTAACGCGTGCGCTCTTCACTTGTAGCCTACCCTCCGGTGCATCCGTTCCCGCATCAGTTCTAATAGCAGTCCTACGATCCAACAACCGCTCCCCGCCCGATTTAGGTCACTGCTGTCCTAAATTGTACGCACGAGGAAATACGCAAGGCCACCACCGCCATCATGTCGGAACTCATAGATCTCTTCGAGCACCTCTTCGACTCGATATCCCAGCTCTTCAACCTCCTCAAAGACCGCTTCGTCCAGAACGTTGGCGAGTCTTTCTCGTCCATGACACCGCAGCACACGATACGATTGGTCGTGATTGTTGGCGCCTACATGCTGCTCCGACCGCACATCCTCAGGTTCACGGCGAAGCGCCAGGAGAAGCAGCTCGCAGAGCAAATCGAGCGAGAAGAGCAGGCGGAGATCTCTCCCAACCAGCTCCGCGGCCAGATTGCCATACCCGAAGATAGCGACGACGAGCAACAGCCGGCCGAGGCGAGTGCCACGGACTGGGGCAAGAAGGCCCGAAAGCGGCAAAGGAACATGATCAAGAAGCTCCTGGACGCTGAGGAGAAGAGATTACAGGAGCTCCAGGAGGACGAGGAGGACAAGGATATCGAGCAGTACCTCGTTGGATAACTGTAACTTGCCTAGCACATAGACGCCGATTGCCAAGTCGCCTAATTCGACGCATCTGCCACCGGTTCCATACACGCGTGCGAGCTCTCTCGGTGCTGCGAATACGGGCCTAGAATCTAGTATCTACCATTTTCGCAGTTTCGTGGCTCGTCTGCGCTCGGGCGCCGTTGGGCGGATATGATTCGACCTCCTCTTCGTAGAGGGTTGAGGCGCGATTGTTTTCTGGAGGTTTTGTCAAAGTCGTAAGTAGGCATAATACTGTATACGAACGGCCGATCTGATCGAAAAAGAGAAGAACAGCAGGTTGCCTCGTGAAAATGGGACCAACTCTCTCCTATCCTGTCTCTCCGGCGGCCTCTTTCAGTCGTCCAGCCTTCCCGACTTTACAGCACTTTTCACTTCGTCTAGTGTCGCATATTTCGGGGAGCCGGGTTCCTTGTTCTTCGCGACATAAGAAATAGACCGAGGATGATACATGCCGACGCGTATCGCCTTGAGAAATATCCCAGTATGCAATTAAGGGCATGTCATTTCGCCGGCATCTGATCGGGGTATGCGATGACTTTTACGTCTTCAGATGACTTCTCCAGTTCTACGTCTTGTAGGCCTCATCTGACTTATGATCAACGCCCCCCTCCCACTGCGGACCTGTACACATCTCGTTCGCCCCAGATCTGAGGAGCAGCCAACCAACCATTATACAGTGTACTAGCTGCCTGCCTAAGGCAGAGGCGCTTCCGCAGTGGTATGGTACGAATATCACATATCCAACCGGCCTAAGGGCTCGTGCCGTTTGCTACAGCTCGCGACCTGTATTCTGTCCTCCCACACCGAGTTGTCACGACAGGTTCGCCGTCAACCGTTACCAAACTGCCGGGACACGTCTTTTGGCCACACACCCCCTGTTTATAGGATGGGATGGCTACGAGCGATCTGGGTTGGATGCCTAGCGCTCGTCAGTAACTACAGACGAACGGAATCGGTCCCTCTCTACCCGAGTCGCTTCCTCCCTGTACGGGTGCCGAAGAACAGCCTGCTTGTTCGGACCAGCTTCAAGCTGATCTCCTGGATAGCTGCAGACTGGCCTCCTATCGGCCCGGGTACGCACTTACTCGATTATGACGGAACTTAGGTGTACTACGTGTGAGACTCTGGTAGGGAATTTGCTAACTGCCTAATCGTCCGAATCCTTACGGCCCTTCTGAGAGACATCGCCCTAGAAATTTCGAAGTCCTGGCTGCCCTTTATGTATACCCGCGGCCGAATGTTCGCTGGTTGCCTCAGTGTCACCGTCTCGGTGAGACAGGTGACCAAATCTCACCACTTGAGCTTGCTGTTGTTGGAAGGATCGCGGTGATAGGCAGCTTCGTACGTGTGGGCGATGCCTAGCTCGCGTAGTAGGCTCCGTCACGATGCTTGGATAATCCTACATCAAGTCCCCCCTCTCATCTCACCATACGACCATGATGAAGCAGAACCGGGATGGCGCCGTTCAACGTCGCCTTCCCTTATAGCTAGGCAGGATAGTAAGTGGGGAATTCGGGCAACTCCATTTCCCGTCTGTCTGCGGCCATTACGCGGTTGCGGCCGGTGCAACGGGCGGGTTTTTCCTAATGAACACGTCACGGTGTCTCCATCTTCTATTTAGTGGAGCATAAAAGTAGTGAGGAAGCGAGAAAGAGGGAGGGCACAGCAGTAGTGGCTGAACTGTCCCATACGCCCAAGGGAATTCCGCGGAATATCCATCAAGCTTGATGGAACCACGCGCCCTCCAGCCCCCAGCGCCGCATCGTCTGGGGACCATGACCCGAAGTTAGGCATCTACTTATCGTCAAAGCTGGGAGAGTGGTGCGGCTCCGGGTTCGGACGAAGGCCGTCGTCCTTATGAGGGTTTCTGTAATGAACTCTCGACGTGCCTACATTGTCGTCGACCTAAGTAATTCTTAGCACACCACGAGGCGAGGTACTCTGTATTTCTCCTTCGGATGGCCGGGAACGTTGCCGCCCTCCTGTCTACGACATCGACAAGTAACGCGCCGTATCAACATGCTATACGACTGCCGGTCATTCGATCAATCACCACTCGTAACGATCTGTACTTTCCCTCCATCTCTAACTTATGTCCGTACCCGGAGTCGCCTTTCTTTCGATATATCCGAGTCTCCGCATAGTCACACTGGAGTTCGTTATGTGGCTAACAGCTATTGACAGATTGTCCCTCGTAATACCTTTGGGTTGCCTCCTTGGTAGGAGGGACAGGTAGGAAGCGAAGGCTGAGTCGTCGTGTCCCCTCGTAGCATTTCTGTCGGTTCTCCGCGGGCCTTCACGAACGAAGAAGTGACGATTGTCCAAGTCTATTCTCATATGCAAACTATTCATTGGGCATGTGATCGCGTTGCTAGTGGTTGGCCGGTTGATGATACTTAGGGCGGAAAGTGACAATTCATCTCCCTGGTCTGGCCCGGTCTGGCTAAGTCGAAACCGTGCGACGAGATTTATAGCCTCACACGTACGGGAGAGACAGTGGCGCCACTCCGCAGAGGAACCCCGCGCCCACCTATGCCTTTGGCCTACCGTGCCAGTCGTCTGCCGAGAAGCTGGGAGAGACTGGGGTGACCATCCTGGTCTCCACGATTTGGGCTACACGAGCACTCTGGGGCTTCTAGGGCGGTACTCTCTCAACGCGGTTTCGAGAACACTCGATACTGGCCAGCGTGGGGCGCGTGGCGGGGGGAAGAATAGCCTGTTCTTGCGACACGTCCGTGTCACCCTAGACGATCGTGAGAGCCACATCCGAAGCTATTTTGTTATTTATAATTTCTTTCCTCCTGAGAAGGCGACATGTGGTGGGACGTTGGGTCGAGACGCGGGCAGAGATGCTGCCTCGTACTTCCCATGGGAAAGGTCAGTTATGCCAATGAGAGGCTGGAGTTTTGACCTCCTCGGCAACACGCAGGGTCCGGTCACGACGTAGCAACCAGACAGTCGTTTCCAGCACGCGAGGGGGCTCATTGCCCTGTTGCGGTTCACAACCCGAGATACTAGACATCAGGATAGCGCGAAGCACAGCATCGAATGCTATCCAGGTGAGCCAATTGTCCGTCCCCGCCGCGTATGAGGTCGATTTCACGAGTGCTTCTCATTGCGGTGCCGGGAGGTGGGGCGTGCTCGTTCAACAGGTCTAGTTTTGACCGCTGCTTTGCGTACACGGGGTCGTGTATTGTTCTTCCTGGTAGACGGGGGGAGAATCGGGGCCGGCTCTCGCACTCTCAAACGAGGGTGTCTTGCCTCAAATCAGATCCCATTCGCCGAAAGAGCTCGTAGGCTGGCAAGCCACTACCGTCCTCGATCTCTCTTGCTGATCGCCCCATCTGAGCCGGGGGGGGGGGGAGGTGGTCCAATAAGAGGTATGCAGAGCGGTCCTGTCTGGCCAGACGTTAAAGCGGTCCAATGTCGACCGGCAGCGTAGGGCCACCGCAGGAAGGAATCCATCCGCCTTCGCTCTAGATCCGCACAGAAGCAGCGCGGTAACACGAAGGGGGAAGGTTGGGCTGCTGGGGCGACGGCATAGCTCGCGGAGCCGTTTCTAGCCCGCCTGCTCGTCTGCGCACGTACGCGGCGGTCGACGCCTGGAGTGTGAGCGGCGACTAGGTGGAAGACGGATGCTCGCCGAGATCTATCGATGTGCGGTATTTGTAGTCGGGCGAGAAGGGTCGGTAATCTGGTATACCGGCATAACGTACCATCATCTATTATGCAGATCTGCTGTACTACGAGCCAGATGGGTGGCATAAGGTGTGTATCCCGTCCCATCCACCACCTGCTCCCCATCCCACGGGGTGAATGCTCCCAATCAGGCTGCTTCGTAGCGAGCGAGGGGCGAGGAAGGGCGAAGAAGCCTGGCTTGACTGGCTCGACGGTTTCAACCAAGCCATCTCAGATGTGGTTCCAGAGATGGATGCAACGTCTTGACGACAAAGTCCCTGGAGACCCCTGTCCTCCCACCCCGCTCCCCTTTCATTATTCGCGGGAGGAGGACGGAACTGGTAGTGGGTGTTCGTCCTGGGGGGGTAGGCGGGTGTACCAACACATACAGATACATACACACGCCCCGACGCACACGCACACATAATACAATACCCAGACGATCAGTGAGCAAGTGATTAGATTCCACGGCACTTACGAGAGCCTCTATCTTGTTTTCGTTCTCGGCTAGACGGTTTCGGGGCTAGCACCCCAACACCACGTATCTTAGCCAGGAGTTGGCAGAGCGATTTGGGGGGGGGGGGGCTAAGACAACAGGGATATGAGAGAGAGAGAGAGACAGGGAGGGAGAGAGGGAGAGAAAGGTGAGTGAGAACGGGAAAGCTGACCAACTAACAGCGACGGGCAAGTCCGAAGCCACTGACCCTGAGGCGCTCTGGGAGAGAGGGAGGCGGGGGTAGGCCATCCTGCTTTGGAACACTGCCTCGCTGGTCATTTGACGTAGGCATTAATATTTCTACTTACTTAGCTGCCCAGCCCAGCCCAGGCCTGGGCCAATCTGTCCAGAGATCTATTTTGACAGGCCCAAGACCGCCTTCTGTTTTGCTTCACCGTTGAAATCGCTCCCGCGCAATCGTCATCGTCGGGACACCAACCTGGTGTTGTGCACAAGTCTCGATCGACCTACACGTTGCAACGTCGCGCGTTTGATTGCGCACTCTTCGCCGTCTCCTGTACGCTTTGGAGGTACACGAGCTGGTAAGACCCGAAAAAAAAAGTGTGTGTGCGTGTGTGAATCGCCCGAGGCCGCGAGGCGCGGCGTCCTGGTCTGCATAATATCTACCGACGTCTCCCACAATCGGGTTGTCATGGTATAGGTTTTCTGTCCTCTCCACCAACCCTGTCAACATGGCCGACGTCGATCTCGACACCTTTTTGCAGCAGGGTTATTGGCCGTCTTCTAGAGCGAGGAGCGCCCACGCAAGACGGTAAGTGGTTTGAGCTGAATATCTCCGGGCGAAAATTACCGAGTCGGACAGGACCATCCCCAACCCAAGTCGTCGCGAGGCCAAATGGTATGCTGAGACATGATGAATGAATACAGCGGTTTTAACTCGGGCTCTCCATCGCCGCCACCATCCTATATGGATGCCACAGCTCCAAGGACGTTGGCGAGTAACACTAGGCGCCCCCGCGCTTATCCTCCACCCCCCAGCGTCGAGGATGAGAAGGAATCCCTCGCAAAGGAATTCGGATCTGTGGTCTCCATCGTGCCAGACGAGGAGCCGATACACCGGGGAGAGCTCGAGCAGCTCCCCATCCTCCTCCTCATTCATGAGCACAACCCCGAGAGGCGTTTCGTCCTCGTATCGCCCCAGCCTAGCTCTCCAGACGACTCGTCTGGCAGTGAGAAAAAGCCGACAGAGCGGCCCAAGCCCAAGGGACCAAGACCTGAGCCGGAGCCTACTTACTATGAAGCGAATACGGGACGCAAATTCCATGTACGCGACCAGCCAGAGGCGGACAGCGAAAAGAAGCAGGATCCCTCGCCAACTCGCGAGAATCGCCGTGGTAGGCACGAAAAATTACCCGCCATAATCACTGAAATCAACACCAGGCCACAACCACAGCCAACACCGAATGAGAGCAAGGCGAAGCCTACACCAAATGAGAGCAAAGCAAAGCCTACGCCGACCGCCGCAAAACCCGAGAAAGGCGGCGGCGATTACTTTTCACCACGTCCCGGCTCGCGGGTTCAGGATGAGCAGATGTTGTCGCCCGATATCATAGAGCACGGCAGCAGAGGAAGAGAGCGGGTTTACTATCAGGGCGGATCGAGCCCTCGTTCTCAGGACCGCGATCAATCTGCTCATCCCAACGTTCCATATAGCAAGAGCCCACAGGATGATAAGAGGTACAAAGAAAGGTCCCTCAAATCAGCCAAGTCCACAAGCCCCTCTCGCCACAAGCGACGATTGACGGCGGAATCCCCTCGACAGATGAGGGGGTCCTCGACGACAGACCGTGGGAGGCGAAATTCGCGCGACGACCTTCCATCTCCTAGGGCCGACCGAACTAGCCACGCACGAGTAGAACGGGATTCCGCGTACCATGCCACGCGGAGCCCGGTGAGGAGGCGAGACACGCCTCCTTATAGCGATCACTTCTATTCGAGCGACGAGGAAGCAGCGCATCAGTCTCGTAACCGCTACCAACAGGAATGGGTCATACCAGAGGAGGCGAAAGCCTACAGCAGGGGCGCCGGGGAATCGAGATCAAACGCCAGACGCCGATCTCGAGGTCCTTCACCGCTCCCCAGTCCGAGAACATCCCAAAGCCAGGTCTACGAGCGCGATCCGGCTTCTTCCAGCCCACGCACCGCCACGATGCCAAAAGAGATCAGGTTTTCGCGAAGCGAGAAACCCGCGCGGCCCGGGCTGTCTCGCACTTCTACGGGAAGATCCATTCGAGATTCTGCGACTCCCATGGCAATCCCTGCTACTGCTGCTACTGCTGCCGTCGCCGCCACAGCGGCTGCCAAACCAGGCTCTCCGCCCGACCCTCGCCGGTCCGGAATTGTCTCGTCTTCCAGAACAGACTTTTTCCGACCTGAGCGGCGGATGTCGACGACGTCGGCCATGTCGTCCAGCCCCCAGAGACAACAGCTACAGCAGCATATGCAGCAAACCAACAGACAGCCCCCACAGCCGGACTCGCCCCGCGACGCGATGGTGGCCACGCCGAAATACCAAACCCCGCCGGCCTTTTACGGGAGGTACCTCGACGAGCTCCAGGCTGGCAGACTTCCGGACACGCGGCAGCGGTGTCCGCGGCAGTGGCCGGTCGCGGGATACGTCGACTGGCTGACGCTGCCGCGCTGCGACAACCTTCACGTGTGCCCAGCGTGCTACGACGCCGCCTTCGCCGGTACCGCCTACGCGCGGCACCTCGTGCCGGCACCGCTACGCCCGCCCGATCGCCCGATCACCTGCGACCTCGGCAGCGCCGCGAGCCCCTACATCCGCATCGCGTACCACCTCTCGCGCAAGCGCGGGGCGCCGGACCTGTCACTGCTGCGGCGCGTGGCCGACGTCGTGGCGCGGAGCCCGCCGTGCTGCTATGCCTCCTCGTCCCCCACGACCTCCTCATTCTCCTCCCAGGTCGGCGGCGCCGACGCTGCCGCCGCCCGCATCTGGTACTCGGTCATGGACCCGCGCGCGGGGCGAGCGGTCGCCGGCGACTTCACCGTGTGCTACGGGTGCGCGCGCGCGCTCGAGGCGCTGCTGCCGAACCTGACGGGGCTGTTCGTGCCGACGGCGGCGGAGCCGCGGCCCGGCGCGTGCGCGATGCGGCTGCGGGACGGGGCGCGGCGCCGGTCGCCGTCCGCCGCCGACTACGGCGACGACGGTGACGGTGACGGCGAGCGGCGCTTCGCGCTCTACTTCGACGTGCTCGAGGCCGCGTCGGACGCGGCGCTCGCGACGCAGCGCGCTCCCGACGTCCAGGCCCTCGCCGACCGGCTCCGCGACCTCGCGCCGCCGCCCGCCGACCCCCCCGAGTACGGCGACTACGCGCCCGCGCCCGAGTACGGCAGTGGGTACGAGTACGGGTACGGGTACGGCCGCGGGTACGAGTACGGGCACGGATACGACTACGGCCGCGGGCACGGGTACGAGACCCCGCCGCCGCCGCCGCCGCCGCCGCTACCGCAGGCGGCTCCGCCCCCGGCCTGCGCGCGCGGGCTCCCCGTCCACAACGGGACGTGGTACACAACGCGGTCGTCGCCGGAGATGGCGGCGTGCGAGGCGTGCTTCTCGGCGGCGCTGCGGCAGCTGGTGGAGGAGTCGTCGGACTCGGGGTCGGGGTCGGGAGCGGCGGCGGCGGCGGCGACGGCGACGGCCCTGTCCTTCTTCCACCGGCGGCCCGTCGCCCTGCCGGTCGCCGCGTGCGAGCTCTACTCGCCGCGCATGCGCGAGGCTCTGGGCCGCGCCGCGCGCCGCGGCGACCCGCGCTACCTCGCCGAGCGGGCGGCCGAGCGGCGTGCGCACGAGCGCGAGTTCCACGACCGCGCTGCCGCGCTCGACCGCGAGATCCGGAACGCTGCCAGCGCCGGCGAGAGGGCGGCGCTCGAGGGAGAGACTAGGGATGTGGTGAGGGAGTGGAGGCGGTGGGAGTGAGGGGAGTGAGGGGAGTAGATGAGTAAACTATATAGGTAATGCAGGATATGGATATGGGGGTTGAAGAGATAGGGGTTCATGGTTCAGGCGAGGCCGCATCCCGGCGATGGGGACGTATAGGGCAGGCGTGCATGCATACTTATAGGTACGCGCATAGGTGTGACGGGTACGGGACAGCGCCATACGATATTATCTACGATACGATATACACGAAACGACACGACACGACACGACACGACACGACACGCGCTTACGGATGGCGGGTAACTTCCGGGAGCATATACCTAGGGCGGGAGCATGGCGAGGCACGGGGCCGAGGTCGGGCCGATCATCACGGGGCCTGGACGGGGCGGGGAAGGCTGCGGGCGGGTTAGATACAATCGCTGTTCGACACACTCGCTGGGAGGACTCTTGTCTCTCGCCTTGCAAGCTCACGTCGCTATGTCTAGGGGAATAGACCTATAGATCTTCGTCGCGGTGTAGATGGGCGTGTGCGCTGTAGGTATCCCTATGTGACTGAAGCCCGCATGCAAAGCCCCTCTTATCCCCCCCCCCCCGTTTTCCTCCTTCTCTCTACCCTCCTCTCGTCTCGGGCCGTCGACGATTCGGGAGGCGGGGGCGCGTAGCGGTCAGCGGTTGCCGGTGAGCTGCTGGGGCCAGTCGGCGGGGCAGGTGCCGGTGCAGGGGATGCCGGAGGCGGGCTGGTCGGCGATGTTGCTGCAGAGGAACTTGGGGGTGCTGCGGCCGTCTTTGGGGCGGATGTCGACGTTGTCGAAGCGGAGGCCGGAGCAGGGGCTGGCGGCGGCGCAGTAGATGGCGGCGGCGACGTTGTAGCGGCTGGTGCCGACGACGTTGCGCCAGCGGACGTCGCGGATGGGGAGGCGGCTGGCGTCGCAGCCGCGGGCGGTGTAGATGCAGCTGGTCACGTAGACGGGCTGGTTGACGTCGTCGGCGACGATGTCGGCGAAGGTCACGTTGCGCACCAGCCCGCGCCCGCTGTACGTCTTCACCCACGCCGCGTTCGACGAGTGCGTGCACGTCATGTTCTCGAACACCACGTCCTCGACGAAGTCCGGCGCCCCGCCCGGGTTGTTCCCCAGCGAGCCGACCACGGCGCACCCGCTCTCGTAGCAGTGCACGTTGCGCACGTGCACGTTGCTGCTGTTGCCCTTGACCGCGATGCAGTCCTGGGGGGGGGTAAGGTGAGAGAGGGGTGAGCAAAGGGCGGGACAGTAGGGACGGGCAGAGAGAGGAGAAGGAGGGGAGGGGGGGGAAGACTCACGTCGCCGCAGGTCACGGTCCAGTTGCTGATGAAGATGTCCTTCGAGTTCCAGGTGTTGGTGCCGTCCGTGTTCACCGTGCTCCACTGGCTGCTGCTCGTGGCGTTCATGTCGAGGTTCGTCATGGTGATGTTCTCGCTGTACGCGATGAAGGTGTCTGCAGATGGGGCCGTCAACTCTAGTCCTGTTTTCTCCTTGCCCTCCTCACGTCTCCTCCAGCTTGGCGACGCTCCCGCGAAGAGGCTAGGAAATAATAGGCTGGCAGCTCTCCCGACGCCGACCCGCACACGGCCTAAGCAGCATCGCCCGACGTCATCCCCGGAGAGGAGGATGATGAAGAGAGAGAGAGAGAGAGAGAGGAAGGAAAAAGGATTCTGCGTACGCCAGAACTGGCTCTGGCGCCAGGTGATGCCGTCGACGAGGACGTTCTTGGCCTCCCAGAGGGTGAGGCTGATGGGGCGGCCGTTCTGGTTGCTCTGGCCGCGGTTCTGGTCGTACCAGAGCTGGCCCTGGCCGTCGAAGAGGGCCTTGCCGAAGCCGCGGATGCGGATGTCGCGGCCGCCGATGCGCCAGGCGGTCGAGCGCTGCGCGTACTGCACGCCGATGCTGTTGCGCAGCCAGTACTGGATGTCGGCCGACCAGCGCAGCGTCCCGTGGATCTCCACGTCCACGTCCGCCAGCCCCTTCACGTCCATCACCCGCCCGATGTGGAACAGCCCCTCCGTCAGCACCACCTTGCCCCCCGTCCCGCACTGCCGGAACGCCTCCAGGATCTGCCCCCCGTCGTCCGGCTCCCGCCCGTCCGCCCCCGCCTCCAGCGGCGTCACCGTGCACGTCGTCCCCGTCTTGTTCAGCGCCGCCGCCGCCCCGCCCGCCAGCAGCCCCAGCACGGGGAGAGTAAGCGTAAATTTCATATTTCCTCACCTTGCGCCCTTGTTTGGGACGGTTGCCGCTACCGTCAGGTACGTGCAGGTGTACGTGTAGTAGTGGGCAGGCAGGTTCGCACAGCTCTCTTCCGGCTGGACCTAGCGAGGAACGAGTATGGCGATCGCGCGTCTCTCCTCCCGCCTGGGGGGAGGCGGAGAAGAGAAATAGGGGCGATCGGCCGCGTAAAAAAGCGAGTCAATACGGAAAGGATAGATAGGCCCATCTCTAGCTCCGTATAAATCCTACGCTGGCGCCCCCGCCCTATATCCCAAAAGTTCCACGGCCAGCCACCCCAGCTGTCAGCCAATATTGCCGCCTTGGCTCTCACGGGGTCCAGACTGCCTCGGATCCAGCTGGGGCGGACGGCGAGGAAGAGGGGAGGGAGGGAGGGAGAGACGAGGAGGGGCGGATGGGGTGTTGCGACGCAGGACGGCGAGGAGATAGATTGTCTCGGTACGATGTTCAACAGGAAAAAACGTGGCGTCGCTTATCCCGGGATAGCCGCGCAAATAGAGAGGAGGCACACGAGGGCTGGTAGACGGGGAGCGAAGAGACCCGGCTAATGTGAGTAGGGGATGGCAGAAAAGGCAGAGGCTCATTAAGCGGATATTAAAATCCTGGGGGTTGTCTCAACTGCGTACGTCTACTCGACCTCGTCGGAGGAATGAGGGGGGGGGGGGGGGGGGGAGCAGCTTGCGGTGCGGCAGATCGGGCTATAGCAATCAAAGGGGTTGGCGAACCGGGAGGGAGCTCGATAGGTCAACCAGATAATCTGACCATCATCCATCTACCTCCGGCTTATACAAGCCCGAGAGGCGTAGCCATCCTTCTCCTACCGGCGATGCGCTTTGCCATTGGGTCAGCAACCCCTATAGACTATTTAGGCAAGTGGACGGCTTCGATATAGCCTCCTATTGGGCAGAGACGGTTGCAGAGTCTAGTAGTATCGTCGAACAGAAGAGGAAACGCACTCGGAAGGCATCACTACAAAGGCACATAGCAGCAGGGCCAGTACCTAAGATATATAATAATAAAAAACGTCCTTTAGGATTCATTAGACCTGTCTATCTCTAAATCCCCACGTTTAACAGGCCCGGGATGCGAGGCTCTAAAGTTGCACTCCAGCATCTAAGACCCTATTCCATCGAAGGGACTCAAGTGTCCCCCCTAACCTAGTCTTAATACCCGTATGGAACCTCCCCTCCAAGAGACAGCTTTATTCTCGTAAAGCGGCCCCTTCTTGTTTTTCGTTGCCTTCGACCCAAGGCGGAGGCTAGGTTGCATTATGCCAATATCCGACGAAGTGAATTTCCTCGCTTGATAACGCCGATCATGAATTCCATGCATAACTCTTTCCGGTTCTCCTCTCGTCTCCGCCCCCCCTCATCCTTTGTGGTTGCACTAACCCCTACTTGAGGGGGTCGTAGATCCTGTCCTTGATGAACTTCGTCAAGGCGACATCGCCCCATTCCTCCCACTCGATCCACTGCTCCTCGGGCAGGGCGCTGACACCTTCCCGACGGGCGGCCTTCATCACCTCTCGGGCGACGACGACGCTGGCATCCCGGACGCGATCTATGTCAGGGTAGATCAGACCCTTGTGGATCTCCTCGGAATTCAGCGACTCGGCCAGCGACGCGGCCGAGATATACACCATCTCGTCGGTGACCTTGGTCGCCTTGGCGAGGATGGTGCCCAAGCCGAGACCGGGGAACACGTAGACGTTGTTGCCCTGGTTCGGGTAGTAGGTCACGGCATGGTCGCCACTCTTAACGGCGAAGGGGGCGAAGGGAGACCCCGAGGCGAAGATGACAGTTCCGTCGGTCCACTGGATGGCCTGCTCGAAGGTGCACTCGGCCTTGGTCAGAGGGTTGCTGAGAGGGAACAGGATGGGTCGCCTTCCCGAGCCGCCGGAGTCGACCGAAGCCTTGAGGGCGCGGACGACGGACTCGGTGAAGACGCCGAAGGTAGCGGTCAGGCCGACGAGGGCGGACGGCCGGACGTACTCGATGACTTCCTCGAGGGTGCGGAACTGGTGGCCGTTGTTATCCGCGCGAGCGAAGTACTTCTTGTGCTCGGCCAACTTGTCGCCTCGGTCCAGGGTTACGAGGCCTTTCGTGTCTACGAGCCAAAACTTCTCCTTGGCTGCCTGCTCCGTAAGACCGCGGCGGGTGTAGTACTCGACCATCTGCTTGGCAACACCGACACCAGCCGAGCCCGCACCCATGAACACCAGGCGCTGCTCATCAAGAGGGACGCCCGACAGGTTCACGCCACCGATATAGCTATATTGGGCATAAGCAATGGGCAAGCAAGAGGGGGGGGCATGCCACCACGGGGTTGACGTGACTCACCCTGCTAACACAACGGCACCAGTTCCCTGGATGTCGTCGTTGAAACACTTGTACTTGTTGCGGTAGCGCGACAGGTAAGCGAATGCCTTCTCGGTCTCGAAGTCCTCGAACTGGACGACCATGTTAGGGAAGACTTCGGCGCAGGCCTCCATGAACTCGTCCATGAACTCCTGGGCGACAGCCGGCGTAGGACGCTTGGCGCGGAGGCCCAGGTACAGGGGATCCCTCAGGTTGGTCTCGTTGTTGGTGCCGCAGTCCAGAACGATGGGGAGGGTCTTGCTCGGGTGGATACCGGCAGCGCCAGTGTAGAGCGACAGCTTCCCGATCTAGCATACATTGTCAGCGTCACAGCACACAAGCATGCACGCGTCGGCCCAGAGAGCCCGCCCCAAGTGCAGTAAGCCTGGGGGGAGTCTCTCCGAGGAAAAAGGACTTACGGAGATCCCCACACCGTTCACACCGAGATCGCCCAGGCCCAAAATGCGGGATCCGTCGGTGACGACGCAGATCTCTGGGTCCGGATAGGGCCAATTGCGCAGGATGGTCTTGATCGACCGGCGCTGTTTAATCGAGATGTAGAGCGCCTCCGGGCGGGTGTAGAGGGTGGAGTACTGTAAGCAGACGTCGCCGATGGTCGGGGTGTAGACCAGCGGCATCAGCTCGCGGACATTGTCGATGAGCACCCGGTAGAACAGGTCCAGGTTCTGGCTCTTGAGGGACGACAGGTACAGGTACTTGTCGACGCCGGTCGGCCTCGAGTTGATCATCTTCATGCACCTCGCCACTTGGGTCTCGACGGTCTCTATGGTGTGCGGTATCAAGCCCGTCAGGTTCTTGGAGACACGCTCATCCGGCGTAAAAGAGAGGCCTTTGTAACTCATCATGTTAGTCGCTAAAAGTGGCATATGGGTAGGTAGTAGGTATGTAGATAGATGGGCGAGTTGGATGGGTAGATGGGTTCGGAGGGGAGTGATAGGTAGAGATAGAGAGAGACGAGAGAGGCACAGCATGTGAGGGAGTATGGCCGTTTTTCGACACGGATGTCAGATTGTGATCTCAGATCGAGAGTTGTTGAGGGTTGTTGAGAGGTATATAGTGAGACTAGTTTTACCTTTATTCCACAAGGGCTCGCGTAGTACCTGGTAGCCGGCGGCGGCGGACTGCGAGATGTAGTCGGTGGTCCTGTACTGCTGGACTTCGCCATAGTGGTTCTGGGAGTACCCTCGGAGTCCGTCAAGCGCGGCCATCTTCATTTGCTCTTCGATTGCGGTGAGATCGATGGAGGACATTGGGTTGAGGGCAGATTGCCTCCGTTGCAGGGATAGGGAGAGGCGTTTGCTGGAAACGGAAGAGTGAGAGGAACGCGCGGAAATAGTAGACGCGGACGGGGACGCTGAACGGGGTGTTGATATATCTGAACTGGCGGTGCTGTAGGTGCTGAACGCCATTGGACGACGCGGTGAAGGGCGGTGCGGAATAATTATTAAAAAGCGAGACCGGTCGAGGGAAGTGGATGATGTTGGGCTGATGGGGTAGGAAGAGGAGGAGGAGGAAGGGGTAGCAGCAGTAGGGGTAGGACGAATCGAGCCGTGTCCGGTGCTGGGGCAATGAGAATCGGCTGACAATAAGGTGTAAGTGTATGGAGAAGACGAACTGGACGATGCCTCGTCTCCCCAATTCCGGATACGACTGCCAGTAGTGCTAGGGAAAAGTCCGGGATGCAAGGAGCCAGGTTCGGGCAGGTGACGATGAGGGTGCGTGTAGGTGAGGTGATTACTATCCCGGAGAGTCTTCGTGCAATATGTAGAGTGACTGGAGGCGGACGGGGTAGTAGTAGTAGTGGTGGTGGTGGTGGTGGTGCTTATAGTGCTTCTGCTTATAGTGCCGCTGCTTCTGCTGCTGCTGCTGAGGGCTTCTGGGTTATTACCGTCGTGCTCGAGTCCGGCTACAATAATGTCGTCGATGATGACATGGGCCGGCGAAGACGAGCTTCTTAATAGTGGCGGCGTGGGACTGGCGCGAGGCGGTCCGAACACCCCTGCCACCCTGACCCCGGCACCTAGGCCTCGTCCCCTTGTCGTCAGGCTGGCAGCACGGAGTCGTGCCAGCTGCGACGAGAGCGCGCCGTGGTTTCGTTGGGGTTTCATGGGGTGCCAAACAAGACCCAAGACCCCCAGACCAGATCGTGGTAGGATTTTCCTAACGCAGAGAAGCCGGCACAGCAGACCCTCCAGCAGGTCCTTCAGGCTTCGGCAGGCCCTGAGAGAGAGAGAGAGAGCAGGGGACAGGGGGCCAATACCCAGCTAGATCGGCAAGTTACGGGAGAGAGAGAGAGAGCCCAGGCTAACGCGAGGAAGAAATCAGAAAGAGGAAAAAAAAGGTGTGCCACTTGGATCACGATCCGCGGACTCACCCCCGGCCAATGACGGCGAGGTACAGCACTCGAGGGAAGCTTCTGTTCTCCTCGGCGGGCGCTTGGAAAGGAGCCTAGGTCAACTTCGCGGCATCCAGAAGCGGCAGCCGATAGGAAGAATGCAGGAAGGAGACCTATTAATGGAGGTGGAGGAAGAAGAGAAGGACGACGGAGGGACGGTGGAGGGACGGCAGAAGGATGCTGAGAGCGCAGAGGGAATCGTCACCAGGGCTCACCAGGGCTCACCAGGGCTCAGCAGTTTCCCCGGTCCTTCGTCCATCTTATTCTTCTTGCTGTGCTTATTGCTCCTCTCGAGTCTTGATTCCCTTTTGTTTCTCCTCGCCGTAATACTGCATGTCCCGGCTTGCATAGGATGGGGGTGTCGGTAGGTGTCGCGAAGGCTGGTGGTGTTGTCCCGCGGACCAGTTCGAGTATGCGCGACAGACACACGCCCCCCCCCGCCCCCCCCCCTTTTCCCCTACGCACACGCGATATTTACTAGGCGGGCATTCTTTACGTGGGAGAGGGTGCCGGTGGGAGAGGAGAGCAAAATTTTTGTTGGGATCCGGTCACCGGCGACTTGCTCTCCTGCGTAGTATTTCCGGTTGTATGGTGTGGGCAACGCACACGAAGCGGACGGACGAAATGAGGAAATACAGAGTCGGTTCGGGGCGGAATGCAAACCCATCAAATTCTTCGTCACCTAGGTAGGTACCTGCGTAACGGGCACGCAGACACCCATACTACAGGTAGCGGCGGGGGAGATGGCGCGAGGTACCTGGGCTTATAGGTGTGCCGAAGCCCTATAACAGCGGCAATGTGTGACTCAGACCGTGCCTACGGGCGGCCTGTAGTAAACAACGGTACCTCCGTTAGAGGTACATACCAGCAGGTACCTAAGGTACCTTTCTTAGGTGGGACTCTGGGTTAGGTTATGTACCCTAAGCCCAGGGAAACCTAAGTATGTACGTATACCTACATCTGTGCGCCACTCGATCAATCCTTAACCTCTCTCATCAGCCTACGGGAGCCCTAGAGGAACACGCTCAACGCGCTGTCGGGCTGGCTGGCACGTTGCTGCACATGCGCGGGAGCTATGTATAGCTACATCGACATCGGACACATAAAAATACAACGGGGGACCATCCGAATTAGGAAAGCATCGTGGCCTGTCATTGGCCCGGGCCGCGATGGGGTATGGCCGCCTTTCTGTGCACACCTACGCAGGTCTGCGGAGGGATCGTGACGGGATGGGCTTTGATGGTGTCGCCGCTGTCAACCCAATGCGTCCGTTTTGTACAGCTCGTCATCTCATCTTCCTCTCGACTCTAGAGGATGATGGCAAGCAATCGATAGACATACGAGGTAGACCTGTGTTCCGCGTATAGCGTTCTTTGAAGAAAAACAATTCCGTCACAATCTACCGACCTCTCTGCCATAGGTAGGTTAGGAGGCAGCATGAAAAGCTCACGACCCCCGGCATACATGCATGCATGCACACATACGTACATAGAGGTTGGAGACTCCGTACCCGAAAAACAACCCGATGTAAGCCCGCATGCTGTAAGGTAATAATAACAGCACCGGTGGTGGTAAGAACAAGAATAGCCACGGCGACGGATTCTGGCGGGCATTCGTTGGACACACTAGATAAGATACTACTCTCGCGTACCTAAGATAGATACCGAATACTACCTACCTACCTACCTACCTCTACCTCTAGGGTGTAGGCATGGGAATAGTAAATGCCTGCCTGCACACGCGCGCATCCTCCCCCAACTCGGCCCCGAAGTCTCCCCCCCCGTCCTCTGTTAGAAAGGGGAGAGGAAAGAAAATCAAGCAGAGCAGGATCCCTCCAGCTAGCCAGCCAGCCAGCCAGCCACCCCTCTCCCACGAGACAGATTCGTTCTCGCCCGCGGCTGCGACAACGTCGCCGAAAAATCTTCATGATATCTTGGGCTCCCGCAGGAAGCCAGAGAGGGTGGCATCGGGGGTTCCTCTGCATCCTTGCTGTTTGCATGTCCACCGATCCTGTGATAGCACGTAAACAGCCCCGACGCTTCGTAACCTCTCTCCTCTCCGCCCCTCCTCCGGGGGGTGCATTAACCAGGGGATAGGGGGGGGGAGGTTGGTTGGTCCTCTGCCTGCTTCGCACTTTTGCCTCTCGGGTTCTCCTCGTGCCTGCATAAGCCAGATTCGCAACTTGGGACCGTTCAATGTTTCCGATTTGGTTGGATCGGATTTGATTTGCTGCTGCGACGCGGCGAGCGGCATGCTGAATTACTACACATACCTACCTACACACATACCTATCCACACCTTACCTACCTACCTACCTATCTACATACAATATCTACATGTGTGCGTGGTGGTAGTAGGGAAGTCGGCAATGCTGGCGGACGAGATCGGAGGATGCTATCAGTAATCCCCCACCCGCGCCTCTCTCCCCTCGAAACTTGTCCTCTTTCTTATCGTAGCTGTCTGTCTCTCTCTCTCCTTTTCCTCCTTCCTCCGGCTTCTCCCAAACGTTGAGCGGTCGGTCTTGCGTCACGGGATCCTCCACCACCCGCACGTCTGTATACAACGTAGTACCCGTGGGCATATGCGTAGTAGTAGAAGCCATGCACCTGGACTGGACGTCAGAGCGCCCGGCGCCAGCAAGAGAGGGCGAGGCCCAGACAGAAACACTGCGAGACGCGCCGGCCACCCCCTCTCCCCTCGCGAAGCGACACGGCGTCAAGCATGCCCGCCGTTGTTGCTTGGCCAGGTGGCGAGCGAGTGGCGACCAAGCACACCGTCCTCCACCTCACCTGGTCATTCCCCTATTCGCGAATCACACCAGGGGGGCGATTCGGGCTAGAGTTCGGATGAATAGGGATTTGGAGGCCTGCATGGTCGATGCATCCCCAATCCAGCAGCGGTCCGAAATGGATGGCGATAGTGTCAGGGGCTGCCACGCCGGCGGATGGGGCTGACAGGGCTGACGGATTCCCCAATCTCCCTCTTTAGGCGGGCTCCATCCAGTCTTCCACCCCCGCCCCCTGCCGCCAGTCCCGGATTCTTCCGATCTCACCCAGGATGCCACGAGGCTTGGAGTTGTGTACATATGTAGGCGTGTAGTAGGCGACGGGAGTTACTATGCCTACCTAATGTATGTGCGTACGTAGGCACGTACAGGCATCCAAAACCAATAGGTAGGTCAAGGGCTCGGGCTAGCAGAGCAGCAGACAGGAATTCCGGTCAACTCGCTCTCACTCACCTCACCGACTTGCGTTCTCTCCCCCCCCCCCCTTTCCTAATCGTCTTCTTCTCGGCGCTCTGGGCCAGGTGTGCTTATTGTTGGTATGCCCGTCTGACGGGAGTCGATTCGGCAACGTCTCGAGACGCCAAAACTTGGTCACGGCCAACCCAGACACAGATTCTATGACAAATTTCGAACGAGATCCAGAAACCTGCACTCCGTATCACGGAGCCCGTCCCCGTCCAGGATCTAGAAAATAAAACGGTTCCCATTACATACTTTAATTTCCCCGGAATGGAGACGGACTGACCCTGGCCTGCTTCAGGGTCTTGTCCGTCTGTCTAATGAGCCGCTGTGCGCATTAGCCTAACCTCAACCCTCTCTCTTTCTTTCTCTCCTTTCTCCACTCAACCCGTCAACCAATAGTGTAAGTAGGGATGTAAGTTGTTAGTGTGTCTTGCTGTGTGTGCTTACGTAGGGATGTATGAAAACTCGGAGAGGCACGACAGGGGATGGAACACCCTAATCCACCGGGCTCAAACGCCGAGTAATCTTTCTCGAGGGACTGCACGGCTTTTCTTCTTTCATGCAGATTCCGCTCCACCTGGGACCTCCCAGTGATCCAACTTTTTACTGGCCTCTCCAGACTCCAGATTTTCAGTCGTTCAACAACACTTGTTGCTAGTGTCCTTAGTCACATCCCGACGTGATCATCACCACGCATGCCCACTCAGGAACCCATAGTACGCGCGCGCCTCAAACGTATGTGGCGACGTGTGAAAGGTAGGTAGGAATGAAACATATACGGGCGGACGTGGTAAGTGCGCGCGCATTGCTTCAGACTTCCCGCATCCCTGGGTCAGAGAGCACCTCTCCCATGCCCATACGGGGCGGCGGGCGGTGTCAGGGCATGTATCAGATCTGATGAGCCTTTGCAGCGTGTGCGCGTAGGCGGCGCAGATCCGGTTTCGTTCGCCGAAAATTTTCTAGAAGAGCCTCCCGAGCGAGTCATGCCCGACGGCTAAGCGGCTCCGTCTATACATGCGCATTGTGTTTGTAACATGTCGACATTCCGCACCGCGGCTCGCTTATCGTTGCGTTGTTTCGGGTGGCAGTCGATCTGGGTTCCGGGCGTGTATCGCAGGAGTCCCCTTGTCTTTGATTGCCAGCGACGGATCAGCATCCGCATCACAGCGCACCAAGAAACCCGCCGGGAGTTGGCAGCTTGACGAGCTGCTCCGGCATAAAAATAAAAACATGGCGGCAGTATGTAACCTCGCCAAATCCAGAAGGATTTGCCACAGTGTTGGGAGCTGTCTCTTAGTCGCCCCGTACACGTGTTGCCTCCGAGAGATATCTCGTGGCCATCACCGAATATCGAGTCGGACTAATAACAACTACGCAGGTGTGAAGAGAGAATCCGAGACAGGCGTTACGTCAGGCAGAATAAGCGCAACGCAGCTGAGCAAGACACACAGCAGCAAGAGATATCCACGAGCCGATGGCTTAAGAAGTCTAACTACCTACATTTCGTCTCCGTTCCGCTTTAGCCTCGCAGGACGCGATGGAAGGGCCGTTAGGGTAGACCAGCGCTAAAGTTAGTCGTATGCCAGTATGACAGCGCTTCGTGACTATCGACTATTACCCACTTAGGATCCCAAGGCTTCGGTCGAAAGCCGGCAAAGCTAAGCATTGGCTAGACCCCCATTTCTACGAGACGACGCATGTGGTTTTACGACACTTCTGACATGTGAGTTAGGACATAGCTTTCTCTCCCTCTCCTCCTTCTGTCTCTCTCGTCCACTGCGTATTACCTACGCCCAAATTTGGGAGCATCCAGATTTACCCAACCATCGTCACATTCATTTTCCATCTTACGGCACACAGCACCGAAGAGAGCTTGCGCGGATCGCTCGGGGCCTCGAGGCTATCACCAGACTGCGCCAGCCCCCACGCCCGTCTCGCTCTGCGCCATGCCCGAGTGGTCAAGTGGACGCAAAAGGCGCAGATCGTGGGAAGGACAAAGCCGTTCATCAAAGACGTCAAGTGATTGTTAAACCGCAAGAATGACTTGCCACGAGTCTACAGATCATTTTTGGGCTGACCACCGTACAAAGCACGATTGAATGTTCGTCACGGTAAGTCGCCAACACAGACTCCCCCGGGCACGACTCTTGGGTAGGTCCCCAAGGATTGATTCCAGGGAATATATCGACGCTTCTACCACTGCGCCGCGGCCCAGCGCATCAATATCAATTGATACGTATATATCTAGCCTAAGGTAGCACGGTTATTATCAGGCTTCATTAGCCTAAGGATTAAGTAAACATCTCTAAATGCCTTTGAATCTTAGGTAGAGCTTATAACGTATGCGAGGTGTCGCTCCGCCTAGCCTAGGGAGAGGACGCCTAACCGCACTCTACCAGAGAAAGCGGAGGAAGAACTTCTAGATCTCTTTTCCCGGGTCTAGGGAGACGACCAAGCTGTATATGATGAGATCCTACTGCGGAATCATCTATATCATCTGTCGGGCCCCCGTGTTCCTGCCATTTCAAGCTATCAACCCGGTAGTCACGAGGTTCGGACGTCCTGATGGTCCAGAACTTAGAAGGCAATTTTATCGGGGAAGTCCCTAACGCTCCCCTTCGCGCCGTGGTCTACGGAAATATATGCTGCCCACCACCGAGATTAGAGCCCGTGTCTACATGGGAGGAATCTATAGTTACAGAGAAGTTTGCGTCCCATATGTGATCCCGAGGCGTGACTTGCGGTGGTAATCGGACGAGTGGTTGACGAGAAGGCCAGACTTCCTGGGTTAGATATAATAACATGGCTGTATCTAGCTTGAGATCGCACCGCCGTACAGAAAATACGAGCCGAGGCATACATGCTGCGGATGGTTCTGTATTCAAGACAGACATATAATAACGTACGCAGATCCACGAAACCGAAAGCCGGACATGAGAACAGAGACCTTTACCTCGTGGTAGGACGGAGAATAGTTAACTACTTAACAAGAAGGCGTATATCCAGTCGAGCAACCACATTTTCTTCGGCGAGGCCAGAGTCTATTCACCCAGGCTCCAGTCCTTGGAGGCAAGAAGACCCTAGTTTTCTCTTTCTTCACAGTGTCCCTTATTGTAACTCTAGCCCAGCCTACCGAAGACACAATTTCTTAAACTGACTTCGTTGCTCGCGTGCATACACATTCTAGTACTCCCTCGACTTCAGTCCGCTTCACGAGCATTTATCGACGCCGCCAACTAGACCCGGGTGCTGTTTCGCCGACCTCGACCGGACGAGAAGCCGACGTGCCCCCCCCCCCCCCCCCCCCCCCCACCCCAGGCGGCAAGGTGGCCCAATTTCTATGCTTTGTACCTGCAAGCCCAATTTACTCGAGACCAGGTACTTATCTGCAGCTTGGGGTAGGGCAGACGAAACTCGTTTCCCTGCCCCCCCCCCAGATACTCCATCCCGTGCGACCCCGTCGCCGGCCTTTGTAAATCTACGTCTGCATATCGGCGTGTCCCCCCGCCGCCGGGCCAGGCAGCTTCGTTTCGCGAGCTCGCGGGACCTCGCTCGGCTGGACCCGCGAGGTGCGGCCTACTTATCTACCTGCCCAGTTGCCGCTCCCGAACTCCGGCCGTGCGCGCCGCCGCAAAGCGCCGCATGCGAGACTGGTCCGTCTCGCAAGGGTCCGGCGGGCCGTAGCCGCGTCGTTATGACGGTCGTAAGTGCACTGTATATATGTATACCTATATATTCCGATATACCTATCCTTGGCCAGCGGTAGGTCCGAGTTCCCAGCCGTCCCTCCCACCCTCCTTACCAACACCCGGGGAGCGGGATAGGAAGAGCAGGATGTAGGTACACAACTGCCTCACCACATGAGAGTTGCGTAAGACAGCCACCCAGCGACGGCAGTGGTATGTTCCCCCGCATACCACCGCCAGCGACACAGACCGTCGACTCTCTCCACGTAGGCCGCTGCAGTTGAGCCGGGCCTCGCCCCGGCCCCCGCCTCCGTTTCACCGTGGGGAGCAGGTGGAAAGGTGTGGGGCGCGAGCTCGCTTCGGCAACCAACTGCTCTCGCGCGCCATCCCCGCGGAGGCGTCGGGCATAGATAGGCATGCATTGATGGGCTCAGCAGCCACCGGGCTCGCGTGTACAGTAGTTCCCTATCCCTTTATCTACGGCGAAACAACGATCCCCGACCGACTCTGGAGCGCGTGGGAGGGGGGGACGAGACGAAGCCGACAGCTCCCCAACCCCCTCCCCTCAACAACCCCGTCTGACGTCTCCCCTCGTACTCCACACCCGCGCAGGCTGACATGCCGGGGCTCTGACGCAGTCTTATCGACCCAATCCACCTTTCCCCATCCCTCCCCCCCATCCAGCTTGCGAGCGCTCAACAAACGCCAGGGAGCGGGGGTGGCATCCACCCGAAGTCCGAAGCGGGACAGTCCCCCCCTCTGGATACCGGGTGCGACGGCCAGCGCCGCGCTCGGGCTCGGCCACGCCGACGGCCGCCGCAGCCGCCAGCCACGTAGCCCGCGGCTCCTTCACCGACCCGTCCGCGCGTCCATCTCCCAGCCTGGAGTCTGCTTCCAGATAGACGCACGCGGGTGTATATCCCGGTACGTCTTGCCGAGCGCGGCTGGCTGCCCTACTCGCCACCACGGCACGCTGCTCTCCCTCCGGTCTATCCCCGATTCGGCGAATCCCCATACGCGGGGGGCCACGTAGTGCCGCGGAGAGGGAGGGGGGGGCGGGCCACGCCACTTGTTTATCTATATGTATGCAGGTAGGCATGTGTGTATGCATGCTAACCTATGTAGGTACACATGCAAACGAATCCCTACGCAGAGAAGTCTGCCTGTGCCGGGACCGACGCAGCCGTCGCCTCTCGCCGCCTCACCTGACCCACCGGGGCACCGCGTTCCTCGCTCGCTCAGCGGGCCAAGGGGCTGGGCCAGTCGGGTCTGGCGTGGCGACCTGAGTCGACAGCTATCGGAGAAAAAAAAAAGAGAAAAGGAGCACGTCAGACGCCGTCGTCACGGCGCCGCCTGGCACGCGTAAGAGCTGCGATGTCGGCATAATATACGCGTGTCAGCAGGCACAGGTCCACAGGCGGCGAGCGGAAAGGCTGGCTGACTAGCTACCTAACCGATAGAGACGTGGCCATTCTTCGGTCGGCAACACCTACTTACATGTGCCGTTTTTACCGTCCCCCTTTCCCTCGTCCAGAACACCTGACGCCTTCGGGATGCAGGAGAGGAGAGACAAACGGACAAATACACATTGAGGAAGAAGTTATGGAATCGGTGCCTACCTAGGCAGATAGAGCGTCTAGACGTAGCGTGCGAGTAACAGTAGTCCGTCCCTCTTCAGCCCGAGGAAACTTGACAAAGCTTATACCTGGGCTTAAGATATATACACGTACATACACACAAAACACGACAAGACCACCAGATGACTATCCTCCCGAGAGATGCTAGCTTTCTTTTGCTGACTAGCTAACCCGTTGCCCTCCCCTCTCCCCTGCCCGTAGTCCCTCCGAGACAGAAAAAGGGAAACGTTCGTAAGTCGTGCAGCCGGCCGCGCCCCGGCCTCCTCCTCGCAACCCCAGCCCACTCACTCGCCCGGTCCCGTTTTCCGCGACGAGTCGGGCACGCTCGGCATCGCCCGGCCTCCGGACCTGGAGAAGCCCCGTCTCGAAGTTTTCATTCGTAATTCTAGAAAAGGGAAGGGGGTCCTCCTTTTTTTTTCAAAGTTTCATCACAGCATTCCCAGAGTGCGAGTTCGAACAATTTTTCGTTGCCATTCATCTCGTGTAGCGATGGTATGATCGTAAACGTCCTCCAACAGCAATCGAGTGATAGATGACAAAAAAAGGGGGTGGGGGGTATTGGATCGAGTAAGACAGCTGTTCGACTAGAAGGGTGTAAAAAAAAGAATGTATTCGCGTGTGAGCGTATGCGTGGAGAAAAGAAAGACCGGGAAAAAAAAAAGATATGCCTATGCAGGGCCGCCTGCTATCACGACAGTTGAACGCCGACCTGGAATGCTACTGAACGCCCTTTCCGGGTTCCTTTTGGTATATCCCCCCTTCATCCCGACACGCCCTCGAGGTCATTTCCGTCACGGGCCGTAGATCCTTCCCCCTCCCCTTCCCCTTCCCCTTCCCCTTTTCCTTCCTCCCCCCCCCCTAGTTCCTCCTGAAAAGCCGTTTCGTACCCCCGACCTTGCCCATCTCGCCAAACTTAGCGTCCAGTCGTTGCTCCGGTGGGACAGTTCGCTCGCCGCTAGCGATGCGAACTTTTTCCTTGACGCTCTCGACCCAAAGCCTGCTCTCCTCGCTCATGTCTATCTTTTTCGCCTTTGGTCCGGCCAAGCCGAGAGAGCTGTCTTCCTCATCCCACTCCACGCGTGATGATTCGCGCGACCGAGCCGACGCGTCAGACGACGGCGTGTCCGAGTCCCGCCTGACGGTCGCAAACGGCGTCTTAGGGAACTTCGGTGCCGCCTCTTCGCCCACGGTCCTTCTAGTCTTGCGGACTGCGAGAGGGGTGATCGGGGACCCTAAAGCAGATGCTGGTCGGCTCGATGGACTAGATCCGACCGTACCGGGAGACGCAGATGGTACATCCTTGACATCTACTTTGCCCTCGCCCTTAGATCGCCGACTGTGGTGCACCGCGTATTCTCGGAGATATTCACCCAAGTCTGCCCACCCACCGCCGACCCTAACCATTACTCTCTCGCCGCGCTCTCCAACGCAGCGGATGAATAGTTTTATGGGCGGTTCGCCAGTAGATCGTGACAAGTGGTAGACTTTGATGCCCTGGTTCCTCGACCTGGCACGGGGCTCTCTCGCCGGTGCTAACATAAACGAGGGGGTTCCGCTGCGGGAAAAAGATGGGGTCCCAGCGCGCGAAGATAGACTGGAGTTGCTACGACGCGTAGTATCCGATGGTCTCGTTTTCGACCGCGAGGGGGGCTGGAAGTCGGGTGGGTTCAAATTGATCCCAGGGGTCCTTGAGAACCGGATCTTGGCCGGGATGGACTGGAGGAGCTCGCCGATCCGTTGTTGAATGTGATCGTCGTCGCTAGTGGAACTGATTGTGCTCATTCTACCCGAGCTGTCAGGTCGGCTGTCATACTCGAACGAAGTATCTCCATCGTAGACCTCGGATAGCTCCCGAAGGCTCCGTGGTGGCGAGCTACCCGGTTCTGGCAGGTGGGTAATCTCAGGCACATCCTTGAAGGTGACCGAAGTCGAACGAGTGGTCTTGTATCGCAGAGGCGGCGAACTCGGAGGGCTGATAGCATCGCTCGAGAACGGCTCGTCGGGATCCGGTAAACGGGGGAGATCCGGGTCAATCGAGTCTTCTCTGTATGGCGCGCCATCGGAGCGATCGAGGAAGCCTCCGGGAGGACCGTATATGACGGTTGAGGCAATCGACTCCCTGCTCTCCTTGCGGATCGCCAATCGTGCGGGGGGCAGCTCCAGCTCTTCTCCCTCCTCGCTCTCTTCGTCTACCGGTTCCAAGACTGATGATTCGGGTTCGTCGACTTGCGGTTCTCTTCGGTGAATTACCGGAGACTTCTTGAGTTCTCGTGGAGGATTGCGGATGACGTTCCGATCGACTTCGCCTAATACGGGGTTTAGTCCCGCGTCTTCCAATCCGTTCTCCTGAGACTGCTCGACTGGGAGCAGGCGCGAAGCATCGGACAATGCGTTAGTCAGCTTAGAGGCTGCCGCTACGGATCTCGTCGGGCGTTTTCCGTCAACGCGATCAGCTTCGCCGCTCGGCTCGTTTATCAGGATTGTGATCGAGGCTTGCTCGGCAGGCAAACGGACTCCATTCGCGTCCTGCTCTCCCGCTACGTTCGTTTGCGCCGGAGATTCCTCGGAGGGTATTGGCGGGGAGGCGAATCGGCTGTTCTCAGAGAGCGGCGGTAGGTCTCTGGCTGGGCTCGGGCCCTGGATCCGAATCTTCGGCTGTGGCGTTCCTGGGACCAGAGTTGGTTGGGACGGGTTGGCGTCCTCGCCCTCAAGGACCTTCCGCTCCCCTCTCGTCTCCCATTCGAGGTAACCTCGTTCTACCGCCTCCAGGCGGTCTAGCCACTCCTCCGGTAGAGTGTCCGAGGCGCCTTCCAACGTGTCGAGCATGGAGTCTATAGCGTGTGCCGGCTTCGTTATTTTCAGCCTTATGACGCCCTTCATGACCTCGAAGTCCATTCTGGAAAGTACACGCGACTTGTCTGTCGTGTCGCCCCCGTGTTCGTCCGCAATTGCAGAGTTGGTGTCCGCCGGCTCGACTGCGTCCCAGCCGGAGCGCAAGGCGACCTCGGCTTCCGCCAAAGTAGTCAACAGAGAAGGGATCTTCTGGAGAACGAGCAGTCGAATCGTCCACGTGTGGAGCAATCTCGTCAGTCTAGATAGGTTAGGCAAGGCCTGCACGGTGATGGCGGTGACAACCGCGGTGAGGTCTTCCATCTTGGCAAACATGAAGCCCGACGCAGACGAGCGTCCGCCTTCGGAATAGGGGCTACTCGGCCGCGATAACGGTAGGATATGGTTGTGCAAGACCTGGTTCTTAATCTCCTCTAGATCCAAGTCATCCAAATCCTGCTGTATCTTCTCGGTTCGCTTCTCGTATCGTTCGACATCGGCGACGGTTAGACTTCCGAGGTAACTAGTGTCGGCGGTGAGGTCGGAGCCAGCCTCCTGGCCCTCCCGGTCGCTATCCGACGCTTCGGACTCGGCTAGCTTCCTTCTCTTAGCAGGCGGCGCTTCGAAGCCAGCGGAGCCGGCATGCGCGGGCCACGACCAGTTGGAGAGCTCGTCGAGCCACTCGTATATCTTTTTCGACGCGACGGCGGTTCGCATGGCGAAGGCCTGCTCGGACGTCGAGGCCTGGTCCATACATGTTTTCAACACACCCGTGGGGCTTCGGAGAGCATCGACGGCGGTATTGGGGAAAAGTTGGGCAAGGAGATCGTCGCCTAGGCGGTGGTGGCGCGATGGCGATTGTGAGGCTGAGCGGAATTGTGAAGTTGTGCGAAAGTGTCGTCGAACGGTGACTCGCGTGCCGGTGGGCGTGGATACGCGCCCGTCGGCCATGGCTGGTTTTGCTGTGGGTTAGTATCCGTGTTCTATGTGCGTGATACAGGTGCCGAAACGGGTATCGCCAACACGGCAGTTGGCCTCGTCGGTACGGTTCGATAGGTAGTGGTGGCGAGGCGTGTCTTTTTTCTTCTTCGGGTAGTATTTCGTTTTTCTTGTGTTTCTATTCAGATCTGTTCCTCCATGACGATGGGACGGAAGAAGAGAGATGAAGGTGCCCGATTGTATCAAGCTTTCATTTCCCTCCGACCCCGGATCTGCACACCTTGCCGTCTTCCCACGGGTTCGTACCGGCGCGACACAGAGCAGGGACGTTTTTTCCCCGGGTAGGCCGTTGCGATTCTGGCAAACGGGCGGCCGCTCCAAGAAGGGACTCAGATTCCTCGGCTATTCGCAGAAAACGGCCAGGGAGGATAACTTGGGTTTATGAAGATTGGGTATGCACGTATGTACGTCGAGCTGGTTAAGTAACTCCGGTGACGTGGGTGGATAGGTGGGTATGCGACGTGTCTCTCGCTGGCCGTTCCTCTTGGGTTCCAGAATTTTTGTGAACGAGCGACGAATTACGAGGTAATATACATTCCGGCCAAAACAATATGAACAAAGTGGACAAGGCAGACAATGTGAATAGAGCGAACAAAGTGGATCAAGCGGACAAAGTGGACAAAGCAGAACGAGTAGATCAGCAACGACCACACCCGTAATGGAACCAGAAGAGGGAGCAATTGGATGCGAGACCGAGACGAACGAAAAAAGAAGGGGGGGGGCAGAACCGAGGGGAAAGGAAGAAGAATCGAACGAGACAACGAGGGAAGAACCGGTAAGCCGAACTACGAAGGAAGAAGAGAAAAAAAAGGTGAAGGAAGAGCTAGGAAAAGTGAGGCGAGGCAAGTCAGGTAGAGAGAAGGACAAAAAAAAAAAAAACAGGTCAAGCTGATGAGACAACAGCTGCGAGGAAGCGAGCAGTCGACCGGATTACGACAGAACGCACACACAGTATATGACAAGGTATAACTCGAGCATAGGTTAGGTATAGTTAGGCGTGTATAACCTGCTAAGCTGCTAAGCTGCTTTGGACGGGCGCCAGCTGGCAAAGCGGATGGATGCCTCTAATTGGGAGCTTGCACAACCGACAAGCTGCTTTGTACCGACCGGTGTGGAGTACTTAGAGAGCCGCCAACGGAGCAAGTACCACCGCACCCAGCAACGCGCGCCGAGGTACCTGGCGCGCCACGCTGGCGCCGGAACGAAGGTACACGCCTCCGTGCGATGCGAGGCGGAACTGCGAGTGACGAACCGGCGCGACCTGATGAACCGAGGCGAGCTGCGTCGCCTCCAGCGCACGCCTCCAGCGCACGCCTCCAGCGCACTCCTCCAGCGACGTGGACGCCCTCGAGCCTGGCGACTCGCGCAGCCCCAGGCGCAGTAAGATTGCCCCATCTCGCCTCTCACCTTGTTGCTGTACAATTACTCATAGGCGTATGTGCACATGCTATTCCGGCCCAGCGCGAACCGACCCAGCAACCAACTGGTAGCATGAGCAGGTAACCCAGCGCCTGGGACCCCCCTGCCCGCCATGCGCAACCCGGCTATTATTTCCCGTCACCTATTGGGAGATTGGCTATTTCCACGGCGTCGATGCTTATATCCACGGTGCTCCACCCGGCAGTGCAGCGGCTCTCTCTCTCTCGCCTGATCTGTAACCCGGCCGCCACTCGAGGTCTGTTGGGGTGTGGAAAAGCCTGTCTGGATCTGCTACGCGCGTGCACGAATGCCGCGCGCCCACCGGCGGTCGTGATAGAGAGAACGGGGCTTGGAGTAGGCAAGCTACGTTTTGTTTACAGCTAAATACGGGTGGGCAGTGGACCTCCTAAGGCTACGCCTAGCATGGTGGGTGCGAAGAACCGTGGATATAAGCGTGCAACCCGTGGGCGAGAAGCGATGCGATGATTAATTACATGGTACATCCCCAGGTGCCATTGGCGCCCCACGACCCTTCGGAGAGGTTCCCAATTAAAACAAGGGCAGGTCATTAGACGACGACGACTATGGCCAGTCTGGACCCTTTTTATCCTCCGTCGCGCATGTCTCCATATTCACACAGCCGTGCGTATAAGACTCCCTCCCATCCGCCCTCTGCTTCATAATCAGTCCCTTCTCTTACTGCCCACATCCACTCTTCCCGCCCCATACCTGTCGGATCATCGGATATGTGCATAGATGCGCCTCCGTCCCCATCCCGTCCCTCGACCCGCCGAAGAACAACCTCAAAGACGGACGCGCGAACAGGCGCTGGGGCAAGGGGGCAGGACCCGAGACATCGCACTGCAATCTTGGGAGGTGGGATACGTACGGTAGGCGTCCTCTTTACCCGCTCCATCGATGATCTACGCATACCTATATGTACGGATGTAAGCATGTCCAGATATACATATACATACATACATGATACATCGTCCCGTCCCGTCCATATGCAGAGTGAAACTGGGGGCTCAGGTCAGATCGCCGCGTACGGCGCGACGGCTACCCGTGGTACGGAAAGCGAAAAAGTGGCATCGCTGCCACCAACGTGCTAGCCACGATCTACCTCCCAGGAGGCGAGGTAGAGGGATTCGCCTATTCTATGCATACACACATACTCATTATATGTACACATCATACTCTATATGTTATCCATACACATACCCATGGCGACCTCGAGCTGCACGGCCGGAAAATGATGTGCAGGCTTGTCCTTCCCGGGTCCCCCTGTCTGCCTACCTACATGATACCGTAGGTAGGTACCTAGGTATGTAACCTCTATACATGTCCGTATATGCATAATGCCCGGACAGAGGGCAGGTAAGCATGTTTATACTTCCCGCGTGTTGCTGCTGCAACACCGCGTCGTATACATATGATTAGACCCCGCCGACGGCGTCTGTCCGCTGTCCCCCATCCCAGGTTGGTTCCGGCGACACGACCCGCCCACAGCTAATTTCAGACGAGCCTCCTCTCCTCTCGCCGTCGCACGGATACGACGTCTCGTCGTTGTTATGTATGCACCTATATGTGTATATACTTATATGCACGTGTCTGCGTGGTAAGAGTGAACCTCTGGCTGTTATACGCTCGTGTGCGTGTGGATATCTATATACGCAGGTATGTATGGGCTCGTGTGTCCGTGGTCTGGCCAGCAAACCCCATGGGTTTCATCGTGAGAACTCGGACGCTGGCTTGAGAGCCAGACGCGATGAAGGGGGCCGCATTACGGACGGACGCAGCAGGAGGAGGAGGGACTCATACCTACACAGACATGCAGGCGCCAACCCAGCCGGCCGGAGCGTTTCCACGGTTCTCTCTTTTCGTCCGACCATTCATTAAATACGTTACTATATTCATCGTCGTCATCTTCCTCCCCGCGTCTAGCTAGTCTAATAAGTATGGGTGCATGTGCAGGTAGTGAACTCGTTTCTTCCCCTGTTCCGCGTTCGTCTCGTGGCATAGAGGCCATGCGGAAAAGGAAGACGAAGAGAGCATGTAGATCTAAAAATAAGGACGTCCCACCCTACGTAGATGCGTAGGATAGAACGTCGAAATAAAAAGCACTTTTTAGAACCGTGCCAGCCACCCCCGACGCCCCCGACCCGATATCCCCGCCTCCCAACGTCGTCAGCGAGACGACAAAAGGCACCCGACGCCCTGAGTAAAATCCGAACCTAAATCGATAAAAACAAGACTCCCTGCCCACCTTCGCGGCCTTCTAGAGGCATGTAAGCCAAGCGGGAGGAGAAATACTACGCAATGTACCCCCCACCGCGTCAATCAGGTCCATCCCTCTTATCGTTCCCTTCCTCCCCCCTCGTCGGGAGTTATCAGGAGGCGAGGCCGCTCCCCTGCGCAGCACCGTCGAGCAAGCCGATGGTAAAACTAGGCGGCCCGTCGACCTCGCCCATCGTCGGCCGACCGGCGCCGGCAACCGCGGCGCCCGCCGTCTTTCCGCCCTCGCCCGGGAACTGCAACCACTGGTCGAAGTCGATGTTAGTCCCCGTCAGCGCGTTCCAGTCAAATTCGTCGTGGCCGTCGAGCGTATCGAAGTCCATCTCGACATCGAGCGGTGCCGCCGGCCCGTCCGACGACCCGCTCGCGCTCGGCGTGAGCACCTCCTTCTCCGTATGCGGCGGCGAGTGCACTGCCGCTGGCGTCACCAGGTCCGCCGGCGGCACGAATTGTTGCTGCTGCTGGTGGTGCTGTAACTGCTGCTGCTCTAGCTGTTGCTGCTGCTTCGCCGCCGCCGCCGCCGCGGACGCTGACGCTGACGACATTGGGAACAGGTTCGTCTCCTGCGCCGTTGCGTACGGTGCATTCTCCGGCGGCGGCGTTGCCATGTTCTCGACCGCCGCGCCGGTGGCTGTAAGCGGCGACGCGGTTAGCTTGATGCCTCCTCCGTTGACGCTGAAGCTGCTGTTGCCGAACCCCTGGGTCTGAGCCACCTGCAGGTCGATGGCTGCCTTGCGCAGTGCCGCGTCGAGGAACGCGACTGCGTAATCAGCCGCGGAATAGATGTCGCGCAACTTTTCCATGACCTTCATGCACTGCCTAAAGCCGCCCATCGCGATTTTCCGTGGCTGCGGTAGCGGGTTCTTCATCTCTAGCAGGTGGATGATCATGGCGGGGAGGATGACGGTGACGCCAGTCGTCGGCAGGTACTTCTCGAGCCGCAGCTGGTGCAGCTCGGCGACCATCAGGGTGATCTGCGAAGCGGCCTCGCGCACCCTCGCCCGGGACATCTCCTGGGCCTGAGCCGAAGTCCGAGGCGCGTGCATGGGCGAGGACGGGAGGAACTGGGGCCGGTGGAGCGCCGATATCGTCGTGTAGTACACCATGTGCAGGAGGTTGCGCTGTATCGCGATCGTCGCGCGGCCGTTCTCGATATCCAGAGCCGTCAACGGTCGGTACTGGCAGCAGGCCGGGAGTGACTGCACCCAAGCCATGAGCTCGAGGTCGCAGGAGTTGACGCTCTCGACGTTGTCGAACTGCTTGTTAGGGAACAGCATCATCGTGCTATTCGTCGTGTTTTCTGCCCTCGACTTGTCCCTGATGAGGACCGAGTACTGGGCCTTCAGCATGTGGCTGATGCAAAGGCAAAGCTTTGCCTTCGCGACGCACATCAAGGCGAGCTCTTGCTGCATCACAACGTCACGCACGAGGGGGCATTCGGGGCCCACGACCTGGATTTCGTCCGCGAGCGGCTCGACCTCGAAGTCGTGTTCGTCCAGCATGGGCACGTCGAAATCCTCGTCCTTTATCCGCGTCGGCCTTCGCATGCCGAGGGCGATCAAGCGGTCGCGCATGAAGCACGACCACCATATCCTCTTCCACAGCTTTTGCTTCCGCGGCGCCATGTTCGTGTTGGCCGGGTTTCGGTGCAAGCCGATAGTATGCGCCAGCGAGATCGCGACCCCCATCCAGTGCCAGGTGTCTTTCTGGTCGTCGGGCGTCTCATACCAATACGTCATCAGTAGGAGGCCTTGCACGAGGATGAGTCGGTCACACTCGTAGTCAAAGTCGTATAGAAGCTACATCGATTAGCGTCTTCCCCAAGACGATACGCTCGGGCGGACGGCAGCCTTACCCTGGCCTTATAGAAGAAGTCCCTCCGAGCAGCTTTCCTGTTGGCGTAACCAGCCTCCTTCAGGTACTTGACGTCCACGAAGGCGGTGGCCGCGAACATGACGGACTGGTAGAGGAACAAGCTGGCCTGGCCGTACAGGCCGTCGCGAGAATCGACCATGGCAAGGAAGTCATGTAGCTCCAAGAGGGGCATGTAAGGGTGGACATATTCGATGTATGAACATAGTAGCGCGTTCTGGAGAGAGGGGCTTGGCAGCGATAGGGCACCCTTGGTATGAAGGTAGCTCACGTCTTCCGGCGAGATCTTGGTGGGAAGCGGCCGGATGAAGCCAGGCAAGTGCGAGGAAGCATCCGGCTCCTCGAGCGAGTTCAGGAACTGCGCCGTCCTCAGGGCCCCTGTGCCAGCAGCCGAGTTCGCGCTCTGGCACGTATTCGGATTCGGCCAGATGCTGGGATAACGCGATCCGTTGTTGCTGGCCTGAAGATTGGACAACAGTACCGGATCAGGCCGCAGACCCGACCTTTGATCTGGAGCACGTGTAAGTCCCCATGATCAACCTGGAGAACCGATATGTTCCACAAGGCTTATCACTCCTCGCTCGCGGCTCGGCGGAATTTGGCATGTGACAATTCGGGGTAGGGGAACGGTTTCCATTTGCGTCGACTTACATAGCAGATGGGGAACGTGGCTCTCCAAGCCTCCGTCCAGGATCGCCGCCGAGCTGGCAACGTCGTTACTAACGGGCGAGAGCTGAGCCCCCTCGCTGGGGCGCCGCAACGGTGCCGCAGCGGTAGCGGCAGCGATGGTGACGGGATTGGGCGGTTTCGCTCTCAGTTGTGCCTCGGCAGGCTGCGGGGCCGAGTTGCTTTGAGAGGCCGCTGGATTCGAGTGAAAAAGATTCTTACTATTACCACCCACCAGCAGACAGGGGTTTTTCGTCAGTCCTCGCCGCAAGACAGGCCCAAGCAACTCGTAATTGGGGAATTGGGGTCGAAGGAGGGAGCTTTCTCCAAAAAAGGCGTCACGCAACGGAGCTCAGCTGCTAAGACACTAGCAACGCCATCGATTGGCGTTGACGATTCGGCAGACGAGACGGGATTTGGGAAACAGAGCCGGAAAATAAAACAAAATCAAATCGAAAAAGGCCCACATTGGAGACTCACCGTCGACGACGACTTTCCTGAACAATGCACTCCACATTGTCCCACCTGCAATTGCCGCAAGGCGCACCTTCGACTACATCGCACCTCACTTTTCGGCTCCTACAGCTGATGCAGGCCCGCGCAGCCCTCCGTTTCGTCGCCTTTGCCGCGCCATTGGGCTCCGAGCTGGGGGCGGACCGCTTCTTAGACTGCGTGCTCGAATCCGGCGAGGATGCCGCTTTCTCCTCTGGCTTCGAGGGCGTAGCGTCCGTGGGAGCATCGTCCATCGGCTCGTCGGCCTGTGCCTCGGGCGAACGGCCCGGGAGAGTCTCGTCTGTGGTGGCCATGTTGGTGAGGGGATGATTGTTCGTAGTAAAACGCGAGTCTTCCGGCTTCCTTTGCCGGGGACAAAGACTATACGGTCTCCTTAGAACCTCGAGGCGCTAGAAAGTCTTAACCGGAATTCCTGGAAAGGGAGTCTCACTAGCAGATCGGATGGCGAGCTCGGGTCTTCGACTCAGTCACGGGATCGACGCCGTGTGTAAGTCGCGTCTAAGCGTGGATTTCCGCAACTGGGCGACAATCAGGGGGAATCCTCTCTCCCGCCTCTGGTTGCCGCACCGGGCAACAACAACTTGCAGTCGTATTTCTCGGGTTCGTGACAGCATGAGAAGGGGTTGGAAGAAAGAAGAACGGCGAGAGAAGACAGGCACTGGAGACAAGGTGGATAGAACAGGATTATGTGTGAGTGTGTGTGGAGGTGGGTATGGTGGGGGAGGACGGGCATTATGTATAAGTGCAGTGTTATTTCCACGGGGGCCAGACACGAATACATGCAATAGATACATACCTCTCTAGGAAGAGATGCCGGCCCAAAGCAGAGGACTCCCGACGGGGCTCAGAATCGCTACTCGGGGCCTAATAAATCTGCAAGCGATCCTTGTGAAAAAAAAAAAAAAAAAAAAGAACCTACCTTGCTAGACAGTCCCCATAATAAGTGTTCGTGTGCGTCTCCTACCATTGGCCTCTCCTCCAAGGGATTCTTTCGTGAGACTAACGTTAGAACGGCAAAACGGGGCTTCTCACATGTCCACACTTGAAGCAACAATTAAGTCGTAGCCTCGTCATCCTTGTGACCTTGACGCCTACTCATAGACAAGCAGCAAAGAAATCCCCGACTGGGTCGGTGAGAGGGACACTCGTCATCTGTCTCGTCTCCTTTTCCTCGTAACCGACGTAGACAGCCAGCCCCCTCGCCCTCACTTGCAGACGCGGCGAAGGCCAGCATTATCCACAGTAAACGGCTTAGAATCTGGGGAATTCGCCCCTTTTCCGATTCTTTCCCGTGTGACCCCAGCCTTGGCTTCCTAGGGTCACCAGCGTTGGCGGTTCGTGTCTAATACGGTACTGGCGTGCGGTACTGGCCCCCCTTTCTTCGGACCTGGATCTGCGGAGCAGCCAATCACAAGTACGCACTACGGTCCCAGTTCGCCGGCGCTCTCTCGAGCTTCGTTAGTATTGTGTTACTACACGTCTCTAGGCCGAAGACGGTTAAAACTGATCACTACTCGCTATCTCGAGTCACGTCGGAGGAGGGGAGAGAGACGGTCAAGTCTACCCCTCCACAGCTACCCTGCCCTTGCGTGTGTCGCGATCGTCATCACGATTCTGCAAAGTTGGCGCCGTCCAGGGTGCTGATAAGCAGCAGCGGCCTCGTCGCTTCGTTTGCGTAGGGGGACAGTAATGGCTGAATAGTTGGGGGGGGGGATCTAGGACGACCCAGCACCCGGTGTTGAATCAGATCCCCGGCGGTGCTCATTCGATATTCGAAGGCCGTAATGCTTGCGCGGGCGTCCCCAAAGGGAACTTGCCGTCTCAGCGGCCGGCCGGCCTATCTCATACACTGGACGAGCTTGACACAATGGGCGACAGACGTCTAGCCCTAGACCGCGTCTGGCCAGATGGCATCCTTGCGTGCCAGCGGACGGCTGCCATGTATGTCATACCTGGAGGGAAACGGCTGCCATGCTTTTGCCGCCGTTCGTCCGTCCCGCCGACAGATAGCCATGCTCCGGAGATCCGATATAAGACCGCCATCAAACGTGGGTGCGCACGCATGCGGTTTGCAGTTTTGCAGGATGCAGGATGCAGGACACAGGCTGGGTTGCGAGGGATGGGTGGATGGCACTCGAGCGCCCAAGAGGGTTACAGAGGGAGAATGTCCGCGGTAAAGTCCCGGGATCGCTGCCGACCCAAGAGCTCCAGGGGTTTCCGTCGGTCTTGGTTTCGTGAACCCGTTGGTCTCTGCACGGAGCTGAATACCTCCTCAATACCTGCCATCTAACGTCCATCTTGTGCATCTCGAGGTACATGATGAGTAGAGAGGTACCAGATGTAGCCAGATGTGCCAGATGCGTGTGAGGTATACTAATACACACAGGTACCTACGTCTATGAGCAGAGGTACCTACTCATAGGATGGGTCCGGTCGATGTCAGAGGGGCGGTCCCTGATGCCCTATGTGGTTAGCTTTCAATGCCCAGGATGAGCACTAAAAGGCGCCTTCAGTAGGAGGCAATGTGGGAGACAACCTATGAATAGGAGGTGTTGCACGTCCATACGCCTGTACCTCAGGAGGTATCTACTTAGGTACGTAAGGTATATGGGTACCTGCCTTAGGTCTCCAATGTACACCCAGCCATAACGTGCACAGACATAATACATACAGGGGTGGAGGTATGTACTTGGCCACCAATGCTGAGGAGGTACCTCCAGGTGGCCCTCGTATCCTATGAAGATCTTGTCATTTCAAAATGCTGGCATCCATCTGCCACCCGGGGGCCGGCGATCGGCCTGGGCCTGGTTAGCGGCAGAAACCGGTGGAGGAAATTAACACAAATAGGTTCACGCCGCGCTCGGAGGCGCCATTGGAAATCTACCCAAAGGCATTGGCGGTCTACCTGTAGACATGCTGAGATTGGCGCGCGCCTATCACGAATAGCAATACACGTACACGTACGTGTACAGAGTTGCGGGAGGGCCGGCAAAGAGAGGAGTTGTCCGCTTGTATGTGCATTGCCACCCCTATGCAGACGCAGAGGTACTATATGTACGTATGTATTGTCGAAAGGGATGTGACGTATCCAGGGTGAAATTTTTGTAGGTCACGATCCATCCCGGGACGGCTTTCGTGGCGTGGTGCCACTCTGGGGCAGACCTAATAGGGGGGATGCACGGGCATGATGTTATGCTACCTGAGGTACCTGATGCATGTGCCGTAGGTACATAGTAGATGATACGTGGATTCGTGGGTCATGTACCTAAGCTACCTACTAGTATACGCACATCTACCACGTACACATCCTAATACACTTCGGTACCGATACACACCCGTATGATGAAATATTTCTGTGTGCACCAAAGTACCATACTCTTACCAGGTATGCTGTCTCTATCGGTGCTGAGGGAGCTCTTTCGTCAGACCTTATGTAAATTGTAAAATGCAAAATGCATTAATATGGATGGATAAAATCGGCAGAAAATGAAGTTGCGAAGCGGGTCGAATTTCCCCCCAATCAGCTTGGTCCAACACCGGACGGCGCGCAGTCATGATTAGCCCTGTGTTACGTAACCCCGTCGCCCTGTCTCTTCCAGCTCCCAGTCGCAGCATGGCAGCTTCCTGCTGAGCTGCTTGCCCGCACCCACCGACTCGTCCCTGCTATTGGACGCCCGTGGCCCCACCGCCTTCGCCATGGCCACCCGGGTACGGGCAGCTTCGTACCTCATCTGTGGGTCCCCAAGAGGCAGGACGGTAGGGGGAAGATGGCGGAGGTGGGATCCACTCAACACTCCTTACTCAGCCCCTGGCCGCACGCTGAAGCTCCTCCTCCTGTGTCTCCCTCTTTGTCTGCTTGGCTGGCTGAGTGCCGGACCAAAGGCGCGCTCGACGCTATCTTGGCTCCCAGAGACATTGGTCGACCGGCTCAGTGCGGAGGACCTGACAGCACGACATCATGAGACATTGAGCAGGCTGGGGTTACTTTGTCGACCAGGAAGGAAGGGGGGGAGGGGAATGCCACTGCGCGATCGATCGTAATCGCCCCCCCGGTTCTAGGTCGCCAATACCGACAGCTCAGACAACTCGGGGAAGAGACTGGGGCCAGAGGTGGTAGCCACTAACCTAATGGCAGCTGTGGACGCCGGCGACGTTGTTCGGACGGATGGCCGACGCGCGGTGCCTCGTGGGATGGGGGCTTCGATCCGGGACGGGACCTTGAGAGCCTACATTGTTGGGAATTCCAAGTCTTGGCCGCCACCCTGCTTCACCTGGTCAGGTATCATGTATGCAAGAGACATGTAGATATCAGTCTAGTCGACCCGACTAGCAGCCTCTAGTGCCGACGCTTCGGGTGCCGTTAAGCGATGTAAATGCTATGGCCTCAGATGCGGAGAAGATCGCGAGCATCTCGCCTATGAATCATTGCCGTCCCTATATAGGCGTCGTATCGTACGTCGTGCCTGTCGAGCGTCGAGGAAGCAAACCGCTATAAACCTCCCAAGCCAGGCAGGTTGGCTGGCGAGCTGATTCCCGTGGTCTAGATCTTTCGCCAGTTGCCATGTGGCCATGTTAACTCTTGTCTCCTGTTGGCCTTTGGACTTCCAATTAGCCCGGCTAGGGCCTCCTCCCCCCTGGCTCCCCGGAATATCTAGGAATAGAGGCAACGCCCGCCCCATGCTGTGACAATCTGCGATATGTGAGGTAGCTTCTTGCGGTTAGGGTACTCCGCGTACATGGCCAAGAAGGCATGGCATTGACCTAGAAGCTAATCCCAAGAATTTCATAACCCATATCCCTATACAAAAGTGTCATAGTCTGATTACGTCCTCACCTTTCGACCCCAGGCTTCGATCTGAGCAATCAAGGCCTAGCCCGCCCTCACCTCCTCCCCCTCCTCCGGGGCCCCGCAGGATTAGTATTACTGCTCAAGACCCAGCATTCTGCCCCTCTTGCCTGATCCTAACCCATGCCTACATAGCATCGGGGCGACTCAAAACATGTTTTTCCTCCTGCCCAAGGCCTCACACTATTGGCGAGTCAAGATGACGAGCGAAGCCCTCACCTTCTTAGCGTCCGCTACAGGTGTGGAATCCCTCGATGCGGTATCCCATGTGATAAATCCTAACCCGCAGAAGCGTTCACGTGATTCCACTGCACGCTGGCAGACCGTGGCAGTCTAACTTGAAGAGGGAATCGGCGAATATCCCCTGCGTGCCTGGTCTAATACACAGGAGGTAGACAAATTTCGCTTCTGTGCTATTCGAGGCTACGTCTTCTCCGTCGAGTAGGAATTCAGGCCAGCTAGGTGTACGGTGGACCAGAAATTCGGACCTGTCTGGATTGGGGATATCACACACTCTCCTGCCGTGTCCTACCAAGCAATCTGCGGAACGGCGGTAAAAGGGTTCGAAGCATAGCAACACGGTATAAATTGCAAAGAGAGAAAAAGAATTTCTGCTAATGCTAGAAGAGGATGGTGGATGATTTGACCCAAACACCCAATAAGAGTGAAGTATCGTTGACTCGCTCTCTCGACTCCCAAATGGATGGTGGCCTTCTTATAGATGGGCGATGGTCCCGCACCGTTAGATCCGGCACTCGAACTAGGGAAAAAATCCCGCTGTCTCCTGATCTAGTCACCGGCCCTCGCTCCGGTGAGAACAGCCTCTGCAAAGGTCTCTAAACCGGCAGCTCTCCGCCGGCGACCATCTGCGGCTCTGCTACGCTTGCTGGATGCTCAGTATGTCAGGGAAAGGTGGGATACCGAACGATGCCCGGAGGCGCGTCCGCATCGACGTATTTCCGGGAATACGGCGGATATTACCGAGACTCCGTCCTCTTTGGATTCTCAAGGCGTCGTAGCTTGTCGTCGTTACTTCTTCAGATCCCCACAACAACATCTTCCCTCATTCATAAATCCGAGCGTCCTACACCGTCGATCCTGTTTTTAAGCTGGCGATGCTGGTAGGCCCTATATTTATCTCCTATCGGTCGGCTGGTGTGGTTTGCAGCCATTCGTAGGGAACTTAGCCGCAAGGGCCCTCAGATTTAGGAAGGCGGAAATCCGGGCCCGAGTCCTCTCCCGTCGGCGCGACGCCGGCAGAACAAGACCAGATCGAACTTCTTAATTGATCGTGGAATCCCACCCGTGGGATTCTCGATGGCCCTGGTTGCGGCAAATAGCTGGCTCCCTCTCCCTTATCTTTTTGCATTAGTTTCCGTGCACTGATGTGAACGGCTAAACCGCTTCACGATACGTTTCATCGTCGTGTGGGCGGTTTTGACTTAATTCAAAGCGATTGGATTGGAGGTTGATATCTACAACTTGTCCGATGGGTCTGCTCTGCGAAGTGTCACCGTAGCAGCCCGCTTGGATAAACGTCATTTCATGGCTACCGAAAGGTGGCCACTGAAGATCATAGGTGACACGAGTCTCTTTCCTGCGGGCACGGTATTATTTGTGGCCGTCCGCGCGATCATTGTCACTAAAGTCTTTCCCCAAGCTCCGATAACTGGCAGTCCTACCATCGGAGTTCGTTCATATTTTACATTGCTAGTATCTACTCAGGTTCAAAGTGCTCCTCCGCATGCCGTCAGGCAGAGTCTTCTGAGCCATCCTCCTTGATGATTCTCCATTCTTCCTCGGTGACATGTAGCCACTGCGACAACACGGTGGCGAGTGCCCACACCTCTCCGGAGATGAAGAGGCGAATTATATCCAATTGGATGATGTTCAAGAGCCCCTGCCATGTTATGCTTTTCAGGAAACTCTCGTCGAACATGTCGCCGTGAGCAATGTCCCTTCTGCGTGCAAGGGCTCTTGCCACGGTCGGGAATGCGTAGGCATCCAGGGGTATTGAGATGATATTTATGACAAAGTCGGCGATTATGTCCGACGCAAGTACACTGGGAAGGCTGGTCAGTGGGGTCACGAGATACTTGGGTGCCTCTTTGGGCAGCTGTCGAGAATCGCCCCCAAAACTCGGCCGTAGCTCAGCAGACCAGACTCCGGTGGGGGGTTCGGTAGATTCACTGGTGTCCACGTCGAAGCTAATGAGTGTCGGGTTGATCATTTCGGAATCTTCCTCGTCAGTTCCGTAGTCTTCACCGGCCCGGTTTGAGAAGGTGCTCTGCCTTCTGATCGACCCGACCGGGATGGTTTCACCGCTGGACTGAATGTCAAGAGCCAATGAAGTTGGAGCACCTGCTTCCGGACTTTGATGCCTGATCTCGCGGTCGGCTGCCCCAAGCGTTGGCGATTCTGGGACAGTTTGCCTCTCGGTGGGATTCGAGGGCGGCGGCGGCGGCACCCGGCTGGTTGCCGGCGAGCTGGATATAGGGTGTGGGAGGCGCCTCCGTATGAAAGATCTTAAGGCGGAACAGGCTGTCTGCCATACGCAGCCACAAACATAAAATGTAGCGTAGGGTGCCATGTTTGCGACAAGCTGGCTAAGCCAGCCAAGAGCACCTGCAACACCCAGTGACTCGGGCGCAGGCGGTGCGGCAAATGGCGACGAGCTGGAAAATGGGATGAAAAATTTGATACCAGGGAATAGCTGGGATGCGGGTATTAAGTCTAATCGCTGCATGGTGAGGAATAAATGCAGATGGAACCGGACATATTCGATACCGCCGCGGAGCCTGGCAGGGGAAGGTTAATATTCTTTCGTAGACGTGGCAGGAAACGAGCTTACCACGGATTCCTGTTATTCGTATATCTATTCAAGTATCTCGAGGTCCAGCGCAGCGCGTGCATGGCGGCGTGGGACGGGTAGCCTGCAAGATGAAGCTGTAATAGGGAGTGACTGTTGCGTTCCGATCGTAGGAGCTGGAAAAAGGAGACATCCGCACGCCTCTTATAGACCTGCTGCTGCGTTAGCAATCCCTAGAGCTCACCGGGGCACGTCGAATAGTCCGACGGCGACGACCTACCATAATCCGTCGCCGTATGTTGATAATCCCCCAGGTGCCTAATATCCCGAGAGAGGTGCCTAGCTGATACAGGCCCCGGCCGGTATCGCTCTCATACTCGTGGTACTGTTTCGCTGACGCCAGGTCATCGACGCTGATACTGGTGCTATCGGGTTCAGCAACGCCGATGACTTGCATAACCTCATTGTGGGCGCGAATAAGGCCCTTGATGGTATCCTTAGTCCGGGGGTTTATCACCCGCCCTTTCCTGTCGTACTCTTTCTCAGGCTCGCGCGGGTCCACCTCGCCTTCGCCTAAAACGACATCGTCGTCGTCGTATCGGCTGCGCCCCTATCGCACCTCTCAGCCTGAGGAATTCAAAGCAAAGCGCGCCAGATATGAGAACTCACCAGCGCGAGGGACGTCAGGGGCTCGAGCCTTCCCATTGCGAGACGAGGTGCCCCGAGCGCATTGAGATACGCCTTAGATACGAGGATTGGTGGGAAGCAGGTTTCTTCAGCCGTCTAGGGAAGGGGTTTAGCTCGGCTCGTGGAATGGGTTAAGCAGGATGTCAGTATGTCGGCGCGTAGGGAGGATGACAAGTATGCAGAGACGCAAATAGTAGGCGGGCTAGATACAGCGCAAGGCAATCTAGAGATATGCGAAACTGAGGGTTCATGTTGCTTAGTCAAGCACCTCTGGTTAACTGGCGACACTGAGCTGCTTCCTTCCGGATGATGATGATGTCGGTAGCAAGGACTTGGCTGTCGCTGCTTCCCGCTTTAGGCCGCCACCGACCAGATTTAGGTGCACCCCCTCCCTGGTGCTTCAGCTCATTACAGGTGCCCTCTTATCGATAACATACCTACATATAAGACATATGATAGGCAAGTATCTCGGTACCCACCTACCTTGGCCCATATCTAAGGAGGCGCCCGGGTGGCTCTATGTTCGAGATATCCTTATCTTATCACTTCATGAAAATCAATAAAAATTTCCTGAGCAGCGCTCTCGGTCTGCGACGGTTGTCTCGCGCCAGCCTTTTCCATCGTCCTAGGTAGTTTTCTACCCAGCAATTACCACCTTTTCAAAATGGCCAATAAGGCGCCATTTAAGACGACATTCGAGGTGGGCGAAGTGATTCGACCCATCTTCACCGGTGGCGCTGTCGCATTGGAGAATGGCGCGCGAGTCCTGGCGACAACGCTCGGGGAGGATGCGATCCTGACTGACCTGAAGACCGGAAAACATATTACCACTGTCGAAGGGGTTCGTGTTTATTCTAACTTTAAACTTAGCGATCGTGGTTAGCTGACTGGCATGAATACCCTCTCCGTAGGATGGTGAATTGATATCTACTTTAACCTGTGAGCTTGGTTTTCTACGCCGATGAAGACCGCCGAAGACTCATCGGGATATAGTGACGCCTTCGGGATCCCACCTCATTATATGCTCGCGCTCGCTGTCTATGCGGATCTACTCGCTGAAGAAGTCAGAGGACGTGATAGAGACACAATTGGTCCGAACGCTAAAGCCTCATACCACCCCCGTCGCCGTCCTGGCCGTTGACCGAACTAGCACACTTCTCGCGACCGGAGGAACGGACGGATCTATCAAAGTCTGGGATATCAACGGCGGCTACGTTACGCATACCTTCAGAGGACCGAGCGTGCTTGTATCAGCTCTCCATTTTTTCGAAGTTGCCGCCAGTTCGAGGAAGGAACCAGACAATGAAGGCTCCAAGGAAAAGAGAAAGAGGAGGAAGTCAAAGGGGGCGGTCGATGATAGCGAAGAAGAAGAAACGCCCGCTACGGCGAGGTTCCGGCTCGCATCCGGAAGCCAAGACGGGAAAATCCGCGTGTGGGATCTGCATAAGAGGAGTGTCACAGCAAATCTCGACTCTCACGTCTCCGACGTTCAAGGCTTGGACTACTCTCCCGCTCAGAACGTGCTGGTTACCGCCGGCAGGGATAAGACGATCAGATGGTGGGATGCGAAGTCGTGGAAAGTGCGTAGGGTCGTTCCCTGCTCAGAACTCGTTGAGGCTGTCGGTTTCATCGGGGATGGCCAGCTCACCTACACGGCTGGGTCCAACGGGTGCTTACGCATATGGAACACCAAGACCGGTCGGGAACAGACGGCAGAGCAAGCACCGAAACCTGAGATCGAAGCTTTTGTTAGTGCCGTCTACAGGCCAGAGCTACCGTTCGTTATTTGTATCCTGGCCGACCAGACTTTATCTTTGTACGAGTTCCCCGTCGATACGCACCAGTCGTCTCTCATCCCGCCTCTCGAACCATTCCGTCGAATTTCGGGAACCCACGACGACATCATAGACTTGCGGTATCTCCTCCCCGACCATTCAGCGATGGCGTTGGCCACAAATTCCGAGGACATCCGGATAGTCTCCGTAACGGAACCAAAAAGCGGCACGGGAGCCATCGTTTCTTCCGAGTACTTTGGCCAGGATATCGCCCTCCTTAAGGGCCATGACGACATCATAATATCTCTCGATGTCGATTGGTCCGGTCACTGGGTAGCTACGGGAGCGAAAGACAATACCGCAAAGCTGTGGCGGGTGGATCCGGCCAACAGCTCTTATACGTGTTGGGTAACCTTTCCGGGACACGCGGAGTCCGTGGGCGCAGTTGCTCTGCCGCGGGACCGGCCCACAGAAGGTTCCAAGGCATACACAGATCCGTTGAGCCATCCGCCTTCGTTTTTAGTTACGGGATCCTCGGATCAGACTATCAAGAGATGGGAAATACCTCGGGAACCTCAGCGCGACGCGAAGGCTCCTATCAGAGCCATCTATACACGAAAGGCGCACGACAAGGATATCAACGCTATCGACGTCAATCACTCGTCGCGCCTATTCGCTTCGGCTTCCCAGGACAAAACCGTCAAGATCTGGGCGATAGAAGAAGGAGAAGTCCAAGGCATTCTCAAAGGTCATAGACGAGGCGTCTGGTCTGTCAGCTTCGCTCCCCCCAGCACACCCGTGCTCCAGGGCGAGCAAGGGTCAGTTGCTGGCAAGGGTGTCATTCTGACGGGAAGTGGTGACAAAACTGTCAAATTATGGAATCTGGTCGATTACACGTGTCTGAGGACATTTGAGGGGCATTCGAATTCTGTTCTCAAAGTAGTATGGCTTAATATCCCGGCTAACGAAGAACGGGGAAAGAAATCTATCCTCTGTGCTAGCGCCGGAGGTGACGGCCTGGTCAAAGTGTGGGATGTTAATTCTGGGGAGAACGAGTGTACGTTGGATAACCACGAGGACCGGGTCTGGGCCCTCGCAGTGCACCCTGAGACGAATATGATAGTATCGGGTAGCGGCGACTCGACCGTGACGTTCTGGAGGGACACCTCGAGCGAGACCCAGACCGCGCTGAACGAGGCGGCGCTGAAGCGCATCGAGCAAGAGCAAAAGCTGGAGAACTACGAATATGTCGGGGCGTACCGGGAAGCCATCACGATGGCGCTGCAGCTCAACCACCCCCGCAAACTGCAGAGCCTCTTCGAGCGGGTGGTCAACGCGAAGACGCCCGACCCGGGCAGCCTCTCGGGGCTGAAGACGGTCGACGAGGTGCTAGGCTCCCTGTCCGACGAGCAGCTCTTCCTGCTGCTCCTGCGGCTGCGGGACTGGAACACTAACGCTAGGACCGCGCCCGTGGCCCAGCGCATCCTGTGGACCCTGGTCAAGAGCTATCCGGCGTCGCGCCTGTCGAGCCTCTCCGTCAAGGGAGCGCAGGGCCGCAAGAGCCTGAAGAAGGTCCTGAACGCGCTCCGCGTCTACACCGAGAGGCACTACAAGCGCATGGAGGATCTCATCGAGGAGAGCTACCTGGTGGAATATACCCTGCAGGAGATGGAAGGCATCGCGCCCGGCTTGAGTAGTATGAAGCTTGCAGAGCAGGCGGACGCGGATGTCATCATGACGTCTTGAGGTACGAACGATATGTTAGGTGGTTTGCAAATAATGACACCCGCGCGGCGCCCCGGATCGCATATATGTATATAAAGGTTGGCGGCTCAGGGGAACCCGTTGTATAGACGGTATCTATACATGGTGGCCGGGAAGACCGGCCTCAAAGGGTTAACAGAAGGATATAAGTAAAAATCAAATTTAGTGACTAAAGGGTTTGTCTAAGCACTATAGCATTGGAGCGTAAGTTTGTTCTGTCCCCTGTGGTATTTCTCTCTGTCTAGACAGGCCAGGTATCTATATGTACCGCGATAGGTCTAACTTGGGGATCTCGGCATCTAGGCACTGCTCTTGTCGCGCCGGCCCACTCTCTCTCTCTTGCGTGGCCATTCCTCACCTCTACGCAGCCTATCCAGCCACCCATCCCGCTCAACCTCGCTACAGAACCGCGAACCGCATATACGTATGTACGTCCGCCCGCCTATGCCCCCTCCCCCCCGGGCCTCTCTCAGCTGTGCTGCTACCCCTGCGCCTCGCCGGCCAGCGCGCAGCAGCCGCAGCGCCTGCTCGTTGGCGGAGAAGAGGATGCCGCCGGCGGCGACGGTGCGGCCGAGGCGCATGACGGTGCCGCGCCAGAGGCCGCGCACGCCGTCCTCGGCCAGCAGCTGGCGCACGCAGTCGGCGGTGCGCACGGCGCGCGCCTGCTGCGCCTTGGTCTTGATCGTGTCGAAGGGCTGGGTGGCCAGCGTCGTCAGCGTGCCGGCGGCCGCGCCGTTGGCGAAGCTGAGCAGGGGGCCGTCGACGTCGAGGTGCGCCGCCGCCGCGCCCGACGACGACGACGACGACGACGACAAGGCCGCCCGCTCCCAGTCCTTGAGCGCCGCGTACGACCCCAGCCGGAACCCCGTCGTGCCCACCTGCTTGAGCGTCGTCGTCACGTACCCGCTGTACAGCGCGCGCCGCAGGCCCTGCTCGCGGACGAGCACGGCGACGCAGTGCGGGGCGGAGCGGAACCGGCGCGCGTGGCCGCCGCCGCCGCGCGCGTCGTCGATGAGCGCCGTCTTGATGCGCTCCGACGGCGTGACGACCGCGGTCGACGCCACGACCCCGGTCAGCATGCCGGCGAAGATCGACTGCGCCGTCCCGAGGCGCCCCGTCGTCGGGTCCGGCGCGAACAGCGACCGGATGTGGTCGAAGACCACAAAGCGCACCGCGTCCTTGCCGATGGAGCCCTGCGGCGGGAGGGTTATGTGAGCGAGCGGGCCGGCGGAAAGGGGCGCGGGGGAGGGGAGTGGACGGGGTGGGGGAATCAGCTATCTACAAGGGTATGTCGATTGGGAAGGGGAGGGGAGGAAGAGGGTGTGTCTGCACGGCGACCTAGGCGAGGCAGGATCGTGGGAGAGGGAGAGGGGGGGCGGGCAGAGGGTTACGTAGGATTCAAGATCAGGGGTGTCCTCGTCCGTACTGCGCAGGTAGATAGATATCAGGTAGGTATAGTAGTTACTGTGTGGTGTGCAGGGTGCAAGGGGGGAATAAGGAAGAAAGGGGAGGACGGGAGTTGATCACAGCGGCTACCGGAGTGAGCGCAGCGTTATCCATGTACGTATGCATGCAGGTTTGATTGACTTATTGACGGACCCATTATACACGGATACACAGGCAGGGAGCGGGGGACAGGGGATCCGACGATGCCTTGGTCCTCAGACCGCGCGCGCGTTGTGTTCGCGCGCAAGCAAGGCCGAGTCGTCGTCGACCTCCCTGCCGCCCCCCCGCCCCCTCCCCTATACCTACAACATCCCCCCACCATCAAATCTCGCAAGGCGCTCCGCGACTTGCGGGACTGCGCGGCCCGATAGGATTCAGGAAAGCATACGCGTGTTGTATGCACGATGTCATTGGCAGGGAAAACAGAAGAGGTAAGCGGGAAGAGGGAGCAAAGGAGCCAAAGCACGATCCCTCCCATCCCCTTTCCTGCCACATCCGAGCTTCTCGATTGAGCAAGAGTTGCGAGGGTACTCATCATAGCCACCGCCTGCGTGCTCCTCTGCCCGATACGCGTGTGCACGCAGGTATGCGAAGCTTTTGGAGTCCACGTGCTGGGCGGACAGCTGGCTGGACCACGAGGGACGCCCTCACTACCATACCCACCACAGCTCATGGCAATATCCGGTTGTCCCTCTAGCCAACCTAAAATGGCGCATGCGCACTAGCGAGGTTGATGGGTAATGGGCGAGGCCGGCCACTCGCGCCGGCTCCGTTCGATAAGGAGAGTGCGGAGGATCAGGTGTATGCATGGATGGAGTGCGCGGGTGTCTGTATTACATACACAACACCAAGTGTGTGTTGAGGACGATAGGAAGTGTTGGGGGAGGGGGGCGGTAAGGTACACGAGAGGGAATCCCGGGACGGCCGGATGACGAGGCCTGAATAGGTGCATAGAGGGGGGAACGGATGAGTAGACAGATGGATGGTCGGTTAGGACAGAGAGGCGACGTACCACGACCATAGTCGAGCAGCCCTTGTACAGGGCCCTCACGCCCTCTTCGCGCGCGACCTTGGCAACGGCCCGGAAGGGGTTCCGCACGCCCTCGTGCCCGTACAGCTGCACACGCGTCTTCGCGAATTCGAACGGATATGTGCAGGCGGCCTCGACGCCTCCGGCGATCCCGCCCGCCGTCAGCGCCATCAGCGGCGGCGTCTTCCGTTTCTGACCGCTGCTGCCACCGTCCGCCACCATCTTCCCTCTCCTCCTCTGTCCCTCTCGTCCCCCTCCTCGTAAACCCTCGACCGTCGGCCCTCGGCGAACCTCGAACTCGTCCAATTCTTCCTTTTTGTGCCGAGTAACCCAATGCCCGTATCGATCGATTCGTGATAGATGTGTGCCGACTGGCTTGACCGACTAGTTGCCCCCTCCCCGCTTGCCCGCTGAATACCAGATAACCGAAGTGCGGAGTGGTGGATTCAGAGTGTGGGATGTATAGAGTCCGAATCGTCTCGCGATAAGCCGCCCCCCGCTACGCCCGCTGCACCGCGATGGATCCGGATCTGGAGAGCGGAGATGGGGAGGGATGGGCAGGAGAAGCGAACGGGGGCGTTATTCAACAAAGAGGAATCGCGCAGGGGGTGCGTGAAAATGATTAAAAATACACGCCTATGTATGCGGCTCCAATGGTGGCCGTCACTGATAGCCGGGCGCTGCCGAGGATGGAGGATGGGCTCGCGGGCCCACCTAAGAGATATTACGAGTCTTTGTGGGGGAAGACGGGCGTGCGGGTGTGTAAACTAAGGCTGGACTGAACGGGTCCTATGGTATGCTATCAGGCCGAAATCAATCGTGGCCTGGTTGTATCGGTCTATTCGCCAACACCAAAGAAGACGAAGCTGGCCGATCTAACCAGGGCTCGGCGCCCCTCATTTCTCTGTTCCATCGCGGCGCACTGTCATTATGCCTTCGCTCTCGAAATACAGTACTGTCCACTCGTAGCTTCATCCCGGCGACTATCGTTCGGATGCAGAATCGCCGATTTGCGTACTGCCTAGTGACCGATTTCGTCCCTCTCTACCCCGTCACCCGTGCTAGAAAAGGGAGAGGAGGAGGAAGTGGTCTCTTGGAGTGGTATCTTATCCGCCCAAAAATAAGTAACGGTTATCCGTTGACATACCTAACCCCAGCCACGCATTCCTGTCCAGTATGCTGAATACCTATATAGTACTCCTTGGTAGTAGTCCGGCTCTGACTGAGCTGCCACGGGGATACTCGCGCGTCCTCTGCACTCTCCGGTGGAAATGTTCAGCCGTAAGCGGAACCGTGCCCGAGGTGCTCCCACTCGCCGCCATTCAGACTCTCCACCTGACCTACGTCAGCCCATACGTCAAGCTTTTCGAGCTCGCGCTTGAAGAAGTCCTGCTCGTTTCGGAGTGCTTCTCTAATCTCTGGCGCCATCTGGTCCGGATATCTCCGCACATTGAACCAATGGGTCAAGCTTCGGAGCGCCTGCTCGAGAGGGAGCGCGTCGTCGATTTCCGTCTCCAGGTCACCGCCCGCCAGCCACTCGTCTCGGAGCTCGGGCCGGCAGTGTAGATACACCGCCGTGATGACACGCATGTTGCTCTGCCGCCACTTACGGCCGCAGTAGGGCACTTGATTCTTGAAGAGCTTGAGCGTATAGAGCCGCAGCTCATTCTGCGGCACCTTGAGGGATTTGCGTATGATGTTCGACGACTTATACTGTACGAGTAGTAAGTTACGGTGGGCCTTGTTCTTGCAAATCTTCTGCATGATCCGCAGGTAGTTGATGAGTGAGAAGAAATTGCGGCGCGAAAAGTCCGTGATAGGCTCCTTTGGTAGAGGATTCACTGGATAACCTAGCTCGTCTACTTCGGGGCGAGCGGGTACTTGGCCCTCGTTGTTGCTCACGGCCTCGCTTCCTTCTGCCGACGCCCCTGCTTGTTCCGGTGGCGATCGCCGCCTTTTTATAGGTGGTGGCGCGGCCTCATCATCGCTTTCATATTCGGCGCCATCGGCCCCGGTTACCTCTGCTGGCGGTCTCTCCGCTGGAGCGGCGCGGTCGTTGCAGAATTGAAAGAAACTGGAAGAGGTGAGACATGCTGCAAGTTGATCCAGCCTGCCAGAGGCCTGAGGGGGAGGTGTTTACCTATATTCAACACGATCGGCCCTACTATCGACTACCTGTTGAATGTCCTGATGCGCGAACAGCTTCAGGACAAGGGGTAGATAATTCGAGTCCAGCAGTAGTTGCCCCAAGTATTCAAACTTCAAAATATCTGAGCAGGATCTGATTAGCTAGGTCTACTAGCATCGGGGCTCGAGGTACCAACGCGAAACTTTCAGCCATTTGAGAAGCAAAAGAATAATTCCCGTAGCCGCTTTCGATTCGATTTCTCTGCACCTAGTAGCATCGATCTCCTCCAAGGAAAGCTCGGCGCCGTCGTGATTTGGCGAGTTGTTGACGCCCGAGGAGCTGTCTTGAGACCTGTACGTAGCAGGCCCGCCGTTGACCCGAGTTTGGTTGATCCCAGAGATCCCAGATTGCTGCGGGCCACCGTTAGGAAGGGCGATGCACGCGGTCACATTGAACAATACGCCCTTCATGAGGACTATAACCAGGGATTGAAGCTGCGGCAGAACAGCGGCCTGCGGGCATTTAGTAGCAATCCCCCAAGATCGAGGCTTACACACACTCACGTAAAACGACTCGATAGCCTCCAGCCGTCGCTTGACCTTTGGGTCCACGTTTGGGTCGGGTCCATAGTCAATCTCGGCTCCTCGGGCTTTCGTCCGTCGCTTTTCGATCGTTTCGAGAAGCTTCTCGTCATCGACATCGTCATTTAGAGATAGGGCGTCGAGGTCTAGATCTTCTATATCATCGTCTGAAGGGTCCCAGCCTCTCTCAAACTTTTGAAATCTCTCGCGCTCTTCCCATAGCTGCCTCGTAGCTCGGGTCATGCGCACTCGCCTCGAGAAGAGCTCGCCGGCTTCGAGGATGGACGCGGGCACGTCGCTACCTTCCCATTTCCGACCGACAAGGGAGTCCTGAAGGCCGGCCGTACCCTTGCCACCTGCGCTGTTGCTGGTAGCATCCAACGGCGGATACATGAACGGAAAGTTCTGGTTTGTCTGGTAGTTCTGCTTTTTGCCTCCTTTTCCTCCAGCGGCCGGGGACGGCGGGGGGGACGGCGCTGGGGTGGCGATGTGGACGGGTTGGTGTAGGATCGAGGCCCCACCGTTCTGCATACCTGGGGGCGCGGGAATGATCCCATTCGAGCTATTATTTCTAGTGGAATGGTTTGGTAACGGGGGCAGGAGAGAGGTATTTTCTGCTTCGAGAGGCAATAATGGTTGGGGAGGTACGTATGCTGGGTATTTTGAGGTGATCTCTCTTCGGAAGACATGGTAGTCTAGAGGTGTGGTCGTGATAAGATCCTTCTCCTTGTCGTCCGTAGCCGTTTCTCTAAGAGCCTTCTTGGTGTCCATAATCTCGTTGGACCCGCCAAATTCAAGAAGAATCGACTTCCACAAAAGCAAAAGAGTCTACCCGGCGTCAGCAGGGCTTGCGGGAACCAGGCAGGTAAGGAGCACGCCTACCTGAGATGCGGGTAAGATGTTAACTTCCTGCCATCGTAGTTTTGCAGACGCCGTGAGCATGAAGATGGTCAGATGAGGTTCCAATTCCACTACAGGTCTTAGTTCGAGGTTTAGTACGCGTCCCTAGAACCGAGAACTTACGAAGCTTTTCGCACACGGTACCCATGCCGTCCTGGTCGTTCAACGTTTCCTGTATACACATGTACATGATGGTCATCAAGTTCATAAGTTCGTCCTGGGCCTCCTGCAGGCTATTTCCCTGTGGCCGAAGGGATTCATCTACCCTGCACGAACACGAATGAGCGCGGCGCCGCTAGTTAGGGCTAACATAGCGACATACCATAATGATTCGTAGGCGTTGCGCAAGGCTGCCCATATGACGGGGATGCCATCCCACTGTGCGATGAGCTTGACACTGGCATTAATCGCAGCAAGCTGCGCAGGGGCGGCTACGCTTCGAATCTTCGCTCTGTCACCGGTGGGGGCAGCGCCGGCGGTGTCTGCCCATCGGCCGAGAACAAGATACGTGAGCCTCCCGATCGCGGCGACACGGGTGGCGGTGTCGTCAGCCTTAACTCCGTCCAGAGCTTGCAGGATAAAATGTGTCCTAATCTCGTCGTCGGCCTGGTCCCAGGTGATTTCATCCTGCCTGGCAGCGATATCGTGTTCCCATTGCCACTCGAAGGCTCGCTGGGCAGAGTTCAACCGAATCCATTGCCAAAACTGGTAGACAAACCACTCCTCGATCTCCTCCGCATGGGGGGCGGTGTCTGAGTATTTGAAGTCGTACGCAACGGGTTCTAGGCGGGGGAACTCGGAGACTATACGCCTCAGCTGCGCGAGGGAGAGCGAGTCGGGCGGCTGGCTGGCTGGTGGCGGAGGGAGCTGTGCGGGCGGAAGGGGTTGGCTCTGGTTTCGTTGCAGCGGTGGTCGAGCGGGCTGGCGGCCGGGTGCGGTGCCGGCTGTGTTGGGTCCGAGGTCAGCAACGCCCGTGTCTGCCACATCCACTGGGCCCTTGGGTGGATCGGCGCCGTCGTCGGCGGCTTTCAACGGCCACAGCGAATTCATATGTCTTGACGCGTTGCGGGGCTTAGAACGCGGTGGCATTTAAATGGACATAATGAGCGACGAGAGCGATGAGTTGGGGACGAACACGCATCTCTTTTGGAAGCGGAAGCGAAGAACCCAGTGGCCAGCGGTTCACAGGACGATAACAGGTGGTAGTAGTTCCGATCAAGTTGCTGCGGACCCGGCACTGGACCGACATCCAACAAATATGAGAAATCAGGAAAACTTAGGCCTGGCAGACACCACACGTGAATATCGATATGTGCTGGAAACACATCCCCAGGTGGCCAAGGGGGTACGTACTTGATAAGGTAACCTCCATCCATGCCAAAGGACCTGCCCAGGTGCTTAGGGAGTAGGTACCTGTCTCCCACACTACGCCTTAGGTACATCCCTCCTGCCAGTTGCAGCTCGCTTGTACCTGCCCTCCGTATGAGTACAACGTACCCGGTTGCGTACCTAGAAGCCTGAGACATGCCTGCCTGCCTAATCAAGGGCGCAAGGGTGTAGATGTGGCTGTGTCAGGGAGATGGAAGCGAGCATGGGCCATGTACCTACCTAGGTACCTCTTACCCACCTTAGGTACCTCCTACCCTAAGTACCTGTACCCGAGGTACCCAATCCCCAGAATGACGTGGTGTGGTGTGGCGTCAATCGGCACCTACCTCTCTTATGTACATACTACTATGAGTAGTAGGTAGGTAGGTACCTAACCTAACGCATGCTCCGCGCGAGCCCGCCCCAAGTACCTGGATACCTGGCTCCTGGTCCATACCTACCTGCCTTGGTAGGTACTTCATATAGGTTAGGTACCTTAAATACACCTAAGACAACAACCATCAGCTCCGAGAGGTGAAGAATCTCTAGATTTCCGGGCTACCACCATCACTACCCTGTCCGGAAACTACCTCGTCTTTTGCGCCCTGTTTCTTCTCGTGCTCCTTGGCTCTCCGCTTTAGCTTCCTCTGTCTATTCAGCCTCTTCTTCTTCTCCTTTAGGCACTCCTCCTTCTCGGCAGCACGTTGTTTTGTCGTCTCTTCGTGCTCCTTTTTGGCTTTCTCGCGATTCCTGAGAATTATCCTGCGTTTTTTACCCGGCCTCTTCCTCTTGTGTGTTCCGGCAGTAGTCGTAGCACCGGCGACAGAATTATCCGGGACAGCTCTCATTCTCTTGGAGACGATAGAGATGGCCGTTACTCTCCACGGCTTTTCGAGCCCCCAACGCCTCTTTAAAGCATCCTGGAGGAGGTATTCCGCACTCACAGCCGCCGCCCGGAATCTCTTTACCGCGCCGGGCGAGGGGTCCCCCGCGAAATAATACGAAGCCGGCCGTCTGGCGACGACAAATGCGCCATTGCCCCGGTCTCCTGCGGCGGCATTCTGGGGTTCGAGCACTACCGTGTGCGATGCGCCTTCGCCCTTGAATAACCGGAACACGAAGGCTTCTTTCCCGGCGTCGCCAGCGTCTTCGGCCGCACCTGTCGGGGGCTGCTGCGATTCGATAGCTGTATCTGGCGCGAAGCTGATGTCCAGCAAGCCGGATAGCTGGGCGTTTAATTTCCTACGCAGGGAGAAGTCCCACTGCTCATCCGACACCGGCTCGTCCTCGGAGGCGGAGTCGCACAAATCCCCGCGCCGGACCCTGCGAAAGACACTATTGGTTTTATGGGGAGGAAAGGGGCAGCCGTGAGGACACGTACCGTTTGGCGTCCGGGACGTCGAACATGGTGCGCTACGTGGTAGGCCAATACCGGGAGGCAGTACGCGGGACCCGACCTCGACTCGAATCTACGTAGAAGGTGGTGAGGGAGAGCGTGGTAGGCTTGGGTTAGGAAGACGAGGTTGCCGCGAATGAGGCTGGTGGAGGAAGAAACTCTGCAACTTCTCTCTTACATAACACCCACGTCTGCCAGCCTGGCTTACACGTACCTAGGTAGGTGGGAGGTAGGTTAGGTACATACCACCTTGACTTCATACCGCGCTTTGGCCACGTACAACTCGTAAGTTCTATCACGCACCTCGAAGTACCAAGTACCTGGACCTATAAAGGTACCTGTGGGGCTTGCCTACCTCCTAGGGGGGTTAGGTACCTAACCTACCTACGTACCTAAGTATCTATGCTCGTTTCGCCCACATGGCCGGTCCTCGTTTCGGTCCCGGCAGTTTGGAACGTCGCGAATCCCACCTGTCGCCGGAGCGAGTTGCTGGCCAATCTGGCGTACGCCTCCCGACCCGATAGGAGTAGCATCGTCAACTTCCGCTCCGTCGTGCTCCTCTTCCGCATTGCTAGCCGAGCTGCACCGACCGTGCACTTCCTGCTTATCGCCGATCTACGCCTATATTCGTATTGTCCGTACCCCCCAATTGATGAATCAGGCACGCACCCGCTCTCTGCCATAGTTTGATACCTCGTGTACCTTGCTATGTCTGACGTTAATCAAGTGTATACCTCCCTTAGGTGGGCAACCAAGGAGGCCGGTAGGTACCGTAGGTAGGTACCTAATGTCAGCGAGGGGGGTTGTTGTAGAGTACATCTACCTAGGTAGGCAGGTAGAGTGTACCTGCGCCCACGAGCTATAGTATGCATCTCTATACCTTAGGTACCTTCCCGTGTGCCACGTAGTATACCTCCTGTCCGGTGTATTGCACGCGCCTAAGGCAGGTACCGGTATGCGAATCGCCCGGCAGGAAGCCACGATACGGCCGCAACAGAGAGAAGGGAAAAAGCAAAAGACGGCAGGTGCGGGTTGGGATGGATGCGTGCACAAGAAGCGGGTCGAGGCACAAGAAGCTTCCAGTATAATTTCGTCGCTTGATGCCTACCTGCTGGTCATCTCCCCGCCGTCCCTCTCGTCCCTCCTCCTCCTCTATACAGCGTACCTCGTCGTCTTCTCACCTAAGCTTCTTGCTTCACCTCACCTCCCTCTCCCCCCATTCGTATGGCCGTTCGTACGTAACCACGATACACTAAGCCGGCCCGGGCTTACTAGCCATCACGACGATTAGCCTCTTTTTCCGATACTACGTCGAGGGTAGCTGTCGCTAGAGCACTCAGCTTCTGCCGCGGTCCCCGTCCCGGCTCGCGTACTCTTGAGCTAGTGCGACATGTTAGCCCGTGCTAGATGATGATAGTCGCTCTATGGGGCAGTTGAAGCCATTCAGCTTTGGCTGGCTGGTGCTTTAGTCTCATACCGCCCCCCCCTGGCGGCTGAAAGCTGAAACACGGATCCCGACGTCTTCTCATCTCTATATCAGGACCCTCGGTTCTGCGCGCTATCACAGTATATATAGGGTGGATGTGTCGGCTGGCAACCTAGTTGTTGGGGTTTTCCAAGGATGTCGTAGATATCAATTCCACTTATCAACCCGGCCGTTTCGTCTACGCAGGGGCTGAACTCTCTCTTCTAGTGCCGATCCCACGCCTTATAAACCGCCAGGCGAGCGAGACACCAGTCCTGAGGACAAAGCCATACTTTACACACCCCGGCCTGTAACCATCTCATCTCGGAGGGATCGGCTTCCCACGAGCCTGGCGCAATCACGTTCCGCTTGACGGCGTATGGTGCCGCCCCGAGAGGAGAGAAAACTGGATTATTAACAGGTCCGCCATGAATATCGATAGAATATGGGAGGGTTCCTCCATCGCCTAGCTTAACGACAATGATAATGACAACTACCACGCCAGGAATCCCACCTACGGCGTCATGAATCCAAGTCGCTTGGAAACAACAATATGGCCGCCTGGTTCGTTTTCCCTTTCTGCGGGCTGCGTGACACGTAACGACGATGGTATAGCATGGTACGCTTAGTACGAACGAGGGGGGGATATCGACAACAGAAGATCCGCAACGCAAAAGGATAACAACATGATGTAGGAGACAGAAAGAAACCAACTCCGGAGATCTGAATGCCGACCCGTCTCTGCGAATGTCTGAGTATGTGCTGTACCGTTCAAACATAGTGGAAGGGTCGCGCTCGCGGTAAGCGAAGGACACGAATGAGCATCGATATAGGAAAAAATCACCAGATACGCTGCTGGACAACGAGCACGACAGCGGCTGCGCTTTTGCCCTTGCACGGATACGCATGATCCACTTGTTCCGCCGTCTTTCGCCTTTGCCAATCCTCCATCCCACCTTTCCGCTTGACCCGAGTCCTCTGCCGAGGGTGAGGAAATCCCGGGATCAGCTTTTGGCCCCTTGTCTTCCACCACGGATTTGGAATAAGAAAGAATAACGAGCTTTTGATTAAATACTATACAGCGGTCCTGAGTCAAGAGCCGCACTTTTATACCGCAAAGAGAGAGTCGTCGCCCCTCCGATTCCCATGCGCAGGCATCCGCTTCCTATGCATGCGCGCGCCGCTCCTCGACTCTCCGACTCTCTGCGGTCGGGAATGGGAACCATGCCCAGATTCAGCAAGCCTCGTACCCGCCTTCGAACCATCGCTTTTTTTATCGATTCGGTCTTCATGTTGGGCTCCACGAATAGTGGTTTATAGTAGAGGCGTAGCTCCCCGGTGGTGGAGGATGCTCGCTCTTACCAGGGAACGCGTAGGGCCGACTGCTCTCGGAGCTTGTTGCACCACCGTTATGATACGCGTGGATGCTGCTGGGTTCGCCGGCTGTGGTCGTCCACGACGTCGAAGGCGGGTAGTAGTCGCGCGGTGGCGGCGGTTGTGACTGCTGCGGTGGCGGTTGCTGGGTGTGGCCGCCCGCCGAGGACGGGGCGCCAGTCGAACCGGCCCCGCCGGCCCCGGAAGAAGTGCCATTCGCGCTGTCTGTGCTGTAAGCCGAAGCCGAACTCAGCTCGCTGGAATTATTGTTGACCGATACGTATCCGGACGGCCCGTACCGGTACTCGGAAGAAGCGTCGTTGCTGTTGCTTATGGAGCTGGTGCTGGGTATAGATTGGTGACTGGCGTGGCGTGGGCTCTTGGCCGGGCGCGGGTTTGAGTCCACGTATCGCGGCACGCTTAGGCTTCCGTGGTCCGAGCTGCTTCCCATCGACGTCGTTGTTACCGATAGCTGTGGCGGGGCCGATGTTCCCTGCACATATGCGTATTGCGTCCGGATAGCGGGCGGTTGCTGCTCCGTCGCGGCCAGGGACAGTTGCATCGACGGCATGGACGTCTGCATAGGGATTTCCTGAGGCTCCTGCGTGAAGCTTGATGTTCCAGAGAGGGGCATCTTCTGGTATGAGTCCGCCGGGATGCTCGCTGGCGGGTAGCTGGCTGTAGCGGAAGCTGGCATTCCGGATAGGGGTAATTGGCTAGGCGGATTCCAACTAGGGTACGAACTTGAAAAATTGGGTCAGCTGCGATGTCCAAAGAGGGATACTAAAATGGACCACCCGTTCCCGCTCATCTCGCCCAAATCGTACATCGTAACGAAGCGTTTCAGGACCGTGGATGGTCCCTCGACCAGGATACAGAAAGAGGACCTACTTGGATCTCATCGCCATCGGGCTTCCTGGGAGCTTCGACGCGTTGAAGGTAAACGCCGTCCTCGGTAATTCGAGATTCAGCCCCCGCAGCTTCGGGTCTTGAGGCTTGACTGTTAGGGGGCCCGCGACGATACCCAATCCCGTCTCTACCAGCGCTTGCCCTCGTGAGCCGGCGCTGGATCCCAGGAGGGGAATCTCCTTCCGGGCCTGAAAGTTCCGTGGACTCCGTCCCCGCACTACTATAGGCGCCGTCGTCGATTCTGTCAGGACAACCTTTGACCCGTTCGTCAACGTGCCCACCACCTTGAGATGCAGCACGAAATGCTGCTGAAGTTCTTTCCTCCTCCCGTTGTTCGCCGTTGCTCTGCAAAGCAAGTTAGTGCATGTGTCCCCTCAATCCCGGCGCGCACGACACGGGATTGGCAGGATGAAGAGCAGGCATCCTTACATTCTGAATTGTAGCCGGCGCCATCCGATAGGATACACGGCATATTCGCCGTCAGCCTCCTGCCCGTCGTCTGGGAACGGGATCAATGGCAGAGACGGAGGCTCTTGATCGGGCGTCTGAGGCAATTCCGGCGAGTTTGGAGGCGGCGTCTTCCACGGAATCACAATGAGCCTCACTGGATGGCCATCAACCGATTCGATAGCGGAAATGGTAACTTCTGTGCTGTTCACGGGGACGGTCTCTCCCGTCTCGGGTAGTATCACGGAGAGCTGCCCTCGCGGGGTGATGAGGGAACCGCTGATCTGAAACAAGTTTCTTCGGTAGCACGTCAGCTCCGGCTGCAGGATTGCACCGTCGCTCGTGCTCGACGGCATCTCCGAGAGGAAGAACATGCCGTGCAGCTGTGCGGAGAGCTCGAGCTGCTGTATCCGGCCATGCTGGTCGACTATGGTATGCTTGTCCTGGACCCTTCGGAAGGAGAGCAACTTGTGGTCGTGGTTGACAGTGATCTTGGAGCCGTCATCTCGCAGGTCCTGCACAATCTCCTGGTACGGAGGGTGCTCACTAGGCTGGTGCGGTCTCTTGAGGTTAGGGAAGCTGTGGTGTTGCGTTAAAGAGGGCTGTGGGTATCTGTCAAAGGCATCCGATTCCTCCTGCGGATAGCGAGGGTAGGGGTAAGGGTGATCGATGGTAGGGTGGCTGCTCCGTGGTCGTCCTGGATGCTGCGAGGACGTCGTCGAAGGGTGCGAGAGATTTGAGTCCATGGGATTGGGGAATCGAGTTGATAGGGATACCGGACCGCCATAGTTCGACCAAAGACTACTATGCGTTGGCTCCGTCTTCAACTCTGCCATGGTCGCCGTCAAAGTCGTTGTGGTTGACATGGGAACATAGGTCCCAGCCCGCTCCCAAGACCTTTCCGCGCACGCCGCAAGCGATCAACCGAGAGCACTCTCTTCCTTCGCGTTTTTCCTCGATTCTCCTTCTCCGGACAGCAGAGACGTTCTACTCAGAACATCAGGCCCACGATACTTGATGGCTAACTGATGTTCAAGCTAAGGGCTCATCCGAGTTTCCAATCTTGCCGAGGTCAACCCCTTGATGGAAGAGGCAAGGCTTCTGTTTTTTTTTTCGTGTAAAGGTAGGTGAAGTCAGAATAAAGTGACCGTCGAAAGAAGGTAAGGTTGCAGGCCGAAGTGTACTTGTATGGGATGGGACGGGATACGGTAGGATAGATGTCGCCTCTGAGGAGACTGTTTTGTGCAGCAGACGGCATTATCCACTACCCTGGGGGGGCACGTTTAACAGTTACGGGTCCTAGCCAAGCGGAGGTAGCCCAGGTCCAGGTCTAAAGACTGTCAACGAGGAAGCAGGGTGTGACTTGGGGGTCTGGTACAGAGACTTTTAGTACAACTTGCATGGGTTTAGAGTACAGTGCATGCAGCCCGACTGGGAAGGAGAACGGAGCTAATGGCGATCTGGCTGGGGGGGAGAGGGGGGGGACCAGAGATACAGGGCCCTCAGTTCTGGCCGGGACTTGGTTGATAGGCACAGGATAACGTTGGCAACAAGCTTGTTTCTCCGGACCTACGAAGAACGCCATCACGACTGTCCAAGGAGGAAGAGGTTCGAGATACCCACGACGGGCAGAGACCCTGCTCGTCTTCGACGGCACGGTCCTACGACGGCCAGCCTGTATAATCACGGCCAGCAACACCAGAAGGACCAACAGGTCGAAACAACAGCACGGTCACAACTATAACAGAGCTAAGAACGTATTGTTAATAGCTACATATGTAGGTACGTACGTTATATACAAGCTAGATAGATTATACTGTATTATACTGAACAGTACATAGACTAAACGGCAGGACGGCCCATAAGAACCTTCATCCGTCTGCCGACTCGGACAGGGGATGAGGCATGTGCCTCAGTCAAGTACCCTTCTTCCCCCAACGTCCAGTAACAAGCTTGGCCTGGCTGCTGTGGGTGAAAATGACGGCAAATTCGTCTCTCCCTCTCTCTCGATGCGCCGTGTGAGATAGAGTGTGTGTGCGAGAACGGGCGAGTGTGTGCGTGCGAGTGGATTGGGGGGGGGGGGGGGGAGACGGAGTAGGCAGGTAGAGAGTACTATCGAGCATGGATCGTATGGAGGCACGGGGGGGAACCTATCGACAAGAAGGCTAGCTAGAACCATTCAGACGATGCCCTTGTCAAAATAAAAGCCCCTCCATGCATCTTCTATCCAATGCTGGCCCTGGCCCCCAACAGGGGAGGTCCTGATTAGTTAGGAAATCCTCCGACGGCTCTTTGCTAGGTGCGTAGAGGAGGGCCCGCTCTTTTTCTAGAATGGCCGTTGGACATATCCGCCGATGAAGAGCCAGAAGGGAAAGGCGCGAGGACATGGGGTGCCGCAGACATTTACGGTACAGTAAAATATCGGTTCACGAGATTGCTCTCAGGCTAGGGGACCAGGGGGATGCGGCGGGGATCCAGTAAGCTCGCTTCGCAAAAAGCGCACATAAGGACCGACCCATGTCATGTATCCGCTACCTTATTATGTATGTATTCTTAAGGTTACTTTCGCTGCCAATGTCACCAAGGGGAGGCTGCTTGTTCTCTCTCTGGCTTTGCCCGCTTTGCTCTGCTCGAGTTCGCCGCCTTGTTAATAGCAGCCGACCTGATATAGGGGAGTGATATGATAGCGGCCCCCCTCGGCCCACGAACCGGAACTGGAGATGGGAAGGCAATAGACGAACGGACAGACGACGCCAATATCAGGGAATTTCGCTTGCATGCCCGATTTCATCTCTGCTCGCCGCTTAACAGCGAGGAAGACCCGAGATGAAGCGTCTTCTCTGTCTGTCTGTCTCTCTCTCTCTCTCGCGCGCGCGCCCGCCTCTCTCCTTCTCTGTTCAATCACAAGAGCCAGGTGAGTGGGCCGAGGGGAGGGGTCCAGAGACGAGAGAGACGAGGAGAGAGATATGTACATAGAGACGAAGATGCATTATATAACCAGGAAGTGAGATTAAAGATTGGTGCTCCAGCGGCAAGTAATGGGGAGCTAGTCCACGCAACCGTCGCTCGCCCGTTCAGCCTTCTATACACCCACAACATACACACGTATACATACGCATATACATATACGCGTACACCCATAGTTACAGACAATGCAATAGTTACAATACAATACGCTACGGGGGAGCAAAGATGAGTATGTCAACATGTTTTGTCTGCCTATCCGCCTATACTTACCTCAGGTACTTACTCACATACGTGCCCAAGGTAGGCAAGGTAGAAAAGACGTACGTCTATATGTACACGCATACAGTATAGGTGGGTAACGAACTGTAGGCTGGTTCTCGAGAGTACGTAGAATGCGGAGGATAACAAGAAGTACACGGATCATAACGCATTCACCACATTCCCGATTTGGATCAGCGTGCCTAGCAAGAGATCCACAGCTGGACAAACCCGGCGCGCCACTTCGGAGGCCATGTAAGCTTTTGGAGGGTACCACAGCAGTTCGATAGGAGAGTATTGTACGTAGGTATGTGTGGGTGGATGGATGGATGGGCGGGTGGATGAGGTGGGTGGGTGGACGAGTGTATGTACATATATGTATGCATGGGCAATACAGGCGCAGGCGGGCGGGAAGTTGACAGGAGGTTGCTTGATGGGCTCCCTTCCAGGGGGGGGGGGGAGGGAGAGGAGAGAGGGGGACTTATACACACACATCTACACACATAGGGAGGTATACCTATACCTATACCTATACATATGCCTATATATATATTTATATATACGTCCACACACACACGGCTTTGCCCATATCATCCTACCACGATACTCGACGCAGCAGCCGCATCCTCTCTGTGCTCGCAGCGATGGATGGATGGATGGAACTGGGCCGCCGAGCCGCGAGACGAAGCCCCTGGTTGGAGAAGATAGGAGATCAGGATTAGGTGGCTATCCCGTCGAGGGGCCTCGACCACGGGCATTCATGCTAATAGCTAATAAAAGGGACCCGTGGGATCGTTATCACGAGAGGAAAGCGAGTTGAATAAAAAAAATTAAAAATAAAATAGCAATAATTACTTGGGGTGTTCAAGACATACATCCCGAAAGAGCTGGCCGGCTTACTCGAGTGCCAGCCGTGTCTGTACCACATAGCATATAACATAACATGTCCGCATACGTAGAGAACCAAAACTCGCGCCCTATCGCAATTCTTCGGAGACCTTCGCTTGTATGCGGTTTCGTGACCGTGATCTCATTCGACGGCCTGGTTCTTGGAGCGTACGGGCGGGATATGTATTGCTTCTAAAATAGGTGGGATGAGAGAGACATAAGAAGAAAAGGAAGAAGAAGAAGAAGAACAAAACAAGCTAGGAATAAGTCAGCCAGCCAGCCAGCCAGCTCCCTCACGCGAAGCGAATGCAGGTGATATCGACTCGGGCGTCTTCACGAGCTGCTTGCTGCTACCAGCGGCGACCACCACCAACCAACCAACCAACCAACACCGCTGCTACTCACCACCACCCTCCCTCGGGCTCTCTCCTCGTTAGCCACCCCTACCCGCGATCGCGATGCACACACACACACACGCACACGCATTCGCATTCCTCCTGCGTAGAGAGACCGCACGGTAGATGATATTGCCTCAGGGCAAAGTTTTGCGCGCAAGGCTCTGGAATGCTACCTAGTCTCTCTCTCTCCCCTCCCCCCCCTTTTTTCTCTGTCTCTTTTTTCTTTCGCTCTGCCCTCCCTCCCCTCACCCGGAAGGTCTGGAGTCCTCCTCCTGAACGGTAGCATCGACCAATATGTTATATGTATGTGCTCGTACATGTACATATCGTACCTACATGCCTCTATGTATGTACACTCATTCCCGTGCATCCAACAGCTACATACATATACGCACATCGAAACATAGAACATAGAGGCATACATATATACCTGCCTACATGTATGTGTTTATACCCACATGCGTACATACATTGGGGAGGGAGGGTACGTAAGAGGCAAGCTTCGCCTTTTCCTAATCTGAACGATCATATGTATGCACATGTATATATATGCCATCCCGTGGCCATGCCATGCCGTTCCAATGTCCGCCCATACGCATTAGTAAGGTCCAACCAACCTTGTCGATCTTGACAGATGCCCAGAGTTGGACAGAAAGAAAAGAAAGAAAGAAAAAGAGAGACGATCCAAGGTTCAGTGCTACGTAAGGGGGGGTTTTGTACCGAAAGGGAAAAATGAAGCCGGCAGATCGCGCTACGAAGATGGGCTACGAATCGATTTGCGGTTTAGGTCCAAAATGCCATCGTTTCCCGTTGCCACATACATACATATGTAGGGGACAACGGTCGAGCTAGCCTCGTTTCGGTTCGTTCATTCGCCCGTCCCTCCGTAGAACAGGAACTGAGGTGGGTTGGGGACGGAGGAGGGGGGTTAGGGGGGAAAGGATGAGGAGTAGGAAGATCAGAAGAGGAGAAGCAGGAGGAGGAGAAGGGAGGGTCTGGCCTATGCTGTACTCTGATCTGCTGCTGCTGCTGGCCGCTCTCCTGGTCTGGGCTGCGTGGGCGTGCGCAACGCGCGCCCCCGGCATGGGACAGGGACCAGGTTGGTAACTGTCAAGTCAGGGGAAAATGGCACCGGACATTTTCCGCATTTTGGGGGGGCCTGTCCCTCTCTGTCCCTCCCTCTCTCTCTATCTCTGTACGTAGCACGCCCCCCCGGCCCTCTTCTGTTCTCTTGTTACGTATTCTCTGTCCGACATATGTATGAGTATGTACACGGCATCCCTAAGCGCCTTACCTGCCTGCGCAGCTCATCCTCATCTACCTCTTGCTTACCGAATCGCTGTGCTCATAAACCAAGGTTAGGTAGGTACTACATGCCATATACACATATGTGCATACTGTACGTCCGTACATACGTAGATGTTCATCGCAGATACCGTAGTATTTTCGCCGCAGCGTTGAAGAGTAGCGTAGCTCGGATCCGTAGGCGTATGTACGTTATGTATGTAGGTACTACCTCTCCACGGCGACCAAACCACATGGCTTGGTTGCTTCGAGCTCTCCTAGTTTCTATGTACGTTCTTTCTCCTGTGGTAGGTGTGTAGGTAGGTAGGTAGGAGGTAGGTAGTCGACAACAACTTTTTTTTTCTTTTTCTTTCCCTATTCCCTCTCCCCTTATGCCCCTCCCCTCCTCCGCCTCGTCTCTCCTCCTCCCACCTCCCACCCCTGATCCCGCCGCGAAGGGTTTCAAGGAACGTCCCCTCTGACACTAAACCTTAGTTGAGTGGCATCGAACTTGGGCCATCCACATTCTCTAACACATACATACACCGGTACTGCTTGTCTTGACGCTCCTCGGACGATGTTGCAGGGAGGGTAGGCAGGTAGGTACCTGTAGGCTAGGTTCGTGTGTCTGCGGCACACCCATACAGAACATGCGCATCTTACCAATACGAGTAGACGGCCCATGGCCCGTGGGACGCGTGTGGAGCCTGATGTCAGTATCGTCGACTAAAACGGGACGATGCCTGTCCAATTTCGGACTGGTAGGGGGACGGCGAGTTTGGTTCGAGAAAGCCTGCGTCTCTCCTCTCCCGGACGATGAAGGCGGTCAAGCTCGAGCCCCGTGTGGCCCCTCCCGAGCAGAGAGAGAGAAACAGACAGAGAGGTAGAGGCAAGTAAAATGAGGCAACCTTCATTTTTACGTTTTAGACTCGGTTTAGATCTATCGTAGAGATAAGGCTTGTCGGCAATCGACAACAACGATCGGTTATTCGATTTTTTTTTTCGTCTTATTTTCCATCTTGTCTCTCTTTCTCTTTCTCTCTCGTAATCTCGGCCCCAGTCGCCGTGTGCTTGTGCTACACTAACATCGAGAACAGGCGACGCTCTGCTGACTGAGAGCTTAGAGTATCTCCAATAATGGCCGAATGAGGACATGCTCTTGTGTTCTCGTGTGCGTACGTACATATACTACGTAGTATGTACGTGCGCCGCGTGCGCGCGCGTGCGTGCGTGATAAGTGATATTGGGGGGGGGGGGCGTCTTCTCGCGAGAAGCGCGACAGAGGAGAGTGATGAGAGAGAAAGGGTTGCTTCGACCCGAGATTATCCCAAGCTCAAACCTTGACCACCATGACCCTAAAAGGGGCCGGGTGTATATAATGGCTATATGTGGTGGTTAATATATGCCGAACCGAAGCAGCGAATCCTTGTCGAGTGGGAGGAAAAGCTCTGCTATCCGAGATGCAGCTAATCTTCGTACGGGCGATAATTCGCGTGTATTATGTGTTCAGAGGACCTGTCGCATGCACAGAAGGGTCGTCGTCGTCGTGAACTGACCGGACTGGCTGGCTGGTTGTCGCCTCCCCCCCCTCCTCCCTTGGCACGGATTATACTATCTCGGTGTCATTCGGTGTGTTACGCGCGCGCGATAGCGAAGGACGTGCCCGAGCGTGTATATAGTTGAGCTTGTTCCCCAATATTGCCGTCGCTATACGGGATGGTAGCCTCATAACCAAGATCAAGGGATTTGGTGGGGGGTCATCACACACAGAGGGTCCTGCCCGCGCCTCGTTTCAACTGTCCAGAAGTGCGGAACATGTAACCCATGGACCCCTCCAAGGGGAAACGCTCGCTGCTTGGTAGGCGCGTTACTAGAGGCTTAGAGATGGGCGCGGGAGGTAAAAAGGGAGATCCAAACCGCCAAAAAGCAACTAACCCCGGCGCAGAAGAAACATCGTCGACGCCAGGGTCAAGTATCAGAGAGGATCGACCGATGACAGAAAGTGGGGAGAGAGTGTAGGTATACTATACTGTCGCTGCGCGTAGGCAGGTAAGTAGGTATACGGTACCTCGTTACGGATCAGATCGCGGCAGGTATAAAAGAAGAAGAAAAAAACGAGACACATCTCAGGAGACCGACCTGCGACAACAAGCATCGCGAGGTTACAGTACAGAGCACTCGGGTCGGGGGGTTATGTACATACACACATACATACATACACATCTGTGACACGCGTAGATCCAATCTGGGGAGAAGTTGTACATATGTAGGTGACCATTGGGTGGTAAGTAGTCGAAAGATGCTGTTTCTCGTTGGACGACGGCGAGCCGAACGACGTCTTGGCCGTGCCTCGGAGGCACCCATCACGTTCGTTTCTGTCCCCCTACATACTCATATGTACAATACGCTCGCTCGCACATTACCGTACGTACACACAGGTGCGTGCGATGCATACTCCAATACCTGCGGTCCCTTGCCGAGGAAGCCCGTGGCCGCTACGGAGTCAAGCAGTTACTCAGATTAGTCGTCCGACTGACAGCTCCTGTCAGAACCCTTGCCGCTGGTCCGGTCCCGGTAGTCGACGAAGCCAACTTGTCCGGGTAGACCTTGCCAGGCATCGTTCGGAAGTGGAAAAGGCGAATCTGGATACCGCCATGTACGTAGTAAGACAGGAAGGCTTCAAGGGGGCTCAAAGAAGCTTGGACGGCGCCCGCCCGCTTCCCAGTCCAGAGAGGCACTAGCCTTCTTCGAGATGGCAGAGCCGGGAGGCAGAGCTCCGTTTCGAACGATGATCGCCAGCTACCGTCCAAACCCAGTCGGTTGCAACGCGATCTAGCAGCAGAACCGGTCGGCACAACTCGATATCCACCCTCGCACATATACACACATGGTTCTATAGTATGTGTGTACGTATGTATGTGCGAGTACTACACGCCTACATATGTACCTAGGTAGGTGGGAGGTGGACACACGCGCGCACCCATCTTCTTCTCACCACCTGCTGCGTGTTAGTAGGTATGTAGTATGTCCGTACGTGCAGCCTTGTTAGTTAGCTCGGCAGCTTCCCAGACCCTGCGACCTTTTTGATCCTCGACGGAGGATTCGATACTATTGTATGTAGAGGGATGGAGGTATGTACGTGCCTACCTACCTACCTACCTACCTACATAACTCCCTGTTGGTGTTCTCTCTCTGTCTTTCTCTTAGTCTCATCCCTGTCCCCTTGGCTCCCCCCCTTTGGCCCCCCTTTGGCCCCCCTTTGGCCCCTCTCTCGGCCCAGAAAAACAGCTACCAGGGTCCCCTTTTCTCCTCTTCTCTCTCTCCCTCTCTCTCGATGAAGCCTGTATATACATGTGTACATATAGACCTCGAACCTCGAGGGGGGCGAAAGGGGAGGGGAGCTGTCAAATCAGGGGACAAGCCGACGCGCCATTTTCTGTACGACACCGTCTGTGCCGCCTCAGGGCGGTTGGCGATCTTCCTCCCGTTTGTAAAGAAGGTTGTGCCACATCCAGTTGCCATGACGCAACGGGCGACTTTCAGGTACGCGATGTGCGATAGGATAGAAACGGGACTGGAGGGGGACCGGAGGGGACTGGAGGTATCAGCATACGCTTCTCGAAGGCGTTTTCTGCAACGGCTGCTGATGCGACTGCTACCACCTTTACCACGGCCATGCACTGCCGTTGCTGCTGGCTCTCCTCTCTCTCCCACCTGCAAAATCGGGGTGCGATGCAGCACTATCAAATACCAAGACTTCGCTGCGCCTAGCGACGCGATCTTTGCGGTCCGAATAGGAACCAGGCTTTTAGACTAACAGAACTGCTATTCGCCTACTACGTACACGTATGTACCTCTTCTTCCTATTATTATTATTATTATTATTATCCCTCCTCTTCTTGTATACGAGTTACTAAGGCAGGCCTGCTCAGCAGGTTTTCTCTTTTTTCTCTCTCTTTCTTTTATTAATAATCCTCACCCATCCCCCGACCGACCCTGTTCGCACCAGGAACCCCCCCCCGTCAGAAAGCTAGTTAAGCTACCTAGGGTAGGCTTAAAGCTACCGAACCTGCCCCGGAGATCGTACACTTGTGCCGTTTACATGCTACGTGGTATGATGATGATAATAACACATACCTGGCACTTAGTAGGTCCCATGAGGCTTGCACATGCAAGCAGGTACCCGCGAACGGACTGATGGCAGGCCCTTCGCGGGGCTGTATCCAGTAAGCTTCCGCTGTACGTATCCGTTGACGGCACAGGGTGTCGTCACTTCGCGATAGCTACGTACAGGGGGAGGAGGAGGGTGGTAGAGGGAGAGGGGAGATGTTGCTTTTTCTTCGAGATGATGAAAAGCCGGCGATAACCCCGGAAAGAGGCTTGCATGACAGGGACGGGGAGAGATGGAGCAAATGCAAGCCTCAACTTCTTCGTAGGCCTGTAACTGGCCGGGTACACGACATCTGATGCGTGGGCCTACCGAGACAACGAGAGAGCTGGTGTGTGTGCCTTGGGGCCGTCCGCGCTCACGCGGATCTGTACGGCCAGTTCTGTACGGTGACTGCAGGTTACGTACGGGGTAACGAGCGGGCGAGGGAGCAGGATGAGGGATACATAGGTAGGTGCCTACACGCTTACACGCCTTACCTATCTACATGCCTTTAACCTACCTAGCCGCCTACTTGCCTCCTACCTAACCTATATATACATACATACATACATACATACATCTGTAGTTGATATACGTACTCTGTGGCGAGGCAGGGAGAGACGGCACAGAGAGAGAGAGAGAGAGAGAGAGAGGATATGGGATATCGATGAATGAGAAAGGGGGGAAAGCTTAGCGCGCTTGGTGATCAGGCCATAGGTCATTGTGATAACCCGTAGGAGAGAGAAGCGATGCGGGGCTGGATGCATGGATGGATGCATGTCAGTTAGTCTGTCTGTCTGTCGACCAGGGGGCCCGGGGGCGGCGAGGGAGGGCATACAGAGATGTGTCTGAATGGTATGTACATCCATCTATCCATCCACTCATCCACTCACCTACCCACCCACAATCACCCACCCACCCATCCATCCATCCATATCCATATCCATCCAGACGTACATACATATATACAATACTGACATGTCTACCAGTACATGTCCACATAGTAGGGAGAGCACGTATAGAGTGCCTGGGCGGGTATTGTGCATGTCCCGCCCCCTTGCACGTATACATATACATGCACGGCCGAGATATATACATGTGCCCCATGTTCAGCGGTTCGATGACTGCTTGCGTACGTCTTCCCTCGTCTCGACAGTGTCGTACCCCCTGAAATGCCCCCAAGGCGGCATGCCTACAACATGCTTACAACATGCCTTCCTACGCAGCAGTGCCGCAGACAAGCTTTCAACTGCGCGTAAGGCCTCTAACACGTCTGGCGGGCTGTCTGCAGTCTAGACTCGAGGTCTCCCGACATACGGCGAGCTGAGACGACCGGGGGGGAGGGGGGGAGTTCTATAGATACCTATCTACTCATACATATGCGTCTATGTATGGAGACAGATCAGGCTAGCCGCTTGCCGAAGGACGTCTAGAGACCGGGGGGGGGGGGGAGGGGAAGGGGGAGACGCAGTCAGGTTCGAGGGAATGCGGTGCGTCTCGCGTGCCTAAGGATAGCATCACGTACGTGGTACATACGGACGATGTCGAGCATGTCGGCATAAGGTCCTAGTTAAGAAGGCATCAACAGCTGAGGCAATTCTGATTGGTTGATCTTACCCTCCATCACGCCTCCTGGAGGATGGCAGCTTGATGAAGGTTCCTCCCGTCCTCGCATCGCGAACACGAACCCCAGCCCTTCCTACCAGAGAGGTCATATATACCTTGCTGCCGAACCAAGCTCTCACCCCCTCCGCGGTCGAGGGACGGGAAGAGGGGAAGAGAAAGAAGAAAAAGAAAAGGGGAGGAACCCCATTTCCTTCCTTCCGCGCAGGCGTAGATAGATGGAGAGTGTGTAGGAGCGCGTATATCGTGCGTAGGTACGTGGGCGTGTCCCGTCTTCGACAGCCCAGACGCACGACCGACGACTTCGTCGAGACCACTGCCTACCTCCTACCTCCCAGGTATCTACGCACGCAGCAACATAGACGTTAGACGTATATTATAACGTACATACACACATACATGTCGACAATCTATCTACCCACCTTGCCTCCCGGGCTACTAGGGGGGGAAAGGGGGGCCGACGCGCCACCCAATCAAGGCGTGGCAGCTCCGTTCGTCTACACCAAACTTGACATGCGCTGCGCTCCCGGGCCAGGAAGATTACTCAAGGGTGACAAAGACGGGAAGGGAAGGCTTGGGAAGAGTTCCCCTGCGAAGAGGCGTTGGGTCGTATCGTCGAGCTGATTGTTCCCGCCGTCGCTTTGGCTAACGCAGCCCTACCGAGGAGAGATAGACGTCCATCAGAGGCGTAGGTAGGTAGCATCTCACCTCCCGCGGCCCCCGTCCCCCGTCCCCCCCCAGGGTTTGGCCTCCCCTCGGCCGCGCAGGTACCTGTAACGCTCTGTCCGGCGGCGCCAGCCCGTCTGAGAGGCATGTACGGCTCTACCGACGGGGGCTGCCTAAATAAATATATATAGTGTGTGTATATATATATATATATATATAGGTATGTAGGTATATAGGTAGGTTAGGTAGGTAGATGTGTAAATGAATATATATATATATATATACTGTAGTTGTATATATCTATATACAATATCCATGTGCGTGTATGTGTGCGTATGTGTGTGTGTGTGTATTTATATACACGCAACCACCGACCTACTATACAACCACCCAGATAACACGTATTAGCCCCCACCCTAGGTCTCGTCTCACGCGCAGAGAAAACACACCAGCTTGCTTACCTGCTTACTTACTTACATATCGACCTCGGTATCAGCCAATATTCCCAACCCTCTCAGCTGAGATCTCTGGTACGCAATGTCCAAACCGGCCGGGTTGCCTGCGGCGCACATACGACATGGTACCTAGGTTAGGTATGCAAAGGCCGAGCTCTCCCTCGTGACCCCGTTTCCCCTCCCTGGTTCTATTTCGGGTCCAGGGTTCAGTCGTTGAAGAAGCGCATTCCCGCCCGTCCGCTCCGAGCGTGCTACGAGAGTAGGTACTTATACTCATAGGTACCTAGGTACGTGCTAGGTAGGGTACACGTTGTATACTATATGTACGGCAGGCTTAAGTGCGTTACGGCGAATCCCCAAGGTCCTGACCGTATCTAAGGTACCTGTATAGGTATGTACCTCTAGGTAGGTAGATGACCTGACGAACGAACATCCTCCGGTACCGCCAGGAAATAAGGAGGTACCGGTACCTACCTAAGTACCTCTACCTCTATCTGCCTTAGGGTGCCCACACACCTAACGGTATCCAATCAGACAACGTATTTCCGCTTCTCTCGCCGACCCGCAACCGTTACCGAAAGGAGAAATGCGCGTTGAGGGTCTTGTCTCGGGAATCCTTAAAATAACTGTGCTATGCGTTAAAGCAGACGCGGCCCACGGAGCTAGTCCTATAATCGGTACGAGGTTGCGGGTACTATGAGTATCTGTCCCCTAGACCCCGGGCAGAGGTAGGTACCTATGTACCTAGATATGTGCATATCTGCGGTACATACATATACATACACGTATATGAGTACTGAGTATACATTGCACACATAATACTAAATGTAGGCAGATAGCCAGAGAGGTAGGTAGGTAGGCCGGTCTTCAGGAAGCATGATCACCACCATCACCATCACCATCACCACAACCACCACCATCAACCACCACCATGACCCCATCCCCCCCCCCCCCCCTTTACCTCCCCTCCCTCCGTCCACCCATGCCCCGTCCGCCGCTATCCATGTCGGTGTGAATGGGCACAGTCGCTCGAAGCGGCAGCACGGTCATCTTTTCTGTCAGTATCGCCGGTCTTGCTCCTATCGATCGTGCTAAGGCACCTGCCCCGTTAGGAGCTTAAAAAGCCATGACAGGCCCAACCCTGATTGCAATCGCATTACCCCGCAAAATGTTGCCCGCCGTATCCGAACTTGCCCATAGTCTGTTTTTACTCGAGATTGCATACGGCCACAGAGAGATGAGCCAGATGGCCGACCGGGGGACTTGAGAGGCGCGCTTATAGAGCAAATCCCCCGGGGTACTTTTGTCGACAATTCCTCCCCGATACGCACCCGAGTCGAGGAATTGGCCTTCCGCCGAGAAATGATCAGCAGCATATCAAGACCGTTCCCGGGGAGAAGCAATAGAAACCCAGAAAGAAAAAAAAAGGAAAAAAAGGAAAGAAAGAAGAAGAAAAAAAAAGAGAGAGAGAAGACTATCCCCACTCCTTCTCCCCTCCCCTTTTTGGCTTCAGAGGTCACGTTCCCTCCTCCTCCTCTTTTTCTCTCTCCTTTCTCCCGTCTCTCTCATTCCTGAAATACCTACCTGCCTATAACAACAGCAGCAGCAGCAGCAGCATGCGAATCCATGAGGGGAGGGTCCAGGCTGCCGAGACCTGACGAGGCTATATCGACATGTCCGTTATGCAGCACACATTTTAGCCTAGAAAAAGACCGCCCCGAGGCTCGAGTTTAGCCCGTCCAATCCCCACCGCGGGCGCCCGCCCTCCTAAATTGCAGCTGGGCCCTGAACCTCGCGTCCGCGTTGCCAGCTCGAGCTTGCTTTGTCGTCACCTATACCAATCTACGCTTCCTTTATGGTCGTCGGTTGCTACCGCTGACCCCGGTGCTCTCCCCCCTCTTCCCTCTTCTCTCGTCCGCATCCTCTCCTCCTCCTCGCCGGCTCCAATCCCTTTCCGTTCGCGGAAACCCGATGCAACCGACCCTCCTGCAGAAAACGGACAGTTGGCCCTCATATCCATTCCTATTTCGGACGTCTGCCGTTGCCGTTTGGGAGGCGACAGGACAAGCAGGAGAGGCGAGGGACGAGATGGGTTGAGGAGGCCAACTCCCCCATACAATTATATTGCATGGTTATGTATACAACGTTGTATATATCACCGTGTGCACCCAGACCCCCTCGTCCACCTATCACCAGCGATATCGTCCCCCCGTCTGCGCCGTCCGTCAAATTACCATGTCTTATACCGGGCAGAGTTAGTGTCGCCGTGGCGGGCGCCAAGAGAAGACCCTTCACGTCCATTCGAATCTAGTTGTCCGAAAAGAGCTTGCTCAACTCACGGTAACGTCGACTAAAATCAAATTTCGAGAGAGTGATCATGCAGGTCGCGACATGTGGCATTCCAGGATGTTCCTGTCTGCGTTCATTTAAAAAGAGGGTATTTTAAGACCAGCACCGGAATTAATATGGACTGATCAAATTCTACTTACCACGCATGCCTACATATACCTACAACCCACCTATATGTCAATGCCGCCGCCTATACTATACCTAACGCTTATACTACAGGAGAGAGAGGGAGAGGGAGAGGGAGAGACAGTCTTTCCCCGGTGACAACATGCCTGCGTACGTACATAGGTAAGTCAGATGCCTGTCAACTCTATCGGTGGAGCCAAAAGGAGGCCCGGCCCTCTTTGGAACAATGAAATGATGGACCAGGCCGAGGAACAATCACGGCACGCATGCGTAGCCTTGCCGCATCACTTTCCTCTTATCAATGCAATACATATATTTACCCACATACCACATGCTTACACAGACCTATACTTAAGCGGCCCCACGGTTCCTTACTGTACCGGGCGGGATGCAAAAGGGGGGAGGGGGGGGGGGCAAGGGGGGGACTCCACGAGGAGGACGAGAAGAGAGATGCGTAGGAATATGAAAAGAAAAGAAAAAGAAAAGAAGAATCCAGGGGGGCGACAGGGCGAATCAGAACCGGCACAACTCGCCGCTGGAATAATTGCACCAATTGGCAACCAATGGGAAACACGAGGGCGACTGGCGATATTCAGATCTCTTTCCCATCCAGTCGTTGCATCCCATCCCGTCTCGTCTTCCTACTCCTCCTCCCCCTCCTTCTACTCCTCTTCCTGCTGCTGCTGCCGGACGTACATACATATATACAGACGCGCATACGGTAGGCTCACGCACACACACGCACACACGCACACACGCACACACGCACACACGTACATGTCTATCTGCCTGCTTACCCTGCCTACACGCACATGCGTATATGCGTCCATACATACATACGTTCATCCCTCCCTCTGTCACTAGACCGAACCCCCCTTCCCCCCCTCCCCCCGGTAGCACGCAGATTCGGCCGGCCTGCCTAGATGTAGGCATGTATGTATCTGTGCATATATGTACATGTGCTCACGAGTCATTCGGGAGCTGGGTTGTGGCGTTAGGGAATAAGAGGAAATCCTGGTTCGCCGGACATAGCTACTCACACACACGCGCGTACGTGCGGTGCGTGACCCCGTACGGCGCCACGCCGTGGCGAATGACGAAAGGAGACAACCCGTCTCCCCTCCGCCCGCGCGCCCTTCCGAGAGCAGAGGCCCACAGCGGTCACGTACGTACGCACGCCTCAGCGCGGGCGCGCCATGCCTACCTACAAGGCAGACAGGCAGGCAGACGGGCGGATAGACAGTCACGCACACCCGCACACACGCACGCACGTTATAGGAGGGGGATATGGGAGGAACGCATGCAATGTGTATGTATGTATGAGCACGACGGCACGCACATACGTACATACAACATACATGCCTACACACATATACATACATATACATACCTACATGACATAGGTATGGAGGCACGTCTGTACGTATACGTAGGTATGCAGGTAAGCCAGCTACTCTAATGGCAGGGTAAGAAACGAGCTCCAACCCAGAGGCCGAACGCTACATACAGATCGTCGCGGGCGCATATATACCTAGGCATATACCCACACCTACGCGCACGCCTCTGCGAGCACATACGTATACACACAGGCAGCCGGATACCGTAGGTAGAGGTAGGTAGGTAGGTAGATAGTTGCCTCTGATGGCCTGCCAACCAACGAACCAACCAACTAATCAATCAACCAACTAACCTTAGGTATCCAATCCCGGACCCCGAGTGGGACATGGCTGCGGAATTACATATATATATATATATATATATGTGCGTATATGTATGTGTGGATATACACGCGTACATGACTCCCGAATTTTCTAGGAAAGCAGAAGAAGAAAAAGAGAGAAAAAAAAGGGAGATCTCGGACCAGGGTCCCCTATAGGCTGGCGTGGCTACCTGTGTACGTACACATCTTGCGCGCGTCCGCAAGGCGAGCCCGTTGTAGGTAGCCGAGCCGGACAGGCTGGGCGTCGAGCGGGAGACGAGGGGGTGGAGAGAGAGAGAGAAGGGGGGGGGGGGGGATTGAGGCGAAATGAGAACGAGAAGACGGGAAACCCCCCCGAGATAAAAAGGAAATGAAATAAGAGAGAAAACAAGCAGGCTCGGTTCTCGGTCTGCCGTCGTGTTCGGATGGAAGCCGACGGGACAGCCAGACCGGGGGGTTGAGAGGAGGGAGAAAGCTTTTTCCCTCCCCCCCCCTCTCCCCCCCCTTCCCTGGGAGGAAGCCGAGGCGAGGCACGACTCTTAACGGCGAAGCGCATTGCTTAACGAGGAACGCAATACAATCGCGGTCTATAATAGCCACAGCGATATAATCTAGGTATATGTGCGTATATATAGGCGTAGGCGGACTACCGACCTACGGATATAGGTATATGCCCGACTACACCTTGGGTTATACATATACACATTTTCATACATAGGTATATCCTGTACCACCTCCCGACGCCGCAACCAACAAATACCGAGCCAGGGCCCGCGTGACCTAATACACGGCGCACCGGACAGGCAGGCAGGCAGGCAGGCAGATAGATAGATAGCCGTTGCATTATACCTACCTCCCTCCCACCCGCCGGCCGCAACCGCAGAGCACAACACGCAAGCGCGTATCAGGGTGCGCGCGGCCGCGCGGCGCAGCGCTGTAGCCGTAGGCGCGGGAGCTAGTACCGACGAGGAGGTTTTAAGGGCGGGGGGGGGTCCAGGGAGAAGAGGGAAAAATGACCAAGAGGAAGGATGGTTTAGCTAGAGCCCCCCCCCCTCCTCTGCCCCCTCCCCCCCGGGGGGGTTCCCAAACCCCTGCGTGATCCTTCGGCTACCGCGGCGTCTCTCAGAGGCCTGGTCCTGCCTATCCACGGCTAGCCCCAGCGGCGCTGCCTAGGTGGTTCGGCGGCCGGGAGTTGCTGCTAAGGCCAGGAGCAGCAGGTAAGGTCGCCGACCGCGAAGACGCTTAAACTAACCCGTGCCGCGCGCCCCCTAATCTACCTAGGTCGGAGGTGTGCGATGTCGTGGGGGAGAGGCAGGTAGGAGGCGGGAGGCGGGAGGCGGGAATTCCGGCGGGGAGGTAGGTAGGCGCTAGATATAGGTATAGACAGACAGGCAGACAGACAGAGGCGGACAGACAGAGGCGGACAGACAGAGGCGGACAGACAGAGGCAGACAGACAGACAGACCATATTGCATCTCTCTCTGTCTCCTCTTCTTCCTCACCCCACTCCCACTCCCACTCTCCCTCGGGACTCTAGCTATAGCGTTTCGGCCGCGATCGGCGCACCTTCTCGCCAAGGCACCTGCTGGGCGGCAGCCACCTACCTATCTATCGTAACCTGCCCGGGCTCGGGTTTCCTCGCCTCTCGCGCAGCGGTTCTGGCGTCGCGTCTGGTTCTCTCTCTCTCTCTCTCTCTCTTCTCGACCGGGCATATATATGTAGGTAGGTAGGTATGTAAGGCATAGGTGGTCAGACGGGGAGCTAGGCCGCGCAGCGCGGTTCTGTGCTGTGCTACCATAAGCGCGGGTGAACTCTCCCTCCCTCCCTCCCTCCCTCTCTCTCTCTATCGCCCCTTTTCATTCTTTCTCGGTATGACCTGGAGTCCTCGCCCTTTTTTTTCTTTCTGTTTTGGGCGCGTGGTGGTAGCGACGCCGATGACGGTGCCACGACCGCTGGGCGCGAGCAGTGAAAAAAAAAAAAAAAAAAGAGGAAGAAGCAGAAGAGATCAGCACGATCGGCCGAACGACCGACCGAACCGGCCACCCTACAGTATAAGCTACAGGCGGGCCTCGCGCCGACGGGGATCTCACGTCGGCGCAAAAGCAACAAAGCAGGCAGGCTGGCAAGCGAGCAGGCAAGCAGTCAGGCAGGTAGGCAGGCAGGAAACCTGCTACCGCCAGCCCGCGCCGCGCCGCCGCGCCCGGCGTCGCTACGAGCGCGCCCACGATTCGCTCACGGCAAGTGGGAGAGGGGGGGGGGGGGGGGAGGGGGAGGGACACGAGGGAGAGAGCAGGCACAGAACACGGCACGGCACGGTACGGCACGGTGAGGCCAGGACAAGTCAGGATATGGCAGACCGGAGCAGGAACAGGGTGCAGCAGGGCAAGAAGACGAGGCAAGGCAACTGAGACATGGCGGACGAGGAGGGGGGGGGGGAAGGGAAGAAGAAGAAAAGAAGCAGAAAGAGGCAACGATGGCCGACCGGCCGACCGGCGGCTAGGCGGTGGTAGCAAGTTGAGATAGGTAAGTAGGCAGGGCAGGGGGGGAGGGGGGGGGGGGGAGGGTGGGCACAAAAGAGACAGAGAGAAAGAGAGAGAGGTCTGCCAGCGTGTGTAAGTCCGTTCGGCGAGGCGGTGCCGGCGGTCGACCAGAAACGGGGGGCGAGTCAGTGAAAAAGAAGGAGAAGAAGGAGGAAAAGAGGCAAATCCTGCAACCTGGCGTTACCGTCGGTGCTACCTCGACCGTATCGGATGGCACCACGGCGTGCGGGCGAGCACACACAAGCACACACACACACACACACACGAGTACGTACGCACTCGCACACACAGAGCAGCAACGCGCTACCCTGCCTACCTGCCTACCTACCTGCCACGGCACACCTTGTTGTGCTTTAGGTGCTTTACCGTGGCAGTCGAGTTGCTCTGTCTCCCCTCCTCGTCCCCTCTCTATCTCTCTCCCTCCGAGTTAGTTTGCCCCGTTACGTGGTGGTGGTGGTGGTGGTGGTGGTGGTGGTGGTGGTTAGTTGCCGACTGCCTATCTAGTTAGTTAGCTTAGGTAGCTAGACAGGTTCGTGGCTATAGCCCGTCGGTATACCTGTCTGTGGGTATTTGTAGGCTTATAGGCTTGTAGGCAGGCAGAGCAATAGCATCGTTCCCGAGTTTTCTACTTTTTTTCATTCTTTTTATTCTTGTCCAGTCTCATCCCGTCGTCCTCGAATCCCTCCATTCCTCTCCTCCCCCCCCCCTCCCCCAAATATCCATCTACCCGTTGGCACACACACGCATCTACATACGGTAGGTACATTCACGTTCGATACATATACCTATTTCGAAGGGGACTTGGCTCGTTTATTCTTAGTGCGATCTTCCTTCTCCCTCTCTCTTCTTTTTGTTACCTGTCTCTTCTCGAGATCCCGGTGCTCCCTCGCTCCCCCCCAACCCCCCCCCTTGCCCTTCCGCGCTGCAGGATACGTAACTCAGATGTGTGTACGTATAGGGGGCCAGCCGCGTGCGCCTCCATGGATGGGGATGTAGGTAGGTTAGGGAGTTCGGGAGGTAGGTAGGTAGTTTGACTACATGCCTACCTCCTCTACCTACCTGTCAACAAGTACAGTACATCAGTTCGCCCCCCCGCACACCATCGCGTACGTATAGTATACACGTACGCCCTACGCACAGTGGGTGAAGACGTGAGTTGCCCAGCCCCGGCGGCGGCGGCGGCGGCGGCGGCGCTTCCCCCCCCCCCCTCCCTTTACTCTTTCTATCTCTTCCCCCCTCCCCTCCCCTCCCCCCCTTTCCCTTTACCTCTCTCGACGAGCAAAGGAGGGAGGGGTTAGTTTATTAAAGATAAAGCAGCAGAACGGGGTCGCGGCGATAGCAGCAGCAGCAGCAGCAGGAGCTGGAACGGCAGCAGGGAGAGCAGGCAGGCAGGCAGATAGACCGAAACGACGAGCGAGTTAAAAATAATAGTAATCACCACCGTCTCACCATCTCCCAGCGTCACATCACAGGCCGGAGGGATCTACCTATCTCAGCAAGAGCCCGCTGTAACTTCACCACGAGCTCGCGATTCGTCGTGGTGCCCCAGCCCGGCTCTGCGAGGCGAGGAAGGCGAAGAAGGAGGGAGTGGGTGGAGGGAGGCAGGGACGCAGGGAAGAGGAGAACGAGGACGAGAAGATGAGATTGGTCAGCCGGTCGGCCGGTTGGCTGGCTGGTCACTTTGCTCTCTCTCTCTCTCTCTCGCTCACTTATCCTTCCCTCCCCCCCCCCCCTTTTTTTTCCCAACCCCCCCCCCCCGTGATAGCTGCCGAGAAATCGCTGGGAGGGTCGCAGCATCGTGCCCTCATTCGCTACCAGCCAACGGCGGCTTCTGGTCGGGCTGCTTTCGGGAGTTCAATAAACTCGATGAGCTATTGCGGCCGCCCAGCTCGAATGAGAGGAGTAGAGAAGCGTTCCCGCGCGCGTCCGCTGCTTACCGTCTTGGGAAATATCATGCCTACTATGCCTACCGCTTAGAGAGAGGCACAGAGGGAGAGAGAGAGAGAGAGAGGCAGGCAGACGGAGAAAGAGTGTGCGTGAACGTGTGCGTGAATATGTGTATGTGTGTATGTATGCGTGTGGGTGTGTGTAACTAATTTGCACCTATCACGAGACTCGCGACCTAATCGTCCTCACTATCCCACTCGACGAGATCCTCCTGATCGTTGAGTGCTAATTGCACGAATTGGCGGATCCACGCTTCCTGCCTCGCATCTAGTTGACCGTCGCCTCCGAGTGCCTCGCCACCCCCCATCCTGTCCTGGACGTTGCGACCGTTGTTGTTCAACGGCTGGTTCTGCTGCGGTTGCTGTTCCCCCTGCGGTCGATTCCGGTTGTTTTGCCGGTTTACTCCTTGACCTCTGCCTCCCCTATTTCCTCGACCCCTTCGCTGACCCGCGTTGACAGCGTGAGCGGCCTCTCTACGGGGACCTGGGACGCCGCCGGCTGGACGAGCAGCTGGTGGCGCTGGAGGGTTTACCGCTCTCGCTTGGGCCGGCGGTGCGTTGCCCTCGATCCGGAGCACGAGAGGCCCTTCGCGCTCGACGGCGACTCTCTCGCCAGGCTGTATTCTTGGGGGTCGGGGTTGACGAGGTCTTACCTGCGGTCGTTGATGACGTGCGTCTGCCGGCACCACTTCCGGGTCAGCCTCGTCAGACTCGTCCCCCGAGTCTTCTACAAGGTCGCCAGCTGGTCCAAGACGCTGTTGAGCGGCATTAGCGCCCAAAACGCCCCCCCCTCCTTCGAATCCGTTCCCGACATCGATACCGTCTCCTCCCTCCAGCTCCCAGAGCCTCATGAAACAGCCGTTAACCTCACCCGAAGGTTGAACGTTGAAGTGCCGATACTGTGTCATATCTGGGTCAGTTGCTGCCGTCAGGCGAAGGGGTGGCTGAGAGGGAACGGGCACCAAGGGGGAACAGTGATAGTCTGGGTGCTGTTGGGCGAGCCGCACATCTTCCCCGAGCCCGAGGTCCCCGCGTACGTGCCCTACGGAGATAGGTTCCGCTCTCGAACATAGTTTTGAAGCATCAAGGGGTCATCTGAAGCGTACTCACCGGGTTTGAGGGGTCGAGCCAGGCGGAGCAGAGGTAGCAGAAGTGCGTCTGGCATCTGAAACACCTCATATGGTTGCAGCCGTGCGTCTTCTGACACGGAGCAGCGCACGTCGGGCACGGCGTCGTGTGCATCCTCATGTAATCGAGTGATGCTTTCTCCTCTTCCGTAATCTCGTCCTTGCGTTCCTTCGGTATGCAGTACTTGAATTCGCCGTGCCACGACTGTCCGCATCGAATACAGAAGGCGAAGCCGCAGTCGTCGCAGATGGCAAGCAGATCCTGGCTCGAGGAATTGCTCTTCGCTTTGTCGTTATTTTCCTCCGCGTCGTCTTCCGTGTTGGACTCCTCGTCGGACGCCTCGACGAACTCGAGCTCCTTGGGTTTCTTGTGTTTCTTCGACCGGGCCGCGCCCTGGCACCAGGAGCGAGGGCAGTAAACCGTGTTCTTGTCTGACTCGAGCTCGGTCTTGTACTTGAGCATGACATAGCGTTTGACCGTATCTTGTTCTAGGGGGATCTGCAGCAATTCACTCGGGCTGATGTGCGTCTTCGCTTTCTTCTTGACAGAACCTCTTACGGCGTCTTCCCGCCTCTTGGCGCATTTTGGCTCTAGACACTGGACGGAAGCGACGTCGCCTTCCGCAATAGCGTTGTTATAGAAGTCCTGTAGACACTTGACGCAGAAGACATGACCACAGTCGAGCATCCTATGGCACACGCGCCCCTTTTTAGGGTCTGATATGCCGTGTTAGCTGTTCTCTCTCTCTCTCTCTCTCTCTCGCTCCTGACTCCCGCCTCTCTTGCGGCGAGTGTGGCTAATGCGTAGCTTACCTAGGCATATACCACATCCGAAAGTTTCCTTCTCGAAAGCGGCTTGCTTGGCTTTGATATCGTAGTCGAGGATGGCCAGCTTGTGCTCGGGGCTGACTTCCAAGCACCCCTGGGCGTCGACCAGGCCAAAGACGTCCCCGATCGACTGCTGTAGATTATCGATGTACGTGAAGATGACCTGGTCGCGGCCAAACTCTTCCCACAGGGTCTCCACGTCGCCCTCAAGCTTGCGCAAGGTGCGGCCCGACAGCCACGGAGGCGAAGTGGAGAGGGACACCTTGGGCGGTTTCTTCTGGGGATATCCATCCGGTAGGGTTATGCGAACCTGTAGCGAGGGCAAATTGGACAAGGCGTGCGAGTCTACCGCCGGCTCGACTGGGGCCTGCTGTGAGCGCGCCGGCTCGACCGGAGGTGCGCCGTCGGCGGTGGCTGGGAAGAGTACGGTGACGGGCTTGGCCAGGCTCACGGGGAGCTCGACAGAGACGGTGTGAGGGTCGTGGTCGTCGACCTGCAACTCGGGGTATATGGCGTTTATGGTGGATATTTCAACCTCGCGAATGTCTTCCTCTGCCATCTTGCGGTGGCGGTTTGCATAAAGGTATATCTACCTGGGTATCTTGTAGTGGGACGAGGTATTCGTGCGCATTGCTGTGTGGTGGATGGCCCGGGTTCCCTCGACGCTTGGCGACCTGGCAAGCTGGATGACTACTGCTACCGCCGCATCTTCTGTACGTTCCGTGGTCTGAGTCCCCAGGGCGTCTGTTCGGACGCGCTGTTCGTTTTGTCTCCTGCGGCCTTCCCTCGTTCTGGCTGCAGTCGGAGCTTGAGTAGCCCGGTGGTGTTTTCTGCTTGGAGCTCCGAAGAGCACTGGAGAGTATGTTTCCTGAGGTTTACCTATGCTGGTGTCGCGATCCGTCTGTACTAGAGGGCGCCGACTTGGGTATGAAGAGATGGGTAACAAGGTCAGAGGGCGAGATCGAAGCGGATCATAAGGTGCTCATGTCTGGCGATCAGGACTTCGGTGTATATGGCATCCACAAAATCAGGAATGATGAGTCCAGGCGAAACTCCAATCCCACGAGAAGCAGTGGGGTACCGTCCACCAGAAAGGTACCTGGCCGTGGTAAGACGGGAGGTACCGCCTTACTGACCTAGGTTGGCGAGTGTACTAATCAAAGTACCATTGGGGTATTGTGCTATGGTGGGCGGTACAGTGGTACCTGACCTTCTCCTGTTTCCTCGATCGGGACATCCTGTGATTGAAGCGCGTTGATACAGGTACCTCTTAATTGCCGAAAGCACCTAGTATCTACACAAGTTTTACCCCCCCCCCCCCTCTTTTATATCGTTCTATGTATCTACCCTAGTATTTAAGACTGATTTGGTTGTAAAGAAGCTACCTAAGTAGGTACACATTTTATTTCTTATAGACGCGCAAGCACGCAATCGGTTACGTACAGCCACAGGGTAAGCCCTGCCCTAACGAGGGTTAATCGGGATATAAAAGGCACGTAAAACGGCTTTAAAAGGCTACGTAAATAATTATAATTTAATTAATTATTTATCCGTTCCTTAGATAGCTATATAATAGTACCTTATACGTTTCGTAAGCTTATTATTACGCTATTTTATTATTATCTAACTACTTACGCTACGGAAGTAATTAAGTAACGAAAGCTCCGATAAACGAGCGGCTTAGGATAACCGTATAACTACGATTAACGGTAGAGAGAGGTTATCGATAAGCTAAACGATTAAATCGCGAGGATAACTACGAAGATAGCTACGAGATTATAAGATAAGGCGGCCGAGGAAGGAACCGAATAGGAAACTACGTAGGATATCGCGTTAAAGAACCTCCGTAAGAAGATACGTAAGAAGCTATAAAAGGACTTACGTAAAACGACCGAATATATTAACTAGCGTATAAATACCGTAGAGTATTTCCTTAGGGAAATAATAACTAAGCTAAAAATAATAAGCGAATAACGATAAAGAAGCTATCGCTAATCCTAATAAGACGTCGCCGACTTAATAAAAAAAGGCGACTTTACCGACGCTAACGAAGGTAAGAATAAACCTTATATTAAAAACCTAAAGATTCCGAGAAAATTAAATAAGTCGGCTATAAAGACTTAACGAGTCTACGGTAAGGATTACCGTAGAAACCGCAAGGATAGCCGTTATTATCGTACCTCGCGTTTAACCCGGCGTAAAAGCTACCGCCGCCGGGGCCGTAGCCTAAGTAACCTATTAGGAAGCTTTTCTGATAGTAATTCCGATTACGGTAAACGACGTAGCCGGAAGATAAGGAATAGGAGTAAGGGTATCGCGTTTAAAAAAAACGGTAGGATTAATTAAAAGAAGTTCGTCTTTAATCCCGATAAGGACGCCTATCTTAAGGGAATTTCGAATTAAAGCTTATATCGGGATATACTTATGCTCTTTATAAAGGAGATAGGATATAGAAAAGAAATAAAACTCGACGAGTAAAACGAGATATCCCTAGCGAGAGTAATCGCCGGAACTTACCGGGGTTAACCCTTATAGTTAATAACGAACGTACGTTTAGGTACGAGGATATTAAAGATATTCGATTAAACCTATGCCTTTATAGGAAAGGCTCGTTAGTAGGAACTATAGGAATAACTTATTAAAATAAAATACGACGGTAAGGACCCGGTAGAGTTTACGTTTAAGTAGTAACTAGCCGTTCGCTAGTATATAAATACCGGCTTCGTAATCGGCGAAGAATAATAAATTACGATATTCCTTAGCTATATATAAGATAAAATAGCTAACTAGGTTAAGATCGTAAATACTATAATTAAAACGAAACCTATAGACCTATTAAACGTACTTAATAACTTCCGCGGAAAGTTTTATAATAAGATTAATAAGTATAAGGGTAATAAAAGTAACGGCGGTAATAATAACTAAGCTAATAACGCTTAAGGCAAGGAAAAGGATAAGAAGAAAAAGCCCTCGTAAAACTAATAAAGAAAGCCCCTTTACTTTAATTATAAGGAATATAAGTATAAGGCTAAGGACTACCCGAAACTACTAAAGGAATAAAAGGGTAAGAATAACGGCGGCGGTAATAATAACGGCGATAGCGCCTCCGGCGGATTAAGGGGCGGTTCGAAATAACCGTCGACGTAATATATTACGTACGTACCGTATACGCTACCTTAATTCGGTTATTACGATAACGAAAGCGGGATATATCGAACGAAGATAAATACGGTAGAGCTTTTTAAATTAATAAGCGCTTATAACGAACTACGCCGTAAGAAAGACCTTAAATAAAAGCCTATCCCTATTAACCCCGGTAATAACCTAACTATAGCTAACCCGCCAGAGGACGAGCGGCCCGTAAAGCCTTTAAGAATTAACTACGGAATAAGGGCTAATGCCTATAAGAATTACCTATTCTTCGATATAAGAACTAACGTTTACGTTATAAACGATTTAAAAGATCTAGACCCGAGAACGGTAATAACGTTACTACCGGGTTACGTTATTAATACGGAAGGAAGCCTTATAAACGTTACGAAGATAGGTAAGGCTACTTATTACCTTACCGGCGACGACGAAGGATATAACCGAACGTAGTTAAATTATACGTTATTTATTAACTCCTTCTTAATTAAGATCTTCTCGGGAGAGTTATTTTATCGTAGCGGAGGCTAGCTAAATAAAAATAACATTATAAACCCTAACGGGACCGTCCTAACGACCCTAAACCCTAAGAAACGAGGTTTCTTATTATAAGAATATAAGAAAGAGGAGCCGAAACTCCTTTCCTTTAAACGGTACTAAGGGGACGCGTTAGGATATTAACTCGGTAAGCTTAGCGAGATATTATAAGCGATATTAATATAGCTAGACGATAATACCATAAAGTAATTAATACTATAGTATCGCCGCCTTTATTACCTTAATACGGAAAGACTTATATAAACCATTAAAAGGTTAATAAGGATCGACCTAGATTTAGTACTTATAAAAACGGTACCTTATTACGCGTATAATCGGGTAAAGATTACTAGGATACCCTCGAAGGACCCTTAAGAACGTACCTAAATTCCTAAGGAAATTATTTAATGCGACCTCGGAAAGTTATAGCCTCTATCGATCGAAAACTACCGTTATTTTATACTAATCGTAAACGACGATAGCCGAAATAAAGAGTTTATTTAGTATAAGTTTAAAGAAAAGGCTTAATAAGTATTAATAACTTACCTTACCCGAGTCTATTAGTTATTCGAGGCATTACCGAACGCCCCGGATAAGAGCTAACGACGGATGAAAATATTACGCCTTAACGGCGGCTAAAAGTTCGGTATAAACGCTATCGAATAATTCTATAATAAAAAAGGCATTACGTTAAATACCTTTACGCTAAATAACTAGTATTAAAACGGCGTAACGGAAAGAAGCATACGCTTCTTATAGGACGATATTAAAGTAGTCTACGTTTAAATAAAGATCCCTACTTACTTTTAGGACTACGTCCTCGTAGTAACGGCGTATACGATTAATAGGACTAGCGTTTCGTCCGTAAAGGAACTTACGCTATACGAGAGATTTATAAACGGCATAAAGCTAGGAAAGAATTATAAACCTAATAACGCGTATTTACGTATCGTCGGTAGCCGTTACGTAGCCTATATCGATAAAAGTTATCGGGTAATTTCCGAGAAAATGGAACTACGTAAAGCCCGCGCCGTTCTTATGGGTTACGAAGGGAAGTATAACTACCTAGTTTAACTCGTAAAAGAAGGTCGTTTCTTAAAGACGCCTTACGTTATTTTTTACGAAGAACTAAGAGATTCCGAAGGAGCCCTAGACCTAAAGAACGTCGTTAGGTTCCTACCTAAGTACGTTTAGAAACGGCTACGGTATCGGAAGAAAATCGCGGCGACTAACGTTCGTAATAAGGATAATAATATCGTTAACGAAGACGTTATAAACGAAGATAAGGGTAGAATACGCCCCCGGAGAAGGCGCCCGAAGAAGAAACTACCCTAGATTTATATACTAAAGGTACTACTTAAGTTAAATAAAGTACGCTCCGCCTTAGCGCTAGGTAGCTCGTAAGAGGGCAAGTTAGAGGAAGCATTTAAAAGCGAATAAAATACGCCTAAAATCGCGCCCCGAAAGGAGCTATATTATATTAATACGCTTACTACCGTACCGTAGGAATAAAGCCATAGGTAAATGGTATTAATAACGGCAGGCCTATTTAGGATAAACGAAAACGAACCGCTCTTTAAGGAGGTAATAAAAGAATTAAAGCGTAATCTTTAGACCTAAGCCGTTTTTAAGGAAATCCGAAAGAACCTAAAACGTAATACGTTTAAGTTTATATAGCCGAGCGAAGTAATTAACGGCTATTTTATCGACGCTAAATAGGTTTTAAAGAAGAAGTTCCTATCTAACGGAAATCTCGATAAGTTAAAGGTACGGATCTACGCCCGAGGATTTATATAAAGAAAAGGCATCGATTATAACGAAACTAAAGCGATAACGGCGAGGGTAACATCGTAAAAAATGTTAATAGCGTTAGCCGTTATTTATTAGTAATATATCCTTTAGATCGACTTTATTACCGCCTACCTTAACGGAAAGCTAAACGAAAGAATCTTTATAAAATAATTCCTTATATTAAAGAAGTATTTCGAGGCCTATAAAAAAGAGAAATAAACCTATAATTACGATAAATCGAAGATTATCGAGCTAATTAACTTATTATATAACCTAAAATAAGCTAAAGCCGCGTAATAATAACGTATAAGAAGTATTTTAAAGAAATACGACTACGTTTTATTAACCTTAAACGACGTTATTTATATAAGACCCGGAATAAGAAACGTAATCGTTTCGTATATAAACGATTTCTTATTATTCGGACCTAAAGAGGAACGACTCTATAAGCTCGCGAATATAATTAAAAAAAAGGTTAAGGTAATTAACCTAGGAAACGTTAATTAATTTCTCGGGGTCCGAATAAAACGATCGTTTCCTACGGAGAACGTCCGGCTCGATTAATAATAATATACGGAAAAGGCTTTAAAGGAGCTTAATTACGGCGATACGAAGCCATATCCGTTACCGTATAACCCGAAGAATCGGGACGCGGTCGTACCGAAAGAGGCTAACGATAAAGCCGACCTACGAGAGGTTTAAAAGTATACCTCGTTAATAAGAAAAGCGAACTTTCCGGTATATATTACAAGGCCTAATATTAATTACGTAGCCTCGACTTAGGCGCGTTTTATAAATAACCTCTTATAGGAGTATTAAACGGGAATTAAACGCGTAATACGATATCTTAAGGGAACGGTAAGCCGAGGGATCCGGTATCGGTAATTAAACGAGAATTACCCTTATAAAGAATATAACGAAATAAGTCTTTACGGTTACGTAAACTTAAACTACGTAGAAAATATCTCTATAACTAAGTTAATAAGTAGTTACGTATTCTTTATAATAAAAGCCCCGATCGTATGAATATCGAAGCTTTAGTCGGTAGTCGCGCGAAGCTTAAAAGAGGCTAAATATATAGCCTTATCGACGGCGGTAATAAATGCCGCGTAAATACGTAATTTCCTTACGAAATTAGGCGTAATATCCGTAGGCCTTATTACCCTACGATACGATAGTACGACGGCGAATACGTAGGTAAAGGAAACCGCGATAAATAAATAAAAGCGGTATATCCGAAAGAATTATTATTACGTAAAGTAAGAGGTAAAAGAGGGATACGTTAAGCTAAGATACGTACTATTAACTAAAAACGCGGCTAATAAGCTTACGAAACCCTTAGAGGTAAAGAAATACTAAAGATTTATTAAGTTACTATATCTAGAGGACCCGTAATAACCTTAAACGAAATAAGCATATAGATAAAGAAATAAAGGAAAACACTACGGAATTAAAGCCTTACGCTATTTAAGAGCCTAACGATAGCCTTACCTAGGCTAAGAAGGCGTATAAACGCGTAAGTACGTAATCGGTTACGTATAGCTATAAGGTAAGCCCTACCCTAGCGAGGGCTAATCGGGATATAAAAGGCACGTAAAACGGCTCCAAAAGGCCACGTAAATAACTATAATTCAATCAACTGTTTACCCGTTCCTTAGATGGCCACATTTCTATCGTTTGACGCCGCAACAGCCACAGCGCCTGCGTACCTGTAGGTACCAAGCACAGATGTAGTGGTACTGTAGGTCTGCGCAATTGCCTGCGACCCTATAACGTAACCGCCACGCGTAATAAATCCGGGGTCGGTAGCATCCGTATTGGTAAGCTGACAGCTGGCAGACACCCAGTCCACGCCTTTACAACACCTGGCTGCCACTCTCGACGACGGTGAATAATGACATCGACTCCCCGCCCCAAAAGACCCAATTCTATTTCTTCGAGCTCGAGCAGCTCTCGACGCCAAGCCGAGCCTCGCTTTTCCCCCATCTCTGTCCTTTTCCCTTCGTCCCTCTGCCTCCCTCTCCCTCCCACAGCAGCAGCAGCGTGGTGGCGGAAACGAACCGCGTCGGTCTGTATAGTTGATAGTAGAGCGTCGGAAGAAAAAGGCTTGGCTGACTTCATACCATTGCATGCTCGCGTTCTCTCCCTATATGTTGCGCGCTTCTCCTCCCCCCCCGTCTCCTATTCTTCGGCCGAGGTCTGGATATATATCCAATCCAATCTATATCGCGAGCTTGCTTTCTTTCCGTAAAGAGTGATATGCATTACTTCTACTACTAGCGGTGTCGAAGTCTCTCTCCACCCCCTCCAAAACACCGAAAACAGAACAAGCTCGACCTCTTCTCCCGCCATGTCCGACGACAACATGGCGCCGCTGGCGTCCCTCTCTCTCACCCACGTCCACTATGTAAGCCGCGAACCTCCCACAGCCGTCTGCCTCGCAATTGTCGCCCGCCAGCCGCTAACCAGACTACCGCTTCCCCTCTCCCTCCCCCCCTCGCGTAGGACCCCACGGACCCGCTCTCCTATCTCTGCGCCTGGCTCGCCCTGGTTCCCCAGGGGCTCTGCGTCGCGTACGCGACGTTGATCTGGTCGACGCGCGAGGTCGAGATCGCCCTGCTCTTCGCCGGCCAGCTCGCCTGCGAGGCGCTCAACTTCGGCCTCAAGCGGCTCATCAAGGAGGAGCGCCCGCGGCGCATGAACGGCAAGGGCTACGGCATGCCCAGCAGCCACGCCCAGTTCGTCGCCTACTTCGCCGTCTCCCTCGCCCTCTTCCTGCTCGTGCGCCACCGCCCCCCGCACCCCGGCGTCCGCCGCCGCAACCACACCCCGATGGGCCTCCCCGAGCGCCTCTTCTGGAGCGCCGTCGTCCTCACCGCCGCCGCCGCCGTCGCCTGGAGCCGCGTCTACCTCAACTACCACACCGGGCGCCAGGTCCTCGTCGGCGCCGCCGCCGGCACCGTCAGCGCCCTCGGCTGGTTCCTCGTCACCGCGCTCGTCCGCCGCTCCGGCTGGCTCGTCTGGGCCCTCGACCTCCCGCTCGCCCGCTGGCTCCGCGTCCGCGACCTCGTCGTCGAGGAGGACTTGTGCCAGGCTGGCTGGGAGAAGTGGGACGACCGGGTCGCCGCGCGCAACGCCGCCGCCGGCGGTAAGAGAGCCGCGGACCTGCCTGTCCCGGACGGCGAGAGAAAGAAGAAGAAGAAGGCGAGATAACATCCGAGGGAGGGAGGGGGAGCGTCGCCGCTGAAGGAGGACAGAGATGCATGGTTCCAAAAATGACAGTTGTTTACATCTGAGTGGGCGGTTGTGGGTCAATAATGCATGTGCACCTTGAAACAATTGCCCTTGCGTATTCCTCTCCGTATCAACATGTCTTTTTTTAGAGAATTTGACACCTTGGCTAGTGTGGCAGCTCCCGACCCGATGTTTCGAGGTGTTATGGACTACTTGGACCATCCACATGATATCCTCCCCCCTTACGCATAAGAGCACCCCTCGACGGCAAAGGATCGAGGACGGAGGACGGTTGTCGAGAATTGGCCAGTCTAGACCTAGGCTTTGCCAAAGTTACTCCGGGAGTGACCCCCTAAAAGCATTGCTAGCCTTCTCTTGGGGCCACTGGTTTCTGTGGGCAGATGTCTTGTATATGTGAGCACTGCTGACCTATGTTATATATACAATTACACAATGGCTTAGGTAGTACAAAGCTCTCTCTTCCTATGCCTAGTAGAAAAGGATATGAAGGGTAGAGGACATCAACATGTCAGTTGTCGGTTACTCGATCGGTTGATCCTTGCATTCCTCGTACAAAAAGCTCATGCATTCTATCCCCCTCCTCCTGGCCCTGGCAAATATATGAACGATCTGGGCTGTGAGGATCTAAGAACTGGCAGCTGGGAAGAGGAATGGGTACTATGGTGAGCCTGGCAGCTTCCTTCAGCTATAATACCCCATTATCATGCTACCCGGCCTCCAACTCCTCAAACCTCCTCTCAAGGTTAAACGAAACCTCGTTTTGAAACCAAATCATGGGACTCAAAAAGGAGGCCTCTTCGTCATAGCGCACGTATTGCGGCTTGCTGAAAAGTGTCTATATAGCGCACATACAGTGGAGGGCGAAATGGGCGTTGCTGGTTTTTTAAGTTAACTTTTTAAGGACCACAGGGTACACCTGTGGCTCATGTGGCTTCTAAAGATACGCTTGTGTCAATGAGGTATTTAGGGAGCAATACCTAACAAAGCCAGAGCTGGCCATTTGCCTACTAATTCGTATTGACTCTTCTAAAGGTGCCTTGGCCCACTTACACTTGTCCGAGTCCTGCCCAGTGAACTCCGAATCGGTATCTCCTGCTGTCGAGATTTATATTCAGGAGAAGGTTTGTTAACTGACAGAGAGGGGGGGGTACGATAAACCAACAAGAATTGCGGTGAAAGACTATTTATCAGCCAATGTAAACGGCACATCCCTCTAGGTCTGTCAAAGCCTGGAGAGATCCGGCCAGCGAAAACCCTCAAGATACTAGGCACTTATCCACCCGACTTGGATTCTCTATACGGCCTCGTTTGAAAGGAGAGCCGGGCCATTAAGACAGCTGTCACACAGTGTAGCATTGGTGATAACGAAATGATAACTGAAGAGGACAGACATTTGCTTATTCTTGCCTACTGCAATTTGCGGAGATTTTCCATTAGCCAGCTTTGGATAATTCCTAAGTTCTGTTACAATAGACGGCTTAATATGTCTGCCGTATTTGGATCTATTGAGCCGCCTAAGTACTGGTAAATGAAACGCAAGCCTAAGTTTAAGAACAAAACCAGGTGCATAATCAACACGCTAGTTTTCATTTATTCTGAAGTCTGTTACATCATATTACGCAAAGAAATGGCAATAATATTCCAGCATAGAGATATGAGTTTTATATGAACGATCTACTGAGGAACTGGTTACTGATATCTCGCTTATTTGAACTATTATCGGTTACTAGAAGCCATAGCTCAGGAGAAAATCGAGAAAGCACTATTTAATCTGAGGCTCGAAGTAATTAATTTCGATAATGCGTTGACGCAACGAAGTTTAGATTGCGTGTAGAGAACGGAGAGACGATAATGGTAGTAAGGTACACCTACAAAACAAGGCAAGAAAGGCGACTATGGCGCGATAGTATGTATGGTTTTCAAGAGGAAGTGGAAAGAGCATAAAATTAACAGAGAATTATACTATGAGCTACAAAAGTCATGCTGTTATTATTACCAGGTTTTAAGTTTACAGTACCTAGGCAAGCAATGATCATTGATGCGACTCGATCTGAGATATAACACTGTTATGTGGGAGGGGGGGAAGAGACAAAGCGGTCTCTGCGGTCAAGTTAACATCCCAAGGTCATGAATCGCCCGATTTGCAAGAGAGCATTCAACCCTCCCTCAAGCGCCAGTTAGACAACTCCAAGGCGAGCCAGGAAGCCCGGATCTGGTAAATCTCTGTGTCATGCCACTTCTCCATTCCCCAGTTGAACCCGTCTTCTTTTGGCACCGTCTTGAACCGTAAACGAAAGTTGTGAAAGTGGCTGACATCAAAGTAGGTCAGTGCGGTGAACATAGCAGGGGTGCGCAGGAACGGGCTCGCAAATGAGACATGACCGCTCCATGTAGCGGACTCGCTTTTCCCTATCATTTCACCTATGAGCCAGCCCGGCTTGTCGACATCGATAGCAATCCAAGTCGCACTGGCCCAGTACAGCACCGAGCTGCCCCATGTGTCGATGTGCATGTCAAAGCTGTCCGTCTTCACATTGGCCACCCAGCAGTGGATGCGCCAGTTGTCGTTGATGTCCCAGCCGCTCAGACCGACGTATACAATAGGAGGCTTGTTGAAGGGACGTGGGAACAGGACCGTCTCGTAGATGTTTCCCTTGGTCCCAGGGGTGCCGTAGTCATTGCTGTCAAACTGGCCACACTGCACGCCTGGCTCGGCCTGGTCTAGCATCAGCCACGACACGCGGGCGTTGTATAGCATTGTGTCGGACCATGAGTTGACGTGCAGCGTGAACTGTTGCTCGGTCACGTCACTGAAGAAAGCCTTAATCCGGATGGCCCAGTTATTGGGTGACGAGTTGCCCATGTCCACCATGTTGAGACCCACCGCCACCTGAGGCATTGTAGGTTGGGGGGCGCCGAACGAAAGCAAGGCCGAGTTCTGGCTGGCAGCCGAGACCAGTGCCGGGTTGTTTGTGGTTTCGTAAGCACCAATAGACGATGTCCCCATGGCAATGTTGAGGCTAGTGGAAAAGCCGGCGTTGCCTGGCCGCTCTAGCAGCCATGATGTCTGTTCAACGGTCCAGGCGATGCCGTACCAGACAGATTCGGACCCGGACCACTGGCGGATCCCGATCTGGTACGTCTCGCCCGGAACGGCGTTGAAGTCGACGACCTCGTGGCTGTTGTCGAAGGACGCCGAACAGGCAGCCGTGTTCCTGTTACTGTCCCAAACGAGCAAGTCCAGGTCCGTGGTCAACTGGGACGACGTCACCTGGTCGTCCTTTGTCGTCACCACGCTATCCCACGCGAGCGCCACCTTAGCCCGGAGGCGGTCGAACGGCGACACGGGACTCCCTGGCGCGCGCAGGTAGTAGTGAAGCGTGGAAAGTTTGTCCTGGCTCCCGGTGTCTGAGTCTTGGAGACTATTGGCATCCCAACCCCTGGATGCGGATCCGTCCCGAGTCACCCGTTTGAGTGCGATTCGGTGCGAGACCTCGGCGTCCACGGCGCCCGCCCCGACCTTGCTGTCCTTACGCGCGGAGCCCACGTCGGCCCACCACGTCGAGTTTGCCAGTTGCCGGTTGCTGCCGGCTAGAAGCACGGCCCGGCACGCTTCGGGCCACTTTTTCAGACCAGGGTTGGCGCTCTGCAGGAGGACAACAACACCGGCGGTGGCGGGGGCGGCGAAGCTGGTGCCCGTCTTGGTGAGACCGACCGCCGCCACGGCAGTGCCGTTAGCGCAGAGCTCGGGAAGCTCGCGGTCCCCGTTCGGAGACGTTGGGTTTCGGTACACCGAGGACCCGTCAATAATAAAGGCCTCGTCGTCGTGGTTTCCGACGGAAAGCGTGTTGTAGCCCTTGTGGTTCACGAACTCATCGTGGGGCGGTCTGATGTTGTCGGCATCCCCGTACCAGAAATTGCCCGCGGCATGGACGATAGTGGGAAACGGCGACTTCAGAGCCATCCAGTCGTGAAGAAGGTCATCGGCCTGCAGGTCCCCATATTCCGCCTCCTCCCTGTAGTGGAAGCTCTAGCTGATGACGGTACAGCCTTTTTAGGCGGCCCACAAGATCGCCTTTTTGTCGCTGCTAGTAGCCGAGTATAGGTTGCAGTCGGGAGCGTGCCCGTGAGGGGCCCCAGATTTTGTATTCTTCACCACGGCGGACGTCAGTCTTGCGTGATCGCTGTCGCTCGGGTTCGACGTATATCGGTCCGTAAACGAGAGGTCGGTGGTATCTTTTGGGCCGTCCTCATAGACTGCCACCTTGACATTCTTGCTAGTCTCGCCTAATTGGTGGAAAAGATTTGAACGCGCAACCGCGATAGAGTCCCTCAAATCGGTGATGGGAGAATGACCGTCAAAAAATACCACGCCGACATGGTCTGCCTTGGCCTGCGCGTTGAATTGGCCAATTCGGACACGAGCCTCCACAAAAGGCGCAGCGTGCGGACGACCGACAGACCTTCCATAGTCAGCTCAGAAAGTTCGCCGCCCAGTCGTTGCAACGTTTGCACAATTGAATCTCGCATCGCGTGAATTTCGCCCAGGAGCCGTCTCTCCTCGTCAGGCATCTCCTCCTCATAGCCCCTTTTCTCGGAAGTGGCAATACATTTCGTAATGCGGGGCCACACGACAACGTCAACCACCTCTTCTGTCGGTTTACCCTGGATATGCCACCAGAGAGCCTTGTGAATGCGTCCAAACTTCTGGAATTGTCGTTGCTCGACGGCCGCCAGAAGCGCCTCGGCGTCGATCGGCCTTCCGTCTTCGCCCAAAGCAAAGTCGACGGGCATCCCGGTGTCGACTTCGACGGCCTTTATCTTCTCAACATAGGTAGTACCCGGTGGCTTAGGCTCGCCGGGAGCCAGCCTGGTGGCTGTTGTTTCCCCGATGGCTAGCATGACGGAATGGTCGATCCGAAGCCCATCGCTCGTCGCCTTTGGAGCTTGAGGCGCCTTGATGATCCGAGGTCGAACGAGCAAGCGAACAAATCGACCACCCGACGTGTCCAGCAATTCGCCGACGACAAGATCGTAACCGCCGGTATCAAGATCAGACGTTGGAACTTGGATTGACTTGCCCGTCACCTCTATGGGCAGATTGGCGGGCTGGCCGCCGCGAACGATGTTGATAACCGCCTGAGCTGATGACAGGTCGACATCACGGATGGCTTGTAGCGTGATGTCGGTGCCCTTCTTGATGATCTCGCCGGGGAGGAAGGAGAAAGTGACCGCGTCAGACATGGTGAGTTGAGTGTGTTTTATTTTGAACAATGGGACGAGGCGAAATGGTGTCAGAGGGTTATGCTGTCGCGTACCCTCGCTGGAACGCACCAACTTCTATGGCACCGTACCTGTATGTCTTACCCGCTACGGCCACAACTTAAGGTTAATACCCATCCGTAATTCATACCTACGATGAGCCGTATCGTCAACTTACATCTCAATCGGGACAGCTGCATTATACGGCACCGCATCTTCGCGCTCGATTCCTCGCACGAGACTTTACCTTACCACAAGCCGGGGCCCCAACTCTTATTAGAACATGAGGTGAGCGATTGCACATACCAGCACTGTTCATCAACTACCTCGTGGCATGATCCGCATCTTGGGGATGTGTCGTCTAGAGCGTCGCCGTCAGCTAGGGCTGGCCGCGAATGGCCTACTTCCTGAGCAAGGCTGCCTTAAACGCGGGCACCCGCATCCTCGCATAGAACAACCCGCACCTGTTGATCAACACCACCCTCGGCTCCCAGGCCGGCAAGCCGCCCCAAGGCCCCAGTAGCCTAAAGCGCACGGCGAGAGGATGCGGGACGACGCTGACCGGAAACCCCCTATTCTTAGATCAATGCACTACTGTGCCGATGCATCTGGCCTTTGGCGACATCGGCGATATTAGTGGCCGCTATTAGGCCAACGATTCCGTGGCTGACAAGGGCAAGGGCAAGGTACATCCGTGGTGATCTCGCCGGGTTTCGGACCTGCGAGTCCTACGTGTAAGGTAAGGGGGTCAGAGCAGCGCATATCATAGATCAAACATTGTCTGCAGTTTCTTTCTTCCCTTTTATCTTGTCTGCTTTATTTTTCCACGTCATCATCTCCTTCTTCCTCTTGTCTCGTCTCGCCCTCGTCCTCGTCGATACTTCTTGCCATTGCAGCAAGACTCCCTAGTCCTAAGTGGCTGGAGAGCCGAGCACCCAACCGGGGACGGGCGCGAAGGGCTGGCTATACATGAAGGCGCTGATGTCGGACTGGAAGGAGCATTCGTTAATGTAGTCGTGGACCTGGGGCAGGATGGTGTCGGGCGCGTTGTTATCGCCACCGTCGTCGTCGTTACCGGAGAACTCGGGGATGCAGATGAGGTTGTGTGGCTCAGAGCGCCCCTTCTCGAGCGAGTCGTCCACGAGCACGGTGTCACGCTGGCTCCAGCGGCCGCCGGTCGCGGCTTGCGGGTGGCTCTCCGCGACGGCTGGGTCGCCCCACAAAATGCTGAGCCGCTTGTAGCACTGGACGCGAGCGTTGTAGTCGAGCTCCGACAAGTTGAAGCGGTCGCGACCCCATACGGCGACGACGCGCTCGCGATACTCGGGCGTCATCAGCTGCTGGCACATCTGGGAGACGTTGGAGGGGCGCGCCGACGACCAGATGGCCACAGCGAAGGTATCGATGCAGTACGACAGGAACTCGCGCGCATATGGGCGCTTCACGAAGGCAGTGGGTTGTTTTCGGCGGTTCGGTCGGAACAGGAGCGTGCCGTTGAGATCGATAACTACGAGGATCTTGCGAGGGAGGGCGAGTCTAGCGGGCGGCAGTGATGCCTGTAGGAGGTATTCGGGCGTCGGGTCAGGTATACCGCCCGATGCTTCAGACGGCGGCACTCTCCGGATTCTTTTCTCTCTGGCGGGTTGGGAGCTTTTAGCGGTGCTAGGTTGGTTAGAATTCGAATTCGACCTGGCAGGGCTTTCCGGCTTGACGGGCGGCGAAGGGAGCTGGCTGGCCCCTGGGGGGTTCAAGACAGTGTCCGTCCCGGGATTGGCATTGCTGGCCAGGGTCGAGGTGGGTGGTGGATTTTGGGATGGCAGACCCCCAGTTGATGGATCTACTGGTGGTATCGAGGTCTGCAAAGCCTGTAGGTCCTGAGGCGATACGGGGCCGTTAGCAGCTGGGCCAGAATACGCCGGATAGCTCCAATCTCGAGCACTCATGACAGAGAACTTGTTGGTGTCAAGAGGCTGGGAGGTTATCTCAGCGGAGGAACAGAGGTGACGGCTTGGCGTGCGCAGTTTCGCAACACCTCGAAGTGCATTGCTCCGAAGAAGTACGCGCAACATTAAGAGGAATCGAGGGTAAGAGAGCGGAGGGAAGAAAGGTAGAGCGAGGAGAGGGGAAAGGAAGAGAGCGGGGGGATTTCTGTTTATTGATATTACTAGGAAATTCCCGAATCGGCAATTTTGTAATTCTTTTTTCTTCAACGTACTAGCAGTTGCGTTAAGAATCGGGATTAGGTACCTGACCGATAAGCACAATGCCAATCTTATCACCCTTATCAATGGGAAGTTCACTTATCGATACCTACCTGAAATTCCTATCTTATTTCTTCCGCCTTCTGCGCTGCTAGCAGCCAAGCAGTTCTTCTTTATCCCAGCACGCCGTGACCCTCCGGAGCCTGTAGATATGGAGCGAGCAACTGCCCGGAAGCGCAAGGCACAATTACCCAGCCTGCAGCGGCGGGTTCGGGCTAGAAAAGACGAGCCTGAGCTGGAATCCGACGGACCCCCCAGCCAAGAGTCCCAGGAAGAAGACAGCGACCAGGAAGGGGAGGCGGAACACAAGGTGGAGGTGAGTGCAAGCTAACCAACCATCACCCCGATATCTCTATCCACCTGTGTACCTCTCTCGCTGACGTCCTTTCTTCGTGCAGTACGATTCCTCGCCCGACGGTAGCGATCAAGAAGAAGAAGACGACAGCGGGCAAGACTCAGCAGACCCCTCCGCAGCAGCCGCAGCGGCATCCCAGATCTCCTTCGGCGCGCTGGCCAAAGCCCAGGCGTCGCTGGGTAGCGCGCGGCAGCGGCGGCGGCAGAGGAACGGCCAGCGCGGCGTCCCGCAACCAGACGAAGACGAAGCCTCGGGCGACGGATCCGGCAGCAGCGACAGCGACAGCGACAGCGACTCCTCCTCCTCCGGGGGCGCCGGCGCGCCGGCCTCGACGCAGCATCCCCGGGCCGCGAAGCCGCCGCCGCCGCACCGCGCCAACAAGCACGCGCCGGCGGAGCAGTCGAGCAAGCGGCAGGTGACGCGGCGGCGGGAGGTGGTCAGCGGCGGGGGGCGGCCGGCGGCGCGGGACCCGCGGTTCTCGGCGGCGGTGGCGGCGCGGCCGGCGGACGCGGCGAAGCAGGAGCGTGCGTACGCCTTCCTGGCCGAGTACGAGGCGTCGGAGGCGGCGCGGCTGCGGGGCGCGCTCGCCGAGCTCAAGGCGCGGCGGCAGCGGCGGCGGCGGCGCACTCGCGGCGACGACGACGCTAGCCACCACGCCGGCGCCGAGGAGGAGGAGGAGGAGCAGCTCAAGCGCGCGCTCGCGTCCATCGAGGGCCGCCGCCGCGCGCGCGAGGACCGCGAGCGCGAGCGCCGCCTCCTCGAGGACCACCGCCGCCGCGAGCGCGCCCTCGTCGCCGACGGCCGCAAGGCCCAGCCCTTCTACCTCAAGCGCGCCGAGCAGAAGCGCCGCCTCCTCGTCGACCGCTTCGAGGGCATGGGCGCGGGCCAGGTCGACCGCGCCATCGAGCGCAGGCGCAAGAAGATGGCGTCGCGGGAGCGCAGGGACCTGCCGCTGGCGAGGAGGAGGGGCGGGGAGGCGGAGGGGGCGGGATGAGTGAGAGAGAGAGAGAGAGAGAGAGAGAGAGAGAGAGAGAGAGAGAGAGAGAGAGAGAGAGAGAGAGAGAGAGAGGATGGTAGTAGTGGCGACGATCGTGGTGAAGAGAGTTTATATTGCTACGCGGGCTACTTGGATGGGCGGGCCGGCAATGCCTACGGTCTATTCTATCTATTAGGTATAGTAGACAACACGATGCTATCCCCGCCGTTAGATACCTACGTGCGCCTTCTCCGTCTATCCGCACAAAACAATGCCTCATGTTCCGCTCGCCGCTCCCGACTGCTCTTACAGGAATTCGAAATTCGTAGATCCTACACGCGTACAAGACAACGGGCGCGCGACGCGTGCGCGCGCCCTCACAGAGCCGCGTCCGTCTTCTTCAGCGCCTGCTCGAACAGCTCGCGGCACGGCACCCGGCTGCCGAGGCGGGCGCAGAGCAGGAACGCCCCGCTCAGCTTGCGGTGGAGGCTGTACGTCTCCTCGGGCGGCGGGCTGAGGCGCTCGCGCACCATGACGGGGATCAGCGCGCGGACGCGGTCGGTGATGGTCTGGCCGCGGAAGTCGTAGACGCGCGCCGGCGCGCTGCCACCGCCGCCCCCGTCGCGGAACGGCTCCGCGAGCGTCAGCACGGACTCGGTGTGGGCCTCGAGCATCGCGCGGCTCTCGTGGCCCGTCAGGTAGCCGAGACGCGCCGAGAGCTCGCGCACCGCCTCGCGGTCCCCGCGCGCCGCCGCCGCCAGCAGCGCCACGTACTGCGCGACGAAAGCCTCCGGGAACTCGCGCGCGGCGCCGAAGTCGAGCAGCTCGAGCCGCCCCGTCGCCCCGTTGTACAGGAAGTTGGTCCAGTTCGGGTCCGTCTGCATGAAGCGGAACTCGGCGATCTCGCGCAAGCATAGCCGTAGGATCTGCGTGCCGATCCAGTCGCGCTCGTCCTGCGTCAGCGGGGCGGCGCTACTACGCGGGCGCGTCACGCCAACCCCTTCCATGAACTCCATCGTCAGCACGTGCTTCCCCGACGCCTCGTCGAAGATATGCGGCACAGCGAAGATGTCAGGTTCGTCCGCGAGCAGCTCGCGATACCGGCGGCCGCACGCAGCCTCGCGTTCGTAGTCGCACTCCCAGCCGAGCTCGGTGCGCGCGTTATCGATCGTCTTGTTGAGATACAAGCCCTTGGGCAGCATCTTGGATGCGGTCAGCAGGATAGACAGGTTATCGAGGTCCGAGTTGATCGAGTCGGCGACGCCGGGGAATTGGACCTTGACGGCGACCTTTTGGCCCGTCGACCGTAGCGTGGCGCGGTGCACCTGGCCAATCGACGCTGCCGCGATGGGCTTTTCCTCGAATTCGTCGAACAGGTCCCGCCAGTCAGCGCCGAGATTAGACGTAAGCACGCGGTCGCGTTGCCACGCGGGCATGTAGTCTGCCCGGTCTTGCACTCGCTGTAAGACCTCCTGAATCGGCGCCGGGAGCATCTTCGAGTCTTGGAAGCTCATCATCTGGCCAATCTTCAGCGCCGCCCCTCTCATCCGCGAGAGCCTGGCGACAAGCCGCTCCATGTTGCCGGGGTTTAGCAAGACAGATCCCTCATTGCTGGCACCAAATCCCCTGCTGAGCCCTTCGCTGATGGCTCCGCCGAGCATTCCGGCAGCTAGACCCCCGTAATTCCATAATCGACTCAGGCGGGAAGCTGGTACCTTGGATTCGCGTAAAGCATAAGCTGGCTTTGCCAGCTCGTCACTCGGTGTCGACTGCGTCTCGGCTGTTGCGATCGGTGGTTCGTCTAGTTTCGTTTCCGGTTTCAACAACACCGTATTTGTCGTCCGCGCATCATCTCGACCAGTTGGTCTATTCGTAGTCTTTTTTTCGTTGTCTATCTCCTCCATAACCACACCGTTACCTTTAACACCTTCCCTTACGGTTGAATCGCTCGGTGGCAGCCTAGTAGTAGTATCGGAAGACGAAATCGGCACACTCTTCTCTTCTCGAGACCGTGATTCCCCATGCCCGAAGTCCTTGAACCACCGAGGAGAGGAGGACGGGGAATTAGGCCGTTTAGCCCGTACATCGCTACCCAGCTCCGCTTTCAGACTCTGTGATCCGCGGCTCGTGCGGAATATATTGATATCCACGTCCGGAGGAATCTCTTCGTCAGCTGCTAGGCTTGCTGTAAATGTAGGTGCTGACTTGACCGGAGAACTTGGGAGCGTTGGGTTGACAATAACATCGTCTCGTTTCCTAAGCGCATTGCCGCTCCTTCTCAGCTGTGCTAGTATTTCACTTTGATCTGACGGCAGGGCTGAGGGAGGCTGAGTAGTTGTTGCGTTAATCGGCGGGGTCCCCCTGATGAGATCCCCAGACGCGGTTTTCTGCTCTAAGGCCGCAGACTTGATATCCCCTCGAGGGCTGTTAGGTACAGGATCTAGTGTACTGGATTCGACGTCTTCGGGTTTCGGTGGAACCGAGCTTGGCCCCGAACGCGCATCGACCGGCTGCTCCTGGCTAGCGGTAGGAGAGACCTCGGAGGTTTCTGGCCTCGAGCGGGATGAGGGGTCGTGTGAGAGGTTCTCCCTTAGAGACCGCACAATGGATGAGGTCTTGCCATAATGATCGATCTGCCGAGCCCGGAGCTCGCCGTGTCTCGATGCGACGGCCCGAGAAGCTTTGACGACAGCGGCCAGGTCGATGAGGATATCGGCAAATCTCATCAGGGCGACTTAGGTACGGGGTGAGAGCCTAGCTCACACCTTCATTCCAGCATCGGCATCCTAATTTCTACGGGCCTGGATGTCTGTTCGGTGCCCAGACATACACAACATGGCATGGCACGGAGCAGAGGGTACGGCGGGCCTTGGAGAGGGAAATATTTAGGGGAAGCTATCGATATGGACTTGATGGAATTATCGATAAGACAAAGCCTGCGCCATTAGCCATGACGTGGCTCGCGCAAATCTGACGTACCTAGGTAGAGGCACCTAGGTACCGGGTACCTGTAGGTTAAGTTGAGTTGCCTGTGACTCGACAGGTACTAGTGTATGTAAGTACTTGCATTACCTTGATTTAGGTACCTGGTAATACCACCTTAACGTAGTATTGCTCTGCTCCCTTGAGAAATGTCTTCGTCCTAACCATGTGGTTGATGCAACACCTCCATGTGTTAGCAGAAAGTAGTACACCTATTTTTATATGACAGGGCGTACTCCGATAAACTTGAAAAAAAAACCCCCCATATAGGTATACCTATGAAATTCTTGTAGGAGCGTTGGAGGTGGGTAGGTATAGCTAGATACCTAGGTAGGTAGGTAGAGGTAGGTAATAAGAGTGAAGTGGGCCAGTTCGCAAGAACTACCTAGTTCGTGATACCGGCCAGAGCTTATAGCCACCACCGCGCTATCGGAGGCATATCCGTACTGCATCATCAGCGTTTTGCCCTTGTACTCTGGTGCATAATCCGGAATTGCGAAAGCCGTGTAAAGATGTGTGTGTGAGAGAGAGAGAGAGAGGGAAACAGCACACACATACACATACCAAGGCTGCGAAGGCTCACGACACCAGCTCGAAATAGGCCGTGGGAGGGTTTAAATGCTGCCGTGTTACCCCGAAGTCTTGCGACGACGGCGAAACTAAAAATATACATGATCTGATGGGGCGCTTCGACATCGCTACCGACCTCCCGAACCCCACCGAGCCCACCTCTCCGGCCGGGGACTCTTCAGGTCGGCTGCCAGTCAGACGCAGTAAGGTGGTCGGCTGTGGGAGGAGGATCGTTCCTCTGGGCGCGGAGGGTGCCCCGTCCGCACCGGATCGCGTTTCACGAACAAACCCGGGAGTGCGCCGTGGGCGCCGTTGGCACCTCCATACTAGATACGTACATAGGTAGGCAGATAGGAGGCAGGCCGCCAGGCAGGTTAGGGAGGCAACTGTTAAATTTGTCAGTTGCACTCCCCCGTTTCGGCTTGAGTCAGCCTCCATTCCCCCCCTCCACCCCGGCGCCGTGTTTGGATCGGCATGGTGGTGATGGTGGTGGTGGTGGTGGTGGAGACCCGGCCGTGCTGGTTCACACATGACCACCTCCAATTTGTCGATCAACGAACGACCTAGCTAGTCCCCACCACACGACAATGAGGACTCGGACAGATCTTGGATCTTAGGATATTCGTATTTTCCTAGCTAGCTAGATCTACGGCATCCCATCACCGTTTGTTTCGACCACTAAAGAGATACCTATGTGGGAATCCCCCCTCCCCGTTCCCCTACCGTCCTGCCCCCCAGTGGCTCACTTTCGCGCCCCCCCCCTCCCTACCGACCATAGCCTTGTATTGTCATTCAAGTCATTCGGGGGTGCGGCCCTCTCTCCCCAACGCGTAGTGTTCTGGCTCGTGTACACCAGCTAGCAGGGCCGCGCAGTTGTTTGGTCTTGTCGTCGTAGAAACTACCCCGAAAAATGTGAAAAGATGACAAAAGGTAGACGCCTGTATATGCAAGATATAGTGTATATCCCTCACAGCCGCCCTCGATGTGTAGGAGAAAAAAAAGGGTAGTAAAAAGTCTTGGCCCGGTGCTCTGTTTTGGTATCATACATAGGTACCGCCAACTCACGCAACGCCTGTCGTAGAAGAATTGAATCGAAGAAAATGTACAAGGGAACTAGGAGGGTTGTATGGTCGTGCTTCTGTAACACGTCGAGAGATGATATCGAAGGAAAGCTAACGAGGGGACGGTGCTTCTCGGAGGAGAAACGACGAGTTATAATGGTACATATTGATGGTTCTACTGGCCAATGATCTCCCAGGTAGGCGTAGGCCGCGTGGCTTGCCGATCTAGCGGATCTCATATCCAGTCAGGTCTGTTGTCTGCGCCACCGGTAGTGCTACCGCGGCCCCGGGATGGCGTCCGAGAAGGTACCGGCAATGGTAAGTCCTGGACTGGCGTTGTGTTGGCTCTCGGCGGGGGGCCGAACCCGACTCCCCTCGGGCTCGCCGTCTTGGACTTCTTGGAGACGTTTGGATCGTAAACTGTCGGGCTTAGAGTGCAGTCATTCTCCTTTTCGAGCCTGGCGGGTATCGGCGGAAGGTGCTTCATTCTCGTGTCCCTCGAGAGCGTGGGACTTGGTAACGGGACGACGGTCGTCGCAGCGCTGGGAATTCTGAGATGGCTAGGCCGAAACCCATTCGATATCACCTCGTCCTCGGGGCAATCAAGAGTGTATACCCTTTCAATATCTGTCGACGTCTTGCACGCCATTGGTCCTAAGTCCGCTACGTTTGAAAGGCGCAGACCGATACGAACTGTCGCGGACGAACCCACCGAGGATTTCCGTCGATGGTTGCTGTACCAAGACTCGCGGATGGTAGGAGGTGGTTTGAGGGTGTTTTCAGAGTCGTCGAATGTGTTCTGCGATGAGGCAATGTTTGGTTGGGGGTTGGGGGTGTAGGCGGTGGGTTGTAATAACGCAACCGAGGCTGTATTGCCCGGGTTGTTGCTGGGGAAGATATTGTAGGATGCGGACCGTTTTCGGCTGTGTGCATTTGCCGGAGTAACCGAGTAGAGCTGGGCAGGCTCTGGAGCCCGCGGAAGCTGGGCGGCGGCATCGAGTACCGCGTTAGAGCGCAGGGGATTCGGGCTGCTCAGACCGAACTGGAATTTGCCATCTCCGCGTTCCACCGTGTCGCTCTTCTCATTCATAAGGCTCTCCTGGCTCTCGGTCTTTGTTAGATATTGTGGCCCCGATACGGGCCGAAGCATATGACCATTGAAATCCATCGTCGTCCCCCTTACTTGAACCTGCTGTTTTAGCTTCTGGCGCTCAAACTCTGCGAGCTTGGTTTTGGGGCGGATTATAGCAATGGTGCTAGCCCGAAGGAATAAGTGAAGGCCACCCGTCGTTAATCCTGTGACATTAGCCACGACGGTTGCGATCATAGATAGTGTTGAACCGACACCTCCATCGTCGTCCATCGGATCCGAGAACGTTACGTGGATGAAGAATGGTGCGATCAGGCCCTGGATTGTGTCAGCAGGCGTGCGCCTTTTAGGGCCTGGGGGAGAAGGGTGTTACATTTGTTATAACTGCCAACACCATGTAATATACCATCCTAGAGGCGTTGGCTCGTTCGGACTCCTCGATCATTGAGTAACGCGATAGTTTTCTGAAGACGATGCCTCCGCATACTGCGAGGATGACAGTAATTATAACTAGAACCACAAAACCTCCTTTGGCCCATTTTGCCACAAACCAGAAAAGCGAAGCAAAGCAGAAGTTCGGGGGTCGAATAATAAAGCCGACTGAGCTGGTGCCTATCAAGAGGATCGCGAAAATCCCGAGGCATATTGCGATGTTCCACTGGCCTCTAGGCGGAAACGGGCTCCGTTTTATGGCTCGGATGGTGACTTCTAATCCCAAAACTAGTTGGATATAAGGGACAATGAAAATCGCTGTGGCGTAGTTTAGCACCCGGTTCACCGTGTTGGGCTGCGGGTATGCCCAGCTTCACGTACCTGGCCACATAATCTGGGACGTCCGCGAGCATTCTGCTGCAAACAGGCCATCTAGACCGCGTGCCTGTGAGACGGCAAATACGATGCCTTGGACCGTGATGCCTAGGGATAGTATGAACGGGTACGTAGAGGGTCCCTGGACACATCTGAGGGCGTTGAATCTAGGAAGGGATGTCAGCATCAAATACACGAAAGACGCTCAAACCGCCATCTCGTTACTTACTTTCCCTTGCCTTCCAAACTTGCTCGCCTGGCTCTCGTGTAGCAGTCATAATAGATGCCGGCGGCGACGGCGAAGGCTGCTACGGTGTTGAAGGCGGAGAGGATGATAGTAGAGGTTCGTATCGATCTCGCCGCAAGGAACTTGAACTGATTGATTACACCGAAAGTCGAATTGCTCGTGAAAGCCGCTTGATAACCCCCATTCTCCCAAGTCGTGTTCTTCTGCCAGTCGTTGTCCAGATGACTAAATCCCTGAAAACTTGCCATCTTGTCGAGTGTTGAGAGCCCAAATTCGATCAACATCAGGCGAGGGCGTTGGGCCTAAAGGATCCTTGCCGTCGTAGCCAATTCATCTACCTGATAGTTGTGACGGACGTTGTTCTTCTCTCTCGACGACACAGCGCGACGACGTTCTGCAGAGGGAAGGAAGGAGACGGGTAGCAAGAGAACACGGAAAGACGCCATACAGAGAGCCTGCTCACAAACTAAACAAAATAGTTCCTGAACCAGCAGATAGCAAGGCCAAGCCTGCGAGAAGCGAAAATTCTAGAGATCGTAGCAGCCGCGGAACAGGCGTAGGCCGGTGAAAGGAAAGAGGTGCACCTGGCCGCAAGTCTCCTCCAGAGGAGATGGGCAAAGTGAGAAGGGTGCATAGTAGGTAGGAGATTTTCGATAATAAGAGACGAGCCTACTGGGGGGGGGGGGGGGGGGTTGCGAAACCCTCGCCGGGGGGGGGGTATAGCAATTTGGATAGTCCCGCGCGGGCCAGACGACTCCGGGCCTCGAGCCAACGGGCAGCTCTGCAGGTTGGCTTCCAGGGTACCCGCCATCGTGCCAATGTCCAAGCTGCAATGCGAAAGGGGGGGAGGAGGGATTGGTCAGATGGCGCCGAGCGGCGATTGCACATACAGTGGTGAAGCTGCTAGGCCAGTATCGACGGCACGGCCTAGGTATTTTTCGGGATGGTAGGAGGAGCTGGGCGGCATGGCCATCTAGCTGATGGAGGTCCGAGTACGCGGGTAGAACCGACTCGAGCTAGGGTGGCCGGTTCTTCCAGAATGTGCAGGGCTGGATATGAGCGAAGAGGAGGGGAGGCCGCGGCCAGGGATGCCAGCAAGAACACAGGACGAGGACGGCGTGGTGGGAGGGAGCATTGTGGTATGGAGGTAGATGAGGCAAAGATGGAACAGGTCGTGGTTTCGTCGTCCCCTGGAGGGGCGGCGGCCAAGATTTGGCAGTGGTACCGAGCAGCACTGGGCAGCGCTGAGCAGTACCTACGTACCGCCAATGGGGCTCAAGAACACCCAAGCCCCCCTGAGGAGGGCGCCATACTTCATGCGGGCTAGTCTGGGGCTGTTGCTGGCGATGGGCGGAAACTCCCCGAACACATGCCAGACAACCCCCTGTAGGATAGGGCACTATCGGCCCTATCGGCGGCTGCTTCAGCGCGTGGAGAGGCTGGACGATACCAGGTTAGGCGCTACCACGCGTGGCAATACTTTGCGTGTACTTGCAGCGTTAGGTACCGTAGGTGCGCGTGTGTCTCGCTGCACGCTCTATCTCGCCAGCTTCTGCAGGACACATGGTGTACCGGTAAGGTACCTGATGCAGGCACGTACGGGGGCGGTGTACCGATGTACCTAATGCAAGGCACCGCCCTCCTGCCAAACCTTAACTGATCGTAGGATGGGAGGATTCCGCGCGGGATTGGATAGCAGATGTAGGTACCTACATGCCCCGTACCGTAGGCTCGGTTACCACCTGCATCCTGCAACCCGCCTTACGGATGGCCTCCTAAGCAGCTCGCGGACTCGATTCCTTCGCGCCCGCGTCCCTACAGATTACATTACCTACTATAGGTACGGCACCCCAGAGCGTCATCCGTCTTCTCTCGCCCCAACGCCGCAATTACTGTATCCCAGATGTCGACGTTGCAATGGGGGAATTGCACCTGGGCATGGGCTGCTACTCCGCTCCCGCCCGCCCCTTGCCGACCTCCTATCTCCTTTTCCACAGGTAGGCACACCTGAAATGCCTCATGACCAGGTACGTTGGTGTGTTCGGCGCGTCCCCGTAATCAACAGACCTACAGACCTGCATGGCTGTAGACGCCCAGGTGGGCGTACTTCCTTGTCCCGTGTGGTCAGGCTACCCTACTCGTATGGTACACCTGCTCGTACCTAGTCGGCGCACACAAGTTACACGTACCTACGTTCACGTATGTCCGTGTACGTAGAAAGCCTGTCTGCGTGTAATGTGACTTGCGCCTCCCGGCGTCATGTTACATAGTCCTACTTGCCTACCTCTACCTTAGGCACCTAAGGCACGCATACCCGCCTCCTCATGCGTCCCGAAGCGGTCGGTTCGTCAAGTCTTCACGAGCGAATGCCGGTCGAAGCGGCTTGCTTCCATGGCATTCTGACTAGCGTCCATGCATTTACGAAGGGTAGACATCCTTTGGGTCTGCGAAGAGCCAAAGGGGAGGGAAGATGGCGTGGTGATTACTCGCTTTCAGCGGTCTTTTTCGCTTAGCTCCCTTCATCATGCGCCGCGTATTGGCTGAATCCGGAGAGATCATGGTGTGTTTCTCCCTCCTTGTCGGTTTCGAAATCTTCTACGTTACCTACCTACCTACCTAGGTACATCCAAGTACGTGGGCGTCCGGGGATGTACATAACCCACCTAACGCAACTGGTGGTTGATCCAAGTTCCGGTATAATTCGATGGTGTAATCGCGCGTCGAGATTAACGGTCGATCATAAGCGTAACATCCAAGATCTCGCCTTTCCTAAAAGAAAATTAAAAAAAGGGAAAAGGAAGGAGAAAAAGGAACTGAGTTGATGTACGTACTCTGCTTAACCACGTATTCCGGGAGTTGGGCCGGACTCTGAAGCGCGGCTCGTCAGAGCTTGGACTTATCACCACGGAGTTGGTGGGAACCCCTTGCGCTCATCACCGTGCGTGTGATGGGTATATACCTACATACAACAGCAGCCAGCGTACAAGGAGGGGCGGCGTTTCCGCCGATGGTCCTTCGAACGAACAAACATGAGGTGGAAAATCCGCAAGAAGCTGAACTATTCTTAACCAGAGTCTGGACGAGGTCCCTTACCATCGCCTAGGATGGAGCGAATCACGAAGCAGACGAGCAGGCGGCTCGCCTTCGTCCCAATCGTCCCAAGCGAGAGCGGCCTGCTACGGAGCCCGACTTTTTCTAAATTCGTCCTGGCTAGTCTAGTTTCGTCCAGTCTACGTAGGTATCTATCCGCCGATAAGGACGCCATACAAACTCGAGCTGTCGTGACTCGCAGATGTTCCACTACCTAGGTACGTCAACCATGGCCCCATCACGTCGTGCGTGGGATTCCCATTAGCCCGCATTAGATACTCCGGGGTAATGGGTCGGCAGCCCGACTCCCTCGTCTCGGAGGACATAGCTTTTTAGTAAGCACGCTTGAGCTGAAGTAGCGATTTGGGGCGTAGGTTAGTCTTCTTAATTATGCTTGGTGACCGGGAACAACGTCTATCCGAGATGACGAGGGGGACAGCGCGCAGTGGTAGTACCTACGCGGTAAGTTAAGAACAACAACCTTACTAACGACCTTACTCTCTGGCTGAAAGGGGCGCCCGGCTAGGTAGCCGCTAACCCTCTTTCCGGTGACGGCATGGCCAATTCCCGAGCTAGAGGGATCTAGAGCAGGTAGTTGAGCCATGGTACTACGCAATAACAGGTGCCGTTACTTGCTTGGATGTCATGCGAACTAGTATTGTGGTTTCTGTTAATGCCTGACGGTCTACGGAAGTCAAAGTGTCGTCCTTGGATGGTAGGTATAAGGTGCCAAAGGTCTGGGCTTTAGCGAGCACTAAGGGAAGAGATAAGAATCCCGCGCGAGGTTGGGCTAGGCTAATACTATATATTATCCTTGTAACCACGTTGCCCCGTCTCGAACATGGTCGGTCTCCTCATTATACGGGGAATCAGAAATCAGGAATGGTCGAGGCGAAGTATGGAGCCTGGCCGATGTGGTTCTCCCTCCTGGGACAAGTGCCAGTCCTCCAATCGTAGATTGTGTGTTGTGTGGGTGAGCCGCGTATTGCGAAGGACTTGTTAGGCCCCGAGCTTTTGGTGATGAGATATGATCGAAGATGTCATGAGAACGGCAGATCCTGTCTAGCGAGCCCTTCTTTTCCTTGAAATTATGGTAGGAGGTAAGTACCTAGGTACCTAGGTACCTATACGGCTCGTGGGGACGAGGCTAGTGGCGAGATTCAATTTATGTGAAACGATATCCACTATAGCGATTATAATACTGATATCGTTATAAACACGATTGATGCCCCGGCAGGGTAAGTTCATTACATAATACACCATATGGTCCTGCCGGTCAGCTGACAATCGCCTATCGAGAACGGTACATAGACTAGGTACCTAAACGGGCCAGGTCTGCCTACCTAAGGTTGGGGGAGCCAGCAGGTCAAAGCGTGGGCATCTGTGCTGAGATGCTTCCCCAACCCGACGCAAAAACAACACATTTTCTGACGACGGCATTCAACGCTCCTCCCAACCATCGCCACCCCTACGGAGCCGTTTTGTCGACTTTCGTACTACAATTCCATCGTCGTAATTCAGTGGCACTCCGAGCCGTCACGGAATATCCCCCTTTTACCCTTAGAGGCTCAGAACCGCCACTGTTTTGACGGCATGGGCAGGATACGTGGTCGAGCGTGCGACCGACACCGCCAACCCTGGGCGCTGCAGATGCTGCATCTGATATCATTCGGGGGGTTCGCTGGTGCTCTCGCGAGTCGTCCGGGAACGTCTCCCTGCAAAATGACCTAGCATGTAAATGGATGAGGATTTTTTTATCATCGCAGCGATTCCTCCATCCGGCGAACACGACGGGGCCCTACTCAAAAACCACTCTCGGATTTCCCCCTCATCGCCTACAGCCTCCCGCCCAACGTTCCGCCAGGTTCCGTTCGCCGTCCCGCCCTGCGCGAGTGTGTCAGCAATACGCGCCAGTCGATCTCGGTTCACGTTCGCCTGGATGAAGCAGAACACCGTCGCCTCCCCGCCTCCCTCCCTTTTCCTCCGAGCGTGGTGGGACGCATGTCGTCGGGCGGTATTCGGTACAGATCTACCTCGTCCTCCATGTCCCAACCGCCTCCATTAGGTGGGATAGGCATTCTCTATACCCGCGCGCCGCTCCTACCATACCCGCCCTCAAATCGGACCCGGGGCCTTCCACCATCTCAATCAGATGTAGTCAAGTTTTCCACCTGCATGATAATTCTATGCCATCTTTGCGTCGACGTTTTGGCTCTGCTGGGCTTCTTGTCGCGATTATCCTACCGCCTAGCGCTGCCGAGATAAATCAGTCAGTCGGAGATTTAAGATAACAATCCGCCTGTGGCCTAGTTTGGCCTGACCACTGGCCTTCAAAAAATCTTCAGATAGTTCCATTTCTCCACCTTGTTCCCGGGTGTTTCTGTCGAAGCGCGTGGCAGCCTTCGGTCGATGTCAAGCCTGCACATTGAGCTAGGAGGAGGGTTAGCTACTGCCGATAATTGTCTGTCATGTGGCTTCTGCATCCCACAGTTGAGGAACGAGTGCTGGGTTAGGGACCCGTCTGCAGTACGTGGCTCTCGGGTCTTCCAGTTTACATGCAGCTGCCTCTCTCTACCGGGCGTGGATTGGTCACGGTGCCGATCATCATTGGTGCAGCGGACGAGCAGGCGGCTTTCTAGGGGAGACACTGTGCCGTGGCTCTGCTCGACGGGAGAAGCACATAGATCTCACCCCGGGTCCCATTCCAGGAGATATCATCTAATTTGGGAAGCTTTGCGGGTATCCGAGGGCATAGGCAACCACGGGATCGAGGGGCATCTACCTGTCTCTCGCGATACGACTGCAACCTGGCCTGCACCATCTCTAGGTCGAATAAGTAGGGTAAATCTGTTTCTGGGGGGGTGTGGGCGCTAATGTCGACGGCGTCCGGGGTGGTAGTGTTGGGAGCATGCGTGAGGGGGGCAGGAAAAACAAGTGAGAGAGGCCTGGCATCCCACGGGGGAGCTCGATGAGCGAGGAGAGGGAAGGGAATTGTTTAAGCACCTCGTAGATAGTATGCGCCGGCTTGGATTTTGCTGCTTGACTGGCTCGCCTCTACATCACCCCTACCCCTCGACCTAGCGGACACCGATGGCAGGTAAGCCGATAAGCCTGGAAGCGCTGAGATGACAGCTCCGGCTGCCCGCCCGGTCTAGGTCGCCGAGAGCTCGAGCTCAGGACGACTTTCGAGCGCGTGCCGACTATTTCTACATTATCTCTGAATGCTGTGTGTAGCTGCGTATCCGAACGCGAAATGCTGCCCGGCATTCAGATCGGCTGAGCGGTCTGATGCTATGAGGATGAGACCCTGGGAGGACCTGACGGCGGCTTCTATCTTCGACATCATCTATCTGCTCGAGTAGGAGGAACGGTGGCTAAGGCTACGGCACGGCCACGGTGGCATTGACTACCTCCCTCCATGCCTGGGCCTACGGACACACATTCATCCGCGGGGAGTGGTGGTGTTGAAGGGTGTCGTGATTGGTAGACACCTGGCTCGACATGCCTCTCCTCCCACCCGTCTGGCTGCTCGTCCTTTTTAGGACGGGACGTCATACCTATGGTACCTGGGTACACGCCTACCTCTCTCTACGCCTGGCGGTACCTAGCCTATTGGCGTCCATGCTAGAGGTAGACGTACCCAATGTAGGGTACTTCGACCCGGTGGAGGTGGCGGACCTGGATTCGACAGGTGGAAGTACCACCCCGCCTATGTTCGGTGGCGAGGGTACTTGCGCTGCGAGGCTCTAAGGTGGTTCAACCTTCAAACCCTCTGGCACTCTGGGGAAGCCAAGAGACCTCACGCCAGGAAACAACGCGGTCTGTGAGTTTCGCGACTCCGAATTTTTTTTTTTTTTAATATTTCCTCTCTTCGCTGTCTTCCCTTTATTTCCTCACTCCTGTCGGACCTGCGCTGGCGGTCTGTGGCTTGGAAGCTATAAGTTTCCGCGGAGTACTTCACCGACGAACCGATCGACCTCAACAAGCCTACCTAGGTGGCTAACAGCCTGCCTAACTGACAGGCTGGTTGGAGATACCGTGTTTTATTTATGATTCCTATTACTTTTTCCCCTACCGCCCGACATTCCCTTTCCCTTCGCAAACATACCTTGGACCGTCCCCCCTGGCTTGCCTCCAGGCGCACTTATCCACCTGCGCTATCTGATCCATTTACCACCTTCAAGGCCGCCGAACCCATAGTACATACATCCGTCTCATTCATTCACCGAAGTCCCTAAACTCACTCACTTATTACCTCATTCGTCCGGTCCATCCATCCGTCCCGATCTGTTCTTCCTCCTCGCCGCTACTGGACCCTTGTTGATTCATTTTTTCGAATTTTCCGACAGAAAAGAGAAATTGGGGTTCTCGCTGGCGGAAACAGTCGGTGCCCTGTCTCTCAACCCATCCATCCTCTCCTCTCTCCCACCCTCTCAACGATTTGGCTGCTGGGCTACCTGTCGAGAGGCCCTTCGCCTACCTACAATCCCAGCTCCAGTCGAGCATACGACCTCCGTCGAGACTGTTTGCGGGGCAGGCCAGGGTGAAGGGCAAGGAGTACCCGTACCTCAGGCATGTAGGTACATACGCACTCTGGCGTGTCCACTGCATCGACCCAGAGCTGCCTGCGACGTGCGCAGAGGTGCGGTACTCCTTATCGGGGTCACTTCATTACTGCTTATCCGTCCGAATTGGTAGTGGGTGCACATGTTGTTGGGTGTGGATGCACGCATACCTACACATACACGCTCTCTATTCATGAGGCCCTCTGCTAAGGCGACCCGACCCTTGTCTACCTGCCCTCTCCATCTTCGCCGTCGTCCTTTCGATATCATTGCCCTCGCTCTCCTTCTGTCTCTGGGCCGGCCGGGCCCTGGGCTGGTTTTGCTGGTCAACTGACAGCTGCCGGGGTATGTACCAATTTGTCTACCCATGTACCCGTCTAATCTTCCTGGCCTCCCTGTACCATCTGGCTATTGTGTGCTGATTTCGGTGCTGACAGGTGCTGCCACTAGCAGCCGCTGGGTACCGACTAGCACCGGCGCTGGCACTGGCACCCAGGTGCCAAGGGAAGTCTGATCAAGGAAAAAAAAAACCGAAGAGAGCCATGCCGCCATGGATCCAGTAATGCGTCGAGATTCCAGTAAGCCCAGTACCGAGCCTAGTCCATCCTCTATCGCCAACAACCAGCACCTACAGCTCTAACCCCAACTCCAGCCCCCAGTTCCAATAACAATAACCACCCCCAGCCCTACCCGAGAGATGCGATGAAAACAGATCAGGGCCGAAAATTTTACGACAACGATCGCGACCGCGATCGCAGGGATCGAGACAGGTTCGATCGGGACCGTCGAGTCCCGGCCACTGATTCGCGCTCCCGGCTGTCTGCATTGCGGTCTCCGTCGCCTCACAGTGCTAGGAACAGGGATACTTGTGACGATTTATTCCCAGATCAGGGCGAGAAGCCTCGTAGGTCCGATGTAAGCCAGCGTGGACGGTCACCAGGTCGAAGCCGAGCCCTTGACAATAGTTTGCGTGAAATCAAAGACCGTCCTCCGCAGCACGAGCGCGGTGACAAGTCTGAACAGGACACACATCGCGACATACCGACATCTCCCAGATACGGTCCCAGCACCAACAGCAACAAGAACAATAATCACACCAGCCACAGCGCTAGGGGTCGATCCTTTTCCCCCTCATCAAGGAAGCGAAGGAGGAGTCGGAGTCCAGTCCCTTATCCACCTCTGCGGGCAAAAAAATCCAGGCGAGAGCGTGAACGTGATCGGCGACGTCGGGCTGAGAGGGTCGAAAGGGTGGGAAGAGATCCGTTCAAAAATCCCATCCCACAGCGACTAGACCGTCAGACTTCGCCCCCCCCTCGTAGACCGTCACTGTCCCCACGATACGACGATTCCCGATCTAGACACCGTGATCGCAACGAGCCCTTTGAGCCACATCGCCATCGCCATCGCCATCGCACACCTTCACCACTTCACGAAGACAACTCTGGACGACATCCTCCGCCTCGTTCACGCAGAGACTCGCAAGCCCGAGACCGCAGCCATTCGCCGCTACCTACATCTCGAAGATCATCTTTTTCACGCACGCAATCGCCCCCTCATCCACTCGCTCCCCGACCGCATCCTGGTTCCTCAGAGGCCGGCTCCCACTCACGGCATTCATCTCCATCCTTTGAACCTTCTAGACTCGATTTCCCACCAGGATCACCCAGAGACCGTGGGTCCAAGCGCTCTCGCAAAAAGGGAAAACAGCGCGAAGAACAGAGGTTTCCCACTGGCGGTTATCTGGCATCTGGTGCAAACAGCATCGAAGTCAACATGTCTCGACGGCTAGAAAATCGAAACGGGCCTGGCGTTCAAATGCCGCCTACGCACAATACAAATGCACAATACCGTGACCGCCGCCCTTCCCACTCAACCCATTCCCCCCTACGACCCAATTCAGCTTCGTCCTTCCATGGCTCCCCCACATCGCAGTCACCATATGGAAGCGGACGAGGTTCCTGGAATGTCCAACGCCAGAACTCACCACACCCGTACGAAAATTTGGCTCACGGTAGACCGAGGTCGTTTGCTGACAACCAATCCAGACAGTACTCTGCGCAATACCCCCAAGGGAATTATGGGCCACCTTCCGGTCCTTCAGGTCACCACGTCTCGAGCCAATCACCTCCACACCCTCCCACCGGGCCTGTATCCCAGCCGTATTCCCAAGGCCGCAGCTTTTCCCGAGGAGGCACCAGGGGTAGCTCGCACACGACCCGAGGTGGCTATCGTAACCCTACTGGCCCGCAGACTACACAGCGGTCGTCGGGTGCAGGCAAAGGCACCCCTAGCCAATCTGGCAATACTACCCCTCGACATCACAGCCCGCAACGTGCAGCGTCTAGCCATTCCGAGCTCTCCGGTGCGAGGGAAGAGGGAAGGGACGACGACAATCCACCTCGGCCATCAAATAACCTCCAGGATGAAGACCCGGCGCTGGAGAAGACTGCTAACGAGCAGATGCCCCCACCTCGACCTCCACCCACCGCACCCACGGGCCCGGCAAGTTCCAAGTTCAGCTTCGCTTTCAAAACAAACAAGACTCCAGTTGCAACCCCTAAGCCAGAGATTTCGCAAAAATTCAACACAGCTCCTAAAAAGGAGCCACCTCCGTCCACCGACGATCGAGATCGCGACTTACCTCGAGATACGCCTAGAGAGCCCGCTTCGGCGAGAGCACGGGCCGATTATCAAGCCAGCAGGGCACCTCCAGAGCCGCCGAAAACACGTAAGGTGAAGAAGAAGCAACGGAGACTTAAGCCCAAGCCCGAGCTACCGGCCGAATTCGCCGCGTCCGACTCGGTGTTTTTCAGGAAACCCGGAAATGAGTCTGTGGTGGGATCCGGTACCTATGGCAAAGTCTTCAAGGGGGTCCACGTGTACACCAAGAGGTTGGTTGCCTTGAAAAGAATTCGTATGGAAGGGGAACGAGACGGTTTCCCGGTAACAGCCGTGCGGGAAATCAAGCTTCTCCAATCCCTGAAACACACCAACATTGTCAACCTACAAGAAGTCATGGTCGAAAAGAATGATTGCTTCATGGTTTTCGAATACCTCTCTCACGATCTTACCGGCTTGCTCAACCACCCGTCGTACAAGCTTGACCCGGCACAGAAGAAGCATCTTGCCCTCCAACTATTTGAAGGTCTAGACTACCTGCACAAACGGGGTGTGCTGCATCGAGACATAAAAGCAGCAAATATTCTGGTCAGCAGCGACGGCGTCCTGAAGCTCGCCGATTTCGGCCTAGCCCGCTTCTATGCGAAACACCACATGCTCGACTATACCAACCGGGTTATCACCATCTGGTATAGGTCTCCCGAGCTTCTGCTTGGCGAGACGCAATATGGTGCGGCTGTCGATATCTGGAGCGCCGCCTGCGTCATGGTGGAGATTTTCACGCGCCACGCTATCTTTCCCGGCGACGGCGGCGAGATAAACCAGCTCGAGAAGATTTACGCTATCATCGGCACGCCTAACAAGGTGGAGTGGCCCGGCCTCGTCGATATGCCCTGGTTTGAACTGCTACGGCCTGGCTACCGCCGGCCCAACGTGTTCGCCGAGAAGTATAAGGAACGAGTGCCGGCGGCCGCCTTTGACCTCCTCACCTCGATGTTTCAATACGATCCTGCTAAACGGCCGTCCGCGACCGACGTCTTAGAACATGCCTACTTCACCACGGAGGAACCGGCGGCTAGGCAGGCGATCGAGTACGCATTACCCCTTTCCCCGTCTCGGCTGGTAGCTACAGATATGCTGACAACTCTTTAGACTTAAGGACCTTCAAGGCGACTGGCACGAATTCGAGTCCAAGGCTCTGCGCCGGGAAAAGGAGAAGCAGGAGCGCGACGCACGACGGGCTGCGGCGGCTAAAGATGGCGGCAGTCGTGATAAGGAGAAGGAAAAGGACAGGGACAGGGAGAGGGACAAAGACAAGGATAAGAAGAGGCCGCCGTCGGCACATGACTCTCAACGCGAGAGCAAACGTCCCCATGTAGATAGTGACCGTCTTGATTGACCGGGGCCGCGCTCTTTGAATGATGTACGATCCGGCGGGCCTGTGGTGAGCGGGTGTATGGGCAGCTCGGTAGGACGGATTGGCAGAATACCACACACCTACGTTGCTGAGGTTGCATTACATAAATCAGCCATTGAGCGAGGTACACTCTCGGGGATATCTCTTCGCTACGGATGGACGGACGTACGCGTCATGCGTCGGGTATGGAGAGAGCACTGGCACATGTGTAGCTGATGGGAGACAACGCTTATTATCAGATACAAAAGGGCAGTAAGCCAAGGCAGTACACATATGCTGCTATAGACACTCTACTACGCTGATTTCGCCTGTCCACTGAGAGGTACGGAGACTGTCTACACCGCACCATAGATTTCTTTTCTTTTACAGCCAACCTAATTTGATCGCCACACTTTCCATCCTCTCCCGAAGAGGAGGAATAGTGGTGAAAATTGAGAAGAGACCAAGGAAAGAGAAACCTGGGGCAACCTTTCCTTCCCGATGTCTGCCCCCCCACCCTAAGCCTTCTTCTACGCGATGTCGTCGTAGTCGGTGCTGACGATCACGTCCTCCCACTCGGAGAGCAGCCTCTGGGTGGCGGTGAGCTTGTCACGGATGAAGCGCAGGGCGTCGCGGCCGAGCACGAGGCGCGGGGGGATGTCGCGGCCGGCGGCGGCGCCGGAGCGGGTGAGGGCGTCGACGATGACGCGCGCGCCCTTGGCGGGGTCGCCGGGCTGGCGGCCTTCGAGGGCACCTTGGGCGCCGGCGGGCAGGGCAAGGCCGGCGTACTCGGCGGCCAGGCGGCGCGCCGCGGTGACGCGGTTGCCGGCGGCAATCCCGGTGCGGAAGTAGCCCGCCTCGATGACGACGGCGGCGAGCCCCAGCGCCCGCACCTCGGCGTCCAGCGACTCCGTCAACCCCGACACCGCCCACTTGGTCCCCACGTACGGCCCGAGCCCCGGGCCGCCGCCCCAGCTCCAGAGGCTGCCGAAGTTCGCGATCACGCCCCGCCGCCGCGGCCGCATGATGGGCAGCACGTTGCGCGTCACGTTGAGGGTGCCTAAGACGTTGGTCGCGAACTGGTCGGCAACCTCCTTAGCCCTGCGTTGATTATGTTGGTCACCCATCTGTCGGCGTATCTGTGGTATACCTGCTGCTCACGGTATGTGTGGGTAGCTAGCAGCGGCGAGGTCCGTGCTAAAGGGGTAACGTACGAAAGTTCTTCGATGGTGCCCTGGATGGCATACCCGGCCGAGTTGAGGCAGTGGGTGATCGGTCCGTAGGCGTCGATAGCCTTCCGGAGAGCAGCCTGGATGGTGGCGTCGTCGGCGGTCACATCGAGGGCCAAGGTGAGGGCGCCGGCGGCCGCGAGATCGGCCATGCGGGCTAGGTTGCGCGACGTAGCAACAACCTTGTCGCCGCGCTTCAGGGCCTCAAGGGCGATGGCGCGGCCGAAGCCGTCGCTTCCGCCGGTGATAAACCACACGTTGCCGGTCATGGTGATGGTATCGGAGCGAGGCTTGATGTAGAGAGACGAGCTTGGGGAAGGACAGCGCGTGAAGAGACTAGAGCGACCCAGTGATAGACGGACCCAGGGTGCGGCGGTATACCCGGAATATCAGGTTCTTCTGGGGGATGACATGCGGATTCACAGTGTGCTCACGAGGGGTTCGAAAGTCCTTCTTTATATCCGAGGGCCATAGTGGGAGGAGAGAAAAGAGGTCACGACGGGTCGGCTTCATCATGTGCAGGCGGCTCCCTCCCGAACCCAGGGTACGCCCGTCGACCTTCGTTGGAGGGTATGACGTTGGCGGCGGCACTGGCTACATGAAGACCAGGGACAGAGGAGTGAGTATGTAGTAGAGACATACTCTATTGTTACATTGTGGTGAGACAAAAATTGACCACAGCGTTTGGAGACGACATCTGGACAAGAGGGGCGGAATTACGAGAGGAGCTGATAGGCGGTTTGACATTGGCAACGGCAGCAGAGAGACGTGCGGGTTGACATAACACGGCCGCCGCTATAGCGAGCCGATGCACGGTGGCTTTATCACGGAGCGGAGTTGAGGCCTTCTTCTGTTGCTGTTTTGTGGAAGTTGTTGTGGGATAGGATGTTGCGTCTGCTAATCCGCCCAAAATCCACCTAATCACCAACGGCCATGCATTTATGCGATATCATTAACCCTAGGTATATACTAATACGCGCGATTATGCAACAAAACGCGATTAGCCCCCTGCATCTACTTAAATACCCCCTGAACGGTGCCCGAGCAGACAGAAAAAGGGGAATAAAACGCGAGAAGAGGAGATGAGGAAAAGTTGTGGTAAGCAGGGGTAGTGAAATGGTTTCCTCGTTTCGGGGGAGTGACGAGTGTCTTGCTGGGGCGTATCGGGAGATCGTCGAGCGTCACTATGGGCAGACTCTGTCCCTTTGTCTGGTGTCGTGAGAGGAATCTAAGATCGCATTGGCTCAATACCAGCCAAGGTGTAACTTATAGCGTCGAAAGTGTTGCCGAAAACGCCAAAGCAAGATAATGATGAAAGAACAGGGCACTGGGTGCGACTCGCCGCTTTTGCTCGGAAACAGGTCCTCGCCCAAAGGTGGCTCACAGATGGCCGTTGGCTCATTGTGTGATGCTAAATCCTCCAACCGGAATCGGGTATATACGCATTCCCCTCGTGATATCGCTGTAAATCACCCACTGGCCTTGTTACTGTTCATACTATACGATGGTGACCGTGGCATCGCTTCCCGTATCGTACCAGTCTCTCGAGACGTTCGTGATTTTACCAACTCTCTCCATGAACCCGGGGTACTTGGGAGAGACGCCCAGTATGAGCCCGACGTGGTCGCTCTTCATCCAGGGGCACTTCGCGATGCAGAGGAACACGGCGCCCGTCTCGATCGCGGTCCCGCCCGTCGTCAGCCGCGACCGGCACGCGAACGTGTCGGCGCGCCCCGGCACCGCGCCGGCGACGAGCGCGCCGTCGGTGCGGAAGTGCAGCTTGCGGCTGGCCGAGCCGTCGGGCTTCTGGTAGGAGACCCAGTGCTCGTTCCGGTGGTAGTCGGCGACGAGGCGGCAGTACTTGATGCGGCCCTGGATCGTGACCGTGCCCTTGGCCACCTGCCCGTAGGGGTTTGCGCCGGGCACCTCGGTCTGTGCCGCGACGACGCGCGCGAGCGGCGCCGGCGACTTGAGCGTGTCCCACGTCACCCCCCAGTCCACCGACGCCCACGACCACGTCGGCGCGTTCGCCTCGTGCTCCGGCGTCATCAGCGGCGCGTGCGTCCGCCCCGGCATCACCTGCCAGAGCAGGTCGAGCAGCAGCGTCTCGCTCCACAGCCCCGCGAGGTAGCGGCTCGTCCGCGCCTGCGGCATCGCGGTCGCGGCGCCCGCGATCGCCGGCAGCTTGTCCTTGGTGAAGGTCAGCTGGCGCGACGTGTACGACTGGACGATCATGTGCCACTGCTCCGCCGGGCCGACCTCGCCGAGCGTGCCGGGCGCCGTCGACGGGTACGGCGGCAGCTGGTCCTCGCTCTTGCGGTGCGTCTTGCACTCGTAGATGACGGCCCCCGGCGCGAAGTGCAGGATCCGCCTCGCGAGGAACGACTCCTGGAAGCACCACCCGCGCGCGTACAGCGGGCCGACCCGCTTCAGCGTCGCCCACGAGCTCGTGAACGGAGGCTCCAGCAGCCCCTGCTCGAGCGGCGCCGCCAGGAGGTGCCGCTGCCGCACCATGATCGGTATCTCGACGCCGGGCGACGGCGAGAAGCTGAAGCATTTCGGCAGCCATTCCTCCTCGCGCGGCCGCAGGTACGGCGTGCTCGGGTTTGGCGACGACGCGCCGCTGATGACGATAAACGCCTGGTTGTACACGGCCCCCATGAGGGCGGCCTCCTTCTCCCAATCCGTCTTATCGTCCTGGACAATGCACAGCGAATCGATCCAGAGGTATGCCAGCCCGAGCTCGAGGGCTACCGTGACGGCGTCCTGAAATGTCGCTGGCAGCTGGGCGAAGTCGATGCGCTCCTTTAGGCTAGCGATATTGGACCCCAACAAGGATAGGGGGTTACCGCCGCCCCAGCAATGGCTGAGGGCCGCCCATACGACGTTCTGGCCCGCGGGCAGGCCTTCGCATAGCATGAGCGCACCCTTGCCCCCACCGATGTAGATTAACCTCGTCGGGACGAAGGCGCCGGGTTGGAACGCGCAAGCCGGGTGTGTCGTACAGCACTCTGTGACGCTCTCCTTCATGAACCTCATGCACTGGTCGGAGCGGACGTCTGTGGCGCGGATCCCCGTGGGCCCCATAGTGGGCGCGCCCGGTATAGGGTACTGGGGCATCGGGCTCATGTAGAGCTCGAGATCGACCCTCGCGTTCTGGAACCACTTGTCGTAGGTGAAGTTCCAGCAGTTGACGATCAGCGGCGCGCCCTCCCGGATCATCAGGCCGAACTGGATCGGCATGTTGTTCTTGGTCTCGGTGATCCAGCTCATCCACTCGTCGATGAAATAGGCGTCGAAGATCTCGCACAGCAGGCGGCAGTACTTGCAGTCGTTCTTCAGGCGGCCCGTGGCGGGGTCAAGCTCGCGGCACTCGAGGAGCTTCTTAGTAGACAGGTGCTCGAGCACCAGGGTCGGGACCGAGGACAGCTCCTTTCGCCGCGCGGCCTGCTCCGGGTCGCTCAGCTGGTCCCAGACGGCGCTGGGCCGGCCGAACGCGTCCTCGTGGCGGTACGGCTGTAGGTTGTTGCAGACGAGGCACACGCTGTTCCGGCTGCCCCTGATCTGGCGCGAGACGGCGTTGCCGGCCCACGCGGCCGTCTCGGCGGCGAGACGCACGCCCTTGGTAAGGCCCTTGGCAGAGCTGACCAGACTATGCATTGCAGCGGCTGGAGCGAATCGGTGTCGCTCGGTAGAAGGGGGTGGAAGAGGGGTAGAGTTTGATAGAGGACGACTATCCTGTCCTTGGTTGACGCCACGGGGGTAGCCCAAGCCTCGGCGATCCGACACTTACAGTAGCACGTACGATCCTAAGCTTTGTTAACCTCGAAACCGACACATGGTTCGCGAGACCAAGAGTACTCCCATTTATCTAGACTGTCATGGGTGCACGATAACGGGCCGCCAAGCCTCAGCCGCACCACACTAGGCGCAGGTTGTCTTGAACGCACAATATTCTGGCCACCGTTTACCTGCACAGCACGCCCCGCTGGGGTAGACGGCAGCATTGCACCCTTGTGGCGGATCGGATTGGACCTTTGGTTCTAGGGCTATCTCGTGATATGTGGGGTTCAATATTGACGGATGAAGCTGTATTCGGTAGTCAAGTAAGACGTGTTATGAGGTATTGACACGCTACATTGCGTGGCTTGTGTGTGTTGATAGGTCCGCTTCGCCCTCGCGGTCGGTATTAATGTGTGCATAGCCGGGAAGGTCTCTTCAGGTTCTGAAAGGCTGTTACCTAGGTAATATATGCTATCCCATTTGGCGATCGATACTCATCACCTGAAAAGGTAGCTGCCTATATTTCCTTCGTTGGCTCCGTAGGCTTAGGTATAAGTAGGATTCTTTACATGGCAATTCTCCATAAGGCCTATCGCTTCTTTCCGCTGTCGTTTTCCTAACGAACAATCTAATATCGTGGCCTACGCTCCTTTTGGAACTATTGGTAGGTATATGGGATTTCATTTACGTAGAACTAACTACAGACCCCTGAAGAATCAAATCGGACTCAGAGGAGTTTGGATATTATTATCGAAATATGTAGGTAGCAGACTAAGCAGGCAAAAAAAAAAAAAAAGAACATTGAGAATGTCATAAGTCTTCCCGAATCCACTGGCCATAGGCAATATAAGGACCTCTCTCCAGTTGTTCCGGCGCGAAGAAGCTGGAGGATTCGCCCATTTTAAACAAACAAAGGCACCCTTCTTAGTATTAGTTAGCAACAATGAAATATCATAACCCGAAGACAATAGGAGCAGCCACAGATGGTGATCGCTCATAGTGACGCCTGGGGAGTTTCTTTGTTCCGGCATACCGGCGGCAGTAACGAAGGTCCGCGAACGGCACAGATGCTACGCTGTAACGACCACTGCCGACAAAGGACGTTTCTAACACCTGGGTTGATAATGAAATTGTCGTGCGCTATTTCTTCACTTCCTGCTCTCTCTGACGTGCTTAGGAGGCACTGAATGGGTTCCGACCTTGCCGCACAGACACGTTTTGGCACCGTCACAACATGAGCGCAGACGAGATTGAGCGCGACGACGCCTTAAAATTCAATTTTCTGTTCAGGGCCTATCGACAGCGGGGCGAGATAGTAAACCGCGCAGTCCAAGATTCCGAGGAGCTACGCGCGCAATATGCGAAATATCCCCTCCTTTCGCCCAGCCGGATTGGAGACCATGCGCTGGTTGGGTTTGTTGTGAGGAGGGATGGCGCGCTGCGTCGTGTGGCTCGTCGGCTTGGCTGGGGTGAACCGTCATATAGGGAACAGGATCCCGCTACTCAGCGGCGATACCAGGATTTCACGAACTGGTTTGGGGGCGACGCACCGCATCTATACCGATTGCAAAAGCAGCTAGGGGTTGGGGGTAACGGCATAGCAGTGCATTACAAATACTTCGGCCGCCAGCTCACGAATCCGCAAGGGTTCACCATCCCCGACTTTGCGTACGTACAATTCGGATATATCTGTGATTCCACTGGATAATAACAACTACTGGCCCGCAAATCGCGCTACACGGCTAACCCTGGATGGTATAGGGGTCAAGATATCGTGGTCAAGTTCCCGTTGGCGGGTTGGTCGGACGAGAACGTTTTTGAAGAGACAAGACTGCTCAAGGTAGGAATTCGATCCTAAACGTGGAAGACCGAGCATGATAATGACAAAGATGCCCTCGGGCTGTATTAGAAAGTAAGCCGATCAGCGCACTGTGTGCAACAGATCGAACCAGCGGATATTGGCAAAACTGTGATGGGATACTTCCCAGAACAGCCCTCAGACGATTCTAGCGCGGCTGAGGCCTCGAGCGGAGACGAGAGCGACACGTCTGCCAGGCGTCAAATTCGCCAGAATCGCCTTCGGCCTCGATCACAACGAACCGTGCGTGAGCTAAAATCAAAGCGGAGGAAGCGGCGCGCGCATGTTAGGGCCATGCTGCGAGAAAGAGTCTTTTACCCCCAGCCGGATGACCGGCGCGAATTCGTGGTTTTGGAGTACCTCGAGAACGGAAACATAGATCAGCTTATCGCCAAACTGGTGGAGGACACGGAAAATGGCGGCCGGATTCCAAATCGTGTGTTGTGGGCGTTCTGGCTCTGTCGTAAGTTAACCGCCTACGTCTTGAAGGGCAGCGAGGTGGAAATTTAGGAGGCATGCTAACGGAAATCCGGTGAATATTAAGTCGTGAGAGGGTGCGTCGCCATGGAGTATCCCCCAAGGAAGTTCCATCCCATGCGAAAGAGGCCGGAAACACCGCCCCGCGGTTCTATACCGCTCAATTCTCGCGAAATGGAGGCGGTGAGGGACTCATTACGCAGTGCTCGGATACGTGTGCATGATGCCGGAGAGCTTGAGGCCAAGCGGGAACGATACCGCCAACAGGCCGGCGACTTGATCGAGACGGTGCCGGCAGAACCCAACGCCCAGAGACGGCAGAATCTGGTTCATTTTGATATCGACCCGCAAAATAGTGAGCAGGAGGCTTTCATCTTCTGACCCCCGCCCCCCCAAAGTTCGCCCGCTAACGTTTCCTTCCTCCTTCACAGTTCTCGTCGACGGCCTCGAGCTAGATGCTGCTGGGCTTCGCGAATGGTATTCTGCGAGGAGCCGGGCCGAGAGAAACCTTCCTCGACACAGCCCCCCTTCGAGAGACGTCAACCACACTCACCCTAGACCTGATAGGGCTCAACACGAACATCATGTTGTTCCGAGACTCAAAGTAGGTTGAAGCTGTCCAGTGTAATTGTAGCTGGCGTTGTCTAATATCGGATGCCTTGGTAGCTGGCCGATTTCGGGCTCGCAGACGTCGTGAAACGGTATGTTCAAAGTCTTGCCTTATTATTTGATGACCCCTTTACCAGCTTCGTACTTTGAAGGACAGAACTCCTATCCGGTCTGGCCACATGCTAACTCTTTGATTCAACAATATTACAGCCAGAAATCTAAGTAAGTAATGACTGTGCATCTGGCACGCACAAGCCCCTTTGCCATTATCGGCACCGCAGCTCACCTCACCGTGCTCAAAGCGTATACTATCGAAACCGGCGATGGAGGGGTAAACAAGGATATTTTACTCCGGTGAGAAAGGACGCTCAAGAACACACCGTGGAATTTGAAGGAACTAACTCCGTCTTCAGGAACAATTCAGCATGGAATGGGATTTCCGTAGGCTACCAATCCCCCCGAATTTCATGTTTTCCGCACCATCGTAACTGGGCCTCGAGACTTGTGTCCGAGATCGCTGCACTGGGCACACCCATTTCCCCTCGACGTCCTCGCCATACGTGTAGACTAACATATGCCTTCCGCCATAGATCCTCTAAATCCGGGCGGAAGTGAACTCGCTGATTCAGACGTGGCTGGCAACTATGGCCCATGGACCAACATTTGGCAGATAGCATTGGTACGCTTTCTCCCTCCCTCCCTCCTCGCCTCAACCCGCACTAATGCCGCCCCCTTCGGGCAGGTGATGTGGAGCCTGATCACGAAGATGCGCGCTCCGACACCGCCACAGCCGCAGGTACCGGCGGACCTGCTGCCGCTTATAGGGCCGGCGATAGAGGACAAGCACCAGACGGCAAATTTCATGGGGAAAAAAGAGTACGCGATGCGCCCTATCTCCTACTGCCCGTTGCTGTGCGATCCGCGCACCACCGAGTATGACTGGGTCGACGAGCCGCTGCGCCGCTGTCTTTACGCGTGCATGTACCACCGCCCGGCCGACCGGCCGACGCTCGAGCAGCTGCTCGACGAGGCCACGCACAACGCCGCGCGCGAGTTTGACGGCCCCGGCGAGGACGACGCCGCTGTCAGGGACTGGGTCTACAAGTGGTTTTATAGCCCCCCGCCATACGGAAACGCGGATCATACGACCGGCCCCGGGGGGGGTACGGGCGGACACAGTGATGGTGCGGGTGGGGATAGTGATGATACGGGAGGGGCAGATGACGGTACGGAGGGGGGAGGTGGTGGAGTCAAGGCCCCAGCCAAGGCCCCGGAAAAGAGGGCGGGAAGGGGGGCAGGAAGGGGAGCCGGAAGGGGAGCCGGAAGGGGAGCCGGAAGGGGAGCCGGAAGGGGAGCCGGAAGGGGAGTAGGAAGGGGGGCCGGAAGGGGGGCCGGAAGGGGAGCGGGGAGGGGAGCCGGAAGGGGAGCGGGGAGGGGAGCCGGAAGGGGGGCCGAAAGGGGAGCGGGGAGGGGAGCCGGAAGGGGGGCCGAAAGGGGAGTAGGAAGGGGGGCTGGAAGGGGAGTTGGAAGGGGGGTTGAAAGGGGAGTTGGAAGAGGGGTTGAAAGGGGAGTTGGAAGGGGAGCTGTAAGAGGGGCCGAAAGGGGAACCGGAAGGGGAGCCGGAAGGAGGGCCGGAAGGGGGGGAGGGAGGGTAGAGAAGGCAACGGGAAGGACAGGAGGGAAGGCGACAGGCAAGGCCGCGGCGAAGGCGACAGGCAAGGCCGCGGCGGAGGCGACAGGCAAGGCCACGGCGAAGGCCGAAAGCAAGACTGGAGGCGAGATTCAAGGTGATGGCGGCGGCGGCGCAACCGCCGCTTACGTCGACGCCGCCGCTCTCTGGGACAGCATGTTCCCTCACGGCTGGCAAACCGTGGAGAATTACGTCAGCTACGGCCGGTGCGGCTCGGAGGCGATTCGCGACAGCATGCGAGCTCTATTCGGGGATTTCATCGACGTCGGAGGCGAACCCGTGCCGATCCCTGAGAATGCCTTGCTAGTAGGGATATTCCACGACCTAGTCGATGCCGGTCTTCTCGCCACAACCGGGCGACGTCCGGGCCCCAGCTATGGGGCCACGTCGGACGACGAGCTCGTCGAGGTTCTGACCGACTGGGCGGTCAACGCTGGCCTTGAACTCCAGCTGGGGATTATGGGCGGGGACGCCGTGCCGTACTTGATGCCGACTCCCTTCGCCAACCCTCATGTCATCTGGATCAGGCACTATGGGAATCATTGGGCGGGCGTGAGGGGCCTTGACGGCTGATGAGTAGGTGGAAATGGGCCGATGGTGATGGCTGATGTTCGAGGGAGAGGATTGGGCAATTTAGTTACATAGAGATCATTTTAACCAGGAGTTGTAGGGTATGGTGGATAGCCATGGATGGGGCCGAGTACGTCGTGCTGAACGCTCCGAACGTGACAGTCCAGTCGGATTGGTGAGACATCTCAAGGGCCAGGGATGAAACTCTCGAGGGTCCCTGTCGCGGTAAGGGTAGGGACCATGTGGTGCTCGTGGTTCTCCGAACATACGCCGAGGAATCCGCCGCGATGCTCGGCCCCCACAGGCACTTATCTAACCAAATAACATGGCTGCTCAGTGGGTTGGCATGAACGTCGTAAGGCCACTTTCTGGCATGGCTCATCGTAAGTAGGTAGATGACCCGCGCCGGGCCGGCTTCGAAGAACCCATGCCGAGGTTGCCCGTACGCGACAACTGTAGGATGTCGTCGATACAGCTGATGCCCGCAGGGCCGATTGAACTTATGTTCGAAAACCGACCTCAAACTCTTAGCTCAGCTGGTGTGTTGATACTGATACCGTTAAGCTGTTGCGATGTAGTGGCGGAAACGGATTCTGATTATCACTTGTGCTCGCCATTATCCGTAGCTCACATCAGCCCCCAGGAACGAGCCGTTGGTGCCCGCCGTAATACCGGGTCGCTTTTAAAATCCCTGTTACGTACTTCTTGAGCGTCTTCTCCACCCACTGAACATTGCTAGGCGTGTGCAGAGCTACGACATGCATTTCTCAAACTCACCTCGATCGCTAGCACCGGCGATGGAGAAGGCGCCCAACATCTTCTCACAGAAGCGGAGTATAGGTATTGACTTTCGAGAAATACGTGCCATCATCCATTTCTAACAGTCTCAACTCCGTTACCGTTACCACATGGGATTAGTTCAGGGTACCTGCGGCTGGTATCGAGTGAGTCGCATAGTTGGTTTGAGAAATGGCTAGTGTTGCTGTGCCGTGTCATCAAATGCGTCGAAGGCCAGAGGAAAAGCACCGCGTGGAGGGTACTTGCATATATCCTTGCGCGAAGCCTGGGTATTCCTCTTTTGGTGGATAAAAAGCTATAATTAGAGGACAGCACCACCGCGATCGCACGAGTCAAATCTAGTCTAGGCAAAGAGACCGGAATTAGATGGTCGTATTACATGTGAGCGAGATGTTTCTGTTCTTTTTAATTTTCAGATATTATAGTTGGCCTAGGTCTAGTATAAAAGGAAGATGTTAAAGTATAATACACCGTAACAACGGCCATAGATGCACGGAATCATAGCCCTCTATGTGGAGAGAGGAGCGTTTAGGTAATAACATCTCACGATGCAAAGAGGATGTGATAGCAGGCCCAGCCGGATGTATTCAGCATTGACTACTAGCTAGCACCTGACATCCGCCGCTTTTCTCTAATCAACGACTTCTCCCGAGACAATAACGAAGCCGCGGCCTCGCCGTTGTACCCAGTAAAGAAGAGAATGAATCCCACTCCTCTCCAACCACCATCCTCCTCTCCACCGACTCACGCAGATCTCCACCCGTCCCCCTCCTCGTCCTCACCCTGCTCGTCCGCCCTTCGCCGCCGAGGAAAGGCCCTCTAGAAGGGCTGGCAGTTGCCGACGTTGTTGGAGACGACCATGCAGGAGCCGCAGGAGTAGCCGTAGGCGGACAGGCCCTTGCAGTACTGGTCGTCGGGGCAGAAGCGGCTGACGCAGCTCTTCTGGTCGCGGGCGCCGAGCGGGCCCAGGGGGCGGGCCCGGGAGACCAGGCGGGAGGAGCGGGCGTGGGCCTCCTTGGCCTCGGCGAGCACGTCCGGGCTGGGGATGCGCGGCCAGCCGTCGGCCGTGGGCGCCTTGTCGTCGAGCTGCGCGAAGTCGACGACGCCGAAGTCCCGGTTGAACGTGCGCACCACGTTGTCCGAGCCCACGTGCGTGAAGCCCAGCCCCGACGGGTCCTGCTTGAGCGTCGGGAGAACCTCGCTGACCGGGCGGATCTAATCTCCTCCGTTAGCCGCGTATGGCCTCCAACACGGGTTCCGCTCGCCGGCGCTGCGCAGCTGAAGAGGGAGGGATGATGAACTTACCGCGCCGGTGGCGACGGCCATGCCAGCGGCGGCCATGATCGTAGCGAAGATGGAGACCTTCATGATGACTGGAGTTTGAAGAACTAAGGAGATTGTACAAGTTATCCTGAGTGATGGTCAAGTGTCGTTGCTGGCGATGAGGGCGCAGCTGTTGGATGGTGTGGTGAGAATGAGAACAAGACAGCTCGACCTGGTGCTCTTATTATAGCAGTGACAGTCCAGTTGATCGGCAGTCCCTACCTCCTCCTTCTGTGATTGTCCACCGGCACAGACTCGACGCCCCGACCTTGGGATGAACCGAACGACCGCATCCACCATTCTCGCCCTCAGGACCGAGTGGTGAAGCGGAGGAAGTCGCGCAGCGAAAACGTAGAGTTTGGGTCTAGAATATTGCCATAGGTGTTTGGGTCAATCTCAGCGTGGCCATTTCCCTAACGAATTGGCGGTGACTATACACTGTGTTGACAATAACGGATTAATACACATTCCTACGTTCTATAGGCTAATGGTGTTGTAGTTGGTATATTACTTGGCCTCTAACCTCGTTGTCCCCTCTCCCCTCTCCCCTCTTGTGGACGTGTCACTCTCAATGGTAATAAGTCTGGGTAGATTACAACATAGGCGCAAACATCGTGTCCGGAGTGTTTGATGATATCTACTTGCACACCGCTCAGGCATCAAAGGGCCTCACGATCGCTATTTGGAAGGGGGATAGTTAAGACTGAATGAGCTCGTCCGGTGTTCTTTGAATCCGGGGAAAGAGTCGGAATATCCGCGTACCTAGAATGAGCGAACCAAGTGAGGTCGAGGCAAACACCCACAATTTCCCGCCGACGATATCTACGGTTTTATTTGGTCCACTGTGGACCCTCGCCGACGAGCCCCTTTAACCCCTGAGCGAGCAGATCCGCGCTAGATTAAGCATATCTAGCCTTGCCGTCACGCAACAGGATACAATGGGGTACTACCGCTAGTCTGAATAGCTTCAAGAAAGCTGTAGTCCTGACTGAAAAGCTTCAACATTCTAGAACCATTTGATTTAATCTATCAGGTTTCTTGGCCAAACGAAATAGGATAGCGACGAGACGAAAAAAGGTTGGTGTTGCTAAGAAGCCAGTAACTTAAGTATTAAAAATGCCGTTCTCCTGGGACGTCGGCGTCGCCGACGCGGAGTGGATTTGTTTCCTAGGACATACGGCAATAACCTACATAGGTTTATGCGAGAAGTGGATAAATGTATAGTGCCACTAGGATAGATAGCAATATTCCTGACGGTACATCGGTACCGAGAGGTGCGAGCGGCCATGGCTCATACTGGATGAGAACCCGGTGAGTATCATACCATTGGAAAGGGCAAATGATATCGAAAGCCCAAGGGTTTCTCGTAAGTAGAGGTCAGACTGGTTTTGCAAAGCAAATAAAGTCACAAGCATTGTTTAAGGACGCTGGCCGGTTGTTTGCGGCAAACTGATAAAGTCCGAGACCAGTCCTAATATCATGTCCTCAACAGTACTTAGCCAGAGTCAGTTTTCTATACTAAGATCCTCCTATGTAACGTGTGGGGACGAATTCGGGGGTTCAGGATAGAGCGTTATTAGTTACGAAGCTGATGACGTATAGGTAGGAGGTTGTATTTATTTATTGAATTGATAGGTACGGGCAAAGAGTGATATAGACACTTCGGTGCTGCGTGTGGTTTAGTATAACAGAGCTTAGAGAGAGCTTTGTGGGTTGTCGCAATCCGAACACTTTAATACGTGGTCTAGCCTGTCTATCGTGATCAAGCGATCACGGCTGGGAGACCCCGAGATAAATAAGTAAGAATGTTGGCTCTCCTCTCCTTGGCCTCCTCTCCCCTCTCCTCACGGGTTCTTCCGCACCACTCCCTCTCTCGTGCCCATCGACAACCGCGATGGCTACTCGCGAGGTGAAGACAGATACATGGTAAAGAGGGAGGAGAGTGGGATGATGTTATGCAATAAGGCCGATAGGGCAGCTGAGTCATAGAAAGGGCGTTGCCGGGAAGGACAAGGAAACAACAAACATGGCGAAGACTCATCGGGGAAGCCGCGATGGCAAATAGCAACGACGGCAGGTCTGGACGGAAAGAACGACGGAGAAACCAGCAGATAAGGAAGTCACGAGACACAAAGGGAGGGAAGGAGAGGCGATGCAAACACCTCGCAATGGGAAGTCGCGACGTCGCCGTTCCGCGAGGGAAAATCGAGAGAGAAAGAGAGAGATGAGCAATGTAACGAGAGAGAGAAAAAAAGAGAGGAGGTATATAAGCGCGTGGAAATTCAAGCTCAATTCCTACGCTTCCGTCCCATCTTCTCTTCTATTCCTCGGCGCTCTCTCCTCCCACTCAGCCCGCGATCGACACCCAGACTTCAAAGACACCTGAAACTACCCGTACAGGGTGCACTGCGGCTATTATAGACCTGAACAAGCCTTGAAACTGCTACCAGCCGACGAGGGCTCCAAGAGAACCTCCAAGTAAGCCCTCACTCTCCCACCCTGCTCCCGCGACCATTCTCGAGCCCACCCCAGTCCCTCCTCGTACCGCTCGCTCTCTAGCTTTCCTAACCAGCATCCATCCCAGAGCACGCCGCCCCATCTCACCTCCGCCCTCCGCCCCGTCCCCATCGGCAACAGGCCTTTCCGCCTCGCGATGGCTGACTCGTCACCCTCTGGCGAAGAAACCCCTAGGTTGCCCCCGGGCGAAGATACCCCTAGGATACCCCCGCGCGCAGCGTCCCGCCGCACCCGTGGGGGACGCTCCCCTCTGTCAAGGTCAAGCAGCCCCGTACGCCCGGGCTTCTCGCCCACGCCGATGCAGCGCCGACCGGAGCCGCGCAGCTCGATAGACGAGCTCCTGAACGCGCCCGCTACCAATGGGAACATGTTCCCGCACCTGACGCCGGCCCCGCCACCACCGCCATCCAGTGTATCGTCGGCGCAACCCCCTCAGCGCGCCTCCCGCGACACCCCGAGGCCAGATGGGCCCGACCAGCAGGCCACGACCACGCCGCCAGGCTCGCCCCTGCGACGGCGACCGCCACGACTACCGTCGCTATCCCCGGGCGAGCTGTCGCCGGCTACCCCGTGCAACGGTGCCTCTACCTACCCCGCCCCCGTGCTCGGCGCCCCAGGCGCGACACCGGGACCAACTGCGGCCCTGCTCGCCGCCGTACAGCGCCAGGGATCGAGCTATTACGCCATGTCGTCGCCGTCGACGCCCCCCGGGTCCGTCACGCGGGAAGCCAACGAGGTGCCCCCACGCCGCCGCCGCAATCACTTCATGGCCACCGTGCAGGATACGCCAAGCCAGACGGCCACGTCGCGTCGTGCCAGTGAGCACTTTGGCTCTACGTCGGCGAGCCGCGATCGAGACCTCTCTCGCTCCAGGCCTCTTAACAGGTCACCGCTATCTCAAGACGAGGAGGAAGGAGAGTAATATCCTGCGTCCCTGCTAGACTAGGAACAATACGAGCTAAGGTGCCATGCTTCCGCCTGGGCTGGTGATCATGCGTATAGGCTCATCAGGTATCGCAACACAGTTGATAGAGCAAACACGACGATCTACGACCCAGAGCTGACTCGCTGCCACGCGATATCACAAGAGGGTAAAATCGGTAATGTCTTATAGCGTCATATTCTTCGCGCGCATAAGATGGAGCGTGGGAGAAGGGAAGGGATTTCAATAGCTTTATGCTAGGTGCTCTTGGGTGTGTTTAACTGGTCTGCCAGGTCAACGTAGTAGCAGCAAGGCCCGGCGCTGATCCGCAGTTGCTATTGTCGATGTATGACAGAATCAAACTTCGCCAGTTGTGTATTGAAATAAGAATTTCCTTTCAGGACAATTCCCCATGATGAGCTTGGTGGTAAACGAGAAAAAAATCTCCTCTCCTCGCAATACGGAACTGCGCGGGTGGTATTGCCTTTTCCGAAGTAGGGGGCACGAAATCCCGTCGGCCACCGCCCCCTTTCCCCTTTTTTCAAATTCCGGCCGTTCAATCGAGCGACTTGGCCGGGCAGATGTGATTCCACGCTCCGACGAGAGACTCATTATACGCTACGAACTTTTCCGTGTCCAACCTACCGCATACAAAACGCGCACGTTAGCATCCGTTTTTCGAGAGACATTCTCGCGTTTCTTTCCTCTTCTCGCTCTTCCTTCTGAACCCTCCCCAACATCTACTCGCCGCCGCACCCTATACTACCCCTGCCGTTTCCATCCCGGGGTATCGATCAGACACCCGTCGCCACGGGGCCGAGGGAGCAGAAGTAAGGAGAGGAGCGGTCGAACAGAAGAGAAAAAAAAGGGGGGGGGAAGGAGAAGGGAGACCGAGGACGAAGGGAAGAACGTACAGCTCGTCGTAGCACGTGCACAGCGACCCGGAGCGGCTGCCGACGTAGCCGACGAAGAAGCTGGCGGCGGGGCTGCTGCGGCAGTAGTACTGGCACTTGAACTGGGCGTAGGCGAAGCCCTCGGCGACGGGGGACGGGACGCCAAAGGTCTGCGCGCGGGTTAGCGTTTTGCCTCGTTTCTTTTCTTTTGTTTTCTCGCGCCTCGCGCCTGGCGGGCAGAAGAGGGGCGGCGGGCGGAGGGAGGGGGGGGGGAGAGGGAGGCAGAGCGCTGCTCACATAGGTCCCCACGACGTGGTCGTCCGCCCACGCCGGCTCCGGCTGGTACCCGCTCTCGAAGCGCGCCGTCGGCAGCGCCGGCGCGTAGCCGTCGATCGTGTACCCGGCCGTTACCACGGGCGTCCCCGTGACGCACGGCGCCTCCTGGGCTGTCTCGGTCGGGGCCGGCGCCGGGTGCGCCGAGACGGCGACGGCGAAGACGGCGATCGCGGTGCGTCGGCCGAGGGGTCGCATTCTTTCCCACGCTCTTCTCTCCTGCTTTCTTTTCTTTCTGGGAGGTCTGTATGTCGCTTCCCCCTCCTGGCCGCCTGGTCTCTTCGCCTTTGCCCGGTGGCTATCGCGCACGTAGCTGGGAGAGGTATCGAGCTGGGCCGGCCTGATCTTCCCTCACGTAAACGGACGAGAGCAAGAAGGCCTGCTAGTGGAGAGAGGAAAGGTCGTTTAGCCTCCCGAGACAAGGGTCCGCCGTGTGCATCTACCTTACGAGTGGTCCTCTCTGGTTCCTAGAACGAGCCAAGCTATTCTGGGGGGCCGCCGCGAGGAGGGGATGCGCAGATACTTATATATACATCTTGGCACAGCGGTTAGGATGAAGGAGGGAAAATCGGTTGGATAATATGCTAGTGTGTCGATTTTCCAGTCGCTCCTCAACTTGGAACAATGATACGTATACTGACGCGAGCTGACTGCCTAGGTAGGTATCTGATGTAAGGCTCGCAAGGTACCGTACGCAGATGGATACACACAAGGACGGCAGCGTCCCACCACTTGGGCATTCGGGAGGTGGCTCGTTCGACAGCGTCGACGCGACATCAGAACGTCTCTGTGGTAACCAACGTAAGGGACACCGGCGAACCGAACGAATGCGTCAAGGTGCAATAAGCTCCTCTGCTTCACCCATACAGTTCTTCTGTAACACCTTCTCAGTTTAGGCGATTTTTGACCTACGTTTGTGGGGATGCTGCAGGGCGTTTTCCTAAACAACTGTCGATCACGACTCATCAGGGGGTTGTACTACGGGGACGAGGCCTTCTCGAAGAGCGGCCAGACCCGCAGATAGATGAACCCTAGAGAGTTCACGCGAGCCATAATCTTCCGAATACTCCGCTGTCATCGGATACCGAACTGTCGACTAGGCGCAGCATGTCACCGCAAATAAGGCACCCGTCATTCTCTCTCAAATAGGCAGAAGGCCAGCCTGGGTAATATGAGATTTAAAGAAACTGCACAGCTATACACGTATATTTGATGGAGAATGAAGCGAGCTGTTCCCCGCCATTCAGAAGATCCAGGCCAGCTCCGTCCGCAGGAGAACGCTACGCCACGGCCGTCTTCCGGTCGACATCGAGTTGTTATTGGATCGTGACTGCGGCACTGGTCAGAATGTGGAAGAGAGCTTAGATTGGAGGAACACTCGCCGGGGGCGTCTGAATTGGTCGAAACGCCGCAATTAATCAGATCATCCCTAAAAATATAACGAGTGTGAGTTGGGAGGTAGCACACGACAACTTAACCGAACCAACTGCGCCTTCGATTCTCACATATATCCGTTTCTGGTGTAGGGTCCTGGGGTTAAAGAACGGCACCGGACTTTTTCGAAATCGGCCCCGTTGAGCAAATTGGGTTGGAGAAGTAACAGGACTTCCATCGGCAATATTGAGGGTCCATGTTTGCCCATTTGTAGCGGGTAAATCATGCTGCGATGTTACTCAGCTTGTGTCGGTGAGAACAACTCCGGGAGGGAGCGGGAGAAAAGGAGAGAAGAAGAGAAAGCGAAAAAAAAAATTGACCTAACGCCAAAGTGCAAGGTGTCCAGACTCGGGAAATGCGTGCCCCATCCATCGTACAACGCAAGTCGGGTTTCTTTGTGACCGACGGTACTCAAACTCAAACAGTCCCTTGTATTAGTGGTGGAATGCTCCCTGAATCCGGCCCTCTCAGAGCCGCCAACAGCCCGCCGCCACCCTTAGCCTAGATATCCAAGGTATCCGGACATAACGATGCGGAAAACTCTACCAGGTAGAAGAATAGAAGAACAACGATGCAATAATGCAGTGTATTGGACGCTTACGAATTTTGTGTTGTGTTTTCCGTCTTTGAGATCTTCCGGCTCGCTCGGGTGGCTTCACGTAGAAGCGCTTGGTTAGACCTGACCGGAGTGGAAAAAACGCGTCCTGCTCAGTCAACAAGACATGAGGTGCGGGACAAGAATTTTGCGTAAAATATGAGGGGATCATGGTGCAGGTACGTATACGTCTGACAGACCCTTCACCGCCTCCTTTTCCGCAAGGTGTGGATTTTACTGGTGGCCGGCGACCCGAACCCGACGGGTTTAGCCCGGATTTAGCCCGGGCAGAGCCAGCACATTTCAGTATTTAACACGCAGAAGACCCCGGCTACAGTTCTTATATAACGTGCGTTGCCTAAAAGTCATCATCACACAGATCCCAGTTCTACTCCAACCACCAGTACGCTATCTCGTCCGCAGCTTCTCAATACATACATCTTGTTCGAATCCCGGGTCCGGAAAAGATTGTCGGTTTTACATGTTCTTCTTTTCTTTTTTTTTCCCCCGGGACTATCGCTTTGGTTTGCTGCAAGAAGGTCTGATCTTTGATCAATGAGTTGGCAGACTTGTTCGTTGGAGAGACACCAATTCCCCCAACAAGCACTACCTACCTAGCCAACAACACACTACCAGGCGAGTCCTTCGCTCAGGCAACACTCCCCTATGCAGATGGCCCATGGTTTCTTGTTCAGGTTATTTGCTATCTACATGGTCACGATAACAACAGGTTTGCCATCTACCATTGAACTTTAGTCTCATTCTGATTGCGTATAAAAAGAATGACATCAACAATTAACTACATGAGCATCTTGGTGAGTGCATACGTTCGGCCAAAGCTTCAACCACTCTCCATACCCTGACCAACTCAGCTGTTTTAGTTCCAGACTAAATTCTGCTAGATGCTCCTCTGAGACTTCTAAAAGTGCAATGCTTAAATGACGGCAGTATTAGTTCTCTAGAACGAGACGTTCTCTAATCTCAGTAAACTCAAACGATGTTCTCAATATTAGGTTGCTCGCCAAGAATCCCCCTAGAATTAGAAAGTTCAGAAGACCACCGCTATAATATTAAGGCCACTGTCTTTAAGCTTTCTGCTTTTAGGGCAAGGACAGTCTTTAGACTATTTCCTTGCAAGATAAGGATTTATATGATAAACTTCAAAACGTCAAATGACGTTTTTAATCTTATTAAAAAGACTTCTTCTTGCCAACTAGTCTCTTCCCATCTGGTGGTAAGGTTCCTATATATACGTTAGGGTATACGCATGGCCTGTGCCATGCAGCCACCCCTTGGGGCGCAGGCCCGTGGCGTATACGCTGAAGGGGCCTGTAGAGTTATTCCGCGATAATACCTTTACACCAAAGCTATAACCACAGGGTAGAAGAGACTTTCTTCAGTCAAATATACTCATTAGTCTCACTTCCTAATTGCAAGTCATGGTTGATGCTAAATATACAATGGGTCTAGAAACAAACCCTATCATCTTAGTTCCATTTTTAGATTTGCGCCAACTTGAACCAGGGTATTACAATGAAGCTCCAAATAACGCCACAGTTAATATACCAAGTACACCTACTGCACGGGTTAAAGCGGCAGCAGTACCAGCCCATTTACGAAGAAGAAAATGGGCGACGGTAAGATTCGGGCAGCATTTTAGTCTGTAATGTTGGGGCCCAACCAACATTCGATTAGTCGGCCAAGGGAGTTAGGTATTCGCGTGTGGCAGAGTCGTGAGTAACATGTGGCGATGAGTTTAGCGCAGCTCATGTCTCGAATGCCCTGCTTCCTTCGCATAGGCCTGTTGTCAATTTCGAAAGGGCCACCCACGTGGGCGCGAATTTGATCCCCTCGTCGTAAGCCGGGATCGTCCCTGGAGTATTGACGTCGTCCCAACTGCACAAAACGCGGCCGTTAATCCTAGTCACGGCGTCTGCCTCGGCTTTCCACAGCACGTCAACCTTCCACGGTGTAATCCAGTCTCGCCGATACAATTTGATCCTACCTAGACCCTCTTCCGGCATGGTACCGAATCGCTCATCGGGTTGGTTGCCGTCGACCACGAATGATGAGATAGGACTGCTGAATGTAATCGCGCATGATCTGCTATCTTGTGCGTCTATCTCAAATATGGCCCTGTTTTCACCCTGCACTCGAGTGATGTTGAAATTCAACCAGCTGCTAAACTCTCGCCCTGGATTTGTCTTCGTTATGTTGGGCAGTATATCCGAGCCATCATAAAAGCAGGTGGCTAAACCGGAACGAAGACTGTTCGCGGAGGAGCACTCGAGGTCTTTGCCTACAGCGGATGGTAGCTCAGCGACAGTCCTCTCGACGTATTCCTGCAAACCAACATAGTTTACTTTAGAGACCCCGGTGTCGAGGTCGATAACTTGCTGGAAATATATCTTGTACCTGCTGTTCTCGGCGAATGGGAAGGCAACCAGGTTGTACACCAACGTGGTAACAAACACCAGCAGCAATAGGGTTGGGATGTGATGGGTGACTCTGTGCACGAACGGGGAGACCGGTACGAAAAGAAGGATGCTGAGAAAGGCCGTCAACAGATAAGGTAGTAGTAGACTCGATCCGTCAACGCCCGTCTGCGAGACGGAGGCGACAAGTAGCAGGCCATTCTGGGTAATTAAGATGATGAGGAACGGCCCTAGGATGAGAAACTGGGGGATCCAGGTCCAGCTCGGAAGGTTGGCCGACCACTTCTGCTCGTATTCGTATGGCTGGTCTTGTTCGTTCTCGCTAGATTTAGACCTGTTTATCAACGATGCTATGGAGCGCCGATATGTGGTGGCAAAGGTAGTTTGACGCTGGCTCCCGGCACGGGTACCAACAAGGGGAGTTGTTTCTGTGGGCGCGAGGTGAGATTCGGCTTCTCCCTCATCGTCACCATCGATATCTGCGTCAAGCTCGTCGCGCGCTGGGGAGATCAAACTGTCAACGTGCGGAATAGCGCCGATGTGATCCCTCGTTTCTTGGTCCTCGTATGCTTGCTGTAAATAGGACTCCTTCGTAGGGAGTGCGAACAACTCGCAGAGGGAGATGATGGAAGCGAGAGATACAGCTGCGTGAAGGAACACAAAAAGGTAACCAGCCGCAATCCTGAAACGGTCTTCGAATACCGCATTCGCTACCAGAACGGACCAGGAAATGATAAAGAGCCAGAGGATTGAGTAAGTTCGGTGCAGAGCGCTCGGTCGAGCGAAGTTCGCTCCCGCCATAACGGTCCAGAGAGCAAAGTAGAAGAGAGATAGCATCATCGCCCACCTAAAATCGCGATTAGTGCCCACGGCTTTAATTTTAGACCTGGGGGCTGGGCTCACACGGTATACTCGTTGCTGTAAACGACCAGGGGATTGAATTTCGCGATCAAGTACGCACACCCGACGACTAACGCTCCAGCAACGATCAGGGCAAAGGGGAACCTGAAAATACCCTTCCGACCGCCAAGCTTCACCGAACCGAGGTCGGATAGTTCATCGTGGGGAGTCCGCTTTTCTGAGAAGAGGTAGAATTTGTCATTGCGTACAAGAGCATATGCCAGGGCGAAAAGTATCAGGGGGGTAGTAACCAGCATCGTTACAGTCCAGGCAAACATTGTCCGCAGGCCAAAGAGAGCGAAGGACTTTCCGAATAGGTCAAACCAGACACCATCACTGCCACTACCATTCGGGACCTTCTGCTCGTCTCCGTCGGGGCGAGCCCCAATAAAGGTGTCGCCCGTGTCACCGGAGAGGCCCTGCACAGTATGTAGTGAGTTGGATAGCATGTGCCACAAACTGGCCCTCGATGCATGTGCGGCATCATCTTGATTGGTATGGTACCGGGCACGTGGGCGGTAAAAGGCCACGTCTAGTCCTCTCAGCCCATAAACCCCGTTGAAGACTGAGAAGTCGGTCCCGCTCCGTATCACTCCCAGACCGAACGCATCGGACGAAACGACGCTTCCGAATGGGTCCGAACTGCCCTTATACGCGTTGGTGACTTCGGCGTCAGTTGACCGGAACAGGGTAGCGCGACCACCGGCACCAGCCCCTTCGAGATTCAGAAATGTGTGACAGAATGGGAGCAGAGGATGATTGGCGAAGGCTTGGGCGCCCCACAGACCGTCTTCCTCGTTGTTGTTGAATAGGGCAACGATGCCACGCTGAGGTTGATTATCGGAGCGGGAAAAGTAGTCAACCAGGGCCAACAGGGTCACACAGCCCATGCCGTCGTCGGTTGCTCCGTATCCAGACGCCACGCTACCCCCCGTCTTCAGCAGAAGCCCGCGACATAACACCTAGGATGACTTACGAGTCGTAGTGGGCATTCATCAAGACGCCACCTTTCCCGATAATCCCATCCGGACGCGCACCGGAATCCTCCCACCACGGGCCAGGGGGGTCATCTTTCCCTCGAATGTAAACCAGAATATTTGTGCCTTCAAAATACGTGCCGACGGACGTCGAAGCCCCGAAGACGGGCTGGGTGGTGGTGATATTGGACGTGTTATCGGCAAAGACGACGATGCTCGAGTCAGTGGCACGGTTGCGTGTCTCGATCTTCTCCAACTCGTGCAGGAGCCAGTCGTGGACGTCATCGTTCGCCCGACTATTGAATGGGTGGTAGTCGCGAGACAGGACGGTGAGGTCGAACCACAACTTGGTCAGGTTGATGCCGGGGTATGGGTCTGGGTTGCTCGGAGGAGCGGGGACGGCTTCGTGTATGATGAGCAAGGGAATAAGGAGGGCGAGGTAGACGACGGTGGTCCAGAGTGTGACGGCGTACGGTCTGAAGGCGAACGGGTTCGACGCGGCCATGATTGGCTGGCGCTCGCAGAGTCCAGTCTGGTGGTTCGGCTATCGAGATGGTATATAGCTAATAGCTGCAGGGCTGCAGGGCCGAGGCGCGGGAGGAACCAGTGAGAGGGAGAATCTGAGGGAGGTAAGAGGTGGGGATGGTGAGCATCCTAAGAGAAACGAGAAGGAGAGCTAGACATTCGAGGACAACACGTGCATATACTGCGATATCACAACAAGGCGGCAATGGTGGTGGATAGGCAGTCAAGAATCGACGAGCATCGGACGCGAAGACGCGCGATTGGAGAAGAGTGAACTGACGATGCCCCTCAATTCCGGGTTGATGTTTTGTGGTGACATGGTGAGAGGCAGGTGAGAGAGGGCAGAGGTGGCAGGCCATGGGCAGGAGATGCGTAGCTGCGGGAGCTTGGCCTGCTCGTGTCCGCTAAGCTTCGCTCGGACGACCCCGCCAAGACCTGCCTATGAGGTAATGTACCTCAGGTGCTTGCATGCCTATACCTTAGGTACCTACCCACCTAGGTCTAGGTGAGTGCATCTCACCAGAGGTACCTGAGGTAAGTAAATATAGGTACTTAATGTACAGATGCCCGTACGTACCTACACACGTACATTAGGAGGTTAGGTACCTAACCTCAACACAGGTGAGTACGTGTATATCGGATGCTGCCTCCCAAGGTCGATCAGACGCATTGCATCGGGCCAGTGCCAGTTAGGCAGGCCCCGGCCTCCCCCCTGTTAGAGATCAATGAGCACGACATCACGCAGAAGTTGGCGTGGGGGACGTCATCAGATCAGGCCAGAGTCCCGTTACGTAACGATCTCCTGAAATGCAGATGCACAACCGGTGCGCCGCGTGTGCTAGGAGTAAGGGGGTGGGTGTGCGCATTTGTCTTGCGCACACCGCAGACATCCGTCTTACTATCACGGCAGTAGCTCGCTAGCTATGTGTTGTCGCTTCAATCACAAACAGACGGGAGAGACGCGTGGAGGATATCAACTCAAAGCATCCCGGTTCTTCTCTACGGTACGAATTAGTCCTATCATACATCTTCGCCATCACATTAACCGGCGATGTCCCGAAACTGTGAGCCCGTCGTAGACTTTGGCCGAGCACGGAAGCTAGTCGTCGCCCGGCCTCGGTCGAGCGGGCAAACCAATATGCACTAAGATGGTCACTACTGCTAGAGTTAACGTCAATACGTAATAGCAAGTTCGTTAGCAGCACGGGGCAGCTCGACCCGAGCACCCGATAGCTCGATCGAGGGGTTAGTATCCACGGGGTCCGGTCCGTCTGCGTGCCCCCGCGTTTAGGCACCAGGCGGAGGAGGCGGAGGTTGATCACTGGGCGGCGGCGGTGGGGCCTCGCCGGCAGGAGGCGGCGGAGGCGCGGCGCCGCCGGCATACTGTTGAATCAACGCGTTAATGTTTCCAGGCGGCAGCCCGGGAGGAGCACCGAGAGAGCCACCGGGCGGAGGGGGGAGTCCAGGCGGGGGTCCCATTCCCGGGGCGGAACCGTAGCCCGAGTAACCGGGGTAGTTCGGGTACGACGGCTGTCCGCCAGAAGAGGAAGATTGATGCCAAGGCGCTGCTCCAGGGGCAGCAGAGCCAGAGTTGTGGCCTTGGCCCTGGCCGCCATAGTAATCGCCCCCGTGGTTGTCGTTGCCACGATTGCGGTCACGCCACGGAGCGGCAGAGCCTCCTTCGCTGTTCTGGTCATTGTTACGTGAGCGCCACGGAGCGGCAGCACCGGTAGGGCCCCGCTGCCAAGGCTTCAGGTCACCGCCGCCGTTGTTATAGGAGCTGGGACCTGCCTCGATACGGGCGGGGGGGCCGCTGGAGCCTCCACCGAGTTCTTGCATGAATTGCTGGAATGATGGGTTAGCCGACGTTCTAGTTCGCATATCATGCGTCAGCCGTAGCCAACGTACCTCATATTCGCGATCGACGGCATCGCCGCCACCAATGCGACCAGCGGCACGAGGGGGCCCGTCGTTGCGCCAGCTGGCACCTTTCTGTCTGTCAGGACAATCCCGGGCCATGTGACCAGCGTTTCCGCAGACACGGCAGATAATGTTGGCGGTGAAATTCTGTTTCTCCGGGCAGTCATATTTGCGATGGCCGATTTGACCGCAGTTCTGGCAGGCCTGGTTCTCGTCATCGCGTAAAGTGCCGTTCAGGGTGGCAAGTTCGCGGAGTTGGTTTCGCTTGAGCTCATTCTGGCCCTCGGGGATCGAAGCAGCCTGCAACATCGTTAGGGTATTTTCTCCGTAAAGGGACGCTTTGCGGGTAAGGGGAAGGGTGAACTCACCGTCTCGATGACGTTGTGAATCAGTTTCTTGGCCTTATTAACCTTCTCCTCGGTATCTGCCATGATCAAACAGTGGAGGTCTTCCTCCTGATTGCTAGCGTGGGCAGCATCAGACCGACCCTTGCCCTCTTTTACGGATCCTTTTCCACGGATAGCAATCTTGGCACCTGATTCGGCCTCCATCTTCTTTAGTGTGTTACCACGAGGGCCGATAAGTAGACCAACTTTAGTAAAAAGACCTAGGTGTTAGTATATGTAAAAAGAATGGCTAGAGCAAGTAGGTGAGTTAGATGATGAGGCCAAGGTTTGGCTGCTCATCCGTCGAGATACGAGGGCACTCCTGGTAATATCCCGAACAAGAAGGGGGGAGGATATGGTTAGAAAGGTTAGAGGGTTAGCAATCTCACTGAAGTTAATTTCCGGGTAGTCATTGACCGGCACGTAGACCTTCTCCTGGGTCTTGGTGGGCCGGCGGTAGTCCTGGGGCGGGTGGTAGTTAGGAATAGTCTTCATGGCCTTCTCGATCAACTTGTGTCTCTCATCTTCGAGACGTTTGCGGTAACGGTATTCTCTAGTGTTAACACGACGACCATGGTTGTCGTACTGAGGTGGAGGCGAGGGGGACCTGTGTGCGAACGCGTTAGTTAGGTTGGTAGACGGCACACACTCCCATCTCGTCGACGGCCCGTACCTGTCGCCATCAGCTGGAACCACATCATTAATTCGCAGTTTCTGGCTGATTTCTTCGATCCGAAGGTGCAGAGTATACGCCTCAAGCTGTTCACTGGTCATGTTGGCGACGATGGCCGTCGGGAGGCCCATGAGACCGGCGGCTTTGTTCTCGGAAGCATCGCCCCATCGGTTGCGTTTCTTTCGTTGTCGAGGGCCGTCGGAGTCGGTTCCTACGATAATAGGTGTCAGCATAGTCGCCGAGCGCTATTGGCGCGAGTACAGAGGAGAGGGGAAAGGACTTACGAGGCTCGGGGCTTCGGCCACGCTTCAGGTCGCGATCACCATTAGAACTGGCTCGGTCATCAGCGCTATGGTCGCGTGGCGTATGCGCGTCGTCGGAATCGCCGCCAAATCGCCGGCTTTTTCCCAGGGGAATGTTGTTAGACCCCGTAATGCCTTGGCTTCTCCAAGACATCGTGGCAGGAATGCGCAGTGCAAAGGAGGCGTAGGTGCGGGATGATGAGAGATGAAAGCGAGTAGGGTGTTGAGGTGTAAAAGATGGAAAAGTTGGGTGGAATCAAATCGATGAACGGGTGATAAATTTGAGGCGGCTTTCTTCTACGCGGCGAGGTTAGGAAGGTTAGGTAAGCCAAAGTGGCAAGGCATATACAAGTTAGGGAGAGCCTCGGGTTACTTACGCGTCGTACCTTATTTATGTAGTGAATCACGTGCTTCCTATTGATGCCGCCTGTGACGGACCGTCAATTAAAGATTGACAGTGTCATCACCCGAACTTAGCGAGCGCTCGCATTTTTACAGTATTCGTAGCCATGCCCAGGGTTGTAAAAAAAAGTTTTTAAGTTAAGTTTCATTGAAACTTAACTTAACTTAAGAAATTTTTCTAAAAACTTAACTAAACTTAACTTAACTTAACTTAAAAAAACTTAAAAAAAATTAAAATTTTTTTTCAAGTTTCTAAATTACGTATTAATAGGTTAAAAATAAAAATTTTTTATATAATATTTATTAAATATTTAATTACGTAATTTAATGTTAAATTTAATATAATTAAAAAAATTTTCTATATATTTTACTATAAATTTTTATAAATATATATTAAAAGTATAGAAATTTCAAAAGAAAAAAACTAAGAAAAACTTAAAAAAAAACTTAAAACTTAACTTAAACTTAACTTAACTTAACTTAAAAACACTTAACTTAACTTAAAAACTTAAACTTTTTTTTTTCAACCCTGGCCATGCCTAAGGTACATTCTCCGGCCACAGTTGCCAGTTAGGAGACTCGACCAGCTTGATGGTATCAGAGGCATGGCGAAAAGCAATTCTAGGAATGGCGGCCTTGGCGGGAGCCCAGGCTCAATGCTAAGTCCCCCACGCTTCCCAAGGCCCCAGGATACCTACGTTGCGGGATAGGTAGTTCTCGCCGTCGTATGAGGTGAGTAGATTCGTCCGGTGCCCCCACCACGAGCTGAAGAGGCTTACTTCGCGTCCTCTTTCATCGATGCTTGTATCCACTTCCTCCCCACTGCGGCCTTCTCGTCCAACTCCTCCTCGGTAAGGCCCTGGTGCGACTCGTAAGGGTGCGACGACGGCACATTGCGTCCCTTCTCGACCCCAGGGCGCTTCAACATCCTCTCAACCCACTGTTTCAGCAGTGGAAACTCTTCGATATCGACCCCAGCCCATCCTGAAGCATACCTGTTAGTTCGCAAAGTCTCGTATGACGGGTGAGTGGCGCAGAAGACCTACGAGCCCCTGCAACCCATCCCCAGGACGCGATGTCGGCACTCGTGCAGCGGTCGCCCACCAAGTAGCCGGATTTGGAGGCATTGAGCTGGGTCTCCAGCGTCCTATAGAGGCGGCGAGTTTCGTTCTTATACCGGTTGATACCGTATTCGATCTTCTCCGGAGCGTAGCCTGCTTCCGTTAACTACCTACCAACCCCACCATCCCGTGCACATATGGGCACAGCACATACGGTTGAAGTGATTCAGTTGTCTGCCTCGCGTGAGCGATGCCATCTGATATCGCGAACTCTCTCGCCTGGGTTGTCACTCACCCCTGCATCGGACCAAGGCCACCCATTTGCCACATGAGCTAATCCAGGCTACGTGTTAGTACCGGATCTCGCGGGAACTTAGCCCACTAGGCGTTCGCCAACTCCCAAGTAATCGTCGCTCACCCAGTTGTTCACTTCATAGTATTCCCTAGATCCTTTCGGATAGGATACTTTGTGTTCCGTGTCGTACCTGTCGGTCAGGTACTGCATGATCGAGCCGCTCTCGAACAGTCTGATGAGCTTGCCATCGGTGAAGGTATCGGTGAGTGCGGGGATTCGGCCGTTCGGGTTAATCTCCAAGAACCACGGCTCCTGAGCCCGATATCAGCGCTTGCCCTATCAGCCACTGTAGCCGCTGGCGTCGGGAAAGTAAACCTTTTGAGTGTTCTTGCTAAGCTCGATGTTGGTGACCTGTTGCGGTGGTGGATATTGCCGATCAGTTGCGGAACACCTATCTAAGAAGCCGAATACTCTTTTTGCCGGGGTTAGACGATAGATATCCTACCTTATACTTCAACCCCAACTCCTCGAGGAGGATCGAGACCTTGATGCCGTTCGGCGTCTGGGAAGTGTACAGGTGGATATCTGACATGTTGGGTGGGAGGTGTGTCGCAATTTGGCGGAGTCTCGTTGTCATTCCACCCGGCTTTAGAGGTGAGGACGGGTAGCTGGATTCGAGGGCTTGGGCAAAGCGACCTCGGCGTTCACAACATGGGGAACCTCACCTTATATCAAATCGGAACGTCGGAGCCGATCAGCAGTCAATGGCGTCACAACGTAGGTACCCTATTCAAAAGCACACCCATTTTTAGCTTGATGAAAGTTGTGTAGGCTTATGTGCCTCAGGCACCCGCCAAGCACCTACTAACCTGCATCTTTCATGATACTTCCTACTAAGCTCCACGCCTAGGTCTATGATAGACACTACCAACCTACCTTACTGATGAAGTGCATTCGCGGAAATGCCACTGCTGTGTCTGCCTCGACCATCAAGGATTGACATTATACGTACCGTGCGGGGTCATTAAATTCTAATATAATACCTCTCCCGTTGCGACGCACCCCGCAACACCAACTGCTATCTATGGCTGCTCGTCAGCTTCACCTAAGCAACAACACCTCCTCTCGCGGAAACAACGGAGCTACCTAGCCTAGGTAGGACACGGGTTGAAGACGAAACATGCGCTCGGCACCTCTACTAGAGGAGGTCTATGAATGCATGCCCGCAGTGATTCTATTCGCCGAGACCGACTTTGGCCGGTATTAAATAACATGTATGTGGTCATTTGAGTGTACAGTATCTAAGCAGGGATCCGGTGACGATTGTCTAGGTCTAGGTGGAGGGTTAACAAGTATAGCTAAATGAATGCCAACCTGAGTCCATAACATCAACAACCAAAGTAGTGACGGCAATTTATTAATCCTTCGTCATTCCTGTCTGCGTATTGACCATTATTAGATAGTTGCTTAACTGTTCTAGTTATTGTCTCTTTGAATCATCATACGGCATAGGACACCCATGACAGAGGAGTGAATTTAGAGACGGCAGAGAATGAACACCCATCAGTCATCCCGTTGTTAATGTATCTGCCGGCGATAGCTTGTAAAGGCTGTCCTGATGGCCCTTGTTCCATGTTCAACCGAACTTAGCACCAATATGTTCTATCCTGAAGTTTGACGAAGGGTTATTATTCTTCTATCCTATATATTCATCACTGTGTCGGCACTCCTATTGTGAATTTAGTGTCTTGTTTTCCATTAGTATATCCATGTGGACGCGACTCTCTGTGGCAACCAGACTATTCATGTGGACAACGAGAGTCCTCTAGTTTACCTACTCGCCTCTCATATATTGCCTGCCTATTCAATGGCATCCTATTCACGTCTTCCATGTGCACCTCCCACGTTGGCTTGCCTTCGTGATTTTTCCGTCTCATTTTTCTATCCTATTGATTTCGGTCTAGTTGCTAATGGAGGCCACCAACAATTTCCGTCAGTCTCCGTCCAAGGGGGACCTCAACAACTCACCCTGCAACAAGCCTCAGGATTTTCATGTGCCTATTGCCAAGAGCTTCTCTTTCAGCATTCCTGAGATCTGGAGACCGACGAATCCCACTTTGCTGCGTTGGATTGACAACTTGCCAATCCCAGCAAAGAAAGAGGAGCCTTTAGAGCCCGCCTCCATCCAGACACCGAAGCGCACGTTTGTAAGTAGCCATTCTCCCAGCTATCCCACTGCAGTTGTCTTCCATCGAAGGAATGTATATGGGGGTTTGGCCGATTGTGACTTATCTTGATGTTTATTATAGGCTGCTGTCGATACGGATATGGCACACGATGATAACAGCCACCGAAACAAGCGGGCAAGAGTGAGTTCATTCAGAGAACGCTCTGCCGCTGAAGAACACCGTAGTAAACTGGCCAAATCTGGCCACAAATTAGCTCGTAGTGTCTCCAATGTGTGTCGACGAGCTATCAGCGCCATCCAACCCCCTGACGAACTTTCCGACGAAGCCACAGTCTGTGAATCGCCCTCTCTTCCCGGAACGCCGTCGACCGTCGTTGATAGGCCACGCATGAGATTCGTTTTCGTCGGGGACTCTGGATGTGGAAAGTCTACCATGTTGCTGTAGGCTCCCTATTATATTTTCAATCCACCCTCCGAGTTGCGAGACCCGTAGTAACTCAGTGCGCAATGACTATCTTGACCTCTACTGACAATGTTTCGTCGCAGACGATTTTACCGCGATGTGTTTACTAAGGTGAGTTACCGATATCCCGCACTAAATTGATGGCCGTTGGGTGAGGAGCAACTACTAATATGCCTACCATCCAGTCGTACGCGCCCACGCAGTACGAGTTGTTCAGCAAGACCATAATGGTAGATGGACTAGACGTCGATGTCGAACTTTGGGATACATGCGGAAATATCGATCTCCACCAACTGCAGCTTCTCTCCTATCTTGTCTGGGACGCCGTTTTCCTCTGCTTCAGCGTCACTGACGACGAAACTTTCGACAGCGCCCGTACCAAGGTAATACGGTGTTTTTTCATTGCTCTAGTTGAATTCTTACGTTGAACAGTCCAGTGCTAACTCCGCCGGGTCGCACATATATAGTGGATCTAGGAGGTCCGCAGATACTGCCGCAACGCGCCCGTTATCTTAGTCGGCACAAAGAAAGATATGCGCCTCGGAACCGGCCTTTGGGCGCCGCTGTTCCCTAACTTGGAGACCCGCATCAGCGCCGGGGAGGCAGGTCTCCCTCCTGTATACTTTAGCTCTACCTTGTCTAACTCGATACACTACAGGGCTCGATGGCCGCAAACGGAATGGGTGCTGTCAAGTACCTCGAGTGCTCAGCGAGATCAGGCGAGGGCGTCAATCGAATCTTCGAGGAGGGTGCGCGAATCGTCCTCCGGGATCGCCTCGCCGATGAGGAGGCAGCTCAAATCCGAAACAAGCATGAGAAGTCGCCTAAGAGGTCGAGTAGGACATTTATGTGTTTTTACTAGTTAGACAGTGCGTTTACGACAAGTTGATTCCGCTGAGGAGCACTATGGGTAATGCGTTAGACTGTACACTGTACCTATATCTCGAGGCGACAGACTAAAAATTCCCAACGCAAATTAACTCGCGCAGTGAAATTGCTAAAAATTATAAGCTTACAAATGGGATCTATGCGAGAATTGATTTGTTGCGCGTCTGTTGTGGGCATCTCGTCCCCCGCTAGGCCTCCCGTTCATCCAGCTGGCCGGCATATCGAGACAGGACTTGGCCCAAAGAACGGAAATTTACCCATAACATACGCGCTCAGTGATAGAAACATGGACCGGCCGAATGTTATACCTGCCTTTGATTTTTCTGGTTACTGTCAACTTTCCATCACAAGCCCACCCCAAACAACAACGCCAAGCCAATGTCGCAACCAGACCCTTAAACGATGTTCTCGCTCACAAACCCTCTTGGCCGATGGGTAGGTACTTAGCCCGGGCGTAACAGACGTCGGCGGTCGTTTGGCACTTGATGCTAGCTGATTTTGCTTACCATGTCTGCAATGGCTTCTCGGAGATGAGCTCGTTGACTTTGGCGCTGTCGGAAGCGAGCCTAAGATCTTTAGGGTCGGCTGTCCTAGCGGGTAAGTGCCGGTAGAAGGGGGGGCGTGGTCACGTGATTTCGCGTACACTACCTACCTAGGTATACGGAGTTACATACATCAATTAAAGGAATGAGGAAGGTACCTACGTACTGAATTCAGTCCAGGTCAACTTCCAACATGTCTGTACCGTAAAAAAGATAGGTACGTACTGAAGATACGTACCTATGAAAAGAAAAGGAAAGGTACGCGCCGACACCTTAGGTACTTAATCAAATAGGTATACCTATCAGCTATGCGACTCCGTACTATTACACCTCTCCGACGCGACATACACGACAAGCCTGGCCTCAGCTTCTGGCATCTTTTACCACTATCTCTATCCTTCACGCGGCAACCGATGAGCCCGGGGAAGAATTCTGGGGCATTGGCTTAAGCAGCGTCAAACCTACCACCGCGTTATCTTGCAACAATGTCATCGGATCGTGTTTTCTCTGAGGAGCTTATTGATAAGCTCACTTGCACCCTTGAGCTGAACCTGGGCGGAATGATTCGAAACCTACCTCTCCCCCAAACGTCGCCAATCCATCGACATGCCACCAACTCGTCGTTAGGGCGTATCGATACCCTGCCGCCAGAGTTGCTACTCTTCATCCTCAACCTCCTCGATTTCCAGTCCTTGTCTCGACTGTCGCGGGCCTCCTTCAGGGCAAAAGCAATAGTCGAGGCTCTTCCCGCATATCAAGAGTTGCTAGAGCACGCACCGGACGTGCTAGTCGCATTGGGGAGAACCCGAATACTGCGATATCACTCGGCCGCATTACTTCGACAGACACTTCGGACCAACCGGTGCGAGTCTTGCTTCGACTTTGGCGCCTTTCTATTCCTGCCGACTTGCGAACGGGTATGCTTCCAATGCCTTCACGAAAATCATGCCCTGCGCGTGACCACACTCAACCTCGCCAAGAAGTGCTTTCACCTAACCAACAGCCACCTCAAAAAAATCCCGGTATTGCACAGTATACCTGGTACCTACAGCGTCATGTTTCATGTCTCGCGCCGAAAAGTGTATCGTTTGGTCAGCGTAAAGCAAGTTAAGCAACTGGCAATCGAGGTGCATGGGTCTGCTGAGAATGTCGCGAGACTCTTGCCGCCAACTCCTCCACAAGGTATGTCCAGAAGGGATTTCTGGATCTTTAAGTGGTTTCATATGGCGCCACTGGATCCCCCAGCATGTGACCTATCACGGAAGCCAGGGAGGTCGAACCTGGTGGAGGACGATTTTGGTGGTATGGCGTCCATCCGCATGCCTTCATTGAGTGGAACTAGCGCGGATCGTGGACGGATTTGCAAGGGATGCCATCTTATTGATAGACTTCACTCACAAGGATCCCTTCCAACCGCAGTTCTGGAAAATCTCGTCCCCCAGGGAATTGGTCCGAGTCGCCCTCTTCTCGCGTTGATGAATCGGTTGTATTCTCGAGAAGGTTTTCTGGAGCATATTAAAACTTGCTACGGAGTTGATCGATTACTAGCAGGGTGGGGAAAATAACAGAAGGGATAATATTATACAGTACGGCAGTGTCAGCGAAGATGACAAGGAACCGTCTCGACGTCAAGCCGAGCTTTGAGCCTTGATCTTTAGTATCTGAGCTCGGCTGAATATTTCCGGGAAAGCCCACTCTGATCGGACTCTAACGCAAATGTGTTATTACCGTCCGTCGGATTCGGTGGTAAAACCGGGCGCCCTGCTTTCGGCTTACGATGAAAGGGTCTCACAGACATGATGCCTGCTGCGGTGAATGTCGACGGAGTAACTGCATAAATAGAAACCGCACGAACACAAGAGATTTGAGGCAACGAACCGAAAAAAAAATACGCAGACCAGCTTCTTAGCGGCGACTGGATAACACTAAAAACTATACCCAATAGCTGCAATCCATATTAACCAAACGCATCACTCCCCGCCATCATCAACTCTTACTAAAGTTATATATCTGCCTGCTCATATTCTCAAAACCGGAGTGTCGAAATAAAAATCGCGGACTCAAGGCCGACGAGGGTACCGTCCTCGGAATTCCTCCTTAGCCTTTTCCTCGCTCACCAGGTGCTTGGCACAGTAGTTGCGCGATTCCTTGTTCCTCTTGTCCGGCCGGCTACATTTCAAATTTGACTGGGCGGCGTATTTCTCCGGGCACTGGCAAAACTCGCCGATCTTGACATATCCACACTTATACACGTTATACTCTCGAGTACACATAACGTCAACAAAAGTTCACACTCGTAAAAGTCTAGTATCACACAATGAGTAAGCTACTTACATAAAAATAGGATCCTGGAAAGAATGCGGTGAGGTTACGAGATATCTATCGTGCTCGAACGTTGTGCAGCTTATATTCGAACAAGCGGTACTTGGTTAACTGTGGAGTCATGGTTACTACCATTCTGGTCTGAGCAGCACGAAGAGGGCCTGCTATCGTTAAGTATACGACTGGTGCAAAATACTCACTCTCTGGGGGATAGAATGAAAAATTGATCTAGTTTCTGATAAGGAGAGACGGAGACGATGAGAGACCAGTTCAAAGGCAGAATTTGAAGACAGAATCGCCGTCTTATTTATATCCACGAGCATTTCTGATGTCACTACTTAGTTAGCTTACTTAAATCCCTTTCTAAGGAGACTACTAGATGTCTCATGGCCAAGTTGAAAAGGTTCAATTCCGTGCCGTAGCCGACCGGGCCGATGGTGAGGTTGACGACAGAGAGCGCATATGGCGGTGCCCGGAATACCTACTTTAATATGTAGCTGCTAAGGCGACCCGGGATCTTGGTGTACCCTCCCGCACAGCACCCTTAAATTGTTGGACGGGTGTTTGGAATTAGCCGCTTGAGGGTACAGCTGGAGTCGCATAGCTTACCTCAGCCAGGCCCCGAGATTCCCGTTGCACCCGGGCTTACTGCCGCTTCAATACCGTAACAGCAAGCCGCAAGCCTGTCGTAATATGCCCTTCTGTTAAGCAATAGGGGCGGTGCTCCTGCGTGTAAAAATAGCTAACAGCCCCATTCTGCTATCTAGGAAATCAAGGCTCTTTCAAGCTTCAATTCCTATGCTCAAATTAGCGACACGTAGCTCTCGCACGAGATTTCACTCCTCAGTTTACTCTTCCGCTGCCTCTCTAACACCGTCATTTCTCCTCTTTTCCAAATCCTCCCACAATGTCGACTGTCACCGATAGCTCAGCTGTTTCTTCTGGCTTTGTCCCGACGACGGATCTGGAGATTCTAAATCAAGAAATTGATGACGATGAGGCCATGTATCGCATCAGAGCCGGCAACAGGGTGCACTACCTCACTATCACTTTGGCCCCCAGCCCAATCTTCGACCTCGATACCTTATGTCGGCCGTATCTTCTGATACCGAAACTTCCCCCTTTCCCCAATTCCAACTGGACCAAGATGCGAATGTATCAGGCATCAAACGGCAAGACCGAGCACACCCTTTCTTGGGACCCGCTCAGCGGCATAGACTCCTTATGGCACCCCCGCCAAGTTAACGTCCTCTCACCAAAGCGGACAGCTAGCCACAAATCCCGTGTCAAGGAGGTCGAGTTCGAGGGCCATAGTGCCCTATCTAAGCTGGCGATTTTCGAATGGTGGATTCCCCAGCTTCAACACGAAACCAAATTCTACGAGAGCATTTTGCGGGATCTGAGTCCTGGCGAGCATTCAATTGCCCCAACTTTTCTCGGCCATCTTATGGAGCAAGACCGATGTGTTGGTTTTCTCATGGAGAAGATCGATGGCCGTCACCCGTCCCTGGATGACTTCCCAGCTTGCGAGGCGGCATTGCGCAAGCTCCATCGCATGGGTTGGGTACACGGAGACGCGAATCGCTACAATTTTCTGGTTGAACGGTCCACGGGGCATGTGAAAATGACCGATTTCGAACACGCAGAGCCCTACGATGAGGTCAAAGCACAGCTAGAGCTACGAGAACTCAAGGCCGAGTTATCTGAGACAACAGGAAGAGGATCCTCTGTGGTGGTCCAGAACGGGGTGGAGAAGGTTTCCGGGCCTATTTCTTATGCTGCGAACACTAGAGGTCTCTGATTTTATACCCATTCTAACAGATACGAAAGACTCCCGGAGCCTGCAAACATACTGTAGGCATTTAACGATCCCGGAGCCTGCAGCAATGATTTGTTTTACTGTATGGGCACATCGTGATGTTATAACAGTATTAATAGTGCCGTAGAATTTGATTAGTTTCCGCAGCTCAGAACTCGCTTTTAAACTTAATCTACGGTTCTGTGAAATATTGTTGACAGGTGTTTCTCTCGTCCCACTGTTGCCTCTCGGGCCGTTGCCTTACTAACAATGCTGCCCTACCTAATAGTTCAAATTACATGGTAAACTAACCTACACCTCGATAGGCCGCCCTTTGGAAAATTACCCAAGTTAACTATAACTTCTCAACTATGGGATTAATAATTGAAGGTATTTATGTTATGAAAATGAATTAAAACGTGTTAGGCTTATAATGATTCTATGGTTCTTTTTCCTTTTGTTATATTTTAAAGCAATTGTTAACATCGTTATCTCGATATATGAAACGATCTTTTCGTTATTTATCTCGTGTTACGTTTATGGACGCCTCTAATGTCTTCTTTATGTGATGGCGTGGCCTGGGGCTCTCTTACATGTTAGAGGATCACACCCATTATTTGGAAGAGAGCAACCTTTGCTGTCGCGTAGACTCTTATGAGCTTCACAGTTGAGGATAGTTTGATAATATGTTATGCGAGTGAACGATGGTTATATTGGCTGTTGCTGAACTAGAAGGAAAGGCGGATGAATAAAGCCCCATCTCAGTCAAAACACTACTCGGAAATTGTAGGTATGTACAGTTGAGTTCCTTAAGCAAGCAAGCAGAAAATCCTTGGTCCAAATCCCCAGGACAAGTGACAGCTAAGTACATTATTAACCTAGAACGACGTGAGTTGGTCCCGATGCATTGGCTTCCCAGATGTCTCGTGGCACACGGCCACACGCTCTTCTAAAAGCGATCCTGTCCTTACGCTCTATCCAGAGCACATTGTAGAAGTGACATCTCTTTTCAGCATCTTCCGCAAACATCATGCGCTTCCAACGCTCAGGGAGCGCAAAGTCCCCTTGGGTTTTCGCCACCTTGAAGAACATTTCAGTCTTCCTATTAGCTGAAATGACCTTATTTTCACGGTACACGAGTTCCTCGAAGCACGAGTAAAAGTCGCTATGATTTGCGCTGCCTGTGGATATCGCTATGAGTTCAAGGCTGTTGTTGAAATCAATGGGTTCGTCGTTCATCAGTCGAAGATGCCCCGCAGGGTTACACCGCTCATCTTGTAGTATCAACACAGAAGGCATTTCGGTGTAGTTGGGTCCGTAACTGAATTTTCCATTCTCAAAAACTGACATCTTCACCCTTGCATGCATATACCCCTTGATCTTATCAAATGCTACGAACAGGGCTCCCGGGTGGAAAAATGCTCGGGATGTAGCACCAGTCAACGAGCTGATATTATCGAGTTCTAAGCGCAATGACGAAACGGCGCTCCCAGGTGACAGGGACTTGAAGATGGCCTCTCCATTAGTTTTAAACTTGAAGCAAGACCAGGAGTTCTGGTGAGGGGAAAGTGAAATTATTACATACCGGTAACTGTCTTTCCAACTGTACAGGTTCCACTATTGACAGGGCATCTCCCGCATTACCATTTGTTGTATTCCACTGGATCAGGTTTCGAGTTTGCCAAGAAGCTGCTCGTTCCCGGCAATGGTCACGATCAAGGTATGCGAAACCACTTCGCATGCTATACGGATCCACGGGGCATTTCCACCCACACCAGGACCACGATGGAAGGCTCGAACTTGGGGAACTATCATGTGAACCATCCTTCCGGTCAATTCTCCGAGCTGCCTTGGTAAATGGCTGCCACAATAGAACGTGGTCCAGGAACAATCGAGGGATGCCGTAAACAAACCCACCAGGGAACGTTTGACATAGAGTGTTAAGAATTCCTGAAAAGGCCAACAATGCGTCCTGTGGATATGAAAAGTTGCGTTCGTTGTAAGGACAGACTAAGTCACAGTAGATGCTGAAGTCTGGTTCCCGTAACAATGCCAATCGTTTGCCCGTTGCCCAAGGTGGGCTTATTGTAATTTCGTCCTGACTTGGGCTTAGGGTACCTTCATCCCATATCTTGAGTTGACAGTCCCAGAATATCTCAGTTCTAAGGAAGAAGACGGCCCTCCTGCACAGAATTTGTTCTTGGTATGTCCAACCTCGAGTTGACCAGTAGGACCAAGACAGACCGTCATAATGATCTTTCATCATGACCTCCTCTTCTTTTATCCTATTCGGCATATCAATTAACGATAATTCGTTGTGAGGGCCACGATTCGGGTCCTTCCGCCTTTTATCACTGAAAAGACCCGGAGCTGCGGCAGCAATGATCGTCAAGTAGGCCCCGGAGTAGATTCTGTCCATTCGCTGGACTTTGACTTGGATCCTCGGATCGTCCTGCAAAATGCAAAAGCGATCAACCCATAGATAACGCTCTCCTATGTGTTCGACAAGCTGCATGGCATCTTTAATAACCTCGGGCAACGCCTCGTGATTGTGTAGAAAGCCTGGTAATTGGAAGGGGCCCAGCTTATCGCGATTCAGTAGTAATTGCCCCTGCGTGTTGCTGCGTCCCGGCCAGACGTAACTTAGGGCAACGTATCGGCGTGCATCTGTCCCCCTCACAATGCATCGTTGAGCTGTGTCGATAAGCCAGTCGGGAACATCATCAGGGGATCGTGCTGAGATTTCAGGAGGCACACAAGTGCTGCCATGCTTTTCATCGCAAGTCTGTAGCCAATGGCGTATTGGGTTGGTGTAGACCGAGAGGTCGTGAAGTGCCATAGCTTCTTATAGACATATAACTAAACGAAGGTAACGAGATCGCTCGCCTGGGGGACTCTGAATGGGGATACGAAAGGAGCAAAGGAATTGCCCGCAAATATATTATTATTACGTAGATCGAGGGAGCTACGTATGGTGCGAGAGCTCGCGCGAGGAGCTATCTCACGAGCAACGGGAAGAGGAGCAAATGGAAGGAAAAGGTCTTGTTCGATCTAAGAATTAGCTAAAGGAATGGAAGCAACAGGAGCGTATATACAGGAGCTCCTATTGCTGAGGTAAGCAACGAAGACGCGCAACCTTCTACGTAATAATTATGCACTGACACTTTCGAGAGAATCAAGTTCAGGAATTCGCCAACCTTATCACAACGCTCTATCAAAACTTCCGCTCGGTGGTTTATATCTGACACAAGGCCCTGGCATGGCATACTCCAAAATTCCTCGCCACCCTTTCTATACCTATCCAAGTTTCCCAGGCTGAGGATGGGAGGCCGGGATACCACCGCTCGGAGACATCACTTCGAGAGATTGATACACTCGAAAGCGATGGTGGAAAGCCATCGTCAGGATACAACCATCTCTTAGGCGGCTGTGTAGCACATAGACGTAGAGGCACGAACACAAGGCAGATTAAAGCGGATACGGTTATCTCCTTTAAGTTCATCGGTTGACGACGGCCTTCGAGTGGAGAGATTCAACGTATTGAGCGCGGGGATGGCCGTCTAGACGCCCGTGAAGGCGGTGGCAGTGCCTGCAAAGGAACGATGCGACGGATAGCCTTGGTAGCCGCTTAGAAATACCGACCCTGATGAGGGCATTCGAGAGGCTCCGGTGACACTACATCGGCTGAATTACATGCTGCTACCTTTTCTATACTGGTACCAGACCGCGCCGCCCCCGATGAATGCATGAAACCCGATGAGATGGTGAGAGACGGGGCGCGTTCGCGGCCAGTATTAAGAATTCCCTTGAATATTTGAGCTCAGCCGGCTACCGTCAGACGACCTTATATGGCCTACCACCCAGGGGTCATCCCGACCCTATGTTACTTACCCTGCCCAGGTAGGTAATATGTAGACAAATACCAGTGGGGAGTTGAGGCTCTCGTCGTTACCTTGCGTCTATGCGTAGCCTCGCTTAGATCGGTATGGCTTTTACCTTTGTTGTGGGTGGTAGGTAGAATGTAGTGTGGCTATAACGGCGCAACAAGGCAGAATCTGGCTGAAAAGCAACCTGCTAGCCCCCCAATGTCTTTCTGGCTTATTCCGAGTCTCTCTCGGATGTGCCCTGCCAGGCGCTTGCGCGTGGTGCCTCGTAAGAAAGGGTGACTGACTCGATATTGTTGGGCGACACGTATTTCATCTAACCTCGGGGCTAGCGGATCATGGCTGTACCGTATAATATAGCATGGCCGCATCCTTTGACCTGCTGGCTCGGCTTGGGGGCTGATCCCGACGCTGGAATGAGGGTAATCTAGGGAGCCTCACGATATCGTACACTGTTAGCGAAATTCGGTGAAAGAATCAGCCAGCATGGGGTGCCTTGAAAACTGTGAGAGTTTGTTTTAACTGGTAATAACTGCGAGATGACAGCGTCCAGTGGTATAGGTAAACCTTGCTTTCCTCACCTCGAAAGAATCCGAGAACCCCTATTAAGGCGCAGCCGTCGCTGGAGCATCATCTATCAATGCCATCGACCTCGACCTAGAACCGCCGCAACGCTTGTGCCCCCAATTGGATTTCCCCGAGACTAGCCGTCAATTAAAGGCTTGTCGGAATTTCTTTTTAGGCGGCCTTTTCCATGCCTTGCCACACCTGCCTTCTTCTCCGCCTCTATCTCCACTTTTTCCGCCGTCATCTCCGCCTCGAACGTCATGCCGTATCGATCGAGCCGCGATAGTGAACGGTGAGCGGCAGAGGCGGGATCGATCACACATCGAACTCACACGTCGGAAGCGGGCCACATCCCAGAGACGCACGTGCAGATATCCCTTGCGTGGCGTCGATGTCGACGATGATGTAGCCGTTGCTAACGGCAGCGCACATGATTGTATAGGTGAAGGTGGGGGGGTGTACCACGCAGACAGCTTCGCTCGATCGCATCTACTAACCAAATTATGAGCAAAAGTGACGACGGCTGCGTAAGAAGACAGCGCGGGAAATGTAGATACGAATGCCTCAATAGAAGTCCGCCGGAAGCTCTTACCTAAGGCACCTATTCACAAAGTGCCTAGGAGACACCGACATCGGATACACCATGCTACTAGGGGGCGCCTAACCTACCTGTAAGTACAAGCACCTCAGACAATCTCAGGTGGGGTATTGTTGTTGCCTCCTGCGTTAGGAATCGGTACACAACCTCGTGCCTATACGCGGGAGCATATTTCGATCGTTGGTGGCGACAGTAGGCGTGCCTAATAGGCGGTGCGTTGGTGCACGATGGATCGTGAACCGCAAGGGAAACGCCCGTTTGCTCCCATTCCAGGGATCGGGGTATTAGTTGGTAACGTCATGGCCTCATCTTCACGTGTCATCTTGAGCTGGCGCGCGCCGCGCTTTGTTACCTAATTAGGTATGTCCATTCTACCGGGCACAAAAAAGAGATAGCCTGTATTCCTGGATCTCCGCAGAGATCTGGTGGAATTAGAAACAGCTAGCAGTTTTATGGGCCGAAATGAGTGGCGGCGGAATTGTCCTCCGCCAACGTACCAAGTAGTGTTACGTTTCTCTACACCTCCTAAGGGGAACCAGCACGGATACAGCGGAAGCAGTGCTAGCGATGCATTCCTTGTCCCGCCACCGCCCCGATATTAAGTAGCCCGACAGTCGCGGCCAGCGAGTTGGCCAGATGTATTGATTTCCACACCCTTCGTCGTCACCCTGACTGCGATATTCCCGACCACCGCATACTGCGAAGACAGATCGCTGCTAGTTCCACGGGACTACTGACATCTACGCATTACCCCTCTCCGTCACTCCGACACCTCGACGATTCCCGACACTCGGACATCCCAGGAGAGCTCGCGACCACCATGAAACTCATCGTGACCGGCGCCACAGGCTGCGTTGGCAGGGAAGTCATCCGGCAGAGCCTGAGCCGCAAGGAGATCACCTCGGTGATAGCCCTGGCCCGCGGGCCCGTCCCCGTGCCGGACGGCCTGGGCGCCGGCGCCGACTCCTCGAAGCTACGCAGCATCCGCATCAAGGACTACGGGGAGTACCCCGACGACGTGAGGAGGGAGCTCGCCGGCGCCGGTGCGTGCATATGGTATTGTCCACCCCTCCATTCCGTTTCCTAGTTGTCGGATCCACCCGAACGTGTAAGGGGTTATAGTTAACGATGGCTCCGGCAGGACCGTCGGTGTCACTCCCGACAAGGCGCTGCGGTCTGACTGGAAGGAGGTCGAGCGCGTGTGCCGCGACTGCACCATTGCCGGCATGAACGCCATGTACGATGCCGGGCCCTCGCGGCCCTTCCGCTTCCTGTACGTTAGCGGCGAGGCTGCCGAGCGTGACCAGACCAAGAAGCCGGCGTTTCTGTCGCGGTATTTGTTGATGCGAGTGAGTGTCACCACGCCCTCCCCACGCAAATCGGCGTCTCCTTCCCCCCGACCCCTGAAAGGAAAAAGAGAAGAATGGAAGAAGAAAAGGGGAGATGATTGCTAACGCGACGCGCGCATTCAGGGTGAGGTCGAAAACCAGGTCCTGAAATTCGCGGCCGAGCACGACGGCTTCGAGGCCGTCACGGCAAGGCCGGCGTTCATCTACGAACCGGGCGAGTTCCTAAAGGCCTACCTCGTCGGGCCGCTGGCGAGACTGGCCCTGGGCGCTCCGAGCATGTCGTCCGCCGAAGTGGCGAAGGCCCTGCTGGAGCAGGTCATCGCCGGGTTTGGGAAGGATCCTCTGCGAGCCTGGGACCTAGTAAGGCTTAGTAAGGCCACGGAATAGGAAATGCGCGCGCTGCGATGAGGGGGAGATGTATCTCTCTTTGCATGGGTCGAAAGGGGGTTGGGACAATGGTCTGGGGAATTATGCGGAGGAGATTACGGGGGAAGAAGTTTGGGGGTCTGACGGGGAGGAATGGAATGGGATAGCTAATTGCCCGATGCAGAAATGCCGAGGCATCTCGCATACCCGCCTACCCCATGGCCTAGCTTGCCTAGGTTAAGGGTCACTCGGTAAACGTGCGATCTCACTCACCTAGTTACCAATAATGAATGCGCTGAGCGTCGGCGACTCGTAAACTACTCATACAGAATCTGCCCTCTAAAGCGGAACAAAGAAAGGGGGAAAAGGTTAGATTTATAACACATTTTTGCTCAATTTGCCAATCATAAGTAGTTTACCAATTACCTACCTACCTTCCTACCCTCCTCACCGTCCGAGCATGGCGTCGAACGAGCTCTTCACCATCCCCATCCCCGGCACCGAGGCTCACCCGGGCGGCGCCATCGTCTGCACCACGCCGGCGCCGCAGGTCTATCTGCTGACGTGGTCGTCGCCGACGGACAACCGCCTCACGCCGGCCTTCAACACGGCGCTGATGACGGCGCTCGACGCCATCGAGTTCGGGCAGGCGCCGGGCGTGGTGGTGACGACGTCGGCGATCGCCAAGTTCTACAGCAACGGGCTCGACCTGCAGCTGGCGCTGAGCACGCCGGGCTTCCTGGAGACGAGCCTGTACCCGCTGTTCCGGCGGCTGCTGACGTACCCGATGCCGACGGTGGCGCTGCTCAACGGGCACGCCTTCGCCGGCGGCATCATGCTGGCGATGCACCACGACTACCGCGTCTTCGGCGCGGCCAAGGGCTACGCCTGCGTCAACGAGCTCGAGTTCGGCGTGCCGCTGACCCCGCCCATGAGCGCCATCTTCCGGCTCAAGCTGGCGCCCGCCGCGTATCGCGAGCTGGTGCTCGAGGCGCGGCGCTACGGCGCCCGCGACGCCCTGGCCGCCGGGCTCGTCGACGCTGTCGGCGACGGGCTCCCCGCCGCCCTCGAGCTGATCCGCGCCCGCGGGCTCGCCGCTAAGGGCACCTCCGGCGTCTACGGCCTGCTCAAGGCAGAGATGTACCGCGAGAGTATCGCCCTGCTCGACGGTCCCAGCGCGAACCCCGCCGAGACGCGGGACGTCGAGGTGAAGCGGAAGGCCGCGGGCGCCAAGCGGTACAAGGAGTGGAAGAATGCCCAGGTTACGGGCGCCAAATTGTAAGGTCTGAACCGCCGTGTGTGTCACGGCCCGACCGGCTTACGAGTGGACGGGTTCCAACGCATCGAGGCGTCTACTATCATTGTAGGCGCCTTCGAGAATGCGTTAACGAGGGTAGAAGCGAATATATATCGGCGAGTGGAATGATACCTATGTATAGGGAGACGCAGCTATTCGCAGAAGATCAATCAGCTTTACCCTGAGGAGTTGGCTATACAATCGCTAACCATTGCACCCACCTCCCAAGGCGATTTTAACGATGTTTTTCGCTTCATTAGCCTGCTATTCCGAAGCTACACCCACAATTGCCGGGATTCACCTCGTTTCTCGGCGAAATTAACAAGACAGGAGGAGCCGGGTCGGGCACGGGCGGCGAGGCCCTCAGAGTAGCAAAGGCTAGGCTGGGGCTTACAAGCTTCCCTACTGCAGGGGCATATATGTTTTTTTTTTCGAGGGCGTCCGTTGTCGATATGCAATCCTAGCCCTCACCTTGCCCCTGCCACGTCTTTTCATTTCCCCGTAGAATCGATATTTGGTCCTCACTGTCTTCGGCCTTCAAGGCTGTTCGCTCCTATAGTTGCTTTTGAGCGCAATCAAGGGACGAGCGGCCGAACGACTCTCAAGTAGGCAGGCAAAACAACCTATGTCTTTTCTTGCTTCTCGGCCGTTAGTTGAAGCCATTCCGCTCTCATGACCGCTGGGCGGTTAGCGAATTGGCTCTCGTCATATTCGCTGACATCTCATATGTATGCCGTGTCTAACGTTATAATGCGTGACGTGCCGAATTAAGAGAGGCTGTGCCCTCCCCAGTCTTTCCATCACGGGGTGATTTGATTCAAATGCGGTACGAAGGTAGCATCGTGCGCGGATACTAGGAAGTATCGATGGTGTAAGCCAAGATTATCGGTGCATACTCCGGGACGGGCTCATCGAAAATATCAAGATTGGAACTGCGGATCAGTGGGCTTACCGCCTTGTCTATCAACGCATAGCCAGAGAGCCCGTATTGTTGAGATAGCAAGTTTCTGCGATAATTCCGGCTGCCCGACAACAAGCAACGCCACCTACTAAGTTACCGCAGACCATCACAGTTGACTGGCTGTGACTGGTTGGTGATTTGCTGGCCCGCGCTACGCAGTCCTGCACGGGCAGAGACTGATCTATGGGCTCGGTATGGGGGGGACGGCGTGGCCGTGAAGGTGATGATTGAGCGATTGGCCGGGCAAAAGAGAGGACAACGCAGGGAATCTGCAAGGGAAGAGGAAAATGTAGGGGCAATGCCATCATCCACCCACAGGGAAGCAGCGACGAGCCTGAAAGCTGAGCCAAGTTGAGCGAATCTAAGCTCAATTGGATCCAGCCCAGCCAGGGCAGTGGCAACCCTGAGTTTATCTACCCCACCATACTTATAGGATAGGTACTCTGTAAGTACCAGTCTGCAGCAACAACAGGAGACTTTCTGTATGACCAACTGCCCACCTGGGGCGGACCTGTGAAAAGTGACAGTACTTGACGGGTACGGCTTACTCCTGGTATCTGCCCGGGCAGGGAAGGGAGTGCCCCACTGAAAACACTAAAGCTTAGGCACTTAACCTCATGTACCCTGGTCCATCCCGCGGGTGGGGTAGGTACCTCTCGTTGCTGTCCCGTGGCTGCTGGGCTATGCATACATATGTACCTCCACCGCACAACACGAGGCAGCAAATACATGCACAACCCCACCTGAGGTACTTACAGAGCCCGTACCTCATGTACCCTGGGCGATAAAATGCCATTGTTTATGTCTCAGCTCCTTCCCAGTCCACTATCCGTTGCTATAGCAGGCCAGACCCAGAGCGCCGATACCACACCACATCATCATTCATTCACTCTCTCTCTATCGATATCCCTCTGTCTCTCCTCTCTCCCCATCCTCTCACCCTCCTTTCTACCAGCCATCCACACAGTCCCGTCTCTGGCATCTTGTCGCCGTCTCTCATTATACTCATTCACATATTCAGATTGCTGATCTTCCTTTCCTCTACACTGTCTAATTCAATTCCGCCCACACTACTTTTTTTTTGTTCCTTCTTTTAGAGGCGGAGAGGTAAGAAAACACTGGTGTGTATTCTATTATGATTCGGCGTAGGCGGAAATGCACCGGATTCATGCGAGCTCTTGTTACCTCTCGTTGCATGTAATCCTATTCTCCGCCTCTGCTTCATAAGACGCCTCTCCGCCTGCATCATCCCGTGCAATTCCCGCCGACACCGAGCCTTGCATGCGCATCCGCCACGACGCCTACGCTCGCAAGTGGCCCGTCTCACACTTGGATCGTCCGGATGTCGCCGTTTTGACCCCTCAACGCCAGCATGAAGCCTGGGCTACGGTCCTGATCAATTTAGGTGAGGAGCTATCCCGTTCGTGTAACCGACGAAGAAGTGGGAAGAGGAGAGACAGATTAAATAGGGGGTGCCAGAGAGAGAGAGAACGGGATGCGGTGTGTTTAAGTGGCTGTGGTGGCCGTTGCTCTGGCATGCGACCGTTTGAGGGCGGGCCAAGTGACAGAGCCATCCACTTGGAAAACATGTAGATCTCGTCTGTCCATGTGTATATCTGCGTCATCCTGACACATATCGATCCGGTGTTGGCTGGAATGTTGCTGAGACTAACGTTATCATCTCTAACAGATCATGACTGCCCCAAAGTCTAACGATGAAGACGATCCAGCGGATCCTGAGACTCCCAGCCAAACCTCCCCTACGAAGACAAGCACTTCCGATGCCGCCCCTGGCAAGACATCTACTGGCAAGGACGCAACGCTCAGTAAAGATGGAACCCCTACGGCAACGCCGGGCGCTGGTCGCCCCCGGTCCGCTACAACGAGACTACCCCCTACGCTCCTCGGAGACTTCTTGCTCGGCCGACCATCGCCGGCCCGAGTCGCGGCAAGCAGAAAAGCAGCTCGGGAAGCGGCGCGAGAGCGGCGGAAGAGTTTGGAGATGGTGAAGCAGGAGATGCGCCAGGCTGCTGTGATGCGCATCCAGGCTCCCGGAGGTGTGCATGACCGAGTTAAGAAATGGCAGAAGACAAACGCGGCAGCCATGGCCAATGCCGATCCCTTGGCAACTCCTACGGAGCCGAGCGAGGTGAACATACAAGTAGACGAGGAGAGCGTCACCGAGGAGGATCGGGTGAGGATCAAGTCGCGCCAGAAGAAGAAATCACCGCTGAAAGGAGCGGACACCCAACCTAGCACTGACGGAGGCGGGGCCGGGAAGGAGAACAAGATAGATCCTAAACTGACAACCGCGCCTAAGAAGCGGGTGGTTAGTGATACCAACTGGATGAAGGAGAAGAAGAAGAACGCGCCGCCGGCAAACCACCCACCGAAAGCGAAGCCGAACGAGGGCGCCGGAAACCCCTTACCGAAAGACTTCTTGGCCCGTACCGCAGCTAACCCCTCTGTCGCCAAAAAGGTTAGGGACTGGGCGAGCAAAGTGGAAATCCCCGATCAACACCCAAAGAGGCACCGTCCGGCCACGAGATCGGTAGGAAGCAGTGACGGACTTCGCATGAAATCTGCCCCATCGGAAAGCGACGTCGCGAGTGCAAGGTCGGCCTCTGCCAGACTTACCACCGTCCTCAGCAGCTCCCTAGACTCTAAGGAAACGAGCAATGATGGCATTCGCGTCCGGCCTATCCAGGGGAAAGACGATGTTAAAAGCGAAGGACCAACATCGCCTGGCCTCGTCGTCGAGCCCCTTAAGCTACGAAAGTCAAATACGTACGAGGACGACGGCATTCGCGTCATTCCCACGCGGAGCGAAAATAGTACAGCAAGTGGCAGATCACACTCTATTCGAGTTGCGGAAGCTTCCGGAGCACGAAAACCGCGGGGGGGCAAGGGCAGCAATGCGAAGGCTGAATCAGCGCAGAAGCAGACCTATCGGGAGGAAAGCGTCTTGACGGAGTCGCAAACAGCCTCTTCTCTGACCGATTTAACTACGGAATCCTCCGACCTGTCTTCAAGGCGAACCTCCAAGCTCCTTAACACCAGTGGGACAGGCACTCGGAGCGACCGTTCACCATCAGACCGCACAGAGACGGCAGGGGAAGAAACCGGGTCCGACAGAACACAAACGCCGCCGCATCATAGCAGCAGACAACCTTCCAAGCAGCCGCACAATCATACCCCAAAGGCCACCGGAGAGCCTTCTGCGAGAAGTCAGGCGAACACTGGCACCACAGCAACGGAGGAGGTATCTGGCAGCGACTCTTGGTCGAGCGACTCGGTGTCAGAGATGCCGTTCAGTGTACTGCCGAAATCGTTAGCAGACATACCAGTCGGGTACTCGGCGTTCAGCGAGCTCGATCTGCAAACGGGTTCAAGAAGGCCAAGCACCAGACCAAAATCCAAGAGGCAGACTAGCTTCAAGGGTGCTACTAACGCCCTGAAGAAAGCGCTGACGGAGGGAAAAAAGATTCTCACCGAAAAGGTCGATCACCCAAAGCCTGTCCCTAACCAGCCACCCAATATCGAAACATGGTTAAAAGACACCGTTGACCCTTTTATCAATTCGCCAGACACCCCCGAAACTTCGGAGAACAAAAGATCTGTCGGTGGAGAGCGAGTAGACGAAAGCAAGACCCAGCGCTCTACTCCTCCGAGACATAGACATGTTGACCCTTCATCCCCCCTAAGCGCTGACAAGCGCGAAGACAATGTCCGGAGCAAAGAAATTAGTAAAACAGACCCAGACCAGTTGCACAGGACCAAGTCGACGACACCAACTTCACCCGGGCTGAAGAGAAGCCGAGCAACTAGGCTTTCGTCGTCTGCTTCAAAGAACAGCATCAGGGAAGGCCTCAAGGAGAAGCTTAAGGATGCGTTCCGTGGGGAGTCGGCCGGCCACGGCCCTCCACGATTCGAGTATCCGAGCTGCCCCGAGGTAGTAGACCTCGATGATGAGCGCGAGAGTGAATATCGCGAACGGCGTCGATCCTCCGGCACAAGAAATAGTCAATCACTCGAAGACCAGGACCACGATGATGATGACAATTGCTCGTCACATTCTTCTGACACTGAGAAGTTGACGCCGTCACCTCTCCACCCCAAACGAAAGCCGCCGACTAATGGCTTTCATGAATTGTCAACAATCGTATCTGAGCTCGAATCATATGGTACGATCGAATCAGATCTATCATCCGTCTTATCGCATACAACCATAACAGAGGCTCCGACTCTGTCGAGAAGCCGGGCAGTGTCTCGCAGGGGAAGCCAAAAACCTAGCCTCAAGAGGCGGCATACAAAGCATTCTGATCTGGTGTCTGTCCTCTCATTACCCAAGGATGACTCGATGCCGAGGAAACGAAGTAGTCGCCGCTCACAGAATGCTAGGGGTTCACCCGACCGTCCCGGCGATGCGGCTGTGGATGGGCTCCTAAACGAATTTTCATACGACGAAGATCTTTACCAGCGTGAATTAAAGACTCTCGTCGACGGAGTCATCCCAGTCCTCTTAACGCAGTTCGTGCACAATACGAGTAGAGCTAGAAGGGACCTTTTTGGTTCCCCCCCAAACCGGTACAAGGAGGATACACTGGACAACGCGGTGGTAAACATGGGCATTGCCCTCGAAACCCTGCGAAACAACCACATTTGGTGCCCACTATCCGACCTACATAAACTGCCCCAATGGCTCGAAGGGGTCCATTCTATTTACAACCATTACCTTGATGTGTGGCGTCTGGGTTTCCAGGGTATTATAGTCAACCTAGCTCCGAGAGCACCTGGCGAGGAGGATTCCCTCATAAATGCCATGCCCCGGAATGAGCAGGGCGACATCGTAGACGAAGACGGCGAACGCATCGACGTTGCCCACTTGCTGAAGCGTCCCCTAGTCCGAGTCAAACGGATAAACAAATTCATCCAGGTAAAGCGCGTCGAAACGCCTCCCCGTTCCGGCCAAACTAACAAGACTGCTAGGGCTACCGATCGGCCACCAATGCCATGGAATTTGAACCGCTTGCTTCCAAATGGGCGACACTCCAGGAAAAGGCTCGACGACGACACAAGGAAGAAGTGGCAAGGGTCGTCGATGACGATGCGAAGAATACCGATACGTCCCGAACCCATGACTTGAGAACGCTGGAAGCCCTGGAAAACGTCCGGATCGACCGCCTCCGTCAGGTCTACGCGAAGGACACATTTTCCCTCGACCTACGACATTCAAACGGACAACGACTTGAATGCCATGTCGAACTCGTTTCCAGAGACAATATACTATTCAAGTCCGATCCGGGTGACCTCCTCATCAGGGAAACAGGCAGTGGTGGCCGTTCGTGGCTCCTATTTGCGCCCGTACTTGGAGGACGTTATTCCGCTCGGAGGGGAGACGATAAGAACGAGCTTGTCGTCATGATCCGCGGTCCCAAGGAAGAGTGGTTTGAGCTTTTGTTGCTCAAGACAGACAATGAAGATCAAGTCCTGGATTGGCTGAACATACTCGGCAGTGACCCGATACCCCCTGCATTCCCGGAGACGCTACCTCCCACATCACGGTCATCAGTTCCACCGTCCACGTCAGAAGCTGACGGAATTCCGATGGGCGAGAAGCGATACCCGAATACTACCAACCGTCATACGTTCGCAGGATCTGTTGACAAGCCAGATCGCGAGATTGGCCGCACCCAATCTCGTGAGCGAGTTTCTAGCTTACCTAACGCGCCGAATTCGCCCCATCATGCCGAATCATCCACCCAGTCAGACGATAAGACATTACCTCAGGACTCCTACCCCAAGTCCCGACGTCAGTCACGGGTTCCTACGGTCAACGAACCCAGCCCACGCTCGTTCAGTATTCCCGAACCGCTCTCGATCAAGAAGACGGCTCCGAATAGCACACCTTACCGCGATGACGGCGCTCCACCCCCGCCAGTTCATCGAACCTTCAGCTCTAAAAAGGCACCTCTACTCGCACCCCCTGTCGATCAGCATCAGTCACGTCTGAAGCGGCGGACTTCTTCACCCCTCAAGCACGAATATCACCCCTCAGATGTGTCTTCCGAGGACTCTATGTCGTCATCCGGATCCGGAGATGAAGACTTGGTCTCCGAGGAGTCGTCCGACGACGAGCTTGAGGCAGCTGACATACCCGACACTACCCCAGCCATTAGCATCAAGCATAACACAGAGCAGCACCCCAGCAGACCCTTCGTCTCGGAGAGTGCCGTCAGTCTGACTCCGTCTGCTTCCGCGTCCCAAGCTGGCTTGCCGAGGTTCGAGAGCGAGCAACCGGCATATTCCATCAAGTCAATTGCTTCTATATCCTACTGGGACAATAAGCATGGGCGATGGAAGGACCTTTGGCCTGAGCTCTGTTCTATCGTCACCACGCCGGGCCTCATCGAGGCTTTTCCGTTAGCTCGGGCACAACCGTCGCCGAAGGGCACATCACAGGAAGAAGAGCTACCACTGGTCGCGCTGGACCTCACTCCTCTAGTTATGCTGCGCAACAGCACAGCCGTCGACTTGGAGATCAAATCGCCCGTCTTAAGCTACGCCAAACTTTACGAGAAGGTGGCCAAGTATGAATCGTCCGTCTTCCGCTTCCGAACGCAGTCGATTCCCGAGTGCGGGTCACTCTACACGGCGGTTCACCGCGCGCGCATGGACAACGCAAAGTATAAGGCGCTCGAGGAGGAGGCGCGTGTCCGGTCGTTCGGCCAGTACCAGAGGCAAGAGGGCGAGGGCGAGGGCGAGGGCGAAGGCAGCAGCAATCGACGAGGGTGGTTTGGCCGAAAGAACAGCTATCGAGCTTCGACGCGCGCCCCGTCACAGTCCGCCGGCAGCATTTCGCAATCTTCGAGCATGTCGGCGTCCTCATTCCTCAGAAAGCTCATAGGAAACGGCAACCAATCCTTCAACATCGGCATGTCCTCGGTCGATAGACAGTCGCGGTCCGGAGCCGGAGAAGCGTCGCTTTACACATCTTCGTCCTCGTCGGCCACGCCACCCCGCTCGCCTTCGGTCAGCTTGGCGAACAGCGGGAACACCAGGGTGAGCCTCACAACGAACAACCTCAAGGTCCGCCTCCACCTCATGATCTCCCCAAGCCGGTGGGAGGATTACGGCAACTGTCTGCTCGAGGTCACGAGGCCGGACGACGGTGCTCGACAGAGTTTGAGGAAGTGGCAGGGCATGGAGAAACGGATTGTCGTCACGACGATCCCGAAAAAGAGCACAGTCAAGCCCCTGGTAATCCTAGACATCGTGCTGGGCAGCCGATGCTTCAGTCGACTCGGAAGCCGAGGAGTCCTGCTCAACGTCTGGGAGGAAGTCAAGAACGAGAGTGGTGAGGCGGGAGTCGCGCCTCAGGGCGGAGCCAGCGGAGGAAACGTGAGCAAGTGGTGCTTTCAGTGCTCCTCACCGATGGAGGCGAGCTGGATCTTTGGGCTCGTCACGCAGGAGGTCGTAATCAGTTGATAGATACCCCCCCCCCCCCCCCCCCCCACAACACCCCCCACAACACCCCTTTCACTTTTTTTCACTTTTCTCTATTCTTCCTCATTTCTACCCCCACCGTCCCGATCCTGGGGACGCTTACCGAGCCCGCCCAGGCAGCTCGCCGGCCATATCGCCGTCCCACGAACGGGATGGCATCGCATACTTTACCGCGTACTAGTTCATATGTATCAATATACCCACTGGTCTGACGCACCGCCAACCATCATATCGCGCGCACACGCGACGCGCCACATACAAACGCCCACGAGAGGAGAGAGCGGGGGAGGAAGACGAGGAAGGGGAGAATAGGAGACGGTATCGGACCTCCCGCCGGCTTGCGGTCCTTGGCCGGGGCCCTCAAAGACGCCCGAGGGAGAGAGGCTAGGTGGACTGCACGCATACGTCGGTTCAACTATCTAAATGTATGTACATGTAAACCTGTCTAGTGGATGCACACACGGACAGCCGGGCGGAGGAGAGCCGCCCGGCGACATACATATAAATAATATATAAAGTAAAATGAGCCGAGTCCTCGGTAACAATGTAGATGCGAATGCGTGTAGTGACATAATACTGTGCTCACGCCGCCGTTCCCCCCCGCGCTCTCGAGCCGCGGGCTAGGTGTGGCGCGGAGTCAGCGTGCGTCGAGGCTGACGGCGCGGACTTATGAGCTTGTACGTGCGTCGCTCGGGTACACACACGCGCTCGCCTCCAAGGCGGCGGCTCCTCGGCCGTGCGGCGTAGTAGGTACCGAGGGGGACGGACTGGCAGGGGTCGTCCGTGGGCGCTGGCTACCTGTTAGAGGCCAGGGAGGTCGTTCTGATTGTTCCGACTTCTCACACTGCGGACAGACAGCATGGGTTATATGTGTGATGTGTATAAGAAGGGCATACCTGTCTTGAGACGAGAGAAAAGGGGAGTGAAACCGTCTATTCGTGAGGCGTTCGCGACGTTGTGCTCTCTCTAAGAGCCTTTCCCCCCCCCCGATCCGGCGGCGCTCGCTCGCTCATTCGTGGGACGTGGATGGCGCCGGCTCGGGCTCGCGAAAAGGCCGCCGCCAAGCGCGGCCAGTGCGTAAGAGGTAGGACTGCGGGTTTTCTCGCCCCTGAGCCGATTTTGCGTCGCTCACGCCAGTGTTCTACCTAGGTAGGTACTAGCTAGCTAGGTACTTAGCCGTCGGCGATGGCCCTGCGGCGCTTGCGTTTCCGAAGCGCGCATCGCACGCTGGGATCGCGACGAGTCGTGGCGCGGTCTGGTTTTTATGAGTAAATCCTACCACCTACTTTCTCTCCTGGTAGGTATTGTAGGCGGGATAGGCAAGCATGTTTAGGTCGCAACGTGGCATGCATGCGAGTCACCGACAAGTTGGGGGCGAGAAGTCTCGTTGGGAATAGTTGCACTGAGTATGCAGCAGGATGTTACTGTTGCATGATGGGACGCTGTGTGTCTCTCCCCAGCTACCTAGCGTAGATACCTAGGCATATCTTCATATTACGACCGAGACGGATATTAGTTCTATCCCTTTTGCCGTTACGATATACCTACCTACGAACGTAGGCAGGGATATCGATGTGCTTCTAACACAAGATAGATGCGCGATCGCAACGTGGTTCAGTTCCCCTCGCCTTACCCCATACCATGCCCTTTCTGCAATAGTCTGCCGACGCGCGACGAGAAACCCCAGGTTGTTCTCTTCCCGACGCGACGAAGCTAAGGGAGGGCCGGGGTGCTGCAACTCGGATCCCCGCAACAATACCCGGCTGATCCTCATGCGATCCCTCAACTTGGCTATTAGCTCCGTCGCGGCTCCACTCGTTAGCCCTGGACACGAGGTGACGACTGGTTCGCAAGCGATCGCCGTCGCATCTTGCATGCCGACGGGTCGGAACATAACGTACGGTATGGGGATGACAATGGGGGTTTGGCGGAGAACCGTGGAGAAACCATGCCCAAGTTCCCCCACACACACGCGCACCCCGTGGGTATATCAACCTCATGTCTTTTCCCTCCCTCTCTTCGGCGCTGGGAGCCAACTACCTCTTAGCACTGACGGCCACGCGGAAACTATTCGATAAGGGCAGAACAACATCGTGACCGCGATTCACCATGGGGGGATTCCGTGCCATCGAGGACCGGCCGACGCCGAAGGAAGTTTACAACTGGCGCTTATACACCGAATGCATGATTATTGCCCTGGGATCTCTGCTGTAAGTTCTTGTAGATGATAACAGCGGCGACACGAGCCTGCGGTCCGACACCCTCTTAGACCGACCTGCTAACAAACCAGCTTCGGGTACGACTCCGCCTTCATCGGGACCACGATATCGCGCAACGCCTTCAAGACAGCCTTCGGCATCACGCCGGCGACGGCGAACGACACGTCGAGCAACATCACCTCCGCCTTCCAGGCCGGCGCCTTCTTTGGCGCCATCTTCTGCTTCTTTATTACCGAGAAGGTCGGCCGGAAGTGGGCGCTGAGCATAAACGTACTAGTCTTCAACGTCGGCGCCGTGCTCATGGTTGCGACGAGCGGCAATCTCGGCATGATCTACGCCGGCCGCGCGCTGACCGGCGTAGGCTGCGGCGCCGTCACGGCCACCGTGCCGAGCTACATCGCCGAGCTGTCGGTGCCCTCGATCCGCGGCATTATGACGGGGCTCTTCGAGATCACGTACCAGATCGGCTCGCTCGTCGGCTTCTGGATCAACTACGGCATCTCGCAGAACATACCCGCGACCGACGCGGCCAGCTGGCGCATCCCCATGGCCGTCCAGCTCATCCCCGCCGTGCCCCTCTTCGCCGGCTGCTTCTTCCTGCACGAGAGCCCGCTGTGGCTCATGCGCAAGGGCCGCGCCGAGCAGGCGCACCGGGCGCTCGAGGCGCTGCGGCACCTCCCCGTCAGCAGCACGTACGTGCAGGAGGACATCACGGCGATCGAGAACCGGCTGCGCGAGGAGGCCGCCGTCTCGGCCGCGTACGGGACGGGATCGTGGGCGCTGTTCCGCGGCGCGATGAAGGAGTTCTCGCGCCGCGGCATGCGCAACCGCGTCCTGCTCGTCTTCTGCGCCTTCACGCTGCAGAACCTGTCGGGCGCCGCCGCCATCAACTACTACAGCCCGACGCTGTTCGGCTCCCTCGGCGTCACCGACGTGGCGCTGTACACGGGCATCTACGGGCTCGTCAAGGCCGTCGCCTCCATCATCTACTACATCTTCTTCATCGACATGCTCGGCCGTCGCCGCCCCACCATCGTCTCGTCCGTCATCTGCTCCGCGTGCCTGTGGATCGTCGGCGCCTACGTCAAGGTGGGGAACCCGGCGGCGACGATCGCGGCCGGCGGGACGCTGTCGACGTCGACCGCGCAGGGGGGCCAGGCGGCGATCGGGATGATTATGATCTATTCCGTCTTGTGGGTTTCCCGTCTTTGCGCTTGCGCTTTATTTCTCCCCCCCCCTTTCTTGACGTGGCGGCTAACGGTGGCGAAGCTGGTCGTTCGGGCTGAACGGCATCCCGTGGATCGTCTCGGCCGAGATCTTCCCGGGCGCGCTGCGCAACTTCTCGGGGACGTTCGCGGCGCTGATCCAGTGGCTGATCCAGTTCGTGATCACGAAGGCGCTGCCGTACATCTTCAGCTCGTTCGGCTACGGCACCTGGTTCTTCTTCGCCGCGTGGATGCTCGTCGCGAGCACCTGGGCCTTCTTCATGCTGCCCGAGACGAAGGGCCTCACCATCGACCAGATGGACGTGATCTTGTAAGTAAACCCGTATGCGCGGTGTACCGGTGATTTTTTCTTCTAACCTTTTGCTCGCAGCGGCTACAACGCCGACGGTCACCGGGGCATCCCCCACACCGCGGTCACGACGAGGCTTGCAAAGCAGGCCCACGACCAGGCCGTCACGGAGAGGGGGAAGAATGTAGATGCCGAGCACGAAGAGACGGTGTAAACGAGACGGGAACTACTATGGAAGCTCAAACATTTCGAAGCCTAGCTGTAACATTCTCTGTTGAGGACGCCAGTTGCATATGGGGTTCGGTACCAATGCGGTGATTGCTGAGCGTTTCTGCTTGGACGAGGTATCTAGTGTTTTCGTAGGAAGTGAGCCGTCTCCATGAGCCACAATGTATAGTAGGTGGGTAGCATAAGTCGATGGGCACCTGCACCTTATCCTCGCGGAAAGAAACGCAAGTTGCGATACAAATCGTCACAGGTACCTACCCCGAGTTATTCCCAACGAGTAGGTACTATACTTGTACCGCTTACCTCCCGACGTACCTAGGTACATGATGTACATAACGTAAGTATATAATGTACATAGAAGTACACAGGGCAGGTTGATAAGATAAAAAGGTCGGCAGGAAATTGGTGGCCTGTGCGCGGACCCGGTGCTTCCTGCTTGCTTTGCGTGGTTCCCCTGCGGACGCGTCTTCGTAGCTTCCCTTTGCGCTTTGTCCACTCACATCGTGGAAGGAGTGACCCAGAAAAAAAGAAGTACGGGGGTACCGCCGGTCCTCTTTCCTGCTCTTCTGTGACCGCCCTGGACGAGCAAAGCAGTTCATTTCATTCACTCGCAACTTTTCCTCCATCCTTTGCCGTCACCGTCACCCATTTCCTTGACGGCCTCTATCGTCCTTTATCCTAACCTTGATCCGTCCGGCCACTCCCCATTCCACTCGAGCCCGTCAATCCTCCCCTCCTATACTCTTCTTGCCCTGGTTGACCCTACGGCCGTCATATATCTCCAATTGTTGGATCGAAACGCCTCGCGCGTCCTTCGACTCATCTCCCTCCATCTCAGTCGCGTCGCGGCGCATCTGCCACCATGTCCGAATACAGTTCCCTCAAGGTCCCGGAACTGAAGAAATTGCTCCAGGAAAAGTCACTTCCTGTTACCGGTAATAAGGCGGACCTGATCGCACGGCTCCAGGAGCACGACAAGGCCAATGGTTGGTTGTCTTCCCCCAACATAGTTTTCACCCGGCCTGCTAACAGTGGACAGCTGCACCCGCTCGCGAGAACGAGGACGAGATTGATTATAGTGACGATGAAGTCCCCGCTACTACACAGTCTGTCGAGCCTACCAAGCCCGAGGAACCGGCTGAAGCCGTCGCGCCTGTTCCTGTAGCCCCTCCTGTCGAAGAGAAGAAGCAACCAGCCGAGCCTGCTGAACCGGTCGAGTCTGTGAAGGATGCTGCCGCCGATCCTGCCACGGTGACCGATGAACCGGCCGAGGCTGCACCAGAAGACCCGGCTGCCCCAGAGGCTCCCAAGACTGATTTTTCTGCCCATCTTCCCGCTTCCACCGTAAATGACGAGGCGCGCAAGCGCGCCGAGCGAGCCAAACGCTTTGGTCTTGTCGAGGATGAGGAGGAGAAGAGAAAGACGGCACGTGTCGAGCGCTTCGGCGTCGACGAGTCGTCCCTGGTCCAGGGCCTAGACGCTGCCCTTCCCGAGAGGCGGCCTGCTAAGCGAGGCCGGGAGGGAGCCAACGCGGATGCTGACCGGGGCGCGAAGCGGCAAAATCCCGGTGCTCGACAGCGAGGCAGGGGCCGTTTCCGCCAGGCCGGAGGCAGCAGACCTGGCGTCGTCGTCAGGAAGGAGGGAAAGCCGAACGCACCCAGAGGAAAAGTAATCCTGGACGACCCGACCGAGAGGGCGAAGGCCGAGGCACGGGCGAAACGTTTCGGCGGCGCCTAGAGGCACAGGCGGTGGTAGGTCGTGTTGTCCGGCCCGACCGAGAAGGGGCAAGAGCACAAGAACGAGTTGGTGTTGGGTCTCCTGTAGAGAGGGCCGCTATCCCTTCTCAATTTCCTAGGTTGATATCGAGAGTCGACACGTCGGGCGATTCGATCTGGGGACCAAGTCCGAGGACGCTATCGGCTACCATCCACGACTTTTCCCGGTTTCCTCTGTACACTATAGTTGGCCTTTTTCTTTGCGCCTCGCGCAGTATGACCATGCGCTACCTACTTTTTCTACGCACACGGCTCGCGTTTGACCCCACACGACGTCGCCATATTCTTTGCCATCGTTTAAGATAATGAGGTTAGATAATGACGGCAACTGATCAAACCGACTCTCTCGGGATGAATCAATTCGCGTTTCCGGATATCCACCGTCAGAACGGACCCGCTAGGACCTGTGTGAATAACTATTGCTTCCACGCCCACATCGCCATTTAAACGCGACCTGGGCCCGGCAAGTCTACAGCTTGTCGGGCGTGTAGTACCGAGCCGCGCCTCGAGGTTGAGTCCGACGGCGACTATTCAATCTCGACCTCCCATCTTGCATGGGATGTTCAGATTCAGCCACCGCGAGAACCGGCCCGATGGGTTTCGTCTTTTGTCTTACGACCGATCCATCGCGTAAGTCAGGGATGCTGCGAGCCGGACGTTGGACGGACGAGTCTGGAACAGCACGCCGGTCCGTTCAGATGCAGCCCGCGTGCTCCCAGCGCGTAAAGCTGCCATAAAGCAGCTTGGGGCGGATTCGGCCCACACAGATATCAGGAAACGCGTAGCACATGTAAATATCAACGTTCGATAAATATTAAGCATCATCTTGGCGAAAACCGCAAATGGACGACTTCGCTTCGGCTATTGCGAGTGCGCGTATTCGAAAGTGGCTATCCACGAGTCCCCTAGGCTGACGATATATAATTGTCTAAGCTTGGCTCTCATCTCCGCAGTATTGACACGGCTGTGTCAATTAGAGAGTATGTATATGTATGGTATAAGCTCTGCGACTTTGGCTAGAGGGCAGGGTTAGCTAGATAGGGGAACAATGCATCATTGCATTCATCGCACCGCTCACTCCGAGGACATCGCAGAGACGGCTTAGTGTGAATCAAATGAAGACCCCTCTTCTGCCAGTACTGTGAACTTGTCTTGCAATGTCCAGTTCCGGATCGCGGTGCTGTCGCAAGTGGCATATGGCACCGTACCACATCTGTCCTAAACGTGAGCAGCAAAACAACGATACTCGAGACACGAACAGAAGACCGGTAACACCGCCTGCGCATTTCTGGTGCGCCATGCTCTCCCTACGATGCCATTATCGAAGCTCCAGCGCGCTCGTTCACCTCCCCCCCCCCCGGCTAGCCAGCCCCTCTCTTTGTATTGTAAACCTGCCATGTGTACGTATCGGGACAGCGCTGGTGCTCGGGAGAACAAAAGATTCAAGATCCATGGGCATTGTCCCCCGTCTCCGGGTCGGGCACTCGAAGCGAGGCTACTTTCCATCTTTCTGTCTGCGTCGCCGATTCGCTCGCGAACGGGACTGTCCCGGTCTATGCATGCTCGTACTCGGAGCGAGGGAGGTGGAGAATGGATGGACAAGAAGAGGCGGCGAGGACGACGAACAGCGCGGCCATCGCAGCACCGGCTCTCGACCGCCCGCCGGCGACTCAGCGGGCACGTCCTCGCCCACGAGATCAGCACAGGATCCCAAGCCATTGCTTTGTCTCTCGCTCCGTTTCTCTCTCTCTCTCTCTGCCCCCACATCCCCCTTATGGCCGCCGTCCTCTGCCCAGCGTGTCTCCCCTTACGCCCTTTGTCGTGCCGAGAGTCAGCGACAAAGCGAGGCCCGCCTACTTGCCTGTCGCGAGGCCGTCTTTTGTCCGCGTCTGAGGCGCTCGATCGCTTGCGGAAGTGTGCGCGCCCGCCTAGCTCTCGAGCTCCCCTCTCCCCCAAGGCCGTCTTCGTGCCCTACCCGCCGAAGACCTCGCGGCTTTATATCCGGCGACAATCCACTCGCTCCCCCCCCCCCCCTCTCTCCCGAGCCCCGCGCCGCCTCTGTAAGGATACGTGACGACTCCCCGAGGAACCGAATTCTGCATCGATAGGAATTGGGTGCTTGCTTACTGCTGCGTAGGTTGCTACACGCCCCAGCGAGCGGCCGTTGCCCACGTGCCTATCTAACTGCGTGCCCAGTCGCCCAGCTGCCCGCGAGAAGACCCCGACTTTGAAGCGGCGCGAGATTCTGCCCCGCCGTTGCGCTTTGGCTTACCGTCTTGGACGTTGTGTGCCGTGCCGTTGCTGCTGCTGCCGTCGCTGCTGGGGACGCCGCCGCTTATGAGACTTGCGCGGTCGTCGTCCTGGTCCGTCGCCAGTACCAACGCCAGCGCCCATCGCATTGCCAACGGCCTCCTCTGAAACAACGCCTTGCATTGATCGAATAGCTGACAGACATACAGACTGACAAACTAGTACACAGGCTATTCGCCGGCACGCCGACCCCCCTTGTGCAACCGAAGAATCAGTAGAAGTTATTCGAGGTTCGCTTGGGGCTACGCGTCTCCTGCCTACTATCTCGGATATACATACTACCTAGTTACAAGCAAGCTCATACATACATACGTAAAGATACACGCGGGTGCTTGGAAGATGCATCATATCTCGTATCTATCCGAGCCCGCGAGCCGGTACACGTGGAAGCCGCTACGCAGCGCCCAGCTACCGTCCGCTGGGCTGGAGAACGAGAGGCCCGTCGACGTGGTCCTCTACCTGCGCGGCGTGACGAAGCGGCGCAATGAGACCATCAGCGCCCTCGTCCGTCGCCTCAACCCGGCCACCTTTGCCACGCAGCTGATCTCCGAGCCCATCACCGCCGCGCCCAGCGTAGGCGGGAACACCCAAAACAACCGCCCCGTCCCCGTCCCCGTCTACGGCAACGAAGACGCGCGGAAGCTATTTACCGAGTTCGACGACGTCATCGACTTGGCGCGCTACCTCCGCGGCGGCGCCGACGACGAATCGCGCAAGGAGCGCTATACCGCCGCGTTCGGCCCCCAGGTCACCGGCCACATGTCCCTCAACGCGCTCATCGATATGACGCTCGAGTTCGCCCAGAGGTACATCGCCATCCGCTTCCGGACCCTGACCACGAACATCACCCGCGACGTCACCACCGACCACGACTTCCGACGGTCGATCGGGGGGAGAGACTTGATCAACATGATGGTCCACGAGCCGGTCCTAGAGGAAGACATGCTGTGGACCAACGCCTCCCACATACACCAAAATCTTGACATGTTCCAAGACACCAGGCCTGCCACCGTGACCTATTTTCAGTCTTGGTACCGCATGACCATAAATGAAGCGAACACGCTCGGTGCGTAGTAGCAAGCACCCTCTTCTGCCTCCCTACACACGCACATCTCGCTGCTTCCCCAAAGCCGATGTGTCGCGGCAGCGATAGATGCGACTAACCAGTAACCTATAGTACGCTTCGCGAGAGAGAGGGCGCAGGACGGCTCCCGCACCGAAGTGGGATACAGGTTTGGCTGGATCGTGAACTTCATCAACAAATTCCTTTCGTGGAGGAGTCAGCTCCTCGACTATATCGGCCGATCGAAAGGGCCCGCCGGAAACACCTGGGACCCGCAGGGACAACACCGGGAAGCAAACATAGGATTCCACCGCGGCTTGTGGCAACAGCACGGCGGCACACGGATCGACGCGGCATTTGAATACTTCCTCATAGCCGTCTTCCAGGTCGTCGCTACGCTCCAGGGAGGGCGCCCGACGAGTGTGAGCTGGACTCGAGTCGAAGCCGAGGTACGCGGATTCTGCGAGGTGGCTTCGTTGGAGATGGTGACGTCCTCTCTTCGGGGGAGGCCAGGAGTCGTGAGCCAGCTGCAGGCGGCCGGATTCCCAGGCAATTTTCGGACCATGGATTCGAGGTACAGCGTCCCGAGACCCGAGATACCCTTCGAGTGGATCCCCCCGGTGCGTCCCATACCGCAGAACAGGACGATCCCGACCTTGGATGGAAGATACATTACTCAAGTGATAGAGAAGTTTCAACCGCGACCCGCGGGTCCGGGTGCCGATACTGACACCGATGCATCCCGCGCTGGCACTAGGCGAATCGGCCGCGGCCACCGGCCGGGGGCCAGACTGGCGCAGACGGTGCGCTGGAACGACGAGGAGGATCTGCTCTCCTCCTCCGAGGAAGATTTCGAGTACGACTATGACGAGGCGTATAGGATGGCCGATGAACTTCGGGACTACGTCTCCCGTCTGTATGAGTTACAATTTAAAGGAGGGCTCAAGAGGTCAGGAGCTGCTATTGCTACCGAAGACCTGGAGGCTCCCGCCGCGAAGAAGAGGCAGATAATAGGCTAGGAGCATTGTCTAGCCTGGCATTGGAATTTAGGATAGTTAGGGAGGGTTAACCAAGTCTTGTTTTCGCAACTACGGACGCATCTCTCGTTGCATTTCTCATCCCTTACTCATAGAAGACGACCACGATATATTTTGATAGGGGCTTAACATAGGTACCTACTCAGCTTCCCACTCGTCGGTCTAGTGGTTATGCTAATAACTCGAGAGGCGGGTCGTACTACGCAAGGGGTGGTGGTGTCTTTGTTTTTTCGTAGGTATAAGAAACATAAAAAATAAAAGGAAAGCTAAGGAGAAGGTGGGAGGGAAGTGGGGGGAAGTGGGTATGGTAGTATTCTGTTTCGGAGATGCATCGAGGGAGGGAATTCAGATGAAGAGGGATAGGAATAGAAGCCGGCGGAAGGCAAGCGAAGACCTTGACGACCTCTCGAATAATTATCTGGCCCCGTAGATCTAGTGATATTATAGCGAGGGGGCGCGCGGAGGCCTTGTCTGGGACGGATTAGGCCAGAGCCTGGGAAACGGGAGGGGGCCGGTGGCACGCGAACAAGTAACCAGGTCAAGCAATTGATAAGTGGTCTTCGGGTCTGACCCGACACTGGAGACCTCACTTGACCCTACCTGCCAACCCTAATTCGTTCCCGTTCACAGCATGCCGGCCGATTTCGAGAACCAAAGCTACTGGCACGAGCGGTTCGCCTCCGAGACCTCCTTCGAATGGCTGATACCGTCCGAGTCCTTCATGGCCATCATCCTGCCGCACCTCCAAGCGCTCTCGGGCCGCAGGCACGCCACGAGGGTACTCCAGCTCGGCTTTGGCACCAGCGATCTACAAAACTGCTTCCGTTCGAGGGGTTACGTGGACGTGACGAACGTCGACTACGAGCCACTGGCCATCGAGCGCGGCCAGCAGCGTGAGAGAGAAGCATTCGGCGATGTCAAGATGAAGTATATCGTTGCCGATGTGACCCAATTGGAGAGCGGCCTGCCGCCGGGCGAGGTATTTGACTTGGTTGTGGACAAGAGCACCGTCGATGCGGTATCGTGCGGCGGAGAGGATCCTCTCGCCAGGATGGCTGCCGGCGTCAGAAAGTGTCTTGCTGACGGTGGGATTTGGATCTCTCTCAGCTATTCGTCGAGCCGGTTTGACGCCGAGCGACTCCCTTTCGACGTCGAAGTAGCCGCCAAGATCCCAGCGCCGAAGCTGAAGACGACTGACCCGGATATCTACCACTGGTGCTACCTTCTTCGACCCAACTAGCTGACGAAGTCCTACCGAATCCCATGTCCTCCACCGCCGGCGACCACCGAATACAAGGCTACGCATTTAAGTACATGAGCTCTAGCGGCCAACGGCGGAGAGGGGGGGGGAGACAAGTCACGCGTGAGGGATCTTAACCGGCCTGCTAATACCCGCGCGAGGCGCACCGTCAGAAAAAAGAGTAATAAAAGCGGAGGCTAGCTTGAGTTCTAGTCTGTTGGGTCGCCGGCCTGAAAGCTGATAGTTCGAGTTTTACGGAGGCGGGATTATAAGACGTTAGGTAGGATGTGGCAGGGGAGAGAAGGGAGAGCGAGAGAGGTCTGCCGTTTAAGCGACGGGTGTGCCCGGCGTATGGCCTATGGTAAGTGTTGGGTGGGGTAATGCATTAGGTACCTAGGTAACCTTTGCGTAGCAATTGCCAATCATGGTACTGGTCCAATACTTGCCTACCTCTATGAGGCAGGTACCTCGCCCGGTGCCTGGAAGCTATGGTGGAGGTATCCAGGTACCTTCAGGGTACCTCCAATGCCCAACCCTGTCGCCTCGGAATCGCGATGACTTCATACCTGATCATGCATCGCCCAGCCCTCGACCAAGGTGATGCGAGCACAAGGGGAAATCTCCGCCCTTTCCCCTCTCCTCCATTCCCTGGTGCATCATCACACATATCACCACCGTCATCCTCGTCACTGCGGGTTGCCTCCTGTGCCGTCCCCTATCCGCTTCTGCCAATCCTGGCTGACTAACTGCCTCTCTGCCTGTATTCCGTCCCGTTTGGGTTGCCATCGAGTACTCCCGCGCCGTAATACGCTACAACCCTGACCTACGTGTAGAGCGTGCCGCTTTCACAGAGCCTAGGTTCTTACTGCTATGTATGGCCTGCTCATGTACACTCGCTACGACAACTCACATGCTGTTCCCTTCTCCGTGAGGTGCCTGCTATTCCACGCATCTATACGATAGCTGTCTATATCTATCTGTGTCCTATACCGCACATTCCTTCATCCAGTATTCCGTCTAGCCCCGCACACCCTCGTCTGGCGGGCTTAACCGACTCCGGCCACCCCCCTGCTGATATTTTGATTCGTTCCTCGTGAAACCATGTCGAATCAGGTCGATTTCGAATACGATGCGTCGGCGAGAGAATACGGTGACCCTCACAGCGCTCAACATCCGATTCCTACTGTACAAGGCTACAGACAGCGCCGAAAAGAACTAGCAGGCCAGCTGAGAGACGAGGAGGAAGCACAACAGGGACCCGAAGAGCTCGCGAAGCCGAAGAGACCCTTCGAGTCTGTGAAAGCCATCATACAGGGTAAAGACTCCCCCACCTCTCGGCACGATCCGTACCCGTCTGCGAACCGAAACTATGCGAACGACCCACGAGGATCACCCACCTCCGAAAAACGCACCGATGACCGAATCGACGACTCTCGGCATGAGTCTCCAACCGGAGGAAGAACAGGCCAGGGCGTAGCGGGACCTGGCAGGGCCAGTTATGAAATGGACAAAGGACGAGATAAGTCGGCAACCGAGGCTGTCGTAAGCGCTGTTGATCCAAAGGAGAAACGCAAGGTGATGAAGAGGACCAGCAGACATGGCGAAGGGCGTAGGGTCACAGACCCGGTCACCCACCTACCCATCATTATACACGACCAGACTGATAGCGACCTAAGCTCGGTTTCGCAAAACGAGCTAGAGCTAGGGGTATGCTCTGATGCTTCCAGATCGGACGAAGAGATGAGGTTAGAGCGAAAGAAGTTGCAGCGAACCTACAACGGGATGCAAAGGGTATTCCCACCTCCAGATTTTAAGCACACGAGACAACAGCTAGCCAACATCTATCAACAAACCGTGTGCACCGGGCTAGGCATCATCGCCTTCCTGGCCGCTATTCTCCTCCGGCTCCCCACACCCTTTTTCGGCAGCAGCCGTTCGGGTAGCCTATTTCCTCAGTGGTACACAATATTCAGCACGGCTGTGTTTATCCCGTTGGCCGTAGTAACCGCCATGGGTATGGGAAAGTGGATTCATAAGAAGGTCTCCGAGCTGTTTGACGACGAGACGTGGGATGCTGCCCGGCGGGAGGAGCAGGCCGCCTTGAACGATGACGAAGAGCTTCCCGAATCAGTCCAATGGCTCAATAGCCTATTCGCGGCCGTCTGGCCGCTGGTCAACCCAGACCTGTTTGCCTCTCTCGTGGACCGGATCGAAGACGTCATGCAAGCATCTCTGCCCAAGGTTATCAGGATGGTCAGCGTAGACGATATGGGGCAAGGAAGTGAATCGCTCCGCATACTCGGGATACGCTGGTTACCGACAGGGGCCGCCTCGCAGTCTATTGGCGCCGGGGGACAACCTCAAGGGGACGATGAAGGTGCCGGCGATGCTGGCGGGGATGCCGATGCAGATGAAGACGCCTTACGTGGGGGTATGGAAGCAGAAGAAGGCGACTTCGTAAACTTGGAACTTGCCCTCGCCTACCGAGGCCGCTCGTCCGGAAAGTCACTGAAGATGAAGGCGAAAAACGCCCACCTCTATCTAAAGTTTTATCTTCCTGGCGAAGTGGCTATTCCTGTATGGGTTGAGCTCAGGGGCCTTATTATAACTCTGAGACTGCGACTCCAGCTGACGCCAGACCCGCCCTTTATATCGCTCTGCACTATGACTTTCCTCGGGCAGCCCAAGGCGAGTATCTCATGCACACCGCTTTCCAAGCGTAGCTTTAGCCTGACCGATGTCCCGCTCATATCATCGTTTGTCAATTCCGCTATTGATGCTGCCCTGGCAGAATACGTGGCTCCAAAGAGCTTAACCCTTAATCTGAGGGACATGCTTGTCGGTTCGGACTTCAAGAAGAATACGATCTCCCTCGGTACCGTTTGGATCTTTATCAAGAGTGCGCGAGGTTTCAAGCAAGGTGATGGCGGGGTCGGCCCCGTGAAAGGTTCGAGCGATGCCTACGTTACCGTATCTTGGGGTAAATTCGGCAAACCGATGGCATCAACTCGAATCATCACGAACGGAAACGAGCCAAATTGGAACGAGTACACCAGCATTCTTGTGACCCCGGAAGAGGTGAACGCTGAGGAGAAACTCAGGCTTCAACTGTGGGACTCGGATAGGTGGTCTGCCGACGACGATCTGGGTCGTGTAGAGGTAGACCTGAAGTACCTCATGGGACACTCGAGGACTTACAACAAGGTCGAGGAGCGAGAAGACGGCTTCTCTGGCCAGGATCCCGATGAAAAGATGCCAGGGTCGTTAGTATGGTCGGTTGGATACTTTTCTAAGACTAGAATTACGCCAGAGCAGTTCGAGCAGCAAACTATCAACAAGGAGGTGAGAAGCAAGGAGCAGCTCCAAGAACATGTCTCGGTGCTTGCCGAGCGTAAACTGCGAGAATCTGGCAAGTCTTCGGACGACGAAGAGATCAAACAGCAAAAGGCCCAAGACTATAACGAGCTAGAAGAATCGATGATCGCGTCCGCGCCGCCATCTTCGGAATTCGTTTCCGGTATCCTTGGCGTGCAGATTCATAACATCATCGGCCTCGAGATACAAAACCCCCAGAAGCAAGACCAGCGAGCCGACAGTGATGATGAAAGCGAAGCCGAGCAAGATGATAATATGCCGGACGGTTATTGCACCATCATCTTGAACCAAAAGAAGATTTATAGAACACGTACGAAACCGAAAAACTCGAAGCCCTTCTTCAATGCGGGGACGGAGCGATTTGTTCGAGACTGGAGAGATGCCGAGATCATTGTTAGCGTACGAGACTCGCGAGAACGAGAAGAGGACCCGTTGATCGGGCTCGTCTACCTCCCTCTAGCCAAGCTTCTGGCCAAAAGGAGTCAGGTCATGGACACTTACCCTCGTAAGTTGATCACCACGTACCAGGCTTTTCCGAGCCTCTAAGCTTCAGATGAAGCACCTGCCCAATCTTTTTTATCCATCATCTCACGACCTGCTCGTTCACGTTGCTTCCTGAGGCCCATTTCCAAAATCTGCTGACACCAGGCCCTCTAGTTGTTGGTGGCATTGGATACGGGCGAGTGCGTATAAGCTTGGTCTGGCGGAGTGTGGAGATTACCCTCCCCCCAAGTCTTCGAGGGTGGAATTACGGAACGCTGGAGGTTCGGGGCGCTGTAAAGACAAAAGGAGCGCTACCGGAATCCTTGACGGAACACCGAGTCAAGATCAGGACCAACTTAGGACGGGTTAAGATGTATCCTCGGAATGGCCAGTGGGCACCCAAGCACCAGGTAGATGAGGCCATATTCTTGGCTGTTCATAAGCGATATTCTTCCGCCGTGGTCTTCGAATTCCGCGAATCTTTCCTCGGGTCGGATAGGACTACGGCATTCGCTGTCCTGTGGCTCCAAGATCTTGTTGATGAGAAGAATGAGGTAAAGACTCTGAAAGTATGGAAAGGATCGAAAGACGACGCTCGGAAAGCCAGGTCTAGTTGCGATTATAACAGCACGGGCGAAGGTGATCATTTCCTAGGCGAGATTGAGGTGGAACTGAAGTTCTGGCGAGGTCTCTCCGGGTACCACAAGGGTTATGCTTCCAAGGCTAACAATACGGACCTGCGAAACGTCATGGAATGCCTGGACACCATCACCGACGAGAAGCTGGACGATAGCGATGACGGATTCGGAGAGGACGCCGATACGACGGGCGACGAAGATTCGGAAGACGAGACACGCAGGAAGAAACTCCGGGTTCACACCAACGACTCCTCGTCCGACAGCTCCGACGATGAAGGTGCACGTGGTGCTTCGGGGTCGGCGACCACGTCCAAGGTGTCTCTATCGGATTTTAAGAAGATAAAGAACATATTTCGCAACCCAGCAGATGGGGTAACCGAAGCCGCAACGGCAGCGCTCGCACCGGGACATAACGACCCCGACGACGGATCAAGAGGCGTGCGGAACCAATTACGGGACTACAAGGATCACCACAAGCAACTACATCGTAAACATCGGGGTATCATGCAGTGGAGGCCTGCGAGGGAGGCTAACCACCTGGGGGGTAAGCTTAGTAGACTCAAGGGAAACATCAGCGAGATCTTCCACCACAGCGAAAAGGATGCGGATATCGAGACGGAAGTTTAAACGAGGGCGCGAGCTAGGGTGGCTCAGTCGCTGCCGGTGCCGTTTTAAGGCGACAAGGGCTGGTCGAGCAAGCGAAGAAGCTGGCTCGTTTCTGAGTGGTCTGATCGTCAACGGGGTGATCCAGGAGCCAGGCGGTTGGGATATCGGATTCGAGGGCTCGCGGGCGCTAGCCAAGCGGTCGCCACGAAGATGTGCACCACGTGGTGGCGGAGGGGACCGACTGGATGGACAGCGCTCGAAGAAGACCGGAGGGCGTCTAGGCATCACGCACATTCTACTATATAGGCAGGTAGATATGATATAGTAGGTAGGCAACAGGGACCACCTACTGGAGCAATGCGTACCTAAATTGCTTGACGTAGTACTACCTGTCGTAGTCACATAGGCATCTATATACCCGCCTACATAAATATATATAGGGGTATAAGTGCCTAGCCTATAGTCGCCTGGGTGGGTAGGTATGTGTTTCGCACATGCCCGGGATCAGACGATTGCATCATCGAGGCACGGGGCGGCTACAAAGATGACACATCTTTGTTTACTACGGAGCAGGTTGGGTAGCATGGAGGTCCCCTATTTCCTCCAGCATATACAATTACCTGCCTGTGCAGGTCTCCACCGTTCCCGAATCTGTGCGGAGGGCTTCCACGAAAAGGTCTGCGGAAGGGGACTCGCCGAACACCCACGAGAACCCGCACACAAGACCCGAGGTGCCCTAGGATCAGCGGGCCAGCAAGTAGGGAAGACACCGACACAAGCGGAGGGAAGTGGGAAACGCCGCTGGGCATAATAATATAACCATAATATAGATGTACCGCGCAGTGGAATCGGCGGTGCGCAGGTGCGGCTGAGTCGTATTTGGGTAGCATCGAATTTCACGATTCCCCATCGCAATGCTACTCGACCCCGGGCGATACCTGGGTTAGCTTCGAAGGCGCCACAGAATGTCACGGAATGTGGAATGAAATTGCGAGAGGTTCAGGGCCTGGCCCAGCGTAGCAGGCAGGGTGGCACCCAATCCCGTCTGACGTCAGCATGCACCCGGTTTCGACGACCTCGTCTCGCTCTGCCCGAGAGCGAAAGGGGTCCGTCCGGTTCATCGAGCGAGGCGCGTCTTCCGCCTACCTACGTCGCTTATGTACCTACCTACCTCCTCGTACCAGGCCAAATGTCGGGTCAGGGCCAACGCCGCCCCTGTTTTATAGGGCTGAGACGGTATCGGCACTAATGGCACATCCTTGCGCGCGGCCGCCCACGCAATCTGCCTTGGGTGTCCACTTCTGCCCGGTGAGCGAGGATTCCAGACGGGTTCCTCCAACGGGTAGGGAAAATGAGCAGCGCACGAACCGGGGCCCAACCTGGAAAATGGAAAGTCTCGATGCCTTGGAGGGATTGCCCAGTCACACGTTATTGTGCCCACCGTATAGGCGACGAGCAATTCTACCCGGCCGTCAAAAATAGGCACCTACCTCTTAGGCAGGTGGTAAGGTGCCTACCCACCTGTAGTAGGAGGTGGGTTTGGTACCTATAGTAGGAGGTAGATACCTCTATCACCTGCCTAAGAGTTAGGTACCTTCTTACTACCTAGGTAGCTTACACGTCACGTCCACCGCCAGAGAACGGCGCGACGAGTCGATATGATGAGAGGCTTAGACAGGCGGGACATAGGTAAGTGCCGAAATACCTTGGTCGGGTCCATAGTAGGGACAGACTTCTGGCGGACGTAACCGAGAGGTAGGTAGGTACCAGTGGTGTACGTGCCACGCTGGCAAAATTGGGTGCTGTCTGTAGGTGCCTGCTTAGGTGTGTGGTATGTAGCGGGGGTAGTGGGGATGGTGGCGTAATAGGCAACCTACCTGTAGATGAAGGCAGGTTACCTGGTACATATCTCGTAATACAGTACCTTATGAGCCTACGAGATTCCCTAGGTGTGGCGGCCGCCGGAACGTGTCCTCATCCCGATTCCACGCACTCCCAGCATTTCTATCCCACACGCCTTTCGAGCCCGCTCACGAGATCGGCCCCGTGGCTGGTGCCTCTTGTCTGCGTACTAGCATGCACATACGACGTATGGCTACTACGTGTTGTCGTCGTTCGCCGTCGTCGGGTCCGGTTTACCGGTCTGTGGCTGCTGGCTGATGAACCCCTGCACGAGAACCTCGTGGCTTGGCGCATGAATCGGCGTCGCCTCAAGCCCTAGCAGTTTCGGGGCACAGTCGACGGTCCCTCCCCCCTGTCTGAGCCTCCGTAGGGCCGGGGGGGGGGGGGGGTCGATCATCACCTGGCAAATCCCACGAGGGCGGTATCTGGATCAAGCCCCAAGTTCTATCCTGTGTGCTCGGCTCCTAGCCACGGAAATGTCGCCATGGTGGATGGGACCAATCTCTCTACTTGTCGCTCGGCGCTCGAAGATAATTCGCCAGAATACAGGCCAACGCTTAACTCGATGTCATTATTGCTATCCAACGTTCGACACTAATGCCGAATAAGCCCTAGACCCGACCGATCGTTCATCTCACCGCATTGTGGAGCGGCCTCCAGAGCCAACCCCACCGACACGACGGGGCCGTCGTTCACGGCGTCGCTCTCGATAAGGGCCGCTCTTTTGCTGCGGCACAATATGCGTCGTTGCGTGTGTCGTCGGCATGGATCCGTCACGGCCACAGGACAGCCATGACGGCTCGCGTTTGGCCGTCTCATCCCCCGACTGATAAATGAATGGGACGCCCACCCCCATCTTTTGATGACAACGACCGACCGGGCCACCGCATCCGAGCTTTCCTTCAATCGTAGGAACCCTCCCTTGTATTCAGCGCGCTTACGATACCCACGCGTCGTGGCCTACATAATTCTCCATCCGATGTTTGCAAATAGACCAGTTGGCTGGCCGTTCGAAACCCCTATTAATCTAGTCTGGACTGCGGTTCCCGTTCCCATAAGCAGATCTCGCCAATTCGCGGACCGAACACGGGAAACCCAACCCACCGAATTCAGTAGACGACGGTCGAGCGGCTCGCGAGGGAACCAAGGCTTTTCTGACGGCAGCCTAGCGGCAGTCGGTCAATCCACTCGCGCGCGACCGGACGGGAAGCTATTGCCAATCGACATGAGAAAATCGCGACGAAGTAGTCCGAGCAATCGCAGTCAACAGTCGGCACATAACTCTGATTCGTCGGGCAGAGGCTGCGCCAACAATCGGCTGGGCAACGAATCAAGACTGACCCGAAAGAGGGCCAGCAAGCCCAAGGTCCGGACAGGTACGTCGCTAGCCTCCATTAGCTGAAAAGTAGCCTATGAGTTAACGCCTTCTCCACAACGATAGGGTGTATTAGTTGTAAGAGGAGACATGTTAGTCGAGATCCGAACCTCATTTCTCTCCCCCCCAAACTGAGCTTATATGAGCGGCGGCCCCAACTTGTTAACGTCCCTCGCGTCGTTGTATACAACTACCATGCTCCGTCGAAAATCCGGAGTTGCTGACTCGAGCCGTCCGTAGGTCAAATGTGACGAAGGCAAACCCTCGTGCGCCGAATGCGAACGCCTGGGGCTCATGTGCGAGGGATACGCTCCGCCAAAAACTAAGGCCCCAGCTCCCCGACCTGAACGGCTATTGTTACCCAAGCCTTCCTTGACCGTGCGATCCGACGCGGCGAGCACGACGCCACCCCGCTTAGAAGACTATCGCCCACCAATCTCGCCGACGCCCGGGTTCGGATTCGAACTGGGCCAGGAGGACAAGTGGTACTTTACCCTGTTTAGGGACCAGATATGCCACGAGCTGTCACCACACTATCGGTCCAACTTCTGGACGCGGACCTCGCTTCGCGACTGCATGGTCAACAGATGTATCCACCATAGCATTCTTAGCATAGGGGCGTATGCTCGTGCACTCATAGACCTCCGCGAAGGGTCCCCTACCCGCGATAGGATGCCTCGGACCTGGTGGCCGCCGTGGGTGCTGAATAAACACCACCAGGCAGCCCTCACGCACCACGCCAAAGCCCTTTCGCACTTGCGGTCGAATATAAGACTATACGGCATAGACGGTCGTCTTACTATGGCGGCGACTCTGCTATTCATTGTGTTCGAGAATATGCAAGGCAACTATCACAGCTCCGGGAACCTAATCCGTAGCGGCATCAAGGTCCTGAGGGATATACGCAACAGAGGAAACGATTCAAGATCGATATTGCGCCACCAATGGCATCGATATCTAACCACCCCTCAAGACGAGGTTGACGAGATTGCGAACATCTTTGCGAGGTACAGCGTCACCTTTGCGCACGTCCCGTTTGCGCATGGCAAGTTTGCGTACCACATGCTCTTAACCGAAGACGACGACGACAGCGACGACGACGACGATCTCGAATATACCAACCCGTTCACGCTCGCCGTCCCTCCAAATCTCGAGCACGCCAAACAAACGTGGGACTATCTTTCGGTGCAGCTCGCGAACTTTCAGAACAAGGCCGCCTGGCACATCCTCAATCCCGACTACGACTTCGACGAAGCGGCGGCGGTTCGAAAGCAAGAAAGGTATCTAACAGTACTGCACGACTTGGGCTTAGGGCTTAATGCCTTGTTTTTCAGCTCGGTAGATGGTCGTGAGAGCCGGGGCATCGAGTTGCTAAGACTGCAGCACGCCCTGGCCGTCATAGCAGTTTCGTGCTGCCTGGACCCAACCGAAACGATGTACGACGGATTCCTACCGCAATTCGAGGACGTGATCCAGCGCTGTCGGCTCTTTATGAATTACGATACAGACGTCCCTGCGAAAATAGGGTTTGCGAGCGAAATAGGATTGCTGCCGTTGCTGGCCTTCGTGGGCGCGAGGTGCCGGACGGCGAGGATTCGGTTAGAAGCTGTGGAACTGATGAGAAGCTACCAGTGGCGAGAAGGAAGCTGGGATAATTCGAGCTTAGCGCGCGTCATCACCGGCCTTATGAAGCTCGAGGGGCAACTGGAGCTGCGAGATTCTGGGGATGCGGATCGTCCCAAAGTGCGGTATACGTGGTCGAACATGTTTTGGGACTTTGAGAGGCAGCGGATGCACGTTGAGTATACCAAGATGGTCCCCGATTACCAAGGGGAATTCGAGAAAGTGAGATGCACGATCGGAGGTGTCTGACCTCATCCCTGCTGGCGCGGGCGCTCGAGAGAATATGACAAAGAACAGGCGAGGTCTTATTTTTGCATCCATATCTCCCTCTTGGCATCTTCGTGGTGACATTACGGCTTACCGTCGCGGTCCGATGGCGCCAGCTTAGTGCACAACTGAGATCGTGTCTCTTCTTCGTCGACCTGTGTGCGAGGGCTTTAAAATATCAATCGACCGTCGAGGAACTGCCACCTGCCTTTTCTAACGTAAAGCGGCATATCAGTTTCTTCTCTGGGCCGGAAGATTAGATGAAGGGTGTGAACGATGATAGTATCAGTGACCACGACGAGAATGGATATTTACGAGTTACGGCTGACCCGATAACTTAAACTACAGGAACGTCAAAAAAGAAAACACACTATTCCTTCCTCCCAGAAAGTGACCGACGTTGGAGACCCCGCTAGCCCTCACTGGCCCGCTCATTCATCGACGTCCGCCCTCCCTCGCCGCCCTCAACGAGGCCAGCAGGCGCTCTACGCGCTCGTCCGTCTCCTCCTCTCCGGACCCGGCCTGTTGAGCAACGTCGTTCTGAAGCGCATCCGCAGCCTCGCGCCAGCTGCTTCTCCCACTACCGCCGTCGCCAGGATTAGGGTTGTATCTGGTGCCGAAGCCGGTGATACCGAGGCCGGGTTCCCGCCGCCAGTGCGGGTGCAGCGGCGACGGCGGCGTCGGCGTCGGCGGCAGTCGCTCCAGCTGGCGCGCAGCGTATCGCGAAGGCGTGAGGGGGGACGATGGGGACGAGGATGAGAGGGATAGGGAGGCGGGCAAGCGGGGGGGTGCCCGGGGCGATATGGGAGGCGGCCGTTTCGAGGGCGTGCGGAGCGGCGCTGCGGCGCCGGCGCTCTGCGACTGCTGATCTTTTGCCCGCCCCCCAACGGTCCTGCGGATGGGCGTGCGGTCGTACCTCGGCGGCGCTCTCGGGGCCCTAGGCGCTCCAGGCGTCCTCGGTGTCTTGGGCGTCCTCGGTGTCGTGGGCGTCCTGGGTAGCTGTTGCGTGTACGGCTGCCGTGGGTATCTGGCACTTGGCGGAGAACGAGTGGGATCCGAGCCCGCCATGGTTAGGAAGTTGCGTGGGTCTGTTGGCTTGTATTGCTGTCGTCGGCGCCGATGCGGCGTGGCACGATGCGTTGCGAGGTGCGGGAGATAATGGAGGGAAAGGGGGAGCAAGTACCGTGATGGCAAGGAGTGCCGGTATTAACAGAGCAGCCTACCCCCTCGGCCGTCCGCCTCGCCTCCTTTTACGCGTCAGGCGTAAATAGACGCAGAAAAAGCTTCTCGCTGCCACCAGAGCTATTCCTTACAAAGGCAATGGCTTGCACTTGACGGCCGCATGTAGCGACCGAAGCAGACGGCTACCGCCGCATCCGGGCAATGCGTCTTTGTGTCCGTACGGTATAGGAGAGAGCCCCCCCCCCCCCCCCCCCCTCCTGCTTCGGTGAAAGCGGTTGCGGCGCATTGTCTCACCTGCCGGATAGTCCGACGCGCAGGCGTTGGTGAGGTGGTTCTTTCATCTGTCTCACTCCGCGAAGTGCCGATGTGTTATTCAGTCGCTGGGAGAGGATGAAGGGGAGGAACTGAAAGGCCCCGGCCGGAAAACTTCTTTTTCGACTTTGGATATCAGAAGCGACTTTTGGTCCGTTCTTCTCCTGCATGGCATGAAACCATGTGCTCGATGTTTGAAACTCAGGTCACGTGGGCAATTAAGACGGTTAGAGAGCTGAGGTGTACTCATTCCCTTCGCGGCATCGGGTCTAACTAAGGTCGGGGCATTGTATGGAGCAATCTCGCAGTATTGCAATTTTACGATATCATCTAGATGCTATGTATTTTGATATTATGCTTGCGTTCCCGCTCCGGGGCGAGGACAAGAAAAAGAAGTTGGTACTACCTAGGCAAAGGGAATACGGGTGATTAACGCGGCCGTCACTCCCATCCTCGCCGCGACCGCAATCTAGTAGAGGCGTAGCAGGGGGGGGGGGGGAGTGAGGGGGGTATATAAAAGTTTAGAAAGCAGCGAAGCGGGCGGGGGGGGCCCTCAGACCATCTTCTCGGGGTCGCTGCCCTTGGAGGAGCCGGGGGCGGCGGGGCCGGGGGCGGCGAGGGCGACGTCGCTGGTGTTGCGCTGGAGCTCGACGTAGTCGTAGGCGAACTCGCCGAGCTGGTCGTCGTCGATGCCGACGTCCTCGTGGGCGGCGGAGACGCGCAGGCTGAGCCCGGGGATGAGGTTGAGGACGAAGAGGATGACGCACGTCAGCACGAACGAGTACGAGAAGCCGGCGGCGCTGTCCGCCAGCTGGTACCCGAGCTGCACGAAGTTGCGGTTGATCCACCCGCCCGCGATCTCCGTCGAGCCGTCGAGCGCCGCGATGTAGTCGCTGCGGATTTTTCACGCGAGGATTAGCTACAGATACCGGGTGGGGAGGAGAAAGAGAGAAGAAAAACCTAAAAAAAGGAGAAGGAGTGGGGAGGGGGGGTTAAGGGGGTAAGGGGGGTAAGGGAGTAAAACTTACGCAGCAAAGATGCCAGTGAGCAGGTTGCCGACGATGCCGCCGACGCCGTGGACGGCGAAGACGTCGAGGGCCTCGTCGACGCCGATGAGGAACTTGAGCTTGGTGGCGAAGTTGCAGGCGACGCCGCCAACGAGGCCGAAGACGACGGCGGCCCAGGGGGTGACGTAGCCGGCGGCGGGGGTGATGGCGACGAGGCCGGAGATGGCGCCGGAGCAGAAGCCGACGACGGACCACTTGCGCTCGAGGCGGTAGTCGAGGAGGACCCAGGCGAGCGCGCCGAGGGAGGCGGCGAGGTGGGTGACGAGGCAGGCCATGACGGCGCGCAGGTTGGCGGCGAGGGCGGAGCCGCCGTTGAAGCCGAACCAGCCGACCCAGAGGAAGACGGTGCCGAGGACGATGTGGGTGACGTTGTGCGGCCGGTACGGCAGCCCGCGCGCGCGGTCGTACCCGGCCCGCTTGCCGATCATGACCGAGAAGGCGAGCGCGGCCGCGCCCGACGAGATGTGCACCGGCGTCCCGCCGGCGAAGTCCAGGCCGCCCATCACGAACGACCACCCGTTCGCGTTCCACGTCCAGTACGCCAGCGGGTCGTACACGATCGTCGCCCACACGAAGATGAAGACGATGCACGGCAGCACGCGCGCGCGGTCGACGGCGGCGCCGATGGCGAGGGCGGGGCTGGGGTGAGGCGTTAGTTTTTATTTCTAGTTGTCATTGTCTTCACTTGGGAAAGGGGGAGTGAGCGAGGGGGGGGGGGGGACGGAGAAATAATAAGGGAGAGGGGAGGAGAGAAGGGTGAGACAGACAGACAGAGGGATGACTCACGTGATGGCGGCGAACATGCCCTGGTAGAGGCAGAAGAGGAGGTCGGGGATCTTGCCGCTGCCGACGGAGGGCTGGGCGAGGGTCTCGCGGAGGCCGAAGTTGGAGAGGTCGCCGATGAAGCTGCTGCCGGTGTGGGAGAAGGCGAGGCTGTAGCCCCAGAAGAACCACTGGAAGTCGACGACGACGATGGACAGCATGGCCAGCATGATGAGCGAGAGGGCCGACTTGCGGCGCGCGAGCCCCGAGTAGAAGAACCCGACGCCCGGGATCATGAGCAGCACGAGCGCGGAACACGTCAGGATCCAGGCGAAGTCGCCGCTCTAAACCGAAGAAAGGGGAGCATTCGTCGTTAGCTTGGTTCTGCGGCTCTGGATCTCTCCCGGCCTGCGTGGCTTCTTCTCCTTCTTTCTCGCGGCGTGTCCTATAGCGCGCGTCGGGCGCGCCCAGAGATAGAGAAAAAGAGAGAGAGGCCATTTCGGCGAAAGGGGGAGAGGGGGGCGGGCGGTGAACGGTTGGTTCCGTACCTCGTAGAACTGGTTGAAGTCGGTGACGCCGGTAGAGTAACCGGCGTCAGCGACGCCAACGGTGCCATTGTACTCGGTGACGTACAGGCCGGCGGACATCTTGGGGGGCGTCTCGGTGCGGTTGCGCCGCCTATTTGTATTCGTTTTGTGGCCGACTGTCTCCTGCGTAGGCGTCGAGCGGACGAGCGAGCGAACGAACGAACGCAATTCGGATTTAAAAAAAAAAAACCTCTCCTCCTCCTCGGACAGACCAGAGGCGGGCGGGACAGAGCGGACAGATACCCGGAGAGAGAGGAGCGAGACAGACGGGATGGTCAAGTCGGTCGTCAGGTAGCGGTTAGGTAGGTAGACAAAGGGGACCGATGGACGGAGACGCTCGCGTGAGACAAGAACGCCTGGCAGCTTCGACCGGAGTTGGGCGGCGCAATTTATTGGCGGGCGAGATGGAGAGAGGGTGGGTGAGACACGGGGAGGGAAAGCAAGGGGAGCGAAGGGGAAGAGAGACGAATCTTATCAAGGGATTGCTACGGGGGGGGGAGGGAGTAGGAGAGGGAGAGGAGGGGAGGGGGGGGGGACGTGTGTGGCAGATCCCAACAGCTATTAAATACACAAGGTGTGGCACGGTATGCACAGGCAGCGCAGGGACAGCGGCAGGGCAACGCACGGAGAAAAAACCTGGGCGGGAAGACGAGACGCAGGGAGATAAAAGTCGGTACGTTACTAGTACGACGGGCAGACGGCGACAAGTATATTAGAAATCGACCAGCCCTCTCCCCTCCCCTCCCTCCGCCCAGCCAGCGCACACGAGACTTCTCGTCGCTCCATGGCTGATCGCACGACGAACGCCGGACCTTACCTGCGCGCCATAACCTACCTAAGCCCGAGGCTGCCGGCGGCACAATAGACGTCTCTTGGTGACAGGGGTTGCTGTTCTCTGCTGCTCGAGCTGCCGATAGCGGCCGAGATAGCAGAGCAGAGCCGAGCAGAGCAGAGCCGAGCAAACCAGACGACGTAGGTACCTAGCAGGTTTGCGGTCGCTGGGAGAACTAGTTATTCAATAATCTGCTTGGGGGTGATGATGATACGAGTAGGTTAAGGCATTGAGACGGCGACGCAGCGCGGCCCATTTGCCATTCTAGCTTCGGTGGAGCTCCTGATAAGGACCCGGGAGGGCGGCGGAATGGCCCAGGCGCTGCGGCGAAGCGATTCGTCTACCACCTCGACGCCCATCCACCAGCTGATCTTGGCGCTGAGGATTGGGGGGGGGGGGGGGGGTTTGCCTGGGCATGTAGGTAATGTAGGTACGTGTTGGAGCAGCAATACCCAGAGGTTGGTTGAGGCTGCGTGGGCGGAGGACCTGGGTGATATCGTCACCCACGCACATACCCACCTATGCACAAGGCCTGCTGTCCGGGACAGACGGCAAGATCGCGGGCTGGGTCGGGTCGGGTCTTGAATAGACGGGAGATGGTGACGCGAGGGGAATCGTAGTAATATCTACCTATGTAGGGAGGCAGTGAACTGCTTACCCAAGTGCCTATCGAAAGCCTGTGGCCCAGGAGGTAGGTAGGTAGGTAGGTAGGTAGGTACCTAGGTGGTTGCGTCCGTTGGTGGGCAGTTGGCATACCCAAGTTAATTTAGAAGGATGAATGGAACGACGCCGAGCCACATCGGGTTCCACGCACGCACGCGCGATTCCAGGTTGGCAGCCAGCTGCTAAGCTCGCTACACACCCGTACGATACAGCTACCTGACCCGGCGTATCCAACACCACTACAGAATACGATCACAGCGAGTGCGAAGGCATGGCATGTAGTGCCTATGCACATGTGTAGGCGGGCATGCGTGTGTGCGTCTCATCGCCTCCTCGGCCGGCCCGTCTCACCACTCGGGAGCATTCCCTCCCTCCAGAGTCTCTGTCCCATCCGGCGCCGCGCCCAGCAGCCATCGCACACACGTTACCTACAGACATACCTAGGTATAGGTAGTAAATGTGTGGGGAGCCAGCCTGCGTGTTGCCCCGGCCAACCCCATCGCCCATCACGTTGCAGCGCGACGCCCACCCGCACGTGGTCTCGTTGCAAGGCCGGATCTGCATCTCGAGCGCAATATATACACCTGCGTGCCTGCGTTGCGCCTCGTATTCTCGGTCCTGGGACACGCGGCCGCGCCTTGTCTCTCGGGCGTGGTGTGGCATGGAATGATGGACAGCAAAAGCCCCCCCAAGCTCCCTTCTTGGCAGAGCGTCCGAGTGCTGGATTGCGCCCGCTTGTCCTACGCACCTACGTACTGCATATGCGGCTATTCTGTTGTCTCATCCTCTCTGTCTCTCTCTTCTCTCCGAGCTTCCTGTCTTATTTCTCCGTGCTGCCAACCGAGCATGGCACTGCCGCCTCCGGTCCGGCTGTGGCGGGTTTTATTCGCTGCTGCGAACGAACCGTGCGAGTGTCAGAGCGAGCGATCGGCGGCACTGAACACAAATACCCTACGTAGTACAACCTTCCTTAGGCTTCCTCCTCCTCCACGAGAGGTGCCTGCGCCCTTTTTTTTTTTCCTTCTCTTGAATGTCGGGCTTTTCTCTTCAACAGTCAGCTGTGTCAGAGGGATTCAGCCCAGCCGATTTCCAACTCATCACACACCCCCCCCCCCCCTTTCCCTCCCAAACACTCAAATCCTCGCGGGTCGCGGTCCAAGATACGGTTAAGGAACAGGAATGAAATCGGGCCAAGGCCTGCCAAGCAGTGGAGCTTGCGGCGCCCAGAGATAAGGGAATCCTGCCGGCCAATGGCAAGAGATGCTTTTCGCTCAAATGGGTGATCTGGTCCCCCTGTCCTCTCCCCGTATCTGGGGCTAACAGGGCGACAGGGCTGTTCGTCAGACGTCCCACTCCCAGCCGGGGCCGCGCCGCGGGCTTCTTCTAGTAGGGCCAGCGATAACCTCGTCTTCCACGCATCCGCCTTCCACGAGATCAGGCTTCAGCCGTCGCACACATTTTATGCTCTCCCCCCCCCCCCGTTTTCTCGGGTTCTTGGCGCCGCCGATGCGACGGAAAACTTCTCCTTCGTTGCATGTTTATGCTGCGTGCCTGTTTGAGATGAGCTTTGTGAAGCGCAACATGTACAACGTATGCACGTAGAGTAGTCTCGGCTCTAAAAATAGCACCAAGGGGCCTGGGCGACGTCAAGTGGATGTGCGTCGAGTCCTGACGATCATCTCTCGCCGTAGTGTTCCAGGGCAAGGCCATGACCGACGCCATTGGGGCGGAGACTAGGCCTGCCTCGGAGAGAAGACAGAATCGCCTAGGAAGTGCATATAGATATGTAGAGAAGGGGCGGAGAGGATGCTACGAGATCGGCAATGTCCTGATTGAGATAACAGGCGCTCATCCTGCCCTTCTATGGTGCGATGGCATCGCGTAACCGTGGTCTGCCGCGAATCGCAGCACTCCGTCCAGACCTACACATACCTACCTATACTCTAACCACACAAGCGTTATCGCGTGAATGAGCAACTACATGTAGAGGGGGAGAGTTTCTACCAACTAGCAGTTTAGTAAATGCCGCCGCAAAAAATAAAAAATAAAAAAATCGCGTAACCAGCTGAACGTATACGTGTATGCGAAATCCCCAACCCTGTCTCCGCCGCCTTCAGGGCCCACCACAGCTCCCTTTCGGAATAGCGTCACATTTCCCCATACCCCGGCGCGGCGCTGCGTGATCGACGAAATGACATATTATCGCCCTTATCTCTGGGAAATGGTCCCCGGCGCAACCCCTGGCATAATAGATACCAGAGCCCCAACCAGCTTTAGTCATGGAAATTGGCAACGTATACCTATATAGGTTTGCTCAGTAACTAGGTAAGGTAGGCGCTGCGCGAATCCTCGACACAACGCGTGCGAAAAGGTCCTGGCGATAAATAGTACCAAATTACCACCTGCGAAATAACGTAATGCGCACCGAGATAGGTAGGCAGCAGATCCCCGTCCGTCCCTTGGCGGGTGCTCGAGAGAGAGCCGGGGGCCAGAGACACACGTGCACGCAGAGAGAGATAACGACAGCAGAGAGAGACAGACGACCCCTTCAGCTGCCGCCCTAGTTTCAGCCGGAGAGTGCGCACTTTCTCTCTTCCTCTACCTCTCAGCTCGGCGGGCCCTCCGATTGGCACAGCCCGGCTCGAGAAAGGGGTGAAAAGGGAGACGCAAGAAACAGGTATTTGTAAAGAGGAAGACACACCCCTCGTCAACGAGCCCAGGCGGAGGAGAGAGAGAGAGAGAGAGAGAGAATAGAGAAGAAGAAAAAAGCGCGACGCGCCATGGCCAGATACCTAGGCTGTATCCACGCCCGGCTGAGAGAATCGACTTCGTCGCGTGACCTGAGGCCGCCCTTGTCGCCGGTGGCCTGTCTGCGTGGAGCCAGGTCCGACCTGGAGGGACTGCGGGCTCTGCGTCGTGACGAGCGACGGCGGCTTCGAGCGGGGGACACCCTGCGATTTTACTCGCCCCTTCCTCCCCCCTACTACTCCCTTCAAAGCCGTATTTGTCTGTGCCTCGCCTCCTCGCCGCGAGTCACTGGGTTTCTCCCTTCCCGTCATCGGACGAGGCTTTCCGGAATTCGTACGTGTTATATAGGTAATATATATATATATATACCTAGGATTGCATTGCGGGATGGGTATGGACATGATCTATCTAACTACAAATCAGTAGGTATCGCCCCGGATCGACCTCTTACAAACGCCGCCCTCGTTGCCCATTCCCACCCTCTCTAGGTTAAACTTATCCTCTCTCTTCTCTACATAGACGGGAGCAAACTAAACTGCCGCACGCTCCGTGGAGAGACCCTCACCGTGGCACCTCCTGCCGCACGAACAGCTCGATGACGCTCTTCATCTTGTCCTCGGTCGCCTTCTTCTCCCTCGCGTTCGCCGGCGAGGATGACCGGCAGATCGCCGTGCTGAATATCTCCGCTACCTTCTTCTCCCAGAACACCCGCCGTTGTATCGCGAGCTCGTTGACCAGCGACGCCGTGTTCCGGCGGAAGCTCAGGCTGCGCCTGCCGAACGACAGCTCTGCCTTCCGGGTGTTCAGGGCCTCCAGCTCCTCCTTGCTGAGCGGGATCAACTCGTTCGCTACTCTCATTAGCATGGACGTGAGGAAGACGAACGAGATGTTGTAGTATGGCGCCGTCGCTAGGATGTCCAGGATCGTGCTCTTGATCTCCTCCGGCTCCGCCGGCGCTCTCCCGTCTCCTAGGCTAGGCAAGGCCGACTCGATTTTCGCCCACAGAGGCGCCGTGATGATCCCGTCCGGCATGCTCGTGAGAAATAGCAGTAAGACCTCGCTCACAATTTCGAGTCGTTTGAGGGATGGCGTGTCAACCTCGATAGCGTCCATTACAGGCCTGCCCTCCTCCAGTGCCTCTACCACGGCTAGTCGTATTTCGTCGTGATTGTCCGAGTGTGCCGTTTTCCATGACTGCCTGTCAAATGGCCAACCGGGTTCCTCCCGAGGTACCTTATACTCTTCCAGCATGTTTTCGTCCGCGACCACGCGCTCCGCCAACGACTCCAAAGCCTCGGTCAGCTTGAAAAGCTCACCAGGCGATGATTTGTGCACTTCCAACGAGTACGGTATCGAACCCCCGATCTGCTGCTGCGCTACGAGCCCTCGAATGCCGCCATCGCGTGGCACTCGTATAAGCTCTTCGAGCGAGCGCCCAAAGCAGGTAGGGATCCAAGCTGCCCGAACCGGAATGAAGTGGTCCCTTCCGTCGGTGACGCCTAGGATCAAGACGTCATCCAACTGCGCAGTTTGTTCGTTTAGTGCCCGTACGTGGGCGAGATCGCGGACGTAGGCACAGAGAAGGGCATTCACCGTCTCGCCAGGTTCTAGAGTTATTTCGTCGCCTAGGGCGTCTGACCGTGTCCGGTCGTCATTAATCGGCAGAGATGCAGTGAATTTGAACTCGAGCCATCTCGGGTACTCGGTCGCATCGCCTGCCACGTGGGGCTTTTCCACAAACGAGAAGGTGGCGGGAACGCGCCCAGTGTTCGCGATAGTCAAGTACCGTGTTGCCTTCCGTAGAAACCCGATCTCCCCAAAGTTGACGCCTTCGCTCCCGTCACCGACGTTCTTATTAGCCGCGTCGATCGAGTCTTTCCCCTCGACGACAACGGTGATCCCCGGCCGCCCTTCGTTCTCCGCCCGGTCGAGCTCCCACGCTACTTCCGCGTGTACTCTCGCCTTGAGCTCGGGGACGACGGCATCGTAATCCAGAGTGAACAGAGCGGCGACTGGTTTGTGATCCGACGACATGATCCGTTGGTGGCTGGTGTAGATATCCAAGCTTATTCGATCAACGTAGCCTTCCTTCGTGACAACCTCCTCTCCTGTTGCGTCTTCGGTCTCATTATACTCGTCGTAATCGTATGGAGTGTCGCCAGATGCTGGGTTATCGCTGCTAGAGTCGTTGGAGAGATCGTAGTCGAACAGCGTGCTCTCGTCGGCCGCAGCCTGGTCGATCCCCCTCCTCTTCATATCCTCATCCCTCTCCTTAGCTTCCATCTCGCCTTTGCATTTCTTTTCGTATTGGGTGATATCCGTGCGGGTACGATACAAGATACGATCGCACCAGCTCGGGGCTCGCATCTTTTCAGAGGAGTCGAAGAGGCCGACAGTACCTATGTCATACTTGTACGTCGGCAAGAATCCGATGGTGCCCTCGCGCCACCCCTCGTGGAAAGCCTTGCGTTGCTTCATCATTCGTTTGAGCTGGTCGTGGGGGATCAACGAGTCAAGTGTCGCTTGCAAAGACGCCGGATCATCGTGGGGATCAGGTGCGAAGTCGTCGGGATCCGGAAGTTCCGTCTCGTCATCGTTGGAGGCTTCGTCAAAAGAATTCTCGCGTGATATCATCCTGGGCGTGTTCGTGTCGTCGTCGCCGTCGTCGCGGTTACGCAATACGACAACGCCCTCTTCGTTGAGCAGCTCGCCGGCGCGTTTCTTGCTGATGTCGTACTCGCCACGGGTGTGAAGCGTCAGCAGGTGCCGGATATCGTTCCCAGGCAAGCCATCGAGACGAAAATTCAAGTCGCCAAGCCAGAAGGCGAAATCCTCATCGCCAATGGCATCTCCTTCGTTGTCCGTTGCATCTCCCGAGTTGATGGGGGTGAATTTAGTCTGCGCCATAATTTTGTGGTAGTCCCAACATCGCCGATCGAGACTGGCTTGATCGTGGCCCGAGGCCAAGTGAGAGTTGATAAAAACGAGACGCGTCGTCTCACCCAAGAGAAGGCGAGATGCGATTGCGCCCTTGTTGCCCCAATACCTCAGTACGCCAGTCCCGATGCTAACGGTGGATTCGTGGGAGATGGTTTCAGCTACCTCGGGAGAAGCATATATTAACAAGAGCAGCCCGACAAGTTGCTGGCTCGCAACAAGCGTGTAGCCTTTCGGCAAGGCAGTTTCGAGGGCGTCTTGCCATTTCGCGATAGTGCCCGGGTCGGAGTAGATCGATTGCTGAATCACGTTGAGGTTGACGACCTCCTGAAGGCCTAGGACGTAGAGGCCGATCTTGTCGCCGCCTACCAACCGCACGCCGGGTTCCGCATCTTCTCCTTTTCGCTCCGCAGACTCGTCGGGAACATCAACATGGCCCTCCTGCGCTCCCGAACCGGCCTCGGCCTCGGCACCCGGCTTAGGGGTCACGCTGCGTCCAGCTAATATTTCGGCAATGTTACTGTCTTCGGAGAGGCTGAGTCGGGCTAGCCTCGCGTTGAACTGCGGTTCTATCCCCTGTCCGTCCACAAACCAGCTCGCCAGATCTTTATCTGTGCCCGGGAAGCCGGCGACATTCCACGAACCGATCTTTATTCGTATGCGGTGGGGCCTGACATATTCAGATTTCCTAGCGAGTACGGCACGGGAGAGGGAGTGGGGATTTGTGGCTGTGTCCTCGACCGGTTCAGGATCCGAGGTCTCGGAAGGATCGCGGTGGGGGGATGACATGTTCGGCTATGCTGGGCAGAGGCAGCTTAGACTAGGTCTTCGGGAGACGAATAGTGGCGAGGGTACAAGAAGAAGAAGCGAGGCGGAAGAGACTCGATAGGGGTATTACGTAAATGAGCGTGTCGGACAAGTCTTTGTTCGGCTATGTCAGCTTGCGATCTCGTGGGCCAAAGCCGGCGTCAACCATGATGACGCCTTAGGGGCTCGGACGATAATTAGTGACGCCGACGTCACAGAGGCAATGACTCGGTACTGAGCTGGAGCGGCCGGAAACATATGAGGATATGCGCTCGCAATCGACGAGAGGCAGGTCTCGTAGGCATATATAAACATATGCAAGAGAGTTGAGCAGGCAACCGGAGCGGAGTTGGGGGAGGGTATCACGCAGGTTATTGTAAAAAACAAAATGTTGCGAAGGGAAGAGAGACGCGGCAGGAGACTCAACAAGTCGACGAAGGTGGTCGGTTTACATATTGACATGGCTCGTGGGGCCCACCCTAGGTAGAATTCCCCACATACGTAATGTGGTTGTTATGTAATCGCCTCGAATTCTCCGACCGCGTCCTGGTATGTACTAGTCTAGTCGGTATAGGCAGTGAAATGGGACTAAGGTACCTGGAAGTACTTGCCCACCTACCTGCCTAGGTCTGTCAATACCACCACAGGTATACCCCCTCTCTGCTTCGGTGTGAGAATGCTGACTACCTACCCAGGTACCTAGGTCTGTTCTCTATGGGTGGAAGGCGAGGCGATAAAAGCCAGTGAGTACCTGACAGGTACATGCCAATTAGAGATGTGCAGGGTGACCTAAGATACCTAAGCTTACCTAAGGCTGGCAGAGATAAGGTGCTTATCGGCTGGCCTTTAGTTGAATCTATTAGGGTTGGTACCCAATCTTGGTAAGGGTACGTAAGGACCCGGGCAGGCTATCTGCGGACATTGGCACGTCGGCATGTACATACCTGGGCATCGCCGTTTTCCTCCAGAACCGTCACTCCGGACACGGCTCGAACGGCGCGTCCAGACCTCCCAGTTTCGAGACAAAGACGCCGTCGTCCGAGAATTAAGCAAGCCACCTCTCGCTCCCGTGACCTGAGCTCCTTCCGACAATGTCCCAGCAGCAGCGCAGGCCCCAGAACCGGGGCCAGCCTGGCTACCCCTCCTCGTCCCTCTCGCACTCCCCCCATTCCCAGTCCCAGCCACCGCCCCAATACCAGCACCATCACCAGCAGCCGCCGCAGCATCCTCCCTACCACCAGCTACCGCCGGGCCACGTCAGGAACCGGTCGCAGCAGCTCCGCGCCGAGGCCGCCGAGGAGCAGCTCCAGTTCTCGGGCGCGTCCGACTACGAGTCCGACACGGCGCACTACATGGCGTCGCACCCGGCGCCGTCGGCCGACGCGCTGGCCTCGCGCACCAACACGGAGCTCAACCTCAAGGTGCTGCGGCGCTACCGGCCGGCCATCAGCACGATCCTGTCCATCGCCGCGAACGCCGTCGTGTACACGTTCACGCCGCCGGGCAAGTGGGACAAGTCCAACATGGAGGGCACGCTGTTCATCTGCGCGCAGAAGCGCGGCGGCGACGGCGACCGCGGCGACCGCGGCTCCTTCTCCGACGGCTGCCTCTTCATCCTCAACCGCAAGAGCCTGCAGAACCTGGTCATCGACCTCGCCAGCGTCACCGAGTTCGAGCCGGCCGACAACCTGCTCATCTTCAACCTCGACGACGCCGCCGTCCCCGACGTGCCCATGGAGAACGGCGACCCCGTCCGCCCCAACGTGCTCGGCATGTGGATCTACGCCGAGGACGAGCAGGACCAGCGCACTAACGCTGCCGTGATCCGCGAGATGTGGGCCAAGGCCCGCGCCGCCTCGGCCGACGCCGCCGCCGCCGCCGCCGCCGCCGCCGAGCGCTCTGCTAGCGCCGACTCCTCCGACGCCACGGGCAGCAGCGCGTCCGCCGCCAGCCGCGACGGCGGCTCCCCCATCACGCAGATGGCCGGCCGCCAGGTCAGCCTGGGCGAGCTGTTCGGCCGCGGCCAGACTGGTAGCGCCGGCCGAGGCGCTTGAGACTGCGAGGGCAGCTGCCTCGCGCCTCGACCCCCCTGCCGCGGCAAGGAGAGAGAGGGACTCCGATCGAGGCTTTGTTTTTGCACTTCCACTGGCTCTGCGCGAGAAATCTACCGGGTGCGGGAGAAGGACACATCCGGCGTTTGTTCACGAGATACCCCCCCGGATGATGAAGAAGGAGGAGGAGAGGGAGAAACAAGAAAGAAAGGAAAATTGGAATCGGAATTGGCATCAACATTGGAGTCCTGCCCGCGTTTCCGGCCGCCTGCGCGAGGGGGGAAAAGGAGGAAAGGGGACAGACACGTTTACACGGAGAGGCAGAATGGACGAATGGACGGGGCTGGCGGTTTCCGCGGCCGCAGCGCTGTCGACGGCTGAAATGCGCACCGGGTGACCGTGCATAGTCGTCATCTACCTTTACCTGCTTATCTACCTACGTAGACACACGACACGTAGCGACGACAGCAAGAGGTATACGAGCCTAGGGGAGGGCGAAGGAGAAGCAGGGACGGGGTCCGTAGTATGTGTCCCTTCTTCCTCGCTGCTCACCGCACAAGGACGGGGAGCGCGCCGGCGCGGTCTAGGTTTGGAGCAAGGTCGGGGGGCGTGTGTAGGCAGAACATCGAGACGGCATCGCCTAAAAGAAAGCTCAAATACCCCCGAGCCTGGCAGCGTGCGAAAATGCAGCACAGCCCCCTGGTGTCCAGGGACGCACCGGGTCCGGCATCGCTTCTATGGGATGGGTTAGACTTTTTGGAGAGGGGGGGTGAAGGGGCCATCTCGACGCGCACACTCTCCCTCCCTCTCCCCCCTCCTCCACTCATCCACCACCGCATCCACATGTCACTTGCATTCACCGGTCCGAGTAATTCGTTATTTCCATCATCTTCGTATTGGTCAGCTAGCTACCTAAGGTATGTAAGGTAGTGCATATAGCTTAAGTAGCTCTCGGCGTGGCCGCGCCCCCTCCTCCTCGTTGTGCTGTTGCGAGGAGCCGCTCGGAAGTGCGATCCTCGCCAGCCAAACCCCGAAACGGAAAATCGCCCGCCGCGCGCCTCTCCGCCCTCGGGCTGCGGGGCGAGTGCGGGCCGGCGTCGCAGGGTAGTTATAGAGGTGTTCGACCGTGTTTCTACCGCTCTCGACGCAGTGCTCTATTCATGCGTGTGTCCCCCTCCGCTCCCTTTGCCAAGCTAGGAGTCCCTTTGCCCTCCCAGAACGCCGCCGCCGTAATATGTGTATGTGTATTTATGCACATGACCTTGACGCCTCCATTGATAAACAAAAAAACGCTCGCCTGCTCCACGCGGTAGGATATTTCTCATCTAGTCTTCTCTCTGCACTCCCATGTTTGTATATATATATATGTATATATGTATGAAGTCATTAGACACCTAAAGCATAGTCTCCGGAAGAAAAAGAAGGAAGAAATCATCTCTAGGAATATACTCGGGTGGTTTGGTGGCTCCTCGGCGAAAAGAATGGCTTCAACGATGTGTGTTTCTCTTTTCTTTTTTTTTCGTTTCCCCACCTGCGTATGAGAGGAGCGCTGCGAAAGACGTAGTAGGACTGGTCCGTGGGACTCGTCAGATCGATCCGTGGTCATCAAGAAGAATACACGTGGTTAAGCGTTAGTGGGCGTAGCAAGCGGTGACCGACCTAGGTCAAAACACCTCCTCGCCTTCCTCCTCCTCTCTGAATTTTATCCCGCCTTCAACCTCGATTCCGCCGCTGACCCATTCGTGCTCTGCCACTTTCTCCATAGGCCAGCGACTTCTGGCCCGTTTTAGGAGGCCTTCGGTGATTTCCATCGCCCCCTTCAAGCCGTCATGCTCAAACTTCGCCTCGCTCGCATCGTGGTCGCCGTCGTCGCCTTGATACTTGATCCATCTCCACTCGACACGCGCAATCCGGTGGCTCGTTCTGCTACGCATTCTCTGGACGTCGCTCGCACCGGGTGGGGGGTCGAAGGGCAACCGCGATTCGATGAGAGCATACAGGAGGACCCCCAGAGACCAGGCATCGACAGCGCGTCCGTCGTACGGCTGTCCCAGTATCACCTCGGGCGCAGCATAGTCGTCGGAACCGCACCTAGTCTCCAACTTCTCGTCGTCGGCCACGCGTCGTGACAGGCCGAGGTCGGTAAGCGTGATAACGGAGTACGGGTAAACGGTCCAATCTTGGTCCGGCTTTGCGAGTTCAGCCGGCGGGATGTTAACAAGCACGTCTATCGTCCCGTTAGCAAATTTGATTGCTCTCCTACTCCCCGTTCCTATCTGGAGAAAGAAACGGGGATATAAGTCGCGGGGGTAACGTACTCTCGAGCTTGATATCCCGGTGAACGATCCGACGTTCGTGGAGATACCCCACTGCCCCCACTAGTTCGGCAAATATCCTTCGTAATAGCGGTGGCGTCAGCGCGTCTCGGTATGTGGTCGCGACGTCGAAAAGATCGCCGCCTGGGCAATAACTTAAAACCAGGAGGGCTCTCGACGGCTCGATGTTCCAGGCTTTCAGGTGAACCAGTGATGGGTGGCTTATCGACTGCATGATGTCTAGCTCTCGTTTAAGGCTCATCTCGATACGCTCTTCGGAGGCACCGCCGCGAGGCCCGTGTTCGCATATCTTTACAGCCACCAGAGTTTTGCGATCGGGGTGGGGATTGGCGTCGGGAGATGCCGGCGCACTCGGCCCGTTCCCGACTGCATTTTGGTTCTCACCATCGCCCGCAGCGACCTGGCTCGTTGCCAACATAACTCGACTAAAGGTACCTTGGCCTAGTTCTTTAACAGCGCGCCATCGTCTGAGCCTCTGGTCGTGTCTACCATGAGCCTCGAAATACTCTATGCGAGGCCGCTTGGAACTCGAGCCGTCACTGCTCTGGGAAGATTCACTGGGTGGGGGCGTCGGCGGTTTGCTGACCGGCCTGATCCCCCTCGACTCGGAGAGGTGCGGTTCTCGGCGTAGGTGGGGATCCAAGGTGCCATCTACCTCCTTCCCGTCGACTTTTCCCGAAACGGTATGCTGCCTCTTCGGTATCCCTTTCGGATCGGGTATGTATTCGCTGATGCTCCTGTTACGAGTATGTTCAACCTTGCCACTGCTGGTTTCGAGCGCGTGGCTGACATTGAGCCCGGCATACACCTTCCTCTTAGACTGGTTTGCCAGCGCTGAGGCTACAGACTCGCCGCTTGTGGTTATCAGTACCGACTCTGGCGGAACCGGGGGGGCCATAATGTCCCGCGTCTGCGACGACCGGCGGGGGTTAAGTCGCTTCCACGGACCAGGCGAATCACCTCCTAACAACGGCGATGGTAGCGGAGTGACATCGCCCATAGCAGATATTACAGGACTCGGATACGTCGAGCTGGCGGCGGATCCGATGCCTCTCGACAAGTGCTGCTTGAGGCTGGGGGTTCGCGAGACAGGTTTCAGGCTTGGGGACGAGGTCTTGTTCTGCAGAGGCAGGCCGGATCGAAATGTTGGGAAGCTGCTGGGGTTGCTGTTGAGGCTATCGGACCGTGCGGGAAGGGTAGGCGGGACGTCGGTAGCGATGTGTAGAGGGTTGTCGCCCCTTCTCGACGGGGAGGGGGAATAGGCCGCGTCGTCCCCTACCGAAGAGGGACCTTGTGACTCGCGCTGCGGTAGGGGCGGGGACGGGGCTGTGGTATGCGACTGAAACTGGATTTGGCCGCTCGACACGATAGGGGCAGGGGCGGTCGGTATGGAAGGCTCTGGTTCTTCGCATATGTAATTCGTGCCGTTGGAGGAGCCGCCGTAAAGCTGTGCTACGTGGTTTGCCTGTGCATTGCGTCGATTCAGTGCGTCGGCAACGGTTAGAGCCTGCGGCTCCTGCGCGAACGGTGCATAAATGGGATGCGTCTTCGACTTGGGTTGGCGGTTGCGATCGACAGCAAGGAGACCTTCGGGTAGGTATTGGGACTGGGGATGGGACTGTCCGCTGGTCATGTTTGATTCCGGGTGGGTAGAAAGGAACGGCAGACAGCGGGTTAGGCTTGACACGTTGGGACGGTGCGAAACGGCGAGGCGGGAACTGGTGTGAACGAATTGACTGACTCGATTCCGAGGGTGATATGTAGTAGAACTGGAATCGGGCTAGCAAGGATTAGGAAAGCGTTTTGGTGGCAAGGGGGGGGAAGCCCAGCGTTTTTTTCCTCTTTTTTTTCTTTCTCTTTTTGGGGGTCTTCTTTTTTTGCGCAAGGGCCCTACGGGATACCAGATCTAAAGACGTAGGAGTGCGTGCATAGTAGGTGGAGGAGTGTGTATATAGAGAGAGATACCTGGAGATAGGATGGATAGTAGTATATCGATCCACTGGCGGGCGACGGGCGGTCGGTCCAGAACCGACTCCACAATCAATCAGAGCGAAATTAACACTGGTTAGGATTGTGATTAGGATTGCTGGCGCGCAATTTGATAATGCGCACTGCAGTCCTTCTCGTCTGCTCTTGTTTTCGGCCTAGTCGACAGATACCCTACCCAGGTTAGGGATGGAGTTCGAGGGGAAGATCGGGGATGAGGGCACCGAGCAACCCAAGGTAGGGAAGCGTATCTGGAGGTAGGGGACGCCACCGTCCTTGTGAATATTATGTAGGTATTCCCCCTCCCTGGTGGTCTTATCAGGCAAGCTGTGGGCGGGAAAAACGAGCCCCAGACGACGGCGAATAATAGCAGGGCACAGGCGCGCAACCAGAGGTGACGCACCCAAGCCAGGCGAAGTCAGTCAGACACCGGCACAGACTCAGGTTGAACCGGACACTGAACGACGGCGACAAGCACCAGAGGGCGCAGCAGCACAGTACGACACAACACAGTTCAAAAGTTGAGGATTGTAACGTTGACCTCAGACTGCATTAGCCCCAAAGGTCGTGGGTGCGCAGCGCAGCGTGGTGCAGTGCGGGAGAGACTGGGCCTGTGACAAGGGTACGATGCGCGTCGCCTCGTGGTCGAATGGGATGTCCTGCTCCTGACTAGCTCTCCAGTCCGCATTCCACCGCGTGAGCCACGATCCCTCGGTACGTAGATATATGTATGTATGGGGTGTTGGGCGCGGAGGGCAGCGAGGCCGACGGAGAGCAGGGCGTCGATGCAACGAAAATAGCTGACCGGCCGGGAGCAGAGATATCGAGACGTGGGGGCGTCGACGGCGAGGACTTGGTTATCTCTCGTTCGGGGGGTGGATTATATTGACGGCGATGATAAGGGCGAGCCAGCAGCCACACAACGTCGACGGTAGCACAGCAGAACAATAAGACGAAGAATGAACGATTGGCCGAAACGGGGAAGGGGGGCCGGTTTGGGTCGATGAATCGGGATCGCAAGGAACAAAGGGCAGGCCAGTCGACTCCGGTACGGATGACTGTCGCGCGGTCGTTGCGCGGATGTGTGCGTGTTGAAGTGTTGTGGTTAGCAGGATCCCGGGCGGGAAAAGAATTGGTAGCTGGGCTGAGGAGAATATGGGGGAGGTGTGGAATGCACTGGCTGGCAAGAGAGCGAGCTAGAAGCCCATCGGGTTTAATTTCGATTTACATTAGGCCAGACGGCGGCCAGATACGAGCGGATGTACTGGCGAAGTATCGACACGGCTGATCTCAGCGCACAAGGTACCTGGTCCCTCCGCTAGACGGACCCGGCCTGGCAAGTGTCCGGGTAAGAAAAGGTGGTACCTGGTCTAAAAGCCTTAGCACGACGAGTGACCGGAAACCCTGAAGAGAGAGATCCCTGGATGGAGGTCGACCCAGGCCCCGGGGGGGGGGGGGAGGGGCGCTATCAGGTGCTTACCTACCTAGGTACCTCTTGTCTGGATTATGGATTTGTAAGTACCCGGTAACGCGTCTGTTAGCGGAGGTAAGATGCTGCGGTCTACCTACAGCAACCTCGAGGCTACCTAGGTAGCTAAGACCGGTTCGGCGGCAGCCTACGTGCCCATGACAAGCTATAGAGTTAGGCCGGTAGGTTACCCTACATATATGAGTAGGCATGTCCAGGCGACGATGCGACGATGCGATGATGCGCCCATCAAGCGACCTTAGGTACCTGACCTATGGGGTGGGTGGATACCTGCCTGCCCACCGTACTCTGTATGTACCTACATACCTCCTCTCTACATACCTACCTATACAAGTAAAGCCCCGGCCCTATAAGGAGTCCTAGAGGGTCAATCTCGACGTCGTCACCTCCCGTCCCCTCCACTCGTACTTTACCTACCTCCTACCTTAGGTACCCGCCTATTGCCTGGGTGGTTAGCAGGTACCTGCATACTAGCCTAACCTACCTAAACCGCCCACCTGGTTCCATCTCAAGGCTCAACACTAGACTCGCACGTTTTTCTAACACCATCCCTTATGCTGGGCACTCGAGTGTTCGCAAGACGGCAATACCGAATCGAGGTTTAAAGAGCGGCTGCGGACCAATGTCGAGCGGGCCTAACCCGCAATAGGCAGTTGGGACGTATGCACTGTTTTGCGCTGTCCACTAAGATCGACCCTCTACTCGCACATGCGGGAGGGTGCTACGTTGTACCTAGGTGCCTCCATTCTAGCGTTTCTTCTCCGTCGAGGTATACCTACCTCTACAGATTACATTAGATCCCTCCTCTCCAGAACTGCCCGTCTGTACTGCCCTCTCTAACCTTGTACGTGCATATGCGTCGCCATTGCATCTTAGCATCCGACGCCTGTCCTCTTGTCACCCACCGTCCCGCATGTACCTAGGTAAAAGCCGTGGCCGCGCGCGCACGATTCCCTAATCTCACCAGAGGTCAGCTGCTCATCTTACACCTATGCTATATCATATAGATATATATGTACCTGACGTATTCTCCCACCTGCGCAACTACGAATGTTAGGTACCCGGCATAGGTGCGAATGTGTTTTGCCTGTCTCCGGGCAGCCAGTATGTGTATTTTAGGTGCTCACTTGTATGCGTATCAACCTGCCTACCTAACCTAGGTACCTAAAGGAGGTAGGAATCCCTCGCGCCTCTCCTTTGCCCACTAAACCTACTTCTACGTAGAGCGACGCACTCATTTGAGGCTCAGACGTGACGTCGAACGGCCAAGCTGCGGTACACGTGTAAATGGATTGGAATTGGTTGCATCTGAACGAGAGCACTTCAGCAACCAGCAAAATGCAGATCGCCGGTACCAGGAGCAGCACTGCGCGATGCATAGTACCTACGTACAACGACGCGCCGGCGATCCTGCATGTGCAGCCTCTTGTTCCTCTGTTTCGCTCCCGCTCATCTCACAGCTCTGGCTGAGAGATATGGACATTGCCGCCAAATCCAAGCAACAGAACACGGTCCACCGTCCTCGGTCATCATTGGCCGATTCCCCGTCCCCTGGCCGACTCTGACGACTCCCGACGATTTGGTGGTGGGATGCCGAGAAGAGAGCACGCGGACCAGGCCTGCGAAACGGAGGAGAAGAAGAAGCTTCTTGGCTTTCCCATCCTCGCCCGCTCTCCCTCTTCTATAAGGTTAATGATATACTTATCGTCGCTTCCGTCGGCGTCACCTCCGGCTGATATGTACCTTAGGTGAGTACGTATGAAAATAAGCTTAGGTACATTTTCCCCCCAGTACCACCCCTGAAATACCCCACCAGCCTCCCAACCTCTCGTATGCGCTCAATGCACGCACCTACATATACCTATACATAGTATGTACCTTATGAGTAGATTAGGAACCTATCTCCTACTAGCATACCCCATGTATCTATATACATGCCTGTAAAGTTGGGCAATCCCACAACCTCACTCTATAGGTACCTCTTTACTTACCTTTCATCAGTAGAAGGTAGTATACGTAAAACCCAATGCGCGCGAGTCGGATCATTTGGATTGTAATATATATACACATACAGATATAGGTATCTACGTGGTAGCTGTGCAGGCGCCTCACAGTTAGATCGCGTACTTGTATCTGGTGCCCCCCCCCCCGAGCTCCGGGCTGCAATGCTATGCTTAGGGTACCGAGTCCCTACCTGCCTACATGAGGTAGGTACATACGTACCCACCTACTTTGCAACGTACCCGCCACTTATATGAGGGAATACTCTCTCGCCCTCTCGCCAAATCCTATATTCATCTCGCCTAGCTGCCGTCTCCGAAAGAGAGGCCGTCCATCTCATCTTACTTTACCAGGCACATTCCATGGACGCTTATGCTCCCTTTCAGTATATAACTGTCGTTACTATTATGGGCTGTGATTCTACAGAGTCATATGACTTGCAGATGTTTTCGTGGTTCCAAGGTTCGAACCACCTTGCTCGCACCCCTGACATATGGTGATTAAAGATGGCGCCGCCGCCAGGGGACGGGGGGAGGGGGTTGCCTCGTGGGAAGGTAGGTATACCAAAAAAGTCCCGAAAGATTGGACCACTAACGATCTCTTCCCGGTACCCCGTTGTAGGAGAAGGGTTGGGCTCGCCGCCCGGAACGCGCAATAAGCTAAAAAGCGGCAAAGAAACTACTTGCGGCTGTGCGTGCAGAAATGATGAGGTTAGGCAATATTCAATCCACGACACAAAAGAGCGAGACGTCCGTGAACCACTACCCACCTTTGCGGGTTCGCTGGCGCGTGGCGGGAGAAACCCTCTCCTTGAAATCGGGTGGAAATGCATTGCCTGTCAGAGATATTAATAAACCCGGTCATATCAACCCACTACTAAACCTGTGCAAAACTTCTAGAAGCTTTTAGACAAACAACGATAGTTACGTACAAGTCGCGTTAACTTGCCAGCCAGACCTAGAACTGTAACCCAGCCCTGTCAACGCCAACGGTGCTCTGGTGGTGGAGACAAGTCGGGGGAAGGGGGGGGGGGGGGTTAGCTGCTTACGGTCGGGGAACCAACGTCCAACGTCGCCCTTCGAGGACGGTTGAAACCTCTCCAAAGGAAGATCCAATTGGCTTCTCTCCAATGTTTCATATATACTCGATTACCCAAAACAGACTCTGTGCATTAGTCCTATCTGGTGTTACTAGCCTGCGTCTTATCCCTGCCCGGGCAGCGCATGAATCGTCCCGCTTTGCCTCAAAGTCCGGGATCTAAGGCATATCCGTCGAGTTACTCCAGGTGTGCAAATCCTCCATATGCGGAATCGCACTCGCGCAGAGGCGCATGAAGCGTTATGACCGCAGACGTGAACACACAAGATGCGGCTACAGTTTGCGGAGCACGGGGCTCGGGGAGCCACCATTCGAGTCCGTATAACACAGCATAGGGGGATCACGTGTTCGGTCGGTATTCCTGTCCCGAATTACAAGAGGCTAGTTTAGTTCTCTGCGACGGTCCCAGGTGAAAAGGGCTAGTGCCAACTCCCATAAGCATGACGAATACGACCAGAGAGAACCACGGCATATGCCACGTCGATACCATCGTAATACCGTTGAGACGGCATTTCGTCTATCGAATATTTCATTGCTCGTTTCCATCGAGAGTCTCTCTGTCTCCGTGTCCGACCGGCTAACAGCGTTGCATCGCGAGCGGATACAGCACGGCACCTCACACCGGGAGATCTACGGGGACCCTCAGGAAAAATCCCAACTAATGTCTCGCTCAAGCATAGTTAGTATCCACGCTATTTTCGGCAACTCGTCCTCAGGACGTAGCCGGCTCACGCCCACGTTCACCTGGAGTAACTTTCTAGCCCGTCGAGAAGCACGGCAAGCTAGAAAGGCGTAGTTCTCCCCAGATCCTCGCCCAGTGTCACGCCGTTCCTGACGTAAGACGACTCCGAACAAAATAACCGAGGATTCGTCTGGTTTACTGCATCGGGATTAGCCCTCCGCTCCATACCCCACGTCGGATTGTATCATGCGAGGCTGCAATCCCGTCTCCGTGTCTCCAGTCTCGAAGTGCCGCGCAGCTCGGATTCCTAGATGCGGGGAAAAACGAACAGTCCAGTTCTCCAACAGTGGGACGCCACTGGGCGCGACGTAGGAGAGGACGATAGATAAGTAAGCGATGTCGAGATAACGAGAGAACCGCATTCGACATACCTACACGAGATCTTTTCCTCGTCGATTGTGCGCACGTCCACGTGAGCAGCTACGTCAAGATGGGATCTATCCAGAGTTCGACGCCGTTCCAGATTAAGGAGGCCCCGATCGATGGCCACCGTCCGATGAAAGTTCGCGTCATAGGCGCTGGGTACTCGGGCATCTATTTGGGAATTCGTATACCCGAGCGTCTGCGAAACATCGACCTGCAGATCTACGAGAAGAGCGACGCCGTAGGTGGCACCTGGTGGGTGAATCGGTATCCCGGTAAGGCTGCTGGTGTATCTTCCACCACGAAATATCCTTCCGCCAGCCGGCCTTACTTACACGTCGGCTAGGTTGCGCTTGTGACATTCCGGCACACTCGTACCAGTATTCATTCAACCCCAACCCTAACTGGTCCTCCTTCTACGCGCCGCAAAAGGAGATCTGCGCCTATCTCCAAGGCACCGCCGAGAAATTCGGTGTCCTCAGATTTGTGAAACTCTTGCACGAAGTGAAGTCCTGCCAGTGGGACGAAAACAGAAAGAAATGGTGCGTAGTACTATACCACACCCGTTATTTTCAACGAAAACAAAAACAAAAATAAACAGGAAGGAAAAAGTGAACAGCACTAATACGGGAGCAGGATTTTAACCGTCCATCGCACAGATACCGGGGAGACCCTCGAAGACGACGCAGACGTGTTGATCTCGGCCAGAGGCAACCTGAGCGACCCCGCGTGGCCCAAAATACCGGGCCTGGACTCCTTCAAGGGGGAGATCATGCACTCGGCAAAATGGAACGAGAAGTTAGCCCTCCAACCACCTTCCGGGACTGCGATTCCACTAACCGGCAAACCTATAGATACGATTTCAAGAATAAGAAAATCGGCGTTATCGGCAACGGGTCCAGCGCTATACAGATCGTCCCCAATCTACAAAAGGTCGAGGGTGCACACCTCTCGTGCTTCGTCAGAAGCAAGACGTGGATTACGAACCCCTTCGGAGAGAGTGAGTCCTCACCCCGAGCCGATGATGCAGACCTCTCGAGCCTCTAACAGCGACGGGAGCAGACGTGATGAGAAAACTGGGGCTGGATCCCAACAAGCTAGAATGTAAGTGAACCCCGAGACGGAAGAGGCAGAAGCAGAGGCTCGGGATGTCCACGGTCGGCGGCTTACCATCTCGTTTCCTCGAAACGCCACAGTCTCGGAGGAGCAGCGGAAAGAGTTTGCCACGAACCCGGAGAAGTTCTTCGACTTCCGGCGCATCATCGAGGTCGACGGCAACACGATCCACGAGGTGTCGATCCGCGGCTCGGCGATGCAGCTGGGCGGCATCGCGGCCTTCGCGGCGGCGATGCGCGCGCGGCTGGCCAAGAAGCCCGAGATCGCGGACTTCCTGATCCCGGCGTTCGGGATCGGCTGCCGGCGGGCGACGCCGGGGCCGGGGTACCTGGAGGCGCTGGCGGCGGACAACGTCGACTTCGTGACGGACCCGATCGCGGCGGTGACGCCGACGGGGGTGTCGCTGGCGTCGGGGCGGGCGGTGGCGCTGGACGCGCTGGTGTGCGCGACGGGGTTCAACACGTCGTCGGCGCCGCCGTTCGAGGTGCGGGGGCGGGGCGGGGTGACGCTGGGGGAGCGGTTCGCGCCGCACCCGACGGCGTACCTGTCGGTGGCGGTGGACGGGTTCCCGAACCTGTTCCTGATGCTGGGGCCGAACTCGGCGATCGGGTCGGGGTCGCTGACGGTGATCCTGGAGCGGGAGGGCGACTACGCGGTGAAGTGCATCCGCAAGCTGCAGAAGGAGGACTACGCGGCGATGGCGGTGAAGCCGGAGCGCGTGCGCGACTGGGACGCGTACTGCGCCGAGTACTTCCGCCGCACCGTCTACACGGACGACTGCCACAGCTGGTACAAGTCCGCCGGCGGCGACGGCGACCGCATCGTCGGCCTGTGGCCCGGCAGCACCATGCACGCGCTCGAGGCCCTGCGCGCGCCGCGCTGGGAGGACTACGACTGGGAGAGCGTCGACGGCCCCGCCGCGAACCGCCTGCGCTGGCTCGGCAACGGCTGGAGCCTCACGCACACCCCCGCCCAGGCCGAGGGCGAGTACCTCGGCGACCCGGCCTGGTACATCCACCCCCGCTTCCTCGACATCCCGCTGCCGGGCCGCCCCGAGGAGGCCGAGGAGTACAAGGCGCTGCCGTTCTCCCACTAAGACAACCGGGCAGCTACTGCTGCTGCTTAGGCTGGAGGACCCGAGGGGGCCGGTTCGGTTCGCTAGAGAGCGTGGTTTCTAGATCTAGACGGCATGACGCGCGCGGTACTCTCTCTGTCGGCACATACATACACGCATATATACGGGTATATAATTTGGATCCCGGGGAGTGGCATGATATACAAGTCACCAGTCTCGTTAGATAGTTAAGTTTGGTGAAGTTCGTACCTACGTTTACCTGCTCTATGTAGACAGTAGTCTATTTACCTACAGTCGAATTTTGGCAATTTGGATCCGTGTTAGCGGGATGCCTGCCATTGTAGGTGACGCTCCGGCCCCCTCTTTGGACATTTACGTTCTCTCTACTTTGCCTAACCCGGAGGCGTGTAAGTCATGAGCGGGCACGTGCAGAGATGCGTTGTATTGCGATGTTTCCAGATGGGGCTTCATACGGTTGACGTCGTCAGCATGTTTACTAGGAAATCCTTCGTAGAGCCAGCTAAGAGCTTTCTGTCGGACCTTGGGGGGTGGGTTGCGTGCTAGGGTTATTTAGGCCATGCCCTTCCTTAATAGGGCGGAATACTATTGACGAGCTACGTCTAGGTGATGACCGGGCTTACACGACCAGCTACGGCTACAGTAAGAAGGCCAGGGTGCATGGGGATGAAGCGTGAATATACTAGGCTAGCCTCGGGGGGTGGTTGGCAACCCAGCTGCCCGATACGGCACAGGACGCCGCCTTGATTGGTGAGTATAGGAAGGAGGCATGTACGTCAGGGCATCTAACAAGGGTAAGGCGATGCGGGGAAAAGACTGGGATAGATAGTTATGGCCAAGTATATGCCTACGTGAACACCGCCGTGTTTTCATAGGAAACACGAGAACGCTGCATTCGACTGCCGGCAGCCCCTGGCTTCATTTGCCGGTGGCTATTATCTACAGGCCGGTCCCAGACTCAAGGGCAGCTTGGGTATGGCTCCTTGGTGCAATACGAGGCACAATATGGGGGCACACGAGAGCGGCTGGGCAATCTCCGCGGAGGTAGGGGATCTCTATCGGGGCGCGTCTCGTGGGGCTGTCCGTTGGAGTGGCTCGGCTCTACATATCGGGGTTTGGCGGACCGTCTCCTCCACCGTGGCTGTATCAGCAGGAACACATCGTGACAACGTCCCCGCCGTAGCCGTCCGCGTTGTGATGTGATAGGTACGTCAAGTGGCATACTACGGATAGGTAGCTTTCGCGCTGTGCGTGCGGGCTTTTGCACTCGGCATAAACGAGATCGGTAGGCCTTTAGAGGTCCTCAGCTCGGCGCCCTGCCTACCGGCCTAGGATTTGCGACTGTTTACTGTTGTATGCTTCTGTGTGCCGTGCGGATGGACTGGGAGTGGATGGGATCGGATACGAAGCTTGGCTGGTGCGGAACGCGCACGGATGAGGGACCGCCGGCAAGGGCATCCCCTAGATCCTGGCCTGGCTCTCTCCGACGGCTGGACTCTCGATCGCTACCCTTTCGTGCCTAGGCCTAAGTGACGATGCCGAATTAACGTTAAATGTGCCAGTTGAGCGGTTTATGCACCATCGTGCGCTATTTGTCTTCCGAGGTGCCATTGAGTTCACAGGTTGGACTCATAGATAGGCCACGAAAATTGACTCTTCATCTAGGAACCGATGAATTATTACCGCTTCGGAAACAGGATGGAGCCGGTAGATATCATCGGTGTACATTTGGGTGCGTTGACCGAGTGGTGCACGATGCGGGCAGCTACGTGAGGTTTCGTAGATATGTAGGGGTAGGTATGTCCCCGTATGTATGTATCTTGGACGCAGGTCTACAGAAAACACGTTAGCAGAGCGTACGTTGCAATCGTCTGGGCACACACCCCCTATTATTTCCAACAGTGCGGGCTAAGGAATGCAATATGCGGTTCCGTCAGCTCCCCAAATCGGTGCATCGGGTAATGGTAGTAAAGTCGACAGTGGAATGTCTCTCGACTTACTGGAGTATTCATGTAGTTAATTCAAGCTATTAAAAAAAGGAAAAGGAAAGAAAGAAAACCCGAAAAGGGAGAGACGGGAAGGGATTCTACAACCCGCCACGATTGGAGCCTTTAGATCCGTGGCCAGCATTTTATAACGAGACTCGTGCAAGTGCCCATGCAGGCGCAAACTGACTCTGGGGTATTGCACGTCTCGGGCAGTAAATCCCTCTGGGTCTATCGTGGCTGCGTTTGGGCCTTCTAGATCGCTCGGGGAAGACGTGAGAGACCGTTGTGCTGTCGCGTCCACACACTCGCGCGGTGTTCGGGGTCCGTGATAGAGTCAGCATCCGCACCAATGAGGGAAAATTCTAGAATAGTAAGGGGGGTGGGTATGACGATGACCAAGCAGGGCGGATAAGAAGCTTCTATTCCTGACAAATCCTTGCCTGTGTTCTCGTTTCTACACGCCCCTCCACGTGCGTGATCGGTGGTGAAACTGGGCGCGCCCGTCGTTTCGTCTCAGCGTCCTTCTCTCTGCAAGCCCACCTGAGCCAGCTAGCTGGAGAGGAGCAGTGCCACCCGGAGTCATCGGCTTCTTGATATAACCCGAGATCGCCAGAGAAAGCAAACACGGATATCCGTACCGCAGCATTACGCCAACATATTGCCTAGTGGCTAGGGGATGACGATGACTTCCTGCCACGTATGTGTGAGCGTCCAGTAACTCCGGATAGGGGCTGTGTGGTGAGAATATGGGCAAAGAGCCGTCGCGCCCCCTCCCATAATTTATACCTAGGGCGACCCTTGATCCGTCCGACGACGATCTCGCGCTGCGGCATTCCGGTGTTGCCGATGCTCCTCTACGCGCGCGATGGCAGGGCAAGTCAGATCGCTGCAACTTCTTACCAGGAGACGGGATCGCGACGCGCTCGCTCTTAGGGCACGTCAGAATGCGTCTGCCGGGCCGAAATATGCATTTCTCGCCGGCACAGTGTCTAAAATTAAGACTAGGCGCCGAGAACGTGGGTATTCCTGACGCTTACCAGACTCGCGGAGACCACCCCCTAGAATATACCCCGAGCAGAGACAAAAACACGCGGTTGACTTGGGGATAGTGATAAGCCTGTAAGGAATTGTCATTTCTAGAGCCATTGTACTTTCGGAGTGCGCTGGGCCACTTGAAGATGTGTTAAACCGTTCGGATTGAAGTTACCTAGATTCGTAACGGGTCCAGGTAACGGCGCGGGAGAAGCCTGGACTGAAGCTCTTCAGCGAGCGTAACATCCTACTCACAGTTAATATTAGAGGCCGGGAGGCTCATGTCTTCTTTCTTATTCCCACCCCCTTTTTTATATAAAAGAAAAACCTCGACCAATTCAACCAAAAAATACTTGGGTAGTCTTCTAAAGTCGGTCAGGCTCTACTACGCCCCAAGACATCGCGCCCTTCTGCGAACCGAGTCTCGTCGTAGGTTCTCCTGGCTCTTGTGTTGCTTTCCGAACAGGGGTAAAATGAATAATAGTAGCTGCAAGAATATTATGTGGCTTTTCGGAATCCCAACTTCTTGCGCCTATCCTCAGCCGCAGCGCGTTTGAATCATTATGATTGATGCATGACTGGCTGACTGACTGACCCCCTCGGCGGCAGGGCGTAGGTATGTAGCCGGCGTATTCGCTGTTTCTTCCCCACGGTACAGACACTGTCCACTTTGACCCCCAAATAGCAAAGTCTTGCCTCTCTGTGGTGCGCAATCTTGAGCCATCAACCGCAACGGATCTCTACGTTCTCCCGACCAGACGAGGGATTTAACACCGGCGAAGTTATGTTTATGCTAGCAAGATAATGCCGTTGTGTTCTTCACCGTTTCTCTTGTACACAACATGAATCAAGCTGGCGACACGTCGAGTCGGTCCCAACTCTCACGTTGGGGCGGTGGCTGTGAAAATCTATTGGACGGCCATATTGGCCGCATGAAACCGGGGCGATGATCGACATGCAGCATCCAGACCCGGGCGCACTGGAGGTTAGCTGGGGCCCGTCCAGCCAAGCAAAAGGGCTTCCAATTAGTCAGATATCTCGGCGGAGGGGGCGGGATGAGGTGAATATGATGTAGGGAGCTGGGCGGGCAGCCTGCCTACATGGTACTGTACGGGTTTTGTCGCGTAGTTACCGTCGTAAACTCCAGACTTAACGCCGGGTGGCTCTGAAACATGTTGCTCTGAGTGAGATCGTCCCTTTTCTCAGTTCGGTTCTCCCGTCTGGTCGGCGGGAGGGAAGGGGGGTAGCTACCGATCTTGGTGGTATCTCACCCCCACGATTGGCGAGGATGACAAGCCACCGAACAGAAACCCCAGCCGAAACAAGGCAATCCCGTTCTGTCCGGTGTCTTGCCGTCTGTAGTTATTGGCCTGGCTGACTGAGCTCACCGACGTGTCGACGCAATCAACCTGCTCCCCCTATCAGCCTCCCAGGAACCACGGAACGGCTCCAGTCAGCGAACGGTGGCCTATCAACCCTTACGAGCCGTGAGTCACGGTGCGTTGGGTTAGCTACACACCTTCGATACTGTGGCAGGGTCAGATCGCGACTGTGGAACTCGATGCTCTTGTACTTTGTGGATTACCCGGGAAGGGCACCCGGCTGGGCTGGGCTAGCTCAAGCTTGTAGCGAGGATGGTGTCTGCCTGAGAGACAATTAGAAGTATGCAATCGGGGTCAGCTTAGACGATCCCCCCTATATACTCAAATTTTATCCTAGGCTGCCTGTCCTTGCTGCGTATATTGCTTAACAATATCTCCTGATTATCAATCTGGCCTCGGGACGGAGCGAACAAAGAATCGTCTCCGCATACTAAAGCTAGGCCCTATCTAGCCCCCCATATAAGTCCATCTCTCTCTCAGATGTGGCGGACTCATCGAGAATAAAGGACGCGATTTGGACACCGGTGCTGGCTATCCCCCGTTACGTCTGGCCTCGTCGTGGAATCTTTCTACCCGGTCGAAGAAGCAGCCCGTTATCCCGCTACGACTGGGTTACGCGAGCCATCTGTAACCAGGAAGATCGTCACCGCCGCCGTTCTTATCCTCACTGTTTCGCATCAGTTTCCAGAATCGGGGGCAAACCTCTCCCGAAAGCTCTTTTTTAAGGGCAAAAAAAGTCGCCCGCCATGTGGGCTAGCACCATTGACACCGAGTCCATCCGCCGGACAGACTCCGGCAGGCCGAATCTATGGCATTCAGAGAGCGCCAGACCAGGTGCAAGTGGGAGTGCACCAGGTTTGGGTGCTCACGCCGACTCTAGTGGGTCCGACGAAGCTGTGAACGGAGAGGGTACTTGGGGTGAACGCGACGTCGGCGGTTTCGACGAGCAAGAGGCACGAGAGGAATTAGAGGTGCTACGACACAACCTCACGCAGCTTCACAGAACGAGGACCCGAGACACCCAGGCTAGCAGGCGCTTAACACAGGTCCGCACGGGTCGCAGTAGCGCGGCGGAGAATCCATCGAGACGGCACACGAGGCAGCTCGGGCCCGGGGACGAAGGGGCTGGCGACAAAGATGTAGTAGACGAAGAAGACGACTTTGAGCTGGGCAAGTTCATAATCGACGGTCACTTCGAGAAGCGTACGGAGTCCGGTTCTGCGAAGAGAGTCGGCGTCATTTACAAGAATCTCACGGTCAAGGGTGTTGGAAGTACCTCTTCTTTTGTCCGAACAATCCCAGATGCGGTAATCGGCACCTTCGGGCCTGATCTGTATCGTATCCTCTCTCGTTACATTCCCTTTCTCCGCTTCGGTAGAACTAAGCCGACGCGGACCTTGATTAACGACTTCACCGGATGTGTTCGCGACGGCGAGATGATGCTCGTCCTAGGCCGCCCTGGTTCCGGATGTAGTACCTTCCTCAAAGCCGCCAGCAACAATTGCGAATCGTTCGCCGCCGTGGAAGGAGAAGTATCCTACGGTGGCATCCCGGCAGCTAAGCAGAAGAAGATGTACCGGGGTGAGGTCAACTACAATCCCGAGGACGACATCCACTTCGCTTCGCTCAACGTTTGGCAGACCTTCACCTTCGCCCTCATGAACAAGACTAAACGGGCAGCTAAGGAGGAGATCCCGATCATTGCTAACGCGCTATTGAAAATGTTTGGTATCAGCCACACCAAGTACACGCTGGTCGGCGACGAGTACACGCGAGGAGTATCTGGTGGCGAGCGCAAGCGCGTGTCCATCGCCGAGACGCTGGCGTCGAAGTCGACAGTTATCGCGTGGGATAACTCGACTCGCGGGCTGGACGCCTCGACGGCCCTCGACTACGCCAAGTCTCTCCGCATCATGACCGACGTCAGCAACCGCACGACGCTCGTGACCCTGTACCAGGCCGGCGAGGGTATCTACGAGCTCATGGACAAGGTCCTCGTTATCGACCAGGGCCGACAGATATTCTCAGGGCCCGCCCGGGACGCCAAGCAGTACTTCACCGACCTCGGCTTCGCGTGCCCGGAGAGGCAGACGACGGCGGATTTCCTGACCGCCGTTACCGACCCCAACGAACGCCAGTTCCGGCCGGGATTCGAGGACCGGGCACCGAAGACGGCCGAGGAGCTCGAGAAGGCTTTCCGCGACTCGTCCAACTATCAAAAAATGCTGGACGACGTGCGCGACTACGAGGAGCACCTGCACCGCACCGATTTTGAGGACGCCAAGAAGTTCGAGGGTGCGGTCCAGGAGTCCAAGTCGAAGCACGTCAGCGAGAAGTCTCCGTACACGGTTTCGTTCTTCCGCCAGGTGATCGCGTGCACGGAGAGGGAGTTCTGGCTCCTCTTCGGCGACGTGACGACGCTGTGGACCAAGTTCTTCATCATTGTCTCGAACGGCCTCATCGTCGGCTCGATCTACTACGGCCAGCCCTTCTCCACCGCCGGAGCATTCTCTCGCGGCGGCGCGCTCTTCTTCTCCATCCTCTTCCTTGGCTGGCTGCAGCTGTCGGAACTGATGAGAGCCGTCTCGGGGCGGGCGGTCGTCTCCCGCCATCGAGATTACGCCTTCTACCGCCCGTCTGCCGTCTCGCTCGCCCGCGTCATTCAGGATATCCCGGTCGTCTTCGTTCAGGTCTGCATCTTCGGCTTGGCCATGTACTTCATGACCAACATGGATATGGATGTTAGCAAGTTCTGGATTTATCTGTTGTTCGTGTACACGACGACGATAACCATCACGGCTATGTATCGCATGTTCGCTAGTCTTTCCCCCGAAATCGATACGGCGGTGCGCTTCTCCGGTCTTGCACTCAATCTGCTCATCATCTATACGGGATACGTGATCCCCAAGACGCAACTGCTGAGAGACTACATCTGGTTCGGCTGGCTCTACTGGGTGAACCCCCTGGCCTACAGTTTCGAGGCCGTCTTGACAAGTGAGCTTTCGAATCGAGAAATGGAATGCGATCCCCAACAGCTCGTACCTCAGGGCCCCAATGCCCTTCCAGAGTATCAGGGCTGTTCTCTCGTCGGCTCTAGGGTTAACTCTCGTACGGTCGCCGGTAGTGATTATCTGGACGTCGGCCTCGGTTATAGTCGCGCCAACCTATGGCGAAACTTCGGTGTCGTAATCGCATTCGCGGTCCTATATATACTTGTCACGGTGATCGCGACGGAGCTGTTCGACTTCTCATCGGAAGGTGGCGGCGCCGTGATCTTCAAGAAGTCTCGCAAGGCCAAGAAGCAAGTGCAAAAGGCAGCTTCAGCCCCTGATGTCGAGAAGAATGTGGGCCACGAGAGTAGCGGGTCGTCCGCAACTAGAGTCGGCGAGTCTTCCGCGACGCCAGAGGAGCAGCTCGATGCTCTTGGACAGCTCACAAATAGCAACTCGATCTTCACGTGGAGGGACGTCGAATACACAGTTCCTTACCTCGGCGGCGAGCGCAAGCTCCTAAACAAGGTGAACGGTTACGCCAAACCTGGCATCATGGTCGCGCTGATGGGCGCTTCCGGTGCTGGAAAGTCGACGCTTCTGAACACGCTGGCGCAGCGTCAGCGTGTTGGCGTCGTCTCGGGCGAAATGTTCGTCGACGGCCATCCTCTAGACCCGGATTTCCAGCGCAATACAGGATTCTGCCTCCAGGGTGATCTCCACGATGGCACTCAAACGATTCGCGAGGCCATCGAATTCTCGGCGCTACTAAGGCAAGAGGCTTCGATACCCCGGGCGGAGAAAATCGCCTACGTAGACAAGATCATCGACCTGCTCGAGCTCAACGACCTACAGGATGCCATCATCAGCTCCCTCGGCGTCGAGCTGCGGAAACGGCTTACCATCGGTGTTGAGCTGGCCGCGAAGCCCTCCCTACTCCTATTCCTAGACGAGCCTACTTCGGGCCTAGATTCGCAGTCCGCGTTCTCCATCATCACGTTCCTGAGGAAGCTTTGCGCCGCCGGGCAGGCCATCGTCTGCACGATCCACCAGCCAAGCTCGGTCCTGATCCAGCAGTTCGACATGGTGCTCGCGCTGAACCCGGGCGGAAACACGTTCTACTTCGGGCCCATCGGCGAGAACGGCCAGGACGTGATCAACTACTTCGCGGAACGCGGCGCCGAGTGCCCGCCGGGCAAGAACGTCGCCGAGTTCCTGCTCGAGACGGCCGCGCGGCCGCACAAGCGCCCCGACGGCACTAAGATCGACTGGAACGAGGAGTGGCGGAACAGCGAGCAGGCAGAGAGGGTGGTCGAGGAGATCGAGGGCCTCAAGCGGAGCCGCAGCACGGCGCATCCGCAGCAGCACCCCAAGCCGGACGCCAAGACGGGGTCGCGAGAGTACGCGGCCTCTGACTGGGCGCAGACGGTGGAGCTTACGAAGCGCATGTTCCGGCAGCACTGGCGCGACCCGGCGTACGTGTATGGGAAGCTGTTCGTGGCGGTGATCATCGGCATCTTCAACGGGTTCACGTTCTGGAAGCTAGGCAACACTGTCCAGGACATGGAGAACCGGATGTTCACGCCCTTCTTGATCATCATGATCCCGCCGACGGTGGTCAACGCGGTCGTGCCTAAGTTCTACACCAACATGTCGCTGTGGCAGGCGCGCGAGTATCCGTCGCGCATCTACGGCTGGTTCGCCTTCTGCACGGCCAACGTCATCGTCGAGCTGCCCTCTGCCATCATCTCCGGCACCCTGTACTGGCTCCTGTGGTACTGGCCGACCGGCCTGCCCAGCGAGAGTTCCGTCTCGGGATACACATACCTGATGACCATCCTCTTCTTCCTGTTCGTCACCAGCTGGGGCCAGTGGATCTGCGCGTTCGCCCCCAGCTTCACCGTCATCTCCAACGTGAGTGGCCCCCCCTCGCCGTTCGCTCGTATGTACCGTGAGATAGGTTGCTAACATACGGGATGCGCAGGTGCTGCCTTTCTTCTTTGTCATGTTCGGCCTGTTCAACGGCGTCGTGCAGCCGTACTCGCTGCTGCCGGTCTTCTGGAGGTACTGGATGTACTACGTGAACCCGTCGACGTACTGGGTCGGCGGCGTGCTGGCGGCGACGCTCGACGGCATCCCCGTCCAGTGCGATCCTGCAGAGACGGCCCAGTTCGACGCGCCCCCGAACCAGACCTGCCAGTCATACGCAGGCACGTTCGCACAGGCCGCTGGAGGCTACCTTCTCAACCCCGACGCGACGAGCGACTGTCAATACTGTCCGTACACCGTCTCGAACCAGTATCTCACCACGCTCAACATCAACGCCGACGAGAAATGGCGAGGTATGTGGCTCCATTCCCCGGTCCCCTTCCCCCCTTTTCCCTTTCTCTCATCCTCGCCCCCTTCCTTCTTCCTTTCCTTCGCGGAATCAACGCGTCCTGCGTGCATGCACTACAAGTACACGTGCTAACGATGGGCGGTGCGTTCGCAGACTTCGGCATCTTCCTAGCCTTCTGCGTGTCCAACTGGGCGCTCATCTACTTCTTCATCTACACGGTGCGCGTGCGCGGCTGGTCCTTCGGCTTAGGCGCCGTGTTCGGCGCTCTAGGCAAGCTTGTTGACGTGCTCAAGAAACCGTTCCAGCGCTCCACCGCCAGGGAGGCTTGATCAGACCCATTCGTTAACCTACCCTGCGTGCACAGTCACACGCACGCCCTCCCCCTCCGCACGCGCATTGGTCCCTCTCTACTTACCCACGCCCGTTAGCGGTGCGCGTCCGGGGAGGAGGAGGATTGTGCGCGCGGGCGCGTAAGGAACACCAATGCGCAGCATAAACTGCCTCGGAACGACAGCTTCCCTCGCGCCGCTGGCCCGGGCTATCCTTAGTCCTCTCGCTGAGGGGGCGGCTAGAGAGGTACTACGTAGTTTGTCAACGCCAAGGATGGGCTCGCCACGCGAGTCGGATAGCGCCTCGCTGCCCGACGTTAGAGCTAGAGAGCTAAAGGTTCTCGATTTTCCCCGTTGTAATGATTTGCGAAGACCGGGATGGAGACGGGAGCGTTCTGGCCCGGGCCAGAGTAGAGTGGAGGTTCGAAGACCCGGGCGAGAGATCAACTGACTCGAGCTCGAATGCGTGTTAGCGTTGTCAGATTCGCGGGGAGAAGGAGAGTCGCCTGACTGCCTGTTACATTCGAGCTTCGGCGTTTACGGGGGGACGAAGACAAAAAAGAGAGGTTGTTCGGGGTTTATTTCACGAGACAGAATAGGGGCAGATGAGATTCGTGTAAAATCGCGGTTACGGAGGCCTCCGTCTGATGAGCGTATATTAAAAAGTTGAATGACTACAAATTTAGGAAATTTCCATCTTCACCGCTGTACCGTGATGACACTGGCGTCGCATGTAAGTGGTAACCCTACCGATGCCAACCCTGTCCGGACCTACAGCCTACGCAACGCGCAAAGAGCACACACAACCGCGGTTGTGTTGTCACGGCGAGCATGGCTGTAGGTCGTACGATGGCCACCTTGTCTGCAAGTAGACACCGAACCACTCTCTTTTCTGTTCTTCCCTCCTCGTAGCAAATCACCGGCGGGTGACACAGGACCACGGTGTCAGTATGGACAGCACAGAAAAAGATGGCTAGGATTCGGACCCTCGCTCTCTCTTTCGCTCTCTCTCGCCAAGTGGCATGACCAAGAGATGCGACGAGAGGATGGCCGTCGAGATAGAGCTGCATGCAGCAGCGCTGCCAATGTCCTAAGGATTCTCCTGGGCATAGGTAATACATCTAGGCACGCATGCATCTCAACAACACCGGCACCAACAGCAACGGCATGAGGGCCGCAAGGCTCTGGTTCCTGGGTTGGTACTTACTAACTATATCGCGATCTCCTATAACGGACTGCCGTTCTAGACCCCTGGGGAAAGGCGACGGGAAGGGTGACCTTGCATCCGCGGATGGTTTTTTGTCCTCTTTTTTTTTCTTTCTTTTTTTTTCCTGCCTTGTAGCCCCTTCGTTGGTGTCACAAAAGAATGATACAACGTCCACGGCGATCGAGGCGCACTCCCGCCGCCAAGACGCAGGCCTTTGGCTGCGTAAGAGAAAGCGATCGATGTACGCGTTTCACACGCCTCGAAGGAATACTTAGTGGCATTGGCCGGCTCTAGCAAATGGCTCATCCAGGGCCGCGCGGCATACGACCGCGGCTCGGACGCACTTGCGCGGACAGAGCAAGAGACCCCCCCGATCCTTAAGAGATATTGGATGCGAGGCTTATTGTTCCTGACCGAGGACCGCCGAGTGAGTCAGTCAGTTAGTCAGAGCCATCACCTTCTGTCATTTCTCTCTTTTCCCTTTCCGTCTGCCTGGCTCTATCCACACACTGAATCTTAGCCGAAGTCGCAAGCAGGGCCTACCCTTTTCGTGTAATTTTTTTTTTGTTTTCATCTTTTTACGTGGACAAATCTCGGTGAGACCGGGTTTCAACTTGGTTTATTTGTCTTGGAGAAACGGTCGGTTGGGTCTGGTTGAGGAGCCACACAGGGTGGGGGCGATTAATAAATAGAGAAGAGAGAGAGAGAGAAAAATACAACGTAGCGGAGAGAGAGGGAGCGAAAGCACCCACCTAGATACATATCTACATCCTACATATACACGTAGATGGAGTGAGAGTAGAGGGTGAGGAGGCTGGCTGAGACCCTTTCGTTCTCTCGGACAAAACCCCGAGAAGCTTAGCAGGAGGAACTACTTAAACGGTCCACGTGCATGTAACCGAATCCTGCGCCCGCTGGAATGCTTTGGATGGGGCTTTGCCGGTCTCTCGACGTCCCACCTGTGGAGACGACCACGGGAAGGATGAGAGAGAGAGAGATCGCCAGGTACGAACGTGTTCCAGTGGTTCGTGGCAGATTATTCCCCGACTTCCAGTCAGAAGAAAAAAAGGTAGGAAAAAAAGAGAAAAAAATGGTGCCCAATATTGGTCCCGTGCGCAGGCCGAACGGGGGGGCGGAGATGTCTAGGAGAATCCGATTTCGAGACGATGGGAAATTGCCGGCTTAGACTGAACTTCTCCATCTCGGCGGTTCAAACGGCAGGGCATTCTATACCGGTCTAACTGGTCTCTGTGCGGGTGTGGTTTTACAGCGTATCGTATTGTTGCTTGGCGAACATCAACACCACATTAACCTGCCAATCGCAACCGGCCGCAGGTAAGAAGTGATCCCAGACGCATATGGGTAAGCTTAGAAGTTATGGGAATCGAAGCTTGTGACTCTCTGAGAAGCGAAGCACGGGAGCCGCTTCATCGCCCACCCCCTTACTTACCTACTCAGTATTACCGCCGGCGGCAAGGCCAGCACCGATCTTATGCGGTTCCCGTCTGTGCACGGCAGGTCGAGGAAGCCGAAGAAGAGATGACCATCAAATTCCGAAGGCGTGGCAGCACCGCAGCGCAGATGAAGTAATTTGCTAACGAATTCGACTCCGTATGGAGAGTTGGCCGTTTTCATTAGATCATATCATGAAGCCGGTTCCGAGCCAGCTCCGCGACCCTCCTCCTGTCATGAAGCAAAGCACACACACACACACACACACACACACACACCATACTTACAAACATGCCTACGACAGATCCGTGCATCCACTCATTTCTACCTACCTACCTAATGGATATATGTGCATACGCATAGGTCAGTACAAATCCGTAGGTATCACTTCATCATGCCGTCAACTGGCAATGCGCACACACGATCCCGACGGGTGCCGGATCTGGCACGGTGATAAGGGTCCCACAAGTCATCTATGTGCCACACTGCTGGGCTGGCCAGCGGGAATGGGCCCTCCCCTTGATCTTCGATCCCTCTTTGTCGATCACTTGTTCTCTGCAGGCCGAGAATGTCGAGTTTTAGTATCACGTAATACCGTCCGGCCTGTACGCGTCTGCTTGCATGTGTCCGTGAGACGGCGGCGCTCCTTTCCCCCTGTCTCCTTCACACAGGCCGTCGCGGGCCGCCGTCACGGAAGCGGATCGTGGGTTGCGCGAAGAGAGATGCGGGAGGGGACGAGGATGCAGGAGCATCACCGGTGGCGGTACACACGCTGGCATCTGCCCACCGAACCACCTCCCATGAACCGGCGATAGATGCGTAGCAATGGGCGGTGATTGATTTCGATCCCGACCGGCTACCACGGCCCAGCACGTGCGTCGATCGATGCGCCGCAGCAGGATGGGACCACAGACAGCAACGCGGGCGGGCTCGTCGACCGTCTTTTCCTACCGCCCCGAGAACCACCTGATATTTACGTTTACACATGCATCCATACCATATTGCGCCCTCACACACATACACATATGCGCGTATGCTGGCCGTGCAGAAAATAAGCTATGCGGCGTGTTGGGACTGGGCGTATAGCGTAAGACGGATGCCGGCGCTCTGTATAAGACGTCCCTATTATACTATACCATTGCATAGCCAGCCATGCGATGAATCCACCCCCGATGCAATCCGCAATGCGGGCTGGCAGTTCGGATGCTCCGAGTTGCATAGCTGAATGTCCGATCGGTGCTTGGGTTACCGCCACGGTCGGCGGTGTGGGGAGGGGGACCGGGGGGGGGGGGTGAAGGGGGCATTGGCTCATCTCGCTGACTCTCGAAAGCGCTGCGGATGAGAAAGAGAAGAAGGCGAACGAGCCGGGGGCTCGAAAGCGTCGGCTCGGACGGGATTGCTAAGCATCAGCTAACATCTGGCTGCCTACCCTAACGCAACACGCTACGTGCCTACTAAGCCTGAGCCGAGGCACTTGTTCAGAAACGCAAGCAGCACGCCAGCCGGTTCCGTAATAGCTACCTACCGCAGATAGATTGAGTTAGGCGAGCTAGGTTCATCGAGAGATGGAATGGGTAGAGAGGGTAGGCAGCCAGCTAGGTCTTACCGACTAACGCAGCAACGTTGTCGACGTTCGGGTCTGGTGCTGGGTGAAGCCCACTTAGGGCGGATACCTGTGTATGTAGGTGCGTATTTATGGAGGCATCATGAGTTCTTCCCCCAGCTTCCCGCCCCGCTGGTTGGCCGTAGTGTAGGAGCAGGAGTTAGGAGAAGGATCGACGTTAGTAGGTATAGTATGAATACAACTTACCAGATCCACCTATTTACTTACTCTAGATCCACGAGCGAGGGTAAAACTGGAGTCGACGGCCACCGCTGGGTCACACACACACACACACACACTTACGGAGACAAGGCCACAAAGAATCATGACAGAAGTCCCAGCCGGCATTAAAGGGATCTACGCTCCTCCTCCGGGGTAGTGTGCTTCGATTCGTCGAGGTCGGGCCACTGCGATTGGCACCAATTCTCACTCACTCACTCTCCCCCCTCTCTCCCTCTCTCTCTGTGCGTGTATGTCTATTCCCTGGGTTATATCTCTCTGCATATATATATCTCCGTTTTCTTCTTCTTCTCTCTCACCCTCCTAGATTTCCCCTCTTTGTGAATCGTCGTAAGCCGGGTGCCGCGGTGGTCGTTGCGTGGGGTGGCGACTGCAGTCCCCCTGAGGGTGATTGCTGCGATCTCGACAGGACGCCGGCGGGTAATGATCGTCGCTAGGCCTAGCGGGAGAACGGTCTGGATCGAGGGTTAGCTGATTCATCGGGGACGGCGGGGAGGCCCGACGGCTCTTTCGAGGGAGGAGGGGAGGAGGTAAGGCAAGTAACAATCCTAACAAAGAGGTTGATGAGCTGGCGGCGGAGCAGGTTCGATGCCCTTCTACCGCACCGTGGTTAGATGTTTTCGTCGCCGCGCAGGGGCCTACCTGGTCCGTAACGCTTCTTCACAAGCTGCAGAATCGGTGCCGGGGGGGGGGGGGAGCGTGTGTGGGTGTTATGCGGGCGTGCCGTACCCGCCTCTCGCGCTTCTCGCGCGCTAGATGGCTCTCTGGTTTCGCGAATCTCCCAGCTTTGGCCCTGGGACGGATATTAGCACGGGAGTGATGCTTCTGCGGATCATACCAGGTGGTGTTTCGACGGCCGATATCGAATGTTCAGGTATTATTATGTGTGTATTATGTGTGTCTTATGTATGTATGTAGGCAGGTATATACGTAGGTATGTATATAAGTATGCATATTACCTGTATATGTAAGTCGTTATGTGTGTATGTGGATGTAGGTGTGAGCAGGCGTGTGTGTGGGTGTAGGTGACGATGGTGGTGGTAGTGGTGATGGTGGTAGTGGTGTGCATGTGTCTGTGTACGGTGTCTCTCCTCTCCTCGTCCTCCCCCCCCCCTCCCCCCATTCTCTCCCCTCTCCCTGGAGAGGCTACATATGCATGCTATCAGACCGGAGAAATTGAGCCTAATAGAGCACATGCAAAAGGGAGTATGCGGAAACTGGTGTTCGGCCACGGTAGTCGTCTCCGGCGAATGGCGTGCGCGCCGGATGGGTTGGATGTCAAGTTCCAACCATCACGATTCTGGCTGAGGATCGCGCACCGCCACCATGCAACCCTCTAATATTAAACACTCATGGCGCTTTCTTCAGTAGCTGAGCTGAGGCCCTCGAGAGTCACAGACCGACTTCGCGATTTCCATATGCGGGAGCGCGTTCGATGCAAAAAGAATACAAATGCCGGTGATCGACGGAGGCGATTATGAAATATGATAATCGTGGTTATCACGACAATCGTGAACAGGCCGGTAAGATGCTTCTAACCTGTCTGATTTAGCAGTGCATAGGTATATGTGTATATGTGCAATACAATCACGTAACCACCAACAGAGCCATGAATAGAGCGATCGATAGAGCGATACGACGACAGAAAGCCGAATGGTGCGCTCCCTCCGATCGTCCTCGGATTATTGACGGTGATAACGCGCGAGAGCCTCAACGCACAACGGGTAATATCTTTTTTTTTTCTCTTTCTTTTCTTCATTTCAGGCTTGTCGATCTTAGATCTCTGTCTCTCTCTCTATCCCTATCGAGTCTAGCAGGGACAGAAGAAACTCGTCACAGACGTTACCCGTAGCTAGTAGCCCTATCACGTCCGACTACGACTGCTCATCTTCGATGACTTATAACCCGGACGGGCAGGAATCTCGATACTCTGGCGTCGCGTCAATCACGATGCGATGACGGTGCCGACAATAGTTTTGATTTTTTTTCGCGGGAAGATGCGGGGAGGAGATGGGCAAGAAAAATGCAATTAAAAAAAAGAAGAACCAGCGAGGAGACAAGCCGTAGACCATCTATTTACCTACCTATTATTCGAGCACAAGCGTAGCGCCAATATCGACCCCTCCAACCCCCCTCCCTATCTTGCCCTGGCTCCTCCTCGCAGAATTCCAGAGAGGGCGCACGGATTGAAACGGCTTGAGCACACACTCGGGCCGTATCTAACAATAAGATGAAAGTTTTTTTCTTCTTCTTTCGCTAGCCATCACCGCTTCTTCGCAACAACGTCCATTTCCAACGCATCCGTGGGCCGGGGGAGGAAAAAAAAAACCGAGACCAGGCTCTCGCTACGGCGCTGAGCCAATCCCTACTAGACTTCAGCTCAAGAGCATAGCCCAGACATCGGGTCCCTTGCCAACGCGTGCTGACTTGGACTGCGGTGATGTATCATGTTGCCATGTGCCATTGTAAAAGTCACATTCACAAATAAGCATAAGAAGAAAAAAAACTAAGATCAAAGCTATTCGAGCCCGACCGATCCGCAGCATTAGAAAAAACGAGAGAGCGAAACGCCGAAATCGTCGTCGGGATTTTAGGCACCACGCTATATCATTCCTCTTGTGACCTTGTCCTTGTCTTTTTTTTTTCTTCTTTTTTTTCCCGTTTTGCTGTCATCAGGTCTACTTCTCCCGCTCTGCCACTCGCTGGCCCCCTCTGTGGCATTTCCCTTCTCGCCCTACGTTGCCTTACGTTACACCCTGTCTATTCGTGACTTGGGCGCTGGGCACAAACCGAGCAGACAGCCCAGCCAGTCTTCAGTCCCACTCAAAACACTTCTCTTGTTCTCTGTTGCTACCTATACTTGTCATTGTATCGTAGTACTAGTGACGGATCTGGGAGCCTTATTGACTACCGGGATTTGCTGGTGGGATTTAAAAGAAAAGGGACCCTCCCTGCTAACTCTCTCTTTCACCTGCTTGCTCTATCTCTCTGTCTCTAACCCTCACCCCTCTTCAACCCCCCCCTTGGCGAACTGGGTCTGCGTTGGCTTGCGCCTGTAATAAACGTTCCGAAACAAGGCCCCCCAGCTTCAAATCTTACATTCCAGTCAGGCCCATCTGAAAGGCATTCTCGCTAATATAAGCTGCCAAAATCCCATCTCACACACCCCGGCTCGTGTGCCCCCCCCCCCCCCCCCCCCCTCCCTCCGCCACCATAAAGGTCAACGCTTTGTACATACATATATATCCACCATGTCAACTCGACCACCCAAGTCTCACTACCCCAGTTCCTCGTCAACAGACTCTGACAGCTCCTCCTCACCGTCGTCGTCGGACACCGATCTCTCTATCCGGACCAGTATGGATGTTCAGCCGGTTGCATCGGTCGAGGTCCTGCGCTGCCTGCGCTGCCACCGACATGTCGAGACCACCTCGACCGACGACCCGGCCTCGACGGGCATGATTCGAGTAGGGTTCAACCTCTACTACTGTCAAAAATGCGCGATAGCTGTCGGATACAAATGAACAACACGCCTCGCTCTCTTCTCCTGCCCTGGCCGCGCTCGAACGACGACGGACGAACTACGGCTGGCAAATCGCTCTCCACAACACGACGCTCTGTTACTGCTACTGCTACTGCTACTGCTTCTACTTCTCCTGCTACTGCTACCACCCTCACCACCCTCGCTCTCGGCAACGGGCATCTCGACCTCCTTCGCCCGCAGTCCTCGACGATATCGGAGCCACGTAAATCACATCTCTCCCCCTCTCTCTCTAAAAAATGGGCGCAGCGCATCGCCTCGCGCACCGCTCTTCGTGCGCGTCGGTGTGCGACACGGCGACACGGCGGCGCAACACCTAGGCACATACACACAGCTTACGAGGATCTGCGACTGACGCTCGCTATGGGGCAGAGTTATTCCCTGAACAAGATGCCCTTCGAGTCCGTAACGAGGCTGCGTGTCCTCTTTTTTTTTTCTTTCCCGCGGGGGCTCTTGACGCTGCCCAATGGGCTCTTTCCGTTCTTCACCATCACACGAAATATATATTTTTATATATTTCCCCTCCCTACATGTATCCCTTTTTTCGTTTCCCTATATCGAGGGCGGGCTCCTATTAGTTCGCTATGCCCGAGAGAATCGGAGTCGTAGCCAACCGCAGCGCGTCGACACCCCTCCTCCAAATCCTCGACAGGCCTGAATTTGTCCTCCTCCTCCCTCCTCCTGATCAAACAAGGCAGCCCGACGCTCGAGCATGTGCGAGCCCATCTATCGTGCATGGGAGAGACGCAGACCTTGGCAGAAGCCCGACCGGCAATCTCGCATATATCGCCACCTCGTAAGATCCCGCGAGCACGCGGTACTCTCTCTCTCTGTCTCGAGGCACATGCCGCCTAGCACAACGACGATTCTCCCCTCCTTCGGATGCGGCTCCATCTAGCGCTTGCATGGCGAACCCATCTTTCTGCGGGACAGGCCGAGGACATCTTCGCAGCTGAAACACACCGCTGGCCGGCGTCTGTCTGGGCTTCTAGGGCGCCGTCTGCCCAATCCCGTCGCGCTCGTCGCTCGCCCCCCCCTCTTGGTGTTTTGCTCTTTTGTCGACGTTTGTCCCTGGCTGGTGAGGTCCGCGCGGAGCCGCGCAACCCTGCCGAGGCGCAGCTTTCGCAGCTCGCGGTTACGAGGGACGAGAAGTGCACACACACCTACACACACGCATACACGCACACACGCACACACACACACACACACACACACATATCACGTACAGACGCACACAGTCGGCACGTACAACACACACGGGGCGCACGCACAGCATCGCATTGTCGCTAGCCAATCACGGGGTCGCGGACAACTGGCTGCTTAGATGGATTTGCGTCTTGTGCGTCCCGTCTTCTATCTTGGGAATCCACCGCCACGCAGCCCTCCGTCAACCGTGATCAATGATACCTAATGCAGCGTAGGGGGGGCAGGCCTCGCGTTCATTGGTGTCATCTCTTACCCATTCCATCCTACCGGGTTATGGGCGGACACCTAGGCAGCCACCCTCGTCAGCCAGCATCACGATCCCCATCATCATGACGCCCATATATGCATTTATTTATTTATCTTTTCGCTCTTTCTTCCTTACTTTTCCTTGTGTCCCTTTAGCGTTTTGGCTGCGGCCGGCTTTGCGCAGAGCTACAGGGCGCAGGGAGAGGAGGAGAGAAGTCGACATGCGAGGAGCGCGAGAGAGAGGGAGAGAGGGAGAGGGAGGATGCGGAGGAGAACCAACGAGCCGAGGAGGTGGGAAGCAGGAGGCGGCGGCAGCACGTTCGCTCAGGTCACTTTCTGAAAAGGGCAAACCAAGGAAGACGGGCATCCATGGGTCGGATGGCCCCCCCAGGCCACACCACTACTCGAGACCTCGACCCAAGACTCGTCCGCACGGCTCAATGGGTCTTCACACACGTCATATGCGTCTGTTCCCTCGCTGGCCCCCCCATCCCTCCCCAGCCTGCCCGGGCCAATCCCAGAGTTGCCAATCCTCTGGACCTAGCCGTCGAACCCATCCCTTCTGCCCCCCAGTCGAACACCGCCGGCCTGGGCCAATCACGGCTCCGCGACCCCGGCAAATGCTACCGGACCCTGGCCTGGGCAGCCCTCTCGCGTCTCTTGTCTCTGTCCTCTCGTCTCTCTTGGCTTGTTCCCACACCCACTCCCACGCCCACACACCACCCCCCGTACTCATACATACCTGCGCTATCGCCTAGTGTGTGTGTGTGTGTGTGTGTGTGTGTGTGTGTGCATGTGTGTATCTATCTATCCCTTCCCCCCCTTCGGGCTGCTGCCCTGTGACGTTGACCTGCTTCTCGCGCCCGCCAATGAAACCCACGGGGTTGTGATGCGTGCCATGCGTGCGATCACACACATTGTCCCTCCTGGGCCTCTTGCACCGTCGGTCGGTCGGTCGGTCGCTCGTTTCGGGACGCGGCAGTAACGGAGCGACACACCCAGCGAGAGGAGAGAGGGAGAAGAGAGAGGGTGGGGAGAGAGAGAGAGAGACGGGGGAAAACTTCAGACATGTGCCGCCGAATTGTCGCTCACTTCACCCTCCAAGCTTCGCCAATGTTCATATGTCTGTCCCCTCTCTCCTCCTCCTCCTCTACCTACCTACCTACCGCGGGAGGACCTCCCTCGCTTGGCTTCATGTGACCACCACCACCCAGCCCACCCCAGCTGGCCCAGCCAGTAGTCGTCTGCGACCAAGCACCAAAGCACCAAGCTGGCTCCATCGCTCGCCCGCTTGCGAGGCTATTATTTCGTCGTTACATTTTCATCTACGTTACTCTCTCATCCTTTAGTCCTGCTATATGGACATCCTGTACCGTACCTTTTTCTCCCCCTCCCCCCACCACACGCCACACACCTCTCCATCGCATTCCCCACTACCCCAGTTCATGCTACTGTTACTGTTATTTCGGGTTTCCTCTTTTTACCTTTTATTTGGGGTCGGAAGAGCAAGTTCGGAATGAAGGTCGACTCTCATCCCCATTTCATGATGTTTCAGGTATACGGATGGTGTGGACAGGTTGGATACCCCCCTCCCCTTTTTTTTCCCCTCCTACCATATTTATTTTACGTCTTGGCGTAGGCTATCTATATTGCGTTTGTGTGCTGGTTACAGAGGATATCCTCTTTTTTTTTTTTATCACTATATAGGTTCTCTTTACCCGATTCTTTCGAGTATCGAATGGCGTCCAATGGGGAGGGAATCGGCTATCGCGTGTGGATACCATGAAAAACACAGAGTCGGTGGTATCTTGTTTATGTATTAACTGGCGGGAGGAGTACACGAAGCGGGCATTTGTATGGACGGGACTGTTATGCATTAGACAACGGAAGGACACATTTGGGCAAACCAAGTAAGAGATGCGACGAGGTTATGAGATATTGTTGCCTAACTTAGAGGTTTCCTATTTGAAAAATTCATTTGATCTCTTATGATGATCTACGCCAAGAAGCTGTTTCTGCTCGGTAGCGCGAATGAGTAGCACGATTAGTTGTGAATATGGCCTTATGCCCTCTCCTCTATACTTGGGTTAGGCATGTGTTTGTCGGTATGCCTGCGTTGTCCATGTCTCTACATATGTACGCATGTATGTAGGTGTATGTATGTCTTAACAGCAACTCGTGATAGTTCGCCGATAGTTCCGCCGACATCTGAATCCATTGAGAAAAAAAAGTCTCACCCGAGATAGATCGTAGGCAGATAGATACATGATCGTGGCTAGGCGCAGGCGGGCAGCTAGCCACTTCGAGCCTGGCGGGCGTCGTGATGATGCTCATGCCACGCAAGCCGCCTCGGAAGCCGATAGTATTGGTACGGCTGCATGAGAGACAGATAATCCGGGAGAGGCATATACGATATCACCGAGCGTATACGACGATATCGAGATGGTAGGCGAGCTATTGCATGCCGGAGACATTTGTCTTACGCGCATATCCTACGCTGTGCCACCCAACTTGCTATCTACCCCTCGGTAGTTGAGCCATCGAGACGCGCGTAGTGGTGGATGCTAGAGCCAGACGCAGATGGACAGACATGCCTACCTATACCTACAGACCCTCGCGAACACCGAGTGCACACACAGATGCCTGCCCATACACATACAGACACTTTCTCTTGTGTTGCCGCAAGCGGGTGAGAGGGGGGGGGGACGGGCGGGGGCTAAAAGCCGCGCTCTGGCAGAGAAGCGGTCGAGCTGGCTGGTGCGCGCGTCTAAAGAGAGCCAAGAAACCTCAACGTAGCATCCCGCGAGATCCCCGCGCTCGCGAGGCGGAAGGGGTGTGTGAGATACGCAGGGAGATATACCGCATTACGTCGTCGTACACGATCACATGGCGAGGTTTCCACGGCTAGCGTCATCTGGGTATGTTTTTTTTTTATTAGGCGAATCTCTCCTCCCGACGCCTTATGTCCGACTTCAGTTAGATGGAAGCAGGCGAAGAGGGGGTGGATTGGGGGAGGGGGGAAAGGCAGGGAGAAGACGGCCGGCTAAGCTACCTACCTACCTACCTTTAGCCAACCAACTCACCACCGGCTGCCAAGCTAGGCAGTGGAGAGGCGAGGTAAGGATACATCTTGCCTAGTGAGTTTCCTAAAACGAAAAGAATAAGAGATCCCGCCGTCGCCCTCGCTTGCCCTACGCATATACGTATGTACATAAGCGCGTAGCAGGATGGGTGAGGCGAGGGTGTATTCATTTCCCGGGCCGACTGGCTTAGGCGACGACGGGACGGCTAGCGGTCAGTCATGTGGGAGGGCAGAAACGCGATCTATCGCATCCTGCCCGACTAGCCGCCAGTCTATCGCGCCTTGAAAAAACATCCGCCCCCTCCCAATCCTAGCCGCAGACGCGCTGGCCAGGCTTGGATCCGGTTTCTTCCAGCGTCGATATGTATGAGTAGAGAGACAGCAGCTTGAAACTGCCTCGGTTCGTGACCGTGACCAAGTTTCCGCTCGTGTGTCGTGTGTCGTGTGTTGGTGAGCGAGGGCGGACAGGCGAACGGGAAACAGTGAACTTGGCCGCCAGTCAAGATTCGAGGCGTGGCCAAGTCATCTTGCATCCTGTCCTGTCCCTCATGTCACCTACGTCGGCACGATACCTACGCATGTGAGTCTGGATGCGTATACCTGGGTACGCGGCGCTTAGAGGGCTTAACAACTGCGTCCGCCGGGCTCTACCGCTCTTTGCCAAGCTTCCTCTCTCGGGCCCCTTAGCCACCGCACCTGTTTACACGGGAGGAGGGGAAATGTTTTTCTACCTAACCCCTCTGCATTCGCTGCCATGGTTGGATGGGCGGACAGGACAACATCGAGAGACGACGCAGCGACGCCACGATAGTCACCGTCTCGGCGCCCCCAACTCGAGAGGGGGGAAGGAAGCGCGGCAGCAGCCAGCGGGAGCGCGTTGTGTTGCTATATGCCTCAACGGCTATACCCACCCAGCCTGCCTTGCTCGACCTGTGGAGGCGGATCCCTAGACCAAGTATGATAGACGCCGCTGCATGTACGCACGGTATGCGCGTAAACACGCGGTGCTACGTATGATCCTGCCGACGTCTTCAGCGCAACTCGCCTCGCCTCGTCTCGTCTCGTCTCACCCGCCTTACATGCCTCTACGTACGTGATGTAGGGGCGGAGACGCGGGATCAGGCTAGGGAGGGGAAGGGATGGGACGGGGAATTCTTCGAAGGGAGAAGATGCGGAGGGGAGCGAGCGAGGGAAGAGGACGGAGGCAGCGACATTCGCGCACTCACTCACATCACTCGCTCAACCCCCGTCTGTATGACACCGGCTCGTCGACGCAAGTGCTCCCTCGCCTCCACGCACATGCACACGTACATACATACCTACATTCACACACGCCTACTCCTCCGCCCCGCCCGCTCGCTCGTCGTGGTATAAGGAATACAGTGGGCGTGCGAGCATTCCTCCTGCGCTTGTTTACCCCCAGACAACCTGTCCAATCCGTTTATCCAGTCGCAACTCGTCCAGCGCGCGCGCCCCGCGCGGGGAGCTAAGCAGGGTGGGACGGCGAGGTAGACGAGATAGCGGGTGGGCATCGGTTGGGTTGGGCGACTCGGGCTGGGGAGGTCGAGAAACGGCCGAAGCGAGCTCGAAAAAGTGAAATGTGATAGACCTATACCTGGGTATATATATATATTTGCTCACCCACCTACCCACTCACACAGTTGGGGGGGTGGGGAGGGAGCGAAAAAAAAAGAAGGAAAAAAAGTCCCGGACCCGTCCAACCTTCTTTTTTGGCCGGATGGCTGGGTGACGGGCTGGGGTTGGGTGGGCGGTAAGCAGGGGTCTCAAGCACGCACGGAGAGTATGCCGGGGGGGGGGGGGGGCTATCGAGGACGAAAGAGAGAGAGAGGGAGCGAGAGAGAGCGAGAGCGCACACGACGATGTGCGGATTATGATGACGACGATGTCAAGGGAGGGGAGGGGAGGACGGCTACGACGATCAGGGTCCCCTACCCACACCACCATCACCGCCCTTCACTGCCTGCCACCACTATGTACGTACATACATGCCACTCTCTCTTTCTCTCTCTCTCTCTACCCCTGCTCGATGATGTCGACGTGCAGCGCGTGGGGACCGTCGACGACGATGAGATAAAAACTGAAATGAAACGAAACGGAGCGGCCGGCCGGACGAGCAAGCGAGCGAGCGAGCGAGTTCGGAAGGGCTTTCTTGAAACCAGCCCATGAGCAGGTAGAGAAAGGGAAGCAGACGAGGGAGGAACCCTCGGTTGGTCGGTAGGTGGGGGCTGGGGGAGGAGGAGGTGTGTGCTGGTGCCTGAGCGGGCGGGTGGGCGGCTAACAGGGAGGAGGTGAGGAAGGTCTGGGAATGTGGTTGGAGGGTATCGTTACCACATCACATCTGTCTCTGTCTCTCTCTCTGCCCGTCTTCTTCCCCTTCCTCCCCGTTCCCTTGTCGCTGTCGCTCCAACCTTGTTAGCTCGCGGGCTGGTTGGGCGGATAGCCGGCGCGAGGGTCTGCCGTTGGGGGGGGAGGGGGGGAGGGTGGGTAGGCGGTCGTTTCTGACGGCCTCCCCCCCTCCCCCCTTCGCCCCCCCGGTTGCTGCCCTGCCATGCATGTAAGGCAGTAGTAGTACCTAGGGTAGGCAGGTAGGGATGTGAGTAAGATCTGCACGTAGGGACCACGACAGGTGCCGGGCCGCAGTGACGACGACGGCGAGGGTCGTGATGGCGTCAGCGGACGCGACGCTCCCGGCCGCAGGTGCTGCTCGCCGTGGTGGTGGTGGTCAGACGGCATCCGCGCCCATATCCCGCCCGAGCTTCGGACGGGGCGTGCGCGGACACGCTGCCCAACACTGGCCTCTCTTCCTCCCTCCCGCTCTGCAATGGCAGCACCGGATGGGCTGCGGCCGCGACGCCGAGCGACAGGAATTATAGCTCACGACATACCCGCGACGTACGCAGATAAGCACGTATCTGCCGTAGGCAGTAAGCAAGCAGGGCTACGCGTATGTAGGTACGTAGCGTGTAGGCGGTGTGCGTGCGTATGCGCGCACGTACGTGCGTCTTTGTGCGCTGGTGATAGGCCCGGCCGGAGTTTCTACGCCGGCTACCGTGTCCATCCGTCAGTTTGATCGTTTACTATGAGATGAGGCAAGCAAGTAGGCCTGTATCGTGGCATCTGTTTCTAGCTACCTTAGCATCCGGGCCAGCTCGGCCTACAGAGCCGCCGAATCCCACTTGGTCCACGATGACGACGACGATATATCTCACCTTCCTCCCTCCCTTCTTTCGCGGGGTAGGTTGGGCAGGATAGGTAGGCAGTTTAGGTAGGTGAAGCATCTTAGGACGCAAGAGCACGGCGGCTTAGGCGCTATGGCTGAGTTGGTGTGTGAGAGTGACGGTGCCATTAGCCTTATTTCCCCAACGCTGCTCTCGCTGTCGGCCTTGCCTAGTCAGTTCCGTGCAGTAGAAGAGCCTTTCAGGAGCTCGACGACGTGGAGAGAGCTCCAGGACATTTGTCATCGGAGTTTGGGGTGCGCGCACGCGTGTGTTGCGGGGCGGGGCCTACGTGTGTAGATAGTAAGCTGTTCCACGCTGTTCCCCGATGCTTCGACTGGGGCAACTCATGATGCCATGGCTATCTACATGGCGTGAATACGTTGGGCTGTATTGGACAGCTAGATTGGCTACGTATGTGGCTAGGTAGACTTCGCCATAGGAGCCAGCGAGTCATCGTTAGGTTGGTTCACCAAGGTCGATGTTGTGAGAGTATGTTGGACTACGGTGACTTGTCAAGAAATAGACCACATGCCGAATAGGAACCGACTTACTATTACTACAATTAACTCCCTACTAGGACTATCAGGCCGTAGGTACGTAATAGTATGCCGACTGTAGAAACACGCACCTGTCCCGTTGTAAGCTAAGTTACCCGCCAATGCCAGGCCGCGAGAGACTCAACTTGAGCTAGTCTTGGTTACCAATAGCCTTTCGTGTGTTGCTGTCTCGTTGTAACGGCGCCTTATCTCCTACGTTCACGCCCAGAGATGCGGAGTCCGGTCCGTGAGCCGGTATCCGGCAGTCCAACCGGGAAAGTAAAAGGGGGGGGGAGTCTCTCTTCTGGCCAGACGGGCAGCTCGTAGATACCCGCCTGTCTAACTACCTGGCTACCTTACCTATCGATCCCGATCCGGCATGCCGGTGTTCCCCTAGCGATCACCCTCGGGGCCCTCCCTGTTCGACATTATGCTTCAAGATCCACGAATCGCTACCCGAAGGCTAGAGATGTCCCGGTGAGACAAGAGATAACAGACCTGTTGTAAAACACGAAGGCATAGATAAGACAACAAGAGAGCGGCTTGGACGATGGGTGGTATATATACGTCGCAGTGCTAGGCGTGACGCAATGCAGCCATATCCGAGACCGCGGCACGCCGGCACTTCTCGTTCGGGTCGATCCCGAAGGACCCCGACACCTAGAGACTATCAGTAGATACGTACGTTATGTATGTATGTCTAACCTATATGTAGCACCGCCTCCAAACCGACATAGCCTCATGCATCCCTGAATTGCTATCTGACGCCCGCAATCCTTCATACGTTTTGTTGGGTAGGATTGTCGCAGTACACGTGTAGCTGCGTGTGTGTATATACATGGCTGTCCGTCCGAGTGCTGTGTTAATGCGGGCAGTGGCTTTTCTTACGAGGAAGAGAACACGCCTATTTGGGCGTCGGGCAGGTTAGGTATGTGTAAGTAGGGAGGCATCTGTCTCTCTTTCCGTCCACGGTACAGCTCGGTCCTACCTACAGGGCACCGACGCGAGATTTGCCGATTTAGACGACGAGAGCGGTGGGATGAATTGGTGAATTGTCTCGAGGTGGTGTGCGGCGCGCGTGCTGGGAGCCCGTTGGCGGAGAGAGAAGAGACGGCAGCTTAGAAAGAGGGTGTTGTGGGCATCATCGTGCCCACCTCGCCGCACGACGAGAAAGCGGGATTTCTGCAGGGACTTCTCAGGGTCCTCTCGCGAGATCCCACTGGGTGGTAGCCAAGAGGCAGATATACCCAATGTAACCTTTTGGACCCTCAAACTGCCCTTTCATCGCCGCCACGTTTTGCTCCCTCCCACGTCGTGCGACCCGTTCCATACCCCTATCTACCCTACAGTATTACGTCCAGGTAGGACTGGGGTAGATTGGTAGGTCGGCGATTTCGACAACGCGGTTTCTCCCGTCCAGGCTTGCGCGTTACGGCCTATGTCGGCAATTGTTCCCATCCACCCTATTGCTTGATCTTGATTGCGTCTCCAGAGGGGTGCTGAGAAAGACGTAAACACCCGCAGCCGTCGCCGTTGCCGTCTAGACCGTCTCGATGCCCGAATTACATTTGCCGCGGTGAGGCATTTATCGGAGCATTCCGTAACGCCGACATGCAAGTGCTGTATCCCGCTCGTGTCCTCATGGATAGAGTTACTAGCAGGTTCTCTTGTGCCTGCCAGGTAGAAGATAACGAGAGAGGGGAGAAAAAGAAATGAAGATGAGAAAGCCGATGCATGTGGTGCCATTTCCAAGCTTGTCCAAACTCCCCCGTCTGTCCCGTGGATGTCGTAACGAATTGGGTAGCTATACACTTGCTAGGAACCCTCCATCTTCACGTCGTCGCTCTGATTCGCCTTCCCCAGATTCTTGAGTAGATAACTGCGTCTGAAGTATTCGTTGGGATGGACAATGGTCTCAAGTTGACTCGCAGACATGAGGTTCTCGTCCTTGGCCTTCTTAAGCTCGTTCTTATGGACGTACTCGAACACACTATGCGCGGCAAGGGCGAGAAAGAACGGTCAGATAGAACTCGAGGGAAAGACGAAATGCCTTTGGCAGGGTTCTAGGAATAGAGAGCAACGTACCGATTGCAGGCCATGTGAAATTTCTGGTTGTCCTTATCCTCCTTGACGCCCTGCAAGACGGCGCGATCAGATATGCCCACTCCTTGCAGCAGCGCCGTGAGATTCTCTAGGTTGAAATGTCGGTACGGACACCCGTGCGCCTCCCCCGGACCAGGTGGGTGCTCGGTGAGTATCTTCTGGCACGAGAACGGAGAATAACCACCGCCGCGACGGATCGAATCCCCGCCAACGTCGCCGTACGAGTGCCGCACGTTGTACCTGTATTCCTTGTTGAAGGTGTCGTCCGTAACCTTGTGGAAAGCGCTGCGCCAGAACACGAGGCACTCCTCTAGGTTGAGGCCTATTCCCTTCAGGAAGAGGGTGTACTGTAGACGACCGTAGTGCTTCAAGTGCGCGTCGCGGCGCAACGACCGGTGTAGGTTCTGCATGCATAATGGGAAATGCGAGGACAGCGCATCGATACTTCGCGCCGTTATCTCGGCACCAGGAACAGCAGGGCCGCTGCCGCTGGCGCCGAACGAAGCGTCGGGCGTAATGAAGTTCTTGGATAGGTGCTCGAGGATGGGAGCAAGGCGGTCGTCTTCGTCGAGCCGCGGTAGGGCACGCGCAGTAAGCTGCTGACGGGTCAGTCTTTCTTCGGCTGCTGGGGGATATCCGCGCTAAGACGGAGAAGGGCACGGGACCGACCTCTAGCGCGCGGTCCAGCCTCTGCGTGAACTGGGCGGCTACCATGCTCGGCAATTCTTTCGAAGGCACGAAGGCCTGGCCGGCCCTCAGGAAGACTCTCCTCGCTTCGACTAGCTCTGGCACTCGCTCCCAGTCGACTTTGAAATAGGTCTCCTCTTCGCCTCCCTTTTTAAGCCCAGCCGTTGCTGTTAATTCAGCCGAGTACTTAGTCCGCTCCTCATCAGTGGCAGGCTCCCAGTCTAAGTTGAGGCTCTGGATGAAGGCATTGCGCTCGCGCCCGCCGTCTTCGCTCAGTCGCAGGCGGAAAAGCATGGTCTCGACGCGACTAAATCTCCGTCGCAGATCCTCGGTCGACGCGAAGGCTAGCCGAAGGATGAAGTGGCTGTAATGGTCCTTCTGGCGCTCGGAGAAGAGTTTTGACGAGGCGGACGAGTTGGAGTCGAGCCGGAGATACTTGTCGAGGAGCGGCTTCATGTGCGTCGCCGTCTCGGCGGGGGTTTTGTTGCGGAACGAGCACGCTTCCAACTCGGCAAGAACTTGTCATGAGCTACAGTCAGCATTTGGGACGGCGACTATCGGCAATAAGCCGACGAAACAAGGACACAACATACTCCGCAGCCTATCAATGGCCCATTGCTCAAACTGCTCCAGGGTGATGTCCGCGGTGGGGGGGGTCTCGTAGAAGTTGAGACGATGGGGATACTCGGTCTCCTTGTAAGCCGGGTCGGCGAATTGCTGCTTACGATAATCGACATGGCGCCTCTTGGGGTCGACGCGATTGTAGTCTTGCCTTAACATCGTGGTAGCGGGCTTCGGGTTCTCGTGGCTACTAGTCCGAGTTTTCGGGAGCGATGGCAAGCGGCGTGTGAGAGCGCACGAAGCACGAGGATGGGCGGGTAGAGGGTATCTCTAGGAGCGTGAGGGGACGGCGTATGGCGTATGGCGGATAGGATACAGAGCAGGTATAGAAAATGAAGTCTTGGTTGCTACTGATCGGGCGATCAACAGGACGAGGGGGGAATTTCCGAGACGCGTGCCCGGGTGAGGAAAGCGCGTCTTGGGACGGGCACGCGAAATGCTCAGGAATAATTAATGAATTTCCAACCAATAAGATCCCTCGTGGCAGCGCTTACCCCCCACAAGGTACCCTACATAGGTACCTCTAGGTACCTTAGGTACGTGGTAGGTACCTTGAATGGCACAGGCTAAGACCAGCATCGCCAACACAGATAAGAAGGATGTTCTATACCTACCTGTTTTTCACCTCCGTATGAGCGAGGAGATGCCGATACGCGCAATGCCATACTTTGTTTATGTACTGTTTCTGAGGTGACACTCAATGAAGCTTTCTCTGCTTGTCTTCGGGGGGTTTTTTTGCTTGAACAGGTGTCTGTTGGTTAGGTAAGCGCTAACAGAGAGATCGGAAGTTAGGAGGCGTTCTCGGGGCTTGCGTGGGAAAGGCCTAAGTCCTCTACACGTACGCCTCTTGACGTCTACTAGGAGGTACTCGGGACACCTAGATAGGTACATACCTATCGTGGAAGGTAAGCAGAAAGAGAGCTGGAGGTACCTCCCTATCTAGGTACCTCCATCCTACCTGGGCACCACAACATGTACCTTGGGCGGCATTTAAGGTACCCCAAGCACCTCAGGCAGAGCCCCGCCCGCTTTCTCTCGTCTTGCCCTTCTTTTATCACCCGTCATCGTCACCACCAATTGTGGGTTATCATCTTCCTTCTGCTGCTTTTTCCACTTCCCCAAGTTCGCCTTCGTGTGCTCGTCTCGGTGTCGGACAAGGCGCTTTCAGCTCGCATCGGAGCGTGCTAGTGCTCTATATCGAGAGATGGCTTCGATCCTGGCTATACCTAGTGCCGTCTGGGGCGGTCGCTGAGCCGCCAACTCGTCTTGCCAGGTCAGCAACGCCGCCCGACATTTGGCAGTCCGAACGTAATGTCATTCGGGAGCACACGATGATCTCTTACGGTCTGGGGGTATGACAATGTTCTGGGACTGGGTCTGTAACGCCGCGATGGTGTATGTCCGATGCAAGATGGAGCGGCGGTTTTCTAAATTCTTCACATGGGCCTTCGCCGTCGTCCAATCCCAGGATTACTTTCCTGCACCCCAGTCGCTTTTTCAGCTCACGTCGAGTCCCGCAGAGTCTCCTTTCAGCCCAGATGTTCCTGCTAGGAGATGCGGCCTGCAGGCAACTTTTGCCGTTATTGGGCCGTGGCCTTATTCTTCTAACCCATTGGTGCTAGGGCCAGATGGTGAGCCCCGGTTCCACCTCCGGCATGGTCCAGGATGCCCTCATATCGCATACTGTTGCTACGGCCAGGAACCCGCCGCGCCTGCGGTACTTCGCACCCAGTCTGCCCGTCCTGCGCCCGTCTCGATTCTCTGTATAAAATGGCCTGTATGAAGTACCCAGCGTCTCGTCATCGGAGGCCTCTGAGCTTCCGACAACCCCCTTCGGTACTGGCTAGCGCTTCTCTCTTTCCCAAACTCTTAATAATACGGTCAGCATGACGGGCGCGCCGGTAAAACGTTATGCTACTTCGCACGACTGGGCCCGGCTACAGGCCATCATCATGCGGTTGTACCTCGACGAAGACAAGACCCTTGACGAGGTCAAGTCGCATATGGAAGAACACCATGGCTTCTTCGCTACGTATGAGTTGTCGAGGCCCAATGCGACTGCTGGAGAGAGGTTGACTAATGCGTGATAGTCTTGCGATGTATAAGAAGAGATTCTCGGCGTGGAATGCGTATAAAAACTTGCGGTTCGACGAAGTACTTCAGATCCTCTATCTAAAAAAGCGCCACGACCCTGCCGGACCGCCCGTCGTATTCTTCATCAGAGACCGAGAGGTGAACCACGGTAGCCTTCAAGTGTACCTCTCGAGGAACCCCTCTATATTTGCGAAGCTCGAAGCCGGTGCAGCGCCGAATCCCGAGGCAGTGCGCGATGTCTCCTGCCGATCACCTCCGTCGTCTCGGCCTTCGTTCCTCTCTAAAAGCGATATACGACTACTACCATGCCCGTCGCCAGCTGTGCGATGCACCAGGCTGCTTCCTGCTTCCGAGGACATGTTCCGAGCGCTCCACCTTTATTTGGATCAATGCTTTGAAACTCGCATCTGGTCTTGGTCCAGTGACTCTTGTTGGAATACCCGGGGGCGGCACGGGCCCTCGGCGCTCTTGAGTTCTTTGTTGGACAGGTCCATTACCGCCGCTCTATCGGTGACGCGACAGGTAGAACCCATCATCATCAGTCGTGCCCTCGACACGGCTTTTGCGATGCTGGTGAGGGTGTTTAGGAACCCTCCGCCGAACCTCGTCACAAAATTGCTTTCGGCTGCCGCCCATCTTGACCGAATCGGGCGAGAGGAAATTCGGGGCATGCTTCTACGATTTTGCCAAGATCTCGCCCCAGCCCTCCTTGGCCCGAACCATTCCCTCGCAAAATTCTGGAGAGGCCTTATCGAGTCCTCTCACGTCGACCTGCGGGATGTCATTGGTCGGGTTTTAGATCTTTGCAAATCTGAATTCTCCGAACGATTAGGACCCGGCCATGCCTTAACTACGGAGACATATCTTCACTATTTTGACGTGGTGGAGAGGCGAAAAGACCCTCGAGAGCAACTACAAAGTCTGGAGCGTTGCTTGTCTCATGTCGGCAACGATTTTCCTGATCGGCCCCTCCACGCCTTACTGAGATTGGAGATTGCATTGGCGACCTGCAAGTTGAATTTGGAACAGCAACGCTTGGATAAGGCCGAGGAAGCATTGACAGCCTTAGATCCAGGTTCGCTAGCAGCCAAGGACGAATCATTTCGCTGTGTTTGGCTTGGTTATGTCCAATGTGCCAGGGGCGACTACTCCTTGGCGGAAAGGTCCTACCAAGACTCGGTGATGGCTGCGAGACGCACGGGGTCGCGAGACTGCCTGCTCGACTCCCTCTTCCAGCTCGAGGCATTCTTTTTACATGTCGGAAAGCACCTGGAGGCAGAGAGAATTCGCATGGAACGCTTCCTCGAGCTTCGTAGATTAGGTCCTCTTATCTGGGCCGACCAAGAGAACATGTCGCATTCTTTAGCCTGTACTTCCCTCCACATGGTTATGATGATACGCATGGGATCCAGCGAGAGCAGCGCCAGATGGCGTCCGTCTACTTTCGCTGAGGTTACTAACTATGCCGATCCGTCCAATCTGGGGGCGTGATAGACTCGTAGGGCCCCTAATACCTCAAGCGACCTGTTTTGGTACGTTTACGGTGATGTGCTGTTTATAGATGATCTCGTCGCTTGCCGTCAGGTCTCTTAAGATAGGCCTTACATGTCACTTCATATAAGAGCCATTTGCATGAGCTGACATAATCGGTTTCTACCAACCTCGAGCGGTATATTTCCACAAGAAATCCGAGTCTCTATACCTTACTATATCGAAACCGCCACTTCACTTGCTTTCGATCCCAACTTACCTTTTCGCCTATACGTTATGCTGGCAGGTGGAGGAGATCAGTATCACTGCCAAACAAAGCCTACGGCATCGAGAATTACCAGTCCTTCCATATCGTCCTTCGACGCCAGGCCTCGGCGCTTTTCCATTCTTCGACGAGCACTTGGCCGTTACCCATCTCATCGAGGACCCTGACGGGCTGGTCGTCATTGTCGTCTTCTTTGGAGTCGGCCGCACCGGTACTGGTAGGCTTTATACTCACGGGCATCTTATAGCGAATGCCCATCTTCGGCAGACGGAGTTTTATGGCTATGAGGAGGTCATCGCGCCGCGTGGCCTTGATATGGCGTCGCTTGTATCGCCTTTGAGCGTGCTCGGCGAGGGCGCTCATACGTATATCAAGACATCGGCAATTGGTTCCATGGTAGACTGTCACTGTTGACCGACCGTTTGAGGTGTTCTGCACCACAGTCCCGTGGCAGCCTGTCTTACGATTGAACAGCTGGTACGTCGTCTTCGAGACACGCCTGCGGGCTCGTAGGAGCCGGTAGTCCGTTTTGGGCATCTCCGATGACCTTGGTGAACGTCGAGAGGGATATACGGTACTAAGGCATATACGTATACGCGAATCTTCAGAATTGTTAGGTTTTGGGAACAGGGGATGAAGACACCTCAAGGCATATTTTGGGAGAGAGGGCGATGAGGTCGATTTCAGCAGCCTCTATATATGGTTGGTAACAATCGCATTGAGGCTCAGCTTTCCACCATTGCCTTTGCAAACAAAGAGTGTTTCTTTTACTGAAAAGTGTCGAACCCTGTTCACGTCTTAACGTCTACAAAGAATATGCTCTATACGAGGGAATTCGCGACAAGAGAAATGAACAAGGCTTTGTCGATGAAATTTCCGCATGTAAGAGACCAGGTGGGATGGGCATTCCGTGTTAGGGAAGCTTTCTCTTGGGTCGGGAGAGACGTCGGCCCTCAGGCCACTCTAGGTCCCCCAAGTCGTCAGAGAGCTGTGCTTAGGGCTGAATACGAACCACATCGCTCCGGAGAAGCCGGACAAACAAGATCTAGTGTATGCGCTTCGAAAGGTCCCCAAGTGAGTATTACGGCGCGGTGAGTACGGCATACTATCCAGCTTTGGGGTCTTGAATCTGCTTGGGGCCAGGGTGAGTGACGAATATCTAATACGAGTGACGTCGAGACAGGGCCCAGGGTTTGTCCTCAGGGGTACATATTGGCGCCGGATGGCACGCAATCTATACCTGACGAGCCGGAATAGAAATTCATCAATAGCCCTCCGGAGACCCTTCTAGGCCACAGATCTATCTACTCGCCCCTGTGTTCTATCGTGCCTCGTCTCGGACGTTGCATCGTCTCTGTACCCGCCGGGTCCGTGGCTACCGCGGCTAAATGGAGGGCTCATTTGCCACCTTGAATTCTTACCCACCGGCATCGAAACGCGGTATTTGCGGGCAGCACGCCTTTCTCCGGGATATCTACAGGTTAATTGCTATAGGAGGCTTCGTTGCCTTTTTCGTCCGAGAGCACGGTAATACATGTAGGCTTGGCGTGGGCGTGTTGCGAGCTTCGACTAGGTCATATTCGGACAAGTATGTAGGTGTCATATACGATGCATACTTACACATTCGCTACGTTATACTGAACCGTTTGTTGGGCTAAAAACCGTATGCTTCCCGTCTTCTGGGATACCGGGGTCGTTAACATGGAACGGACGTTGAGGCTCTTCCGTAGATGACGTGACCACGATGGAGAAAACATGAGATCACACAGACGAGGGAAAAACATGAAAATATTCCATAGTCTATACAGTTACTGTCTAATGAATATCGATACTGCAAGGAATACGCCATCCACCTAGTTGAAAATGGCCCCGACGATCCTCTTTGCGCGCCCCTTTACGCCGGTCGCCGGCCTCTTCTCGACGTCCTCTCCGTAGAACCGGCGGCCCTCATCTAGTTGCACGGTGTCGAGGTCGACCCACCAGGGGCCGCGGTAGTAGACGCGGGCACCAAGCCAGAGGACGACGATAACGATGACGGATATGTAATTGGCAAAGAAGTTCTCGGCGCTCGGGGGGCTGCCGAGCGGCCAGACGGACAGGTAGAACTGGACGATGATGAGCAGGATGCACATGGTGAGCCCCCACCAGGGGCCCAAGGGGTAGATCCAGGACCTCCAGGGCAGCTCGGCGGGGGTGCGGCCCCGGAGCGCCCAGGCGCGGCGGAAGCGGAGGTGCGACAGGCAGATCATGCCCCAGCCGAAGAGGGTGAAGAGCGAGGTCAGGTTGGAGAACCAGCCGAAGACGTCGGCGCCCGACTCGCTGACGTTGAGGTAGGCGAGGCCGCCGCCGAGCACGAAGGTCGGCACGAGGCCGTACCAGGGGCGGCCGGTGCGGTCGGCGCGCTGGAAGCGCTTCGGCGCCATGCCGAGGTACGAGAGGCCCATGGTGGTGCGGGAGCCGCCGTAGCCGGAGATGGAGCCGGTCGAGATGACGGAGATGAGGATGACGGCGTTCATCATGTGGGCGAGGACGGGGATGCCGGCGTCGCGGTAGGCGATGACGAAGGGGGAGGAGTTGGTGCCGTCGCCGCCGAAGAGGTCGGGGTTGAAGGGGGAGACGTTGATGGTGACCATGAGGGAGCCGACGAGGTAGAAGAGGGCGAGGCGGAGCCAGATGGAGCCGACGGCGCGGGGGACGGCGCGGCGGGGGTTGGCGGTCTCGGCGGCGACGAGGCCGGAGTTCTCGGAGCCGGCCATGGCGAAGATGCAGGTGGGGAGGACGGAGAGGAAGCCCTTGAAGCCGTGGGTGAAGGGGGTCTCGTTCCAGTAGCGGAAGCCGACGGGACCGTAGGCGGCGCCGCCGGCGGACATGACGATCATGGAGACGATGACGACGAAGATCCAGCTGAACTTGATGGTGCTGGCGACGACCTCGATCTCGCCGAACACAGACACGGCCCCGACGTTGATCAGCACGATCACCGCCAGCCAGATCGAGATCCACGCCGCGATCGGCACCGCCGACGTCCAGAACCGGATCACCGTGTTGGCCGACTGCAGCTCGTTCGCGATGGAGATGCTGCGTTGGCGTAAGCCGGGGCCGGTTACTACGGGGGTTTCCCTCGGTAAAGCCAAAAAAAAAAAAAAAAAAGAGACAGACAGACAGACAGACAAGAAACGAGAATAGAGACGAGAATAGAGAAAACCGTGTTCGCGTCCGACCCAGCCACCCTATTATGCAATTCAGGTCTCCCCCTTTTTCTCTTTTTCTTTCCCTCTTTTCGGGGGCGAGGGTTGCGCGATAGCGGCTTTCCGCATAATCTCTCGAAGACACAGGCGACGTTGAACTGGGAAACGGAATGACGGGATCGGACGGCAAGGCGTGGTGTGTACTTACCAATACGAGAACCAGTAGGACCACCCGAGCGCGAAGGCGGCAGAGCGGTCGACGAACTTGCCTGCATTTCGGGGTTCCGGTCAGCCCGGGACGCGCGCTCGAGAACGAGGCCGCGTACCTGCGGTAAGGAAAGGGGGAAAGAGGGGGAAGAGAGAAGGGGGGAAGGGGGTATTCATCTGTCGCGCGCTCTCTTACCTGTCCATTGCACGAAGGCCGAGGGGAGCGGGTACGCGCAGGCCATCTCGCCGATGGAATGGCTGACGCACCAGATCATGGAGCCGGCGAGGCAGTAGCCGAGGAAGATGCCGGCGGGGCCGCCGCTGGCGAGCGAGAGGCCGCTGCCGAGCCACAGGCCCATGCCGATGCTGGAGCCGAGCGCGATCATGGTCAGGTGGCGGGTGCTGAGGAGGCGCCTAAGCTCGGTGTCGGCGCCGTGGTCGGCCGCGGAGACCTCGCCGGCGCCGAAGGAATCCCTCTTCGCGCGCGCGACCGCGTCCCCGCTGCCCGGGGGCGAGGACGAGAAGGCGCTGCTCGGAGAGCCCGCGGTCGCCATGGCTGCTGCTGCGCTAGTCGGATCGGTACGGCGGTGGAGGAACCGTTCGGTCGAAGTTAGGATAAGGGGCGGTTTCGGTGAGTAAGGATAGGAGGAGAGGTGAGGAAATGTGGACAGGGAGGTGAGTATTGTGAGCTTCGAGTCACCCCTACGAGGGACAAAGAGGTGAGGGTGTGGAGGGGGGGAGGGGACAGTGGCTGGGTCGCACGTGTGTACCCTTATCGACTTTGTGAGTCGAGGGGCACCTGACGAGAAGCTGCAGGCGCTTTCACTGGCAGGTATTGGACATTGGTGGGTGAGACCTGTCGTGTGTGTGTGTGTGTGTGTGTGGATATACGCGTATATGTGATCCCTAGATCTGCGAGACGGAAGCCGTGGCGAGCTGCGCCGTGGTTTATATACCTACCTACCTTCTTCTCTGGGGAGGCCTCGTCGACGATCCCAGGCGTCCCAGCTGATGAGGCCGAAAGCTTGCTTGCCCCCATAGTTAGCTGTATCTTACCTTACGTTGATTAAAGGAGATCACAGCTCTGTAGGGTTACGAGTATGCCCTACCGACGGTCTCGCCGCCCGCGACTAGGTTAGCTTATTGGCATAACCCCCCGTGGCTGATAACAGAGGCTTCGCCGACACGGTGTCCGGAACGGAGTAGGCTGTTTCTCCTCGTGTGGTATTGTGGTGGCTGTAAAGACATAGATGACTGCGGGTGCGTCGGTCAATAGCGGGTTTTTCTTTCACAGTTGTTCCGGAGTCGTGTCACTTTCCTTGCCAGCTTTTTGGCCTCCAACAGCATGACCTACTATAGGTTCGGTATCCGTCCTCGCGAGTAGTAACAAACTAAGCACCATTATCTCCCACCGAGAATTGTGGGGGCGTTGACAATCAACAAAGTCGCTCTTATCTGTGTGGCATCTGGTATCTATCGCTGCCTCGTCGGTGAGGTGCGGGAGCAAGGGGCAGTGCGTTTTCCAGTCGTTAAATCCGAACAGAGAGATGCCTACGCGTCGATGTAGGTAGATTCGAAATACGACGCCATGCGCAGTGCCGTCCATGCTGTGGCACGTTAAGTCCGAGACACCTGGTAGAGGGTAGCGGCAGCCAAAAACCTCCCCGGCGAACCACATTGAGATTTTGGAGTGGCAGATCCTGAGTGGCTGGCAGTCTTATGTGGGATCCCGCCTACGATCACCTTTTCATCGCCGCCCCTAGACAGCAAACAACACCTCGGCATCTCGACGAGTCTCGCCCGAATCGTTGGACTCGCCTCGTATCTACGAAGGCCAGTTATTGATAGTTACGTCAGATCGGCACGTGGGTACTCTTCGCTGCGTATTGTCCCTGCGGCGCCAGGTCACCGAGGAGATATAGGTAGATAGGCATCCCTTTCTGCTCGCCTCGGCCGGCTGGTTGCCCTACATACACAACACATGGGATGGCGAGTTGTTGTCTACATCGCCGTCTTGGAGGCCCCAGATCGATCCCATCCCTTTGGATTCCCACACAAAGCCGGCTTTGTGCCAGGGATCCCGCCGTGCCAAGTCATTCATTTCCTATTCTAGGAGGCGAGGGCGAGGCGCCACCAATGACGATTGGCCGCTTTATCATCGCCAGACACCGGGCAGATAACGAGGCGGGGAAAGGGGTGGGGAACGGAGGCGAGGTCTTCGGTCTCCCCACACCTAGTAAGGGGGTTTTCTTCTAGAAGACCTTTGGTATGGCCTATTCTCTCTCTCTCTCTCTCTCTATATATATATATATATTTCAAATTCTTTTCTCAGTTCTGTTTATCAGGACGTATGGCGTAGTGTCGCGAAGCAAACAGGGCCGTGTCTGCATGTATATACGTATATATGCTACGGTTCTATGTCGGATTGGTGGCTCAGCCGTGGCGCACTGTTCTAGTAGGCATGTGCGCCTAAAACCGCGGCGATACCTCCGCTGAAACTACCACTGTCAGCCTATACGCTAGGTACCGCTAACATACCTACCACTTCGACGTTAGGCACATTTTCCCATCGTAATCTGTCTGCTGTCTGCCTTCCCAACATAGTTGTGGTAGGTAATATTGAATCGAACTTCACGATGCATTCTGTTTAATTTCGACCCATCTGTTATTCTCTTTCTGCCGCGGTTTCTCGCAACGGCTAATTTGGGCCAATTCCTAAGTTATACTCTATGGGAACCTGATGTGAAGCCCGACCAAGCCGTCCTGGGATTCATTCTGCGTGATAAAGGTTCTACGGTTTGTTTTGGCCCGTCCGTTTAGCTTATTGGGGGAGAAACACCTAGTGAGACTCCAGTTCTGTTTCTGCTCTATCCATATCCGCCCTTCAATTATCATGTTAACTGTAGATGTATATAGATATATCGCTCGGTGTCATCTTATTTTTATGTTTGTTTTTATTCATTCCTAATTCTCGGTTTCGTAGGGAATCGCGACAGTTCCAGGCGTTCCCGGTAGGCGTTCCCGTATCGCGGCATGTGAGAGCGCACGCGTAAGCATTGGTATCTAGAAAAAACAACCTTCTGTGAATCCGTGAAGGGATACCATCCTGGATTTGACCCTGCCGGCGTATTCCGTGTTTACCACACCCAGATGAGCTGAGTAGCGAAGACTACCAAGTAGCGCTGTTAGGAATCGAACCTATCCTTCGTTAAGTAACCTACTGATCTCACCCAGCTGTTCGCGCTATGCGTTTCAAGGATAAATCTCGACATGTACCTATCCCAAAGGCATTGCATTATATGGCACAACTAATTGACCATGCAAACCCCTACTTTGGGCTGATACAGTTATCTAGCACTTCATTCTATCTTAACCTACCTACAATACCCGTCTGTTTCGTGATGTCCTCCCAGTTTTGCACGAGCTTTCTCAACCCGGACCGATCTCACTAGTCGAAAAATTTCGCTAGCCGCGACAAATCGGGAAGGCGAATAGCTTCTGGCTTCTTGGCCGCGTGCCCTCCGCCAACAGGGTTCCCTAACTGTCGCACGGGTTCGGCTCTTATTATAACTCCTGTTATGATCGATGCAGGGGCCCTCGTCGCACCGGGACCAGCAACCTCGGATGGTTTCTTGACCGTCCGTACGAAAACGACGACGATGGCGGCGCGTCGACGCGTTCCTTGCTCCTTCCCCCGTGTACTTGTTACGGTCGAGCCTCTCCCTCCACCATGAGATTCCTCAGTCTGCTCTCTGCCTCGCTGGCCACTTGCGTCGCTATCGTGGTCGCTGGTACTGCGCCGGAGGCGGAGCTGCCAATCTCGGCGAGATCGGGCGAGGTCGAATCGGATTGGACTGCCGTCTTCTACGATACCGCGCAGCCGAAGCTCGTCGGAAACGATGGTGGCGCCGGCACTGGCGGCTTCCGCGTATTCGGTCTGAATGGCGAGGACTTGTTGTCGGAGACGAAGCATGAGAAGCCCGGCCGCACGAAGCTCGTCACGACGGTATATGCCGTCGGCGGCAACGATCTTATTGTCACCATCGCCCAGCCGGACTCGTACTTCCGCCTCTACGACGCAACCACTGTACAGCAAGTCGGCGAGCCTCTGGCGCGTACCCTTGGCGACTGGTCGGCGCTCTGCTCTTGGAGGAGCCAAACCAGCGGACAGCAGTACCTGTACCTGTTCGGAAAGCGCCAGGCCGTACAGTTTCTCCTCAGGAAGACGAGCGACTCTTTCGAAATCGTCGAGATCCAGACGTTCGAAACCCCGATCGAGGCTTCGTCATGTGCCGTGTCGTTCTCTGCACGCTCCGTCTACTTCTCCGGCGACGATAGCCCTGATGTGTACACGTTTAACACAACTGAGAGCACTGCGGCACCGAATATCAGCGTCCCGGGAGAGGCTGATGACGATGTCACCGGGTTAGCTACTTACATAGGCCTCGATTCGGACTATCTCTTGGTAGCGCTAGAAGATTCTGTCGCAGTTTACGATACCTCCTTGGCTTTACTAGGTTCTATGAAGCTGACTGGAGACGATGACATCGAAGTCCAGGGACTGAGTGTTTACCAAGCGCCGACGCAGAAATACCCGGCTGGCGCACTGGTATACGCCATCGAAAGCGACGCCGGGGCCGGGTTTGCCGTAAGCTCCTTGGAGGCGGCTTTCGTCGAACTGGGACTTGAATTGAACACTGCATATAACCCCCGCAAGAAGCTCTGCAAGCCGACGGACCCCGTTTGTGCTCAGTGTAACTCTAGCGGATTTTGCCTGGGAGCCGAGGGCGTGAACGAGCCCTCGTGCGCGTGCTTTGCAGGATTTGAGGGCGCGAATTGTGCAGCTTTTACCTGTCGAAACGACTGCTCGGGCCATGGGGAGTGCGTAGGCGCGAACACGTGCCAGTGCGACGAGGGATGGGGCGGTCTCTACTGTGGCTTCAAAGTGGCGCGACCTGTCGCCGAGACGGACGCGAATGGCGGCGACGGCGACGACCCGGCGATCTGGATCTCTCCGACGGATAAGTCCGAATCGAGAATCATCACTACGACGAAGTCGGAGGTGGGTGCAGGGCTCGGTGTATTTGACCTGAGCGGAAAATTACTGCAGACAATCCCAGCTGAAGAGCCCAACAATGTCGATATCATCTACAATTTCCAGGCTGGTGATCGGGTCATCGATCTGGCCTACGCTGCTTGCAGAGCGGACAATACGCTATGGTATGTTTTCAAGACGCAGCGTCTAGTCCGAGCTAACCACCTTTAGCCTCTTCGAAATGACCGCCGACGGGACTCTCAAGACGATCGCTGGTGGCATACAGCCCACCAAGGACGATTATGATGTATATGGTAGTTGCGTGTACCGCTCGCGCAAGACTGGCAAGCAATATCTCTTCGCTAACGCCAAGACTGCTGAATACCTTCAATTCGAATTGTCGTGGGTAGATGATGCGCTGCAGACGACTCTAGTGCGCAATTTCACCGGCGGTAGCGGCGGTCAGGTAGAGGGTTGCGTGTCCGATGAAGCAAACGGATGGGTATTCATCGGCGAGGAACCGCGTGCTCTTTGGCGCTATGGCGCTGAGCCGGACGATGATTCTAGCGAGGGTTTCCTCATCGGCGAAGTTGGCGACGGGAAGATGTTCGCAGACGTCGAGGGTGTGACGTTGGTCGAGGGCCCTTCGGCGGACAAGGGGTTCATTATCGTCAGCCAACAAGGAGTCAGCGCGTACAACGTGTATCGGCGGGCGGCCCCGCATGAATATGTCGAGACCTTCACGATATACGAGAACTCCGAGCTGGGGATCGACGCAGTGACTAACACGGACGGGGTTGCCGCCGTTGGCGCCTCGCTAGGCGCCGCGTTCCCCGACGGACTGGTCGTCGTCCACGACGACGCTAACGAGGTCCCCGAAGGGGGCACGAGTGACGAGGCGAGCTTCAAGCTAGTCAAGCTGGGAGACGTCCTCGAAGCCGAGCTGCTCGAGGAAGTCGATAAGAATTGGGATCCTCGCGCGGTATAGCGAACGACATAGCAGAAACTCGAGAGTGGCTAGATTTACTATGAATCTATTCATTGAACTTTCGAAAAGAATACGTGAACTAAGAAAATCAAGATTGCCATGCCCAAAATTGCGAACAGATTAAGCCACCGAAGGGGTTAAGGAAACATGTAAGGTACTTGTATACAAACATCAACGACTCATTCTACATGTCGCGGGTCCCCCGATTCGTTTGTATATCATAGGATCATATAAGAACATGAGACGTGTCGGGTACGGGGTGTAGAGGAAACAAAGGGTTAAGTGGGGACCGGTCCTCCAAATAGCAGTCTTCTCATCCATCGATGGTGTTCGTGTTCCGCCTCTGGTTGTCCCTTTTCTCCTGTCCTTCAGAAGTTAACCAGCTTGCTCTTGACGCAGACAGCCTTGGACAGGGTCTGGATGGAGCCGCTCGACAGCAGCTCGAGCACCTGGAGGGTAGCCTCGAACTCGCGCGTGATGAAGTTGCGGATCTCGATGGCGACGAGCGAGTCCAGCGGGTAGTGCGACAGCGAGCGCGTCACGTCGAGGTCCTCGAGCTCCATCATCATGACGGCCGCGAGCTTGTGCACGAGGCCGTCGCAGACGACGGCCTCGGCCTCCTCGAGCGACTTGGACGCCTTGAGGGCGGCGTTGTAGGAGACGGCGCGGGCGGCGCCGCCGTTGGCCGCGGCCTCGGCGGCGGCGGCCGCTTCGGCGGCCGCGCGCAGGTGCTTGGACTTGGCGTCGGCGGTCCAGAAGGGCTGCATGGAGGGCGTGATGCGCATGCCGGTGATGACGTGGTTGCTGCAGGCGGCGAGGCGGCCGGCGACGGCGGCGCCGAGCAGGGCGAGCACCTCGGCCTCGCAGATGGTGTCGCTGCCGAGGTTCTTGGCCACCTCGGCGGCCTTGGCGAGGTCCTCGGCCAGGTATCCCGAGTCCGAGATGGCGGTGAGCGCGAGCGCCGACGCCGGCAGCCCCCGCGCGAGCCGGTACTGCACGAACGCGTCCAGGAAGCAGTTGGCCGCCGCGTACGCCGCCTGCCCCCGGTTGCCGACCGCGCCCGCGACCGACGAGATGGCCACGAAGAAGTCAAGCGGCGCATCCGCCAGTGCGTTGTGGAAGTTCCACGCGCCCTGGACCTTGGACTCGATCACGGTCGTGTACTGGTCGTAGGTCATTTTCTCGAATAAGACGTCCTGCTTACTGTTAGCAACGGATGATCATCGGGGCAAGCAGTTAAGAGGGGAGTGAGGAGATAGGAGAATAGGGCAGAATCTTACGCGTAGAACCATGGCGCCGTGGATGACGCCCCTGACAGCGGGTAGACCCTGCAGACCGTTCCTGACCAGATCTTCGACGGATACGGGGTTGGCCACGTCGCACCGCCGCACAACGATCTCAGCCCCAGCGGCAGCCGCCTCGTCGATGAGATCCTTCACCTTGCCGGTCGCGCTGCCGCTCCTGGATACGAGGACCAGGTGTCGCGCGCCCCGGCTAACCATCCACCGGGCCATGCTGCGGCCGAGACCTCCAGTGCCGCCGATGAGGATGTAGGTAGCATCCGCCTTGAGCAGCTGTGCAGGTTTCCTCGGCGGGGTGGCCTTAACGACGTCGTGGGCATGCGGCACGACGACCAGCTTACCGTGGGACTTGGCGCCGTGGAGCGTCTTAAGCGCGGACTCAACCTCAGATATGGGGAAGACGGTGACGGGAGAGACGGGCCGTATTTTGCCGTAGCGCATGAGCTTCGCCACGTTGGAGAGCAATCGCTGCATGAGCTTGGGCCGCTCGGCCGCGACGGCGACGATGTCGACCGTCATGAAGCTGGCGTTGTGCTCGAACTGCGTCATCTCCAGCCTCGTGCTCGTGTTGGTATCTCGGGCGCCGATGTCGATCAGACGACCGAACTTGTTCAGGCAATTCCAGCTCTCCCGCAGGCCGTCGCCGGCGAGGCAGTTGAGGACGACGTCGACGCCGAGGTTGTGGGTCGCCTGGCGCACGGCGTTGCCGAACGAGATGTTCCGGCTGTAGAAGATGCGGCCCTCCGGCAGGCCGTACTCCTTCATGAGGAACTCTTTCTTCTCCGGGCTGCCGACCGTGGCGAACACCTTCGCGCCGATCATCTGGGCGAGCGAGATGGCGGCTTGGCCGACGGCGCCAGCGGCGGCGTGGATCAGCACAGTCTCATCCTCGTTCAGCCGACCAAGCTCTACTAGAGAGTAGTAGGCGGTGCTGTACGCTAGAGGGAGAGTTGCTCCCTCCTCGAACTGCATGTCAGACGGGAGCTTGAATGCAAAAGTGGCCTTGGTTCGGGTGGTTGTTGCGAAGGCACTCTTCGTAATGGCTGCGACACGGTCACCAATGGCGAAGGTCTTGACGTCCTTCCCGACTGCGGTAACCACACCACTGGCTTCTATACCAAAGTCGTGTGTTGCGAGCTTGCCGTGGGCCGCCGTGAGATCTCTATGGTTGACACCGACGGCGTGGACCTTGATTTCGATATCTTCGCCATTAAGCGGGGCCTCAGCGACTAGGTCGTCGACGAAGTGTAACGTGTCCAGGGCGCCAGCATCAGTAATGGCCATCTTGAGCCGTCGATCCGTCTGCATAAACTGAACTGGTTGTAGGGCCGACGGCCTCGTCTCCTGATGGACGAGCTCGTTCATCTCGGGGTCGTTGATGATGCGGGGTGTGAAGAACGAGCCGCTTTTCTCGATAAATTCTAGCTCGCCGTTCAGAGTGGTTTTCTTATTGAACACTGCTGTGAAGACCCTGAGGATGGCCTCCGCAACGCGGTCACTTAATAGTTCCGTTCGGCCGTCGAGATCCAGGGTAGCGAATGGCAGTAACGTTTCCGATCGGATGGTCCTGCTGAGACCCAAGATCATATTAAGATCCGGCGATGTAGAGCGGTCATATGCGCCTCGAACAACCCATAGCGCGCCTTGTACCGTGGTTAGATTCCTTTGTAGGGCGTTGAATTCATCCTCCTTCAGTTGTGACAGAAGCGGCTTATTAATTTCCGGCAAGAAGATGAGAAGCTTATTCTCGGCCTGACATTCCAGAAGACTAGAGGTATTTGGCAGCTTTCCGGTTATATGCTGCAGAGCCTCCGCTAACATGAAGGCGACTTGGGTCTGTAGTGTGCCGTCTCCATAGACAATCTCAATATCGGCGTCGGGAAGTTCATCAACGCCCATCGGTTCCCACTCCAGCTTGCTATTGTTCTCGGCCGATAAGGGTTCGAGGATGGGTTCCCAGTCGAACTTGTAGCAGAGCTCACGGTGGGCCTCAAGCCCGGGTTGCGCCTCGCGGTCTAGGATAGGAGCGATGGTCAACTCATCCAGTTTAATGAGAGGCTCGGCGAGGTTAGTCTCTGAGGTTGCGAAAATGCTCATCTTCGTTGGCCTGGGGCTGTCGGTGGGTATGGATCCGAGACAGTAGGCCTTGAAGTCCTGGCCTGGAGTCTTGGTAGCCTGAATGATATCCTTCGAGATAGAGATACTCGACACAGAAGATGGCAGGTATATCGTGTCAAGGGATTCCTGCCCAGAGCTTGCAATTGGCCAGTACATGGAGATGAGCGACTCAAGGAATGAGGGCTGGATGACAGTGTCGGTCACGAAGTGGTTAGGCATCTCCTTGGCTACGTCAGGGACGAGGAGGTCTGCACGGGAGCAGGTGCTAGAGGCCTGGCAATTGCTGACTCCCTGGAAAGTCGGGCCATACGATACTCCCACCTCAGAAAGGTCGTCGTAGAGCTTGGGCATAGCGACGGCCGAGGATGCCGCAGCATTGATATCAGCAATGGTTGATTGCAAATGGATCCGCGACGCCAAGCTCTGCCTGGCATCATCCACGCCGTTCGACTCGTGAGCCTGGACAGCGATCAGTCCCTTGCAATGTTCCTTCCATCCTTTGCTCTTGGTCCACGAGCAGATGCGGAATTCATCCCAGACTTCAGAAGAAACCAGGGTTCCTTCTTGGTGAGGCCTCAGGGTCGTGGTCATCTCAACGTCCTCGTCGGGGATAACTAGAGGGGCATTGACAGATACATCGCGCAACTCGAACTTGTCAAAGTGAACATTCGATGCGCTGGCTCGCTGGAACGCTGCCTCGACGGCCATAGAAATGTATCCAGATAAGGGGAATATTGTCAGGGACTGGATTTTGTGGTGCTCTAGCCAAGGTAGATCATCTAAGCGGACGATATTCCTCCACGTAGGCTCGAGGTCGTTAGAGTAATTGGCGAGGGTTCCTAGTATATCGTTGCGTGGAGCGGTTCTGTTCTTGTGCATTTGCGTCATACGAGACTCATGCCAGTACTTGGCCGAGTAGTTCCAGGGGTATCGTGGCAGGTCGCTAAGAAGCATCGGAGGCTTTGTGGAGACGGGGAAGTTGATGGCTTCAAAGTCGAGATGAGCGCCCTTGGTGAAGAGAGTCCCAGCAACTTCCAGGGCGGTCTCTACAGCATCCTTCTTCCGCGAGAGGGCGGACGCATACGGGATCTTGGCCGCATCACCACCGACCTCCTTCAGGATCTGCTTAAGGGGTCCTTGAAGAGCTGAATGGGGTCCCAGCTCGAGCAGCATGTTAACACCGGTCCGGTGGCCGTCAATGGGCTGCAGCATGCTCTGGACTGCTTCGTTGAACTTCACAGGGCACGTGAGGTTCTGAACCCAGTAAGAAGACTCGAGTTCTGTGCCATCGATACGTCGACCGAGAAGAGAAGAGTGGAATCGGACCTCCGTATTAACAGGTCCTTCGAGGTCATTAATAGAGGCCTGGTAATCCTTCGCGAGGAGGTTCATATGGTGCGAATGGTAAGCTGTGTCGACGAAGAGTTTCCTGTTGAACAGTTGCTTCTCCTCCACGAGCTTCTTCAGCTCGTCGATCCCGGCCTCGTCCCCAGAGATGGTGAGACTAGAAGGGCTATTATAGCATGCAATCCTGACCTCGCCGTCTTTCAGTCCCGCGATGAGTGGCTCGAACTCTTCTTTGCTGCCACCGACAGCCATCATGGAGCCTTTCAATCCGGGGTACCTGTCCTTCAATACGGGAACCAGGCGACCGCGGTGGTAGGCGATAGACATACACGATTCGAATGTCAACACGCCCGCGGCATAGGCTGCTCCAATCTCCCCACTAGAGTGACCGGCTACTGCTGTGGGTTTGATGCCCCATGCTCGCATGAGGTCGACCAGAGCGAGCTGGATTGCTGTGCATGACGGCTGGCTTATGTGGGCGGCTCCGACAGCAGAGGTCTTTTCGTCCTTACTCAATTCCTCAACAAGCGACCAAGACGCGCCGAGGGCTCGCAGGCATTCGTCGGCATAGTCAATGGCCTTAGTGAAGACAGGATACCTCTCGTAGAGTTCTCGGCCCATGCCATACCACTGAGCACCCTGGCCAGTGAAGATGAAACCAATTCTGAGAGTATCGACTTCCTTTCCAGGGGAATACTTCTGGCTGTTGATAGCATCGATCAGGTCAAATGACCTGAGCGCCGGGATGGCGATCCTCCACTGCAAATGCGATCTCCGTTGGCCCAGGGTGTACGCAACGTCCGCCATTAAATCCTTCTGGAACATCTCAGGCCTCTGCTCCAGGTAGATTACCAAGGCCTTCAAGACCGCTTCTAGCGTGTTCTTGTCGTTGGCTGTGATGGCGAAGAGTTTCCTGTCCGAGTCCTTCTTCAGGTCGGCGTCGTTCTTGGGTCCCCTCTGCGTAAAGGGAATCTTTTCGAGAACAACGTGGGCATTGGTACCGCCGAACCCGAAGTTATTGACGCTGATGTACTTCTTATTTCGAGGCCACGGCCGCTGGGTGACGGGAACCTATTCAATGTAAGTATAACGTTAACTCCTGATGTGGGAGGGTGTGAGACTACCTTCAGATGCCACTCTTTGAAGGGGATCTTCTCGTTCGGATATTTGAAATCGTAATTTGGTAGGATAAAACCTCGCTCGAGCATCAATGCGGACTTAATAACTGCCACGATGCCAGACGCCCCCTCTAGATGCCCGATATTCGACTTCACAGAACCGATGTAGAGAGGATCTCTAGGTGTCCTGCCAGCGCCGAAGATATTATGAATTGCTGTCGCTTCGATGGGATCTCCTACACGTGTTCCTGTTCCGTGCGCCTCGACGAAGCCGCAATCAGCAGGATTTATGCCGGCATTCTTGTACACTTGGCGCATTAAAACCTCTACAGACGGGAGGTTAGTGAGATTTACATTGAGAGACGTTGTTTTCGGGGTTCGCACCTTGTGCCTCGCCGGAGGGCATCGTGATGCCAGGAGTTCTTCCATCCTGGTTAATGCCGCTCCCGACGATGATCGCTCTAATCTGGTCGTTGTCCTTTCGAGCCTGCTCGAGGGGCTTGAGAACCACCATACCGCACCCTTCACCGCGGCCAAATCCAGTGCCTCTGCTGTCGAATGAAAACGACCGGCCTGAATCTGAAAAGAGCCTGGGACTACTATTAGCGGTGTGTTTTGTACCTCGTGTCTTAGAAGCTTACCGCGACTTGGAAAACGAAATCCAAAACTCCGGCAACGTGTTGAGATGGCATCCACCGACGATCGCCATATTTGACTCGCCAGTGCGCAGACTCTGGCAAGCTACATGCAATGCGACTAGACTCGACGAACATGCTGTATCTGTAGTGAAGCTGGGTCCCCTTAGATCGAAAAAGTGAGATATTCTGTTAGATTGCATCGCATATGCGCAACCTGGCGCACGGTTAGCTTAGAGTGACAACCACAAGAGCGGTTAGCGACTTGCCTGTGGCCTGGTGCATGGGAATGGTGTCAGTATCTCTGAAGAGGTGCGATTCATATTCGGGGAACGATCCGCCCACAAACACGCCAACGTCTTTTCCAACGATGGTGTGCTTTGGGATGCCAGCATTTTCCAGTGCTTCGAACGTGCATTCTAGAAGCAAGCGCTGCTGGGGGTCCATCGATATGGCCTCCTTCTCTGTCAAGCTGAAGAAAGGCGCATCAAAGGCGGCAAGGTCTGTGTTGAGAAAATGACCGCCGACTGGGTTGTGAGACCCGGCCTTCCCAGGGTTGGGATGATAGAAGCTGGCTGTGTTGAACCTCTCCTTTGGTATCTCTGAGTAGCCGCTACGAGCTCGAGCACACATCTCCCAAAATTCTGCCGGACTCGCAACACTTCCCGGGAGCCGACAGGACATTCCTACTATGGCAATGGGCACCCCCTTCTCCTTGGACGGAGTGTGGTCTCCGTTGACACCATTGAAGCCGTTAGTTCCATTGGTACCGATGTTGTGGCCATTACTGTGGCCATTGCTCTGGCCAACTCGACGGCCGTTCGTCTGGCCAAAGGGTGCTTCGTGGTTCCCGTTGGCGTGGGAATCACCGTTGACCGGCCCGAAGCCGTTCCCGCTCCCGTTTACAGCGTACTCGTCTACTAGAACATGGCCATTGCCGTTGACAGAGCTGTCAGTAGAATGGTCATTGGAGTGACCATTGGCGTGTCCGTTGGCATGTCCGTTGGTGTATCCGTTAGTAGGAGCTCTCGAATCCTCGTGCACCCCGTTGGATGCGCTGTACGCACTGCCGTTGATGGCTGAAGGGGCCATGATTACGGATTTCGTTGCGACGGTACTGTAGAGGCCGAACGTTTCCTAACACAAGGAATCTACGATAGCATCGAGCGAAGTTCGAGGTTTATATTTTCGGCACAACCGAGCGGTGCTGGGGGGCGTGATATCAAGTGACCACCCGGGATACGGGGCAGGTTATCATAACTGGCAATAGAGCCTGATATCCGGAGGATAGGGAAATATTGCCGCCCTGAGTAAGGAATCACAGTCGCAACCTTAGGCGAAGGTTACCCTCATACGTAGGCCTCGCGGCGTTTATCAGAAACAACAGACACGGGAATGGAAGGATCCAATAGTCGAAAAGCTGGCCTGCTTGTACCATTTGTCATCCCTGACAGCCGTGGCTATCACCTTGCCGATCCCATCGTTAATTTGTCTTAGACACGATATGCTGGCTCCCGCCGTACCACTATGTGGCCAGAGCCCAGGGCAAGCTTCACCAGGGCCCTCGACCTACTGGATTGGGAAGCGTATCCAGAGGCACTTGATCACCTCTGTTGCTGTTGGGGTTACCTGCCTTACCGTGTGGCGGCATCCACCCATCAATGTCAAGATTATCAGGGTCCTTGCAGCTCGCGGTTTGTGAGTGGGACGACGCCATCATGGTGGTGAGGCGTGGCCTCGTCGGCGACGGCAACTCTCGATGGCCGACAGGCCAAATCGGGGGCGTCTTCTCACACTAACTCGAGTAGGCACTAGATCCGGGCTGAGGGGAGTCGAGACAGCGCCGGACCACATTGCCGATCTATCCACTGTTCTTGATGATACCTGCATCAAGGCTAACCCGAGCAGCGGATCAGAAGGGATAAGATTGGCAACACATATAGGGTGTATACGTATGCGTGCGTGTTTGTTTTCCGATCTTGGGAAGTTGGTTCCGGAAGTTTTCTAATACCTAAAGGGGTTGAGGAAAAAATGGGACATCGATATTGCGATGTGACAGGGGTCGAAGGTGGCGGCAAGACGATAACGACGTGCCAGGGACTTGTTCTTGCACTTCTGCTCCTGGTATAGTAGCGGGCGTACGTAGTAGTAGGAGCATGCGTCGGTCGTAGACGTACGTAGTAGGTACATGAATCGAGCACGTCCGGCATCTTCGCTCAGGACCCTGGACAGCACGCAATATAGATAGATAGTATATTCCCACCCCTCGTCTTGGCGTCCGGCACTTTGAACTCCTTTGGAACACGGCTGTGGCATGGGTGGAAGGGGAGTAGTGATGAACGTGGAGGACCCCCCAGGGAACACCGTCGGGGATGGTAAATCCGTACGACCAGCGTGCGTCAATGGCGTAGTTGGCTGAGAACGTGATGGTGGTCATCAATGCGCAATCCTTCGTGACCCATCCCAAGCCACAGGGCGCCCCCCCTTTAACCGTGTCGCGCTGAATTCCTGCCCGGACGCGCAGATTATCTCTTTAGTCGCGCCCAGAGAACCCCTGATATGTCCCAAGGGATATCCACCTGGAAGTAGAGCCTCAGTCTCCGGTCCAGCAGCGGGATACCCAGTTGCAGGGGTGGTGATCCCTGCAATGGGACCTAATGTGATGGAGCATGTCGTTGCTGCAAGCCGCCTGCAGTGTATCCGCCAAGATCTGCCCCATCGAGGGCCGAATGTATCTCAAACAAGCCCATACAGCCCTGGGTACGGAATGAGACGGTAGGGTCTCAGTTACGGATGGAAGATATCCAGTAACTGACACGTAAACTCACACGTAATCGTCTGAAGTTCTCCTGACCTTCAAAATGGGGGGAGCATTCTTGCTACAACTCGCTGCTCTCCACGCCCATATCTTATGGCTGGGTATCCGCGCGTTCTCTCCCAACTCGGTGTAACTCGGTGCGTGGCTCCTACAATCCACCCACGTCCTGCAACATGAAGTTCATGTGTCTGCCAGGCGCATATGGAAGCGCAGATGTAAGTCTTAGTTCGTACTGCCGAGCGAGCGAGCGAGCGAGCCCTCCACTAACACGTCAGAAGAAATTCCAGGTTCAACTAGGTATTGTCCCGCTCTCTATGCATGGGGCGTGAACGTCTTTTTTTTATCTTGGCAAGGGTCTTTTTTTCACTAACGGAGCCTCTTAGCACCACTCGTCAATGAGTTGATGTCTGACGGCTCGGCCTCATTCCGCTTTATCGACGCACCATGTGAAGCCGTGCCCCCTAAGGGCTTCGAGGACTTCTTCGGAAAGCCTCCCTACTACCGGTTCATCGAGCCCGACGAGAAGGAGACGCAGGATACCGACGTCCTATCTCGTATTCGAGACTTCCCCGAGTGCGACACGGCCGAGGACACTATGAGAGAACTCATGAAAGAAGGCGTCGCGAGCAGCGTCATCAGCACGAACCGAGCTATTCAGTATCTCTTCGACATCATGGAGAAAGAAGGCCCCTTCGAGGGTATCATTGGGTACTCCGAGGGGGCTACCGTCGCCGCGACATTTGTCCTCGCTGAGCAGAAGAGGGCCGAGGAGGCGGGAAGAGAACCCATGATTAAGTGTGGTATCTTCTTCGCCGGCTGGCCGCCTCTCGACCCTACCACGTACGCCATGGTACTCGCGGATGAATCCGACCTCATGATCAACATCCACACCTGTCACATCAGTAGGCGCTCATCGCACCCCCTCCAGTACACCTAACATGCTAATTAAGTCTCATAGTCGGTTCCCTCGATCCCTACGTTGCCGGTTCCATGGCTCTGTATAACACGTGTGAGGCGGATACCGCGTACATCTTCGACCACGGCAAGGGTCACACACTCCCGAGAGACAAAGGTACTATAAAAGAACTTGGAGGGGTAATTCGCAGTATGATGGTAGAGGCTTCAGCATAAAGCCTCGTATCCTTCGCACGATAGATTGCGACTTAGATTATGGTTTTGGTTAATTCTCCTAGCATCGGTAGATACCAGCATATGTAGTAGGCTCTGTCTGTATATCTCTGTCTGTATCTTTCTCTCTCTCTCTCATGCTAGGTGTAACATGATATTACCGCGTTCCATCTCCATAGTCGTGGCGCGAAGTAGAGGTGGTGCGGATTAGAAAATTCCATGCATCATTGCGAATGGTTCGTTTCCTCGCAAGGATGTAAGCTCGCGAGCCCGTGTCAAGCAGCCCCCCCCCCCCCCCTCTACGAGAAGGATTCTGGCACGTCACATACCAAGGTCTGGCGTGGCTACTTGGGATAAAAAAAGATAATAAAAATAAAAATAAAATGATAAAAGAAGAAGAAAAAAGACCAAAATCATTGGTTATATTAGATACGTGCCTGCTGAAAACGATCGGTATCTAGGGATAGGGTGATCTCCTCCTCCAATACTCCCGAGACATGCAGGCGGATAAGGCCTACCAAGGGGCAACCCCTGCCAATAGGGTATATCAGCTCATTTATCGTGATTGATGCTTGATTCTATCACTGTTTCTTCACGGAGCACGTCTCCGTTGTATTCTCGTGACATTTATCCACAACGATTTGGTCGGTTGGCCATATGGTACAGGGTCCTCTTCCCACATGGCTAGTAGCACTGCTTGTGCCTCCTGTCGATTTTCCCCCATATCTCTGCTCTCTCAAACTGGCCTGTTTCCTCATGCTTTCGGATTTACCCATCGCCCAACCCTCGGCCTTTTTCTTTTGCTGCCGATAATCCCGTCCGGAAATTGTTGCTGCACACAGCCCAATACACACGCGTCAGGGCACCCAATATGGAGAAAAAATACACCGGGCACGACGAGGCACATGAAAGTCCACGCCACGATTCTGCCACATCGGCAGCACACTCGGATAATCCAATACCCTCCGTAGACGGGTTGACGGGGGATGCCTTGGTAGTAGACGTTTCCGGGATCGATGGCTCTGCCTCGAATTCGACCGAAGACAAGCCCCTGTCGTCCTCGATAGTAAGAGAAATCTCGACCATGGATCTCCTTAGCGACTCGGCTCCGCTTGGAAGGACGGCTTCGATAACCTCAGCGTCGTCGGCAGCCTCGTTGGCGGAAGCCGGCGGTCCTCCACAACCTAGTACCGCTAATACCCACCGCCGCACAATATCCGTGCGGCCATCCCTACTATCGCTCCCCGAACCTCAACAAGAAGTGCGGGGAGCGACGCCAGGCGGAGCTCTATCTCCAGTGCCGTCTGCATCGCCAGGGAACAGCATCGCGCCCGATTCTGCCTCCCCCCAAGCCCCGATACCAGCTCTGCCTAAACCCCCTAATGCGAAACCTCCCCAGGCGCCGGGAGACTCTAAAAATGCGCAAATCAAAAAGACCACCTCGAACTTCGCCGTGAGTCACTCATCTCTAATCATAATATTATCACCAATACTAACTTGATGGCTAGAGGATATTCGGCTACACAACCTGGCACGACAGATTGTTTCTGTTCGCGTCTGTCGTGGCTGCGATAGGGGCTGGGGTCGCATTCCCGATTATGACGATCCTTTTCGGTAAGGAAACGCAGGGGTTGTGTTGAAGCTACACCGTGGGACTTACTGACGGTTTAGGTCAACTGGTGGGGAGCATCGCGAACGCCAAAGCCAACTGGAGCGACGAGGAGAGCAGGGTGTATTACTCGGAAACCATCAATCATTATGTGTAAGTCAAGCAAGCGTGAACTCCTCTACCAGGACACAGCTAAGAAAAAGGGGGGGCCGTTGGTGTATAGTCTCTACATGGTGTATCTCTTCATTGGTAGATTTGTGCTCGGATACACAGCCACTGTAAGAAGACAACCCTTCCCCGGTGAAGAGAAATGGCCGTAATGTGCTTACAAGTCGCGTTAAAAGCTGGGATTTCGTATGATGAGCCTGCGCATCTCGTCGGCAATGCGCCTAGCCTACTTTAAGGCCCTCCTGGGCCTGCCCGTGTCGTTGTTGGACACTCAACCGCCCGGTCAGATAGCGGCCATCATAACCGGCACGGCCAACACCCTGCAAGCCGGTATCTCGGAAAGGCTGGCTGCGGTTATTCAGAACCTGTCCATGTTTGTCTCTTCCATAATCATTGCGTACACCCACAGCTGGAAGTTGAGCCTGGTCACCAGCAGCGGGTTGCTGCTCATCACGATATGCTACTGCGCTACCATCCCCTTTGTCGTGAAGAATATGAAGCAGGTCGAGGATGCAAATATCAACGGATCTGCGGTTGCGAGCGAGTCCTTCAGCTCGATTCGGATGGTCGCCGCCTACGGAGCCGAGTTGAGGATGGTGGAGAAGTACAAGGTATGGATCGATGAGGCGCAACGGAGAGGCCTTCGGCTATCGAAGATAGTTGCGATTCAACAGGGAACCGGTGAGCTGCATCCGAGCTGCTCTTTCAGAGTAACCGCTAATTGCTATTGACAGTTCACTTCAGTGTCTTCGCGTTAGAGCCCTGCTGTCAACCCGATCCCGCCATCGTACTTACTAACGTGTCGACAGGACATTTGCTCTGACCTTCTGGTACGCCGTCAGGATGCTGACGAATTTCGAGATCGAAAATGTCGGGACGCTGATCACGTCCGTGCTTCCCCCGAAACCCCTTATCGCACGCAGCAGCTAATCGTTTCGCAGTGTTTTGATGTGCATAATGATGATCGTCATGGGTGTTGGTAACGTGGCGGCACCAATTTCTGCGGCCGCCCGCGCGGCCGGCGCAGCCAGCATCCTATTCAATGGTATCGACGCTCCGAGGCCTGTCGTGACCGGGCTCAAGCATCCAGACGTTTCGGCCACGGGAGATATCGTTCTGTGGGGCATCAACTTCACGTACCCAACCAGGCCACAGCTCAAGGTGCTCGACGGCTTGAACTTGATATTACCTGCAGGTAAAATTACGGCTATCGTGGGGCCATCGGGATCTGGGAAGAGCACTATCGTGGCGCTGATAGAGCGTTGGTATGAGCTGGATGGGGATATGGGGGAGAAGAAGTTGGTGAGTGATACGTCCGGTCGCCAACAGTCAGCGATGTGCGTCCGTTACTAACACTATGCCCTCAAGATTACCTTTTTCCGCAACGGCTCACTCACTATCGGCGGCTGCAAGCTGACGGATATAGACCTCAAGTGGTGGAGGTCCCAGATCGGTCTCGTGCAGCAGGAACCATTTCTCTTCAACACGACGATCTTCCAGAATGTAGCAAATGGTCTGGTCGGCACGGAATGGGAGAATGCTGACATGAGTAAGAAGAGGGAGCTAGTAGAGCAGGCCTGTAAGGAGGCCTTCGCCGACGAGTTCATCTCTAGACTTCCAAGTGTCCGTCCATACCCTTGACCACTCACATCGCGTCCCCTATCCGGGCTTCTGGCTGACTCATCATAGGGGTATGATACGGAGGTGGGAGACGCAGGTATCAAGCTCAGCGGCGGCCAACGGCAGCGGCTAGCCATCGCCCGAGCCATAGTCAAACAGCCTAAGATCTTGATACTGGACGAGGCGACAAGCTCGATCGATGTCCGCGGCGAGAAGGTGGTGCAGGCTGCCTTGGATAAGGTCTCCAAGAACCGGACGACCATCATGATAGCCCACCGGCTATCCACGGTCAAGAAGGCAGACAACATCGTGGTGCTCGCCAAGGGCAAGGTTGTCCAATGGGGGAACCACGAGAGCCTGATGGCGCAGGTGGGCGGGCCGTACTGGCTCCTCACCAACGCGCAGCAGCTGTCTATGGGGGACAGCGCCAGTCCCGCCAGCCCCGACGCGTCATCCGAGGTCACCGAAGTAGAGACCAGAACCATGGATATCATGACGGTAGACGACACGAAGGCCGTGGAAGGCGACGGCGGGGCCCCCGCAGCCGCTGAGCCGACGCACACCCCCAGGGGCGTGCTGAGAAGCTTTGGCGCGCTGTTGCTAGAGCAGAAGCCGTTCTGGCCCTGGTACACGGTCATGCTGTTTGGAGCTCTCGTTGCTGGTGGTAAGCCGACTACGCCTTTTGCCCCCCTCGCCCTCCTCCCGTGGTGGAACAGGTCCCCCAGCTGACGTCTCGTTCCAGGGGGCCCGCCGGTGCAAGCGTACATATTCGCTGCACTCATCTCGTCGTTCGCCCTATGGGGCGACGTGCTAATTTCCGTGACCAACTTCTGGTGTCTCATGTTCGTCGCCCTGGCGGGCGCTTCGGGCGTGGGCTACTTTTGTCTCGGATGGGCCTCGACCGTCGTCTCATTCGTAAGCAACGCGCACAGCTCCACCACCCTCAGCGCCGTTTTAGCTAATGGACCGCAGTACATCACCTCGGCTTATCGCCGCGAGTACTTTCAGAACATCATCTCGAAGAGGGTGTCGTGGTTCGATGGGGAAGGTCGCTCGATTGGGGCGCTGACAGGGATCGTGGCTAGCGACCCGACCCAGCTGCAGCAGCTGCTCGGTACGAACATGTCATTCGCGGCAATATCCATCTTCAGCGTTATCGGCTGTCTGGTGGTATCCTTCTACTTTGGGTGGAAGCTCACCATCGTCGCGCTCTCGTCCGCCATGCCATTGGCCCTGGCCGCCGGCTTCTTCCGCGTCCGCGTCGAGAAGAAGTTCGAGGCCATGAACCTGAAGATTTTTGCTGAGAGCGCCAAGTTCGCTACCGAGTCCGTCGGTGCTATCCGCACCGTCACCGCGCTGACCCTGGAGGATGGCATCTGCCGCAGATACGAAGACCTGCTGGAGGCGCACGTGAAGAACTCCTTCCAGCGAGCTCGAATCGCCACACTCGTCTTTGCCGCGAGCGACAGCCTGCCATTATTGTGCATGGCCTTCGTCCTATGGTACGCCAAGGCGCATGCCCAGTGTTATAGCCGTTATGTGTATCTGCCGCTGACTCACAACCCTGCAGGTACGGCGGAAGCTTGCTGGTGTCAGGGGAATACTGGACATTCCAATACTGTAAGTGGATGCAAGCAAGCTCGTCACTATGATGGATAGCTGACGGTGTTGCCAAGTGGTTGTCTATATTGCTGTGGTGCAGGTAAAATACAACCCCTATGCTTGTCTATTTACAGGCACCAATCGGGACACTGACGAGAGATCGCCTCCAGGGTGCCATGGGAGCAGGCCAATGGCTGAGCTTTGGACCTAGTAAGTACATAATTCTCACAGCCCAAGACTGCGCGGAACAAGCCGCTAAAGCAGACCTCGATCAGACATTGCAGAAGCAACTGCGGCTGCGAACCGGATCCAGGCTATGAGAAGCCGAGCTGAAAGCGAAGAGCAAGGAATCACCCCGACAGGCGGCATCACCGACGAGGACAAGAGAGCCGGTGTCAAGATCGAGCTGCAGGATGTTTGGTTCAGATACCCGACCCGAGACGTCCCTATCTTGAATGGGCTGAACATGACAGTAAGAAACAAGCAACATCCTAGTTGGGAGTTATCGCCTCTAACTTGTCCAGATCGAGAAGGGCCAGTTTGCTGCCATCGTGGGGCCTTCTGGTAAGAAGAGTCGCTGATCGGAACCTGCACACGTCCTATGGGCCTCAGCCAGCTGATAACTCTCTAGGTTGTGGAAAAACCAGCATCATCTCTCTATTGGAAAGGTGAATCAACCAACTGTCCACGTTGTCATAGAGGAAGCGTTAAGCTTATCTTTTTCGTTTTATTATCCAGGTTCTACCAGGTCAAGTCTGGATGCATAACCTACGACGACACCGATATTGAGAAGATTGATCTCGCCGACTATCGGAAGACGATTTCGCTCGTAGCTCAGGAGCCGTCCCTGTTCGATGGCACCATCCGCGAGAACATCCTCCTTGGGGTGGATCCTGGCTCGGTTACCGACGAGGAATTGGAGCAGGTATGTCGTGACGCCGAAATCCACGACTACATCACTTCTCTCCCGGAAGGTTACAGCACGAAGGTGGGCATCAAAGGAATCCTGCTGTCCGGTGGGCAAAAGCAGCGCATATCCATCGCGAGGGCCCTTGTTAGGAACCCCCGTCTCCTGCTGCTAGATGAGGCCACGTCCAACCTCGACTCGGCCACGGAGAAGCTGGTGCAGGCCGTGTTCGAAAAGACGAAGAAGAGCAGGACCATGATCGTGGTCGCCCACCGGCTGGCCACCATCCAAAATGCCGACGTTATCTTCGTCCTGGGGGACGGGCAGGTTCTAGAATCCGGCACGCACAGCGCGCTCCTCCACAAGAAGGGCGTCTATCACAGCATGGTAAGTTTTGCCCGGACGCCTTCCTAAAACCGCCGGCGTGGGGGTTGCTAATCTGGACGGGAACAGTGTCAAGCACAGGCGTTGGATCGATAGATAACATGCGGTGGGCGGCCGGGCCTACGCGGGTATTGGTAATGTCGCAGTCAGGACGGAAATAGATGCCGACAACCACCGTAGACGGAGCAGAGTGTAGATTGAGACGACGAGGTTCGCGAGGTACATAGACAGAAGCGAGAGAGAACAATTACTGAGCAGAAAATTACGAGTCCCTGCATGTGCAATTCCCTCTTCCGGAGACGAAGTCTCGCCGTCGTCAATATTAAAAACACCCTATGATGCAACCTACCCAGGAGATAAAGTGTTGCAACCCAAAAACGCAGTTCGGTGCAGAGTGGTAATCACCACTCTACTACCTGTCTATATGCCTACCTGTCTATTGACCAGGGGTGGTAACGTGTTCGGCAGTGAAGAGCCAATTGGCCTCCTCACGACGGCGCGGCGTGATGAATGTAGAGATCTGTAGCCTCTACTTACATCCCATCCTCCTCACCCTCACCCCCCCCCCCCCCCCCCCGTCCTTCCACCTTCGGGTCCTTGCATCCCATGCACTCACACCCCCCCTGGCCCTTCTCCCTTGAATTCAGGATAAAATGCTCCCACGGGTGCAGGGAACTTCTTCCGTCCCTGCTGATCTCTGCCCCCCTACTGGTGGTCCGCCTGCGTAGCCGTGCAATCTCATTCTTCCGTTGGTGTGCACGTCTGATTTCCTTTGTCCTGTCGTGTGCCCCTCCACCTCCCCTTTGGACTGCTAACCCATTTCACATGAAAGAGACACAGGAGGAGGAAGACGGGGTTGTAGCTCGAGTGGGGGGGCGGCTGATCTCTCTCCTCTTTCGAACGATTGCGTACTTACCTACCTACATGATACTAGTAATACCTACCTGCCTACATACCGACCAGGTAGCTAGATAGGCAGCTAGACAGCCTGACGAGGTACTGCACCCATGCCCATCTGTGCAAGTCCCGCGCAGATTGTCCGATTGCACAGGCCGAGGCCAAGCTGTGGCGGGTAAGATTGGCCCTCTCTCGGTCCAGACCGGACCCAGCGCTGACGTGGACCCCTCCCCCTCTGCCCAGGGCTACGGGACTCAGTTTTCGACGGTGACACCTGCGGGCGGCAGACCTTTTCCAGTTTTGCGACAGTAACGCCGTCGAAGGGGGGGAGGGGACTCGCCCTTCTGTGATCGGCGTTCGGGCGACCACGCCCACCCGCCTCCACTTGTTGGCTGCGTGCCGCGCGCGCGCGCCCACACCCGCATGCGTCCTGGCTGCTTCCAGCCCCATGCGCCCTCCCGCTTCGGGCCCGGACGATAGAGAATGGCTCGGGCGAGCGCGCTCGTTATCTGCTCGCTGCGTGATGATGCGACGATGCGGTGCCTTACGCGTACGTGCTGCGAAGAGGGGTCGTCGCCGTGTTTCTATCTCGAATGACGTGATGCTGCGTCCCGTGGCTGACTAGGAAGGTGGCATTGCCCTGGGCTTATCGGGCGTCAAGCTGTGCTCTGCGCGCGATATCTCGGTGCTCTAGGCTCGGGGGATATCTCTCGACTTGGGCAGATCTTGTGACGTGCTTCGCAGAGGCGTCGGCAGCACCGAGCTTGGGGGGCTATCAACTCGTCCGCCGCGGCGTGATGTCCCGGACCAGCCAAGAGGTTACATGAGCCTCATCTTCCAAGACATTTGGAGGGCCCCAGAGTCCAGGTACTGGTTTCCTTCGACAATATACCCACCGCAGAAACTGCAACTGTAGCATGGCCAGACACACTGCTCAAGTGATGATCATGACCATTTTCAGCTCATAGACTCCAACGGCCTACCTACAAGCCGTTTATCGGAGCAAAGGAGCGGCAACAGATTCCGTGGGATGCGTGAGATAGCTATGGTGCATAATATCTAATTACACGCTTCGAAGGCCAGATGACTAGACACTTCCATTACATCGGGTTTCAACCTGTGGTGGCAAGGTCACAACTAAGACATTGGCGTATCATACCAGGGCTCTAATTAACTAGGTAGGTAGGTAAATGGAGGAGTTTCGGTCTTATCAGAGACAAGGTGACTTGGCATCTCAACGCCAGACGCCAATAGCCATAATGATCAGCGATCAGTTGCCGGTCGATCGCACAGCTTAGCGTCTGGGACACCTTAAATTCGACGCCGCCTGTGTATGCATACGGTTACCCACAAACTAGTATCGTATACCAAATCCCACTATAGACAACCGATTCTGTGATATTGACCCGTGACCGCGTAACTGCAAAATTAACACAGCAAAACGTCTCGATTTGGGGCTGTCTGTTTAGCATTAACTGTTGCGCAGCTATAGCAATGCCTGTTGTTACGCCCACTAGCACTTACCTGTGAGCTGTTGTTACCTACATGGCTGGCCTTACATACAGTAATTGCTCAAGATACTCCTAACACAGTAGTTTTCCGTCTCGTAATAGTCTGTAACATAATAGATCCCTTCAGGTGGGTCATACAAGTAAACAGTAAACCATTAGGCGGTTGCTATGTTATTGAACGGGTTGCGTCAAGCCTTGTGATGTAATAGTAGATACAACTTCAATGAAGCTTAAAGCCAATTTACTATTAGAAACTAGTCGTTGAGGCCTCAATAAGTGCCAAATATTAGCGAGCGTTAATACTGGAAGATGCAACAACGCCTTCCCTGGGACGAGGTCCTTGCCGTGGAGGCATTTGTATTGGCCCCCTTCACTCTCAACTGACTTAGACACTCAGACCTGTCTTCTTCTCCACGGATACCTGTAACGGGAACTTTTCGCCCCCGATCTCTCTTATTTTCGCTACAATAATGGAGTCTTCCACCAGTCCAACTACCTGGGGACCTAGTCGAAAATCAAGCCCCAGCATCTCCTTAGACGCTAGAGAGTAATGGTATACCTCTGGGTCGGTGGTGCACAGAAGCGAGATGTGACCGCCGATATGGTGGAATGCAAGGAGAAACGGTGGTAGTGAATCTGTCCCGCACGTGTTTCTGAAGAGTAAAGAGATTTTTTTCGTTTCATCTATTACGTTTAGCCGGCAATCGTAGGGTTTCTTAAGCGGTTTGGTATCTTGGATCCTCGTGCACTGTCAATAGTGTTCAGAGGACCCATCGTGTAACAGCTCTTTTTCCCCGCATATTATACCGGGCGTTGTCTGCCACAACTCGTATCTAGCTGGTACTGCTCGGAGGTAAATATACGGTATAGTAAAAGCTTCGATGTGCGGTTGGTCCTATCGCACGTAGAAGGTTCTTTCCTTGAGCTCAGTCTAGCCCGACAGGTTGAGTTGCTTTGGGAGGAGGAATAATGAAGGTTTGTGAGCTCGAGCGAAGCCGGTAATATTCGGTCTTACGACAAAACCGGGACCTTCGTTTTGAGATGAGCACTCTTTGAACTGACAGCTTCGTACTCGCAGTCGCTCAGGTAGGCGAAGCATGTGTCTACCCGCTAGTACTAGCGGAATAAGGAGTTAACGGACTCAGACAGCTCGGCGCTCGACGACTTATCAATGCAGCATGTGCCTATGTCAATGCAGCATGTGCCTATGCAGACGTAACGATATCCCCCCTTATTAGCGACTAGACATAAGTTTTCCACCTTCTGGTAGCCTTTATTCTGCGTTGTTGTCCCTTGCTTAAGGTCCTGAGATAAGACCTCATCCCCATCCCACCTGTGCGAGAGAATAGCATAGGGAACAGTAATCTCGTCGATAAACTCCTTCAGCTCTTTTGAGCCGACATCAAGGAGGCTCATAGCGACGGCCTTGAGAGGAATAATGTCGATGGACTTGTGAATTTGTGAATTTGGGGTGAGCTGGAGTACTGCCATAAACGTTGGTATTATTGCTTGCGGTGCGGTATGTTATGATGCCGCCCTCCAGGAGCCGCAAGCGGCCACTGCGTCAGCAAGGCCATGAACCGGCGGTGGTGTCACGACCGCCACATGGAAGGACCTCGAACGGATAAACAGGCTTGACGTGTGAGCTGGGAGTCTGAGCCCTAAAACGTCTCTGTGAGCTAATATATAAGCCAGGTTTGGGTTCCTTCTCCTTCTCTTCCCCAGTGCCCTTTCTAGCTTCTCAGGGGCTGGTGCCCCCTGTGATATAGGAAGACAACTGGCTACCTTACTGGATCTAGTGGGGTTAGCGGTGTTCTACAAGAGACACAGTCCTAGATACCTCATGGGTCTCGTCCAGAGGCTGAGCTGACCGATCATCGGCGCCTGACTTTTCCACCCTCCAAAAGTCCAGTGCGCGAACAAAAACACAGATCGATAGGAACGCCGTTGCACTCTTTCGGTCGCGGCAAGGGAACAGGGATGAACATAACCAAAACTAGGGGTCTAGCTTCACCTCGGCGGTTTGGGGATGGCCGGCCCCTACTGAATCCTGAGGTGACCCGGCGTCTCCGCCGATTCCTGGCTCTAAGCCTGCTACTACTCAGATCCGTTCTCGGGTGTGGACACCCCCACGCGGAACCTGTTGTCGACGAAGAGGCTTCTGAGTCTGCCGAGTCCGCCGCCTCGGACGCCTCCACAGCCGATGACCATCCTAACCTCATAGGATAGGGCATACATATCCGTAAGAAACAACGAGTCGAGATATACCTACGAAAATACTCTGAGCCAGCGCACTGTAGAAGGCGAGCCGAAGTGGGTATGTTTCCTATGGGTCAATAAACTGACTCAATATTCTTAGATAGCGGCAGGTGGGTAACAACTGCGGCAGTCTAATGTGCCTACAATAGGGAGAGAAGGGTTGATCGCATGAAGTCGATGGCGCTAATGTCGGTGAAGGCAAGTAAGTATCAGGGTGTTGAACGACGCGTCCTTCGAATTACTGATTTCATCATAGGCGCGCTCGTCCCCTTGCCCCCTCGCCGCCGCAGCACTGACGAACGGCATAGTCATCTTTCGTGATAGCAAGTCCATGCCAAGGTTGTGACAATCCCGTTGAGCCGAATTTTAGCTTTTCCGTTGACCTGTAATATCCCTATCTATGCGACATTTTTTCTTCCCTACACCATATCCTCTCCCAGTTGCAATTCTCCGGCTCCTTCTCTGCCCAACATTATTCATGCCTGCGCGTCCGACCCTAACACGATGAACGGTTGGTCGTCGTCGACCCGCTTCTCCCGCCCGGCCGTCGTCCCGGCGTTTACCGAACCCGGGTGCGTAAACTTCTGCTCGGCAGCACGGCCGGGGTCGCCTCGGGTACCGAATTCAGAGAAGCTCGCGTTCGTGTATCTGCCATCGGTGCCGATGTCGTCGTCCTCTCTCACGTTCCTGCCGTGGGGGCCCGAAGGGTCGCTGGCGTACTGACTCTGGACGTAGGAGGGCGCGGCAGCGGCATTGCGATCGCCCTGCTTGGCAGTCGGATTGTGGGCGCCGCTCTGAGGAGTGTTCGAAGGCGCGGTGAGCACGACGGGGGAAATGTGCTGGGGTGCAGCTTCATTGGCCTGGCGGAAGAACCGGGACTCGGCGGCGAGGGAGTCTTCAGTCACAATGCCAGGTCCCTCACGAGTGACCGGAGCATCTTTGCCGGCGGTGACCTTGGTTCCCTCGCTAGGTGCTTTGCCAGACATGTCTGTTGTGCTCGTGATAACTCGAGTTTCTCTCGTGGTGATGTTGAGAATGGGTTCTGCACAAGGGAGGAGAGAGTAGGCAGTAGGTATGGATAGGACAGTGGGAAGAGGAAATGGCATGCATAGGTGTAAAGAGAGAGAGCAGTTTATCAAGCAATACAGCGTGGCGAGTGCCGGAGGCGTGGGTGCGCATATTGCCTCCGACCTCTCACCATTGCTTGACGTCATGCGCGACAAGACGCTAGAAAGGGCAGGAGCCGCGATACATCATGACCTCATCCGTCCCTGCCTCCGTCAGACATGTTGGATCTGTTGAAGCAAAGGTGCAAATGGCGATGACTTCACTATGTGGCGAAGTTCTTCCCTCCGTCCCCCTGTTACGTAAGCCTGCCAGTTCACAACCCCTAAAGTCTAGGTAGGTACCTCCTACCTTAGATAGGTACCTCCTCTACACACTGTCCATAGCACCTACATGCACATACAAGTTACATGCCAGACAGGCCGCTGGCTGGACGGCATGGTGGAAAGTACTCGGAGGTACATGAGGCGTAGTCGGAGCTGTTTGTCTGTGCTGATAGGATACGTTAATGTGCTTAGGAAATACCTACCTCCTAGATGGGCAACTAATAGTGCAGGATGTACCTGAAGTCTCGATGTTCCGGAGAACCGGCAGGTTTAGGAGGCAAGTTAATTATCGCCTGCATCGCCGATCATGATGGAGAACCCAGGAGGATGGAAGAGATAAGCTCGATGTGCGATCTCAAGGTCTGAGTTGGGCCCCGAAACGGTGAGTGAATACCTATATACGATCTAGGGCTAGGTTCTAGGTCCTCCCTTCTTATCTTCCTAGTCCCCCGCCCCCTTTAGCCTCCAGTCTCTTCTACAAGAAGACTCGAGCTCTGCAGGACAAGGTAGGAGGAATAAGGACCAAACATCCCTTTCCTTCCTGCTCCCCTACTTCCCCCCCATACTTGCCCACAAGGAGCATTAATCTACCTCCAATCCATCTATATATTTATACTAAATCGCCCAATCTCAAAACCGAAACGTCGCCGGCCAGCATTGGAACGGCGGTGGAAGATGATGATCTCGGTGCCGAGTATACGTATGGCCAACAGGCCTAAATAAGATCATGCCGGCGTCGTCCTGTACTTGATATCATGGCCCTCCTCCGATCCGAAGACGTCGTTGGGAAAGCCGGGACCAGTGTATGCCCCTTGGTCGATTCGGTCGGGAGCATCATCGTAGCCCCCGAGGTCGGCCTATTCTTGCGTGGCCGGGCCCGGGTCATAGGTGTTATTGCTTGCTATCGTGGCAGTGGGATGATTCGGGGCCGTGGTCATGCGCTCGTCAATACTACCTTATCCTAGGTTCCTCCGGGCCGGCTAATCTTACAAAATGGAGTTAATCTTTTCTTCTTTCTTATCGAACGGCGAAAGCTAAAGGGTGAGAAAATCAGTGGGTATAGGGAGGAAGCCCTGGGCATGAGATCGTACGACTCGACTGAAAGTTGGCTCAAGTGTTAGTTGCAGCTACTGCCCATACTCAACGCGGTCGTGTCCCATATTACTCAATGTTGCACGAGAAACAAAGAATCAGGGGCACTGGTAGGGACGGCCCGGCCGTCCCTCTCGTGGTCCTACATGCATACAGGCTACCCGTGTATGTGAACGGGGGGAGGACGATGAAGACGTCAAGGTTGTAATTGGTTTACGACTATTAGGTGGGTGCGTTGTGTACCTAACTTATGTTCGAGGGATCACGTAGGCCGTAGAATGAGTCTCAGGGCGAAGATAAGTAGTGGATATTCTCCGGCCATTAGAAAATAAGACGGCAAAGCAGGGTAAATAAACGCTATATAAGCTAGATGGGGTATAAAACGTGCTTAATTCCTAAAACCTCTTATCTAAGGTATCCTTACTAAATAATACCCTTTAACTCTCGAGGGTTGCTTATATAACGTATATTATATAATTAGGAGGGCTCGTACTTAACTAGTAGGGGAGGATAAAGGTAACCGCCTACGGTTATATCTTTAGAGCCTTTAAAAGATTATAACAACGGATAATAAAAATAGGTTTTAGTAATAGCTTATCTCCTCGTCCTTCTTAACCTCCTTTAGTACGGTAACTAAAGGTCCTTTAGTAACCTTAAATAACCCTCTCGGGGTTTAAATAGTTTTAATTAATTCGTATAGTAATAATAAGGTCCCAATGGCTTATCATTTAATAATAGTAACTAAAATACCGATCTTTTAACTAGGATCCTTATAATAAAGGGTCCCGTCTATTTCTTACGTAGCTTAGGTAGTTTTCTATCTTAATAAAGCATAACGAGATCTCCTTTTCCGATGGATTTATTAACTTACTTAAGAGCTTCCTCTCTTTTCTTCCTAGTTCGTTCGGATAGCTTTTAAACGTTCTCCTTATAGTATTATATCCGGGCTATATAACTTACGATTAGATCGGCGTATATCTATTCGTTAGGGAGCTTAAAAGAACCGCTAATTAGGATAGATCTTAGTTTAATTAGATAGGATAGAGGATACTTAGCTTCGAAAGCGCTAATAGGTAGGTTCTTATATAGTATCTCGAATAGTAAATATCCTAGGGATTTAACGTAACGCACGTTAATTTTAATTATTATTTCGGGTATAGAACTAGCCTAGTCTAGTAGTTTTAAGTAAGGCAGGGGGTTTACTATCTTCTTTAAGACCTATTATAGGATCTTATTAAATACTTCGACTAATCCGACTAATCGGTAAGAACCTAAAGGGGCGTTAACGATTAATATCCCCTTTAATACTAGATGTTATAATATCCGTTATAAGGTAAAGGCGGATCTAGGGTCTAGGTAGAAGGCTAAGGGTCTTATTCTTAAGTTAATAAGCCATATATTAAAGCCTACGAATACGTTATTTATTAAGGTATTAGTAGTAGGTATTACTTAGCCGTATCTATTAAACTAATAGACGATTACTAGGATATACCGGTACCTTAAATATAATAATAAAAAGGGGCCGATAAAGTTAGACGAAAGGATCTATAACGGAGCGTAAACCGTTATAAGGAGAAGGGAACCTAGTGGTTTAGTTAGTCTATAATACGCGTAAAGAAGGCATTTATCTATATACGCGGATACGTTACTAACTATCTTTAGTTAGAAAACTAAACGGAAGAGGCGCTTTAAGGTAATCGACTTAAAGAAATACCCGGCTTCGTTATAAGTTTTAACGAGGACGTCTAAGACTTCGTCCGGTAATAAATACTTATTCCATATCTTACGATAATAATACTATAACTACGTTCCTTAGGTCCTATATTCCTTAGCTTTATTAAGTAGGAATCGTACCTTAAGCCGGCTATAGGTATCTCTGGTTCTTCCGGTAATAAGGAATTCGATTACTTCTTTATATTATTTAAAGTTTAGCTATCTATTTTATTCGGAAGAAGATCCTCCTACGAAGAGCTTTAAGGCTCTAACGGTAAGGGTCGCCGTTAACGAAGGTAAGGTTATTACGAATAAATAGATAGAGGGGTATGGAAACATTATATTTAAATAAGTAAGCTCTCGAAACGTAACTAATAAGGGTATTTAGATTCTAATAAGCGAAAGTAAGTAATCGTCGGCTTTATCGTCGGTATTAGCTAGTTATAATTTACGGATATACCTAGGTCCTATTATTCGTAGTTTAAGGACGTACTCGGGTCCTATTATTCGTAATTTAAAGACGTACTCGGATCCTATTATAACGGGTAACGACGATAACGAAACTAAAGCTATAATTATATTTACGTCTACCTTAATAAGAGGAGATAAAAGATCCCGCCCTCGGGATCCTAATAATAAATCTAGATTAAGTAATTAAGCTAATAATTACTTATATCTACCTACGCTATCCTTTTAAACCTATAGTCCGTTATCTTAATCTTAGGAGCCGAGGGTCTTTAGGTATTTTAATTCGGCGTTCTCGTAGTTATTACCCGGGAATATGGTACGAAAGAGGGCATTAACGGCTTTATTCCTTATTCCTAGGATATATTTAATCTATATATAAAGTAATTTAAGCTTAGAAGCCTAACGAACGTAAATGCCTTTAACGGCTAATGAAGATAAGAACTAGGTTAAGGGTTTATAATTAATAAAAAGGGTAGATCGGTCTCTTGCCCGAAACATATAGCTATAACGACGATAGAACTCGACTATTACGTAGAGCTCTTTCTTATACGTACCGTAATTACGTTAGGGTTTCGAAAATATAAAGCTATCGTATAAAATAGGGACATTAATCCCGTTTTACCGCTAAAAAATAATATAACCCGCTACGAATTATAACGCGTCCGTATATAAGGATATAGGTAGATTAAACGCGTAACCATAAGTATTAATTATAGCTAATATTAATAATCTAACTAGTTTAAAGGATAAGGATTCGGTAGTGCTTTATTTCTATTCGGTATCTTTACTAAGTAAACGTATTAAAGGACGGCAGACTTTTAAGTAGTTCTTTATCTATCTACGATAGAGACCTACGGCTCCTAGAAAAGATCTTACTTCTAATTAGTTAGTTAGGACGGGCTAATTACGAAGGCGAGTAGCCCGATCTTTTCGTATACGTAAACGGCCGCTTATATAGTAGATAACTCCTATAGCTAAAATCTTAATAAAACCTATGTAGATCTTCGCAAAAGATAAGCGTAGTTTAGCCTATCGTATTCGGGATAGGAGATAGTAAATTAGCTATTGCTACTGTTCCTCCGCGTTAGTATAAGTACTAAAGATATCGTCCATATAGAATACGCCTTTAGGGATCTAGTCTAACGAAGATAAGGATAAAAGAAATGGCTCGGCTTAAGGCTTAGGGATAGCGCCGAGGACTACGTATATAAGCTTCGTTATTAAGAATGCGGCTATCTAAGTCCCTTAAGGCATTCTTATGGATTATAGTTATAGGAAGCTAAGAATAGCGAATATAAAGATATGCCTATCTTTAGGGTAGATTCTAACGTATTAATATCCGTATTTTAAGTTTAGTTTATAATAAGATCTAATGCCTAGGTAGGAGAAATGGTTATATACGTTTATTAATAAAGTAACGTTTATTCCTAGTACCTTTTCTTCGACCTAATTATAATTAAAGGTTAAACGTAGCTCGGCCTAGGGATCCGGGTTTAGTAAATCTCTATCTTTAGGCATTAGTATAGGTTATGCCGCCTAGTCTAAAAGACGCCTATTAATAACCTTAATCGACTCGAACTATCCTACTTCTATTCCTTCTTAAATTAAACGATCTAACTAGTATTTTTAGGG